AAAGAGTACTTTAAGAAGACGTTAGTAACGCTAGCGTTAACTATAGTAGAGTACCTTCTACTTATATAGGTATTATTATATAAATTTAATAAAGATAGATATCTACTTAAGTGTAAAGCTTGTCTAGTAGTTTAAAAAGACCTCTAAATATAATAGAGTAATACCTATACTACTACCTTAGTAGCAAGAACCTTTTAAGCTCTAGTAGCTATAGTAACTACCTTTAGATTACTAATATATTAGTACAACGCTATAAACGTCTTTCTAAACGCAAAGCTTCTATAGAAGCTCTACTACTACACTCTAGAAGGTTTTACTAGTTAGTTTAGCAAGCTCTTAGAGCTGTATTAAGCTCTATATAGGCTAAAGAAAGTACCTCTACTATAGTATAAGAACCTTATAGAGACTCTTAAGAAGTTAGAACTTATTAAAATAAGTATTATACTATACCTATAGGCTAGTAATAAGCTTATAGTTTTCTTCTTTATTAATAATATTATTATACTTATCTACCTAGATAATATAGACGTTTACGTAGAGTTTAAACGTTGCCTGCTTAAAAAGTATAAGATTAGAAAGATAGGTTAACTTAATTAGTTTTTAGGTATATAAGTTGTAAGAGATATAGAAGTAGCGTTAACCTAGCTAATCTAGAATTTCTTTATTAATAAGGTTGCTAATAAGTTTAACCTACTTCTAAAACTAGGTACTAAGTATCTATAATTCTCTATAAGAGAGAATAACCTCGCGAAATCTATAGAAGCACCTAATAAAGAATAGACAAAGCTTTTCTAGTAGCTAGTTAGCTTACTAGTATATATTTTCTACTTTATACGTCTAGATATATTAAGAGCTTACTTAGTATTAGCTTAATACTTAATTAACCTAGGTTAATAACATCTCTATACCGCTATACACGTATAGCAATATCTTATAGAGTTAAAAACTCTTACACTTAAAGCGTTATAATATGCTATAAAGAAGAAACACTTCTAGAAGGTAGATTTTAAAGAGCCTATCTTCTATAGAGCCTTAGATACTTTATTTAGTAATAACCTAGATACTAGAGTAAGCTCTAAAGGCTATATCTTTAAGCTATATAGATTACCTGTAGATTAAAAAGCTACAAAATAATAGATAGTAACTAAATTAATAACTAAGGTAGAGCTTCTAGCGCTTTTAAAGATAGCTTTAGAAATAGAGTAGTAGAACCTACTTTTCTACTACCTAAAGCTAAACCTTAATATTAAACTAAAGCTTTAATGTAATAATTAGTAGACTATAGATATAGTAACTAAGGCTATAGAGAAGCTTTAGATAAAGCTTAAATACGTTAACGTATACTAAATATAGCTCTGCTAGAAAGTTAAGAACTAAAGAATTAACGTTAAATAGATCTCTATAGGCTAAATACTAGCTAATAGACTTATAAAGATTCTATTACCTTAAAAACACGCCTACTTTATTTAACAGCTAGAGCTTAAGAATATTTCTAGCAAGTTAAAGCTTTTACTATTCTTAGTAGAGTAGTAGAAGCTACCTAAGAACCTCTTATACTAGTACTAGATTAGATAGCAAACCTAACCTAAGCAACACATGCCTAATTCGCTAGTATTTTAGGACCTTTAAGGCAACTATTTACTCTTATTTTACTTCTAGCTCTACTACAGAAGCGTCTACTACACTTATTTAACTATTTTCTATTAATTTTAACGTATATATATACTAGTTTTATACGCAATTCTATTATATCTTAACTAGCTACGTTTATTATAATCTATTAGATTAACTATAAAATTAACAGGCTACGTTTATTATAACGAGCCTAGTCTTAATAAAATACGTAGCAACGTGTTAACGTCTACTTAACAAAGTTACTATAAGCTATAGAGGAGCTACGGCAACTATAAAAATACTCTAAAAGCTGTTAAATAAGGTGTTCTTTCTTTTTACTCTCTACTCTTAAGTTTAATTCACGCCTTTACTATTACTCTGTCCCTCTTTTTACCTACGTAGAAGCTATAGAGGTTAGTAGTGTAAGAGTGTTACACTATTACTTAAACACTTAAACGCTCTACTATTTAAACCTAACCTCTAGAACCTATATTAGACTTTCTAATTAGGAATAGGCACAGCCTTATGCACAGATCTCTTATCTCTCTACTTTCTACACTTCTCTTTTAACTCTACAGGGTCCTCTTACAAGGAGGGTGGCCCTTATAGAACTCTACAGCACTAAGGGGTGTATTTATAGGAGACAATTATTAATTACCTTTTTAGGTATAGTTAAAAGCCTTACCTTCTTAGACAGCTTTCCGTATACACTCTAAGCTGGGGGGGTGTGTTGCCAGATATGGTTACTACTTCACGTAACCTGGTTATGTATATATATAGCCATATTTCTCGTATTCTCAATCAATTAACTCATGTCTCAATACTCTGCAATTCATCCAATACTACTCTACCACCCAATCCTCGAGCAGAGCGCGTCATGGTTCTTCCTGCTCATCGCCTTCTTGCGCCTCGACTTCCTGAATATCCATTACGATATGACACTCCATGTGGCCACCCTCAACCGGAGCGTCAAACACATTAATCTTTCTTACGAGCCTATGCCCCAGCTATCGTTTGTGCTGAGCCAACAAGCACGCCACATCCTAATAGCTGGGTGTCCTTAGGAGTGCCAGCCACTTTCCTGAATTGACGCCAAACAACTCTGCTGGCCATTGCGGCGAAGCTTCACTCCGAGACGCTACAAATTGCGCGATGACTTCCTTCGCCTCGAAACTGGAGATATTAGTGCAGCAGACGTAGCGTAGGGAAGCGGGAGGCTCTGGTGAAGAAGTGGAGAGGTACAACAGATACGCGATATCAGGCCAGTACCTAAGCTCGAGGTACCTCTCGAGCGGCGAATTGGTGCCTTCCTTCGCCGCGGGGGCGTAGCTATAAGCCCCGATAATGACGCCTTCGTCGCTATTTACGATTTACCAGAATTCAATTCGGGTATGTGACTCCATCCAACGACACAGTCTGACGTGTGGAAGCAAGCTTTCAGCTTTCTCTTGCCGCCATTATTGATGAGAGTATGGTTGGGGCATATGCCTTCGAGGACGTGTTGTAGCTATATGAGAGCGGCTGCGTTGCCTTCGGAAACGCTGATGTATCCCCAGCTTTAGGGAAGGTTGCTGTGGAGGAACTTGCTCTCGGCATGAACTCGTGGGGGTTTGAACGTTTGACCTACAGCCCTGCCATCCTCGGCTAATTGTCATAACTTAAAGCTGGACGCGCTCACAGTTACGGAAAAGTCTGGCGAAGAGAGCACGTGGTCACCATTTCACCGCCAAGTCATTAGCGCGGCACTAGGCGTTCGGCTAATTGCTAACCGAAGTGTGCACAGCAACTTCTACGCCAGCGCTCAGCAACTTCTACACCCACGACCACTCAAACCTCGCTTTCGGAAATCCAACTATCTCTTCCGGCACTGGAGGCCTGCAGGCATGGCGAAGCGCAAGCTCAAGCTCAAGCTCAAGCTCGCGACCTCGCCGCTCACCCAACCCAGGAAGAAGGCACGATCGAAAGCCTCCGGAGACCTTACCCCGAAAAGCACCAAGCCGCTACCCTTCTTCGAGTACCTGAACTACGATGTGCGCATGTTGATATACATGCATATGCGCCTACCCCCCTGGTCCAATGGAAGCCATTGGAAAGGCTTCATTCTCTCTTGCCGTCAAGCTCACCTCGAAGCATCTGAAAGTGCGGGCCGTCGGCTGAAGGCTGCCCTGATCGCCTTCACGAACAACTTGGAAGGCGTCCAGGTTCCGAACATCCCAATCGGCGAGGGATTCAAGGCTTTGAAGGAGCTCACCTTACAGAGTTCCGTCAACTATATGCCACTATCGGAGTTTGAGAGACTGAGCCCGTTGCTTAATCTGTACCTCGACAAGATTACCTATGTTTTCAAGGGCGATGAAGTCGCTGCTCGAAAAGTGATAGAACCTCCACGACTACAGCATGAGGTTACCGCAGCTCTCACCGACTCAATTTACGGCGGTCTGGCTTCTCGGCGCATGCCATGGCTTCGCAGCATGGCTCTAGATTTGAGAACTGTGGCAGTGTGGATATCAACCGACGCTGAAAAGGCTATCCACACAAAGCAGATCGCCATTGCTTGGGATTTACTGCCTGAGGACTCTGAGAGGATGACGAGATTAAGGAGACCCACTCTCCAGGGCTCCGAGCGGACCTATCCTATATGGGACTTCGATCAATGGGGAGTAAGTGAAGAAAACCTTCAGGAGGAGCTGCGGAAGGTGAAGAAATATGAGCTCTCAGGGAAGGATGGGCTGTTGGGCGAGTGTGGGCTCCGAAGCGATTATCGATGGGTATTGCGTCCAGGCGAGAACGTGCGAAGTCTGTGGCTGTATACACCGACTAGGAAGATCTCGAGCCAGGGTATTGGCCAGGATATAGTGGAAGGCTAGTACGTATGCCGCATTATACGCCGCGCAGAATGTTAGTCTGAGATCTGGGAAGCCACTTTTTAAAGGCCCTCGACCGTAAGAGAACTCGAGCATGCTTAGGTAGTTGATCTCTCGAAATCAAAAAGTTGCCGATTACGCGCAAAGACGAGAATATTTGCTATATAGTTAACAAGGAACAATTTATTGTATCAATGTAACAAATGCAAAATAACCCAAGAAGAAGAGTCCGAATTCTCTATGCACAAGAAATAAAGCGGCGAGGCAACTCGTAGGGGGTCTTAGCGAGGTTGTTGGCTGACTAATCGAAGACTGATCCTCCGGTGTCATTATCATAGTCCGAACGCACTGCCATCACCCCAGTTCCGCTCATCTCGTCAATGCATCAGAATTTCGAGATTTACTATTGGGAATCTTCTGCATGTTTGCTAGCTATGGCGAGCGCATGCTCACAGTCGCACTATATTCACCTAGAGCTGCTCAGATTTCGACCCCTGATTGATTGATTTTTCTCGTTTTGAGTCACCAACCTATAGAGGTTATGCTGACTACGCCCGAGCGGAACGTCTCAATGCTGTCGTCTTCTGAGTCTACCTATTCGCAAAATCCTCTTAAGACTGGTTCCAAACCGTCCAAAATTTGCCTCACTCTCCTCTCCTCGATCCAATGCAGCATATATTCCACCCGCAAGTCGAGCCCCTGATGACCAGCCGTCGCCCATCCCTCGATTAACACCGGAAATTTCGCCCCTCGCGCTTCGATACCATCTATATACTCGACTGTACAGCCCGGAAGTTCGAGCGCCGGAACATTGGGGTAAGAATGATACGAGAACATGACTTCCGAAAGGTAGTACGGAGGGAGATGGGGCTGTTGAATGTGCTGCAAGATTGCAGAAAAGGATTCTACATGTTCAAGAGCGCCCTGTATGCTTTGTTTCACCTTCTTCAGAAACATGCGGGAAGACCTTGGTGGGACGGAGTCGACCGAAACGCGGACGGGGATTCGGTCCAGCAAATTCCCCTGCATCGACTCGGTTCCAGGTTCATCGCGGTGAGCATACGGTATGCAGACCACGATATCTCGTGCGTGGAATGCTCGGCTAAGAGAGACCAAGAGTGCGGAAAGTAGCATTTGGTGTATGGTGATATTGTGTTCCGCGGCGGCGACAAGAATGGAATGTAGCAGGTCGGACGGTATGTGATGAGTCAGGTTACCGCCCGCATTATTGAGACGGCACCGTTCGCGAGGCTGGAGAAGTGGAGAGGGTGGCGATGCAAGGTACTCTCGCCAGAAGACAGCATGCGAGTCGTCTAAGGGCATAGCCAACTTCCAGTTCATTAAGTCGATGTAATCGGGCCGAGAACTTGCGTCGTGTTTCTCGTCCGGTCGATCGACGTCAAATTGGGCGTAGCAAGCCTGAATAAGTCCTAGGAAAGTTCGCAAAGAGGTGGCATCCATGATGGTATGATGAGCGACGATGAGCAAATGATAAACATCATCATCCACTCCGCCGTAGAGTACGGCCTTCAAGAGCGGGTCTTTCGAGAAGTCGAAGGGTTGATTTAATACATCATCCACAGACACGCTTTCACCGATATGTCCTACACGGACCGAGCAGAAGAGAGAGTCCTGAAAACCTCGTCGGAGCCGGTCGCCATCGAATATGTACTTGGTTCTCAGGACTCTTGCAGAAATTACGCAGCGGCGTATTGCAGAAGCGAGCCGATGGACGTTCAACTTCCCGGTTACCTTGAAGAGACAGGGCATGTTGAAAGCAGTTCGAAAAAGAGTGTTGGAAGAAAGGGATACTATCTCTTCCTCAGCGGGAGAGACAATCGCAGTAGAGACATTAGCATCTCTCATCCATTCCAAGAACGATTCTCCGCGTTTTTTGGAGTTATACCTCGGCTCCAGGTCCCGTACTGCCAAAACTTGCTGTGCAAGGAGGTTATTACGCGATGCGAAATCTAGGGGTACCTTGCAGCTATAGAGACTGGACAACCTCTGAATGAGACGTAGCTGTAGGATCGAGCTTCCTCCTAGGGCTATGAAGTCATCGTCTGCCTTGACAGATAGATTGGGAATCTGCAGGATGTCCTCCCAGACTTTAGCAACGTCTCGCATGGGACCAAGTGGAAGGACCATGGTCGTAGCCTTCTGAATCCGCGACAAATTTTCGAGCTCACGGTAATCGATTTTCTGGTTTGTCGTCAAAGGAATAGTATCCTGGACGAGTATCCTGGAAGGGACGCAATATATCGGGAGGCGGGAGCGAATCCGATCGCGAATAATGTCTATATCCACACTCTTCGGAGTTATGAAGGCTACCAGACCGTCATTCTTCACCACCACTCCGACCTGGTCTATGTCCGCGGAGGTCTGTCGAATGACGATTTCTATCTCTTCTAGATTAACTCTATACCCGCGCACTTTCACCAGTCGGTCCCGTCGGCCCAAGAACTCGATATCCATGTTTTCGGTCCAACGTCCGAAGTCACCGGTGCGAAACATAGTCAGCCCTAGATTCCAAGGGTCCGGGAGGAAACGATCCTTGTCGTACGCCTCGCAGGCAAAATACCCATTCGCTACTTGCGCGCCGCTCAAACATATTTCTCCAGTGACGCCAACAGGTGCCAGAGTCCGGCCTTCATGTGTGATATACGCTCTCATGCCGGGGATCGGGCGGCCTATCGTTACGGGCAAGCGGGGTGAAAGTTGACGGAAAATACTCCCCACCGTACACTCGCACGGGCCGTATCCGTTGTAAAGACGCCGGCCTTCCGCCCAAGTATTAGCAAGCTTCTCCGGAACAGCCTCGCCTCCAAGTACAATGGCCTCCAAGTTGGCAAAATTACTTGGATCGCAAGCAGAGAGCAGTGAAGGAGTCATCATGGCTGCATCGACAGAGTGGAGCGACTTGAGAATATCTCCTGGATGTTTCAGAACAAGTGTAGCTCCATAGCATAGTGTCCCGAAAATTTCCGCGGCGCAGGCATCGAACCCTACGGAGAACATCTGCGCGATCCGCCGACCCAGTGCAGCGTGTAACCGTGCAGGCGGATAGGAGATGTAGGAGAGTAGCCCTTGATGGGTGGCGAGGACACCTTTCGGAGTTCCTGTAGTGCCGGAAGTGAATATCAGGTATGCTGGATCTTGTAAGGCGATATCTGTTTGCAGAGCTTCATAATGGCCAGGTTCAGACAGGATATCGCTCACGAAGATGACGCGCACGGGTTCCAGCTGAGAGATTAAGTGCTCGGAGTCTCGTCTTGGAACCAGAGCGGTCTTCGCCCCACTCGTGCGGATGATCGTCTGCGCGCGCTCCGCCGGTAACTCGACGTCGATTGGGCAATAAACGGCACCCACTTTCACGGCTGCCAGCGTTGCTATGATCCAGTCCAGGCTTCCGTCTGCGAGAATCGCCACTGGAGTGCCTTTATCTGCATACGATGATAGATCCCATGCCACCTTGTTCGCTGCTGCGTCAAGCTCTTCATACGTTAAGGAAGCCGCAGAGCCCTCTACCGCCACTGCATCGGGATATACCCTGGCAACCATCTCAAACGCTACTTTGAGACTGGAATGACCCGGTGGTATAAAAGCCGGAGGCTGCTCTCTTTGGATTAAAGCGTCGAACTCACATTGGCTGAGCGGCGGCCTGATTGAGCGACCCGACTCTTCCTGGATTAACGCATCAAGTAGGTTGAGGAACATATCCCTGAATTGCCTCAGAACCTTAATCGTCGTGTGCGAGGTGACTTTCGTCGGCGCGAACAGCAACCGAAACTTGAGCTCCTCCCGTTCCGATTCCACAAGAAGCGTCCACGTGAACTCGGAAAGTTGGGTCTGCCTTATTTTCCAAGGTTCTGGAATGGATTTGCTGCTCATACGAGCCTCCAGCATATCATACTGCAAGGATACGAGAGTATCGAAAGCCGTATGATCCATTGGGACCGTCCACTGGTAATCGGCCATCGCAAGAATTTGAGAGTGTATATCCTGTATCCAATATTTGGCAGACTGGTCTCCCTGCATGTCGTTCATAGCAAAAGGGCAAACGTTGATCAAGGGTCCGATGATAACATCTGCTTCGTTCAAGCGGAGGTTCCGACCGGAAAATACAACTCCGAAGGATGCGGCTTTGGAACCAGTATACCACATCATAAGCTTCGCCCATGCACCGTAGATCAGCGAGCTTACGGAGATACCACGGCTTCTACATACACTCGCGATGGATGTCAAAGGAATTCCTGACGTGATGACTGCTTGATACTCGCTAGAGAATCCCAGTTCACACGCTGGGGTCGTTTCCCTCGGAAGCTGGAGTGCTTTCGCGTCCGCTTGAAGCCGAGTTATGCTATTCCAGAAAGTGTGAGCTTCTGGAGAAGCCGCAGCCCGAAGAGAGCGTTGAACACACAGCACAGCATGAAACTCCGGAGGGTTTGGGAGCACGTTTCCATCTAAAATGGCCCGCAGCTCATCCAAAAGGACCGCAACAGAGTGTCCGTCGATGCGAGAGTGGTGAATGCACCAGAGAATATGTGGCGAAGAATCGGTGGCTGTGATCATCCGAAATGCGTTCAGTGGATTCGACGCGTCGCACGACCTGACGCGCTGGAATAGTACTTTTTTTTGTCGGGCAATTTCAGACGCGCGGTTTGACTTGGAGATGGAAACGGACATCCAGTCCATCTCCCACGCCTCTGACGGGACGCATTCCTGTTCTTTTAGGTCGAAAGTGCAGGTGAGAATAACATGTCGCCGGTACAACATCTCCCAGGCGCTTCGAAATTGGCTCTCTTGCAAATCTGAAAGTGAGGCAGCTAAGTCGATTTCCACCAGCAGATAATACTGCACTGGGTTGGTCGCCATTGTACACAGCATTTTCTCTTGCATCGTTGTAAGGGGGAACGACTCTCCATAGGGCAATCGGCGGATACAGGGTTTGGCCAGAGAAGTGAGACCTGAACATATGGAACGAAGAGGGAGGTCACCCATGAGCGGAGCCATGTAGACCATCAAGTGTTTCTCTCGTAGCTTCGTTAGCAGCCTTAGTGCCAGTAGCGAGTTACCGCCCAGCGACACGAACGTCGCGTCGTCATTCACCGCGTCAAAAGGGAGGCACAAAACATCCGCTACGGAGGATCGTAGAAAGTCGAGCATTGTTCCTGGAGCAACAGATGCGTCCCCATTCTTGTGGGCATTGTGCAGCACCATTTGCTGAAGTGGCCTGCCGTCAATCTTCCCATTTTGATTGAGCACCAGTGAATTCAAGGCATAGATTCGATCCGGAACGAGGAATGCGTCGTGTTCTTCCAACATATTCCGCCGGAGCTCTTTTACTGGGCATGTGCTTGGTGTGACAAATCCGTAAAGACTTCCATCAATGTGGAGCGCTGTCGCCGACTCCACACCATATTGGGCCAGCAAAGCTGGTATGACTTCCGATTCGAGATTGACAAGAAACCCCCGGTTCTTGATCATACTATCGCCGCGACCAAGGAAGTAGAGTTTTCCATCTTGGCGTCGAGCGAAATCTCCCGTGCGGTAAAAGCGTTTCCCCTCGAAGAAGACAAATTTCGAAGCAGTCAACGCTGGCTTGTTGAGATAGCCGATCGCGAGTCCTGGGCCTGAGATCCAAATTTCTCCTTCGTCACTCCTCACGCCGTTTGTTACGAGTGAGACATCGCTTCCTTTCATTGGTCTTCCGAGGTCGATCGGGGAACCAGGGCTCAGCTCAGATAGCAGTGAAGCACATGTTGTTTCGCTAGGACCATAACAGTTGTAAATGGCTCGGCCCGGAACCGTCCATGAGGATATGAGCTTCTGTGTGGTCGCCTCGCCTCCAAGAAAGATCGCACGCAGCTTCTCGTGTGTTCTGGCCGCACTAAGGGAACGAAGAATGGACGGCGTGCAGGGCAGTATGGTACAGTCCTCCAGACATGATTCTAAAGTCTCAGGTTGCGCGATCATCAATGTCCCGCCGTTGTATAAAGTGGAGAATATGACTCCCGTGCATGCTACTCTCCGTCAGCATAGATCAAAAAAGAATGGTTGATCGTACCGTCAAATGCGGGAGAGAATATGCACAGAACCATATCCGGCGGACGTACGCTTATGTTGAAAGGTGGGTCATCTTGTCGCACATAGTTGAGCAGTGCGCTCCTTGGTACCATCACCCCTTTGGGGGCAGACGTCGTTCCTGAAGTGAAGGCGATGTATGCCAGATCTTCGACTGAAGTGAGGTCTTCTTCGGCTACCATGATGCTGGGTACAGCTGTTGACGCATGAGTAGAACCGATGAGGTCGTTGTATAAGAGAACTTTTCGACCCAGGTTGTCGACTGGCTCACTGCTTGCGATGACCGCCGGTTTCACGGTGTCAATTACATGCGAAATCCGATCCGAACTAAAGCCCTCAAGATCGAGGGGGATGTAACAGGCGCCAACTTCCAAGACAGCGTGGAACAGGACGACCATTCCGATGCATCGCGAAGTTAGGATAACCACCCTATTGCCACGCCGCACACCATTTGCATGCAGTGCAAACGCAATCTTCGTACTTAAGGATCGGAGCTTCTCGTACGTAATTATTTTGTCGCCACAGATTACTGCAATTGCACCGCTTCGTTCTCCGAGGTAGTTGAGGTGTAGTGATGGCAGTGACATTGTGTTTCCGAAAGTGGCGCTCCAAAAGTATCAACGAAGACAATCAAAAAGAAAGCAGTACTGTATCACTGGGAAGCCTTAGACTGCAGAATTAGCGAGTCTGGCACTCGCTCACTCCACGTCCGGAAGGTGTATGGCGTGCGGCTCGGCGTTTACTGTGCCACTTGGGCACCGCTCGCGCCGGGCGCCGAGCGGATATTAGCACCTTCATATCAGGGAGCCACGGCAACGCTCTTTACTGCACTAGATCTATATTTTCAAATCGACAGCTGGGCTCATCTGTTGTTCACAATTCCTTTTACACTTCTTCTCATCGCAACCGCCGTACTCATCATGCCCGAGCTCGACGTTCTCATCATTGGAGGCGGCCCAGCTGGGCTTTCGGCAGCCCTTTGTCTATCCCGTGCTTGCTACAAGACGGCCATCTTCGACTCTGGTGCCTATCGGAACGCCGAAGCGCTGCACATGCACATGTTCCCAACGTGGGACCACAAAGACCCGAAGGAGTATCGTACTGCGGCAAAGGCAGAGCTACTGGACCGCTATGGGGACTTCGTGGCCTTTGTGGATCGCCGGGTTACGTCGGCGACTAAGGATACGGACAATGGAACGTTCGAGGTGGTAGATGAGATGGGGGAGGAGTGGAGTGGAAAGAAACTGCTTTTGGCAACTGGGGTGAAGGACATATTACCGGATATCCCTGGCTATGAAGAATGCTGGGTTAAGGGAATGTAAGTTCTGTTCACCTTCTCTTCCAACGCAACTTTGCTTTCCCTGACCGAGTGTAGATTTCACTGTCTCTTCTGCCATGGACACGAAGATCGCGGTCAAAAGTCTGTCGGTGTCCTCGCGATCGAACTGATGGCTCAAGCACCTATGATCACGAATAGCTATGTGCGCAACGCGCTGCAGTTCTCGGAGAGCGTCACGATCTACACGGATGGCTCCGAATCCGTTGCTACGACCATCTCGGGAATGGTTGCCGGCATTGGAGAGCGGGTGAAAATAGACAATGGGTCAATAGCTCGCCTAATCAAGGAGCCTACTGGTGCAACCGTCACGATAGAGTTCACCGATGGGACCAAGGTCACTCAGAGCTTTCTGGTCCATGGACCTCGCAACGAAATGGATCTTGGGTTCGCGAAGGACTTGATGTTGGACAAAATGCCATCAGGTGGAGAGCTCAAGGTCACGTCTCCGTTCAACGAGACGACTGAACCCGGCTGCTTTGCGGCTGGGGATTGCGGTTCGATGGGCAAAATTGTTGTAGCTGGCGTCGCATATGGCGCTTTCGCCGCGATGGGTATCGTAAAACAATTGCAGGGGTACTGAATGGTCACCCCGCAAAGCCAGCTCTTTCCCCAAAATCCACTCGCTCCTGTAACTAGCTTCAAGCATGCTTTTGGTCTCTCGCGGGATCATTGTCTTCCCCTTCAACTCCTCTGTAAAATGTTGACTATGTCGAATCGGCCTGCGAGTTGGGCCGCGCCCATAAGACTCAGCTATCTATGGTGGCCAATGGCTCGGGGGCCGGGTTGGCCTGGGTGACTCCGATCTCCAAGGTCCGTCGCACAAGTGCTTATATAGGGTTAAAGGTAGACCTATTCCCAATAGTACACTCACCAAGCTTGAACATAATCATGGAGTCAATTTTCGATGTGCAAGCGCTTCCATTCAGAATGGGGAGCCTTATTGCTGGGGCGTTACTTCTGCTTTCGATTCTGCGCCAGCTCGCTTTTCCTCCTCAGCGACACAATCGCGCCAAAGTTCTCCGCATCGGCAAGACAGGAGTTCAATCATGGATTACCTGGGACAGCGCGCCACAGCTTTCGCTTGGAAAATACGTAAAGGAAGGGTATTACAAAGTACGTCGTGCTCATCCTACTCCGCTCCAGTCTGCTAATCTGCTACGCAGATGAACAAGGCGCTTGACAAGCCTTTCGCGATTCCCATGTGCGGTATGGAAAATACGATTCTGCAGCCGAAATACCTCTCCGTGCTGAAGCGAGAGGACCGCAACGAGCTGAGCCTGTGTCAAGCCTTTGAGGATGTACGGAGCGATCCCTGTTTGGATTATACCTAGGTACCTGCTCATCTTGCCCAGATGTTCAACATGACCACCACTTCAGGGAAGGAAGGGCGACATGATCATGTGGAAATTGACGTGGTTGGGAAGTACATCAACGCTCGTCTAAGTAAGTCACTCCATGAAACCTGCGTAGCTCGACAGCTCACGTTGATGGGACGTTTAGCACAATTTCATCCTTTCATGGTGTCCCAGACTGATTACGCATTTGAGCTTATTGTTGGCCCTGAGCCTAGTAAGTTCGTCCTGCCGTATACTTGAGCCAGGCACTTATACCCATTCAGGGTGGAAGAAGTTCAACACCGCGGATCTCTGCTTCGATCTGGTCTTTGCTGAAACCGCCCGTGTCCTCTCTGGTGAGGAGCTTTGCCAGAATCCCGAATACATCGAAGCCATCGTCGATTACTCGAAGTCGTTCTTAATGAGTGGCTTCATGTGGCCGATACGACCGCCAAACTGGGGACCCATCCGTAACTGGCTGTATTGGTTGTGTACTTGGCGTCTTCGCCGGGACATCAAGCGTGCCTTCAGATTCATCATTCCGCTTATCAATAGCCGCTTGAAAGAATTAGAGGCCACTGGAAACAACGTAGAGGGCGCAGACCTTCACCTGGACATGATCCAAGGGCTGCTCACCATGAACATCCCCCAGCCCGAAGAGCGGACACCAGTTCGACACGCTCACCGTGTCCTTCACATGTCCTTTGCGGCTTCCGCAGTGAGCAGCGCGCTGATGATGCATACCATTCATCAGACTTTGATGACTCCGGAATACGTCCCGGAACTCCGACAGGAAATCACAAATGCGCTTAAGGAGCACGGCGGATGGACTGAAAAGGCTCTGTTGGAGATGCATCTCTTGGATAGCTTCATCCGGGAGCTCTTGAGAATGAACCCACCGAGTGTTTGTGAGTCAATTTCTCGATGCAGTATCCACGAGGCTAACCAAGAATAGTCGCCGGTCAACGCACCATCCTTTCTCCAACTTACCGCTTCGACAACACTCTAACGCTTCCTAAAATGACGCGCATCGCGTTTCCCGTGATGGAAATCCATACTGATCCGGATAACTATCCTGACCCATTGAAATTCAATCCCTACCGATTCATGGGGTCGGAGCCTGGATCGGAGAGGATGTCAGCTTTCCGGATCACTGATAAATACCTCGCGTAAGTAACGGGTGCATGCCAGCGCCGCCGGCTTCAGTGTTATCTCCGCGCCAGCTTCTTCAAACTTTCGCTGACGCTATTCCAGGTTCGGGTACGGGAAACAGGCTTGCCCGGGGCGGTTCCTCGCTATTCGTCAGCTCAAGCTGATTCTTGCGAAACTATTCCTTGGTTACGAGTTTCAGTGGGCTGGGGGACCATCGAAGGGACCAAAAAAGCTCTCAAGGCAAGTGGTTGAGGGCCAGATTTTCCCAGACCTTTCGACTGAGGTCGAGATCAGGAAGCGAGTTGTCTGAGAAGAGGGTCTTCCTCAACTTGGACACGGAAGTGGGACTATATGAAGTACGCGGCAATTGAATTTGGGTGATCTGTATACAGACCTGCCGTATCTATATGATGATGTTAGCGGATATATAAGGAATCATAACTAAAGAGCAGAAGGATTACGATCATTTTGCTCCCAAAAGATAAAGTCTTGATTAAAGCTTAAAAGATAGCTGGCATAGAAATCAAATATGACATCGCTTGCACGACGCCTTGTACATCAGTGCGCTGAGTGTAAAGAAATATCCTTCCTAATCAAACGCAGAGCCATCTTAGCGGAGTGGTCGATACATCCGGCCTGTTCCTGACAAGTCCCGGATTCAGATACGTGGTGATGTTAATCTTGCCAGCAGCATTGATAGCCCATGAGATGTACGTATGTAAGCCCAACCCTTTCTCTAGGGAACGTCGTGGACTTCAAACATTAGCAGGCATAACGAGACCTCAAGCCTATACACTTACTGTAGTTGCTGTAGAGCCTCCAGGTACGTTTTCTCCTGTAGCCTCATGGATCTCGATGTGAGAAAATGGGACATCCTCGACGCGATCAACTGATCATTGATGCCGTAGTGTCGCACCGGGATGTACACCTTCGACTTGATTGCTGACGTTCGAGGCTTGAATTCGCAGTAATAGAGTATGCCAGCAGTGCGGTGCTTCTTCACCTGAAGGGGATCTTCGAGCGACCTATGAGAGTCCAACCCCAAGACAGAATGCCAAAGGTCCTTCAGGGAGCCCATATCGCCCTTGGTCGTGCAGCTATGCATTTGCCCCCAAGACATAATGCTTCTGACTCGCGAAAAAGACGTGATTCTCGAACGAAAATAGATCTTGATGCGGGATCGGTCTGGATCGATGCAGTCAAAGCTGAGAATCTCGACTTCGGTGTCTGCCCCTGAAGCTCTAATAAATGTGAAGAAATTTTCGAGTGCAGTGGCCATGCTTTCGTCGACAGAAAGCTTCGATACAGCCCTCTCAACAAGGCTCAGCTTAGAGCACGAAAGCCCTTGCGCCCGAGCGTTCAGAACATAGTAAACCTTGAGAAGTCTGTGGCCGCCATCCAAATCGAAGGCCCAAAAGATCTGCGACTCATGCTCTCCCGTCTTGGATCCAATGGGACACCGGTCATATTGTAGAAGAATATTGTTTACCCGATTGAACCAGGTCATATCGGGCGCGGTGAACCATCCGGATGCGTCTTGCAGGAATGCGTTACTCCCATGCAGGTTAAGCCATTTTTCATCCTTAGGAAGGGTCATCGCTAGTGGTTCGATTGAGTACCGAACGACCGGCATCGTGTCTATGTCGCCTTCAGTCCAACTCCAGCTCATCTCAATTGGAGTGCCATCGTCCGTCATGAAGCTGTGGTGGGCGTGCCGACCAATCCTGCGAGGTCGTTTTCCGAGATGTGGCGTGACAATGCTCTCCAGAAACCGGAGCTGGCTGGAAACATCCTGATCACAGTATCCTGCAAGGAAGAGCATACGCTCCAGCATGTGTCGAAGGTGCCGATTCCAGAAGCGTTGATCGTGACCGCCTAGGTACCTTGACAATACAATCGACATTGTTGAACGTCCAGAACTCATTGGAGGAGCTTTCTTCCCGTTGGGTTCCGTTAGATCGTGAACAAAAGGGTGCTTGAATACAGTTAAGTGCGGCATCTCCACTCCCAAGCTATTTCCCTTCTCCAATGCGCACCAAGGTAACGGGGCGCCGCAGCCAGTGGGAAAGCCTTAATATTCGGCGTCCGAACTCTAAAAATGCCAGAAGTCCGAGGAGACCGAAGGGCTAAGTTACCCTATGAGCAGTCACATCCATGATGTGATCCGAAACGTCATAATGCGTTTCGTGGACGAGATTGAAGGGGCATTGCGGCATGAACGCCAAGCCAGAATTCATAGATTATCTCATTAGAATGCTGTATGGGCATGCATATTCGAAATATTCCATTTTTCAATCTAGCATTACTTGAATATGTGAACGTCTTACTCTTCCGAAATGCATCCTCTCCGATTCACCTCTTCGGGCAACATAGGACCCCTCCTGAAGTTCCATCGCGAAATACATCAGCCCCCCTACTTCACCTCAGCTTGCTCTACTAGCATTTTGTTATTCTGGACGCTAACTTGGACCTTCGCATCCCTCTGCCCACGCTCGCCGTCGCCCGCCGGCTCGTTCTTATTTTCCCCATCCTTCTTGATTGGAATCCATTCAGTGCCGAGGGATCCGATCATACTAAGTGCACCCAACGCAATACCAATATAGTAGGTCTGGGTGACGGACCTGCTATAAGCCTCAAGAAAGTCTGTGTGCAAATTTGACGGAACCTTGGAGATGACCGTCGTGACGCCTCCACCATTGAGCAAAATGCGTATGTCGAGGTCCGGCAACACCGCTGACACGTTTCTTTTCAGTTGGTTCTTGAAGACGTTTTGCGCAATCGCGATGAAGACGGCGCCAAAAAGGTTTTGGACCAGGGTGATCAAAGCAGTTCCAATCGGCACCTCATCCTCAATGAGGATGTTCTGGATGACTACCAATGGACACTGGATGCCCAAGCCAATACCGAAGCCGAGCAACGCCTGGTATCCAATCCATTCCGAAGATGGAGTATCTGGTCGGAAGGTGCTTAGCAGTCCGATTGCAATTGGTATGATGATCGATGAGCCATCCATGAGGGGAGTATAGTAGCCGGTGATTTCGGTTAACATTCCGGAGATGATGGCAAAGATGATGAATCCCAGTATCAGTGGAATAACTCTAACACCAGACTGGAAAGCCGAAACTTGCTGAATGCCCTGAAACCAAATGGGAAGGTAATAAACCATTACCACAAAAACGGAGAATGTGCAGACAGCGTACCAGGTCGTGAATGCGATACTTCGCGAGCGGAAAATCGATCCTGGGACCGTGCAAGTCTTAGGCGTGAAGTGTTGAACGGCGACGAAAGCGGCGGAGAAAAGGCCGGATAAGATCAGCAGTACAATGATCCTTGGGCTCGACCAAGTATAGGTAGATCCTCCCCATTGCAAGGCGAGGAGTAGCGTGATAATCGCAGGTACGAGAGTAAGTACCCCCGGGAAGTCAAGTTGCTTGAGGAGCTCTACCCCACGCATTGCCTTGTACTTCGGGTCTTGCGGCAAATCGATGAAAATTGTGACGATGGCGAACGTGACCACACCGAGGGGTAGGTTGATATAGAAGCACCACCTCCACGTAACCTTGTCACTGTGCGCCGTTAGTGAGGTTCGCGTAAGTATTACCGTTTCCTTACGAGAATACTCCACCAACGAAAGGCCCAGCAATGGCTGCCACGCCCATCGCTGCACCTAACATTCCTATGTAGCGTGGACGTGTCTCTAGGGGAGCGGAACGAGCGAGGATAATGACGGCCCCAGAATATAGGCCAGCCGCGCCCACACCGGCAATGGCACGGCCAGCTATGAATGCGCCTGAGTTAGGTGCAGTGGCACAAATCAAAGATCCCAGCTCAAAGATAGCAACTGCACAGAGATAGACGATTTTGATGGAGAAAATGGTGAACATCTTTCCAAAGAGTAGCTGGAACGCGCTCGACGTGAATAGGTAGGCTGCGACATACCAACCCACGTCTCCAAGGCTATTGAAGTTGTCCGTGATCTTTGGTATGGCAGTCGCGATGATTGTCTGATCCAGTCCGTAGAGGAAGACGGCGAGCGCTAGGCTAAAGACGATGCATATAAGTCTAAATGAAGTAGGATACTGCATCATCCTCATGGAGTCGAGCTCTTGGTTGGACATTGTTTTCTGTGTAAGCGGAGTGTAGCTCAAAGCGACTTCGCGGAACAGGAAAATGGAGTGCGTCAGGAAAGTGTTGAGGAGGCGTTTGAGCGGCATCCAAGAATGGGATCTATGGTCACGTGAGCGGAGGGATTCCGGAGAGATTGAAGAGTTCCGTTCTCGTTTGGGATTTCATCCACTCAGCCGGTGCAGACGTGCTGCTGTGCCGCAAAGGCATTCGGCCGGTCACCGGTCGGTTGCCAGCGTATATGAAGCTCGCGTCGAAGGCAACAGCACCGCTAGAACCTTGGAACCGAACAGGCCGATTTGCGTGCGAACGAAGGAGCTCAAGCGATCTCTTACCATGGGCCTGTCAGTAATTCTCGGCGCTGTATTGGGCGTCATTCTCGTGTTGATACTGTACCGGCTATGCTTGCACCCTCTCGCAGGCATTCCGGGTCCGAAGTTGGCCGCCGTGTCAGTACTGTATGAGATGTACTATGACCTTGTGAAAGGCGGACGTCTGCCTTGGAAGCTAAGAGAGCTACACGATGCATACGGTATGTCTAAGCAAATTTGTATCTTTAACTTATCTTCCGCTAACGCCTTTGTTAGGACCAATTGTCCGCATCGGACCAAACGAGGTCCATATTCGCGATTCCGGCTTCACACCGCGCTTCTTTTCTTCGGCGAGTTCCAACCGACTGGACAAATATGCACCCCACCGACGGCAGCTGGGCATCACCAAATCCACGATCAGCACCGTGCAATCTGACCTACACCAGCGACGGCGCGAAGCCCTTGCGCCGTTCCTGTCTAGCGCCCGGATCGGATCATATACCTCCGTTATTTTATGCAAGATCGAAAACATCGCATCGCGATTTGAGAAATGTCGTCTCTTAGGCGAGGTTGCCGAGTTACGATTGTTCTTTTTGTACATGGTTACGGACATCATCACAGAAATCGCATTCCCTGAAGGGACGAATCTATTAGCACATGAAGAGCTGGACAAGGGATACTATACTTTCCAGAAGGCTGGACAGGCAAAGCTCCTCTGGTTCAAGCATTTCCCCATCATATGGACCCTACTCAAAAACATGCCACCATCTTGGCTTTTGAGGATGGCACCACAGGCATCCGTTGCGGTACACTGGGAAATAGCAAACAAACGGCTTGTCATGGACATATTATCAGGCAACCGCAACGTCGATAGGCGAACTGTTATTCATCACCTAGCTGCGAGCTCGCTTCCTTCGTCTGAGAAGGGCTTCGACCGCATCTGGGAGGAATCAACATCATTCCTGGGTGCCGGAGGTGAGACGGTTGTGAATGCTCTCTGCACCACGATATTCCACGTACTTAAAGACGATAAGATTACCCAGAGACTTGCCGAGGAGGTGAAAGCTGCTGTTCCAGATCCGTCGCGAATACCATCAGCGCAAGTTCTCGCATCTCTGCCCTATCTCTCGGCCGTTATCCAGGAAGGCCAGAGGAAGGCCCTCGGAATTACCTCTCGAATTATCCGCGTGGACAATAAGTCGTCAATCTCCTATGGCTCATATGTGCTCCCGCAAGGCACGGCCGTCTCCCTTAGCTCGCTATTGGAAAACAATGATCCTACCATGTTTCCGAATCCTGAAGAGTTCATACCCGAGCGTTGGCTGGAAGGGAGAGCAGATAGCTCTCTAAAAGAGATGAAGAAGCAAGTGATTACATTTGGCGGTGGTCCGAGGAAGTGCTTAGGCGAGCATTTAGCCCAGGCAGAGATACTTTTGGTGCTTACAGTGCTATTCAGGCGGTTTCGGCTTAGACTATATAGGACGAGTGACATGGACGTGGCTCCTATGTATGACTCGCTTCTACCCAAACAGTGGGAAGGAAGCAAAGGACTTCGTGTAACGGTCCCATAGATAGAAGGAACGATAGCAGCGATTCTCTTCGGGTCTTTCAAGCCCTTCTATGCGGCCCATACGTCACTGTACTCTATTCCTTGGTTTAGCCTCGGCCTGATGGTAATCTTAGGTGCCACCTCGTCTTGAAAGCCCTACAGCGAGCATCAGAGCTTATACTCAAAGTAAAGACGCTGGCAGGTCTTGGAGGGAGGGAGCCTCATCACATAGATACTTTGCCTCAAAATCAAGAGAAGTGCTTTGCGGATCTCGAGAGTAGAGTGGAGTGCTTGACTGATAGAGTCAGTAGCGCGAGGTAGGTTCGAGCAGCTTATATATAGCCTTTCACGAGAGCTAGGGCGGCCCGCAATAAACAGCTGAAGCATTGAAGTAAGCGTTAGAATAAGGACAGTCAGTCTCTCTATTTGCAAGCTTACAAAACCCTTGCTGGCTTATCGCCTGACAGGCCCTTAAAGTTTTGTCATACGCTTTCATTTATTATAGGAAGAGCATTGGCTTATTCCATGCCTTGTCATAGGGCTAAACCCTGGGGTCCTGTTCATAAGCTGGCCACCCAATCAGTGGCATCCGAAGACCGCATATCCATCGCAACCACCTTGTATCCCTTTCTCGAATCAACCCTCAACCCACTCCTGTCCAATTCCATCGCTTGAAATGGGCTTCGTCTTAACGGTCTGCAAGAGTTGCAGAGGATGATACGGCTCATTGTGAGCCCAGCGGGACTTGCTTACTATCCCCGCCTCCCCCATCAGCCCACCCATACCCATAAGGTCGTACCGATACGAGAACTCATAATCTCGGCCCAACTTGTAATGCGACCGCGCCTTATTTTTCGTGTTCTCGGCATATTCATACTTGCGTCCCTGCATAAGCCGGCGCCGCCCTCGAGCCCTCTCCTCGAGCTCCTTTGCCTTATCGCCGCGGAAATCCCAAGCAATGACAACGGTTTTGACGCGGATAGGCCGTAGTTGGCAAGTCCGTCCTACATAAAGTCTGAATTTCTCATCAGAATGATGGAGGATGTTGAGATACAGCTTCATCAGGGCATCTGCCACATAGCGCAGCCAAGGCATTGAGCGGTTGGTGATGGCAGTCATCGACGAGTATATATTTTCGAATTCGGGAAAGACGTAGGAGCGCAGAGATTTGCGGGCGGTTGCTATGTCGCTTTTAGATAGGACCGTTAGCTTGTCGAGATAGAGGCTCAGGAGGGGGTGTAGGTGCTCGAAGCGTTCCCGGCCCAGAGCCGCAGGCGGTAGCAGGATGGTAACTGCTGTCAGGGCATTCCACTCCGGAAGTAGAGGGACAACCGAAATCTCCATCGTGTAGTTCGCGGCTAGGCGCTTTGGTAGCCCGGCCTTGTATTTCTCAGGAAACAAGGCGAGGAACTTCTTCAGCCGTTTCGCAGCCACCTCGTTCATCTCTTCACTTGCGTCCTTGCAAGACAGCAGAAGGCCCTTCCATTCTTCCCCACCCGCGAGCGGCATCAGATCCATGTACTCATAGATCATGACACGGATGTCGTAGTTGAGGAAGCCGGCATAAGCTTGGGGCGGCTTGGATTCGACATTGTTCAATGCGACGTCAACGCGCGACTTCTTAGGCATGGGTTGGGGGGCAATTGAGGTGCGTGCTTTGCGTTTGGCCATGGTTGCGGAAGTTGCATGTTCTGTGAGGGCGTTGTGGAGAAGAACCTGCAACTGGCAAGAAGATCGCGCGTTTTATAGTTGAGCAAGCAGTAGGTCAGTGCACACTCAATGCATCGCCGGACGTCATTTCGCGCACCGGGAGATCTTCAAACTCTAGGAGCAAGAGAACGCCTCCGGGAAAGCGACGCAGATCTTTGAATACGACTCGACCTCGTCACAAAGCAGATGCGAGCATTATACATCTGTAAGCCCCACAAAGGTCTCTGGAGTGTTAAAATGTGAAACCGGAATATGATCGAGCCATAGCTTATGTTTTATGGAGCTGTTATTGAAGGCCTCGTGCTCGAGGAAGAACTCTCGTCCCGTACTTCGAGTCTTTACGTAAGCCATTCGCTCTGCTCTGTTTCGACTCTCCTATTCTCGGCATCACATCGTATTCTTCCTCTCCTCCCACCAAATATTAGTAAACCCTCAACAACACAAAGATAGATACGTACCGGAAACCACTGCTTCCTCCCTGCAGGTTCATCCTCGACGAACTGCTGCCAAACGCTATCGCTCGTAAACGCCGTCAACTTGTTGTTCACATACATCATCTTCCGTAACGCTAAGTACGCCCCCCACCTACCCCGACGAGCTCACAAAGCTACACTCGCCTTGGAGTCCTCGCCCAGCCGCCATCTTGTACCTAATTATACTCACCCTGTGTCTCTCATACGTCGGTGCATGGATCTCGCTGTAATGAATTATAAAGTTTAGGAAGGGGATGTAAAACGAAACCAGATTCGTGAACGAGAGAAGAGCAATCATCATTTGAGAGGAGTTGTAAGCCTACCTAGTAGATGAGCAAGAGGGAGAGCGACCCAGAACTCCAACGTATTCCACGAGCATATACCTATCACACCTAGATACCAACCCAATGAAATCCTCGTACGCCAAACGATATGATCATACATACATCGTTCCTCAGCTGGACCAAAACCAGCCTTTCTTCTTCTCGCCGTCTTTCTTCGGCGCGGACGGGAACTGTGCCTCCTGCATAGCCTTCCAAGGGTCTTGTTGCTGCTTATCGGCATCTTGGCCGCGCTGCGTGTGCAATGTTTCTGAGCTTTCTTCTCGGCCATCGGCGAAGCGCTTTTTTAGCACGACCTTGGTCGTTACTGTTCCGTCAGGGGCTACCGTACGCTCCGTCGTTGTGAGAGTAGATAAGATCGAGGAGCGGCCATCCTTCGCAAACTCTGCCGGCGCAGACACTGGACCGAGCAAGCGCTCGTAGGCATCCAGTTCTGTCTCCGGCATGCCCTCCGACCACTTCTCTTGCTCGACCTTGGGAGAAGGAGGTTCGTCGTGCTGATCCTCATGGTCGTGGCTGTACTCATAACTAGGCTCCTCACTCATCTCTTCGCCTTCCCAAGGTACTCTCTTCGGATACACTGGTCCACTGTGCCGTGGACCACCCTCAGGGCGTGCGAACTTGGGGTCCCAGAAGCGGCGCGCCCACTGACTGTAACTCATATTGCTTGACTGGCCAAGCTCCTTTGGCGAAATGAGCGGTGCTCCTCTTTCGGCGCGGACGAGGTCCTCGTATGCGTCTCTCCACTGTACACCGGCTCCCTTGAGATCCTCGCTATTTTCTAAAGCGGCCGGGGAATACGAGCGCTCGTTGAACGTAAAGGACCTGGGAAACATCATGCGGTTGACCTCGTCTGCTATCATGTCTGTGAGCTCGTCGAATATTGTGACTGATCGATCGTTTGCCGGGGCTGTTTGACTGGGTGCATCGGCTGGCGGCGGCCAGTTGAATGACCACCTCCATACTTTGGGCTCCCCTTCCTCGCTCCGAGGCAACTCTTCGTTCATGCGCTTCTTGATCTCCTCCCACTTGGCGTGGATCTGCTGCCACTCGTCTTCCGCCTGTTTCGCATCCTCTTCGTTCCTGCGGCGCCATCGCCGACACACCCGCCTATGATGCGATCTTTCTTCCGAAGAGTGGTCCTCCTCGTCGAAAGGCCTTGGAAACCCCCAGCTCCACGACCAGCCCCATTGCTGGCCTTTCTCGTTGCCGACCTTCTCCACCAGCTCGGCGTGCTTCCGTGAGTCCGCCTTCTCTCCCGTGGTCCTCCTGGCTCTTTCAACTATTTCCTTCCTGAGCGCATCCGCCTGGCGATCAAGCTGCATAAGCTCTTCTCCCTTCTCCAGCACCGCCTGTAGGTCGCCGACCCGGTAGAGCTCGCGCCCTTCGGATCGCAGCTTTGCCATCTCCTCTTCGAGCTTGAACAGTTTGTTGCATTGTCCCTTGTGCGCACGGCCGAACAGACACTGTTCGCGGGCGTGGTGTGCGTTGTTGAAGTTCGCGATAGTCGCCGGTAGTGTGAATACCGTGTTCAGCAGGGAGGAGGCTTGAGAGTCTGCGAAGCGGCGGAAGGCGATAAAGGGATTGTCTTCGGGGCGATTTTCGTCGCGGCGCGGGTCATCATTGTTGGGAGGCATTTTGTATGCGCGTGAAGGATGATGGTGGTTGATGAGTGACGGTTGACGTCTGATGGCGGGGCGGAGCTCTCAATGGTGGAGTGAATGATGTCTACGCGTTAACGTGGCCTGTGCGCATCGGCGTCGGAGGGCATCTAAGCGCCGGCCCGAACCGACTAAACCAACCGTTCATGTCCAGCCATCTCTCCTCCACGCTCCCATCTCAAAACTCGCTGCCATGACTTACCCAGTACACTATGGCGGACAAGTCCCGAGGCTGGCATCTCAGTTTGCCGAGATGAAAAGAGTGCGGCAGCTCAAGCGATACACGAGCCGGTGCTCAAGCCCCCTTCACGTCCTGACATTACACACCGATCACTCCCCTCAGCTACACCGAAGCGGCTCGGTCTAGACCCATCGGCCCAGTCGTCCCGCATGGTCGGTATCAATTCTCAAGGCCTATTGGACTTGGCCTGCAGTTGATGGGCTTGCCGGCAGGGCTGAAGCCACCTCCCTTGAGTTCTTTCAACCATGCCATTCCACACTGATGTGCATCGTATTCCGGTTTATGAAGCTTCGGATTGACCTTCCATTCCTTAACGACCTCACTCCTCTACACTCCGTAACGCATATCTCCCCCTTGCGTCAAACCTACGTCCGCTTATGCAATGAATCCCGCGGACCGAATGCTCTTCACCATGGCACATCTCAAGAGCCGCGAACCAGGCTGCGCCGTAAGGCGCCACAAGATGTCGTTGGCCCCGCGCTCCTATGTGTAGTTGGTAGATGCGGTTGATTGGCTGGTTATACGCCACTCAGAAGTGAGGGGTGAACTCCGTCGCTAACTAAATCAATTGGTTGCAGGAGCGGGAAGGCATGCCCTACACAAACTGGTGAACATGGCGGCAGAAGAGACTGAAAAGCCTGTCCCCTTCGAATTGCATATAACGCCCGATGCTTCTTTGCATTCGATACTACTGAACAGACAAAGCCGATGCGATGACGATTCTAACTCTAGCTCAGTTCATCGAGCTTGCTGGACTATCTAGTATCCTTTACATCATTTCACTTGCCATTTATCGTCTCTACTTTCATCCTCTCGCAGGATTTCCAGGACCAAAGCTCGCTGCTGCCACTCAGCTGTACGAGCTCTATTTCGATCTCTTCAAACGCGGACAGTTCATCTGGGAACTTCAACGTATGCACAAGCAGTACGGTATGTCTTTCAGCTCGCCATGGCTCTCCAGCAGTTTCCTCAACGGAATTTCTCTCGAGCAAAACTATTTGTATTTCCACTAACATTTTTTCCAGGCCCAATCATCCGTATCAATCCAGATGAACTCCACATCAATGATCCCGAATACTACGATACCATTTACTCGGGTGCCAGCCACAAACGCGACAGATACGAAAAGTGGCAGACGGTGTCCGGTACAACGCAGAGCGTGTTTGGAACCACGGAACACGACCTTCATCGGCCAAGGCGCGCCGCCTTGAACCCATTCTTCGCGAAACGATCTGTTGTCCGCCTTGAGCCCCGCATCACCAACAAGGTTTCCGTGCTATGTGAAAGGCTTGCTCAAGCACTAAATGAAGGCACGATCCTTGAGCTTTGTGCTGTGTTCGTGGCGCTGACAACCGATGTGATTTCTGACTACTGCTTCGGAGAAAGCTACGAGTATCTACTCCAACGAGACTTCAAGAAGGATTGGAAGGAGACCATGGAAACGCTAGCCGAGGGTGGTGTCTTCCGACGTACAGTACCCTGGCTGGTCCGTTTAATGCAGCGTCTGCCGCACGCCTCCGTCCTTAGGCTCATGCCAACCATGAAGCTGCTGATCGACTTGGAGAAGGACATCTCCAGGAAAGTCGAGGCCATTATGTCAAGAACCTGCAGTGCAGAAGACAAAGAAACCGTGGAGGAGAAAGACAGCATCTTCAAAGAGTTGAGAGACAACGCGGACCTTCCCCCAGTAGAGAAGAGCGTATAGCGGCTAACAGAGGAAGGCATCATACTGATTGGTGCCGGGAGCGAGACGACGGGGAAGGCGCTGGCGTACACGACGTTTTACATTCTCGATACTCCAGGCGTCCTCCAAAAGCTGAGAGATGAGCTTACGAATGCGACACCGCACAGCACGGACATTCCAACTTGGACTGAGCTAGAAAAGCTTCCATATCTGACCGGAGTGGTCATGGAAGGGTTGCGGTTGTCGTTCGGCCTTACTACCCGGCTGCCAAGAGTCCCTCATGAAGCCCTTATTTACGGCGACTGGGTCATTCCTCCTCGGGTAAGTAATCATGTGCACGAATAGAGCCACACCTACTAACGATGATAGACTGTTGTCAGCTCAACCACGTTCTTCATCTCCACGAACCCTGACATCTTCCCCAAACCCTTCGCGTTTAAGCCTGAGCGGTGGGTGCGGAAGGATGAGCGACATAGGCTGAATAAGTACATCACGAACTTTAGTAAAGGAACAAGAGCTTGTTTAGGGATCAAGTAGGTCGTGCGATCACGCATCTAAGGAACGGGAAACTGATTGGAGGGCAGTCTGTCCTATGCGGAATTGTACCTGACGATCGCAGCGGTGTTTAGAAGGTTCGACTTTGAGTTGTATGAGACGACTGTGGACGATGTGCGGATGGTGAGAGATGCGACGTTCCCAGCGCCCAAGGCCGACTCGCAGGGTGTTAGGGTCATAGTCAAGCGCGAGGTCGAGGTTTAAGGCGCTATAGAATTCAGGTCCTTTATGCTGCAAGCGGTGAGAGTTACAATTCTTCCTATTTCCTTTCCAGCATGGACTCCCCTGCATGTAATATGTTTTCTTTAGCGTTCCAACATTCCTGCACATCAATATATGTTTCCTCAGCGCATAATCTTGGTTTCCTTGGCCGCTCTTCCTCGCCGCATCCCGTGACCCATCCAAAACCTATCCAAGCCAGTCCTCCGCTCGACAAAACCCTCAGCCCAGCCCAATTGCATGATCAACATCGCCCCTGTCCCACCGACGTCACCATGCGAGCCAAGCCGCCAAGCGATCCAAGCCGCAATACGAAACATCAAACAACGCGCTCCGCCACCGCTTCCGCCTCTGTTTAAAGGCCCAAGGAGCGGAGAGTGCGGAAGACAAGGCTTGGGCACAGTGCTGGTACGACCCAAGCTGTCACAGCAAAACAACTGTATGCGAATCTTAGAGTCTGGTTGGGGTACGGCGCCTCGACCGTTCCTTGGGACGTTGTTTCGGGAGCGTCAGCGCCGTCTTTGTGCGTTCTTGGGTTGTTTAGTTGATGGCTCGGCTTTGCTTGCTGACCGTGGATCCATATAGTGTGCTTGGAGCTAGATTGGGCCGCGATCGGTACCACGATAATCCCCGCGGTACTATATAAACTGCTTGAGCCGCTCTTTACTCTCTGAGCCGCTGCGTCGATCCTCCACAACAAACAAATACAGCATCCCATCTCTCTCAATCCTCCTCTTCCGTACACCAAATCGGACTATTTCTAACATGCGCCTCACCGTCGTCATCACGACACTGATCGTCGCCCTTACTTCCGCCCTTCCCGACCCCACGCCCCAGGGCTACACGGGGCCTTGCTCGGTGACAGACTGCGGGGTTAGTCATTTGGATTGCAGGAACAAGGGCAACTTGTGTGTGCCATGGCCGAGCACGGATCCGGCGCTCAGAAAGGGATGCACGTGTAGTCTGGGGTAGAGAGGATGCAGACGGCTGAAGGGGAGAAGGTGAGTAGAGAATAAGTGGGAAGGGGTTTCGTGGCTGCGCTTATGTGTATTTAGGGAAAACAACGGCGAGATGGAAAAGAGACACTTGAGCGTTACAAAGGACGAATGATACCAGCATATTACAATCGCTGTATCTTGCATTACTCCAGTCAAAAGTTCTCTATGGCTAGTACTTTTCTGCTCCCATTATCTTTGTCCCCGTTCTTCGACCATCTTCAGCCCCTCTATCTTATGGCGGCACTATCCCCAGCTTGCAACCTCGCAGATCCTCCCCCTCTCCATTTTCCTCGTCCAGGTCCTTAAGCCAAAACACCAAACTCGGCCACCTCCAAACATCCTTCCCATTCTCCGCGTAAAACACACTCACCTTATCCACCGTCTTCCGCCCCAGCTGCCTCCTATGCTGAGCTAGCAACCACGCCGTCCCACCGCCATTCGGCGTTCCCAAGATCGCTTGTCCCTCCTCACTCTCCATCCCCAACGTGATCCCAGGCCAGATGTCCAGCTTTTCTATGCCCTGCTTGGCCAGGACGTGCTTGAGGACCGATATAGTGGCCATGTTCTGGATCGCATAACGAATGATGTAGTGGAGATTCGGTGGGACGTAGACAGCTGGCTTTAGGAGCTGCAGAAAAGCGATATCGGACCAGTGATGTAGCGGTGGGTAAGTCGTCACAGGTGGATCGTGCAGGACGCCCGTGTACGCGGGCGCGTGGTTCGAATACGCGATGAGGACCCCCTGTTCGCTGCTCACGAGCTGGTGGAAGTGTGCTTCCGTTGCGGGATACTGGGTCTCATCTACCACGCAGTCCTCGGCATGCACATGTTGCATTGAGACGTTCTTCCCGTCTTCGTGGGCTAGCTTGTCGTCTACACCGAGGCTGCGCAGACATTTCTGAAGAGGGGCGATGGTGGGGCGTGGGGTGGAGGATGCGAGCTGGTCGACGTATCCGTGATTTTCTAGGTCTGGGTAGGTTGTGAATGGGCTTTGGGTTGGGGGTTGGGGTGAGGTGAGGAGGTGGAGGAGGTGCTGGCCTTTAAGCACTGCTTCTGTGTATTCGAGAGCGGCCATGGATTGGAGGGCGGGCGCTGGGTTGAGGAGATGGAGAAGAGGAGTTAGCCTTTGCACGGTGGTCAGGCATTGAGAAGTAAGGCCCGTTGGTTTGCGCGAAGGCAAACGCCGCTCGCTTTACATGGTTGTGAAGACCTCTCACTTTAGCAGACGGTGGGTGCACACCGCGGAGTGAATGCTAGAAAATGACATTTAGCAGCGATGTTTTCCTTCTGCCACTTCCTTCATCTTCTCTTTTCACTACATCTGTCGGCGCTGTAAGCTAAGATTTGGAAGAGTGGAGCCTGTGTAGAGAAAATGGATCCACTTTAACTAATTTCTAGCATATCTAAACCCCAGAACTCTTTCTGAGGCGTTAGCCATCTACAATGAGTCCGGTTCGCGAAGGGCCTTTCACAGAGTTCTGTGACCTGTCCCCAAGCTAAGTCATTCAGCACAACCTAGCTCGCGCTCACCTCGCTCTTCCAACCCAATTGCAAGTTAAGTTGAATGACTTCTCCACAAGGCCACACTCTCAATGCTTTTTGAGGGCCAAATGTATTGCGAAAGGAAAGAAACTGCTCCAATTGACGCTTGCCGAGGTGCGGGACTTTGGTCCAGAGCCTCGTTACAGCGACGCCTTATTCGCTACTCTCACCCAAACAAGGAAGTGAAAGAGCCGCCCGGCTAGCTGCGCAGATGCGCCTAGTGTCCCGCCCATTAAATTGCTCCCGCCGGAGCTCGACAACGCACCACCTCACTCGACGTACCAGCAAAGCAACCACGCCCGCGCGGGAGCTAATCGAACCGCAAAACCTCCATTCAGGCCAGATGTCGTTCTTCGAGCGCCTGAATTACGATGTGCGTGTCCTCGTCTACGAGCACATGGACGATATCCCGCCTCTGGGTCCGGGAGCCATTTACTCGGGCTTCATTCTTGCGTGCCACCAAGCCAAACGAGAAGTGGAAGAAGCCGCGGCAAAGGCGGTCAGCAAGCTCTTGAAACATTGCAAAGACGAATGCGCCGCCGGGCGCGAGGACGGGCAGGTATTCTCCTGGCCGTGTATCGACATTGGGATTCCGACAATCACGGCAGCCAGCAACTTTACTCAGCTTCGCACGATCACAATCACCCTTCCATTCTCGGCCCTACAGGGGTTCGGCGGTTCCTACGACGTTCAGGGGTTTCACGGAGTGTTTTGGCCACTCTATCCCATATTCAGCAAATACTTCCAGAAGGTGTCCGTCCAGCTCATTGACCTTCCAAGTCACCTTCCAAGTCGTAAGCCTTTGGATCGTGAATATTTCCGTGACTGGGTGAGAGAGTTGCTCAGCGACATAGCTGCTGAGATCCCCTTCTCTCGGTCTCGCGGCTTTGGCTTTCTTGCCAATGACAAAGCAAGAAAAGCTGCGAAATATGCGGCGCCCATCAAAACCAAGCATATCTCCTTCTACTGGGATACCCGTGACGGGGCAGATAGGGCCGAAGACGTGGAGTTGCGGGGCGTGCGCTATCGATACGATGCCGACGAGAGGAAGAAGTTGGGTAAGGAGCTGAATTCGCAACTGCCCATGCAGTACAGGGTCAGCGACGAAAAGGGGAAGGTGGAAGAATGGGGGCTAGTCAGCACCAATTGGTGGTCGCTTTCTAAACGTGAGAACCCGCGCGTCTTACTTGGCCAGGAAGAGGGCTTCACGCACACGGAGTGGCAGTTCTGTTATAGTAGCGGAATTGGAGGCAAGATCAAGCCAGACATTGAGAAGATGCAAGAGACGATTGGGGACGACTGGGCTTGAAACGATTCGGGCGACTCCGAGAATGAGACTGAAGATAAAGAAGAGGGAGACGGAAGACGAAGGAGCCTTGGAACAGACGTGGTCTGCGGGGCGCAAGAAGACGACGGAATGACAGTGGGTGAGTAGGAACCTGCGGCTGCGCAGTGTAGAGCAAGCTGGAGTGGTCTAATCACCCTAGATTCTGGGGCGATTCTGATAAGGATAGTGAGGCATTACATGTCTAAACCAGAATTTAATAGTCCTAAATTCAGCGCGGCGACTGTGACTTCGAAGTCGTGTATGTGAAAAGGAGACAGTGAAAAGGAGACAGTGAAAGGTGAAAAGAAGACAGGTACTGACCTTCTCAGACCCGTGTTCCCTTCTCGCTCTCTTAAAATCCTCGATAAAAGCAGCTCCGTAGCCTCTTTGGCAACCGCAAAAGCAACCGCGATGTCTACATCGACCTCAATCACAACGCCCCCCCAAGAGGGACCCTTCTTCTCCCACCTGAACTACGACGTGCGCATCACCACCTACGAGCACATCGACGACCTCCCGCCATTCGCCCGACAAACCGAGTTCGCCGGCTTCTTCCTCTCCTGCCGGCAGGCAAAGCAGGAACTAGAGGAAGCCGCAACCTTGCGTCTCACGAAGTACTTGAACCAATTCAAAGCCGAGTTCGAGCAAAAGACCGGATTCACAGTCGGCATCCCTACAATCTCTACATTCTACGACCTCCGCGTTCTCAAGATCAATCTCCCCTTCGCTGCCATCCAGGACAAAAACTGCTCGTCGTTCTCTCCAGGCGTCCTCGGTGCTCTCCTTCCACTCTCCACCAAGTTCTTCGACAAACTGTACATGCAGTTTGTCTACGATCCTGAGCCGATCCCACACCGTCGAGCGCGCATATCTTAGTATTAGAGTAGAGATAGCGCTCCATAAAATCGCCGCAGTGATTCAACGCTGCAATTGCGGCGTCGAGAACGTCGTTGTCGTCCTCGGCGACGATGACCTCGCGGAACTGTTTGCCTTCTCCCCACACACAACCCGTAGGAGGATCCCCGACAAGCTCATGCAGCGCATCAACACGAAGCAGATATCCATTGCGTGGGACTTGCGCTATAAGCAAGAAGGCGCAGGCATCGATGTCCCGCTGAATGGTCGCCGATTCGGGTGTGACGAGCTTCCTTCTTTCTATTATATTCACGACGGTGCGAAGGAGGTTGGAGAGACGGGATTGGTTAGCAAGGCCCGATGGCCGCTGAGCGAGCGAGAGCAGGTGTCGAAGCTGTTCTGGTCTAATGAAGTCGTGCATTACTGTTCCAGCCTTGGGCTGGGTGGGGAGATTGAGGAGGCGTTGGAGATTTGAAGAAGCGCTGGACATTCCGTCCATCTTCCTCAAAAAAGAGTGACGCTCACGAGCTACGATGCCTTGGTAGGGATCAAGGGACGGAATGGGTAAGGAATAGGCTCGAGTCCACATACTCCGAGCATAGCAAAGAGATATGCATCGGACCGCTTGAAATAAGCTTGTCCACACGCCCTCACACAGAACGACAACCCATCGTGACCAAGTTTGTTTGCGTCCTTGGCGAGGACTAGTGAATTCCGATCTTTCACATTCCTACGTGAATAGACATCTCTCCCGTGCCCATCCCGACGGCAGTGAAGTGGTGTGGATCGCCTTCGGATCTATCCTAGTACATCAATACCACCGTCGCTTACGTCATTTCGAAGACATTGATGCCCACGAATTGAGGGTGGGCCAACGTGGAGCAGGGTTCTGCGCGGGGGCCTTCTTGCGGCTAGCCACTCAATCCCGATTCCGATTGGGAGACCACCTTCTAAACACGAATTCCCTAACCGAGTAGCTCTTCAAGATTTTGCCGACGTCTAGCTTCGAGACCGGCTTTTCGCGGCCCTCATCCCAGGGTGGCGGTATTTCCACATACACCAGCATCAGGGTCTTGTGTACCTGACTTTGCACCCTGTTTAGGCGGTGAAACCACCACCAATCCTTCTTCTCCTTCTTTTTGCACTCTGCTACCCGCTCAGGACTCTCAGACCAGTAAGGATGCGAATAAGATGGAACGATCATGATGGCAAATTCGGCGTGGTGGAAGGCTGGGCCGCGGAGATAGAGGAGATAATCGCAGGCGAACTTTATGCCCGGACGGACAACCCAGCCCAGAGAGCGGAAGTGGTGAAAGACGACGTACTTTAGTAGGAATGGGTTGTCGGGAGGGATGGGTGAACCTGCTGACCGGTCAAGAAGTTCGGGGCAACTGAGTGCTCCAACGCGCCATGAATATAAGCTTTGTAGATGTGCCTCGGCGTGGGACGGAAGAGGAAATTCGGAGTAGGTACAGAAGAGGTGTAGAAGGTATGACGAATTATTTGGTGGATCGGCGTCCTGGCAGATGTCAAGAACCCCCAGGACGTAGTTCAAGAAGAACGCTTCTTCGAACGTAAGTTGAAGATGTTCTTGATCCCCAATCTCTGCACCGAAGGACGGCATCTCCTCAGCGATAACTCTATTAACTTCTTCGATGATGGAAGGGTTCTCGACTGCGGCAACGTCTCCTAAGGGAACACCAGCATCCGCAGGGTACAGCGTCCCTCTCGGCGATTCGGTCACACTGCCGTTCTCCACTAACTCTTCAAGATCTGTCTCGGCATCGAGCTTTCCCTCTTCACGCATTTGCTGTTCGATAGCTTCCCGCTGGGCTTTTGCCCTCTCTAGCTTGAATTGTCGACGCTCTTCCCGCCTGGCTCGAGTGACTTCTTCGCTGGTGGTCGCGGCCTCAATGCCCCGCTTTCGCTTCTCTTGATCGAGCCATCGAGGCTCACTTCGACTGAGCGAGCCAGAGCCCCAGAAGCCTTGCTCCCACAGTGCGCGGATCGATTTTGGGTCGGTGACATGGATGGATTGCGTTTCCGGTGAGAAATAGGCTTTGTGGACGACTGAGTGAGACCTTGGAGGCCAGAGGGAATGAGAGAGCAAAGTGATTGCAATCCTTACAATCGAGATTGGATTGTGCGGAATGAATACGGGAAGCGGATAGACTTCAAGAGGAAGAGGTTTCGAATGAACCTCATTGTAGTTAGGGCGCTTTGGCCGTGGCTTCCTCACTTCAGTATTTGATCGACTCTGAGGCGATGAGTTGCCTTTCAACGGCTGCGCATCCGACGCTTGAATCTGAACGCTCGCCGCCATATCCGGCTCAGCCCCGCTGTGCTGGTATGAATCTGCTTTGGAAGTGAGTACGAGGATCGTGAGGGTAGAGCGAGGTGCAGCGAGTTTTATGAAGCTCTCAGATACCGTTGTAGTCTATTAAATTCGAGACAGCATAGAACACAGGATCAGGCAAGTGAATGACTGGTCCGGCGTCTGATATGGAAATCTAAGTTCATCATGAAATGAGCGTAGAAGGAGAAATTTGCACTTACAGAGCTATGTAGCGTTGCCACCTTAGTTGTTGATGGTAGAGCACATGTTTGCGAAGGGAGATAGTGAGGTTGTGGAGTGCAAAGCTGGCAGAGTCAGAACCTTCATGGTTCTCGCGGAGCGCCAAGCCTTTCTGAATTCTGATTGGTTTGCCCATACCTCTTTCTCGGGGCACCCATTGACACCCTCAAAGCGCAACATCGGTCTGAGCCATAGCACCTTCTTCCATGACACTGCTGTAGAAATTGCCAGTAAGACGAGCTTTCCCAGGAGCTCGTGGATCTCGATGATGTAATCATGAACGAGCTTAGCTCAGGCTCCGGACGAAAATGCTGCATATCTCATCAACGCCACTCAAGGGATCGCGCACAGACGGTCTCTCACTTCTTCATAGAGCACTTATTCAGACAACATTTACATCCTGGCAAGTAATAATGCTATCCACCGCTCGGTGGTCGTTGCGACTACCACGACAGTGCAATCGAGCTATCTCCACTCGAAACAAGGCTCCACTTCTCGGGCCCCGTGGCTCTCTTCGTCGAACCCCTCCTCCGCAGAGAACAATACCCGGAAATCCGTGGTACTCGTCCAGGCAACCACAGCAGCCGCCGTCCTCGAATAAGCCTGAGAATCGGGCGCCCAACAAGCCTTCGCAATCTCCCCCGAACGAGCCGTCCAAAGTCGAAGCCGTATCTCACGCTCTCGCACAAACGCCCGACGCCGACAACAACCTCGTCACGCCCGTGCACATACCCGAAGATGCCAATGGCGTCCTCAAGGAGACCCACCCCGCGATGCGGATATTGGAGAATTCGGCGATTGTGGTGCAACGGCAACTGGAGATGATGAACGTGTTGATGGGATTCGAGCAAGCGAACCGATATGTGATAATGGATCCGCATGGGAATCATATTGGATACCTAGCGGAGCAAGAGCATGGATTGGGTAATGCTATGGCGCGGCAGATGTTTAGGACGCATCGGAGCTTCACGACGCATGTCTTTGACCGGGAAGAGAAGGAGGTGCTGAGGTTCCATAGGCCATTCAGCTGGATAAGCTCGCGGATACGCGTGTATGATGCCATAGGGAAGGATATGAGCGCATACACCTCGTCGGTCGCGCTGCAGGGCACGAGCGCGAAGAGTGTGGTCAATCAGACAAACGCCAGCGTATCAAGCCTGCCGTTGTCTGAGATGAGAGTCATCGGTTCCGCAGAGCAAGAATGGGCGCCCTTACGACGGAAATACAACCTTTTCCTTGCTCGCCATCTCGAAGACATGTCTACTGAACCTGGAACTCCGCAGCTGACATCTGGCGATCTACCGTTGTCAAAATCCAAATCCCTCACGGTTGCAGAAGGTGACAACCGCGAGATTGGCATGATACAGTTCGCACGCGTCGATGAGCCCTTCCTTTCCTGGGACTTCAGCTTGATGTCAGAAGACGGGCGTCTAATAGGCTCGGTCAACCGCAACTTTGCAGGTTTTGCCCGAGAATTATTCACAGACACTGGCGTATATGCGCTCAGAATGGATGCCGCGGGACTGGCTGGCGAGCCGTCGCATCTCATCTCCCGTACTGGAGAGAAAGGAAAGCCGTCGCTAGAGGGAGATCCTGGTATGACGCTCGATCAGCGCGCTGTCATGCTCGCGACAGCTGTCAGCGTGGATTTCGACTACTTCAGCCGGCATAGCGGATCAGGCGGTATGTGGCCCATGTGGATACCGTGGTGGGGCGGAGAAGCGGCTGGTGGTGCTGCTGCCGGCGAGGCGGCCGGCGCTGGTGCTGCGGGGGCCGGTGCTGTTGGTGCCGCTAGCGAAACAGGTATTGCGAGCGAAGCTGGAGCCGCCGCACGAGGCTTGGGATCCGCTGAGGGATGGGCAGCTGGCGCGGGCACGATGGCAGGCTATGAAGCAATGCAGAGGTCGAGAGAGGCAAGACAGCAGCAACAAGAGGAAGCCGATCCTCAGTCGCCACAAGCGGGAGAACAACCGCCCTACCCTCCAGAGCAACAAGGCGCTCAGTCGGAAGAGGATATATGGAACCACGATGATGACCCTTGGGGCAGTGGAGGCTCAGGCGGGGGCGGAGGGGATGGTGGAACTGGAGGTGGAGGAGGAGGCGGATCTGACTGGAGCGACTGGTTCTAAACACGTATCATGACTCATGCACTGTACAATTATCATGTCAAGATAACAGAGGCCTCAGACGCCAGACGGCCTGGTTAGAAGTAATCATTGGAAACCAACTTAAATTTCTAATCCGTTGCAAGCATAATTCCAGCGAATCCCTATCCGCCTGCCCCTCGATAGCTTAACCCAAAATAGAATCATTCCACGAAGACAAAGGACCCGGGACCGCGGGATGCTTAAGATCGCCACACTCATGAATGCACCATCACGTGGACTAGCGCGCGGGCCATCAGATTCCCGCTAGTGAGATCGGCGCCATGACCGAACACCGACCATCTACATTTCCGTTCACTTTCCGCAGCGCTCACCAGACCCAGAACCACGATTTCGAATCCCACAAAGCAGCTCCTGGGCATACCGCTCGCAAGATTCTTCCGTCCTCTCCCAACTAACGTTTCCTCCCCGCCGAGTCCTCCCAGAATCCCGCCGAGCTCCCACCGTGACAAACCCCCAGCACTCCACTCCACCGCTCTCCCCCGTCAACCATGAACTCCTGGGGCTCGAAACGCCTCTTCAAAGAATACAGAGGCCTCTCGTCGGACCCGCCGGACGGCATAACCGCAGGCCCTGTCTCAGAAGACGACATGTTCGTCTGGGAAGCGCTGATCCAAGGACCCGAGGGCACGCCGTTCGAAGGCGGCGTCTTCCCCGCGGAGTTGAAGTTCCCGAAGGATTATCCACTCGCGCCGCCGAAGATGCGGTTTTTGGTCGAGATGTGGCATCCGAACGGTATGTATACGATCTCGACCCCCACCCGGCGCTCGCTCGAGCTCGGAATATAGCATTGTTCTTGTGCTAACAAAGTGTGGTAGTATACCCTAATGGCGAAGTATGCATATCGATCCTACATCCTCCCGGCGATGACCCGCACCACTACGAGCAAGCCTCCGAGCGCTGGTCGCCCATACAAAGCGTGGAGAAGATATTGATCAGCGTGATGAGCATGCTGGCGGAGCCGAACGATGAGAGCCCTGCGAACGTGGATGCGGCACGCATGTGGAGGGATAAGAGGGCGGATTATGAGAAGATTGTTAGGGACAATGTGAGGAAGAGTCTGGGGCTGTGAGGAAGCAGTACATGGATGGGTTTCGGGCGGTTTGATTCAGACATTGCATGGCATGCGCGGAGTTGGTGGTCTTGGATTCTGGGAGCAATACAGAGGCTTGGGTAGATCTGTTGTGGTGGGCTCATTTTGCGTTCATAGATGGATGTGCTTGTGCTGTTCATATTGGTTCTCATTCAGTGAGTGGGCACCCGATGCGTCGCTAATCAAGAATATACGGCATCCCCCAAAACGCCACAGACCGCATAACCAAGGGCTAGTTTATGCAACAAATCTGCATCAACTCCTTTCCGCGCCGTCGAAGCTACAGGCGTCCCGTGAGCTTCTCTACGACTTCAAGCTCCGTCACCTCCCCGTAGCCATTGTACGCCACGCCCCTGAAATTCCACTGCGGACATCGCTCCTGCGTGTTCCCGCTCTTATCAGTCGCTCGGCTCAGGATCATCTTGTCCTTGCCCTTGTCAATCCGTACACGCGCCCGCCACAAGCACCATGCCCACTTCAGCTCTCCCTGATCGGCGTCATGGCTCCCGAGCAACTCAGCATCTCGCCAGCTATTGCCGCCGTCGACGCTGACTTCCACTCTCGTGATGGGTCCGTCCGAGCCAGAGGGCAGTGCGTAGCCCTTCACCTCGATTGATCCATCCTCCTCGAGCTGCACCGTGGAGTTGGATTTCGGGACCCCGATTACAGAGTTGATGGGCATGTCCTGGATCGCGGGCACTCTGTCCCACCACTTCTCCGCCTCCTCTTTCGTATCTGCCTCCGGGGGCAGGATCTTGTAATCGTGTCGCTGGTAGTAATTATTGCATTCAGTCATCTGCACCGTAATCCGATCGAGCCACTTCACACTGCGCGCGCCCGCGATGCCCGGCGTGACGATCCTGACCGGTGCCCCGTGATTCGGCGGGAGCGGCTTGCCGTTCATCTCCAGCGCGACCAAGATGGCGGACTCAGCGTCCATCGCCCTCGTCAGCGGAATACTCGCGCCATACCACTCGTCGTCCTGCACGGGCGTCTGGAAGCAAGCAAACGCCACATGCGCGTCCTTCCACTTCTCCTTTTCCACCCTGACGCCCGCTTTTTCCAGCACGTCTTTGAGCAGCGGACCGCTCCACTGGCAGTTCATGACGGCGCCGTCGAACCAGTCGACGCCGCAGACTTCCTTGAGCTTCGTGCGCATCGTGTGGCGGCGGTTGCCGGCGCATTGCAGGGCGCAGATGAGCGAGTGCTGTGGGAGCGCTTTGAGGTCTTGTATGGAGAGGGAGAGTTCGCGGTGGACGAGGCCGTAGACGGAGACGCGGTGGCTGTCGGCGTCGAGATGCGGGATTGGGCCGTGGTTTCTGTCATAGCCGCCGGACTCGGTTATGAAACTGCTATTTGTTAATCCCCTGGCCTCTTCCAGGGTTCTTTTCTTTGATAAATGAACGAATTCGGAGTGGATTACCTTGAAACTAGCTTCTCCAGCTCCGGCTCGCGGTTCAGCGGCTTCTCGACTGAATACTCCAGCTAGCCAATGACGTCAGCGCGTCTGCACAAACACACTACCGCATTCGGACAATTGTATAGCACGTACTTGGGCCATTGCTGTGGTTGCGCTGCTGCTTTGGTGCTGGCGGCGATTGCGTGATTGCTGGGGTGAAGGATTAGACGACGGATGATTGTGGGGTGGGGTAGCTTTTAGCGGGGTCGCTGCCGATGATGTAACGGGCGATATACCTAGGTAGTCGGCGACGAGCCGATGCTGATGGTCGGCGAGGGAGCGCTTAGGTGCGGGTCCGCATGGGCATCGACGACTGTGTAAGGAGAGCAGGAGGCTGGGGTTGCTGTCGGAGAGGGGAAGAATAGTGCTGAGGAGAGGAGTTTGCGACATTCCGAGGTGTTCTGACGCGATTTTGCTTCGTTGAGCTGGCGTTGCACGTCACGGTTTTCATCGTGTACATATCCTCAAGCTTAGATATGAACCCCTATTATACTTTGCAGCGTATTGGTGTTCAATGCTCTAGGGCAATTCAGAAGCCGCGTGGTATCTCTGTCGCAAACAATCGACGGGGCAAACTCGGCATGCTTCGATTATTGGTTCAAATGATATCCAATCCTGATGGTAGCCTTTCTTCTTGATCTTCATTTGTTTGCTTTGGCCTCCTGTGTAGTGTACAACCTGCACAGACGAACCCAAAAGACAGTGCAGCCCCCTCAGCATGATTTATGTATCCGCTACCATAAAGCCACCCTGGGTTCCGCCAGGGCAGTAATATAGAGATATAAGTCAGGGCTATAGTAGCTCAGGCGTGAATAATGCTGGTTAAAATGTGGAGCGAAGAAAAGAATGGTCAAGAGGTGAATGCGATGCCAGTCCACGGGTGGGGCTACGCTCGGACTACAAATTATGCCTTCTCTGGTTAGTGGTTCCTTTGCTCCAGGGCTTTCCAAGGTTCTGTCCCGTCTTGCATCAAACTAGCCGCGTACAAGTACTGGAATGCTATAACTAGAGCTGGAAGCATGTGGAAACATTGCATTGCATGTGAGAAGGGTATCTACTGAAAAAAATCTTCGGCATTGGTCTACCCCAATGCACAACATCTACCGGCCATCGCCGCCTTCTCTAGGGAGGAAACTATAAGACCGTGATAGAGCCGATAGCCTATACATCCTTGAGGATACTTACGATCCATGCGAAGGCTTCCCTAGCTTCTAGCAGCCCATATGGCAATGTGAGGCTGAAACAGTGCATCTGTTTCTCCCAGTGCAGCCATTCTCCCTGCACACCCTCTTCCGCCAGCTTATCCCGAAAAATGATCGCATCAGGGCTGAGTATGTCGTATCCACTTGTGATTCCATGCACCTTGATCCCGCTCCTGCCGAGCAACGAGATGTCCGCATTATTCGGCGAGACCCGTCTGTCTGCAGGATCCCAGTCCGCATGCCACGCGCGTGCTGTTTGTCTGACAAATGTGGGTGTGAGAAGCGGATCGAATTTTGCGAGTTTCTCGATATCGGGGTTGTTGCGCGTGAGATCGGTCGAGGGGCAGAGGGCCAGGACGGCGGCCGGGTGTGGTATCCGCTTTTGCTCAGTCTCGCTCGTCGCGGCCTTCTCGTCTTCTCGCAGCGCTTCTAACACCAGCGAGAGCACGATGTTGCCCCCTGAGGAGTCGCCTGCTAGTATCACCTTTTCTCCTAATTCGTTGGCCTTCTCCATAACGATCCGATAGAGCCGCATCAACATGGGAAATGCACTCGGTGCGGGATTATTGGGCGCAAGCGGATACGAAACGAGAGTTACTATCGTGCCAGGTATTTCCATCGCGTATTTGGCGCACACCTGCCAATGCTGAGGCGAGGGCGGGCTTTGCCATCCTCCGCCGCCAAAATAGTATATCCGTCTCGATGTACGAGCCGGCTTTTTAGGGACGATGTCGTAAACGTTGATGTCGCAAACCGTTCGATGTGTGGCGGTACATGTTGCTAGGACGCTCTTGGGGGTTTCTAGCTCTATGGAGCCCTTGGGGTGGTACTTTTTAGGGCGGCCGAGGTGGTTGCGGAAGGGACGCGTGAGAAGTTGGATGAGAAGCATGTACGAGGAGCGGTCGTCTCGCTTCGTTACATGGATTGAGGATCTGGTTGGCGATGAGGCGGACTCGGTGCTCATCGTGGTTATGGTTCCTGTGCGGTGCAGTAGTTCCAGGAAGCAATGTTAGGGTAGGCATAGAGTCTAGAAAGGACAATGAGTCCTTTCAATACCACCTTTAGCTGCAGCCACATTTTCCACACTCCCTAGAGTTTCGCTGAGAGCGGCACGCACAAGCACGCATCGCGGAAGAGCGCGTCACTGTGTCTTTCTCCGATCTCAATGACGTCGCTAGCGCGGCTTAGCGACTCGAGGCGTGCTGTGGCTGATACTGTGGTAGGCTGCAACAAAGTTCAGAGCGGTCGACTACTCTGCAATCTGTGACTTCGCTTGTTGTGTCCGCTTTTGAGATAAACTGTCAAGGATTCGCGATGATGTATGGTGTTGATGTGCGGTTTGGGTTGATCCGCGTCCAGGTCTAGGCCTTGTCAAATCTCGGTCTTGGCACCATCTGGGATCTGATGACGTGCCGTCCATCCACAACCTCTTCGCTAGTCTACCCCTTCATATAGCGAGGTTCACTGCTCCTTCTCCTCAATCTTGGCGGTAAGACTAACGCGCGGCTTCTTACGCCAGCCTTGCGAGACGTGCTCAACGAAGACTCACTCTCCCAACGCCCTCAAACAGCGACAAGCTGCATTCAGCATCATTAAAGCTCAAGTCCAGATCGCGCAAATTCAGCACTCCCCGGCTGGCAGTAATCCTAGGCGGGTAACGTGGGAGGTGGGCCCACAGCGCTGACCCAATTTATTTGCGAGATGAGCGTCGTCACTAGATGTGACCGACAAGTCGAGCAGCGAGGACGGATGGAGCGGAGCCTTGCCAAGAAGCCCATGTTCCGCTCCGCCAACACAGCAAACAGGTTGCTCCGCCTACAAGTCTTGGGGCTTAGGTTCTTGTCTTCTTGGCTCCCCCTCCAAGACCTTGTACTTGGGAGTTCCAACCTATGGAAATGTACACCAAGAAGTCGTCTAGCTCAACCGCTACCGTAGGTCTAACAACCCCCCTTCTCTGCTGCTAATGATAGGTCCGGACAATGACATCTATCTTGGCGCACGTAGTTGTCACAGATGCAGAGGAGAATACTTCTCTGAGGGTGAAGATTAAGAGCGCCCCGTCCCCAACTATCGAGCCTCCACTCAACCTCGGAACAATTCGCCTTTCAGGATTACGATGCCACAGGAGCAGTACCTCACAGATGACGAGATCAGCCGTTTCATGGATGACCTGGACAAAGACGACGATGGAAATATCGACTACTGGGAACTCGAACGAAAGCTCGACCAGGTCCACAAGCAAATAGCCCCGAAAGCCCAACCACACAACCTTCATCACAAATCACGCGGAGACGAAGCACGTCATCAATTTCTTCGGAGCGTCATCGGCACTCGCGAAGACCACATCCCACGCAATGAATTCAAACAATGTGTTCGACGATGGAAGATACCATCCCTGGAGCAGGATCGCAAGGAGGCGAAGGACGAGGATGAATACGTCAGACATATGTCTATTTGGAGACGCATACGAGCGTACTGGGCAGTCCAGGGGCCCGGGATAGCCTTTCTGGCGCTGGTCGTGGCTTTTATGCTCGCTTTTGGCATATGGCAGCTAGTCAAGTACCTCACGTACGACGAATACCGGCCAGCATTCGGATGGGGTGTTGTTGTCTCCAAGACTTCCGCTGGAGTCCTGTATCCCACCTTCTTCTTCCTCATTCTATCCATGTCCCGATGGTTCTCGACCTTCCTTCGACGCTTTTACTTCATCTCGCGGTTCATCAACTGGGATCTTTCTCAGTCGTTCCACATCAAGATGTCCATCGTCGCGTTGTTCTTCGCGACATTGCACGCCATCGGACATCTAACCGGCTCATTCGTCTTCGGAAGCATGGCGAGCCGGCAGCAGAACGTCGCCCTGGTTCTTGGCCAAGACGCTGTGCCTCGCTCATATCACGACTATGTCCTATCCCTACCTGGCTGGACTGGGTTAACTACTCTGGGATGTTTCTATTTGCTTGCCATTCTCAGTATGCCCCAGGTTCGGAAGTGGAACTACGAGGTCTTTCAACTGGGCCATTTGCTCATGTTTCCTATCATCGGCCTCATGATGGCACACGGCACCGCCGGTCTCATGCAGTGGCCCATGTTCGGCTATTGGCTCGCCTTTCCGACCCTCCTTGTTATCGTGGAACGCTCATGGCGCCTCATTGTGGGCTTCTTCCCACTGATCGCTGACCTTGAGCTTCTCGACGACGAAACCGTGGCCATAACGGCGAACATCCCTAAAGCCCGCCTCTGGCGGTACAAAGCTGGCCAGTACGTCTTTGTGCAGGTCCCGAAAATCTCTTGGGTCCAATGGCATCCGTTCACTGTGTCGACTTGCATAGGTAATACTATGAAAGTTCATATCAAAGCAGATGGAGACTGGACCGACGCGCTACGTGGTCTCGCCAAGGGTGAGACACGCACGCCAATCAAAATCGGCCTCGACGGACCATTTGGCGCACCAGCTCAGCGCTTCTACAATTTTGAATACAGCATGGTCTTTGGCGCCGGCATCGGCGTGACGCCGTTCTCCGGTATCCTGACCGATCTCCAACAGCATGAGCTTGAACGAGTCAAGTCCGGCCAGGGCGCGCCTGATCCGTCATCGTCCCCATATTCGGACCATCGCCGTATTGATTTCCATTGGATGGTGCGCGACAAGAACAACCTTCTCTGGTTCTCCGATCTCCTCAACGAAGTCTCCCGTGCCCAAATGCTCGACCGCACATACCTCGACATCCGCATCCAGACCTACGTCACGCAGAAACGCAAAGAGATCTCCACGCATGTCTTCCGCTGGCTTCTCGAGAAGCACCGCACCGACCAGCATCCACGATCCCCTCTCACAGGCCTAATAAATCCTACGCATTTCGGACGCCCGGACCCTAGAAGTATCATGGAGGAGCATTATCAAGATATGTGTAAGGTATTTGCGGAGAAAGCGACTGACAAGGAGGGAAGGGCGAGGGAACAGGAAGAGGAAATAAAGGTGGGCGTTTTCTTCTGTGGGCCTCCAGTTATTGGCGTGCAGCTTGCGGATCGGTGTAGTATGCTAACCGCGAGGGGGAGGCAAGAGGGCAGGAAGGTCGAGTATCATTTCATAATGGAGGTGTTCGGTTGAGATCGTGTTCGTCAATCAAACAAGAAGGCGAACGTGTGTGGTAGTTGGTTCGCTTATCTTTATTAGATTTTATTCACCTAGTCCACCACGGATTTCCTCCCTCGTACCGTCAGGGCTCTTCCTTTCTCCCACTACGCCCTCGTGGTTATCCCCTCTTTCGAATGGGCCAAACCACGTCGATTCGCCTAGCAATGCACACGGCATTTCTTGCAAGTCCCCGGAACAATCGGGTTCAGCTGGCACTATGCTTGCTGTTAGCGTTCACTTTCCGGAGCGGGGATGCTGCAGTAGCCAGCGTACGAAGTGTCGGCCATTCGGACAACGGCGGTTCGGGTGCGAGCCGCATTTGGCGGCTGCGAGAGTGGCCAGCAGGGCGGTGATAATGATGGTGAGAGAGACGCGCATTGTAAATGCGAGGGCTTGTTCGTGCTGAGAGGCTGGTTTTGAGTGGGAGAGGTGATGGGACTGAGGCGATGGTGGATAGTTGGGATGGGGAAGGGTATTTATATCTGAGGAGAGAAGAATGGGGGCTTTTGGGAGGGTTCGGGGAGCTTGGAATGAGGCGCCTAGCTATGCAGACGCTGTTGAAATTAGTATGGCTAGTTAGTATTTCTCTTGTGTCCGTCCAGCTCCGTTTTCCCATCGGCTCTAGCTAACTTCCTGACCTGTCTGCAAGATGCGTTCCGATGCCCACCCGCGTCGAATCCGAGCATGACTACTCGAACGGATAGCGACGAGATCTGCAAAGCCTCGTATTCTTCTAACTATGCGGCGAAGAAGCGCGTTGGGTCCCTAGTGTTTGCTACTGAGTATACTTTAGGGCCCCCCACCTTGTGCGAACATGCAAGGTGTTGATGTTGGGTAAGGCGCCCGAGGCGTGCTAAGCTGTATAAGATGTACCTTGCTGTTCCTGCGTAAGATTGTGGGGAAGATGGATGGGCGGAAAGCTTGCGGATGGGGTATGTGCTCTTTCTGTGATGTATTCTGGGGTTTCGGGAATGATTTGGATAGGGGTTCTAAGGGGTCTGCGATCGACACGGTTTTAGTAATGGCCATGAAGCAATTCTCATCCCAGCCACTCTTGTGGTGTCTTTTGAAAACCTTTCTATCTCGGAATGTTTCTTCATATTGTGCAGCTTGGAAAATGCCTTTATGACTTGTATGGAGAGCTAGAAAACGCGCGCCGCGTCTTGCTCGATTCCCTGCCTTGGCTTGCGCGCATGGGAATAATAAGCCTACGTAGTCTGAACTGGCAGGAAAGAGAAAGAGGATAAAGTAGTGTTGAATGCGACCTTCTGTTTGTGTGTCGCTGATCATGCTGTAAAATTAAGGAGAGTCGTCTGACTCGAAGGCCTTCACGAGCAGCTATCCTCTATCGCTTACGGCAACCAACAATGCGTCATTTTCCTCCTGGTTTCGCGTAACAGCGGAGACGTAGTGGCAACATACTCAGGATGTGAAAGAGCATGGAAATAGGTTCAACTAAGTGGGCCAGCAAGCAGACCTTTCAGAATCGTTTACCTTTCACTAGCGTTGTTAAGGCACCAAGCTTGAGATGAAGTGAAGATCGTGAACTATGTTCGTCATTACAACACCAACATAAATACGAACAAATATACATCCTCAAACTTCTACACAGATCAGACGCGAGCCCTATTAGCAACCTCGACCATGGCCACCGTCAGCTCTGGCACCAGCGTGGAGTTCCTGTCTCTGCCAGCCGAGATTCGACTTCAAATCTACCGATACCTGACTCCAGTCCATGGCTATATGAGCGACTATCAAGGGATAATAAGCTGCAGGCAGATCAAAGCCGAACTCGAGAAAGAAGTGATGAGACTTATGTCTACTGTCCTCGATAATGTCGCGAGGGAATGGTTCGAGTCCTCCGATATATCCATGCAAATCTCGAAACCATCATCTCTCCCGGAACTTTCCGAAATCACTCTGTCCATTCCCTTAGCCGACTTCGACTCCAGGACCGGCGTTCCATACCCAAAAGCCCACTTATCTAAAGCCCACATATCTCTCAAAGATTTCCACGTCCAGCGACTGACCATTTATCTTTACGGAGATAACAGGGATCAAAGACTTGAACGATGGGGGAGACAACCTCGTGTTCTTCACTATGTATTTTGCGGAGGAATACAGGCATAAAAAGCAACCCCTAGCTAGAGAATTTACCCTCGATTGGAGCAACTATCATGGCGGTGACGACGACGAAGCGGAACGGAAGACAACGGGTGCGGGTAGCATCGTCCTTTACGGAATATTCCGGTGTTGGAACTGTGTGTTCGTCTGTGGGGACGGGTCCTACGTCCTCCAGCCAATGCACCTTCGGCCCGAGAGGATGGGGATGGTCAACGCACCATATTGCGCTATATGGAGTAGGGGAGAGATTCGTGGCATTCACGGGCAACATAATGTTGGTTGGCTTTCGTCATAAGTATGGCGAATTATCTGACTGGCTGATCTGGGTAAACTCATTGAGGGGCGGAATGGCTCATGTAGTGGGAGCTTCATGTCCTTGCGGGACTCCGTTTCTTGGCTTGTATACATAGTATGCGTCCCTGCATGTCATATGAAATAGATGTCTGAATTCATAGCTCGAGTGAATTGACACTCAGCTTGTAATACCTAGTGCGAATATCTCTACTTTAACTTCCTCTTGATGTTAGCATATTTCATGGACTTGCTGCTTCACGGCTCTTTCGTTGGCAAAGCTTTCTTTTTGCTCCAGTTCTTAACAACATCTCTCACTGTGCCGTCAAATGTCTTGCCAACGTCATACTTCTCGTACGCTTTACTTAGCAAAATCGCTTTGTTCTTGTACTTCCCATCCTCCAGCAACTTCTTTATGGCACCTGAAATCTTGTGTGCGCCTGGCTGTCGCACTTTAAGATCGATACCCACTCCGGTGAAGTCGACAAGCGCGTTCGTGGTGGCTTTGTCCTGACCCTCGCCCGCCACAACCATCGGAATACCGAGACGAAGGGCATGCTGCACAGCACCATAACCGCCGTTGGATACGAGAACATCAACCTGAACTCAGTTAGCTGATGGAGTGGAAGCAGAAGTTCGCTCAGTCACTACTTACTAAAGGGAGGAGTTTGTCATACGGTACGAACTTTGCTACTCGCGCGTTCTTGGGGACTACTAAGCCAGGAACGTCTTCCGGTTCCTGGACCACGAATGTTGCGATGACCAACACATCGTCACGATCCTTGAGACCGTCCAGTGTAGGTAGAACCAGGTCTTCCGGCCTCACTTCAACCGTGCCCTGGCTCACGGCAATAATCTTCTTCCCCTCATTTTTCGCGTGAGCAATGTTATCCCACCAACTTGGAAGCTTCAGCTCCTTGTCCCCTCCCTGTTTGCCGACCTTCTTGAGGGCGCCAAAGTACCGCACATTCGGCCTAATATCGCTGCGGGGGAACTCAAATTCAGGGATCCCGAGTGTAAGAAGATGGTCAGGAAGAGCATCCATGGCATGGAGAATATGTGGGTATGAATCGTGGATTGCGCCCATGTCCTTGAGCTTCGCCCACCAGTATTCGTTTAACTCTCGATTCAACTTATCATCGAAGAATTTTTCGTAGGCCTCTCGGTGAACGGCTGTTGCGTTTGAACCGGTATGTGGTGGTTTCCCGGTACGAAAAGGAAACGTATCGTTTGAATCCAGAGTTAAAGGGGCAATCGAGACACCGATACTAGTGTCGGGTCTAATCCCAGGGCTGCCGAGTAGAATAGGGTGATGGCCAGTGACCGTGACGTCGTACAGCGATATTAGCGGTTTGTCCTTTCCATACTTCTCGCGGAATTCCTTGAATTGAACTTGGAGCGTTTCGTGACCATTCGGCATATTATCCACGAGAACTTTCTTCATGATCCAGACCTCTTGCTCGACCCCCGAAGGGAGGGACAAATAATACGCCATATCCTCATCGCTCAACTTGTCGTCTAGACCAATTGTGGGTATGAATTTGATGTTGGGATGCAAGTTAGAGATGTGTTCTTCGAAAACGCGCCCCGTGATGAAATGTACTGGGTAACCGAAATCCGCCAGTTCTACTGCGACTGCGGCGATCTTTTCCACATGCGACCAGTGGGTCGTGCTCGTTACGAAGAGTGGTATTTCTGAGCGATGTGGGAGAGGGTAGGGCAAGAAATGAGAGAGCGGCGTGTTCGAAACGTAGGGTTGGACGGCATCTTGGAAGGCATGAAATGTGTCTGGCGAGTAGAATTGCAGCGCGAAAAGTGCTAGAATCGGGACGAAGCCGAACGACAACAAGCGTTGAACGATGCCCATGGTGAGGAAAGAACGTGAAAAGTCAAACACTCGAAGCGAGAGAAAGAGTTTAGTTGTGAGAGTCAATGCTATGATATAGTAAGTCCCTGAACCGCGCCTTAACTGTCCAAGATATGAGGTTCGCCTGATGACCGGCTGAAGGCTTTCGCGCGACCTGATTGGAGCACTGACTTTCTCAGACAGGCTAAGAGTGTTAGTGCTGACATAAGTGGGAATACCTCAAACCCGACGTGATCAAAGTGCATGCGATTGTAATCGGAGATAAGGGAAAATGATGTAATCCTAATGTTTTGCTGGTTGCGGAATAAGCGAGGGTTTTGCGCATTTAAGCTTATCGCGCGGTCCCGTACTTCTTGCGGTAGGGAGGTCTCTAGATTTAAGGGCTTGCCGTAGGATAAAATTGCTCGTATAGCGAGATAACTATTATGCGTGCTTGTGTACGCACCTGCGAAGACCTCTGGGGCAGCTCTTACGCGCGTCGTTATATCTAGAGAATTCCACACAGTGAGAGCATGCCTCGCCGGTCAAGCTCGGCCGATGTTTCGCTCTCTTGCTTGAGAGAGTGAGCGAATTTCCCCATCTGGACTGAGTTTAGTGAGATTTAAGTGGGCATGTCTGATCGGTGAATGGCATTACACGTGATGCTACGAGCTAACCATTTTGGCCTTAGTGCCCTTCGGTTCGACTTTCCTCAACAAAAACCGGAGCCTAGCCGCGCCACAACCTTCACTCAACAACCGCAACCTTACCCTACCGCTCTCTACCATGCCTCCCAGGACATCTGCCATGGATAGAATCACGTCCATGCTGTCGCGTTACGCGCTTCGCCAGCCGGATAGCTATCCTAGCGAATCCCCGGACGAGCACGCTGTTCCTTCACTTGCGCGCAACGACCCCCCGGTCGCCCCTCAGGCTGAAAGCAAGCTCCTCAGCATCCCGACAGAGATAAGGCTCTTAATATTCAAGAACATGACCCTATCACCGGCATCACCAGACTGTCTGCGATGGATGGGCGCTTATTTCACCTGTCGACAAATTCACCAAGAAATGCGAGATGCGCTCAAGCCTGAACACGACCTCTCGAAGCATCTCAGCAGCATCCGTGACAGTTGGCCACCTGCCCATCCGGTATCCGCCGATCCGGGGCCGCTTCATCAGGTCTTCGGCCTCGTTCAAGACGTCACGGTCTGCATGCCGATTCCACGACCAAACCATCACGGCTGCTTCAGCGCCATATTGGAATCCGTCTACAGCCTCTGGCTGGATCGTCTCTACATTACCATGACTGGCAATGCCCGCGATCGAGCTGTGCTCCCCTGGGGCGATCTGAAGTCGCTCCCTCCGCGTCTTTTCGCTGATTTTGTTGCCAAAGGCAAGGTCAATTGCAGGAGCGTCACGTTCACCCTCCAGGAACTCGCGGACGTGGAAGGGGGAAGGGAGATTGAGACGTCGCTTGAGACTGTGCTCGACGGAACGAACGTTTCTTGCATACTGACTATTGTCCAAGACAAGAGGGAGCGCCAGTCGGAGCGAACTTACTTCTCCGCAATGAGATTCAAGGCGCCGCCATCCGCCGGTACGTCTTCGATGTCAGCCGCGGGACAGTATTAGGCTGGTGGATTTCGCAACTTAGGAAGGAGCGGTGTAGCGGTCGGGCGATGGTGTTCATGGCTTTTTCGGGTAAGACACTAGAGGCCTCCAATGTCACTTCTAAATCTTACAGTCTTTCAGTTGCCGGTTTATGTCTACAGCTTGAGCCCTCATGAGCCCTTCGCGGTTTGATCTAGCTTTCAGCTAGAGTTGGGGATCTAACCATGTCTTCTGAATGCGGTTTTCTATATTCTATTATTTCTATAAGATATATGCCTAATAAGAATTTCTTTGCTTGCTCTGGCCTTTAGCTCTATGCCAAGAGAAAACGCGTGTGTAGTTTGCTACTTGCAGTGCTGACATCATGCATTGACAACGAAGCACGTGAGATCACCAGTGCGTGACACGGAATAGCCTCAAAGAATCGAAGTGAAATACGGCGTATACGGTACTCTCGTGTACTAGTTCCCCGAAGCAGGCGGTAGAGTGGAGCACAGAAAATCCTCGCGCCTTCACAAAGAAGGTAAATGAAGCATCGCCATTAGAGCGATCAGCGATGAGATTTTCAGATTCTTTGGAGTTCTGAAATGCAAAGTCGAGGACGGCGAGACTGAACTCTCCGGGAGGGAGGAGTCAGCATCAGATGAGATAATATATCAGAACGATGATAAGTAAGCCATGGTTGAAACATAGGCAACCGGCAACACGATTCCATATACCTCAGCTAGTATGGAGTGCATGAGAGAACGGAAGGTCAATTCTCCCGGGAATGAGTTGGCGGAGAAGGAGGAGAAGTCGGAAGACAGCATAGCCTAGAGAGATTAGAAGGTGCTTCAAGATTATCATAGGTTGCCTTTCCGAGTAAACGCGATCTGGTTTGCCGAAGTTTGGCACTTCGTCAGATTCAAAGCAGCCTCATCCGAGCAATTACAGAGCGAGGGAAAACTAAAAGCGAGGTGGGTTCTATAAAGAGTATTTCTCCAAATAGTGATGTGAATATTCTCGAAATATTTTAGCGTATATCCAGCCACTTCAACCATCTCCTCATGATAAAGTGATACTGCTACTACCGCTAGGCGTCGGATACGAGCTGTTGGTGAATCCCTCCGTTGCAAGGATCATATAGCTGTGGCGACCGAGATTCATGCCAAGTTTCTGCCACTGGCTGAAGTGCGTTCCAGTAGTGATTGTACCACCTGTGCGCTTCTGTAAAATTCCAAGTGAAGTTAGCGAGCGTTCGTTAACCCTTGGAAGAGGGCTTAAGAAAAAGAAGCAGAATGAAAGTCTGAATAGCAACGCCACGAAGCTCCAGCGGCAAGAAAACGCTCTAATAAAGCCATCCGGGCGCTCGGAACATGAGAATTATCGTACGTACCTCTGACCGCACGGACCAATACTGCATAAAGGTCCGGGTGCCCTCAATCGACGGCTTGTTAACCCTCTGGCTCGTGTAGACACTGTAGTCTCCTTCCTCGGATGTGAAGTTGCCCTTAAATGTCCAAGGCTCGCCGGGCGCGAGAACGTCGTAGTTGTCCACGATGTAGTATTCGATGAGCGGGCTCTGAGTCCAGCCATACAGGGCGAGATAGCCGGGGCCAACGGGGGTGTACGTGCCGCTGTACTTGACAGCCCTGAGTTGAGACGGCTGTGAGTGAATGGTCTTCTTTACGGAGAAGGTATCCCCAGGGGTGTTGGATGCTTTGGACTGACCTCGAGCCACCGGGCTGCCATCCCTTTCCGCAGACAAAGCCTCCTCCACCGGACCATTTCGCCGTATATGAGCCGCCCGCGCCGTTCTGGCAGTTGTGGCTACCGCCGCCTTCCTGCCAGAAGGACCAATAATAGCCGCCCTGGCGCTCCACAAGCTGGCGCTCCATAAACCGTGCCGGCTCCTCGGCGGGCGCACTGAGCGCAGCCGGGAGAAGAAAAGCTGTCGCAAGGAGGAGAAGAGACAACATGATGACGGATGCGATTCGTTGACCGGTATGCTTCTAGCTTCTTCCGCGAGCGCCACCCCTCTACTTTATACTGTCGATCGTAAACAGAAGACCTGGAGGCCAAGAAATCCTGGTAATCTCGTCCACTCATCCAGGTTCTCCACACTACTGCTCTTTAGCCTGAACGAAAATTCGGTCTTGTCTTGGACGTGGCGTAGAAAGCCGGTGGCCATTCGCGCGGTCCCGCTGCGCGGATACTAGATTTACCCATGGGGTGTATATCATGTGGTGGATCTGTGATACAATTGTAGATTATGTTTTGGTGAAGCGAAGGCATAATTGGCTCGCTATATATAAGTTAGAGTACAAGTGCCGAAGCCTTCCCGGCAATAAGGGTATGCCGGAGTATTTAACCGAACGACGTACGCCCTTTTGTGGGGTACAGCAAGCTTAATCGCACCGCAAGAAATGGTCTGCGGCGGAACTAGTTCGGATGTCAGGAGTCAGCCAAAGTCGAATATTATTACTTCAGTAGCGATGCTCAAGATGAAGCTACGCGCATGCAATGAAGAGCCTGGGATACTATCCCCAACAGATCAGCGTGACCCACTCTTTGCACCATCTGAGGGTTGAATTCTATAGCACGACTTCCGCAACTCCGGACATCAGATATCAGATATAATAAGGACCCCCCAGAAAGGGCGCCCCACATTGGCAATGATCATCACTCCTTCGTCACTTCCTCCACCTTTTACCCCGGACTGGAAATTTTCCACCACTCAAACGTATGCTTTACACGCTTGGGATGAGCAACCGAGCGTACAATGTCCTCGCCTCCACGCGACACTATCCGCCATTTAGATCCCGGGATCTTCGGCCAGGATCATCACGTGTTTGGTTGCTGCACTGCGCGCTCTGCCAGGTACATTGCGGGAAGCCCTAATGCAAGAGCGGCGGGGACTATCATACTTCTATTAGGTAAAGCGGAAGTTATCCAACTAAATGCGCGTGCACAGTCTGGGCTCGTTCAAATTCGCACCAAAGCTAAGCACGTATTCACGTTGCTTGTTTCTTTCGTATTACATGATCGCTCGACTGACGGAAACCCTCTCCATCATGAAACTTTCGCTACCCCCTCGTTTGTTCTTTTCAGATAGTAACATCGTGCTGCTGGAGTTTTGGCTTCACGCTCGGATATTGCTCACCATAAGATTCGTGTGCGCAGATATCAGATCGTCACGCGTATACGTCAGTCCGAGGCTTGGGGGCAACATCTTGCACGATTCGAGAGCGATTGGACATCTCCAGGTATTGGGACTATGGGATGAAACAGCTGTTCCAAGTGCGGCGTGTGTATCGCTACGGGATGTATCCCATCATTGAGGTCAACATACAAAGCCCCGTCCAATGAGGCACTCCCCCGGTGTCTTTATTATAAACCCGGAAAAGACCGCTCCTAAGGTAGTACAGAACGTCGCGAGTAGTCAAAGCAAAGGTCAGGATAGAGTCACCGCGCGTAGAGTCAAGAGTCCCATGAGTCTCTTCGTCGTGACTCAGACACAGTCAAATACAACGCAGCTAGACAGTCATCTCCCCCTCAGCATCTATAAAGAATCAAATCTAGATCCTACACATTCTGTTCCTCAACCACTCTTCCCCAGAACATCAAACTCCAGATCAAGGAGACTCACTCTACAAACGCACAAGTACTGAAGATCTCCACAGCAACAAAGGCTCTCGAACAACTCGCGACTCAGCCTTCAAGACCCAACACATCCTCTGAGCCAGCCTTCCATGCCTCGATGCCTAAAAAACCCCTGCACAAACTGTTGGCAGAATATTCTCCCTACAACCCAGAAATACAACGTGGAACACAAGTCCCGCAGTAAAGTCATCTGCTCCAGGTGCTTCCAAAAGCGCATCCACAATGAACCTCTCGGTTTCCCAGATCCAAGGGCCGCCACTATTACTCGCCTCCCTTCGGGCTTCACCATTGTATGCCGCGACGACATAACTCGTGCCGTGGATACATGTAAAATCTGCCACGCCAAAGCGCTGTGTCAACATCTCCACAGCTGGAGGGGAACGATACCATGGTGCGACCCGTGTTTTCATGCCAGGCTAGCCACGAACGATGTTGAGTTTGAGGAAAACGAGCAGAGTATCGTAGATAGGAGGATAGGGGGCGGGCTTGCAGAGACGACGACCGAGGGAGGAGGAATTTGGAATATGAGCGAAGGAGAGAAGAAGGAGATGGAAGAAGGAAGGAGAAATTCAGTCGGGTTGGGGTGGAGTTGGAAGCCGAGCTGAGAGCGAATGAAGAGAGCAGAGCTATGCGGAGGGGACCGCGGCCTAGTAGGAAGAGGCAACAAGAACGGTGGAATGCGTTGACGAGGGGTGAAACGTGCTGGTGGTGCTGGCGTATCTATGTATCTAAGATCTATATGAACTAGATATGAACATCATGCGAAGCGAAGTTGACTCCTTTCCGAGATCTGCTATCATAGTGCCACGCTCGCACATTGGTATGCGCACTTATTACGATAGCTTATCTTCCGTGAGTCATGCTCTCGTGGGAGTAATTGTAAATGCCTAAGTAGCAGCACCTATCGATCACGTAAGCCAAGTGATCTCAAATACGGTATATGTATTGACTCAAATCAGTACTATTTCCACAGGAAGACCAACCCTAACGCCGGGGCTATGCATAAGTAAGCGAACCAGGTACCGCACCAGATATCGCGATCGAGCTCGTTTACAGGCTACCGCCTTCCTCTTCCCCCCTGTCCAGGACTGCCCATACCGCCCATCATCTTCATCATACTCGCCATATCCATGCCGCCCATACCGCCAAGCGCAGACATATCTGGCATGCCACCGCCTCCGCGCCCACCGCCGCCAAGCATCTTCATCATGGCGCCCAGATCCGGCATCCCGCCACCCATCGCGTTGGCGCCGCCCATACTTTGCATGCGCTTCTGCATCGCAGCAAGTTGCTGCTGCTTATTGCCGCCGCCCATAGCACCCTGCGCTTTCTGCATGTTGGCCATGCCACCCTTCATCTTCTTCGCCATGCCGGCCATCATGCGGTGCTGCGTGAGCAATTCCTCGACTTCACGAACTGAAGTGCCGGAGCCACGGGCTACACGCGTCATGCGCGTGGGTTGCTCTACGAATATTTTGCCGTCGGATTCGAGTTCTTTCTCCGTCATACTGTCGCAGATGTAGATCATACGCTTTAGCTTCGCACCACCTTCCTCATCGTCCATACCTCCCATCATATTACTCAGACCGGGGATCATGCCAGCCATTTTGGAGAGGGGGCCCATCTTCATGATGTTAGAGAGCTGGTCGCGAAGGTCTTTTATCGTGAAGATTCCGGAGGCGATGTGCTTCATAGTGTCCTTTTGGTCAAGCTTGAGGGATTGCACGTGTTCGACTAGCCCAGCAACATCGCCCATGCCAAGCAGCTTGGACACGAAGGGTTGCGGGCTGAAGCGCTCTAGGTCGAGCATGTGTTCGCCGGTACCGAGGAAGACAATCGGAGTATGTGTCGCTGCGACAGCTGAAATGGCACCACCTCCCGCAGCTGCACCATCGGTCTTGGTGAGCACGATAGCTCCAAAATCTGCTGCTTCTTTGAAGGCGCGAGACTGCGCTTCCGCGGCTTGACCTATTGTCGCGTCGAGAACCATAATTGTCTGATCCGGTGTCACAGCGTCCTGGATCTGAACCATCTCGTCGAAAAGATCCTTCTCTTGCCTATGCCTACCCGAGGTATCGACAATGATGATCTCGAATCTTTCCTTCTTGAACTTCTCCACACCCTCTCTTGCTACAACGACGGGATCCGTCTGCGTATGGCTTCCATAGTAAGGTATCTTCGCTTTTGTCGCATTCTGCTTCAGCTGATCGAAAGCACCGGCACGAAATGTATCCGCGCAAACAAGACAGGCCTTGAACCCTCTTGCCGAGTACCACCTCGCCAGCTTTGTACACGTTGTCGTTTTACCGGAACCTTGTAGACCAACGAACATGATGACGTTCGGCTTTCCTTTTCGCGGTTTGAAAGGCTCAGCGTGCGGGTCGACTAGCTTGACTAGTTCGTCGAAGACGGCTTTCTGGATAATGCGCTTCTTGTTCACGCCCGGCGCGAGGTGCTTGAAGTCGACGGAGCGTTTTATCGAGTTGCGGAGGTTCATGACGAGCTTTACGTTCACGTCGGCTTCGACGAGGGCGTTGGAGATCTCCTTGACCATGGAGTCGAAGGCCTGCAAAGTTAGCCACATTGCGACTCACTCGGAAATGGGTGCTTACTTTCTCATCGAGGTTCGGTGACCTCGTGAGGTCTGAGACGGCGGCATTAATGCGCCGCCCGAGATCTTGAAGCACCATGGCGGCGGTTGTGTAGGGGTGTTAGGCGGTGTAGGAGAGGCGTCCGTGATGTATGAGGTCGGTGTTGAAGTTCGTGGGGAGAGGCGGGGCAAGAGCGGAAATCTTGGCGTCGGCGAATTATTCGCCGGCCCATAATTTTTCGACAGCACTTCGAAAGCTCGCTGCACTCATTCCCAATTCCAACGATATCAGCCACAATGCCTTCCACGACGCTGAAACGACGACGGACCGAGGATGCGATGCGGGGGAAGCTGCCCAAGAAGCAGAAGAAGATCAAGCGGCAGCGCACGTACCACAGCTCAAGCGAGGATGAAGATGAAGGCGGAGCGCGCGACGCGCCGCAGGATTTCGCACCTGTAAGCCTAGAGAGTAGCGATGACGAGGAAGAGAAGAGGCCCAAAAACCCCCAAGCGAAGTTCAAAGCGAAAATTGCGCTGAAGAAGTCACCTCCACCAGCCCCGGCAGCGGACGAAGACGACGATGCTCCGCCAAGCGAGGACGAAGACTCCGAGCAGGACGGAGACCCGGCCGATGGCTCAGAGCCAGATGACTCAGATGCTTCGGGCGACGCGTCTATTTCAGAAACATCAACGAACAATCCAACGAGGAAAGTGCGGAAACGAAACGATCCAGAAGCATTCGCGACCTCGATGTCGAAAATCCTCAACACGAAGCTCACATCGCAAAAACGCTCCGAACCCATTCTCTCCCGGTCGAAAGCTGCACAGGAGACGAACAAGTCCCTGTCGGATCATAAATTGACGGAGAAGGCGCGCAGGCAGTTGCTAGCCGAGAAGAAGACAGCACAAGAGAAAGGCCGCGTAAAGGACGTCCTTGGCACGAATGATCCCAGCATGAGCACTGGGGTCACTCTGGCGAAGGAGAAGGAGCTGCGCAGGACAGCGCAGAAGGGTGTCATCAAGCTGTTCAATGCGGTGCGAGCCGCCCAGGTCAAGGGCGAACAGGCGGAGAGGGAAGCACGCGAGAAAGGCTTAGTGGGCATGAGCAAGAGGGAGGAAACAGTCAAGGAGATGAGCAAGCAGGGTTTCTTGGACATGATCACGGGTGGCGCGAAGAAAAAAGAGGGAAGCGTCGAGATCTGAAACATATTAGAGTAGTTGAATTCATGATACCGGGCTGAAGCCATCTATCGTATTCCAGTGCTTCGCGTGACGCCGGTCCCACCTCCAAGGAGATTATCCCATATGGTACAGGGTGTTCTAAGGACAGTCATCGCTCGCCATGCCCGGATCCAGAAATATGATTACACAAATGCCGCCAACTTATCAACCGCCCCTCGCCTCTTCATCCATACCCTTATCCTACGACTTGAAATCACTGGCCTGCATATTCCGCGTCATACTCGGCAACCGCACCACCAACCCATCCAACTCCTTACTCATCTTCACCTGGCACCCCAACCTGCTCGTCTCTGTCAACCCAAACGCCAGATCCAGCATATCGTTCTCGTCGTCGTCTGGCTCCTCCATGCGGTCGTAGTATTCGGGGTCTTCGACGATGACGTGGCAGGTAGAGCACGCGCAGGAACCGCCGCAGGCGCCTTCCATCTCGAGGTCGTTGGCTTGCGCAATATCGAGGAGGTTGTCGCCGTCGGCAACGAGGAAGGTGTGGGACTGGCCTTCTTTGTCGATGAAGGTAACTTTGCGTCTACGCGGAGTTAATGAGGACGTGTGTAGATAGACAGGAGGTGTTGGTCCTACTCTTCGCCGGGTTTGGGAGGGTCGAGGTGGCCGTGTCTGGATGCGGGAGTCGAGGAAAATCTCCGTCGGCTACGGGCGAAAGTAGGAGTCGCGGCTTTCGGTATGCTCCATTGAGGGCGCGGGAGAAGTGTTACCCTCCTCCTCGATGGGTTTATGACTATCGGGCTTCTCGTCGTCCAATTGCTCGCCCGTCTTAGAAAATCTCGCTGGGTGCGCATCACACCTCTCCATAACGCCGTGGCAGCCATATCGTCCCTCTTCAGCGTCCTCAAAAGCGCGCCTCTCGAAGGCAGCGCGCCTGCCATCCTAAATACCGCACGAATCCGAGAATCGGTGAAAATTGTCGCAGATTGGGTCTCACAGCAGGAATTCCCTCCGAACACTCCGACGAAATCGAGAGAGCTTGGACCGCCATGCGCCACTGACGCCGCGACCAGGATTCACCATGGACGTCAGTCCGTCACGAAACAAACCTTGCGGGCACGCGAACAAAACACCACCACTTCCCCTATTCTATCCTGCACGCAATCCGACGTGCCAGCAATGGAAACCTCACGCGACGCCCCGAATCCGCTGCGGCCGTACTACATCCCGCCCTCCATCGGCCTCCCGCCCGATACCTCGGCCGCCAATTCGTCGTCCACCCCATCGTCCTCAGCGCGATATTCCAAATCGAGCCTGGGGAGCCAGGCGAGGAGCATCCTATCCGATCTCGACTACGATTCGTACCTCCCGGATAGCTCGCCGGGAGTAGCGGACCATGCAAAGAAGCTGCTAGACCACGCGTTATGGAGCTATACATCAGTGCTGTTGGCGCAACCATTCGAGGTAGCAAAGACGCTGCTGCAGGTGCACCAGGCAACGGGTCAGGCGCCGCCGGGGCTGCTGGTCAATGGCGCGGAGCTCAGGAGTCGGCCAAATTCCTTCGCGAGCGGGAAATTTGAGGATTATCCCTCGGACGAAGAGTCGGATGAGGATTCGCCTGGATACTTTACCAGCACGGCACCAAGGAGACATGAGCAGCCCTTTTCGCCGGGAGGGGAGTCGTCACGGAGCCCTGAGAGGAGGAGAAGACATGGACCTAGTCGATCGAGAGATTCGACGCCGACGCAGGCGCCTCCGCTTGCGCCGCGAAAACTAGAGCTCAGGAGGCCGGATGCTTTGCTGGAGGTAATAGCGCAGCTGTGGCAGAAAGAGTCGGCATGGGGAGTCTGGAAAGGCACAAATGTCACCTTCATATACAATTTCCTACTCAAAACGACAGAGAGCTGGACACGAGGTCTGCTCTCGGCGCTCCTCAACGTGCCCGACCCGGGCCTCATGAGCACCACTGCTAGTGGTATCGGCGGCCTCGACATAATAGACAGCCCGTCGCCGTTCATGTCCCTCGCCGTCGCGATAGCCGCTACAGCAATCGCTGCGACCGTCCTCGCACCCCTCGACCTAATCCGCACCCGCCTCATCGTAACGCCGACCTCGGCTCCCCCACGAACAATATACCCGTCGCTTTCACTCCTCCCCTCCTTCTCCATCTCGCCGAGCCTCCTCCCCACAACGCTCCTCCACTCCACAATCCCGACTCTTATATCAACGTCCACCCCGCTCGTTCTCCGCTCTACATTCTCTATCGACCCCATTGTCACCCCGACCGCATACTCGCTCTCTACCTTCCTGTCCTCAACCTGCGAACTCTTCATTCGTCTCCCGCTTGAAACTGTACTGCGCCGCGGCCAAGTCGCTGTCCTGCAAGACCATGAGAACCAGCGTCTTGCTTCGGAATATCGCCATCTCCCTTCCCGCACTCCCAAGTCGCCTGTCTATGGGATGGAGAACGAAGACCCAGCTGTAAGGAGCTTTAAAACGATTGTCGAGCCCGGCCCGTATAGGGGTGTCTTTGGGACAATGTGGTTTATCGTGCGAGAGGAAGGAGTGTCAGTCGTGGGCCCTGGCGCTGCTAAAGCGACTGCCCAGCAGTCAGAAGGCCGTACAGCTGGCTTTTCAGCGCGGACGCGGATACGTAAGGGACAGGGCATTCACGGCCTATGGAGGGGATGGAGGGTAGGCTTCTGGGGCCTGGTGGGTGTCTGGGGCGTTGCTGCACTAGGAGGAGGTGGTGGCGAGTTCTAGACGGGCGCCCCTTTCTACGCTAGATACGCTTCGGGCTCACGCTTTCCCAAAGTGTTGACTGTACAGTCTTCCCTTCTCCATCTATTTCCTCTTCCTTCCTTCTTGATATGATATCCGTACACGCTACTCTACTCCCTTCTCACTCGGTCTCGGAGATCGCAAAGTTCTCCGGCATGGGCATTGGCTTTTCTGGTACTAGGCAGGGTTCACGAGCAATGATTCGATGCTTGCAAGGGTCCGTTGGATGTTTGTTGTATCGAGTAATGTGGTGTGGTAGATAGATACGTATGTATGTGTATATAGGAGGTAGACATGAATGTGAGTCCATGTATAATGCAATGCATCCTGGTAAGCTGGTTTGTGGCAGTTGTTTTGTACATGCGGCTCTTACTCGAGACTTTGGACAGGATAGGCTTAGCCCCTTTTTAGCGCTTGGCATTAGATGGACTTCCTGGCTTCCGCCTCAGCTTTCTTCCTCTCACTAATGCACCTAGGCACACTTTTGTACGATCCTTGTTCTTGGCACTGCGCACTACGGACTAGTTGCGGCGGGGGCTGATTCTAACTTTCGGAGAAGTTGATGCGTAATGCATTCTGGTAGGCTGGTTTGCCGTTGTTTTGTAGATGCGGCTCTGACTTGAGATTAGTTCCGAGGTTCGGAGAAATCAATGCATAATGCATTCTGGTAAGCTCGATCGTTGAGCAGGATAGTGTCTTATCTTACACAGCGGGGTCAGGCTTGGAGGAGGGGATGTCCCGCGCAAGTGGGTTTCAGCCTTGTGGGTGACTTACACCGTTTGGAGGTCCACTCGCTAACCCTTCACAGACTCGAAGGTTGCGAGAACGCTGAACTCGGCCCGAGTCTGGGGCGCCTCTGCGCATATCCTAGGCAGGTTTATGCATGTGCGATTCTGGCGGCTTACGAAGCAGCACGCCTGCGGAGTTCGAGGTCCTTGAAGTGGTCGGCGAGGAAGGGTAAGAAAGCTGCCGTGCCCATCTAGGAGTACTCCGAGGAATCTAGCGACGATAAGGCACACTTGATTTCCTCGAAGATCTCTTTTCATGGGTCTTGGTGCGTATTCTCTCAACTATTCCACGGAGTCTTGCTTTTCCCAGCCATTCATCAATCTTCTTGTTCGTGAGAGTGTGCCGGAAAAGGTAATGCGCTAACGCATTTACTCTGCTTGGTCAAAGAAGTGGAGTACACCTGCAGCGAGCCTCCTCGAGCACAGCGTTCGTGCCGATCGCGGTTCCCCTCAGGAATCCTCTCCGCTTACCCATGGCTATGTGGCTTCTCGTCATAGAAGGTATGCCAGTTAGAAACCGCACAAGGCTGTGGCGCGCCCAGGGTTCATGCAGGCTGGACCGTTTCCGGGCGTGGTAGCTGAGTGCCCCCAGAGGACAGCTGAGAATGGTCGACTCTTTCCAGCCTTCAGTCGTCAGCTTTAGCCAGCCAATGGTCAAGATGGGGGTGCCGCGTTTCCCGGAGAAGGCGTGAACTGTCGAGCTGATATATTGCTGGAATCTGCTCGCGCGAACCTCACTCCCCTTTCCTCTTAGTCACTTCAGTAGCCTCAAAAGTCTACCTCACCAAGACTGCGTGATTTATACGCGATGTCAGACAACGGTGAACTCGACCAAACCGGAGACAGCTGGAAACATGACCATATGAGGAACGGCTGTCCGTACACGCCAAACCCTGAGTTCGTGCACGGTGGAAGCTTTTGGAAGAACCTGAAGCGTGTAGTCTCGCAGACAGAAAATCGGCAGGATATACCGTTGCTGAGGATTAGAGAGTGGAATGGAAAGGCCCTTTTGAACCATCGCGGCAAAACGAGTGAGGACGTGGAACGATATCTCGAAGAGATTGCCGACCAGCGGCAAGAGAAGGCACAGAATCAGTCTTGGGACGGGAAAGTCAAATGGATCCATGTTCCTGGAAACGATATGGGGGCGTGTCTGGTAAGATGCCCGAAGCTTGCCATGCCTGTTACTGACCTTTGGGATAGAGAGTACTCATGTCTCTGTGTCACATAGCAAAGCCACAGCTTGAGTTACTGCTTTGCAAACTGCACTGGTGGGATCAGTTGAATGTACCCTGGGATATGTTGCCATGGGAGGATGGCTCGCCCGACACGGCGCCGACAAATGGGTCGGACACTGATGAAACCCAGGAGTCTTACAAATCGGGGAGTCAGTCTCAAACATCAGGAGAGATGGTCGATTCTTGGGAACACAAGCCGGTTGAGGCATTGTTCATGGATGCCGCCGCGTTCCATGTTGACTTCGGTAAGGCGTCACCCTTCAGCCTCTGGCTAGCCAATGGAGATATTACGCTTACATGCTCGGTTTCTGCCACAAGAGATACAGAAAAAATGTGGTTGTTGGCGTCGTCTGTCTCAATCCACCAAGGCCAGAGAAGACAGCTCGAAAGAAGTCTTACATGTCATTGAAGACTTGATAGCTGGCCAAAAGGGTCTTGACAGGGGGAATCGACGCGCTTCAGAGAATAATGAAATCCGCGCCAAGAAATCTAGCACCCTTTCGAGCACAGTTCTATACGTAAGCTTGTTCGGCATATATCTCAAACCCATCCGTTTAATATTTTGTTATAGATGCCGTACCTACACTACGACTCCCTGAAGAAACATATGGATGAGCTAGAGGAGCGGCAGAAATATCCATCCGACTGGGCTCACCATCCGCGCCGGAGCTTGGACGAGGCAGCTGATCGGTTTTTCACGTACAGGAGTCTCGCTGAGCGCAACAACGACCAGGTCGTCACCAGGTACCTCCGCAATCCCCGAAATAGAAATGCCCTGGGCGGCAAAGAGCCAGTGGGTGGACCAACCCTTATGGTCGTGGATCAGCTCTGGCTGTGGATACTAGATAAAGGTACCAGTACTCTGGCGCTTTCCTGTCATACCTTGGACTGATCATTATGCTACGGCTTCAGATACTCTCGTGACGTGCTTTCCCGGCGACAAATGCAAGGAGGCCCATAATAAATGCAAGGAGGCCCACAAGAAATGCCCGAAGCTAAACCTGGAGTGTCTCGTAATGGATCAAATCAGGAGGAAGTGTTGTGATGGAAGGCTTGATGCGGAGCGCCTTGCGTCCCATCTCATTTACAGAAGCTACTCGATCTTCACCCACCGCCACTTGAGAGACCCGACTCTCCGCTTTATCGAAATCTTCGAGAAATCAATCTCGGAGCAGGTCCGTCTCGTACACCATACGCCTCAGCATACACTAACTGGCGCGCAGAGAGCAAACAGCACGGATCTCTTTCGAGCTCTGGAGGTAAAAAAGAAGTCAGGCTCATTGTTTAGCAGGCGTTCTCCCGACTCGCACAAAGACCAAGACATAGATGGAACTTGCCCCGAGGGAGATGCGACAAGGAAGTCGCGCCGTAGACGACGAAAAGATGTTTTCAACCTGCAAGAAGATATCGAGGCAGTTGGGCAGGTTCGTGACATAGATGAGGAGCTGCACATCATGATGCGCATTGTGGAACTTCAGATGAGTGCACTGGAAAGAACTGGCCTGCCCAAGTGGGAGGAGAACTGGAAAGAAGACCTCGAGAAGTTCAAAGGGCGTCTGGAGGGACTGTCTGCCCAGACAAAGGACATCAATGGGTTGGTAAGACACACGTGCCCCGCTTTTTTCTCGGGCTGCTCTAAGCTAACCGTTTGGCTCGTTAGCTCGTTCAAACTCTAGGACTGAAACAAGCCCAGCTCAGCGTACGCCAGAACGAAATCGTCCTCTTATTCACCGTCGTTACCATAGTCTTCGTAGGCCATCCACCCCTCTCCTACCCTACCGTCCTGTTCTAATCCAGACACAAACAGCTCCCTCTAGGCTTCATGAGTTCTATTTTCGGCATGAATGCAGCGGAACTCAGCGACGGCTCTCCAGTGGGCCTCCGCAGAATCTTCACCTACATGTGTAAGTCCAACCACGGCGGTCCTACAAACTTTGTGCTGATTTTAGTGTCTCTAGTTCCGATAGGAGTCTTCGTGTCAGTCGTGGCTCTCGCTTGGGCGTTTGAACCTGATATTGCGGATGGCATTAGCATATTGAAAGCGCTTTGGCATGGCTGGAGGAAGGATAAGGGAAAGGAACACGAAGGCAAGAAGAGTGCGTGGAGCTTTGGGAGAAAGAGAAAGGGAAGTCGCAAGGAGGATCCATACCCATAAGGCATATTCCCCCGAAAATATGCGAGCATGGCCAGCATCCATTGGGAGGTTTATAGTATCGCGAAATGTGTGGACAAGGGCGTTCTCCAGTCGTTCCACCAGTACCGTACTCCGGCAACCTTACTTTCATTTAATCTACTTTCCTCACACCCAGAGATTGCACAGAATCATGACTCATGATTGAGACAGCGGGCTCAGCTAGTTTTCCCGTCACTTCGCCGCCTGATCCGGAACTTCACTTTCTGCTTCGGCGGCTGCGCTCCAAACCCATACCGCGCGAGGTTATCATCCGGGCGCCATCCCCCAGGAGACAACAACTCAATATCGAAAACCGATACTAGCACCGCAAAACTAAGCATCATCTCGTACTTGACAAAGTGCCTTCCGGGACACATATGCTCGCCCATTCCGTAGGGCATCCATCGTCCCTGTTTCCCCTCGAGCGAGAACTTAGACGTCCCTTCCTCACTGACTAAGAACCGCTCTGCCCAGAACTCGGAGGGCGGGTGGTGCTTGTTGGACGCGTCGACTGCATTCCAGTATGAGTCGCGGTGCTCGACGTGGCTTGCGACGATGATGTATTGGTCTTTTGGGAGCACCCAGTTGTCAAGGCTGTGTGTTTGCTTCACACTTCGTGTTACGAGAGAAGCGACGTGTAGGCGGAGGACTTCTGCGTAGACGGACTGCAGCAAGGGGGCGTTGATGACCTTGGTGGGGTCGAAAATGCCGGCGTCTGTTCGCGTTCCCTGGAGCTCGTTTCTTGCCCGGCCTAGCAGGTTCTCAGTGGCTAAGATCTCGAAGAGGAACCAAAATGTGGCTGGTATCACGTTGGAGGTAAACCTAACATATTGCATTAGTAAGTCTGTATTCGAAATGGAAGAGAAAAATGGGGATGCTGGAACAACCAACTTACGCCCACATCGTCGCTAGATCGCTAGCTGCAGTAGCATCTTCGTCAAACAGCCCGTCTGTCGCGGCGAAGAGCTTGTTCCTCCGGCGTATAGCACCAAGGCCCCAAGCTGGGTCCCACTCGGCAGTATCTGGAGCGGGATTCTTCTCACTCTGCCGCATTGCTTCTCGTCGCCACCGTTTCATTGCAGCAAGGCACTTGGCGCGATAGCGAGCAGCTTGCGGCCTGAACCAGGTCGGCATCCCCGTAGCTAGAAACGGAATATTCTCATCGAAGATCCTGAAGTCTTCCTCAAGATCGGGATTCAAGCCAAGCATGCTCTTCCCATAGAACGAATTGACTCCGCAGGGAAACACAACGTCGCGCAGAAACATGTAAAAATCGGGTCTTTCCACCCATTCATCGCCGATGTTCAATGCAGCGCAATGCTCTTCAAGACTGCGCAGGAAGCGGGGGATGAGCTCATCCATGCTCGGCTTTGAAAAAGCATCGCTGAAGAAGAGGACCTGATTCCGCATTATGCGACGGCTGGGATGGACTGAACTGCCTGGGTAGGGCTTCGCCCCGATTCCTGAATCATCGGCTAGAGTAGCGTCGCAGACTTTCTTTGGGGCTCCAAATAGAAGCCCGAACATCGAACCGCTCAGCTTGTTCCAGTCGAGGTGGCTGGAGGAGACGAGTGCCTTGCGGATAAGGTGGGGGCCGGAGAGGAGGACGAAGTCGAAACCAAGGCCTTTGAGCCGGACTGGGGTGTTACGGTTGGCATTCTTTCTAGAAATGCGTCAGCTGCTATCCTATCCAGAGTTTAGTTTGTAAACCTACAGAAGCGCAGAAGCAAGTGTAGTATCGCCCAAGGCGAAGAGCCTAGAATGGCCGACCAAGGGGATCAGATATGGGATTGTAGGTACAGTGCCAGTCCTATTATGGTTCTTCGATTTGAATGACGTGAAAGAGATGTAGTAGGTTGCTGCAGGGACAAGGAGAAATGCAAGAGCAACCATGACCGCCGCGTGATAACGCCACTCGATGGAACGCTCCCAGAAGGTTGTGTTCACACTCTGATCCATCTTCCTGTGCCTCCAAGGGAGCCTGGTAGCAAAGTTCGAAGGACGAAACTGTAGGTGGGAGACTGAAGGCGAGCGTTCGCAACTAATCGGCAGCTTTGGCGGAACGGCGGTGTGTTTGCAGCTTGGAAGGGTGGGGTACGGGGATCGTGCAATATCCACGATGTCGGTACCGCATGCATGCTTGATCAGGTCTCGACCGACGGTCACCCCCTCTGCAGACTTATATCATGGCACTGGCACTAGAAACCCATGTCGAAAATGTCACCGTTGTTGGAGCGCCTCACCAACCCAACCCAGTACTTGCTACGCCGCAATATCTCGACTTCTCGGGTCGACCCGCTCCACGCCGCAATTACATCATTCGCACGGCTCGTTGGTATTATTAAGTTTCGATCTCCGAAAATCTGTCGTGCTACATACCGCTATCAACGCCCAGCAAACTTCCCTCGTCGATCAGTCTAGTGCATGCATGCGGCAGGACTACTTTTTCAGTGTTTGCACCCACCGCATGTCAACCTTGCCATTCATCCAAGCGAATTGCACCAACAAAGAATGCCAAAGCAATTCCAATCGTCATCAACACATACACTATCTCGGGAGCCGGCATCATGTCGATTCTGAGGAGGCCAAGAGTCAGAATGTTGGTTTGTTGGGTCACGAGGTTCGGAGGGTCTTTTGGTCGGCTGCGCTTGATGTGGGCCTCGTATGATGCCCTGCAAGAGGTCGAGATGTTAGCTTTCGGATTGCCACTACCTGGGCAGGCATAGCAGACACTTACCTAGGTATCCAGACATTCTCACACTCACTTGAGCGGAAGGCAACGGTCGAATTTCGAGTTCGCGGTCAGGTCGTTCTGTTACCGCTGTTGGAGTTGAGATGAATGGCAGGATTTAGAGTGCTGGCGTTCTTTCCCATTGTCTCTTAAGCTACGAGTTCCATGGGGGGCCGCATATCGGATATTGCCCCGCTCTACGCCACACAGAACGGACGCACCCATAGGGGCGGTCGAATTGAAAGGTAGTACTCAGCGAGCAAGGGCCCGGCGGGATTGCGCGTACAGTACAAGTTGGGAATAAGCAATTCCTTGGCATGAAGTACGACATACAAATCCTCCTTACTCTAGCAATAAAATCATTTTCACCTAGTAAATTACCTCTGATATAAGCGTTTATACCGACGTAAGCGCTAAAGGCCCCTAAGGCATGGTGATGTTTCCGGTGAGTGTTGCATTCGGACTACAAATCGCACTCGTATAATCGCGTAGGAAAGCCAAGAGTAGTGCTTAATTGTGTCTCGAAGGTGAATATATCCAGGATGATAAGTTCGAGAACGGTTTGCTCCCGGTAGTCTGAAGCTGTAACTGATATAATACGTAAGAGGATGCGGAAGGAGAATTAGGGAGGTGTCGAGAGCACGTCCTTCTATCAGAGAGCAAAAGTTATATCATCTTACCCTCTTCCCTAGCCTTCTTATCCAAATACTCCTGATAACTGAATCCCACCTCTTCCAGGGTCCGGATGTTGTGTCTCTCCTCTCCCTTCGCACCAAACGCCGCTCGAATAGCAGGAAAGTTCTCGCGACACCAGAACTCCCATTCTCCCCATTTCGGCGGTATCTTCCCTTTTCCATCATTCTCCAGTTCCTCCCTCGGTGGCGCACTCAAAGCCCAATTCGACATTTCGTTGATGTAGTTCCCGTCTTTTGGAAACGGTAGGAGATGAAAGTCGCGCCCGTTGCCCATCTCGGCGATCGTTGTCTCTTCCCACTTCCTCATTTCGGCGCGGGATGGAAGAGGTAGGCGACCGGAGTACACGCGAGCGAGGACAGAACATTGCGCCTCTGCGATTGGGAAGGGGATTACGCGTTGATTGAGAACGAGGAAAGAGAGCGTGGGGCGCGGCGCGTAGAAAAGGTGTTGGTAGGTGTGCTGGACGTGTGATCCGTCTTCGATCAATCTCGGCCGCACATTCTCCAGGAACGGCAAGCTGTAGAAATATCCCGTGGCAAACACGATGGCGTCGATGTCCGTCTCCACGGTACCGTCTTCGAAAATCACGCCGCGGCTTTCTGGGCAAAATGCGGAGATTGGGGGAAGTTCGCGCTTGCGGGTGTCGGATGCCGGCTTGAACATGGAGGTGGACTTGCTGGACCATAGAACGGGAAGCTTTGAGAAGGCGGTGATTTGGCTGCTGATGTCGACGCCGGAGGCGGAGTTGCCGACCACGATCACTTTCTTGTCGGCGAACTCTTCCGGTTTTCGGTAGTACTTGGAATGCAAAATGGCGCCCGGGTATTTCTCATTCCACTCCTTTATATTTGGAATATCTGGTATGTACGGGACGATGAAGTGGCCGTTTGCTACGATGACTGCGTCATATACATCCTCTTGTTGCTCATTCGTCCTAAGATTCCGGGTCAGCACCTTCCATTTCCCGCTGTAGTCCTCGTCTGCAGGTTCGATGCTTGTCACTTGCGTTTCGTATTGCGCCAGGTCCTGTACGTCTTTCCCATACTCCTCAATGTAGTCGAGAACTGTCTCATGTTTCGGAAATAGCTGGCTATCTTGCGGCCAATCCAAATCTTGAAAGCCCATCAGACCCCTCGGGATATTAGTCTCAAGTCTCTCGTAGATAGGCGAGAGAAACGAGGAGACTCTCGCCACGCCGTCTGCACCGTTCGTTTCGTTAGGCGTAGTGGAGTCGGCCGTCCTCACCCGCCATATTGGATCCAGATTCTGACCTCTAGGATCTGTCTGAGGGATAGTGAATAGATCCTCATCTCGATCATCGGGAGTATAATTCCATATCCCGCCCGATCTACTTCGCTGCTCAAACAGGATAATCTTGTCGAAGGCTTGCTCCGCACGCAGATACCTGGAGGCTATATTAGAGTTTGGAAGCAGATTGAACAAGGCGGCTATACTTAGCGGCTACCAGGCCAGATGGACCTGCGCCTACAATAGCTACAGTTCGAGCTCTGAGAGACTCCATCTCTACTATGGTGAAGCTGCTAAGGGGGTCGCAGGAGATAGATGACTGGGATGTCTATGAAATGAAAGAGTATGAGCGACGCGGCTAAAGAGCAAGCCTAGGGCACCCAAGCATTCCAAGGGTCCATATAATATACGAGGAAGATGGTGAAAAAATCAAATGATCTCGCGATAGGAAAAGACGTGACGATAGAAGCGCGAGATCGGAGCCGATCGGGAGGTGTCCAAGCCGTAAGGCTGAGGTGGCCCGGGCGTCGACTGAGGTCATCCGATGCGAACCGCAGCCTCGAGCTTATTTCGACATCCACTCCTTCGGCTGCTTACCGTCTTTCTTTTGTACATATATCCCAAAGCCATAGCCCCGCACTCCTCAGGGAGCGCTTCTCCCGCCAATTGGCTTCCTAAAGCTTCCATTTTCGCCGCATTCGTCGACCGACGTCCGACGCGGCTGGACGATGCTGCGGACACTACGTGTGTCGCGTGGTGCGCCAATTGCGCGACAGTTGCGAAGCTTCTCCACTGGCAGATCTGCTATGTCTTCGCTGCGGATAGGCTTTGTGCCTGGTACGTGTCTCCACGTCGCTGGTGCGACCAGGCTGCTAATCGCCAGCAGAGCACTTCTCCACACCCCTCGAATTCGCAAAGAAACACTACAAGCTACAAGCAACCCTCCTTCCCTATCCCTCTGGCACCGGCCACATGGTCACCGCGCTCCAATCCGGCGAAATCGATATCGGCGTCGGGCTCACAGAAGGGTGGATAGCAGCGCTAGGCAAGGCCCAAGAAGCACAGAAAGACGCTGGGTTCAAGGTCGTGGGTACATACGTCGAAACACCACTGTGCTGGGCGATATCCACCGGCGCACGCCGGGACGAGATAAACAGTGTAGACGACCTCAAGGGCAAGAAAGTCGGAGTCTCGAGGATAGGAAGCGGCAGCTACGTGATGAGCTTCGTGCTCGCCGACCGAGAAGGTTGGCTCGACCCGCACTCGCCCAGCCCGCCGTTCCCCGTGGAGCCGCTCAATACCTTCGCGAACCTGAGAGAAGCGGTGAATAAGGGAACGGCAGACTTCTTCATGTGGGAGCACTTCACCTCTAAGCGCTACTACGACAACGGCGAGATCAAAAAAATCGGCGAGATCTACACGCCCTGGTCGTCCTGGAAAATCGTCGCCACCAACGCACTCCTCAACCCGTCAAACTGGTCGCATGGCAGCCACGCCTCGCACCCCGCGCTGAAGCCCGAGCTAGACGACGCGATGCAAAAGATTAACAAGGGGATCAAGCATTTTGAGGAGAATCAGGAGGAGGCGGTGCACTACATCAGCACGAAGTTGGACTATAGTGAGGAAGATGCGAGGGAGTGGCTCAAGACTGTGCGGTTTGCGCATGATGTGAGGGGCGTGGATAGAAGTGTGGTGGCGAAGACGGTGCATATGCTGGTGCAAGCGGGGGTGTTACAAAGACATGTACATGAGAAGGGTGAGGATGCTATGATTGGACTTTCGAGGAGTGAGGCTGTGAAGTGGGTGTGAATACGGCGTACACTCGATGACTTCGCGAGTCCGAGGACACCAGTTGGATGGAGTAATTCCGGAGCTCTGTGGATATGATGTATAGGGATCTGTTAGCTAAGGCGTTTGGGTTGCGTCAGTTAGGGGGTCGGCAGTGCGGCAGTCCGAAGAAGGCCTCCTTCACACCCGGCCCATTATCGCATGTAAAGAACATAGCACCAAGGATTTCCATAATCCCCGGAATAAAAAATACACGGCTTACCATAGCTGCTATCCAAGCTCGGAATGCTGGACCCCACGCCTCCCGAATCCATATGACTCCTGGCAGCGTATCCACGGATTCGAATTACCCCAGGCAAAGTGACCGACTTTAATGGGAACCTATCGCCTGAGTCCAAGCCTATCGAAACGTTTCCTTGTACCCTTTCCGTCGCTGTATTCTTTTCCGGTGAAGTCCTTCGCTGGGAAATATTAGGAATACTTCACAAACGATGTTACTGCAATTTGCACTTCACAGTCAAATACCCGTGAAGGGTGACAGCGCATGCGCAATCGCGAATGGGTCTCTCGCGTTATTTCCTTAAATTCTCCTGAGGATATGCCACAGAGATATCGAATAACGCACATTCCACGTTTCGCTCAACCTCCAGCCATCATCCTCGAATTATATCCACGCTAATATTCGGTATGCCTTCCAAGGAGCTACACCTATCGGTTATCGACCAAACAATTCTCCGCGTCTACGTCCGCCACCTACTATTCTTCGCCTTTCCCGATCCTTCCGTCGCTGGGGAAGCTATTCTTGTCCTCGCAAACGGCCTCCAAGCGGCAATCGCCGAATATCCATTTTTAGCCGGCACCGTAGGCCCTGCGGATCCGAGGACCGGAAAACTTACGGCGCGGTACGAGGATCCTGCTCCTTGTGTTACCACATCCGGGATCTTTTATGCGAGTTTCGACCTCGCGGATAGTTCAGAATTCAACTATGTAGCGTTGAAAGAGGAAGGAATGCCGCCATCCCGTTTCCCAGGCTCATTGTTCTGCCCCAGGCTGCTAAAGAGCCACCCAGGGCTTGAAGACCAGTTTGCAGAGGGAGTAACCACGATGCGCAAAGGAGAGATACCAGCTCTGGCGGCGCAGGCGAACTTTATTCCGGGGGGGCTGGTGCTGAGCGTCTACATGCATCACAGTGTGATGGACGGAACAGGCATTGGCCTTTTTTATAAGCGATGGGCGGACAACGTGCGGACACGAATGACCAGGCAGGAAGAGTCCCGGACAACTGCCATTGATCCTTCGGTTTCTCGTCTCCTTCTCGACACTGTCGGGCGTATAGCAGCGCACGATTCCATCTCCCCCTGTTCGGAACTAACGACCTCGCCCTTCAGTTCGGAATCCACCCGCCGCGGGCCCGTGAACGTAACCGCAAAAATCTTCACGATCCCCTACCAACTCATCTCCACTCTCTCTTCCAGCCTCAGCTCGGCCACGTCAACGCGGATATCCTCCTTCACTGCGATAGCAGCCCTACTCTGGTCCCACTGCGTGCGAGCTCGCGGACCCGTGCTCCAATCCCCATCATTCATTCTGACCACGCTGGGCATTGCAGTTGATCACCGGAAACGCCTCGGTCCACCATTCGAGGAGGGCTATATGGGGAATCTAGCATTACACACCACCGCCACGCGATCCGTCGATAGTCTTCTCCTCCCTGCAGAAATCACGGACAAAGAACTAGCACCCCTAGCTGTTAGCATTCGCCAATCACTACAGTCGCTCTCCAGCAAATGGGTCATCAACCGCCTCGCCTTGCTATCCTGCATTTCCGATGTCTCGACTGTGCGCCATAGCTTCCAGATTGCAGGGGGTTCGGACTTCTTCATTACCAGCTGGACGCATATCGGCGCAGACTGTGAATGGGATATTCCCGGTACGACGTCGAAGAAGTGGGAGTTCTTTCGCAAGCCGCGGTGCACGGGAGATGGTGGCATTGTGGTATTGCCGAGGCGAAAAGGGGAGCGGGAGCCGTTTGAGGTGCTCGTGCAGCTTGTGGATGAGGATATGGAGAGGTTGGTGGAGGGAATGGGTAGTTGGGCTGAGAAGGTTGTTTGTTAAGCTCTAGTAAAGGTGCTGTATAGGCGGGAGTCTTGTGAAGTGTATGGCGGTAAGAAGGGCGGCAAAAGGAAGCGGTTAGAGCTAACTTGGGCTTTTCGACCAGTGAAAGACTACCCTGCAGGATAGGTTCTACCTCGCGCGGCGTCGTATTAACTCCACTCAACTCACACAGAGACTGCAAACATGGGTTTTTTGGTACCCTGCATGAATGCTCCTCACGCCCATCATCGCAAATCTTCCCGCAAGTCCCACTGAGTTAGGTAGCGATGGGTCGCGCTTACCTAGCTGCTGCTTTCAGTGGCTTCGTGGGGAACCCGATTCTGGTGCGGTGAAGAAGGAGAGTGATGTGAGTGCTGTGAAGGAGCTCCGAGGCATCTGTTGGAATGCTGCTGGAATGTTGGGTGTGGGCACCGTTCGTCGTGTGTGAAGAGCGCAGCATTGCATGCCGAAACCGGAACGTGAAAGTCAACCGAATCTCTAAGGTTGGTATACCTCTCAATTTGACATAAAATCCTCCGATCGGACTCTCGTATCTTGCCGCTTTGCCACTGCCCACAATTCTACCTATCTGGCTACCACTGGACATCTTTCGAAGCCACAGTTTGCAACCATGCATTTAATACGAAGCTTCGTTCTTACACTTCTCCGCCGACGCCACCCGCGAATATCTACTATGCCACCGGGCATGCAAGCTGGCGACTTGCCTTATGTGAGGGAGCTCATCGAAGTGATCTTTCTCAACCTCGACTTCGTCGACCTTATGCGAGTGCGGCGCGTGTGTCGCTTCTGGAGACAAACCATAACCGGGGCCCCGAGTCTCCAGCGGATACTTTTCAAGCGAGCCGAGACCACCCGCAAAGAGAATTACGGCTTTTCACGCGCGATTGAAGACTATCACGGACCCCTAGATCCCGAGATCTCACGCGCAATCAATGACTGGCAATTTGCGCTCAGACGCTTCCTAGACCAGCCACCAACGCAGGACACTCTAGGCGTTCTCGATCATGCAAATGGCTCAGTAGCTATGCATTTAGTGCGCACGGATCGCTTCGCCGCGGGATGGCCAATCGACATACTGGACATGTTCTGTCAACCCTGCGGTTCGTTCCACAACATTATCCTAGAAGCGCACCTCCATCCGCTTTTCCGCCATTTCAAGCCGCATTTGGTATGCTTCAGAAGCTGGGGTTTCCGACTTATTATCACCGCAGCCTTGCAGCGATGGGACTTTTTCTTGCACCGCCCTTCTGTAACTTTCATACGGAACTCGCTTGATCAAACGCTGGACGTGTATGACACTTTGCGGAATATAGTCCACACCATGCGCGCTTACGGATTGGAAGCGGATATGTTGACGCGCCCTCTTTGCTCTCGACTCATAGTTACCAACACGATAACACTACAAGTAGAAGAACATCATCAAGGGGTCACTGTAGGTCAAGGGGCTACATTAATGGTTAAATTATGCCACGAATCTCTCACTTCATTGCGCAATACTGTTGTTGAAGGCCGGGCTCGAGAAGATCCGGAGGGCAAGGAGATTGATCGTTGCACGATTTTGGGCGAGATTGATCGGGTTCTGACACTTGTCAAAGCTCTACTTTAAACGCGAAAGGCTTATTTCATGTAAATGCTATACTTTCTTCAATACTTCGGTCATTGTTAGAGATGACTGATGCTTGCGAGCGGGATTTGTATGCACACATGTAGAGCGCGTACTTTGATCACCCCTGTGGGTAATCTTGAGCATCGTGCAGGACGCCGAATATTTTCCATAGCAACCGCGCTAGCAGGCTTCATTGTTCCCCATTAGTAGCATTTCTTTAACCACTGTTCGCTAGCGGCTGTGATTGTCGCCATCATTTATTCCTAGTTCTACTCCTGGCGCGTTGCTAAATCCTACCTCACCGACATTGAGTATATTCGCCTTTCTTCCGCCATCGTGTATGCCCCCTTTACTGAATTTCCGTATCTTTGAGAGTTGTGAGCAATGATATCAATTTCTTCTAATCAGCGTTTCGGTCTCTCTTCTCTACAGAATTTTTAGGAACAAGAGCTGGCTATGAGTGGTTTCCTCCGCACGGCCTCCTCGCATACGCTCAGTTATCTCCACTTCCTACGGGGGTAGGGTCGGGCATCTTCTATTCGAGGGACAAGTCACACATTGCGGCTGATTCAAGACATCGCTTGCAATATACCTAGCCCAATTGTGTGTCAGCTCCTCACCCTGCTGGATCAGACGCGTCGCTCGAAGGAAGCGGACTCGGACCCCTCCGTATCGGCATTGAACAATAACCGTATTCGGGCGACAGGAGTGGCGAATAAAGTGAGGAATCCCAAAGTGATCGAACGTGTCGTGATAGCAGTAAGCCTTTCGGAAGTCCGCCGGATTCGTTGGATTGGAAATCCTGAACTTAGTGGTATATCGCTTCCGGTCCTTGAATCCTTCTTGGAAGCTGGCTCTGCCACCGTCGAAATTATCGGTGATGGGCCTTAGGATGCCAGGATCCAAGGCAATAAACTCGTCGGGTGCAAAAGTGGCATTCGCATATACTGCAACTTCATCTCCCGCCGGTAGAACGCCAACGTCTCGCTCAAGCAGGTTGTGGTTTGCCTTCAAGCTGTCGAAGTTACAGTCGCATTGCTGCCTGAACCTACAGCCACCACAGAACTCCGTCCAGTCGGCAGTAGTCAGGTCCTCGATCCTCGTCGGTCGCCACACTGGCCCCACAAATCCAGCTGGGCGAGGAACGCCAGTCCAATGACTCGGGCCGAAGTAGTTCTCGACCACCTGGTCGGATTCAGTCAGAATCTTCACCATCAGCGTCTCGGGGTCGGGGTAACCCCATTTGTCGAGAGAAAAGACGCACTTATCTCGGAGGGTATTAATGATCCTCGTCTTCGTCGCGCGTTCATCGGTAGTTAGCACCTGGCTAACATCGCGTTCTTTCGATGAGAGCTGAGTGAGCTCGGCGCAATCAGCCTCGCTGTCGAAGTATTCGAACACATCGAGGAAGTTTGGGGGTGTTGAGTCGTCTGGAGAAGCCATCTCGATGGTCCAGTTGAGGAAGTGTATTCTTTCCTAGCTATCGAGCTCCGGCGATGTGGCTTTCTACTGGAAGTTTTTCGTCGTCAAAGTTGTGATTTGCCTGCAGAGCGAGCTGTGTGGAGCAAATTGAGCTGCGGTCTGTGGGAGCTTTTTGTTTAGGGAGGAGTCAGGGGTGAAGCCAGTCGGGGTCCATGCATGGCCAATACCAGCTATTCACCAGTGCCCGATCGCACGTCGGTGAAAGCAGACACTAGCCACACGACTGGTAACAAGCGTGCCTCTCTCAGCTCTCCTCTTAGGGCGCTTGTTGACAACTCCTAGAATCAGGCAATCTTCCGACCCACACCAGCCCTTGTCTTCCCCCAACAGCAGTCATCTGTTCGCGCTTCCAACGTACCTCAAAGACGGCTCATGCTGATATTGACAATGTGCACTGCGGCTTTCGCCTTGCAGAAGCGGTTCATGAAGCGGAGTTCGGAACTCTTTCGTGCGCCGTCGAAGTCGATACCCTTTACTTGCCCGGATGTGGTGAACAAATGCGGATTTGAGCGCGGTATTAAGTTGCTTCATCAGGGGGCTTATCATCTCGAGGCCATCTTGCTGGTGTACCTCAAGGATCCCTTAGTCCTACTTCTGGAAGAGTTAGTCAAATAGATGCAGGGAGACAGAAAAATAGATCGACTAGAATAATGATAAAAGATTGAAAAGGGGAAAGAGGAAAAGAAGGATCTTGTAATCTACTTGTAAATACGAGGGTCCAAGGACGTGGACTTCTTCCTCTCTTAGTGGAGACATAGCGAAGGCCAAAAAAAAGGCAAAAACATACAACAGCCGGGTATTCGCTAGTGGTCACCCACCTAACTACTAATCCGCCGGTATCAGGCTTGACGTGTGTAGATCTGACGGGGTACCGTATTTTCCTGATCCTATGGTCGTATGTATTAGAAATGCGTTGGTGGAAAGTATATATACTTGAAGAAAAGGCAGAGTCACGTGATATCAACGCCAATTGCGGTCGTCTCCTCGCCGTTCTTGATGTGCCGCTCAGTATTCGGCAATCGCCGATTTTGGAAGAGTGGGATGAATAGGTGCAGTGAGACGTACTCTGAGGACCCGTTCACCGATGTAGTTGTGAGGAATGCAGTAGTCGCGGCGGGATCTATGAAGTTGCTCCGTCTGGGCATCCGGGAGACATTATTATGTGGAGATATTGTGGCCGGACGACTTAGGGGGATGCATTGGTGAAGTGTGCCAGTTAGGAATCGATGTAGATCTGTGCCGCATTGGTAGGGAGAGAGCACTATTCCGAACCTCCTGAGGACGGTCTATTGGAGAGGACTTCATACTTAACTATGGAGTAGGGCGTGGGATCCAATCGGTTGCGAGATCAGATAATCCAAGGAAACGCTCGTAAATACAAATCAGAGACAGACAAACGTGTGAGCAAGCCGCGCAGAAACGGAAGCAAGCATGTCGTACTTGAACGGAAAGAAAGATAGCAATGCTTTAATCCGATTCGGTTCAATTCTGCTCGGCGTTGCGAATTGGTGTTTTCATAATTCGTCGAGACCGAAGGCGCGGAAAGAAAGTAAAGGTATACTATGCCAACCGCATATTGTAGGATACAGCACTCCGGCCATAGAACGGATGAGATAACTCTAGCCAAGCGCTAGATGCAGGAACATGAATTATTCCGGGAGTTAATCTAACTTCTCCTCGCTCCGTGTCGAGCAGGGTAAAGCGGGACGGCTCTTGCGCTGCACGTGCTATCATGTACGCCGGACCCCAGGCTCCTACTCCGAGCGCCGGGGATCTAACGTTCGACGGACCGGGTGCCCAAATCAGATCTTCATTTGCAGTGGAGGAAGAATTGATTACCCCACGTGGTAAGAACAGTCTAGCCTGGGTAAGGTCAGTACGTATAAGAATGGACCGTCTGTTCTGAGGTAAAGCACACACTCATCGGCCGCTCTCATTCTCGCGCAATGGTGGCGATTCGTGCATCCTTGGCCACGCTCTTCCTCGCGGCTTGCGCTTCGGCACAGCAGCTCTCTTCGACGCTCACCCAAATCAAAGATTTCGGCCCTAATCCGCGCAATGTAACCATGTACATTTACGTTCCTAAGAACATAACTACAAATGCACCAATCATGGTAGTCCCTCACTGGTGCCACGGCACTGCGAAAGACGCTTTCAACGGCCGTCCCTATGCCTCGCTAGGCGATCAATACGGCTTCATCTCCATCTATCCCGATTCACCGAATAAAGCAGACCAGTGCTGGGACGTGAGCAGCAACGCATCATTGACGCACAACGGCGGTGGGGATGCATTGAGCATTGTGAACATGGTGAGGTGGACGATTGAGAAATATGGAGCGGATAAGGATCGGGTGTTTGTAACGGGCACGAGCTCAGGCGCGATGATGACCAACGTACTCCTCGGCTCGTATCCGGATGTTTTCGCTGCAGGAAGTGCATGGGCCGGTGTAGCATTCGGCTGTTTTGCTGGAAATGGCTATGATGTCTGGAGCGATGCATGCGCTACTGGAAAGATTATTAAGAACGGCACTGAATGGGCAGCGATGGTGAAGAATGCGTTTCCTGGATATACTGGTTTCCGACCTAAGATGCAAGTCCTCCACGGTACGGCCGACACCGTTCTCTACCCACAGAACTTGATGGAGGAGATTAAGGAATGGACGAGCGTGTTTGGATACAGCGAGACTCCGGAGGAGACGACAAAGGACACGCCGCTGAAAGGCTGGACGAGATACAGCTACGGGCCGAAGTTCGAGGCGTATGAGGCAGCTGGGGTAACCCACGATATTCCTAACCAAGCGGATCTGGTGATGGATTGGTTCGATTTAAAGTGCAAGGCTACGATGTCACGGATGTGCTACTCGAGGGCCTCTGGCTAGGCTAGGTATTAAGAACATGGTTGGCAAATGGATAAGGGGACCCAGCTTCGATGCATACGCTCTTAGTCGAGAAACATCCCCAGACGCCCCATATGCTGCCGCGCGACATCGTGGGTCTTTGTGATGTCATCCGATGATCCGACTGTGCGCGGTTCGCTAAAACTTCCCAATTCGGCCTAGTGCCCACTAGCAATCTCGGCTCCGCTTCCCGCGTCAAAAGCTTGCGCCTTGCTTGCCACGCTTCACGCTTGCTTTTGCAACCTCCCGTGCTCCCCTCCAGCCATCTCGTGCAGTGTAACGATTGCTGCCTTCGCCAGACAGCAGAAGCAAACTCCTCTGTGTTGGCCAGATGATTGCTTCACTAATTTTCCCTCGTACTAATCTCACCTGGAGCCCAGTGAGCCAATATGTCCAGCAGCAGCGGATACGACACCGACACCTCGTCAGAGGCCGAGACGATGCTCGGGCCCGTGCTTGAGTGGTACTCAAAGATCTACAGTCGGCGCGTGGACATTGTCGGCGATTACGCTGGCAGCGAGCTCTTCCTCATCGAAGGCGACTCTCTTCTCTTGCATTGCTTCAGCGACGAGCACATCGACTTCCATCCTGGCTTTCAATTGCTTCACGCCACTTGGGCCGTTGAAAAATTCCTGCAAGGGTTAGTCTCGCGACGATGCAACTTCCATGTCGCCTTCTTCGACCAGCACCGCGAGCTTTGCGTGCCCCCGTTCCGTTCGCCTGAAGCGCGAGAGAAATACCTTCTCGCAAGGCCTGCCATCATCCGGCATCTCTCCACCCACCTGAAGCTCGTCCACCCGCAAATCGAGGTCAATGTGTTCCCTTCCGTCTCCTCGACTGCGTTTGCGCACTATCTCCGGACCACAGATCTGTACTTCATCATGTGTCATGATGGAGCTTCCTCAGGAGCCTTGCGCAGGAGGAATATCTTGAGCAAGAGTCTCAACGCCTTTGAGGATGAGGATGAAGACGAGGACGAGGATACCCAGGAGGACGTGCTACGGACGAAGACAACCTTCCGCCAGCTCATATATTGGTTCATGCAGCGCGGCCACTCGGTGGTATTGATCAACGGACTGGAATGGCGAGACACAAAGGCGGTAGCAACTGTGTTGGAGAAGCCTCCTCGAACTGAGAACAGCATTTCATTGACGGTAATTCCTCTATCAAGCAGGATTTCTTAACAGCTCTTTGATCGCAAACAGCGCTAATCTCGTCGTGCAGATCGATTCCATTAGCACAGCTGCGAAGGAGCCGCGCCCGCAGTTTCTAACTCGTTCTATCTTCGATACTGTCAAAGCCAATATCAACCACGAGCTGACCGAGCGTCAATACCTCACCCTCCTTGTTCTGTCGATGCTTCAGTCCGAGGACAAGACCACTGGGAAGTTCTCGAATGCTTTTCTACGCCATACGGCGTTGCTGGCACAGCTACGCTTGTCTGAACGACTCATCGAGGTCTCGGATCTCAGCAATTCAGACAGTGCATCTGTATTGTTGTTCTGTGAGGAAGCCACCACAGTGCTCCACTCGGCGGCATGGGCAGGAAACATGCGAGCTTGGCAATGCGACTGCGATGTCGCCGATCTTGTTGACGGTCGGCTGCTTGCCGCGTGCTTACGCGACGCCTCGATCGGCCGCAACGAATATAGTCAATCGCTATTGCGGGTCCTAGCGTCGCTCGGCGCCAATGGCATTTCGGATGAGACGGAGGTCGTAGATTCGAGTGAAGGTAAGTCTACTCCTTTTCAGAGCCATATCAGGATCAGCGCATGTAGGCCGCAAAGACATCAAGAGTCCCCGGCGCATCTAGGAAGGCGGCGTCAGCTTCAGTTTGAAACGCGGCCATGTTTCCCAACGCCGACCGAGGATGCTAACGTGTCGCATAGGACGAACCAAGAAAGTCACGCAGGTCGAACCGCCTTCATCGGATTCTTATGCTGTCCTGCCTTTCTCCAACAGCATATTTGACGATCATCTCGCGCCGGTTCATCTCGCCGAAGATCAAACAGGGGATATCGCCGACGCTACTTCTACAAATATCTTCCGGGAAGTGACTCATTGGCACAACAGCAAACGTCCACTCGACCCAAAATTGCGAGAAGACCAAATTGCGCGAAATCAAAAGCAGCAATTTTTCGCGCGCCGGCGCAACCAATTCTTCATGGCCGAAATGACAGCATACGCTGCTAGTCTCACGAATGCGGTCGGGAAAGCGCTGGAGCCTGAAATCATAGCGTCTGGCGTGAAGTCCGAAAAGAAGGATGATCACACGAAGCCCAAGGGTAACCCCAAAGCCAATAAGAAGGCAGCGCCGACGAAGAAAGAAGCAATGCTAGCCGAGATTGCAGCAAAGAAGAGTCGCAAGGATGAAGCAAGTTCGGAGACCCTTCTTCAAGGCTGGCGCTCAACCTGCGATGCCTTGAATCGCGAGCCTACCCCAGTCATCCAGTTTCGAAAGGCCAAGCAATACCTTTCCACGCTCAACACAGAGTTGAAGCGGAATGCTCTCGAGGCCGAAGTGCGGCTCTACATGCTCAACGCTATTATTTCCATGTGGGTATCCGCTTGCCGGGATGACGAAAAGACGAACCACATGCCCATCGCCGCTCTCATTTTCGACAACGTCAACACGCTCTCGAAGTCGGGTAAGCCAATCACGAAGACCATTGCGAATTGCCTTGAGAAGACCCTGAAATATCTCTCGTTACCTAAGTTACGACTTCCATCGCCGGAAGGGGATCGAGCGTTGGCTTTCAAGTTCATCCTGAACGACCCTCCCACCGTTTCGCTAGCTTTGCCTATCCCGCCCGACAGCTTCCAATTGCTCCATTGTGGACCATACTTTGATCGGAACATAGACTCGGGGCCCGATCCTCGCGTTCCATTTGAGCCAGATGCATGGCAACGAAGAGTCCTTGATGAGATTGATGCGAGGCGCAGCTTGCTCGTCATCGCGCCCACTTCGGCCGGAAAGACATTCATCTCTTTCTACGCTATGAAGCAAGTCTTGGAGTCGAACGACACCGACATCCTGGTATATGTGGCCCCTACTAAGGCGCTAGTCAATCAAATCGCCGCCGAAGTACAAGCGCGGTTCTCGAAATCGTACAAATACGGAGGCAGCTCTGTGTGGGGTATCCATACACGGGACTATCGCATCAACAACCCAACAGGATGTCAAGTTCTTGTTACGGTGCCCCACATCCTACAGATCATGCTCTTGGCTCCATCAAACGCCAATTCTTGGTCCAAACGGATCAAGTGGATTATCTTTGACGAGGTGCACTGTATCGGTCAAGCAGAGGATGGCTTGATTTGGGAACAGCTACTACTTATGGCTCCTTGTCCGATCATTGCGTTGTCCGCTACCATAGGCAATCCTGACGAGTTCAGTGCGTGGCTTACCTCAACTCAACGATCGCTAGGTAACGATCTCGTCATGGTACAGCATCCGCACAGGTACTCTGATCTACGCAAGTTCGTCTACGTCCCGAAACGACCATTGCGAGTTGGTTCTGCCTTGCCAACACAAGGTGGCTCCGGACAACAGCAGCGAGGTATGTCGAGGATTGGATGATCAACAAGTGATGCCGCTAATGTCGCAACTTCAGGCATACAATCTGAGACCCGGTTCGAGTTCAAAGGCCTACCCGAGATTAGCGCATTCGCCCAGTTAGGGTTGGACGACCGCGAAGACTTTGCCTTCCTCCATCCGGTAGCGAGTCTCATCAACAGGGCCCGCGGCATCCCCCACGATTTTAGTCTCGAAGCGCGGGACTGCTTCACGCTTTGGCAGAGCATGTCCAAACATCAAACAGCCGCTTATTCGCTTGACAAAGCCCTAGATCCCACGTCTGCACTTCCCGCTATTATCAAGAAGGTCGACATCATTCGCTGGGAGGCTTCACTTAAGGCAGTGCTTCGTGACTGGATGGCAGATGTCAACTCGCCTTTCGATGCTGTCTTGAAAGACCTCAGCAGCCCACTGAGGAGGTCACAGAGTCGCTTAGAGAGAGGAGAAGCAACCGAAAAAGGGAATGACCTGGATATTGAGCAGAATGAGATTGGAAACGCGCACGACATCAACAGTATTCTACCACTCCTTGCGAATCTCCATGAGCAAGATGCGCTTCCAGGGATCATCTTCAACTATGATCGTGGCCTCTGCGAGAAGATCTGTCAGACCTTGATGACCCAACTCGAGACGGCAGAGGAAGTGTGGAAGGAATCGAGCGCAAAGTGGAAAGCTACGTTGCACAAATGGGAGGAATACAAAAAGGTCATGGTCAAGGCAGGCAAACGCGGACCGCCTAAGCTGCCGAAGAAGAAAGGTGCTGCGGGAGAAGATGCCCTCACCAAGGAAGACGTAATGAGAGACGCTGCCAACAATGAAGCTAGTCCATGGGCTTCATTTGATCCTAACAAACCGGTCGACGGGTTTCACTTCGCCGATGACAAGAGGCTGTCACACGGCGATTTGGCTGTCTATGAGAAGGAACTTCGTCGCCGAGAAGTTCCAGAATGGCTGCTTAGTGCCTTAAGGAGAGGGATTGGTGTCCATCATGCTGGCTTGAATCGCAAATATCGCCAGGTGTGCGAGATGCTCTTCCGGAAGAGATATCTACGTGTAGTCGTCGCCACCGGAACTTTGGCGCTGGGTATCAACATGGTATGTTTTCCTAGTCTCATTGTCAAGGGCATGGACTGACTAACGCCCCAGCCTTGCAAAACTGTGGTCTTCTCGGGAGACTCAGTCTTTTTGAGCGCCCTCAACTACCGGCAAGGCGCTGGTCGTGCCGGTCGCCGAGGCTTCGACATGCTTGGGAACATCGTGTTCCATGGAATCTCACTGAGCAAGATCCACCGCCTCATCAGCTCTCGTCTGCCCGACATCAATGGTCATTTTCCGATCACAACGACCTTGGTACTCCGTCTTTTCACGCTCCTGCATGATTCGAAGAACTCCTCTTTTGCCATTCGATCGGTCAATGCGTTACTTTCTCAGCCCAGACTTTATCTCGGGGGCGAGGAGTCGAAGATGACGGTTCTCCATCACCTCCGCTTCTCGATCGAATATCTTCGGAGACAATTCTTGCTGGACTCCCATGGCGCGCCACTGAATTTTGCCGGATGTGTAAGCCATTTGTACTTCACGGAGAATTCGTCGTTTGCGTTCCATTCTCTGCTGAAAGACGGGTACTTCCACCAGCTGTGCACAAACGTTGATACGAACCGGGAGAGCGTTCTCCGAGAGCTTATTCTCGCAATGGCGCATCTATTTGGTCGTCTTTACTGTCGCCAAGCCGACGAAGAGTTTGTGGAGCAAGTCGTGAAGCGGAGTCCATCGATCGTCTTCCTACCTCCGATGCCTGAGCTTGCGGCCGGGATCTTGCGTACACACAACCAGTCGACCCTGGAGATCTACAAGGCCTATGTTCGCACCTTCGTCGATCAACATCTTAAGGAGCCTGACGCTGCCCTACCGTTGACCCAGTTCAAGATATGCGGCCAGAAAGGCTCTAGTCCAGCTACCGGTCTGCCGCAGCGCACCCCAACCAATGTCCGTTCTCCTTTCGTCGCACTGTCCGGGCATGATGATGAATTTGAATCGATCCACGACCTCTGTGCAACTATTCGCTCCGGAGTCTTCCTGGAGGAAGCGGTGGTGCCGTACGTCGGCCTCTACCCCGAGGAGTCCGAGATGCCACTCAACGCCTACCTATACGACTTCTTCATGCACGGAGACGTCACAGCACTTGCGGCAGCAAACCGAATCCGGAGCGGAGACGTCTGGTACGTGCTGAATGACTTCTCAATGGTTCTCGCAACGATTGTCACCAGCTTATCCAACTTCATGAACCTAACTCCGCAATCCGACCTCGACTTCACAGACGTTCGCGGCGAAGGCGAAGACGCAGAAGAAAGGCAGGAAGACAAGCTCCTTCCAGACGATTCCGGCTACGAGACCGGCTCGACCGCTTCCACACCTTCTGGGGCCGCTGCTCCGGGGAAGAAGAGCCTTTCCATCCAACCTAGGAGGAAGAAAAAGGTCGCGGATACTTGGGACGAAGATGCGGACAAAGAAGAATTTGAGATCGAGGTTGCGGCCAAGAAGGAAAAGGCGGAGGCTAAGGCACGGGCCTTGGAAGAGAAGCCGGCTTGGGAGGAAGGCACCGGACTGTTGAACGTACTCAAAGCGTTCAAGGCGTTGAAGGAGGAGTTTGATACGAAGTTCAGGGCTATGTGGGCTTGATTGAGTCCTGGGATAAGCGTCGCCCGGCACGAAATATGGATTCAACATGCCATATTCGTGGGTTACCTTCGCGTCCTGGGCTACATCGCATCACAGATTTGAGCTAGGGGAAAATTGAGACAGTGATACAGGTATAGAGCAAGACATACACCTTGTAATAAATATTATCCAGAGGGTATAAATATACCGTCGCGCACTGCTGGAAATAGTGCTACGTAATGGCGTGACCAGGCCATGCTCGTCATCTCCTCTTGAATGCCCTATGATAAAAGGATCCCTATGCTCAATTTACTGAGAGAGTCTGAGAGTATATTGTTATCTTGAGAGGCTACAGAAGGGTTGGCTTGGCTTGCTAACAAGGGTACGTTTGACGCTTTGCCTATCTAGCAACGCTTTACTACTTTTGGAGGAGTTTGCTGAGCTAAGCAAGCAGCAAACTTCGCGAACCCCTGAACGTTCCAGATGTCCACACCCATGCAGTGATAATTAGAGGTGTCTATCAACTTTATTGCGAGCTCTAAAATCTGCTCGACATGTTGCCAACACCCGGTGTTAAGAATACCCGCAAACACAACCCTAAAGTGAGGACTGGCTGCAAAACATGCAAGTAGGTCTACACTCTCATGTTCAATGAACCAATAAATGCTCATAGAGCCCATTGGACGACTGGCTGACATCTGTATAGGGTACGCCGTGTCAAGTGTGATGAGAAGCGACCCAGCTGCTTGAGGTAAGCATGATCTACAGGATCCGCTGTCGCTCTCCTGATCCAATCAGGTGCACCAGTACAGGCCGCAAATGCGATGGCTACGCCCAACCCAAACAGGACTACCAAACCCAAGTAATCAGCCAAAGCCGGGCATCCCGTGTCCAAAATGCCGTACCAATGCTTTCCGGATTCGGCGATAACGTGCACTATCTGGAGTTCTACCATTATTGTGCTGGTCCCACTCTGTCTAGCGCAGATAGATTCGACACCGAGTTCTGGTCGCGCATATCCCTCCAGATGGCCCATTCGGAACCGGCCGTGCGTCACGCCCTTATAGCTCTAGGGTATCTTAACAAGCAGGAGACAGGCAGTTTAAAGCACGCGCGCTTAGGCTTTACAAACGATTGCAAGACTTTTTGGCCTCACTATAACAAGGCTGTTAGGCATCTTGTTGAGCGCATGGCCGAGCCGTCCTACTCACCAGAAATCGGGCTTGTCACTTGTGTACTCTTTGTGTGCATCGAGTTCCTGCGCGCCGACATTCAGACAGCATTCACGCACCTAAGGAGTGGACTCAAAATCATTTCTGAGCTACGGCAAAGACACCACACCGACTCACCGAGGCAGCTCCCTGGAGCAATTCAAAACGGTTCCACCGCACCGATGGATATGATCGAGGACAAGCTTATGCCGATGTTCATTCGAGGAATGGCATCTGCTCTCATGTTTGGATTGAAAGTCGAGGACGACTTCGCAATACTCTGTCCGCCTCCGCAATCCTTCCAGTCGCGACGTTTCACGAGCATTCGCGAGGCCCAGTCTTCCTATCACGAGCTCCGGAACGCTACTCTCATCTTCGCACGCCAGATGATCATCAATATCATCGTGCTGCATATAAACCCAGCGACAGCGGAGGACGTTCAACGCCAAAATCAGTTCCTGGAATGCCATCGCGCATGGTACCGGGCGTTGGAAGCGCTGGAATGCTCTCAGACATGGTCCTCAGAAGATAAAGTCGCCATCAGCTCCCTGAAAGTGTCCTACTACGCAACCTACGTCTTTGTAGCCTGCGCGACAGACGCTGGCCAAATGTCCTACGATGCCCATCTCGACAGCTTCAAAGCGCTCCTACACCACGCCAAAATTGTGCTCGATTCTATGCACCTCGGGGGCCTCGAGGCAAAGCCATCTTCCCGCGCTGCCGCTGCAAACTTCACTTTCGAAATCTCCCTCATTCCCTCCCTGTTCATGGTCGCAACACGCTGCCGGTGTCCCACCACCCGCCGCGAAGCCGTCTCCCTCCTTGCTCTCAATCCACCACGCGAGGGTCTCTGGGATGCAGAGCAGCATGTCATCGTGTCCAACCGCGCCATGGAGATGGAGGAGATGGAGGTAGATGAGAGAGGGTGGCCGACGGAGAACGCGAGGCTCTGGAGTAGCGTTATCGAACCGAACATGGACCGGACTGGCGGCTTTTGGGTGCACCATTGCCCTGCGAAGTGGGTTGGGAGCGTCGATGAGACAGGGAGGCAGAGGATAATACGTGAGTATCATGTTCTTGAGGAAACTCTGACAGATCCCCTATATGGATATGTGGAGCCCCCGAGAATCGCGTTTTCCCCCAACACGGCTCCTTTACATTAATAGAAGCTATGTCTTGCATCTACCAAGTTCGTTTTGAAAATCGAACTACTACACAGCCACGATAAATGGCGCGGAAGACGCTGGGACAAGGACATGCCTCACCAGGAATACGCCTCAACTTCTAACTCAAACTCCGTCTTCCCAAGTTTCCCTGCCTTGGAAACAGCAGCTCGTACATCGTCGCAAAGCCCACCGGGCCCTGATACAACTACGCCGACCCTTTCCCAACCGGCTTCCATCTCCTCAGCCAGCAACTGTGTGACATCAAGTCGGCTCCCTACGCTGACATGTTTGTCTGCGACACTAGTGAGAGCCCCTTCTAGGTTCTCGGCCAAGCATCTAGTAGACTCTTTGGCGCTCCAGGCCAGCATGACGTTCCAGTGATTGACGAGAAAGGGCAAAACGCCTGTCACGCCGATACCACCACTGATGAGCAGCAAGCGATCGTGCGCAAGGGCAGCCGTGCCCAACAGCCATGTTGAACGAAGGATGGCGGAGATCCTCATATTGACCGGTGGCAGGCACGAGCTCGAATGATGTCGCGCTGGACACAGAGAAGGAGGGCCTTGCAGACATTATATCGCCATCCTATGGCACGAAAGGTAGAAGAAATCAACCCATCAGATAGGTTTGCCAAGCATGCCAATTTGGCAGGAGGATTCGCGCAGGAAACCCATGTCCGTCAATACCGACTTGAGCTCGTTCTTGCTGTAAGCTGCAGCTGCTGAAATAGGGCTAAGGCGTGCGGCTTGCATGCGGGCCACTGACAAGCACAAGAAAGCCTTCGTGTGCACACAACTTATTTCCCTGCCTAAATGCTGGGACGTTGGGCTATCCAGGTCCGTGGATTCGTCTCGACGGGCGTGTGGGCTGCATTGCACTACGCGTCTAGCGCCTTGCTGGGTCGAGAATATAATCTTTGAAAGTGTGCGTGTGAGGCTATTCGAGAACGTTGAGGCGCGTAACGGACGCGATTGCTGGCGCCTAGTATATCGCAGTTGGGTGGTCGAGTAATGCCTATGATGTCTGTTTTAGCTGGAGCTGGCTTTGGCTCTAGCGCCTTGGCGTAGTGAATTGCTACCACGCTCACCTCAATGATCTCAAAGGCGACACCTGGGGCAGAGAAGAGGGTACGGCTAAGCCGCTGAAGCAGCTGCATTGTGTACGTACCATTCTTTAGTAATACTAGCCATAGTACTTCGCCCACGGCAAGAGACCATCCCTTTCTTCTACAAGTCCGCCCACCAGTCAAACGCTTGTACAGCCCCTTCGTGCCACATGAACTGAGAATTGCGCCAGCTCCCATACTAACGCCATCTTACATGCTCTCAAGTCGTGATTGCAAGACATGAATGCCTTCATAAGCTCATATTGGTATCTGTACATGCAATTTATCAAAGGAATCCAGCTTTGACAATCTATCACAGCTGTCCTCTTACCCTCCTAGAAGCCATTTTTACGGTCTGAACGAGCTAGTCCTTACACAGCTACCAACGCCAATCCGCCTAACAAGCCCGCCAAACCTAGCGACAGATCTACTCTTCCTGCCGCGCCCTCGAACGGCTGCAGCGTGTTCCTCGAGATACCGCCGCTCGCCGTCGCGGTTCCGCTCGCAGTTGCGCCGGCCCTGCCATCCACGGTGAAGAAATTCCCTGCAATTGGCGCGCTCACACCATTCGTCTGCATGAAGGAATTGATATTGAAGTTGATCCTCGCTTGCGTATCCGCGAAGTCGGAGGCCTGCACCTGCAAGGTGCTGGGCTGCTGGAAGAGCAACTGGACGTAGCGATGTGCGATCGTGTCTGTCGCTGGTGGGGAAGGGCCGAGATAGGTTGCAGGTCCCTTTTCGGAGGATGCGAGCAGCACGGCCGAGCCACCGATCTTCTGTTGAGTGGCCTTGAAGCCGGTGTTCATGGCGTGCAGGAGGACGCGCCGCGTAGAGTTCCCTTCTGTAGGGGGGACATCCAAGTCCAGCATGACGAACATGTAGGTGTCGTTTGAGGCGATGGCGGAGCTTGATATGGCAATTTGTGGTTGACTCGCGGTCACTTTTGGGGATTAGTTTATATACGGACGAAAGGCGAAATGAGTGTAGGTGAAAAGGACGTACCGGCTTTTGTCAGCTGCTGCCCGGGTGTATTGACGGCGGTTGAGTTAAAGAGGACATCGAGTTTTGTATCAACCGAGGGCGTAAATCCTGAGGGAGTTTGCGCCTGCGCAATACCGACCAATGCGGCGAGGAGGATAGATGATGCGAAGTACATGATGTATAGTCGTAGTCGTAGTCGTAAGTCGTGAGTACAGTTGTAAGAGTACAAATGGGAGCGATTATGTGTCTATTAAACAGTGGTTCCTCGCAGAGGTGCGCCGCGAATACGAGGCGCTCGACGGATGGTATATAAGTCGTCGTAGTGCAACTACGCGTCATTGGAAGCGTGCGGCGACTCCCGCCGCATGGGCTGTCGCACTGTATCGTATGCGCTATGCATAGTAAATCTCCGGCAAGGCTGCGAAGGGTGACCCTGTGCTTGAAACGTGGAGTGCGCGAGGCGGAGACTCTGCCGAGCTTTACCCATAATGCCGCCAACGGAACCAAGGTTCTGCGTCGCTTCTTGAATTTGGCAGAATGATCTCGTATGACTGTGGTGGGAAATATGGGATTTTCATATCGGTGGTGGTGAGTCCGACTTGTATAGCCGCGACGCGATGAAGCATGAGAAGAGCAAAACCTGAGAAGATGACGTAGGAAGGAGCAAATGGAAACGAGGGGGCCTGAAAATGAAACATCGACATAGCTTTGTACGTTACCACGATGAGGCTCTGAGCGTGATCGGCAGTGGTATATGTCAAATGGTTGAGCGCGGTTGAGCGCAGTTGTACGAGATGGCCGAAGCTTTTCGTGTTCAAAGTCAAGGCGCGGCCTTGGAAACCTTGATATAACAGCAGAGTGGGGATCGACCTCACTGAGCTTGGTTCGCTGACGAATGCAACAGGCGGACGCCTCGAATTCAGAAACATTGTTTGGAAGGGGTCCGGCTAACGAGAGGGGATTGCCTCGGGCAATGATGGTAGCGCGTTCCACTTGCAGCATGTCCGATCCAAGCACGTTTTGCTGCGAAAGACGCGTGATAGCTGTGAGAGAAGACTGAGAAAGCTCGTCGCATTTCGGGTACCGTTCGCTGCTGTTGTCAATCTGTCAGGCGTCTGTCAGTGCAAAGTCCCGCCAAGCCCATCTCAATGCGACGAGATTCTAGGCGAACAGCCGAGGAGCTTGGTCGAAGAAAAGACCGACGATGACGTCTACGTGCCTCAGATGAGTGTGAGGCCAAGAGCATCTGCTGCTATGTTTATAAATAGGTCCCGTTGCTGGAGCTCGAAGTTGTTCACGAGAATGAACCTTTCTCTTTTTTCGCAGTGTAACAGCTCAGTCTATTGGATTAAACCTACGGAAAAGGTACCATCTGAGGTGCGTTCAACGTCACGACGGTAAGTGACGAAGGAGCGCGGACAAGAAGCAACTGATGGAATTCGCATGAATTTCGGGAGATCAGCTGCCCGCGATCGCGTTTACGCGGAGAGCGCGATGTCCAAATCGCATTCTTTTTGCTTCAATGTTTCGACTTAAATATCCAATCGAGAGGTGCTGAAGCTCCATTGGACGGGCGGTTGTAGGCAAATTGCCTCGTCATGTAAATATCGCAATTCGAGTGACCTGCTAACGCCGCGCTGAAGGAAGTCTTAACCGGATTGGAGTCAGTAAAGCCAGTGAGGGCCTTCAGAGGGTAGTGTTGTGCAAGCGTCAATCGCACCTCGCATTAAGGACATAATCTGCCATCTGCGAAAGTTGAGATTTCAAGGTCAAATTCGTGCTATAGCGATCGCGCATGACCAAGGATGCGAAGAAGATCCATTGATAAGATTGCCACCACTGTTATCGAGACCTCGGGAAGCCGTACTTAAGATAGCCTGGCTGGTCAAACATCAGGAAACGGTAAAGTCTTCGGTCTTGAATCGATAGCGCGATCGAACCGGGATCTGGTGGCACTGCCTAGCTCCCGTATGAAGGGGATTAGGAGCAAGGAGGGCATGGCGGAGTAGAGGTCTCGATAAGCGCTTCCAAGTTCAACTTTATTAGAAGAGGAAAGACGAAGTAAACGTCAGATTGTGTTAAGAAGATGAAGAAGACGCGCTAATTTTAGCGCTGACACGTGAGTTGGCGTTCGGGTCTGTGCGCCCGGTCACTTCCCCGCGTCGCAAGGCTGCTGAAGCCTGACAACGAACCTTGTTCCTAACTCTTGTCTCCATTTTGTATACTCTTGTCCCTTGTACTTCCTTGACGCTGATCTGGCGCGTATTACACCCCTTGGAAGACTCCTCCCCGTTCTCCTGGCGACCTGCCGGACTTGCGCTCTTCGCCGACGCGGGCAAGTATACATGGGCGACCAGGCCCCTGCCAGACCAGATGCAGCGGAAGGAAAGGGCAGCGCTGAGGTGGAATGGCCGCTCCCATACCGACTTCGACCGCCACAGCAGCACGAGCAGAAGCCGCACTGGACGCATCATCTCTATCGAGGTCCCAATAACGAGGCCGTTGAAGTATTGTACAGCAGCAACAAGGCTCAGTCGGAGGCATTGGCTCAGAGATTTCTCAATGAACCTATCTTAGGGTTCGATCTAGAGTGGCCGATGCCCTGGAACTGGACCAAACCCGAAAAGACACTCAAGGACGAGATTGCTCTCTTGCAGATCGCAAGCCCGGACAAAATCGCCCTGTTCCACCTCGGCCTTCACAGTGGCACCGAGCCTACTGATCTCATTTGCCCGTCCTTGCGGAAGATCATCGAATCCCCAGCTATCACGAAGACTGGGCACAACATCATGGCAGCCGACTGCAGCAAGTTGAAGAAACATTTCTCCCTGGTACCTCGAGCTATCTTCGAACTGAGCCATCTGCATTACTTAGTCATGCATGGCCAAAACGAGCCCTCGAAAGTTCTCACTAAGATAGGTGGGATTAGCCTGGCAGAGCTCGTCAGAATCCACCTTGGGTATGAGATGTTAAAAGATGGAAAGGTCAGGAAGAGTAACTGGAAGAGGCCGCTCAATGAAAGACAGAAGACTTATGCAGCAGCAGATGCATATGCTGGCGTCATGCTCTACCATTGCTTGAACGCGAAAAGAGTGGCTATGGACCCTAAGCCACCCATGCCATTACTAGCAGACCGCTATCTACCATTCGGATCAGCAAAGCAAGAAGCTGTTCGACTCCTACCCTCGAAAGAAGGCGAGACATTCGCAACGGCTGCTGTCGTTTTTGGAGTGGAGGAGTTGCAACAGGAAGAAAAGCAGCAAAACTCAGGAACAGACCCTGTATCGAAAGACAGCGTTCCGAAAAACCGAGCAACGAAGGCCTGTAAAGAGCGGCCCAAACTGGACACGAAATCACAAGCCCTATTCGACCAATTATCACTTCGTCGCAAAGTTCTTGCGAAGGCGGAAGGCGTGCCTGCGTTTCGAGTCGCGTCGGATGCCGTACTTGAATCCCTCGCGCGAGAGCGTCCGGAGGACGACGATGCACTACTCAGTGTGAAGGGAATCGGTAAAAAGCAGCAAGACAAGTATGGGGCAGAATGGCTGGAAGTGATCGCTCAATTTCTGGCAATAAACGAGATCGTACCGCTTGAGCCACTTGAATCAATACCGCAGGTAACATCGGCGTCCGCTCTAGATACGCAGCGTAAGGCACGACCTGCTACGCCCACTCGTCAACCCCGACGTCGAAAGCAGCCACCGGAAAATTCTCCAGATTCGTCTCCGGCGTTTGGAAACCCCGTACGCCCTCCACCCCAGCTACACACCGGGCTATCTTTCGGGCTGGCGGGAACGCAGCTCTCGGACGATGGAGCGACTGTGGATGGTCCATCTCAGACCGAAGCTCATGAGCCCGTGGAAGAAGCTTCAGAAGGGGAGTCGGATAGCTCTTTAGCTTTCTTTACGCCTCTCTCCAGACCAGGATCGCTCAAACGAAAGCGATCCGAAAGTCCACTCGACACGTATATTCCAGGCCCAAGTGAAAAGGACACCGCACCTCTTACTCCGAGATCTAGGATATTCCGCAACAAGATTGTGGCTTTCAGCAGGCAAGTCACAGGGAAGCTTAAGTCGCGGCCAGCGGATGCAGGTCCAGTTGTATCGGAGACGACAATCGACCGAATTGTTGCGGTGGCGCCTCGGACGCTGGAAGAACTGCATCGGATACCGGGCATTGAGGGGTTTGTCCAGGCGTGTAAAGAGACGGAAGTGGACCTGTTGAAGAACATCATGAAGTTTGCGCCAGTGAAGTTTTAACAGACCCCTAAATCTAGGCGATTGAATCTTTTCGAAACAAGACCGACGACACCAAGCTTCTTCAGTTGCTCTGTACGATGCGCACAGCGGTTGTTTGCATCTTCGGTTCCTTCAGGGTCAGCGAAAGATGACGTCTCAATAGGCAGATGGCATTCGGCATACAAAGATGTTATCTGGGGAAAGGATTTCTGTATTGAGAAAGGTTAGGTTGATTTTGAATATTTTTATATACCCCACATGCTGTCCCTTCTCCCACTTGGCAGCGAAATGGCATTCACATGTGAAGGGGCGGATGCCTGCTGCCGACACCGCCAACTGCCGATCGAACACCTCAGCCAGCACCTGAAGGGCTTCTAGCCCAATAACGTGGCGCTATCACTGCAGCCTCTTGCTCGCAATCAGCACCCTGTTCGGTTCAGGGTCTTCGCGTTCGCATATACGCGGTTTTCGTTCTCTGTCGATGCGGAATGCAGACGGCCACCTCGGGCGCTTCGAATTCCTCTTGTTGAACTCGGATTATGATCGCGTAAGAGGATTCCTTCACGCCTGACACGTGCGGCCACGATGTGCCTATATCAGCATCGGTACGTAGGTACCGTGGTTGATGAAACCGAAACGACGGTCGACGGGTGGATGCGGTCAGCCATTCTCGGTTGCACGGTCTGGTCTGCCTCGGAGCCGTGGACGCATAGCATACTACGCGATAACGATGCTCAATGCCTACAAACTTCGGCGAGCAATAATGAAAAGGGATCCGTAGGCAGATGGTGTTGCTGGTGTCTCCCGTCCGGACGGCTTTGCGGATGAGCTGCGGTGGAGCGCGACGATTATTAATAGCCGGGCCGTGCTCCCCACAAGCATCCATGGATCGCCAGCCCTAACACGGGGACGACAATCCCACGGCCTCGCTGTGCGAGTCCACGACAGCGCCTCAAGTCGCGAATACCCTCAACAACCATTGCATAGGAAAGGCAGAGTCAGATAGTCGCCCTGTGTCGCCCGGCTCTCGAGGCACTCGGCTTATCTCTGCCGTGGGCGCTGAACGAGCAGGCGCTTGGCACGTCTGTGGCGCGTCCATCCCTCAGATTAGTGGCTGCCACATGCACGACTGACGCTTGACATGTGATTTTCAGTGGAAAGTGAGCGGACCGCACATCGCTGCCGCACCGCTCACCCTCCCTATCCTGACTGAGGCCTACCGTCATTCACTCCAGCTTGCCCCTCGATATCGACTTCTACGGCTGTCCAGTGGTGAATATGGTCGAGTAGACGTTCGCAGCGTCACCTTCGCACACCCCACCACCGTCCGACCGCCTCTTTGGGAGAAAGCGCGGCGGCAACGTCACCAGCAGCAACAATGCAGCAGGAACGTTCCGCGCAGCCGCCAGCATACACGCAGCATGACCCGAGCTCGCTGAACCTCCCGTCCGTCCCGACGCACACTCTCCCCAGTCTGCGCAGCCTGGACCTGCCGGACGCCAGTCCGGGACCAGCTACGCACTCGTCGCGCGCCTCCATCGAGCTGAGCCCGAAGACTACGAGCACACAATGGGGACCGCTGCCGCCGCTGAGCAGTGCGACGTTTCCCAGGGTGCCTGAGGGCGATGTCGGAAGCCCGATGGATACAGCGAGCGTGGTTAGTGGCGTCGAGGAGCGGAGGAGGGAGATGAGTGTGCTGAGCGTGGACGATCCGGATGTGCGGTTGGCGGCAGAGGCGCTGAGTGGATTGGGCAATCCAGGTGCGTACAAGCTCGTTCTGTATCCATGGATGCTCGTTTGGGCAAATGCACATGGAGGAATTGCAATTTCGTCATCGCACTCGGGGCGTTGTGGCGTCATGGTGTCTTTGACGGAAGCTGCGATGCACCTCGCATGGCGGGGAATCTTCAATCGAGCCTCCCTTGCGTCTGTCCAGCATGCTAACAGCCCACAGACTTCGCCCGATCACCCACCTCCCGCTCCGTCACCCTCTCCGCCCGCGAACCCACAGCCGAGCCCGAGCCACTCCTAAACCTTTTGACATCTGCCCATCCATGGTTGGGCGGCAGTATCAACGGTTCCATATCCGCCTACAACGCAACCAAGGGTTACTCCCCTCGCTTCGTCAAGTACGGTGCCGAGCTCATCGAACGCAACATCGGGTCACCCGTCGTGAACACCGTTTCTTCCGTCGGCCGGCGCACCGGCGTAGAAAAGAACCTCCGCCGCTACCTAGGCGAAGTCCACCGTAGGCCCAGCGACCTCGAGCAAGGCGACGAAGCCGGACGCAAGCGCCAGCGCATCATGAGTCCCTCCCACGCAGACGCCATGGACATCGAGGACAGCCTCGCATTGGCCCGCACACGCGGCGGCTCGCACTCCTCCTACGCCGAGTCTCTCCCTGCATACGACGATCACCGCTCCCCGAAGTACGAAGAAACCGCCGTCGTGGTCATCGATCCCGCACTCACCGCCAAAGACACCGACGCCCAATCCACAACCTCCAACCAAGACCGCCGCGTAAACTGGTCTACCCAGCTCATAATGACGACGTCTGGGCTCGGCGTCGCACTCTCAGACGCGTCGCTCAAGAGTCTGAAATTGTGCTTAGGTTTGCTGCGGAGCGCGACTAAGCACATCGACAGCGTGATGCATGCGCTCAAGCTCGTGCTCGAGGAGTACGAGACCGCGCTCAGGAACACGCGCCAGTCAAATGGCGAAGCTACACACGACGAGAAATCGGGCGATGTGGCCATGTCAGGAGGCTGCTCGGAAATGGACCCCGAGCGCGAAGAACAAGTGCGCCGCATCGCTGACCGCATGAAGTCGCTCTCCAGCGATATATGGACTACGCTCCAAAACGTTGTCCAGTCCGTGTCGCGCTACACAGGCGGCGCTTTGCCACAGAACGCCAGCCAGGTCGTGCGCACACAGCTCCTGTCCGTCCCCCAGCGGTGGCAGCTCGCCAGTCGCAGCACGGCAAATGAGCAGCAGGCCGGCGGCGAGGAGGTCCGGGGCGCGAACCGCATGCTCGCGTTTGCGAAGGAGGGCCTTGACATGATGGGCCAGATTACAGCGGTTGTGGATGGCACTGTGCAGAGTGCGGAGAGTTGGTTGGCGAGGATTGGACGGCGGCCGCAGGGTGCTGGTGAGGGTAGTCATCTAGAGGGGGAGAAGGCTAACTCATCACTCGTTGGCGTCATGGTTGATATGCAGGAGAAGAGATAAAAGAAGCGAACAGCATTCATGCTAAAGAGAGGAAAACACCTGGGAGGGGAAAAAGCTGGGAAGAGGTTTTCTTATTGTCACGTAGATGTGCCTGTCGGACTATAACTAACAGTCCCGTATATCCCCCTTGTTCTTCTTTTCTTTTCTCTTTGGACAGCAAGGCGTTGGTTGTTTGTTCGATGGCTTGGCTTCGGTTGGGGAGGAGTTGGTGTATTTGTCCTCTTCTATTCTTTTCTATCCTATCCTGCTTTGCTTATACTCAAGTTCTTTTCCTTTGTATGTTGGTTAGTTGGTTGAATGATCAGTTCGGTCCGGCTGATGGAAACGGAAAGCAAAGGAGCTTGGTTCGGTTCGGCTTGGCTTGGATGGACTTGGGCTTGTGCGGCTGGCGTTAGAGTAAGAGTAATACAATGGAACGAATAGGCTTTTCGTTGCTATGGCTTGGACTGCGTTAAGTGAGTAAGTGTGGAGAGTGAGGGAACAGAGTGGTGGTGGTGGTGGTGCAGATGACATATCGCAGTCCGTCCTCGCGCTATCCCCCCAGCCTCATCCAAAGCTATCGCATCGGCCGCGCGAATTCGCCGTCGCCGTCCGTATCGGCGCAATACATACCTCCGACTCTCCTGTTCATCTTCACCGCCGACCCCGACCGGTGACACTGTATACCGTACCGCTCGCTCTACTTACACCGCTGGGGGCCATACCATTGTACTACCTGTGCATGCTAGCTGCGAATTCAAATTCTTCGACCGAAACGTGCATCTCCGCGGCCCTTCGCTCGTCCTCCTACGAAGTACACCCAATCGGGAACGCGCCAGAGGGTTTGCCTGAACCGCAAGCTTACGCTAGGTGGGTGCGTGTGTGCAGGCGGATGTCAGCCTGACCGCGTCCGCTTTGGGAAGGTATGCCAAGGTGCGTACTCGCTTGCGGAAAGTACCTAGGGAGGTGTTCACCCAGTCCCATGGCTTAGGTTTGTATGCAAGGGATGGGCATACACACGACCAATACGAAGGCATCTGATTTCTGAGAAGGCGAGCTTACGTTTTAGATTGCGGGCTCGGCGGGTGCCGTGGTTCAGCGAGTGGATCTGATGGTATACAATGCTTACTCTGAGCTGAAAAGCGCCCAGGGCGATCGGCAATAGGTTTGCCTTGTTGGATGGACGAGCTGTTTTGGAACGCGATGGCGGATACGAATCTGGCTTTGGTATTTCAAATTGGATATCTGGGAAGGGCAAAAATAGTACTCGGGGTTGCCGGGCTTGGGGGAGCCGGTGAGTGCAGAGGGAAGGGGAGGGGAGGGATGGGAAGGGGAGTGAGACATGCGATGGGGAGGGCATGGTGAGCTGGGGGGTTCTGGGGTGGCATTGGGATAGGTGATGGTATTATTGTGGTGGATTCTATCTATGATACGAGAAGACGTGAGAAAGAAGCTAGGAAATACAGCGAATGTGGGTATCCAACACCGGGAAAGAGAAAACCAGAAGAACGCCCCGAATTCCCATCCCAAATCAACCTCGTATCCCGCATTACATCGTAACTTGCTTCGTTGAGCTCAGATGTGAAAAGAGTGTTGTGATACTGAACGATCGAACTAGTTGGGGAAATCCATCGTGGGGCGGTGGCAGTGCTGGAGGGTGTACCTGCTCCCCATGCCGTTGAGCGATTAAACGCAGACCGTGAATTTCGAAGGGCGGAATCTGCCTTGTAGGATCGAGATGCAGTCGTTCTCGTGTTTTTGTGTTTTTGTCGCGGTTGAGAGGGCAATTGCACGGGGTGTTTTCAGGGTACTGTCGAGGATCGAGCAAGCTCTGGGATGGCGTATTCGCGCCAATGGGTGTCCTGCTTACAGAGCCTGCACCGAAAGCACTCTATGGAGTCCTATCTCCCGCTTTGCTGATTGCCGCTCTGTTGGGTGGAGGACGTCGGGCTCGAGCCTGAGGACGAGGAGGAGGATCCTGCGTTCGGCGAGGAGGGCGACGTCTGCGGTTGGAAAAAGGGGTGGCCGGTGCTGCCGCTCGGTGATGGCACGTTTTGGACCTGGAAGGGTGCCATTCGAATGGGAGGGATCATGGTGAAGGAATTGATCGCTTCGACCCGGTGATAAGATATGACTCCCGAATTGAAAGGAGAACGGTTGCAATGGGCGTGAAGGAACGACGAGAGTCCGCGTAGAGCGGAATATGTAAGGAAAGCAGAAGAGGATAGAGGTGTAGTCTTGAAAGACTAGAAGAGGAGAGAGGGAGAAAGTTAGCAAAGTGGATAGTCTGAGCAATTCAAAATATGCTTCCTCGCAACCAGTGCATCTAATAATATACTCACCCACACGTGCACTTTGCGCGTCTCTTCCCACGCCACGGCACATGACACCGCGTCACTTACAAGACTGCCTTACGAATCGCTCAACGTACGTAAGGCAGCGGTAGCCTGGCTGCTGAAGCCCTGGATTAGTAACACTCTCGGGATTAGCGATCTCCCTCCCCAACACCATCTATCTAATCTGGAGACCCCTCAAGATACGCAGCGACGATTGGTGGCCGAAGAGCATTGGCAATGCAGCCAGTCTCAAATAGGGACCGTGGGGTGAGATAACGAGACTCATCGCGGAACATTTTTCGTTGTATGCGAGCACAGCTCCGTCACCGGTTTTGAGGCTGTGGACTATGCGACCAGTGGTGAGTCAAAGCAGCCCCGCGGTTCGTATAGCGGTTCGCGACGGTAGAGCGCTAGACCTAAGTGCGCCGATAGAGGGCGTGAGTGGTGGAAGCGCAATCCGTAACTGACGAGCGCAAATGCGAGGGTCGATCTCGGGAGGCTTGAGGTCGAAAGAAGGTATTTTTGGTTCGTGATGCAGGACCCAGCTTTCTGGAAGGTCGCCGCTCGGGTTGCAGTGAGCACGTGGTGCCATTACATAGTTGCAGAAAGGGCGTAGCGGATTGGCCAATCAGAGCTGGGTTCGAAGAAAGCTGTGCCCCACGGAGGTCTTTGGAGAAGGAATTGAGGACAAGATAAGACAATGAGGTTCTGAAGAAAGAGACTGGTAACTGCCATCAATTGTGAGTAAAGGCGGATCGGCCTAATTACCAGCTTGCCCATGCGGGCCTCTCCCAATCCACCAAGATTAGTCCTCCGCTGCGATTCTTTTTCCGGGTGAGCTTGATGACCGGGATATTGGTGTGCTGAGGGTATCCTAAAGCCTGCCCTAAGACATGCCCTCCGTTGATCGGAGACATATCAGCCCGCTGTGGGGTTCAAGCGCTTAGTGCCAAGAGGAGATGTCAACGACTCCGACAGAGCATAACGTTGCGTCTTCTAAGCAAGATAGCATGCTATCGGGTTTAGCGAGAGAAGTACGGTATTGCGATTGTACGTCATGGCCAGCTTTCGGGCTTGCTCCTCTGTTGCGAGGGGTGTGCGTGTGTGCCAACCTGGGAACAGAGCCTAACGGTTGCCGCGTCCATGCGTGCACAACGAGTTTAGCTCTCCGTGGATGTGATTCAATGAAGGGATGTTGTCCACAGATCAGTCTGCAGCACCGCCCTTTTCTTCTAGGTGTTGCAAAAACAGGGCGGTGTATGAGTAAAAAAGACTCATGCCGCCAAGAGACGGACGCGGGCGAAAGCTCTCCGGTTCGGGAGAGGCGCGTCAAATTGCTCAGCGGGCAAACAACGGGGGGATGATGACCATGATGATAATGGTGGGTTCGGAGCCTTGGAGAGAGCGAGCAGCGAGAGCAAACAGCGAAAGTCTCCTTTAGTAAAGGGGTCTCGAAGCCGTATATTAGTATCCTTGGCCGGATGAAGAAGGAAGAGGTTCCGACCCAACAGGAGGGGCAAGGCTGCTGACAAAAGGGCGGGTGGGGTTCATATTGAAGGTGGGGCAGTCGGGCCCGGTGCTGGGTAGACCCGACCAGCACTCTTGGGGGGTGTAGTTGGTCGTACGGACGCTGCTGCAAGACTTTAATGAAAATTGAGGCTCTTTGGCATTGAACTCGCTTGCCCGTTCCATGGGAAAGGGAAAATGCGTTGTACCGTATAGCGACTTCCGCGGAGCGACGCCAAGCATATATTCGTAAACACGAGATTTAACACTTGTGCTGTCCGCGGGTGCCGCTTCGGCGCGTTTGTGGGCCAATGCCGGACAGAATCCGTCCCCCTTGCCCGTCAAGCGGCGCCATATCAATGGCCCATTGTGAGTCATGCGGTTCGTCGTCCAAAACAACCAGTCGGTGAGGAGTCTCCACCAGAAGGGCTGCGGGATCTCCTCATCCAGCGTCGGCTGCAACTTGCGGCGAGGCTAGGTAGCATTGGGGTGGCCACCCGCAAAGTGGGCCGCTTTATCGCGTTCTTAAGTCCGAGATCTGCTTTTAGTCCAGGGTTGTCAGTCTCTTCTTAGATCTTTGTTTTTCCTTCATTTTATTGCGACCTTCTACACTCTCTTCCCAATTAGATTTTTTTGTAGAGTGTCTCACTCACCCGTCTCACCGCGCGGCTTGAACCGCGGCCCCGGTAAAGATCGGCACGTAAGCCGGGAACGCCCTGTCGCACCGCGTCATGGAGAAACCAGATGTTCCGCTCAACCACTCTGGCATTCGCGAACAGACCGAGGGCACGACCTACGAGCCGATACACGCGGACGGCCATCATATCCTACGCGATAACGAGAGTATAAGTACCATCTCCGACAGCACCGCCGATGCCAGCCCGACATCATATGAGAAGCGAGAGGGACCATCGCACGGCGTCAATGTGCACCGAGCTGAGGCTGAGTTCGCAGGTATGTCGCAGCACACGTACTGGGATGTCTGAGCGTTGGCTATGGAAAGCCATTCCTCCTGTTCTTTGGTGGATTGCGCACAGGTCGACATACCGACATTACTACGGCGATCTCTAATGTAAGACGTTTGCTAATCCATATCGCACCTTTCGCAGAGCTTAACAAGGAACTATCCCGAACGAGTCATATTTCGCGCGTTCAGTCCCGACAAAGTCGCAAAGGTGCAACTCACACCGATGTCGAGAAGGCCGAGGACGAGACTTCATCAGAAGAGCAGTTCGATCTAGAGACAGTACTGAGGGGCAACCGCGATGAGGAAGAAAGCGCAGGGATCAAGTCGAAGCGGATCGGGGTGGTGTTCGAAGACTTGACCGTGTCCGGCATCGGAGGAGTCAAGAATTACGTCAAAACGTTTCCCGACGCGTTCGTATCCTTCTTCAATGTCTACGAAAGTTTCAAGACGATACTCGGCTTGGGTCGTAAAGGCCGCGAGTTTGATATCCTGAAGAACTTTCGGGGTGTCGTGAAGCCTGGCGAAATGTGCCTCGTGCTGGGCCGTCCAGGCTCAGGCTGTACTACCTTTTTGGTGCGTAGGATTTCTTACACATATCAGAGATGTCACAGCTGCGCGCAGCCTCATGCAGCCCTTCAGGGTTGTCTTTTCAAGCTCACACGTGGGCTGACTAAGGGGCTTGGCGCTGGAGACGCTCCCTCCCATTCCCGCCCCCTTGCCCCTCCCCTCTCTCGGACATCTGCTAATGACGCGAAGAAAGTTGCAGCGAACCAGCGCTATGGATATACAAAGGTCGGCGGCAAGGTCTTGTACGGCCCGTTCGAGAGCGAGTTCTTTGAGAAGCGGTATAGAGGGTACGTGGGTGAAGTGGCACACTTCTCCCCTTTTCGTCTGAGACATCTGCTAATGCGTACGGCCCCATTTGCAGCGAGGCGGTGTATTGTGAGGAAGATGAAAATCACCATCCCACGCTCACGGTCGGCCAAACGCTGGACTTCGCGTTAGAGACAAAGGTGCCCGGAAAGCGACCGGCTGGCCTGTCCCGTCAAGAGTTTAAGGAGCGAGTCATCGACCTAATGTTGAAGATGTTCAACATCGAACACACACGAAACACTATCGTGGGCAATCCCTTCGTCCGCGGTATCTCTGGAGGCGAGCGCAAGCGCGTTTCAATCGCCGAGACTATGATCACAGGCGCCTCTGTGATATCCTGGGATAACTCAACACGTGGCCTAGATGCCTCCACCGCCGTGGACTACTCCCGCTCATTACGCGTTTTGACGAACATCTATAAGACCACCACCTTCGTCTCGCTTTATCAGGCTTCTGAGAACATCTATAACGTCTTCGACAAGGTTCTCGTGATCGACAGTGGCCGGCAAGTCTACTTCGGACCAGCGAAGGAAGCGCGGGCCTACTTTGAGAGCCTGGGTTTCCGTGAAAAGCCCCGCCAGACGACACCAGACTACCTTACGGGATGCACGGACCCCTTCGAACGGGAATACAAGCCTGGTAGAAATGAAAAGGACGTCCCTAGTACTCCGGATGATCTCGCCAAGGCCTACCAGCAATCTGAGACTGCGTCCCGAACGGATGCCGAAATGACTGAGTACTACGCTCGGATGGCTGAAGAGAAGCACGTGTACGACGAGTTCGAAATGGCTGTCAAAGAAAGTAAGAGACACGCCCCGAAGAAATCCGTGTACTCTATTCCGTTCTACCTCCAAATGTGGGCTCTGGCCAAGCGGCAGTTCTTGTTGAAGTGGCAGGACAAGTTCGCTTTGACAGTTTCCTGGATCACATCAATCACTATCGCCATCGTCACCGGTACCGTGTGGTTGAATCTTCCGAAGACATCTGACGGTGCATTTACGCGAGGAGGTGTTCTCTTCATCGCGCTCCTTTTCAACGCCTTCCAAGCCTTCTCTGAATTAGCATCTACCATGTTAGGCCGTCCTATCGTCAACAAGCATCGAGCATTTACCTTCCATCGCCCTTCAGCGCTTTGGATAGCGCAGATCGGTGTCGACCTGCTATTCGCATCAACGCAGATCCTTGTCTTCAGCATCATAGTTTATTTCATGACAGGTCTGGTTCGAGACGCAGGCGCCTTCTTCATCTTTGTGCTGATGATCATCACCGGCTACTTAGCGATGACGCTCTTCTTCCGAACTGTAGGATGTCTCTGCCCCGACTTCGACGTGGCCATCCGACTCGCAGCAACCATCATCACGCTCTTCGTCTTGACATCTGGTTATTTGATTCAGTGGCAATCTGAGCAGGTCTGGCTTAGATGGATCTTCTACATCAATGCCCTAGGTCTTGGTTTCTCGGCTCTAATGATGAACGAGTTTAGCCGCTTGGATTTGACGTGTGCGGGAAGTTCGCTTATTCCTTACGGCCCTAGTTATGCCGACATCAACTCGCAAGTCTGCACCTTACCCGGTAGTCAAGCTGGCTCGACCGCCGTCTCCGGTACTGATTATATCAAGTTGGCGTTTTCGTACGATCCGAAGGACCTCTGGAGGAACTGGGGCATCATTGTTGTGCTCATCGTGGGGTTCTTAATGGCTAATGCATTTCTCGGGGAATACGTCAAGTGGGGTGCTGGGGGGCGAACGGTCACTTTCTTCGTCAAAGAAAACAAGGATCTGAAGCACCTCAACGACAAATTGCGAATCAAACGCGATAAAAGGAACCACAAGGAAGAGGACACGGATGCGAGCACCGGTTTGAACATCACCTCAAAGGCCGTGCTTACTTGGGAGGATCTCTGCTACGACGTGCCGGTCCCTTCTGGCCAGCTGCGACTCCTGAACAGTATCTACGGATACGTCAAACCAGGCCAGCTCACGGCGCTCATGGGGGCCTCCGGTGCCGGAAAGACCACTCTACTCGATGTCCTAGCTGCGCGCAAGAATATCGGCGTAATTGCCGGCGACAAGCTTGTCGATGGGAAACCTCCTGGTATCGCCTTTCAACGAGGGACTGCATACGCTGAGCAGCTCGACGTCCATGAACCAGCGACGACCGTTCGTGAGGCTCTTCGGTTTTCGGCTGACCTCCGCCAGCCATACGAGACGCCACAGGAAGAGAAGTACGCCTATGTGGAAGAAGTCATCTCCCTTCTTGAGATGGAGGATATGGCAGATGCCATCATCGGGGATCCAGACACTGGCCTTGCGGTGGAACAGCGCAAACGCGTGACAATCGGCGTCGAGTTGGCTGCCAAGCCTGAGTTGCTACTCTTCCTGGATGAGCCTACGTCCGGCCTCGATTCGCAGAGCGCCTACAACATCGTCCGCTTCTTGCGGAAGCTGGCCGCTGCTGGGCAAGCTATCCTCTGTACCATCCACCAGCCAAACTCAGCGCTATTCGAGAACTTTGATCGCCTGCTGTTACTGCAACGCGGTGGCCAATGTGTGTACTTCGGCGATATTGGCAACGACGCCCAAGTGTTGCTAGACTACTTCCACCGCCATGGTGCGGACTGTCCTCCTAACGCTAACCCAGCTGAGTGGATGCTCGATGCAATTGGCGCAGGGTCCACTCCCCGCATCGGCAAACGCGACTGGGCCGACGTATGGAACGATTCCGCAGAATTCGCTATGGTCAAGCAAGATATCGTCCGCATCAAGGAGACCCGTATTGCTGAAGTCGGTTCCGCCGAGCCCATCGTTCAGAAGGAGTACGCTACGCCCCTGTTGCATCAGGTTAAGCTCGTCAACAAGCGCATGAACCTGTCTTTCTGGCGATCACCCAACTACGGATTCACGCGACTCTTTAATCACGTCATCATCGCACTGCTTACCGGTCTGATGTATCTGCAACTGGATGACTCCCGCTCGTCGCTGCAATACCGCGTCTTCATCATCTTCCAAGTCACGGTCTTGCCGGCTCTGATTCTCGCCCAAGTTGAACCAAAGTACGCGATTGCACGTATGATCTCCTACCGAGAACAGATGGCCAAGGCTTACAAGACATTCCCCTTCGCACTTGCCATGATCGTCGCAGAGATGCCGTACAGCATCCTTTGCGCAGTGTGCTTCTTCCTCCCGCTGTACTACATCCCTGGCTTGAACCCGGAGAGCTCTCGCGCTGGCTACCAGTTCTTCATCGTTCTCATCACCGAGATCTTCTCTGTCACATTGGGTCAGGCCGTTGCGGCAATGACACCTTCACCGTTCATATCATCACTCTGCAACCCGTTTATCATCATCATCTTCGCGCTGTTCTGCGGTGTCACGATTCCGAAGCCGCAGATTCCTGGATTCTGGCGGGCGTGGCTTTACCAGCTGGATCCCTTCACGAGGCTTATTGGGGGTATGATCGTTACTGAACTTCATGATCTGCCGGTCCAATGCACGCCCATGGAATTCAACAACTTCCGGGCGCCTGAAGGTACGTAAACTGCTGAAATACCCCAGGCTGGGTAATGCTAACTCCCTTGTAGGCCAGGACTGCGGAACCTACATGAGCGAATTCTTCTCCAGCGGCGCGCCAGGCTACATCCTGAACAACGCGACCGACTTGTGCCAGTACTGTGCGTACAAGGTCGGCGACCAGTTCTACGAGCCGCTTGGCTATGACTTCAGCCATCGGTGGAGAGACTTTGGTATCTTCGCTGCCTTCATTGGGTCGAATTTGATCATCTTGTTCCTTGCTGTGAGTTTTCCCCTCTATGTATGCTGCAATGTGCAGAGCTAATCGAGTTATCTAGGCCCGTTTCCTGAACTTCAACCGCCGATGAGCATGCACGCCTCGGCCATATGCTCCTCTTACGACAATTCTCGAGCCCCCGGTCCACCCTGCCTTCCGACCGCACGTCGATCGCATCTATGGCAGGCCAGGGATAGCGCAGTCCAGCGAGACAGCCTTGTGCCCCTTCGGGTGCTCAATGCGAAGGCCTTCTCTGCCTCCGCCGCCCTGTTGTTTCCTTTCTAGACTTCTTGTTCTCTATATCTCAAAAGTCATTTCCCATTCTCCGTTTGTAGATAGGAAGAAGCCTCAACGAGCACATAGACAGGCAGTCCCCGTCACCTGGGCGGCGTTTGCTCCCCCGCGCCAGTTTGCCTCTGCGAGCGAGCGTTGGCACGCCATATACAGTACTTAATACGTCTTCTCCTTGTCCCTAAATTCAAAATATGTATAACCTAATGACCGGACTCATTGGGCATCGTGAAGCCGTGGTGAAGAGTGGATGAAGCGTCACCAAAGATCGAGCTCCGGGCTCTACTTTCCACTCAACTCACCGTGACAGCGCAGCGCGACGCATACCGCCCACTGGTAGTGAACCATTGAACTCCATCATCTACACAGCCTCCTTCCTATTGTCAATCTTTCTGTCTGCCTGCGCTTCACCATCCCTTCCATATCCTTAATCCGCATTTTCGCAGCGCTGATGTTCATGCTCATGCTCATTTCTCTTTCTAGCGTCTTCTTTCTTACTTGCGATTACGTCACGAAGACCCTCTCCCTCCGCTTTACAATCTCGGATCTACTCGGGATTACCCCATTAACGCAAAGAAAGGAATAATCAAAGAGAGAAATGCCTCCAGCAGCAGCAGCAGCACGTGCGCTCCCACACCCCTCCCCCTCCCCTCCCCCTTCCACCTCCTCCGCAGACATCCCCACCGTCACCGTGACCCTCACGCACACTTACACTTACACGCACACCCTCTCCCCATCCCCCTCCAATCCGCCATCCCATACAATAGCACCCCACTTCGCCTGGCCGCAGCGAAGTGAAAGCGCTTCCCTCGAGCACCAATCGCTTTCACCACCTCCCGGCGGCCTTCTGCGCCGCGCACAATTCCAAACCTCGACACCGACACCGGCATCGACACCGAGGAAATCCACGTTCCCGAGACCTTCTCCACCGACGTTTCTGTATCCCTCGCCTATCGTTCCTGCGCGCGCCAACGTTAACACTTCAATATCTTTGCACCACCGCACTCTCCTCAGCACTATGAGAGATCTCCCCGCCTTTCCGGACATACCGCCCGCACTCCAAGCCCTCGTGTTTGGAGGTATGGCGCTGGGCTTTCTGTGGGTTGTTGTGGTCTGGCTTGTGAACTTCCCGCCTGGGACATGGCGGTGCAGGTCCAGCTCGGACTCCGGCTCCGGTCGCAGAAGCAAGAAGATAAAGAGGCGGAAAACTGGTACCGGCGCCGGAGCAAGGTGGTGGGACCTAAGAACCTGGCTCCTCGGAGGAAGCGGGGAGAATGCAGACAGGAAAGGGAGGAAGAAGAAGAAACCGATTGACAAGCCGTCGAAGTACGCGCCGCTGGCCTCTAGCGCGTCGTCGTCGTCTTCTTCCCCGGGAACTCCGTCATCGATTTCTAGTGCGGATGCAGACGTCCTGGCGCTGGCGCCGACTTCAGCATCCACATCGACATCAACATCCGCCACCCGCACCACAGCAAACAATAGCGCCATCGAGCTTCGGCGACGCAACAATCCACCTATCGAGCTGCCACACCCACACGCACCCGGCGCACCGCCATGGCAGACGCAGCGAAACACCAGTCTCCCCCCGTCCTCCTCATCGCCATCGCCGCAGAACCCCTACCTCCCCACCCCTCCACCTCTGCTACGCCCGCGCACTTCATCCGAGTATCTAGCCTCGTACCGAGCTTTCTTCTCCTCCTCCCCGTCCTCCTCCAACCCAGTACCCGCTTCTCCATCAGCATCGACGTCGTCGCAATTCTCCTTCCACTCCGCCGACGCGCTAGAAGCGCAGACCACGCCGCCAGCGTCACCGACACGGAAGCACAGGCGAGGTTGGAGCGATAGTGGGTTGGATGCTGGGCTGAATGACGGGAAAGGGAAAGGGGAGAGGAAGAGGTGGAGTGGAGCTGGGTTCTTGGACGCTGTGGATGGCGCGGTGGGGAGGGCGGTGGATCGGATGGTGAAGTGGACGGGGGATGATGGGGGTGGGGAGGGGCTGTTGCTGCCGTTGAAGGGGGATAAGATGGACTGACTGAGGTGGGCTTTTGAGGAAGGGAAGGGCGTTGAAGGCGTTTTCAGGAGGGATGGGGGTCTTCACTGAATGAATTGAAATGATATGGGTGGCAAATGTGGTGTGAGGATCTAGATATGCATGATGGAATGCAGATTCGTACCGAGAATAGCAGTCTACTCCTATGTGCACCGAAGATGCTCCACCTTTGCCCGTCATTGAACGTTCGTAGGATGCCGTATGTCTAGCTAAGCAGCCTGGAGTCCCAAACCTAGTCGGTCGATCGAGCGCCTAGACGTACTGGCTCAACCACCTGATACCCTCGCCATATCCTATATGCAGTCAGCAAATCTCTCCCATGAACCGCATCCATCTCGAATACCACCCACCTTGCCGCATAACCACGCTACACATAAACACCTCAATCGGCCTGATGCCCTCCAACGGCACCTTACCCTTCCCCGTGGTCTGATACAGCCCCAAAGCTGCCCTTAGCTGGTCCTCGCTCACCGCATCCGGGTGATCGATCTTATTGCCCAGCACCACGAAGGGCGTGCTCGCCAGCTCCTCCATCGCGAGAAGCGCATCCAGCTCTGCTTTCGACTCGGCGAGCCGCTCGTGGTCTTTCGCGTCGACGAGGAACACGATACCGGATACTTCGGGGAAGTAGTCGCGCCAGAGGCGGCGGGCTTGGGCGTGGCCGCCGAGATCGAAGGTGGTAAATTTTACGTTGCCTATTGAGAGTTCTTCGGAGGCTGGAGCAGGCGGTTAGGAAGTACTATGGAAGGGAGGACGGAGCGCGGGCGTACTTGGGTGGAGAGCTGTTGGCGGAGTGTGTTAGCATAGCTGTTTGCGCACGCGATGGGGCGGGGTACGTACTGGGTTGGAGGACGGCTACTCGGTCACTGTAGAATTAGGCAAGCGTGAGCGCATGGCTACTGGAAATCCGCTGTGGAGGAACATACTTCTTCAGCATGTGGAGGAGCGTCGTCTTGCCCGCATTGTCGAGACCGAGGAACTGCCTCTCGGTCAGTATGCAATTGTTGAACCCCACCACTGTCCACAGAGCACCCACCAGAAGCTTAGCGTGTTTGTTGGCGAGGCCCAAAGAGGCCAGAAGATCCCAGACTATGCATATATATCAGCGCTGCGTTCGGTGGGAAGCTCGCCGGTGCCCGCGGTGGAGAGGGCGAGTGCTTACACCTGGCGGAAACTGTTAGCTTCTTGGGTTAGTACCGTGGCACGGTTTGGGATTGTGTACCAGTTGACGATCCACATGGTGTTATTTCTTGGAGAACTTCTGAAGCGGTAGCGTCGTGCGGTGCAGCGGGAAGCGCAGTCGAAGTTGGTGCTTCGAGACCGCGATCCTGGCAAGATAATGCTGGCGATTGCGGCGTGACTAAGCGAGAGAACAGCCAATCAGGCGCGTCCAGCACGACGTCACATGCGAGGTACCGCAAACGAGGGTAAAGGACAGCTATGCGATGCGTAGGCATATGTTTTGCTACTACTAAAGAAGGCTGGTATCTCGTGCTTTCCACCAACGCCTTTGTCCATATGAGGGTCCATTACCAATGCTGTTTTAGATGTTCAGATCCATCTCCAATATCACCTGCGCGACCCCCGACCTGCCGCTTGCTATCACTCTCTCCGCGATGACCTCGCCTACCTTCTCGACGAGGCGTTCCCGCAGTCCTCCTAAGTTTGCAACCCCGTTCACCCTCGTGTTGACTCGTAAACGCTCTAATCTATCAAGCCCTTTCAGGATGATCGCTAGTACCCTGTCGGCCTCGGCCTTCTTTGACTCGTCGGCAACCGCCTCTTTCAGCACCTCGTCGTATATCTTGAGGTTGGGTAGAACGAGCATCCGCATCCCTTCCAAGCCGGTGACGAGCATTAATGCCTCCAACGCGCCGTAGTGCGTACCGAGAGGCTTGTTTGGATCCAGGAATTGCTTCAGGCATATCCGTGCAATGCGGGACTTTAGGCCTTGATTCGACGAAGAGTATCTTTTGCACATGTCCCCGAGTATGGATGCAGCCATGTCGCGGATCTCGAAATGTTTTAGTGGATTCTGCCCGTGACCGTTGAGGCTGCTCCCATTAAGAGTCTCTGACGAAGCGTTGGACGGCGCCTGGTGCTGCGACGGGCCCAGATGTTTGCCCGTACAACACGTCAGAACAGGAGCCACCATGTAGGGTATGTACGGGTCGAGATAGATTGATAGGTTCTTCAGCAGCGCCTCTGTGGCTTGCATCATTTGCCTGAGAATGAACAAGTCTTTCATGCTGTGTGTGACCTTCTCGGCGATGAAGGTGAGGAGATACGTGGTCAACTGATGGATGCCTGGGTCTGTTCGAATAGACACCAAGGCGGCGTTTTGCCACTCTGGGTTTGTCTCGTCGATGAGGGCGCTGGACAGCTTGGCGAACAGCTCCTGCGACTCCTTGGAGAGCACGTGTTTCACAAGCGGCTTGACGCTGACGTTGTCCAGGCCGTTGGCAGCAGCGAGGTACGGGTTTGCATTCGGCCCCTTCGGCAGCAGCTCGGCATGGTTGCTTGCGGTCGGGTTCTGGGGGATGGAGGGCTGCACGCCTTCGACGGCGAGCCAGTGCGCTGCACAAATCAGAAACGTAAGCCACACAAGAGGGTGCTGACTACAGCGCGCAGACGTACCTGTGAATGTGATCTCGCGGGGCACCTTAGGCAGCGGTGCGTTGATGAGCTTCTCAAAGTCGACCTCCTCGTCCTCGACATAGTACAGCGGCTGGCCGGGCCCGAGTGAAGCCTCGCCAAAACGGAGCGGGCGGGTGGACTCGTAGCCGTAGAGAGGCTCCACATTTAATACCTTTAGGGCATTGGATACATCCTGTGTGCTCAGCGTTGTCCGCTTGCTGTGTCGCATGAACTTGAGCGCTTCTTCCAGCACCTGGGCCAGGCGGTAGTCGACATCGCGCGCCAGCTCGTCGACCACGTTGTCGGCGAGTGAGGCGATGCCCACCGATTCGGCGACGTCTCGCACGTTGTCGGGGTTCCAAACCGACGACATGGCGGCGGGGTGCGGTGCGGTGCGGTGCGGACGCTGAGTTGTATCGCGGTGGGGCAGCTGGAGTGTTGGAGGTGCGGATAAGTGAAGCGGATAGGCAGGCGATCCGGTGGGAGAGCGGCGGGCGTGTCACGGAGCGGGTGGTGCAAGCTGGATGTTGCGACAACCAGCCCTACGTGCGAGTGAAGGGCATGTCGGGTGCGCGCATGAGAAATTGCTCTGCGGGCTCGCGCGGGGAGGCGACGGGTGAAAGGCGACCTGTTATAGTGTACCTAGGTGGTGAGCGACTCCTCCGGCAAGCGGTGGCAGGTGAAGGCCGGGGCGTGGTGAAAGACGTCGCGGTGCTCAAAGGAAGGCGCGATGCGGCTCCTTCCCTCGCGTCTCGCTCCCGGCCTTGGCGCGCCCGCTTTCACAAGCTGTGAGCGCCCTTCTCACCTCGTCACCCTCTCTCTCTTCGCTTGTTGCCCAATCTCACCGATAAGCCTGCCACTTCACCACTTCGCACTTCAGACTGTGTATCTGCATGTCCTTCTCTCGTTTCGTCCGGAATCACCCACGAATCTGGTCCAATCCTCCCTGGCGGGTTTGCTTCACTCCCAGCGCGGGCAAACAAGACACTTGAGCCACTCGCCTCTCCGCTACTGCTTCTATTCGCACCATGAGTGCATTCGGCAGTGTTTTCCGGCATTGCCTCATTGGTCTGCCCGTCACTGTCCATGTTATCCGCAGCGAATGCAGCTCTGCGACGTTATCACCCGTGGGCCCGGACAGCAATGGCCTCTTGCTAGCCACAGGCTCCAGCATGGCAGACCGCCACTTTTTCCTCTCCTCACGTCGAACAAGTCAACCGAGCCGTCTCTTGTCGGCCCCTACGGCTGCGGCATTGCACCCCCGGCGGACTCAGCATGGTTATCCGCTCCGCGGCTATCTGCATGCTTGTTCTTCGTATGCGCATTTCCCTGGCTTGCTGAACACATCACCACGTTGATTGCCATCGCTGGTAACGCTAATTCAAGCTCAATCTCCAACTTACCTTACCGTGGGTAGCGGTGGCATTCGATCCCTGCTTGTGCTCCAGGCCCACAGGGTTCGCAACTCATTCCAGCCGTTTTCTATCGTGACCTTCTCTGTAATCTCTTCCGTCTTCCCGGGCGGGCCGTTGCAACCCTGATTGCCTCTATGCAGGTAGTGCCCCGTTTGCCAGCTGTACCCTCCCCCTGTCTATTTCGCTGCGCGTATAGGGTCACAGACTATTTAACGTCGAGCAACAGCATTGGTGTCTCGTTCTCCACAGCTTCACCCACTTCCTCCGTCAAAAATTCTCCGATCATCAAACAATCCCCGTTTCTTCTTGACTTCTTCTCGCTTCATAAAAGTCAAGTCACTCGTCCAACATGGCCTTTTCCAAAGAATCTTCGAACTCTTCTGAGGCCGATTCATACCAAATCTCAAGGCTTCAGATGCGCTCCGCTATCCTTACGTCTCTCGCTGCACCCCAAGAGAGATCACGAGACGATCCGCCCTCCCCGCCTCCGCAACCCCCACCAAGCCCAGCAAATTGGGCCTCCAGCCCTCACTTAGATCTGGTATGTTTGTACCACTATGGATGCTGGTAATGCTGACGTCTTGATCCCAAAGATCAGCAACCCCCTTTCGTTGGACATGTAAATGTGGGGTAACTCGGAGAAAGGCGTTGGTAAGGGTCCTATCATCCTGACCTGGCTTGTCCGCTGATCACACATTGCAGACTTGCTACCGCTCTACACTCGTTTCTTGCTCGCGAACGGTTCCGTCTGTGTCTCCAGCGATAGACTTCTCTTCTCTTCTGTGCTGTATTCCATAAGGATTCTCATCTCCTTTGGGCGGGCTCGGCTGTTCAGTTGCTTCTCATCCTAGGCGCGTTTCTCCTTCACGTCCATCTTGACTCGCTTGTATTACTGCTCTAGGATTTGGAGGCACGCAAGGCAGCTCAGCCTCCAGCACCGCGTTTTTGTGGCTTTCTTTGGGTCTCTCCCCACCAGCAGGGACATAGTTGTATACAAGATCGGAATCTGGAAATGGAAGATTGCATTCTTGGCACCGGCATCCCTTTTCGTTACACCCTACTTTGACGAAGAATGCGGGACGTGGAACCCGACAAGCGAGGAATGATACCATCAACGGCCAACTTTCTTTCTCCACGGCCTGTCTTTGTCTGTCTACCTTCACTAACATCTGACTACTATCAGGTGAATGCCGCCGCAACCGAATGCAACGCCGCCACGCGTCTACTTTTCTTTGTCCGGGTCACACCTCAGGATTCTCACTTCGTGTCACACCGCGCAGGATATCCACGGATTATCACTAGGACCAGTGAGGCATGACCACTCTGTTGCTCGACCACTACGACTGAATTAGGTCTTCTAGTCTTCTGAAAGTTTCGCCTGATTCAGTTCCGGTAACGTTGCCTCGGAGGCATACCTTGTGGGAGCAGCACTCGTCCCGCGGTCCCCTCGACCACATTCTCCAGCGATGCCGCGTCAACCGCTCAACGTCGTCATATTGGGAGGTTCCTTTGCCGGGCTCGCTGTAGCACATCACTTCCTGGACCGGATCGTCCATCAGCTCAGCACTTTCGAAGGCGCGCCCGCCTACCGAGTGGTCCTCGTGAGTCCTTCGACTCACCTCTACTGGAATATCTGTGCCCCGCGGGTGTTGGTCTCACCCAGTCTAATAAGTCCCGAAGATGCCTTCATTCCCATCGAACCGGCCTTCGCCCGGCATCCCTTCGACAAGTTCACCTTCATGCAAGGCTGGGCAACCGGGGTTGACACGAGCGCAAAGAAAGTGACCATCGAGCTTGTTAGAAATGTAAAAGAGAATCGGTTGAGCGGCGTCTCCAAGGCGAGCTCATCGACCGCCGAAACCAATCCGGCAAACATATCGTTTGCTCGAGATATGAACTATCGCACGAACACGGCAGATCGCAACAGCACGGTTCAGACGATCTCATACCATGCCCTGGTCCTTGCGACTGGCAGCTCGACATACTCACCACTATACTCGCTTCATGGCACACATGAAGACACACTAGCCGAGTTGAGAGCCTTCCATCGCAGGCTCGAGACTGCGCATTCAGTCATGATTGTTGGTGGAGGGCCTTCAGGCGTCGAGACAGCCGGCCAGCTCGCCACCTACTACAACCAGAAGAGAAGATGGAGAACTTTCAAAGAGAAACGGCACCGTTCCGACACGGTTACCGACCCCAACGCCCTCGAACGCGCGAACAAGATTCTCTTCCCTCCAAGAAAGAAACGCGACTCCGCCACTCCCGCACCAATGATCAGCCCGCGAGAGCGTCACATCGAACGCCAATCCAAACGCGACTCATGCGTAAGCGGGCAGTCTTCAACAGCGCCACCAACAATCCTAATCACCCCTCCCGCGCCTGAGCGCCGCACCCGAAAGACCATCACGCTTCTCTCTGGTGGCGCCCGTCTCCTGCCCAAGCTCCCTCCCACCGTTAGCAAGAAAGCAGAAAGGAAGCTAAAGAAACTCGGCGTGCACATCGTTCACAATCTCCGTGAAATCGGCAACACGACTAACGCAGACGGCACAACGAACTGCATTCTCAACAACGACATGACTATTACTTCCGACGTCCTCATCTCTGCAACCGGCGTGTATCCTAATACACGCTTCCTGCCGCAGCACATGCTCGATGAGAACGGATACGTCATCACTGATCCCCAAACACTGAGAGTGTATGCCCAAGGCGTGGGCCAGAGGGTGTATGCCGTCGGTGACTGCGCCAACTACTCGAAGAACTACACACTGGACGTTTACGAAGCCGTTCCCATTCTAATGAAAAACCTGCAGAACGATCTCCTGACACACGAATACAAACTGCAAACCGTAACCTCGATGCCGCACGGGGAGGCACACAAGACAGGTCCCACGCAAGACAGCAGCCGCGATACTGAAGCAAAGCCAACCGCAGCATCGAATGCCTTTCTCACGCCGCCAAGAGAATCCACCACATCCTCCTCCAAAGCGCTCTCAGAAAGCGAGCCCCCGCCCTCACCCACCCTCCCCCTCTCCCCAATCTCCGAAACCATCTCCATCCATTTAGCGCCCTCCCTCCCAGAAAAATCCTCCACTACACCACCTTCCTCAAATCCAGTTCCCGCTCTTCCCAGCCCTCCCATCTCACCAATCTCCTCAACCATCCCCTCACAACTCCTCCCCCGCATCCCGCTCCTCACGTCCGCAGAAGCGCGCCAGAAGATCGCCGCACTGGAAGACGCGCACTATCACCAGAATCCGACGGACTCGCAACTCATGCCGATCACGCGGTTTGGTGGCGTGGGCGTGATTTTCGACTGGCGCATTCCGAGCTTTTTGGTGTATTTGATGAAGGGGAGGAAGTATCGGCTGGGACGGGCAGAGGGGGCGGTGGGGAGGGGGAGGGATCCTTATGCGGTTAGGTGAGGGCGAGGAAAAGGGAAGATGTAAAAGGAATGGGGGAAGTGCAGGGGGCTTTTTCTTAGTCCATGTATTTCGGTTTAGTTTGGGATAGTACTTTTAATCAGGACTTTTTGCGTGAATGCGCTGAGGAAGGAAGGAAGGATAGTACAACGCACTAACTGACTAGAAGTGTATCCCCCTCCACCTTGGCTGCGTCCGTCTCTCCCCTTCTCTTCCACCTTTCCCTCCTTCCCTATCACAATCACCATCAGCTCAGCCTCTGCCACTCGCCTCTTCCCCACCCCAACCAATCAAACTAAAAGAAAAACGCTCACATCTCCCGCGAATGCTCCCCCTCCCCCCTCTCATGCACACTCCGCTCAATACTCTCAACCAGGCTCTCACTCCCCGTCTTCGGCCCCACATACCCCTTCTCCCCCGCCTCCTGCTGGAACGCGAGATCTTCGCCGCAGCGCTGCTCAGAGGTGCCGGAGGCGTTGGAAGTTGCTGCGTCGGCCTGGGGGATGGTTAGTGTGGGTCGAGAGTTATATGCGGACGGGAAGAAGGGAAGAGAAGAGGAGGGGTTGGAAGATGGGTTGTTTGGAAAAAGGGAAGAGGAGGAAGATAGGGCTTTAGAGGGTTTGGTGGGGTGCACATGCCGGGGTGAATGAATGAAAAGAAGGAACGATGCGTGGTAGAAGTAAAAGTTTCAGCACGTACTTTATCGATTCTGCCCACGTCGAGGCCTCCAGAAGAAGAAGATTCTTTGCCGACTTTAAAGGGTACGCTGGGGTCGTCTTTCCCTGGTTTGCCGCCGGTGTTGGTTGTTGTGCCGGGGTTGATGGGGAGGTCGGGTTGGTTGGCGGAGGATTCTTGGCCGGTGAGGCTGGTCATTATGTGTTCTGTAGTCTGTAGGCGGGTGAAGATTTAATGAAGGGGGAGTATTTGGGAGAAGGGTTTGGGGTGTTATTGTGTGGTCTGAAATTTGGATGTTGTTGTAGGGTGGTGGTGCTGATGGAGGTGTAGTGCAGTGGTGGGTGGGTTACGTCATAGTGATAGATATGAACGCAACATCTACATCGCCTATCAAGCATCACGGACTCAACCACACTTCAACTCATCCAGTGATTCTGAAGATGGCTCCGGATAGCTAAGGAAGGGATAGTAGTGCTTTGTGCTAGAGGAGGATGAGAAGTCGGACTCTGCGCTTCCTCATGAGCGAGTTCGAATGTCCCGGCCATAGTATCCCCACCTAACGGCTGGACCTTTATCGGCTCGCACTTTCCTTCACTATGACAGCGCGGCCCCATTGCTCCTTCGGGCATGGTGACATGTCGAAGTTGGACAATTCAGCTATGTCGAGAAGGTCGGAATCATTCGGCACTAGATGCTAGTATGGCGGAATGGTACCCTGCATATATCTATGCATCACCGCTCATACAAGGACTGCAATGGTGTTAGCGGCTTTCGGACTGGTGGGGATCTAGTAGGTAATTAGTTTACCTCGATAAACGCCTACGCATGTGCCTGTGCGTTCGGTCCTCCTAACGCCTATGACAGCGCCTTCGCTCATTCAATCTCAAAGACCTCCTCTTCAAGCTCCTTGGCCCTCAAGTTTTCGATGGGACCATGTCCCGAAAGGTCCTCGTCTCCGAAAAGTCCAACGACGTAGCAAGTGCCCACCAATTTCCAGCGCGCGCTCGAATCCGACTTTCGCAGAAGAACGGGCGGGCGACAACGACGAAGGACGCATACGCGGTCGCCTGGTTGGAGTCTAGGTGGTACCAGACCAAGGTAACCTGTTCTTGTGTGGAAAAACCGTTGCTTAAATCCATCCAAAACCTCCATCAGCACATTAGTCATCTCCAAATCTGACAATGCTGTTCCTGAATATAGAAAATCATTGTTATGCTCAACACTCCTGAAAATCTCGCGCTTGATGCTCTTAGAGAAACCCCCGCAGTTGAGAGGGAATCCCAGTCTCTCTAAACGGGCTATCAATGGTTCCCCGCATACCGCGATAACGAATGCACAGGCTAGGTTAAATCTGCGGTGCAAGTTGGTTTCGAATTGGAAGGGTTCGTGATCCCAGACTTTGACGCAGCCGTGCATAAAAGCTAGGAAGATCGCGTAGAGGAGTTATGCCGGTTGTGTACGTCTAAGGCTGTCCTGTACGGTTGTAACGAGATCGATAGCTGATGCAGAAGTCAAACATATCCTTGCGCCTCTCCTCTACGGTCAACTGTGAGCGTTCCATTTCAGCTTCGGAGATTCTGTCCCATTGGACTCCTGGTACCCTCAATATATTCTCCGGCGTAATGTCGAAGACACCACCATCTACCATGGGGGCTGAATATTCTCGCGGGAAAGCTGGATCGTCGGTGGAAATAGCGAGTGTCCAATCCCTTTGAATAGTGTGCAAGTTGATTGCCCATGAGGGTAGATCAAAGCCGGCGTGATGCGGAAGGCCAATACCGCTGTAATAGAGGCAACCGAGACCATTTTTTTGGCAGATTACCTTCTTCCACCACTCGATGTACAGCTTTTCAACTGGTTTAGAATAGTCGACCTTGATATCGGTTTCGATCAATCCTAGAAGCCCGTAAACTGCATCCAAAGGGTGTGTCGCTGCACATTGCATGTTGAAGCGCAGAACACATTGTAAGTCAAGGTCCAGCACCGTGTAGTTCAGGATATCGACTGCCGAGAATAGAGGAACTTGGCGGTTCACAAGCCTTACCCAGATAGACAAATCCGCAGAGCGTGGTTTAGGAGGTGCAGTCCTACGAAGCCGCCGTGCAAAGTCTTTGAAGAGCAGGAGCTCCTTGGCACTCAGGGATTCGGAACCGCATAGGAAAAACAGCCGGTCGGGTCTAGGTAGTGCGATTTCTTGAAGAATCCAGATCCTTTTCCAATACTCGGAGACGGAAAATTGGTGTATTCCTCGCAAATAGGCGTTACTGTCTGGTGGATCCTCGGGTCCCCGCTGGAAGAAATGCGCGTTACGGTATAGCCATAGCACTTCTCCAGAATCGATGATTCTGTTTTGTAGGTTTTGTGGAGAGGATGCCTCAGCTATGGTTCTCATCATGCGGATTCCCATTTCCATGCCTTCGTTCGGACGCCCGACCATGGAAACAACAAGCTTTGCGCGCCGGTATATCGAGCGCATAATTTCAATTTGATGGACCTTCTCTTCCCCGTCTTGCTGATTGATACATATCGCGTCGGCCCATGGTACCTCGGGGCATCTTCTGAATAGAGCCGTGGATCGGCAACGACGGGGTCCTTTCTCAACTGCCACAGGAAATCTCTTAAGTTTTTCGTACTGCTGAGGCTTTTGCCGTCGACAGTGATGCATTCTTGGATCTCGGCAGCTCCCCACACATACGAGAGAGCCACATATGCAGGGGCGTCCGATAGAAGAAGCCTTGATGAGCGAACAAGAGACGGGTTCATCATCAGGTGCATCGATGAGTTGAATCAGCCGGATTTCGTCCTTGGTGTGGTCGAGCGGTTCGAAGGCGTACGGATCCTGGATAGACAACGAGGCGGAGGAAGACAGAGCAGCATCGGCCTCCTCCATCCTTACGGTGGAGTGAGCGAGCGTTCGGAGGTTCAATCTTGAACACGCAGTAGGAGCACGTAGGAGGGCTTCGTCCTGGGGATCATTGGCCTTCGCAAGGGCGTTGCGATTGAGTGTAGCTTTGGTCCGATATGCCTGCCGCTTAGTTCAGCCTTGCGAAGCGAGGCTGGAGCAGTCCGAAGCATTCGTGGTGAAGCCATTGCAGCGAGAAGGGACGCTATTTAGACGCATCTTTTTGTACAACTGATTCACTGCTGGTGAATGTAGTGAAAGTCCTGTGCACTCACAACGTTCGCACTTGACGGCCGCTAAGGCCGACGCTAAGCTCCGTCTGGTTAGCCGAGTCGCAACCCCGCCCACCTGCACACACAGACACAGTACCACATTAGATCACCCGCATTCAATAGAACCCATCAGCCTCTCGATCATTCCAAGGTTTGTAACTGTAACCTTCAAGGGATCTCTTAATACCGTATTGTCTGATTCTTCAGATTATCTAGGGCGCACCTATCATGACCTAACGAACAAGGTGACCACCAAACTAAGCACGAGACTGGGATTTTGCTACGAGGATGCGAAGTGTGAAAAAAACGAATATGCTTCAAGCTCGTAAGGCTTCCCGGTGGTCTGCCTTGCGTGGCGGGACCTCATACGATATCCAACCCCGCACCGTATCGCGGGCTTTGCCCGTCCGTCCCGACGTCATGAAGAATAATTCGAAGTGCTGAACACCTCTTCTTGAGGTCTTCCGGCACGATGTCATGTGGCTCCTACAGTCGGCCGATAGACCGGTGAGTGGAGTGCCAATAGTAAGTGGGACGAAGGAACACGGGAAGAACTGATGGGAAGTAGCGCAGCCGACTGTCAGCAGTAACTAAGTTTTTAAGTGAAGCTGAGCGTGAGTAGATCGAAGACGAGGTTTACACGGGTGCCTGGGTGCAACGTCCAATGCGGAGACTCCGCACACCACCATCCCCGTCGTGGCGCACAAGGCGATTGCTTGTACCCGGCCCAGAAGTTGTTGGTGGTCTCTGGTCGGACACTGCGTACCATATCCGAGCAGTGGACTGAGGATCGACCTCCAGGTTTCCGTCTCTCTTTCCAGGGGCAGCAAAATTACCTGGATTCGATTCTAACCTTGCGTCGCTGGAAACCCCTCTCATGTTGCATCTCGTCTGAGAGTGTCGAGTCCACGCGGGCGGTGTTTTTGGCAGCAACTAGTACAGGTACACCAAGGCGAGAAGGGCGACAAGGCTGAGGTGCCACAAAACCTCGAACCACCTCACCTAGGCATGCAGCGAACGCCACCTGCCGGGCACAGGACACGCTAGTTCTCCCCATGCCCGCCAACGACGCCTATATGGACGCAGCCATGGGCTGAGGGAGCAATTCCCTGTTTCTGTTCTCCGAAAACTCAATGCACTAGAAATGGCTTTTCGAATCTCCTGTCTCGCGTTGTTCTTGGCGTATGCCTTCGCCGCCGATTGCCCAGCTACAACCACCCCGATAGTGCTAACGATCTCTAATTGCACAATAGCTTCGCAGGACTCCTCTTCCTACGGCGTTAGACTGGATGTCGGCGATCCGAGGCAAAATTTGTGCGGTACTCCGAGCACTGTTGTGGACAACACGCTGCTCATTTCGTCAAATATCTGCACCGGAGTACTTCCCCCAAACATGACTACGCAGGCCCAGTGTCAATCCTATCATGGAGGAACCTTCAATATCGCCGCGGCAGGTACATCATTTCACAATATATCGCTATCAACCGCGAACTTGCCGCTGGACCAGGGTTGGACAAGATTCAATCCCCCTTACACCGCGGCCGGAGAGACAGACCTGCACGTAGTCTCCAACGTCGCTATCCCAAACATGACAGTCGTAGTCATCACCGAAGGCATCAATTTCACCGCGGGCCACATCGGGCTCGGGAAAGATTCGGTTATCCTGCACCACCTGAAGGATTCCAACATGATCCCCTCCCTCGGCTTTGGACTTAATGCCGGCAGCCAATCCATTCAGAATCCCCGCGACGGTAGCCTCGTCCTAGGAGGCTACGACTCTGCTAGTGTCACAAGCTCTTTCTATACACATACCATGAACTATTCCGATATGCTGTTCGGACGCCACTGTCCACTCCAGGTCCAGATTGAGGGCCTGCAGCTTCTCGTGGAGGGGCAGGAACCAATCCAGCTTATTGGGGAAGGCGATGGGCACGCGGCGTGCATCGAACCGTAAGTAGGATCCCATCTATTATTTCCCCCGAGGTTAACCAGAGCTGATCGGTAGCACATAGATATGACAATCTATTTCGACTCTCTGGTAGGACCTGCGATTGTAATATTGGTACCATTCCTAATCGATGAGCAGAAGTGGGCCTTTCAACGTTCAAAGAGGTCACTGGCTGGTCCGCAAACACCACCTACGATTCGCAAGACCTCTATATCCCCGAGCCAGGCCTCATCTACCCCTCCACCACCGGCTTCAACGGCAGCCTAAAGTTCTTCCTTAGCGGCGGCTTCACGGTGGAAATTCCCAACTCCGAGCTGCAACATCCACTCCGCGGTCTCGATAAGAACGGAAACTACGCTCTTAATACCAGCTACACGCAGGTCAATATGTATGAAGAGCCTCTCGCTCCGTGGGTGCTCGGAAAAGTGTTTCTTTCCCAGGTACCTAACACCGAGGTCTTACAAGCAGATGCAGAATGGGCTAATGACATCTAGGTATATCTAGCAGTAGACTACGAAGCCCAGCAGATCCAGCTCGCCCAAGTGCACCAAAACGACATTACCCCCTCCCCCGTCAAATTCGCCTCCACCAACACCTCGTGCAAGACTTCAAAGCTCAGTGGAGGAACCATCGCCGCCATCGTGCTCGGTGTTGTGCTCGGCCTAGCATTTATTGTCGGAGCGGGCTACTATCTCTACCGTCGGCGCAAGCGGCAAACCCAGCAGCCGAGCACAGTCACAGTCACACCGGATCCCACTATCCCATCAGACCAGCACCCCTCGGCCATCGAAACCAACCCCGTCACCTGGGAGAAGCTGCACGGGCCGTTTGAGATGACGGCGGAACGGAGGACGTCCGAGATGGAGTCTCCGAATATGGGATATGCGCCTCCGTCGCCGCGTGCGCCGCCGTCGCCGCATGCGCCCAGCGAGCCACGAGCTGCTCAGGCACCTCTACATGAGAGGGCGGAGGATGCTGCTTAGCCCGTCTCCATCCAGGCTTTGCAGATTTGTTACTTTGTCGACGTGAGGAAACGTAGCGCTTTGGGACCGTGCGGAGAGTAGACGTTAAGCAGATACGGCAGACCGTCTCATAGAGTTTTCATGAAATCAAAGCTTCCCCTGTTCCAAAAGGGATCGTCGGGATTCAACCAAGATGACTAGATTCAACCAAGCGAGAAAGACAATCAAGACAAAAGTTCCATTGCATCTGACGAATCCCAGGTTTGAACGACTAGTTGGCTTAGCTCTAGAACACAATGCACTCTTAAACTCCATAGCACCAGCCCATGCATTCTCCTGACGCCCTTCAGCGCCCGCCGTACAACCAGCTCCCTATGACAACTCCGCAATCCCGCCCCTAGTTGTCCTCCCTCCCTCACTCGCCCACTCAACCCGCCATCCCCCCCAAAGCTCATCAGTCCCCAAGCCCCCCTCTCCACCTCACACTTCCCCTACCCATCATCTCAATCCTCCCCCTTCCCCTCAATCTCCCACCCCCCAACCCCCGGCGACTTCCCCACCATCCCCCACGGATGCGGATACCCAATCGCCACACCCTTCAACCAGCGATACCCCTCCAAATACCCGCCCTCATCATACTCCCAGCCCATCCAATCGCCCACCTCCACGGGCCCCAGCATCCGCATCGACATCTCGTCCTTCAGCGTGTGCCGGACCAGGAACTTCTCGAAGCTCGTCTCGCCGAACAGCGACATGCCGCCCGTCCGCGTCGCCTGCTCGAAGGTCTGCGTAAAGCAATTGTAGTCCCACAGGTAGCTGGGGCCGCTCGGGAACACGGTGAAGGGTTTCCCCGGGGGGCAGCGCGCCGCGAACCACGCGCAGGTTGGGAGGTATGGGTGCAGGGGCGTGCTGGGGGTGTAGTTGGCGTAGGGGGAGGTGGGGCAGGGGAGCATGTATTGGATGATGGGGTGGGCGGGCTTGTAGGGCGGGGGGAGGGCGGAGCGGGCGGGGAGCGAGGGTGGGGAGGATGCTGGGGAGGCGGGGCGGGGATGGGGGCCGGACTGGGGGGAGGTGAGGTGCGTCCACTCGCGGCTGTGTGTGTCCCATTCCTCTGAGTACGTCTGCGTAAGGTTGAAGCCGTTTGAGTCGTCCTGGGCTTCGGAGATGGCTTGCTCAGCGGCTTCTTTTACGTCCGCGATGATGGCTTTATCATCTGGGGAGAGGAGCGGGTTGGAAGACGGTGGGCCCAGGACTTTGAGGATGGGGACTGTTGGGACGGGAGGCGCGGGTGGCGGACGAGGAGCTGTGATGGCGGGATGGTTTACGGTTGGCGCATCCGGGACCTCGGGCTCGGGCGTAGAGGGACTTGTCGTCGTCGGCTGGGCATTGCTCACCCTGACTGTCTCCAACGAGGTTTGCGTAGGCGCCGAGGCCTGCATCGCGATAGAGTCGATAGAGTCGCGGACCATACTTCCCAGATACGGCGAGTCCGCATTGTGTGGCTTGGGGTGCTTCCGCTCCCAATGATCCCTCCGCTCAAACGACGGAATCGGACCTGAAGCGGCGGCGGAGGCGGGAGGCGCAGTCGAAGCCAGCGCAAAACCGGCGGAGGAAACACGAGGCTGGGGCCCTTCAAGACCCCATGAACCGGTCAAGGCCCACATCATACCAGTGGTAACCACGAGGGCAAGAACGATGAGGGAGCAGATAAGCCAAGTACGAAGGGCTGCGACCCTCCAGAAAGAAGCATCACTGCGGCGGCGACCGCGATGCGTTGGGAGGGTATCAGGGGAGGGTTTTCCAACCGCTGCTCCAAAGGGAAGGGATACCATGTTGAAGAGAATCTGGCTGGAAATTGGGGTACAATGTGAGAGAGAAAGAGGGCTTGATATATGAAGAAGAAGTGAAGAAAATTTGCGCGGCGACCGGAGGGAGAAGTGTTGGAGTGGTAGCGAGAGGGATACACCGCCGGTACTACCATTTTTCTCGAGAATTTCTATATTAGACGTAAATTGCAACAGTTGAGGAAGTGGACCAAGGATAATGAGAATCTTGACGTCGCTTGGAGAAGCGCTACGCGATGTGGTTCCATGGATGCGATTTTGTGAGTCAGCGGTAGGAAGTGGCTCAGGATGAAAGTCTACACGTCTATACTCTATAGTTTGCTCTTCCCAACACCCCAAAGCTCCGCGCCTGGGTTGTTCGTGTTCTTGCCTACTGTGCCCGATGCGGTAACCGGCCTGTCGCCCTCTGCAACGAAGAGGTTCTGCGACTTCTTCATCGTCTCAATGGCTTCGCGCTCAATCCGCCCGATGAGCTCAGCGCACGTTGGGATATCATGAATCAGGCCAATGACCTGACCCGCGGTCCAGACCTGTCGTCGTCATCAGCAACCGTAGAACATGTATTGGATCGGTAGCACTTGCACCAAAGTCCTTGTCGCCGTTGAGGAACACCTGCCGGCCTCGCTTGCCGCTGACGTACTGAGCAACCTCTTCGAATTTGCCGGTTGTGCTTTCCTTCTCGACTTTGACGGCCGCCTTAGCCACCTTGTTGGCGAACAAGCGCGAGGTGTTCTTCCATCTCCGGAGGACCAGCTCGGTGTCTGTCTCTTGCGCGTCTACGATGGCCTGCTTGATGTTCTGGTGGATGGGCGCCTCGACGGTGCACATGAAGCGCGTGCCCATGTTGATGCCGCAAGCGCCGAGCGCAAGCGCAGCAGCCAGACCCTGACCGTCCGCAAAGCCTCCCGAGGCGATGAACGGCACTCCTAGTGACTGCCGCGCCCTGCTCAACAATATGAAGTTGGTGATATCATGCTCGCCGACGTGTCCCGCGCATTCGAAGCCGTCGATGGACAGGAAATCTACGCCAAGCTTCACCGCGGACTGTGCATGCCTGATGGTTGTACATTTATGCAGAATCGTGATTCCAACAGCCTTCAACTGCTTGATCACGGGGCCCGGGCTGTTTCCAGCCGTCTCCACGATCCTTATCCCCTCGTCAATGATGACCTGTGCGTATGCGCCGTAGTCCGGCGGCACGAGAGCGGGGAGGAGCGTCAGGTTCACGCCAAAAGGGTTCTTGGTCATCGAACGGCAGCGGCGGATCTCTTTGCGGAGGTCTTCGGGCGTCGGTTGGGTGAGCGCTGTTAACTAGAGCCATTGTTAGACGGTGCTAAGAGGGTCTGGCAGGACGACGTGCTATTCCGAGGCCTCCAGCGTTACTGACGGCGCTGGCCAGCTCCGCGTAGCCGACCCATTGCATGCCACCTTGCACGACGGGTACTATTGAGCGGCATTAGCAGCATGGTCTTTCGGACGCGCTGTTGGTACACACCTCGTATGCCGAGCGCTCGGGTCAGCTCTGTGTTGAACGGCATTCTGAAAGAGTGAATAAGGACAGAGGGGCTATGAGCAGGAGGAAATGGTTGCAGGTACTCCGAAGAGCTTGGAGACTGACGGCGATTATATGGAGTCTCTTACGCGCGTTACTGTGCGGTGCTGATGATGTCTGGGGTGCCGTGGGGAGGAGCGAGCGACCTGGGCTAAGCCGAGGAGCCGAGGTAGGACCCGATCAGGAGCGGATGGATACTAATCTCCGTCGACTCCATCGAGCACGAGTCGAGGCATCTGAATGGCGTGCAAAAGAGCTGTACAGCATCATTGGGAGGTGGCTCTGACGGGAGTAGTCGGTAGATTGCGGCAAGGCGAGGGTTTTCTGGGCCCTGGGTCGTGGTTTCCTCATGCGCGTGAAGCGGGGTCTTTCACGAGGCAAGCACCCCCGGCCTCAACACCATCTTTCCATCACGCATTTCCGTTCGTGGCATCTTTAGCACTTCGTTCGAGCCCAATGTGTAAGACTAGCTATGCATTTCTAGACGCCATCCTATTCAACTGTTCCTTGCTCGACCTCCACCCAGACGCGTCCAAGGGATCCATGCGTCTTCTGCGAAGTGCTGCCAATATTCACACCTACATTTACACGTACCAAGCTACCCTAACCTGACCAACACCAAGTGGTTGGACGTTTAGCTGTGCGAAACTCAGGCCTGAGCCTCGACTTACCCTGGTGCCTAGCGCCTTCGAAACCTCTCCACAGACAACAAGCCCACGTTCTCACCTTTGAGCAGCTTCCATCGCGTCTCCGAAACAATCGAGAGTCTCCCAGCTGTTCTGTCCTCCCGCCAAGTGTTCTCCGCCGTCGGCCACGGATAGGAGTCCCGCTGGACTCCATTCACAGCACACATCCGCTTCTTTTCATGTTCGGGGTATTGGTACCTGTTCGTTCGCGAGCCATCCCCGTCGATTTTATCGAAGCTGCCCCAGCTCACCGTGATCCGTTTGGTATGGATAGGAGCCAAAGCATCATAGCCCCAGCCGGGTCCGTACTTTCTCCACGTTCGTCCCCGGTCGACCGCTTCGCGAATGCGGCCCTGGATATCGTTCATAAGGCTGGTGGCTTCCCTTTCTGCATCTGTCAGTAGATGGAATATAACCTCCTCGAACCGGAAGCTAAGCAACCGGTAGACGACTTCGAATTGGAACAAGTCGCGAGCGTCCTCCCACTCTCTACTTTCATCTAACAAGTTCGGAGGCACGGTGATAACAACGCTCCTTAATGAACTACCGAAGCGTTCTTGGGGATTCTTGCAGGTCAGGATGCTCGCCTTGAAGCCAGTAATCCAAAGGAATACCTTCTCCCCGGCCTTGACCCATTCTCTTAAATTCCTGATCGAAGCTGCTTCTACCTCCTTCTTCGCCGTCCTACAGGACAGAATTAGGCCGACATTTTCGAATGATATGGGTGGAAGATCCAGGAATTCGTAAATGATATTTCGAGCATCCTCATGAAGAAGTTCGAAAAAGGCGCAGCGGCGTGGATTGATTGACGTTGGTTCCATCTTTCTTTAGTAGCTTGTTAATACGGGGAAGGAGGCCTTTATACTCTTGGACGGGGCTCGTGACGAATGGCATACGCAACGCTCCAAAGCTTCCGTTTGCATCCAAGCGATGTGGACCGACCCAACGGACGGTGAGTTGCGCCCTGCCGTTTGGTGCACCTTTTTCTACACAGCTAAGCCATACTGGTCCATCTCATCACCGAACTCTCTCCCGCTGCTTCTTGCACACCTATACACTTTGCACCCTGCTCAACCTCACGCCACATTTCCTCTCCGAACCTTCGCTTTCTCGATCTCAACTGCGCCCTCGCTCCACTTTTCGTCCTGTAGTCCATGGTGATATCGAAATTCAGAAATTCTTGCTCCTTTCGGGACACCCTTGATTCGACGGCAAGAGCGCGCATGCGGAGATAGCCGCTGCGAAGCTGGCTTAGTGGCGCTTCACTGCTCACGGGGTCTACGGCGCAATCAAGAATCTCCGCATCCGGGACCCATGAAAGATGCCCATGACCACGTTGGCACAATGTATGGCTCCGATGCCGGCATCGGTTTCGCTCGGCCGACCCGCCGCTAGGCCAGATGAGCAAGCATGCAGTTCTTCCAGAATCCGGCAACGTAGTCGCCCCAAATGCCGTGTAGTTGTTCGGCAATGCCTGCTAGTGCCGGCAGGCGGTCTTCGATGATGCTCTGCCATATTTGCTTGGTCTGGGTGTTTGACGGTCTCTCCTTTCTGCTCAGCTTCTTGTTGACGAAGATGCCAACGGGGAGCCTCTTGCAGCCCGTGGAGCGCTGGTAGAACGTTGTGCCTAGCGACTCGGACGAATTCTGTTGGCATTGCCAGGTCAGTTCTTTCTGCCCATACAGCAGCATGCGCGGTGAAAGCAGCCGCTCCTGAAGCGTCCAACCCCGAGAGTACAAAGGTTCGTCTGCATCCGATGATTGTACTGTTGCGCTCAGCCAGACTGTTGGCGTCGGTCTTCCTTTTACCCATGTGTCGAAAGGCAACTTTCCCGATCCGTCCTTGCGGTACAAGTCATAGTCATATTGGTGGTCGTAGTAGATCGGAATCTCGCATGAAGGGATCCTCGGCCTTGGTTGCAAGAAACCCTCATGAGCCGTCTTCGCACTTGCAGCCGCAATTGTCAACGTCGCGTTCTTGTATATTTGCCCCATTTTGTTGATCTCCTGAGCTTTATCCACCGCACAGTCTTGAACGATGCAGAGAGCATCTGCCCAGAGATACGAAATACCGAGATTCCGAGTTGCCATTACGGCGTCTTGAATTGTTTTCGGTAATTGATCGTAAGGGATGCTGGTAACATGATCGTCTAGCGTCGATTTCGTCGTCGTTACTTGCTGAGATCCGCCCCAGCAGTAGCTCAGCGCTGTGTAGTGGGCTTTGCAAGGTGTAGAGTTGACTAGCAGTTTGACGGAGCCGCGTTTAGTCTCTGACCCGACATCGATCACTCGGCTGGGCAATGTCGGGGCCTTCTTCCCGGGGCATTTAGCGTGGTCATCCTGGCACTCTTGTAGCCATCGTCGCGCTGTATAGAAAGCAGAATTGGTAGCGACATCTGTCAGCATAGCTCTTCTTCTGACGAGATGTGTGTCGTGGTTGTCCTTCCCGGCTAACGATCAGTTGTATCAGTTCTCGCATCTCGTGCAAGGAGGCATGCAGCCCCTTACTTACCGCCGTTATACAAAAAGAAGGATGTGATTTCGTTGCTTGGGTGGCTCGAACTTGACAGGACCATATAAAGGGGGATATATGCGAAGCCGGACTGGGAGCGAGGCGTTGCCGCTTGCTCTCTTAGGAACCATTCAAATTCCTGGTCGCGATATGTTGAATATTCCTGTTTGTAACATGGGCTCCTGAAAACCAGCGTTGACGATTCGTCCCACCTCTTAGGCATGCTCCTCAGTCGATTTGCAATGAACATGCAGGAGCAGCACCCCTGATCTGCTGAGCTTTTCAACTCGCCCCATGTGTGGTGTCGGTAGCCGTCAGGATGGAACAGTGCCCGGAGGCTAGGCAAGGTACCCACCAGTCCGCAACACTGCTGACAACAAGAGTCGACATTCTTCGTAAGCTCACTGGCTTTTCTCTTCCGCGATCCTAATTGGTCGGGCTCAGATGGTGATGCCATCGTCGCAGAACAGAAGAGACTGGTCAATTAGAGGTCTAGTGTCAAACGGGAGGTAGGGGTTTTGAAAATCGATTGCAGTAATAGGAAGATTGCGCGTCCTTCCCCGTGCAGTATTGTGATGGGGGGAGAGGTTGATATTTTATGGGCGGGAACCGGCTTCGTGGCTGTGGCGGTGCAACGACTGGCGGTGGCAGTGCAGAGCGTGCAGCCTGAAATTTTCGCCTTTTCCTTCCTCTCCAACACCTACTCCCATTTCTTCAAAAACTCTTCCACCTCCTTGAACTCTCTCCGGAGAACTTCTGCATGTTTCTCGCTCCTCGGCACAAACCTGACCCGAAACGGGTCGGGCTCGCTCAAGAACCCATCCTCATACGCATTCGTATCCAGCTCAATCTTCTCGCCCGTCGCTTCATCAACCGCAGGTTCGATCTTGAACGCCCATAGCAGCCTAGCCGTAATGCGCCATTGCGTACGTTCCGCGAGGTGAATGCCTACACAGATGCGACGACCCGCACCGTAGGAGTAATGATCTCGGTTCTTGTAGTCCGGGCTGCCGGCGTAATCCATTGCCAGCCTCGGATGGTTGAGGTATCGGTCTGGATTATATATTTCAGGATCCTTGTGCGTGGAATGGTTCAAAGCATACGCTGGGATAAAGACGGTGGCGTCTTTCGGGATGAGCATGCCCTCATACCAATTATCCTGCCTAGCACGATGCGGAAGGCCGGCGGGGACTCTGAATCTTGTTTAGTATACTGTGACAAATCAGTACAGCACAGACTCACATGGGGCGAATCCGTAAGCCTTCCTTGATGATGCAATTGATGTACGGCAGGTCCTTGAAGTCACTCCAAACCGGCATTCTGTCCGTCCGACACACGCGATCGAGCTCAACTCTCGCCTTTTCCTGGAAGTGTGGGTGCTTGGCCAAGTGGATGATATGCGTGAGCACCGCCGAGGACGTTGTATCGGCACCGCCTTGATGGACGGCTCCAAGGTAGTTGTTCAATTCGGTGTAGCTATGCGGTACATCAAGTTTGATGTCTTCATTCAGAAGCTTGTCGATGAACGAGTTCCGCTTATCGCCTTTCGCGCGACGCTGGTCCACAAGCCGCCGTGCCTCGTTCCAAGTATCGGTCATGGTACGGTAACTGTCATGCGCTCTCTGCTTTCCCGCGTTCCATCTGTTGGGCAAGTATTTGAGAATGGGGAATTGGTCGACCGGGAGATATGAGCCCGGCGCTATAGCTTTGCTGATCTAACACACCTAGTCAGAAGAGAGATGAATGGCGGAAGCCCACGAAGCCATACCTTGCCCATGGTTACGTAGACGGCCTGGTGATTGTTAGCGGAGTTTGGACAAAACGCTCAAAAACGGACTGACCGAGCCCCAGAAACTTTCAAACGAAGGTGCACGATTGCCATAAATAACAATACTTGATGCCGATGAAGTGGCGCGCTTAAGGTGCGTACGGAAATCGTCCGGGGTGAGCAGGAGATCGTACATGAGTTGGCTGATCCTGCAGAGCTTCAGTACCTCCTTGAAACCTCAAATGGCCCCTCCCTTTGCATAGGAACATCTCCCTCGGTATGGAATACTCACTCAGCCTCCTGGATCCTCGCTATCTCGCTATCAAGTCGCATGGGAGTCAACAGCTGCGAGGTGACCTTCCTCTGCGCCCTCCACATCGGCGTTGCATGCAACATGGCGAAATTCTCATTGCCGAAAGCTATCTCGAGTTGCTGTTCAATCGGCCTATCGGAGTATATGGCGCTTCGCTTGTCGATCAGGTCATGAACCGCGCGCCGGTCGTTAAGTACGATGATGGTACTCCTTCCGACTTTGAGCGAGAACACGCTGCCATACTGATCGCTCCATTCCCTCATCCTATTCACAACTTAGCTGAAGGTCGTACGGTGGGGCTTGGCTGCAAGGATCTGTACTTACTTGGCATAGAAGCGCTTCGCAGGAATCTGATGCGCATTTCCCAGGATAGGTAGTGTAGGAGGGCCGGGCGGCAGATGCTTTTCTCGATGGCCAAAGCGCAGCAGTTTGTAGAAGAAATAGCCCACATACGCAATCACCGGGAGCCATTTCGAAGAAACTGGAAGCGTAAAGGCTCCCATCTTTGCCGACTGGGCTGTACGGTGCTTTCTTCTAAGGTTCAGCCTGGCGCAAGGCTCGAGGTAAATATATACCGAGTCATCAGATCTCTGCAGCGACCTAGGATGTTCGTAAGCCCTCTTGGACCAGGTAAGAGGACACCCTTCGATGAACTCCGCTCCCGACTGTCTGGACCGGTGGAGTCAGCAGAACAACGGTGAGGATTGATAGGGCTGGTAATTAAATTACTAGCGGGGTATGCATGCGGGTGCATGATATGGCATGCTGAGTAACACCGGCATGCCTGATGGAGCCTCTCTTATCGCGCAAGTGGAAAGGACGATCTGTATAAGGAGCGGGTACGAGCGGGTATCGCCTGAGGGCTTTAGGAAGTCAGTGAGGCTGCCGGATATTGTCTTAGAAGAGGTGTAAGAACTAGGCGGCTGACGTACATATAGGCATGGTGTGCGTACGACCAAGCCCGGACTGAAGAGTTGTCCCTGTAGAACACACACTGTGTGATATCGTTCTGCACGTATCCTACATCGACGCAGGCGGAATGGAGCGGTAGAAGATGCTCTTGCACGACAGCCAAGGAGCCACAGCCAATTGTGTGAGACCACTCGTACTCGGGAGCAGCTCGGATCTCCGAGATCGGCGCCGATCTGATAATGCCCCTCGTCTCACAAACTCCTCCGTCCCACGCACTTCCACCATGACCGACCATCAAGATGCCATCCTCTTCAACAACGGCCGCTTCTTCAATGGAGAGACTTCCCCCGCGCAATTCCATGACTGTATGGTCGTCAAGAATGGCAAAATCGTGTACATTGGCCCCTCCAACTCACCCGAGGTCCAATCGTTCGGCGACATCACAACCCAAGACCTGAATGGCCGATATGTCCTCCCCGGCTTTATCGATGGCCATATGCATTTCCTCATGCTGGGCCAGTCGCTGCATAAGGTCGATCTCGATGGGTGCAAAGACCTCGCGGAAATCCGGTCACGGATTACCAAGTATGCCAAAGAGCACGGCGGAAAAGAGAGGATACTGTGCAAAGGATGGATGCACTCGATGACAAATGGAGAGGCAAAAGCGAGTATGCTGGATGGTCTGGATCCGAGGCCTATCTACATCGACTCGAAGGACCTGCATTCGTGCTGGTGCAACAGCGCTGCGCTGAAAGAGATGGGCGTGCAACAGATGGAAGATCCAGCTGGCGGGACGATTGAGCGCGATGCTGATGGCACGGCATCGGGCTTGCTGAGTGAAGCGTGCGTCTTGCTTATTGTATGGCCTTACCTTGCAAAAGTGCTACCCATGGAAGACAAGATGGTCGCGCTGAAAGCCGCAATCGCGGCCTACCATGAAGTCGGCTGCACAGGTTGCATCGACATGGCCATGGACGAAAACGCGTGGGAAGCCATCCTCGCCCTACGAGAAGCCTCAGGCGGCACCCTCCCCATGAGAATCGCAGCACACTGGTGCATCCTTCCGGGCTCAGGCGAAGCCCACCGCCTTCAACAAGTCGACCGCGCCATTGACCTCGCCCACCGGTTCAACGCCTCCATCAGTCCAGACCTACGCATCCTAGGCATCAAAATAATCTGCGACGGCGTAATCGACGCCTGCACCGCCGCGCTCGCCGAACCATACTCTTCAAACGCCGCATCCCCAGACCCCATCTGGACGTCCTCCATGCTCGATCCCGTCGTCAAGAAAGCGTGTGATGCCGGCCTGCAATGTGCCCTCCACGCCATCGGCGACCAAGCCGTCCACAACGCCATCAACACGCTCGAAGCCCACAGCAAACCTGGCCAACGGCACCGCATCGAGCATCTAGAACTCACCTCCCCCTCGGACGCTGCACGTCTGGGGGATCTAGGTATCACAGCATCCATCCAACCCGTGCACTCCGATCCCGCCATCCTGCGCGCCTGGCCCAAGCTGCTCGGCCCAGAGCGCCTCAGGCGTGCCTTCGCATACAAAGAGTTCGCGGACCACGGCGCCACGCTGGCAATCGGGTCCGACTCGCCCACGGCGCCTCACGCGCCGCTCCCGAACCTGTACGTAGCGACAACGCGCAAGTCGGCGCGGCAGCCTCACGCAGGCGATGCGCCTGTTAACGAGCATTTTCAGCTGGGCATTGCGGAGGCGGTGAGCGCGGCGACGAAGGGCGTGGCGTATTCATGCTTTGCGGAGCAGAGCCTGGGCAGCTTGGAGGTGGGTAAGGTGGCAGATTTTGTGGTGGTATATATGCGGTTTGAGGCGGGGGAGTTGCTGAGTGCGAGGGTGAGGCAGACGTGGTTTGCGGGGAGGAAGGTATATGAAGCGAAGTAGGTGGCCCCTCCTCGTGCGCCTCCTCCACGCCCCTCGCCGCCTTCTCACAATTTCAAACATCTGCTGCCATCCTCAAGCGCTACGTCACCCACAATGCCCCACGACGAGAGCGCCCAAGCTCAAATCACGCAGCTCACGGCGGAGGTCAAAAAATTAAATCAAATCAACATTGAGCTGATCAGCAATATGCGCGTCTCGTCAGAGAAATGGAGGAATTGTAGGAGAAGAGCACGCAAGAGAGGAAAGAACAAGAAAATAAGAGCTAACAGAATTGTACGCGGAGCTCAGGGACAATATGTAGCTCTACATAATATTGGCTACTAGCAGAGGTCTGAATAACACAGCAAAGACATCGCAGAGAAGGGGACACTTGTGCTCCATTTTGAATATGCCCAACGAATAACTCCCCCACCAAGTCGTCACTGCACACCTAGCAATAAACCCCGGCTAACGTGTGCGAGGCCTAGAGCATTCCTTGCATTTCAAGGATTCGTTCAGCTCTGCGCTCCAACACGCGATTAGCACCGGATTCTCCAATGGCCGCAACCAACTTTTTGTACCCGGAGTCCTTTTTGTATTCCTCCATCACTTCCTCCACAGCGGCCCGCTTCTTGTCCTGGACTTCGTCGTACAGGGCACCTCCGTATGCGGTATCAGCGGGGAAGTCGTGAAACGAAAACCACCCGGTTTTAATAAGACGCTTCTTCTTGTCGTACGAAAAGCTTTGGGCACTCTGCAGACCGGACATGCCCATACTGGTGCCGTAGAGCCAGTACATCACGTCTCCCGGGGCCCACCCTAAATCCTGGCTGTTCCAGAAAAGATGTGGGCCAGGCGGAGTGTGGGTGTACGCGAAGCGGAGACGACCGACTGCGATAGCGAGATTGCAACTATGATACTTTCCAAAATCGGATTCAGACTCAGGTTCTGGACGTGCTACCACGAAGTTGCGCCAGGCGCTCTTGAAACCGCACGGCTCAGAGTTGTTGTAGAGTGCCACCGTCGTTGGCAGGGTTGTGTTCCAGTAGGCAGACGTGTGTATTAGCTCCGTTCCGATTCCCCGCGGGAAGGTGGGACCCCCGGCCTTCAACTTGTCCCTGGCGTCTGTGATAATGGCGAATATCTCCTGCATCAATTGTCTGTCCGCATTGGAGTCACGGTGGAGGCCTGGATGTCGTGCAAGCTTATCTGGGTGCCAGCATTTCAGAGCCCGCTTGTAGTATCGGTCAACCGTAGGATTAGGCTGTGACAACGTTGGGTAAAGCCTCTCTCCCATCCCTAGCACTCTTTCGTAGTTGGGGTAGTGGCGATAGTTGGGTGGGCACTCTGGGTCAAATTTGTCTATCCTCGTTAGCAAATAACAAGCGCTCGTGGAGGATTGAAAGGCCCACCGGTCAGCGGATGCTCGCTCATTTTCGTATTGATCAACACGCTGAGAAGCGAGTGAAGGATGAAGCCAGCAAGGAGTACAGCCAGACCGCTTGACCCCAAGACGCCGAATAGCTGTTTAACTACGTTGAGGGTGTGGTTCAACGCGTTGAGGATTCGCTTCAATGCATCAAGAATGTGCTTCAACATGCTGAAGATGGGGGACGCGAGCCAGATGACAAGACGAATCACTGCGCGAAGCAAGACGCAGCGGCGGTTCCGTGCGGACGCCTTCCCCTCCGATGCTCTTTGCTTCTGCTTCGTCCACGGCCACGGCATAACGAAGGAGCGGGATGGTTGAGACTGCGATTAGATTGCGACGAGAGAGAGAATAATAGGAATGTGAAATGTAAGGAAGTTTTCTCCCTTTGCGCGAGTGGGATTCTAACGTATTCATACACGGTTGTGTCAAAGAAAAACTTGCGGCGTTCTCAATCGGTCTGGTTGGGAATGGCGTATTGAATTGAAACTGGGAACAAAGAAACACTCGCGAGCTGAACGCCGACTACCCCTAGTTGAAGGAATCGCCCAACGCTGATACGTCAGGTATCATCTAAGAGCGGTGAACCCCCTAAAGAGCGCCTCTTGGCACCCTATCGCCCCGTTGCGTCCTGCGCTAAATAGAAGGGAGCGGCTCCGGAATCTCTCAACCTCGTATCCTTTTGTCGACCCATGTTCGAAACCACGACTTTCCTCCGCAACTCCAGCTCTCACGCAGCAAAGCAACCTGCAAATGCAATGGACAGCTCCGATCCGCAAGCGAAGGACGATGGCGACCGCGTAATTGCAAGCCCGACACGGTAAGATCTACACACGGCATGATTCCTGTACTAGGCTGACCTCATGCTAGGCCTCTACCCACGGTTCCGGCCTGGTCCGAGACCGGGAACGCTCAGAATACATACAACAACATCATTATCAACAATGCTAACGGTACTGGGGTGACCGCTGGTGCATTCACTCGCGGTACCACCAGCACCGGAAGTGGCGGCGGTAGCGGTGGCAATTGCAATGGCGACGACAAGGACACCGTCTCACCTGTTCTGTACAGCTCGCTCCTTTTTCTTCTGGTCGTCCTTGCTATCGGAATCTTGAACTCCAAGCTCGCCGACCCACGCACCCAGCTACGAGAGACGACAATCCTTACCGGTATCAACACCATTCGCTATCACATCGACGTTTCCATAAACGCCAGCAACACACTAGAGTACTACGTTGCCGAGGCGCTGGCCTCCGGCAAACGCCAGGATTGGCTCCCAGACGCAGAGATGGCTACAGGCATCATCCTTCACGACATCAAGCCGGCGATGGGCAAGCTGGAGAGCGAATTACGCCATTTAGAAAACCTGTGGGATCGACTAGACACTGAAGTCGCTCACAGATTCGACCACTACACTCAGCAAGTATCGCCCCAGTGGTGGATGAAACTCTTCGTCGATGACCAGTCCGAGATCGATCATCGAAGTGTTTGCGAATTCACGAACTTCCTCAAGCTGGGCATTAGAGAACTCCACGGCCCTTTGATCACTCTGAACGAAACCGTCTCACTCCTGCACAACACCTACATCAGGGCCAACGAGACGCTAGAAACCGCCTGGTTCATGCCAAAGAGCTTCATTTACTTCTGCATTACAAAACCGAAGGCCTCAAGCCGCTCAGTCACCAATACAGTCAAATTCAAGATGCTCTCAGTGAGGAAACTATTTGGCATCGCCATGCGGGCTTCGTGTGCGGACAATCTGAGCATCCTCGACGCCTACCATAGGGCGATTCAGGCGTCATATTCGAATCTGGGACAATTGCAAGCTGCCTGGCGCTGTCAGATCGATGTCAGCGAGCGTGGCGTTAGGGCGGGCCTGAAGACAAAGGCACCTGCAGCCCTCAAACATGCTGTCTCCCTTGTCCCCTTCTGAGACCGCGATCGTAGGGGTTAACATCGTTGTTGTTGAGGGGCTTTTGGGGTTCCTTTCTCGTTAGCAGCTTCATCCCATAGTTCGCGGTAGGCTATACCCTTATCCGCGCCTAAACCGTTCTTTTCTGTTAACTTATACCCCCTCGCCGTAGTTCTATAGCATCCTATTCTCTTCTCTTAATATTAGCCTTTTTTTTTTTTTGAGTTCTTTTGTGCGTAGGTATAGTTAGCATAATCTTTATACATTGCGCATCGAGCATATAATCCCCTCAAAGACTCTTACTACACCAATCATACTCTTATGCATGCCGCACTGTAACTCAGTCCCTCTATCAGTACATGCTCCTTCAGGTGTACGAGCTTCTCCCCGCTGCCTTTGCTACGGTAATCTTCCCCCCTATTTTAGAGGCATCTCTCTAAGATAGAGCTCTGCAGGCTTATGTATATATAAGAGAGAGCTCTATTTTAAGAGAAGAGACTCTAAGTAGAGATATAAAATAGAGGTATACTACTCTATAGAGGTACGATTACGTAAATTTACTCTCTATTATAGACTCTTAGTATTTACTACTAAGAAGCTTCTTTACTACTGAGACGTCATGTATATACGGGGACGGGCGTAGCGCATCCGTGTCCGACCGACGGGTTTCCTGTTTGGATGAAGCCACCCAATTGAGGTGCGCCCAGTGTTTCCAGATAGAGCGAATAAATACGGAGTGCCTGTGCCCAACGCCAAGGAAAGAGCGAGCGTATGGGAGTATAAGTAGCTGCGTGTCTCTTTGTAAGTGCTGAGATCTTCTCTATTCTAGGTGCCATCAGACACACGATCCGACCTCGCCATCACTACTAGCATGCCATACAAAAACACCACACCCGGTTATCATTGCAGCGCCCCACCGTCATAGCTTCCAGCATCTCCCCATCCCGGATCACTCGGCGGACTCGCCATATTCATCCCATTGTAGCCCTGCGACACATCGACTAGCCAAGCTGTATCCTCCATGGGAACAGTAAACAATGTATCCCACCCCGGCGCGCTCATCAAATCATCGTAGGCTATCGTAGGTATAGGGCTGTATGAAGAGTACGAATTTATCGGTGCCATGCCCATTGTGGTTGCTTGTGGCTGGAGCATATCGCCTGGTATTGGCAATGGCACATTCGGATACGGAAGCGGCTGTGGCTGCTGATGCTTGAAGGTCGCAGAGACAGGGACCTGAGGGACCGCAGGAGCGGAGGCTGAAGTAGGGGGTGTATTGGAGGACGGAAGCCCTTGGTTCGAGACCGCTGGTGCCCGGGGAATTCGTTGCTGCGACTCCGGACTCTCCCTTCCGATCGCCCTCGTCATCTTTTCGAACCAATTCTGGATCTTCCTAACTCTCTGTTCGTAGTAGTAGAAGATGTCCTTCTGCTTATTCCCCTCGCTGGCCCGACCTACGAGAGCGCCGATCCGCAGGCTCAAGTGCCGAAAGACATGGTCAATATTTAGACGATGCCGTAGCTCTCGCGTTTGCGGCTCGACATTCGGCTCTTTGCTAACGATGGCGAACTTTGCGGCTTGCGTTACGCCGAAGGAGAGCTGTATCCATTCCGAGTTCGTGAGTGACATTTCGGATTTAGGAGGCAACCAGAGGTAGAGGTCGAGGAAGGACTTCGCGCTTTCGAGGCCTTCGCAGAGGATGTTGAGGTGGAGGGCGGGGGATTGTTGGAGGTTGCGCTCGAAGAAGGCGACTTGATAGAGGAAGAGCTTTGCAGTGTGGAATTGCATGAAGAGAAGATCTGACGCGTTTAGCCCCATGCTGAGGTGTTTGGGAACGTGGACTCACGGCTGTCGCTGACGTCGGAGCATAGGAACGCTCTGAACTCCTCGAGTTCCGCTCGTACGCGTAGGTATGCGGCTTGCGCATCAGCTTCGGAGCCCGATTGGGTTGCGATATGTTCTATATTTTCGATGATCCGCTGAAGCCGAATCACGTGATAGAGATCTTTGTCGGTACGGTATTCTGCCTTTTGCCCTAACGCTAAGCATCCCTCTTCTATGCAATGCGTGCAGGGAAATGTGTTCATCTTGTCCAAGAGTTTAGATATTCTGCTTTTTGTTAGCAGTTACTTCTACAGCGAGGAATCCTACGCATACGACATACGTTGAGGAAATGTAAAAAATGCCTGCTGCGGCCCTCTGTTCCTCTGGACCCCAGGTTTGGGTTCCTGGACTGCCGGCCACAAGAGGGTCGCGCTTGTTTCCGTAGCTCTTTTCTTTACTCCGAATGGGCTTGCGGTCTAGCCGCATATCCACTGCTATTGACACCGCGAGCTGGAGATACTGCGAGTAATACTTTGACCGGCCATGGTACTGATTCCTAGCGGGAGTCAGCTTCCATTCCTTCCAACCAAGCGGGGCTCGTTTCGTCCGTACCATGCCAGAACGATCATTAACCCTTGGAGGTATTCCAACTTCAAGCAGTCGTCCCCGCCATATAAGACCTTCTCAGTCACCATGTGTTTGAACCGATTGCCCAGCTTTTCTTGCGTCGGGAGATCATGGAAGCTTGCAACCGACAGAATTGCGAGGAATAGGAACGGTTTCCCGTGCCGTAAAGTTGCGCCCGTAACTTTCGGCGGGATGATTATAAAGGGGAAATGAGGCATCATCTCCGTCCTGTACATATCCACCAGTGTATCCGCCCTCTCAGTCGTGACGAGGTCTTCATCGATAATGTCGCCATCGGAGGGAGCGCTAGAAGTTACGGAGGGAGCGGTCGCAGTGGGGATCGGGATGCCTTCGGGCAGAGGTTGTTGCGTGGCATGGGCGGGGTTTTGGGTTCGGAGGAGGTTCTGTACCTGCGCTTCGAGTGCTTGGATGCGCCTGTATACGTTGTCAGAAGGCCAAATTCAATCTCAATGCGAAGGCTCTCGTACGAGTCCCGCTTGGCCGAGTTGTCGCGCCGCCGGGCTGGTCTGAAGACGCATTGCTTTCCTAACCGCGCACACCTGGTGGCATCAGCTCAACTGCCTCTCCTTTCAACTTGTCGCCTCGCAAACCTATCACATATGTCTGTCCGCTGAGTGCGATCGCATCGTATCTTCAACGAGAAGCAGTTCTGGCACGTTTTCGAGAGGAGCAGCGGCGACGCGCGATCCTTCTCGGCTTCTGGCCCAGCGGCCGCGCTGAGAGACATCGCTCCGATGGCTGCGTATTCGAGCTGGAGGGATACTGGTCGCGGTCATGGAGCTCGAGGGACGTTAAGAAACGGGACGATTAACATCTAAGCCACAGAAGCTGTCAGAGCTCATCCTGCTGGGCGGAAGACTCGCGCTTGCTCCCGAGAGGCTCCGGGAGCTGTCCCAAGCCGGAAATGGGTACTGCTGTGCTTCTGGAGCCTAGGGAAAAGACGGACGGACGCAGAGTTAGGCTGCATTGATTAACGTCGAGAGGAGCGGACGTTGGATCAGCCAAACGGCCGAATGTGTGGCCGAATGCCCCGCGACCTGATATAAAGCTTATCCGGGATTTTGATACAGGGGCGGTACCCTGTATCACGAAGCGTACAAGGGGTCCCCGGTGCAATTCATTTTCGTATATTTGCGTCATAGGAAGAAATATCCCATCATTTTGGACCTTCTTCAAAGACAGATGCGTGAAGAGTACCGCCTTGAGCGGGAATAGAGCGAGTGGAGGCAAGAATACCGGAGGAACGGTTACCGTTGTTCGCTTCCACTTAGCGTCTTTTCCGGCGCTTGAGAGATCACTCGTCCGAGTCGCATCCTCCATACCCTCTCCAACATCACTCCTGGCTCCGTAACACTGTGAAAGCGCCGTCTTTTAAAAAGTTCCTGCTCGGGAATCTTCAACGCCCGGGTATTCAAAGCACCTCACAGCGGGATGGTAGGGGTGCTCTCAACGCGCAGAACCCGGAGAGGCACCCATGAAGAAGCGTTGAGGTCGATGGAGGAAGCCATGTATTACTGCGATGAAGAACATAGTAAGAAAAAGAAAGAAGTAAGTACAAAGAATCCCCCTATCATATGAACATGTTTCCGCATTACGCACTACTGGCTAAACTCCCCGGGTATCTCCTGTTCAAGTCGTCAAGCGAAGAGCGCGCCAGCTGGAAGAATTGCTTCCTTTGAACGATTCCGCTATTTGCGTGTCGTAGTCGTCCTGGTAAACGCCTGCAAACGCCGAATCAGTGTCGTCGCTGAGGTGTGCCTGCTCGCGCTGACCCCGTTCATCGAATCGTGAGGCGTCCATAACCCGATGGACGGCGTGTTGCTTTGATCCAGTCTGCTTACTCAGTCCCTTCCCTCTTTTGTGGATCCTCGAATGGATCCGACGTCTCTAGTCATTTGAGCGTATATCGGTCCTCGGGCTTGCCTTCCCTCTCCACGAACACAGCGGTCCCATACACACTGACTTGCGCGAAGCCCAGCACCTCGCTCTCGCCGAAGCTCATGCCGACGATAGCGTTTCCTCCCCGGCTGATGCAGTCCTTCACCATCCTCTCAATGGCTTGATCGCGGGCGTTATAGAGCATGTGTGTGAGGCTCTTCGCTTCGCTCCCGTTGCCGACTGCCTTGAGGAAGGTCTTGGTGTCTTTGCGCGCGCATGTGGTCATGCCGTGGACAGTGCCTATGACCTTGACAACACGATGGCCGGGTAGGTTGTCGGTGGTTGCAGTGAGGACGGAGGGTGTGCGGCAGTGAGGTTCGGTTTCGGGCGTGGGATCAGGCCGGTAGCTTGGCATGTTCTGGGGGATCATCATCGTTGAGCGGCGGTTGGTCAACATTTTGGCGGATTGGGGTTGGGATGCGACGTAGGTAGTAGAATGGGTGTAGTCGAAAAAGCGTTGGGTGGTAGATGCTGGGAAGCGCGCAATCGCTATAAGAGCAATAGATGGTCGGGTGGAAAGAGGAATACTTGAAGGATGAATATGAACAGGCGAAATGCGGATTGCGCAGGAAATGCGATGAGATGATCTGATCCGGATTCTAATTGCGACCTCCTCAGGATATTAAAGAAAATCCTGGGCCGATCCTGATGTCAAGCTATCAACGCCCAGCCTCATGAAACACGACAAGATAATGCCTCGCCGCTGTTCCCGACCACGGCGAATACGCACAAGTCTAAGCCACGAGCGGAGACCGCGCGGAGCGTTTCTCCACCACTCCAAAGAAATTTGCTCGCTTTCGCATCGGGTGCGTTGTTATTCTCTGAGCTCGGGCGAGGCGTTCGCGCGGAGCGGAGACGGAGAGGTAGGGCTGCACTGAGTTTCAGGAAGGTTGAAGCGAGACTCTGTAACATGTTGATGTCGCGCAGCTGCAAGGTGAGTTTTACCACGCGATATGATACCACGATGAAGCTATCAATAACGGCGAAGAGACAGGTGACATCTTACGTGGCCCTGTCAACAGCTCCGAGCTCCCCGTTGCATCCGCCGCAATCGGTCAAGTACAGCCGCGATTCTTATGCCTTTAATGAGGCGTTCCCAAGGCGTTCTTGGGAAGCTTGATCGTGTCGAAGGTCCTGCCGATTCCGTGGATACGCCCTCAGATACGATCGCGGAATATGCGGAGGCGTACGTCATGATCCCTGAGGACTTTTTTGTCGACTACAGCCGAGTTACTCGCCTCGTCATCGACTACATTCAAACGAGATTGAACGTCTCGAATCGTGCCGCCTTCGCAGCAAGACTGTTTCTGTACCTTGCAAATTCTGGTCTCTTACTCGTGTTTGCTGCTCGCATTCGCGAAATCTACGAGGCCTAGTTGGCTCACGTGATTAAGACATTCACCCTGGCCCTCCTCGGGCTCGGAGTTGTGCACATCATGGCTCTCGGCTTCTTGCTAAAAGACCATTACACTTAATTGCTCGGAAGCAATGCTCTCAAGGGCCTGACTAGCCAACTATAAGCGATTCTTTGACGATGATGCAAGCTAGCCATCGGGGTGCTCAATGGACAGGTACCACCCACACTGAGTGCAAATAAAAACCTCACAGAAGAGTCTTCCTCACTCTTTGATGAGCTTCTGTATCCTATATCCAGGCGTTTCCTCACTCGTCAACTACCTGCAAGACCTCATGGCGGGCTCAAAGCGTCGAAAGACGCGCACTTCGGAACCTGAAAATGGACTCTGGAAGGATAGGAAGGGACCGCTTCCAGTGACTGTTCTTTCTGGATTTCTGGTACGGCTCAGCCTGCTCGTGAGGCAGAGAGCATTCAACTAACAAATGCGTAGGGAAGTGGAAAGACGACGCTCCTCCGTCACATCCTCCAGTCTCCCGATCATGGCCTCCGAATCGCAGTCATTGTGAACGATATGGCGTCTGTCAATATCGATGCGAACCTCATCACCCGATCCTCAAACGCACCCAGCAAGGGTGCCAAGAATGCGGGTCCCCCCGAGGTTGCTGTGAAGGAGAAGGTGGTACAGATGCAGAACGGTTGCATTTGCTGCACACTCCGCAGTGATCTTCTCACTGAGCTTGCACGTCTGGCCTGGAGCAACGATGGCTTCGATCACGTTGTGATCGAGAGCTCCGGGATCAGTGAGCCCCAGCAAGTGGCCGAGACTTTCACTGTAGAGTTGACTGAGGCAATGGTGGATGCCGAAGGCATGGAGACGGAGGAGAAAGAGACGTTCATGAAGGTGTCAGTATTCCTCTCATTTCTGTCCCTGGAACGTCGACTAATGCCATTCATAGCGCGAAGCTCGGTGGCTTGAAAACCATCGCAACTGTCGATACGATGGTCACCGTCGTCGATGCCTTCCGCTTCTTCTCCGAGTTCGACACCGCCGAGTTCCTACAAGACCGCTTCGGAAAAGAAGAAGTGCCTGAGGAGGACCAACGCACCATCTCCGACCTCTTCGCCGATCAGATCGAGTTCGCGAATGTAATCATCATGAACAAGGTCGACCTAGTCGATAAGCAGACCCTCGGCCGCGTTCACGCTTACGTCAAGGCGCTCAATCCCACGGCAAAGATTATCGAGGCCAAGTACTCCAAGGTCAATGTGAGGGAGATGCTGAACACAGGCAAGTTCGACTTTGCTGAGGCGATTGCGAGCCCTGGTTGGCTGAGGAGTCTACATGAGATGACAGTCATGGATGTCCAGGGCAAGAAGCGGGTTGCGCCAAAGCCGGAGACTCTAGAGTATGTTCCGCATATGGTACGTATATCCACCTCGCTGACAGATGCTTTCAGGTACGGCATCGGCAGTTTCGTATACCGCGCTCGGAGGCCCTTTGACCCATTGAAGCTCTATCACGCGTTGGAAGGAAAATTCATCCTCTTAATGGAAGAGGCAGATGATGAGGAGGAAGATGATGAAGAAATGAGCGATGCAGGCTTTGAATCAGACGAACGCAGCCATTCACCCAACGACTCTGACGAGGTTAGCGAGAACACCAACGATCTGCCACCCATGGACCCCAAGGAGATCCTCGCTAATAAAAAAGCCTGCCCCCATTTTCGCGGCCTCCACCGCAGCAAAGGCGTCTTCTGGCTCGCCACGCGCCCCTCGCAAATGGGCTCCTGGAGCACCGCGGGCGCCATGCTGACCCTCGGTTCCGAGATGCCGTGGTTCTGCACGCTGCCCGTGGACGAATGGATGGCAGACGAGGCGACTCTAAAGTCCATTAAAGCGGACTTCGAAGGCGAGTGGGGCGATCGCAGGCAGGAGATTGTGATGATCGGAGAGAGCTTAGATACGGAGGAGTTGACGAAGTTGCTAGATGGGTGTTTGTTGACGAGGGGGGAGATGCGAAAGTGGGAGGGGGTTATGTATGATAAGGGGTTGAGTGAAGAGGAGAGGGAGGAGAAGTTGTGCGAGTTGTGGGACGATAGTTATTGGTCGGAGTGGCCGAGGGCGGAGGATGGAGAGGATGGAGAGCACGATCACGATCATGACCATCATCACCATGGCCATGGGCATGCTCATAAGCATGAACTTAAGCACTGACGGGTGTAGTGTGGGCGGAGGGCAGTTTACTTGTCTCTAGGCTCTTCTATATCTACACAACTATTCCGGCAAGCATTTATCAGAAATTTGCTAGTTCAGTTGGTTGGAAGACACTAGCTCACATAAACCAGAGCTTCAAACATCTTAAAGCAAGCCGTACGTCGTATATAGGCTTGCTTCAGGGCTCTATGTGAGCCTCATGTGCTGCGACCGAAAATTTCATCAAATCTCCGCCCATAAACATCAACACTCCGCCTTCATTCCTCCCTTCGATGGAAACTTGAGATGGTTGTGTCTCGCAGAAACGTTTCACTAGCAAGATTGACTGTTGAGTAAACCCCAGATTCAACCCCTATCCCTAATTTCACTGCTTGATTAGCATATCGATAAGCTCAACAGTCGTCACTCCATGCATTGGGAAGAAGCAGCCCTTTCCAATAGTACTTTCGGCTGCTAGACCAGAAGAACTAACGTCAGACCTGTTCCTCTACGCACGCGCCCTTAGATACACGAGTACGCATTGTGCTGGCCAACCCACCGCCATCCAAGCTACACTTTCTCTATTCACGAACAAAGCCTTCGTGTAAACACTCGTGAATGCATTGTTTTCACCACCCGCCTACATCGAGAGGTCCTCTGGCCCATATATAACACCCCAGATCAGCCCCTGAGCAGAACACTACGAGCACAACCTAAACCAACAACTGAAGTCAAGCGCGAAGTCAAAATCAAATCTTCGACCCTCTACTTGAGCGACCAAGCAATTTCGACTCGACCTCGGACCACACCTTCGAAACCAAGTCCGCAACAAGGCGCAAGACAGCATGGGCCTTTTCGGGAAGAAGAGCAAGATGCCACCACCGATCCTCATCAATCGAGGATTAGGCATGCCCCCATACATGCGATCTCCCTACCAGGACTTCGACTACCTTCCACCAATGACGCCAGGTAGCGCCGAGTCAGTATTCGGAATGGGTCCCCATCCGTATACGGATAACGCTACAATGCGCGGCGACCGACCGAATGGCTCGAGGCGTCGCCGCCGACGGCACCCAGGTCCCCGAGGCTTTCCTCCCGAGGACATGACGGACGGTGCATCTATCCCTGAGAGCGAACCGCATGAATCGATCCGCCGCGGTCCGCGTCAAGCCGATCGTCCTGAAGTCGTTCCTGACGATCTTGAGTCGCTCACAGATTATGGAGACGCGCCGCCAGCCGGGTCGAATGTACAGCACGCTGGACGCCAAGAGCGCGCAGGTGGACGGAATGGCTCTGAGCAACCCACGTACGACACCAAGGGAGACGAACCAGGCACGCGTCGCCCTGGCTCAGCACACCACCAGGGCCGTAGATCGCCGCGCCCTTACGCACGCAGCAGCCCTCGAGGGCCCGACACGCCGGTCGACCCTCCACCACCCTATTCTCCCCGTTCACCGAACCCACGCGCCAACCCCTTTAGACGGCGCACTCCACGCTCACCAAACCCAACCCCGAGCTTTCCTGGACGGCGTACTCCCCGCGCACCGAGCCCACCTCCCGACTTTTCGAGACGGCACGCTCCCCGTGCACCAAGCCCTCCTCCCAGCTTCCATGAACGACGCACTCCCCGCTCAGCCAACCCAGCTCGCGATTACCGTAGACAACCCGCTCCCCGCACTCCCATCAATCCAGCCATGCTCCACTTCACAGACCGTAGGAAGTCAGCTGTCTGCGCTTGCGCGACTTGGGATAGGCACGAGCTTCCACACATAGTGCAGAATGAGCATGTTATGCTCGCCGCGAAGGAATGCCTCGAAGCCACTGGTAGGACTGAGTGCACGCAGGAAGAGCTCCTGCAGTACCTGGTGCCTGGCCCTGATGGGAAGTTGTTTATGCCCGGGGTGCCGTATCCCCGCCATCATCGTCGTTTTTAAGGGTCTGGGAATGTGGGGGGTGGCGTCGGGTTGGATGGGTCGGGAGGCGGATACATGAACAATGTCGGTAATCTGTTCTTGGACTAGGGCACCGTAGTGTAGTGATTGAAATGCTATGGAATCAATCTCGAGAACTCTGTAATATGTCGTGTGTGCACCTGAAGGGAATGTTAGTAAGGGTATCATACATACTAAAAGGTAGTCGTGACTAGTGCACTAGAGTGCACTGAGACGAAACAGGCACATTGCCTAGTGAGACTAGAAATAGTGGTATCAGCGCCTCAAGGAAAGCGCTAGGGCAAAGAACATACAGCCAAACTCTTATGAAAAGCGTAACGATATCTATTTCTATTTTGTGAGGGGTACACATACAAGAATCGCGGTATTGCAGACGTACCGTGCGTGAAGACCAAGAAAATACCGCAACCCATGAGGCACGAAACTGCTCATTTCACTTTCACAGAACTTTTCATCCCTCAAAGATCTCTAACCGTCGGACGAACATGCTCGCTAGCTAGTCGACGCGACTCTCATTCAGCCCGGTTGCATCCATCAGAACGACGTAGTGACGACGGGCGAGCGGTGGGAGCTCCAGTTTGATCCAAGACGTGGATGATCGTCTTAACTATCTCCCTCATCGCTTTATCCATCCGATCTTCGCAATGTTCCTTCTCTTTCTCTGAAATAGTAGGATCCTCAATCCTCAAATGGTAATACCCGTACTCGACCCGGAGATGACGAGTTGTCTCTCGTATACGGCGCAAGGCGATTGGGTCAAATCCGTAATACGGTGGCGGTCGTGACTTTACGCCTTCGAAGTGGACTTCGAGAAACTCCTGTAATGGATATGGCCTTGCGTGCTCCTCGGATACGATGTGGAACGTGCAGTTAGGTTTTCCGCATACGAGGCATGAACGGCACATCGGACATCTATATGTGCCTTTGCTGGCCTCGAGACGCCAGAGTCGGAGACATTCGTAGCAGAAATGATGGTTGCAGGGTGTCCTCATAGCGGAGCAGGGAGATACCGGCGTCGAGCCTGCTGCTTCGCAAGGTTGAAATTCAAAGGGCGAACCGCAAACCACGCATGCTTCATCTACTGCCTCGCTGGGTTCTGTAGCACGAACTAACGAAGCTTCGAATAGTTCCGCAGGTAAAAGTTCGGGATCCAATAGTATCGTGTCGGAATCGTTTACCCTCTCTTGCCACTCCATGAAGCGCTCGGACGCGACCCGAAACATCTCGTTGAGTCGAAGTTTCGATGACGAACAGCTTAAGATAAGCATGTAGCTGGCAAGCGGCATTCGGCGGTAAGGATGGAGCAGCATCTGGTAGTGCAGGTAACTCCGCAGGCGACCAGGTCCGATAAGCGATTTGACTTCTCCAATGAGGCGGCTGAGGTTCTGTCTGCATACGGTGAATACCTCAAGGGCGTCTCTGCTGCGCTTTGTGAGGCCAGCGCACAGAAGCCTCATGATTCCGCGTAATCGGTTGAGAATCTCATCTGCGGAGTCGTGGATTTCACACAGTTCCGTCAGTTCCGGTGGAAGCGATTGGATGAAGTTGTCGACATCCGCTGGTGTGAAGTCGTATTTCGTCACTGAGTCTGTTAGTCGTGTTCTAGCGACGATAAATGCAGGAGGTAGGGCACTTACTCATGGCTCCGGCTTTGCTGGACGCGTGTGCATTGGCGTTTCTGGCCTCGATGTCGATAAAATCCATTGGTATCTATCTTGTGGTGGTCGCGCAAGAGGAGCCGGTTTCTTTGGGCTAGGAAATCTGGTGCGAGCCATGGTAAAAAATGTTGATTATATATGACCATCAGAGACATTGCGGGTTACGCATCAGGGAAAATCACATCCGCGCGCGAATGCTTTGGTGACAAAAGAATGGTTGCTTTGAGTGAGCACTTTTCAGTAGCATAGCCCAGCGTAACTATCCGGGTGGCATTCTCAGCTACACGATTTCCGCCTCCGGCAGATTTCCGTCGTCATAGCATAGATTGCCATCAAGACCTTGACGAATCAGCTTGCTGATGGCACTTGGGAGCCACCCATTGCGGCCGTTCCGTGTCCGAGAAGCGGTGGCAGGGCAATGCGGCATATTTGGTGATTTGCTGAAGATGGGGTGAGCGAGCTCAGCCCTGTGGAATGAGCCACAGGAAGGACCCGATTTGTGACACTGGAGGTGGCAAAGAGGCCGGCTTTAGATTGATAGTCACGCCAGGTAACTCCACCGAGTAGCTTGACAGTGAGTGATCGATCGACCGGCCCGCGGCCGAAGCGGGTTGACGAAAGACGCTAGTGTCATCTTTGGCTTAGCGCCATCGCAAACGTCAACCACGAAATTAGAGCCAGCACTCTCCTTCCACCACGATCAGGGCGATTCGAAAAAGAAACCATTCCAACTAAGAACCTCTTATATCTTCCATTCGGCTTCTTGCCTGTCGCATTGCTCTCGAGGCCGAGAGCGAGGGTGCAAGATTCTCTCCTGAACTTCAGTAACACTGGAAGAACTTCAAGGAAGCGGCGAAAACATGAGCCCAGGGCAAATAGAGCGCTCAGGTATCATAGCGACTCCTCATTCTCCTTATCTCGTCCAACTTTCCTTCAATTTCGTGCTATAACTTGTGGTTACTAGTATATCTCCTCCCCCAGCAACCCCGCAAAATGCTCAGGTATAGGAGTTGGAACGCAATGTTCATGTTGGCATCCTAAAACGCGGCCCCCTACACAGACAGGCTCCTCTAACCGCTTCTCTAATTGAGCTCTCTTGTCTCCCGCAAATCATGGAAGTTCAATTGCTGTATAACATCGACGTATATGGGCCCCTTTCCCTCCAAAATGTAACCCTTGAATCATTCACCACCCTCGAGTCCCGACGTCCGAAAGCACACGAGAGCGTTGCTACGGACGCCTCCTAGAAAACTTTCACAAACACCCGATCTCTCCTTTCCCTGGACTCCTCATGCTCTGCAGCAACAACATGGACAACGTCGGTCACTCGTCGCATCATGACAAACTCCCGTCCCACGCTCCATCCACCTTCGGCACCTCAACACGAAAAGCACAAACCCAGCACCAGCACCAAACTCAACCTCAACATCCAACACTTCGACGGTCTCGCATCATTGCGCCCTACGAGACACTTGCCAAGCATGTCCTACTCCTTCTCCCTAGAAATTCCCTCCACGGACTTCGCCGAGCCGAAAATGCCCGCCCGCCTAAACTGGCTCGAAGTCTGCGAGGTCAGCTCCACGAACCCTGCGAACCCGCGTCCGCCCAAATTCAACGCTGTCTACCAACAGCGGAAAGTACGCATCATCCGCACTCTGCATCCGCGCGCCTTCTTTGTAAAGGACGAGCTGGGCTATCCGGTATGTAGACACGGGATTCTAGCATGATATAAGGAAAAACTACTAATTCTACTGTGTGTTTTAGGTCAAGATCGTCATGCCGCAGGACTACACTGCGCAAGTCGGATATGTGCACCTGTTCTACCCGGAAGACTGGGCGGAGTTGCCGAAGCCGCTGGGGTTGGAAGGCGTCAAGTGGCCGCCGAAGCGTGCGCAGGCGTTGTTGCGCGCGGACGGGAGCGAGCGCTGCGTGGGCTGCGAGATGAAGACGAACGCAGACGATGATGTGTGGACGAGGGACTACGCACAGATGTTGAAAGCCGGGCACAAGGTCCGCTTCCTCGCCCGCGACGGGCGGTGGACCAAGGGTAAAGTATTACGGAACATTTCCGTCAAGGAGATGGTTGTCGTAGCTACCGGCAAAGACCTGAAAGATGAAGTCGAAGTCCCCTGGCTCGCTATCAAGCCTTCAGAACCGACTCCTTCCGATCCTCAGCCGCAGCTGTGCAAGTGTAACATCTCCCGCTGGCATTCTTACAGTCAGCGCTGGCACAAGCACTTCGAGCTGCGCATGATCCCCTCCCCCACCGATCCCGACACAACACGAAACGGAGAGAAGCTAGGCATTGACTACAAGGAAGTAGCCGCAGCAGCCGTCAGCGTCTTCGCAAAGCACTACGTTCCTTCCAACCGCCCCATCGGCGAACTCATCGGCGTCCTCAAGCCCGATCTGTCGCACTACTCGCCCTCCGACCCCGCAATCCGCGACCGTACCGTCTCGCCACCATCGCGCCGCTCAGAGGCAGAGATACAGAAGTACCGGGTCTCTGTACCCATCGGAGTGCTTCCTCCAGAAGAAGAGGCAGGCGAGAATGCAGGTGGCGACGCCATGGATATCGACAACGGCAACCTGACAGCACCAGACACCATGGACCTAGACCAGCAACAGGAAGAGGGAGAGGGAGAGCAGCGAGGCCGCCGTCCCTGCCGCCGCGAACCCACATACGCCCTCATCGACAACTACGCCTTTGCCAACTTCACGCGCTTCATCCGCCACTCGTGCAATCCCACAGTTGAGCGCTACACCGCGCGCTACGGCAAGGTGCGCATGGAAGTTTACTTCACGCGGCGGGCGGTCTACCCTGGCGAAGAGATCACAGAGGACTTCGGGCTGGGGTACTTGCGCGCGATTGGTGGTTGTGAGTGCGGGGCCGAGGGATGTCAGTTGCCCAAGGCTCCTGCTGCGCCTGAGCCTGCGCATGCGAATACGGCGATGTGAAAGGTGGAGGGAGCGCGATTTTGAGGGAGGAGAGTGCTGTAAGGGGAATACCGAGAATATAGGATACCATGCATCACGTACAAAGACGGATAATATTCTCCAGCTTCCGGATATCCATTTAGCGATAGCAGACTCCTCCGCAGGACTGGATCATCTTCAGAGACTGCGCCAGCTGGGACTGCAGGTCGACGTCCGCGATCTGAAGCCACAAGTCTAGAACAAAAAAGCGCAGGGCAGCTGCTGGGTAGGTCTCCCATTTCATACCTCAGGATAACTTCACTCCGGATCAGAGTGCACACAAGCGGTGGACGCAAGCAGCGGACGTGATGATGAGAACAAGTATCGTAAGACACCAGGGGCGCAGCAGAGGGCCATGATATTTGCCTATATAGCACTACGCGGCGACGGTCACTCCGTCAAGCGCAGACAATGACGAGTTATCTTCGCTCTTATACACTATGGCGATATCTAGTACTGAATCGCTGTAATAGTAGGTACATATATTTTATAACGACGCTCATATAGCTAAGCTATCCACCTATCACCCAAGACCGCATTCCTTATCCCCTAGTGTTTTGAGTATAACTGCTCTCTATTATCCATATACATCATGGGGCTTGTGCAATGCGAAATGTGATACTAGGCATCGACTCGCGTTTGACTGGGTTTGGGCCGGACCGGAATAAGCGTCGGCTATGGTTCCAGGAACTATGGCAGTGAGCAATAGAGATCGGCCTTGAAATCCCTCGAAGGCTTACCTTTGCGTTCCAACTCATGACTGAGACCACGTCAAGGTACGTTGGTAGTGGATGGTAGTGGTTGATTCAAGCCTGAGTTCGATATCCTCCGATCGATGCGTAGGTAGGGTGGGGTTGTCCATTGAAACAGTTAATTGGCGATTGCTGCAGCGGTGTGAGAAACTACGATATTCCAATTAGTTGATACGAACCGAATATTCTGTTTGTTGAACCACGACCACACAAGGTAGAGTGAGGGCAGACATGTAACCAGCAGGGTTACAAGGCCGATTATTGCCTCCTGTGATAGGCGCATTCCGAGAGGACTTTTCAGGAGGAGCGGGATATGACCAAGTGCTTTGAGGGAGCCGCTGGAGCAATTGACTTTTATAGAGCAAGGCCGAGTCAAGCGGTGTGGCCGGCTGCTCCACGAAGAAGGCATCTCTGCAGCCATGAATCTCGGAATGAAGGCTATGATAGATACCTTCATGAGATTTTGGAAAGGTCCAATAACGGGTCGAAAATGGTTTCACTCGGCCCCCATGCAGGATTGAACTTTATCTCAGCAGAGGACGGCATCCAGGACGCGTCAAGACTTTGGAAGCGGCCAATGAGGGCGGGTAACACTGACAGCCACCATGCGAAGCATGTGTCAAGGGTGCGTCGCCAAGCGCAAGATTTTGTCTGTGTCCAATCATGCATTGACCTGGATAACGCCGACGTGAGGCGCGGCAACATCTCCAATAAGATCATTTACACAGCCTCGTTGCCTACGGATTACAGAGGTGGATTTTCGCCCTTGAATTCAAAATGCCTTTTTTATAAGCCGGCCTCGCCTCTCTCTATATTCTCGGGACTCGCACATCCTACCTCTCGTCCTACTGTAAACCCGTTTCTAGTGTCAACCATGGCCAACCTCGACTGGGAATCCCACAAGGCCGAGATCGAGCGCATTTACGTGAGAGAAAAGAAGACGCTCACTGAGCTGAGATCGATCATGCAATCTACCTGGAATTTTCACGCGAGGTGGGAACCAAGTTCATTGTCAACCGGCTAGTACATTAGTTAACGAATACTTAGCAAAGCTCAATACGAAGGAAAGTTTAAGGAATGGGGATTTCAGAAAAACCGGATGAGAAAATCGGACTGGACATATATCAGCAACCAAATAACCAAGAGGAAAAGAGAGAGCGGCAAGGACAGTGAAGTGTACATTGATGACATTCAGTGCCCGTCACCAAAAGTTCGGAAGGAAACTGCTCGACAAGGCTTCCGCACAACGTATGAAGAATTCTGCCAAGGTAAGATCGGACGCCGATTGGAAACCAGCTTGATCCTCTAATCGCGACAGTTCCCTCGCCTAAAACACCGGAAGGAATCGTTGTTTGCTCACCAGGACCGTCGGTTTTGCAGCTAAATTGGGACCAGAACCTTCCCTGGTTCCAATTCGTGAGATTTCTGCGCATGCAGAATGGCCAAGGTAACGTTATCCAAGGTCATTTGCACTATTTATGCTGAAAAATATAGCAGGGTGTGAACCGCTCTTAAGATTTCCCGCTGTAACAGTACCTGGTCAGACACGTCTTCATGGCCAAAGCGACATCGTGAGCGGTCTCGGCTCAGTTTTACCGTGGACTAGGACCCAGATCCTGCGACATATTCCGAGTACCTCTCGAACTGCCGCAGTCCTGAGCATAATCATGCCGGAAGAGCATGAAGGACAACACCTCACCACTTCTGAGCGAATATGCAGCCTAGGAGACAGCTCGGAACTTGAGCTGTTCTTACTATCAAACAATTTCACGTTCCAGGAACAGTGTGCCGACTTATCACTCACCGACAGTGCGAGGCTGTACGACGAGCGGATTATGAGCACGTTACAGAAATCTGGGTTGAATGACGTTCGGAATTTTGAACTGCTGCTCCGTATGGAATCAGCCACTGCTATGGCCATAGCGGAGAAGTTATTCGCGAGCGCGATCAGGTCCAACGACTTTGAAACCATTCAGGCCATGCTAAAAGCCGGCATGAATCCAAACACACTCATAGACAGTCCGGTCTACCTTAATCCAGTCACCCCTCTGGAACATGCAGCAAGTATCGAAGACCATGGATCATCCATCAAAATAGCCCGTCTCCTTGTATCATACGAAGCCCGGGTCAACCGGGAAGGAGGCGATCTCTCGGCGCTTTGCCATGCAACCGAGGCGGAGCATGCAGAAATGATGGCATTTCTTATAGCAAACGGAGCACGTGTCACACCAATGTCACTTGAGTGTGCTGCATGGACGGAAAATTTCGAACTCATACGGATGCTCCTGGATGCAGGTGGAGACATCAACACAAAACTTCCAGCGACCAGCACATATGAAGATGGCCGGACGACACTTGGGATCGCCATACAACAAGAGAATCCTGGGCTAGTACACGACCTACTAGAGGAAGGTGCGGACACCAATATACCACAGCCGAGTCTTTACAGCTATTTCTATCATCGGCCTTTGAGAGAAGAGACGACGGCGCTGGGTTTAGCGGCCGAGATGGGGAATCTGGAAATCCTGGAGCTTCTGCTTGAGGCTCGGGCAAATGTCAACATCGATCCTGGGTTATACTTCTGTCCGCTCAGGTTGGCTGTAGAACGTGGCCACACTGATGTTATCGAGCGTCTGTTACATGCTGGCGCTGATGTTCGTAGCGCAGATGTGAATGGGGAAAGGACCCTTCTCCAACCGGCTACGTTCCATGGCGACGCCAGAATGTGCAGGATCCTGTTGGAAAGAGGAGCTACCGTGGAAGTCCCTACGTCAGGGAATCGGCGCTTCCCTCCCTTGCTGTCCGCCATACTCAGCAATAGCGTCGAAACCGTTTCCATGCTCTTGAGTTACAAAACATCAGTCGATGCCGTTTACTATCAAAGAACCGCGATCGGAGAGGCTGTAGCAACCGGAAATATTCAGTTGATCGAAATGCTACTGCAAGCCGGAGCCTCTAAAGTGGGAAAAGATATTCGGCGCATTGGGAACATGGAGGCCGCAGGATATTTGGAACGCCGCAAAATGTTGCAGGATATCGTATCAAATAATGGGCGAAGACTCCTCGCTGCGGCGATTTCTGAAGAGAAAGAGGACCTGGTGAATTGCCTCCTAAGATATAACGCCGACCGAACCGTTAGCCTCCCGGTATGCTCTACGGAGATATCTAGTCCATTGGAAGCGGCAATATCTACGGGGGACATGCAGCTGGCAATACTACTCATTAAACGCGGAGCTTGGATTACTCGCAACGAATTGAGTGCAGGTGTGTGGGAAGCCCTTGGAACCGGGAATGACGCCATCATCCGCACCTTAATTGCATACGCTGGTCCTCGGTACGGCTTCTCCTTCTGCTCAACCACTGTGAACATGGCTGTCCAACAACGAAACCATAGCCTTGTTCAGTTCCTTTTAGACGCTGGAGTTGACCCAAAGGGACGGCCGAACACCCCGGAGTATCTCGATCTTGAAAGTTTCCGAAAACAGGCGGGCTGGTGGCGTAGTGATACCTTGCCAAATCACATAGAGTCCGTCCTCGAAACAGCAGCCCGGCTAGGCGACAGTTCGATGCTGCAAATCCTCCTCGAGGCAACAGATTGGGAGCCCCGACATACTGGACAGGCCCTTACGATCGCAATCGAGAGCAAACACAACCATCTCGTGCAGGGCCTCTTAGACGCTGGGGCAGATCCCAACAGCATTCTATACAGCTACGGCACAAGCACGACGCCACTTGATGCAGCTGTAGCGAAGCAATGTATTCCATTGGTCCAAACTCTCCTCGAACGTGGTGCGAACATCGATTTGCTCGGCGGTGGCTTTTTCTCGCGTACACCCCTTCAAAAAGCAGTGGAGATAGGAAACGTCGAACTGGTAGATATGCTGCTGGAAGCAGGTGCCAATGTCAATGGCCCAATAGCTGTCAAGGGTGGAGCTACCGCACTACAAATTGCGGCGATTACGGGATACCTGGGTATCGCCCGCAAACTGCTTAATGCTGGCGCGAACGTCAATGCAAAGGCCAGCTACCGTGATGGAAGAACGGCATTGGAGGGTGCGGCAGAAAATGGTCGTATTGACATGCTATACATGCTTCTCGGCGAAGGCGCAGCTATTGAAGGCCGTGCCAGAAGGCATTATGTTAGAGCCATCAAATTGGCGGACATAAACGGTCATGGTGCTGCTGCAAAACTCCTGAGATCTTGGAGTGACTGGACAGAGTTGGATTCTCGTCAGTATGACGAAGAGTTTGTTGGGACGGAGGAGTCTGAGTATGACACAGATGAGCAAATGGACGAAATGGACGAAATAACAACGGATGCGGAATAGAAGAAGCACAGTCGACATGGTACAGGTTAGATAGTAGCAGATAATGGTAAAGAGGAATGACGAATGCTAAGTGAGCGTTTCGCTACTCTCCACGTATACAGCACTTCGAGAGATTAGGCCCTGGAGGATAATACCGAACCCTTACACAAAGCAGAGTATCAGCACCCGATCTAGCTTCTGTAGAGCCCGTTCTAACTGTTGCCAAATATACTTTTTATAGCTCTGCAGAGCACTAGGTTGATCGATCTTTTGCTTCTCCTAGCAGTAACGCCCGGCTTTTTGAGAGCGCTGTTGGTCGAGTATCTATCCACCCTGACCAACGCGAAGGTGACTCCAACGCCGAGGTTGATACTACAGCGTTCAGCTGCAGCTGCCTTCTCAGCCTCGCTGAACTCAAAGTGTATATGTGCCTTCATCTCACCTCAATCCACTGCGCCAACATGACACCCTCAACGAACGCGTAACCGAACAGGACATAGTAACTCTTATTCTTTTCAAGAATGTAAGGTGTACATGCACCGTCAGTAACCGCAACGACATACTTTTTGCCATCACTTCGTAACGGTGCACGTCTGAAATAACCTTCCCTAGTAACAAAAAAGTACTCTTGTTTCCGGCGCACTAAAGCCGATCTGATCTAGAATAACAGCGTTGGCAAAGAGAGCGAATAGCAATATGTAGATCAAGAAACTGCCGTCCAGAAGATTTAAACCACAAACTAGTGTTTCCCTGATTCATGGCGGAAACATTCAATGGCCTCGGTCCACTCGCGAACGCAGCAGGGCATACCCTTCATCGTTCGATTAGTGTACCCGTAGAGCGATTTAGTTCCCCAAAGATAAAGGTCTTAGCGACTCAGGATAATACAAGTCGCGGCGTCGAGAAAGACAACTGCCTAGGGGCTTCGTGTAGTCCACCTCTATATGTCCGCACGCCCACGCCCACGCCCCGCCCGTTAGCTCTCCCGCGGTCCACAGCCCTGTCGAAATCCCAGTTAGCATCCCCCAAACCATTTGCGCGCACGTCTCTACTTGAAACACCCCCCGCGGAGGATAAGCGCCGATGGCCGCTGCTATGTTTATTTCCTTCCAAACCACGCGCCGTTGATTTATGTCGCCGAACGCGTTCAAAACACGTCCACTGCGTCCGTCCGTTTTGCCGCCCGATGACGGAGCACACAGAAAAACCACACAACAGAACACAGAGCGCAAAACCAAGTTTTAAAAGTAACGTAATGTGATTGGATGATTGCATTGCATTGGCGAAAGAGAGAAAAAGCCTACCGGTAAGCAAGATGCGCTAGCAAAAACAAAACCAAAGGTATCAATAGACAGTGAACCCCGTCCCTTCCTATGACGCCGGTGAAAAGCCACGACACAACGGAACACAGCAGACCAACCAACTGGATAGATAAACAGAGAAGTAAGAGCCCCAGATTTAAAAGCCCCAGAGAAAGCGAGGAAAACGCCTAAACCGATCCCGTATTCAGCCCGAGGACGCCAAGAGAGAGAATTAAGTAGGTGGCTATAGTGAGTTCGAAGGAATGAATGAATATGATGGGCAAATAGCACGCAGAAGCGAGCTCGCCACATTGACAGACATAGAAGGGGTGCTCAGATGTCCCACGGTTGTTATAGTCTAGGAGTCCTTGGGCCGCAGAGGTAGCGTACATACATACAAGCACTGCGATTCGAGACCAGCCCACCTTCCTTCCGAGAGGAAGGGTGCCTGTTCCCGCACAGGGGCGGGAAGGAAGGCGCCCTGTCGCGGGAGTGGGGACAACTAGTCTTGACGCCGCGGCCTCTTTTTACGCGTATGTATGCATCACATCGAGCGACCAGATGGCGAGGTTTGGGTGGACATGGGAGCGGTGTGGAGGCTGAGGAGCGGAAGGCTGGCGTTCCTCAAGGGGCCGGCATGGATCCCTCCTGGGGTTCTGACGCGAGCTGCATGGGGGGCGCGGTTGCGTCTGCGGCAGCAGGCAGCTCGACCTGGGCTGGCTCATCCGCGTAGATCTGAATAAGCTCCTCCTCGGTCTTAATGGGCTCTGCTTCCTCGGGTGCGGGTAGTGCCTCCAGCGTCCCCCGAGGCTTCTCCTTCTCCGGCGTCGGGCAGCTAAAGTCAAACTCCTTTGACAAGCTACTTGGCTTCTCAATCCCGGCATCGACAGTAACATACGACGACGCATCCAAGCCCTCGCCGTAGAAGTCAGCAGCGTGGAGATCCGACAACGGCTTACGATCCTCATCCATAGCATCCTGGGCGATCTTGCGGAGGCGGGGAAGCTTGACGTGCTCGGTGGGGGTAGCATCGGACATCTCCATAGCATCGGCGGATTGAGCAGCACGGGGCTGAGCAAGGTGGAAGTCCGGCGGTGGGATGTTCTCCTTGCCGCGCTCGAGCTCCTCATTCCGTCTCTTCGTCTCGCAGTCGTCGTCCGAGCTGATATCGAGAACGGAGGCGGAGTGCTCCATCAAGTTGGCTGCCTCCTGCTCCGGCGAGTCTTCATGGATCTCGAAGAACCAGGACTTGGGCATGGACTCGTCAAGCGTGGAGGAATGGTTGGGCGTGGCAACCGGAGTCGCAATGGCCGACTTGGGGGTGTAGTTGGGAATCGTGCCGCTGAGCGCTGCATCGATGGAGAAGGGCAGGGCGGGGCTGCTGTGCGAGAACGAGGGCGGGTCGACGCGTCGGAACGGGGAGCTAGAGACACGACGCTTGGAGATGGCTCCGATGCGCTTGTGCTTCGGGGAGCCGCGGCTCAGGTTGATGGGAGTCGAGTTGGTGGTGTTTGGCGAGGAGAGAGCCTTGCGGACAGACGGGATAGAAGGCGAGGCCGTGAGGGCTGGACTAGGCTTGGAGGGCGAAGATACGAGCGAGAACTTGGAAGGCTTGGAGAATCCATCGCTAGTCTTAGACTTCTTGGTCGGAGAATTGAAGATTGAGGGATCGATATTCTCTGAGTCGTCGTCTTCAAACACGGATGCGGCTCGGCGCTTGCCAGTAGACGGGGTCGAAGAGGGCTTCAGCGGGGACGAGAAGTCGAAGCCTGGCGAAATAGCTGGCAATTTCGCGTTTAGTGATTGGCTCCCGGGCTTCCGCGAGCAACTGCTTACCATTCTGTCTGTTTTTGGCGCTGGAGAGAGCCTGGAGTCGCGGGGTGCCGAGTTCGGCAAAGGGCTGGCGCGTAGAGAGGGCCATGTTACAGCGTGTTTACGAGCGAAGAGAACGGACGAAGAGGCAGAAGACGAGGGAATTGGTTCCGGAAGAATAGTAATATCCCGAGAGAAGAAAGAATTGGTGGCAATTGGGAGTGTAGAGGCACGGTAGGCGGGGCAGACGTGGAGGAGACGCGGTCGTGAGGCGCGGGCAGTCGTCCGAGCAACGAGGGCTGCTGTATCTCAATCCTCAAAAGCCGTCGAAGTAACAGAACAATGGAAAACACAAACGACAGCGAGGAAGACGACTCTTCTTTAACCCGGAAGCCTGACGAGGAAGAAGAAAGGACGGAGGATTGACGGGGCTGAGAATGGTATTTGGCGCAACGCAACACGCTCCTCCGTTCCATCAACGCGTGCCCGATGCGTCTAGCGTGTCTATCAATTTAGGGGCCGCAATCGCGAAGCATCGCGTCCGACTTCCCCACCATGCGCGCCCTGCCAGGGATGCGTGCCGGTTTCTGCATCAATGCGTTCGCGGCCATTGGCTCTGGCGTGCTCTTGCGCGGGCGCCACAGAAACGCGGACGCGGTGCGAAAGGTGAACGCGGGTTTGCAGCGCGAATGCTGGTCCATTATAGATATGTGGTGCAGCGGCGCTTCGAGGCGGGCGACTGCAGACGGTGATGTCGCACGTTTTGTGAATTGGCCAGTGAGCAGTGTCTTATAGATGGCATATCTGCTCATGTCTGGCGATTGATGCTGCGTCGGACAGTTTTGTGCAGTTGTGCAGCTTGTCGCCCGTTTCATCGTGGGATGGATGCGCGATCCCCGCTGCGAGCAACCGCGTCGAGGCAGAATGCACGAGAGAGATATGTTCATGCACAAAATGCTGCACAATCTGTTGGATGTTTGGCGGGGCTATATGGTGGGTTTCGTTATGGACCGTCTATATGTAGGAATTCTTAGGCTGTGAGGGCGCAATGGCTGACAATTGGGTGTGGATGCTCATCTTGGAGCCCCTTCTCCAATTCGCCTCTTACAATCCTATGGACGTCATTCCCACACGAGCAGACGCCGTGCTCTAGCCATTGGCTTCATTTGATCATAGCAGACCATCCCATTCTCAATCTCCGCCAAATTGCACCCTTCCGTCGCTCGCCAACTACACGTCCTTCCAATCTTTCTTCCATTCCGCTTCCCGCACCCGAATACCACTCCAACTGGCATTCAGCCACGTCTCATTATCCTCATCATAGCCGCTCTTATCCTTCCTCTTACTCCCACTGCCATCGCTTCCTTTCTCACTCCCATTCCAGCTGGCACTCCAGCCGCCCTGGCTTCCTCCCCTCTGAGTGCCCTTCTGACTACCCGTTTCACTTTCCTTCACACTCCATCCTGCACCCGGCGTTGTCTCGCTCTTCGCTTTGTCGCTACCCTGTTGGCTCCCTGTCACAGTCCAACCACTGATCCATTCCTGCACCTCCTCCGCTGGCGTCTCAGGGGCATCTTCCACCGTCGGCGGCTTGTACACCGAGTGAGCAGAAAAGGTGGACCTATTATCAGAATCGTGCTTCCAGGATGTAGACTTCTTATCCTGCTGCCAGGAGTCCTGCGAGCCGGCGTCTGAACCCACGGTGAACGTTGCTATCTTGTGGCTTGAGCGAGTCGACCGGCGTTCCAAGCCCTTTCCCCAAGAACCTTGGAGGCCTGCTGCTGAGGGAGCTTGTGGCCTGCGTGTTGAGCGGACCGGGCGGTTCTGAGCGTCTTGCTGCCAGGAGTCTTTCGAGTCGGCGTTGGAAACGACGCTAGATCCTGCTGGCTTTTCCCATGTTTGCATGGAAGCGTTGCCTAGGTCCTGTTTCGATGATCCGTCTCCTTGCCAGGAGTCTTTGGAGTCAGTTACCGAAGAAACTCTTGACCCTTTTGATCTGTGGGAGGACCGCACTGAGAGGTTCTCTACAGGTGGATCTTGTGTCCAAGGTCCGTCTTCTGTCCAGGCGTCCTTCGATCTAGCGGCGGGGGAAGCTCGTGACCCTTTCGACCGACGTGACGACTTCACTGATACTTTCTCCGTATCCTGGGTCCAGGACTGCGCTCCGCCCCATGGGTCTTCCGAGTGCGACGCCGAGCGGGCAGAAGATGCTGCCGTCGATTGTACAGGGGAGGCGACCAGGGAAGGTTGCTTCACCGGAGATGGGGCCTGTTCCCCCTCTCCTCGGTCTTTCCATGATTTATCCTCCTTCCAGGAATCCTTGGACATTGCCAACGAGCGGCTTGCAGACGCTGACGAAGGTGATGCATTTGAGAACCCTGCGACTGACAGAGGCTTTGTCGGTGAAGGCAATGGAGATGGCCATGCACCAGGTAGCGATCGTACCGGCGACGCCGCTGATGAGGGCTGTTTCACTGGTGAGGGAAGAGGAGAAGACCATCCGCTTGCACCTCCAGTCATGAAGAACTTGGTCGGTGACAGGTCGGCTCCTTCTTGCTCCGGGGTATCGGCTTCCGGGATAGGCGTAAGAGACTTGGGCGGCCGTGAGGAGGGAACCTGCTTAGAGCTTTTCCTCTTTGAGTGCCTACTCGAATGAGTAGATATCTTCTCCTTTGAACGACTCTTCTCTTCCTTCAACGAATCTGCGCTTGCTTTGGACGCTGGCTTGGGCGGAAGAGGCGCAACATCCTCTCTCTTCTCCTCCCCTTTTGGCTGGGACGCCTGCGTCTTCTCATGCCTCCCACTCTTTCGTCCGCACTCGGGCAGTTTCTGTCCTGGCGGCCCAGAATCGTACTCTCCCTCTTCGTCAACGACGACTACGCGCCCGTCTTTCCCTGTGATAACGAAAGTGCCCCATGTCTGAAGCACCCTCACAGCAACCGTGTCGTCGTCTTCCTTCCCCGCCTTCTTCTCCTCCTGAGCCTTTACCTTCTCCGTCTTCTCCGCCGCCGCAAGAGCAGGGTCCGTAACGTTTAAATGCGTCAACTGCCTCATCTTCGCCAGGCTCCTCAGCATATCACCGCCAATCGCCCTCTGCATATCTTCACTCCACTTCTCCTCTTCCTTCGTCTCCCGCTTCTTCCCTGCAACGTAGAATTTCGGATCCACTAGACCAAAACCAGGTGCAGTCTTCGACGGGATCAGCATGTCTGCGCCGTCGTCCACAAAGCTGCCCGTGTATGTCGAACCCGAAGTGAGAGACGGTGTGGGAATTGCAGGCGTACCCTCGAGCCACTTCGAAATGTTCCAGTGACTAGCGCGTGGCATGCGCGGTTCAATTGCCTCGCCGTCGTCGACGAAAGAAGGCGGGGTTAGGGACGTCATATTGGAAGTGAATTGGCGGTGCAGCGCAGAGTCATAAGCGGAATAGTTTCACAGGTGGCGAATGGGAAGGTATGACGCCAAGTAAGAAGCGACCCGTGCTGAAAGGGTTGATGCGGGATCAGTCAAAGGTCTGGGTTGACGGCATTTTGCGGTCCGATGTTGTTGCGGTAACGAACCTGCAAGCGGCGTAAGAAGGTCGGAGCATCATCACCAGTGAAAGACGATGGTGTTGAGGACCACTTGGGGAAATGTAAGGACAGACTGCAAGAGGAGAGAGCAAACTAGCACCGTATAAAATAAAATAGGATATCTACCGATTCCTGGCCTCCCCTCAACCACATATCCGCGGTGGCTCACTTTGCCTTCTTCTTCTCCTCTTCCCATTCACGCTGTACCCTCTTCATCTTCCACCAACTCACAGCCGCCGCCGCAGCTGCCAACGGCGGCACTACCCAAAGCAAGACCCCCCACCATCTAGGGCTCCCCCTCCTGACTTGCTCCATAACCCGCGCAACCTCCCTTTCCAACTCCTCTTTCCCACCATCATTCCACACCACGACACCTCTCCCTGGCCCCCTCCTCAGACACCTCTCCGCTTTCTCCCTCACATCGCCCTGACTGCTCACCCGATTCCGCGCATCCTCCTCTGTCAAATGAGAATCCCGGTCCATCAGCCTCCTCATCTGGATCTTTGGGTCGGTGACGCCGACTACCATTATCGTCCCGCAATACCTCTCCCACCCGCTCTCGAAGAGGAGCGGAACGTCTAGCACGACGGCCCAATGACCTTTCAGATATGCCCAAACCATCTGCTTGTACATTTCCCTCCTCACAGCCGGGTGCACGATGCCATTGAGTACTTTGCGATCGCGCTCGCGCTCATCCCCTCCGCCGAAGACGCGGCGACCGAGCGCAGGGCGGTTGAGCGGGGGGCCTTTCGGCGTCGATTCGGGGAGGAGCAGGTCGGGCGTCGTGGGCTGGAAGTGGCGCACGATGGCATGGTAGCCTGCGGTGCCGGGTTCGACGACTTGGCGGGCGATGAGGTCGGCGTCGACTATGGGGAGGGAGTAGGGTGGGCGCGAGAGGAGGGCCGAGACGGTGGATTTGCCGGTCGCGATGGAGCCTGTCAGGCCGAGCAGCAGCATTTTGATTCAATAGAGCCGCAACGATAAGCGGTAGAGTTCTAGCAAGAATTTCTGCCGGGCATGCGGCTGGATTCTTGTGGTGTAGCGGAGCTCACATGGTGAGGATGGGGTGAGGAATGGCGGGGCGGAATTGGAGCTCCCACAATTGCCTCGGAGCTTGGGCATTAGCGGGGCGAGAGACGAATTCACGCCCGCGACAGACCACGAACCCCATAGTATTTTCAGTAAATGGAAGAGTAATATTGGTCTATGAGCCCACTGCTATCCGCATGATCGACCTTTGCAGCCCTGGGGGAAGTCGCCAAAATGCCTCCTGAACGCCGTTCTTACGGTCAAGACTGGACTACGCTCCAGAAGTCCCGGATTTTGGCTTCCATGTCGTTTCTCATATTACTCCTAACGCCGCAATGTCCAGTTAGCTTCCATCAAAGATTGGGAGTGAGCAGGAATCGATCTCACGAAAGCGTGTGATCACTCGCTGCATCTCCATTCTGCTCCATCTTCACATCCTCTCCGCCGGCAAGCACCTTTGTCTGCGGCCTTGACCCGTCTGCTGGCCCGACGCCGGGGGTTACCGCGGCCACCTGCCCATTCTCGTCGACGAACTCGAAGTTGTAGCGCGAAAGCAGGTGAGGGATCGCCGAGAGTTGCGGGCCGTAGCGCGCGGTGTTGTCGTAGAGCTCGAACAGCGGGACGGCGAGGAGCTTCATGTTCTTCGGGACACTCAACACCTCTGGGGGACAGTTAGCTAAAACCGCAAGTCGTTGTAGTTGCAATCCACGTACTGCTACGGGGTAGCTGTATGAAGTAGAGCTTCTTACACTCCTTCGGCCTCGTGACGTGCGCCGGGATGAAGGGGTACATGAAGGTCTCGAAGTTCGGCCGCCACCACTGTGCTAGCGTATCACCAATCTGCCACTCGTCGTTGACACCTTCTCCTGTGAACTGAGTGCCGACTGGCGCGAGGCGCTCGTTTAGCCTCGCTTTGAAGCCCTCGATCTCGTCGTCTTCAGCGCGGAGGTAGTCGCCAGGCCTGCACGATCAATATTCGCTCATGGTACTCCCCTGATTAACGTACAGCTTGAAGAAGGCATTCGCAATCTGCAACATCAGGATGTGAGGGTGGTTGTGCTCGTGGCAGACGAGCACGCCCTCACACGTCCGCCGCATGCCATGTTCCTGATAGTGTTCCTCCAACCTCTTCAGCCGCGCGAGCACCGACGGGTCCTCCTCTGGCTGTCCGTCTTTGGTCCCGAAGGTGTAGTTGCTGAGGGGGTAAAGGCGTATGGTCTTAGGCTGGTTTGCGTTGAAGTCCTTGGGGAGGATGGGGCTGTTGCTGTGTGAGTGATTTTCAGTACATTGGGGAGAGATCCTACGGGTAAGAGCTCTGTGAAGCCTGCTGGGTTATGGTAGACATGGTGGGCCTGGGGGTGTGGATGGAGGAGCAGGAGGATTGGTCGACTGCGCGAAGCTCAAAAGTGCCTGCCAAGCGCTCCGCCGATCTGCGATGGTGCTGCACGGACCACCTTACTGTGTATTGATTGGCGTACGCAACCATCACTCCTCCATCTCACTTGAAGCGAGAAGCAAAGAGCGAAAGAAAAGCATTCCAGTTGGGCTGGTCCAGTCTTGTAACCACTATTTGCGAACGACCGCCTCTCTTCCCTGCGTACTCGAGCCAAATGGCCAAAACCGTGCTTGTCACCGGAGGTATGACGCAAATGTCGAATCTGATTCTATGTGAGGCTCACATCTTTCATGAAGCCAGCGGTCTCCTGGGACGTCAAGTAAGGAAGACCTTCGACATCGATAGTTGGAAAGCTGTTGGAACTGGTCTCAGTCGCATCAATCCACCTGAAGTCATCAAACTCGACATCCTTGACGCAAAGGAGATCGAACGTGTTCTAGATGAAGTAAAGTATGAGTTCAGATCTACCAATGCTTAACGTTGCTGACCTTATGGTAGACCAGACGCTGTGGTGCACTGTAAGTGTCACTCACATCAAAATGTCTCTTGCGGTATGCCGACCTCTTTACAGGCGCAGCAAACCGCTTTCTAGAGTCTTGTTCCGCCAACCCAGAAGCCGCCAAAGCACTCAATGTGGATTCAAGTCGAGCTTTAGCCGAAGCAACAACGGCCCGCGGCATATTTCTTATCTATATTTCGACTGACTACGTTTTCCCCGGGCGCAAAGGAGAAGCACCGTACAAGACGACGTCAACGCCTGATCCACCTAATGTCTATGGCGAAACTAAATGGGACGGCGAGAAGGCCGTCCTAGAAGTAGCTAGCAGAAGTGGAGCAAAAAACAAGGTGGTCGTGCTCCGCGTACCGGTCTTGTACGGATCTTGCGATGAACCGAAAGAGAGCGCAGTTAATGTCCTCATGTCACAGCTTTGGGATGCACAAAAGGTGCAGAATGGTGAAGCTAAGATTAAGGTAGATGATCACGCTCTCCGCTTCCCGACCAACACCGCGGATGTTGCTCGTGTCTGCCGGGATGTCACGAAAATGTATCTGGACCCAGCGAATGCAAACCGCGATCTACCAGGCATCTTGCAATTCAGCTCAGAAGATCAGATGACGAAATGGGAGATCTGCAAGGTGTTCGCTGAAATCATGGGACTACCGCTGGATGGTATGGAGCCCCACAAACAGGACGACGATCCAAAAGTCAAGCGGCCGTATGATTGCCACCTTGATACGAGTGTCCTGCAGCAACTTGACATCGATGTCGGTACTGTTGACTTCCGAACGTGGTGGTAAGTCATCCCCGATCTAATCTCTCACAACTTTGCTCAGTATCGCGCAGGAGAAGGGAAGTTGGAGCTTTCCGTCATTAATGAGCCGGAAAGGCCAGTATTCATCGCGTACTTTCGTTATTCGATCGATAATCTACGTATAAGAGCTGGCCGATGGATATAACATGCCGCTCTTTAGCTAACCAACGTCGTCCTTGCTGGCGTGAGGCTTGTCCGGAGCTCAGGATCTGCTGACTTCTCCCGGCAAACAAGGGTGCGTACCTCGAATGCCAGATACATGGTATGATGGGTCCCTCGCGGAGCGTTCATTCTGTTTCCCATTCCTTATGTAGAATTTGCGCGAACGACAGTTCAGAGGGACGATCCCCCCCCACAACCTTAAAATGGCCACCTAATCGTACATACAGAGCCCATCATTGGCGGCCAAGACAATTCTCCATCTCTAAATGTTCCGAATTAATGATACATGTCCGCTTCTAGATCTACCGCTAAGCGTTTGGACAAGATTCGTCGTTGAGACACAGTTCGGCGGCTATCTGAGATTGTGGGGGCGGCTAAGCCTGCTGCGCCGCCCTCAACCTACAATACATAAGTACAGTGAGACCAGATCAAATTGAGCGGTGCCTGTTCTTTCTCTTTGGTTCATTTCTGTTCGCTATTTCCTTTGCGCCGAGTTTTTGCTTCTGCTTTTTGTGTTCGTAGAATGAACAATGTTAACGCGCAGGTCGCAAGATCGAGCTTTCCAGACTCTGAACCAGATGTCTCATCTTGGAAACAGAAAATAAGGACTTTCCCAGGCCTTTGGCGAAGGAAGGGAGCTAGCGGTAAGCAGAATACATCGAAGTCCAGAATGGGCGTTGCTGATACGCATGGCAGGCACCCGAACCTGGAGGCCACCAGCCCTCCACCCGATCACCCTCGTCTTCGCGATCCTGTCTTGCTGGGCCCTCATCATTACTCTCCAGCTACTTCTTACACGAAGTCAACGTGAGAATGGTATCTTGTTCGCCCCGGATATCAATGCACTGCCCCTCCATAGCACGTTCTTGTACCAATATTTCCCTACTATATTGGCTGTTGTCTTCAGCATCTTCTGGGCATGGATAGATCTCGAGACGAAGCGTTTGGAGCCGTATTATCGGTTGGGCAGGAAAGAGGGTGCGTTGGGTAAAGAGAGTTTGTTGATGCACTATCCGTTTGATTTCGTGCCATTGGTGCCGCTGAGAGCGCTCAGAGAGAGGTGTGTACTCGTAGCCCTGGGGCCCTCCTTTAGTGAGCGACATCGAAAGGATGGTGTTGATTACAGTGCGCTTGGTATTGACTTATCTCTAGACACTGGTCGGTCTTCTGGGCCTCATTCGCGGTCGTCCTTGTAACATGGGGCGTCGTTCCCGCTCAAGCCGGTCTCTTCACAGTTCAGAGAGTCGCCAGTACATTTCCGACTTCTTTTGCGCGCTCAACGAGCTTCATCCCGGCAGCCAAGCAACCAACGGCGCTGACTCTTCAATTTGCGCAATCTACCTACGGCATTGTGTCGCTCAATGAGACGCTACCAGCATACATGACACGCGAGTACACGCTCGCGCCATTCAAACAGTCTTTAGGCACCGATGCAGCAGAAGAACAGACCAACGCGACGTGGACGGCGCCCACAACATTGTACAGCGTGGACATGAAATGCGCCCCTGCAATACCTGCCCCGGATGTCTTCAAATCGGCGTACAACAGTAGCACCAGTGGATGCACTTTTTCCCTGGGACTCACCGGCAACATCACCATTCGGCCTGACCCGAACTCGCCTCTTTTGTCGCCGAAGGCTTATATGGGGATGTACGTCGGGAACCTGAACAACGGCTTCGCAGATTACGACCTCGAGGGGTGTCCGAAAGACAGGACTCATACTTTCTACGCAGCGTTTACGCGGAACAAAGCGCGAGATCAAGATCCACCACAGAAGGTAACGGCGATATTCTGCGAGCCAACATACTACGCGCAGGACGTAAGTGCGACGGTCGACATGCACACAAAAGCGCCTTTAAGTGTCACATCTCTAGGTCCAAAACGTGGGGTCGCAGAAAACATGTTCAACACCACGTGGCTGGAAGCTCAGATGAACAGCGGGACGCCCGGCTTCGAAGTCAGAGGAGACCTGCTGCCGACTAAAGCACTGCCCGACTATCTCGAACGAATAGCAGATACCGAGTTGAGCTTCGGCAGTGGGTCCGCGGGCGTGTCCATCGTCCAGCCTATGGTCGGCTTGGCGATGGCTGCTGGCGAGCGGCCCCTGGAAGATTACCTTGATTGGGAGACGCTGGGCTCATCATATGAGAAGGCCTATCGTCTCCTGTTCGCGCGCGCGATGGTGGATGTTCTGGGCGACGATTTCACGGCGTCAAAGCAGATCGACGGTCAACGTGTCATCACAACTCAGGCAGTGGTCCTTGAACCGGTGTTTACGTACCTGGTTGAGGGCCTTTTGGGAGTTGTATCGATATCGGCTCTCGTGCTGCTGTTGTTGAGTGCTAGGAGGATGACAACGCTGTGTTCGGACCCGAGTACGATTGCTGGGGTCATGTCGCTTGTAGCGGATAACCAGGCGTTGCTTGCGGACTTTAAGGACTTGGACTGCTGTGCGATTGAGGAGGTCCAAGATGCTGTGCGGGAGAGAAGGTACAAGCTCGTTGGGGATGAACATCAGATCGGGTAAGTCGTGCCTGATATATAAGGAAGAAGCGCACAGAACAGCTTTACTAACTTTATATGTAGTATTGTCGAGGTGGATTCTATTATTGACACTGATCAGAATCAGCTCGAGAGTTTGACGAGTTTGACGGGTCCGCGGCCGGGCTCCTCGAAAGAGATCAGTAAGCCCGTGAGACCAGTCGAATTCAGCTTATGGATGTCTATGCCTTTTGTGGGCTTGTTCATCGCCCTGGCCGTACTGCTTGCCGTCCTTTTCATCAAAGCTCGACCCAACGGTTAGTATCCAATGGCAGGTTTGGCACTGCGAAAGACTTTCCACATAATGCAGGCGCCTATGACACGTTCTGACTTTACCCAGGACTTCCTCTCCCCTCGCAAAACAAGATCGTCCAAAACCTCCTCGAGAATTACATCCCCACTGCAATCGCAACACTCATAGAGCCAATGTGGATCCTCATAAACCGCCTCCTGTGCCTGCTCCAACCGATTGAAGCTCTCCAACGCTGCAACGCGCGGGCGAAAGAATCCATTGACCTCAACTACAGCTCCTTACCCCCGCAACTCGTGGTCTTCAAAGCTCTTAGCGCCCGTCATTTCGTGCTGGCGGCTGTTTGCACAATGGCACTTCTAGCGAACCTGCTCGCCGTTGCCTTCGCACGCCTTTTCTTCCACGACACAATTGAGCTCCGGCAGCCCACGACTTTCCAGCCGCCTTTCCAGTTCAGGTTCGTGGCGATCAATGGAAGCGTAGGTCCAATTGCAGGCTCAGCGGCGTTCGGGCCTGAGGAATCTGGCGCGTTTCGAGGAGGGAATGGGGAGGATCAGTTCCTCATCGCTGAATCGAACTATACGAGAGGAACACCGTTGCCAGCTTGGACGGACGAAGAGATGTTCTATATGCCATTCACAACTACGACTAGGGCCGAAGACACGAACGGGGATCACTATGAAGCCGAGACGATGGCGTTTGGGGCGGAGCTGGATTGTAGCGCTCTGCAATATGGCGTCGATTACGAGGCCGCCATAACCGTCGACGACCCCAACGTGCCCATCCCTGCTGTGCGCCCAGTGCTAAATACTACGCTGTCCAGCAATGGAAATACGACCAACTGCACGAGCAACCCGCTTCTGTACGTCCGACGTGGTCCAATAAGCCTTGAGAATGAGCAAAGATGCCAGAATGGTTCGATTGCATTAGAGCTGGTTTTTCAACTCGTTTCTCTGAATCCAAATGCTACACAAGAAGAACAGAACACCTGCAGGGGATCCGTGGTGCTGGCATGGGTCCGCGACCCGAACGGATCCTGCGGGAAGATACAAGAGATGAAACTCGACGGTGGAAACGCGCTGTTTGTGCGATGCCAACCTCGACTGGTAAAAGGACAGACGACTGTACGGGTGGACTCCTCGGGTCGATTGCAGCGACAAGCTAGTGATGCGGTTGTGAAGACGAACCTCTCCAACGACGACACGAAGAGCCTCTTTAGCAACGATCCCATCAACCTAATCGGGCAATCTAACAGCTACATGTTCCGCTTCGCACAGACTGGCTGGCACAACGACAGTTTCGCAAGCGACTTCATCAACTACTTCACGCGACGGGCGAGCAACAGCACCCGACTCCTCGACCCGAAGCAGCCCCTGCCGACCCTGGAAGACGTGCAAGGCCCGCTCTGCAAGGCGCATTCGAACCTGTTCGCTGTGTGGCTGGGCGCAAATAAGGACCGCCTGCTCGTACCGCGGAACCAGTCGAACGCAGTGTCTGCATCCGGATGGACAGTGGCCCAGCGGGAGCGCTTGTTCCTCTCGACGCCGTTGTTCGGTATCGCGGAGGGCATCCTCTGCACGTACGCTATCGTCGCGATATTCGTCTATGTGTGCCGGCCGGGTGAGTATCTTGCGCGGTTACCGACCTCCATAGCGTCTATCATTGGGCTGTTTGCGGCCAGTGCCGCGGTGCTGGATTTGCAAGATACTTCGCGGTTGGACAACAAAGCGCGGGCGGCGCATTTGCAGAAGCTGGATACGAGTTATGGATATGGAAGTTATGTTGGGGCGGATGGACGGGTGCATATCGGCATTGAGAAGGTGCCGTTTGTGAGGATTAGGAGCGGGACGACCTGGCTGGAGAGGAAGCTGACAAACTTTAGCAAACGGAGCTGGGGGAGGAAGTAGTTAGATGAAGCGTCTGTGAAATGTCACTTTCTCCCTGGGTTGAATGCGCTCGCAGTGTACAGTGATACGTAATGAGAGCTCTGAACGGTTCGCATAGTTAATCGAGCGGGCTGTCGTCGATCTCTTTTTACAGCTCATCTCCGCTGCGGAGCCAAAATTCACGATGTTCCCGCAAGTTGAATTGTCTTGTCTAACTGGTGACGGAAGGTAACTTTGGGGCTTTATTTCTCTCCGTCTTGGTTTCCCTTGTTCAATGTCCGGAAAGTCTTGGAGGTCCGCACAAGACAGCCTGGCAGGGGTAACATTCTAGTCCGGAGCATTATTATTGTGCAGCTTGCACTCAATTTTCAGAAATCGTGAAGCTTTTCATTTGACTTGCCTTTTCCGTGGGGCATGAATAAAAAAGCACTGGTAGCGGTCGCTTCCACGAAGAGATCCACGTGGGAAGCGGCCCCCTTGATGACCGCGCGTTTTACCTTTTGGGAGATCCTCCGTCTGGAAAGGATCTGTTAGTAGGTCACAATTTTTTGAAACAAGCTGGTCGTTCTGCGAGCGGCAACGCGACGCCAATCAAAATGCCGAAGAGGGTTTCTTGTGAAGACGAGGCGTTGTAGACTGGTGGTCGAAATCTCTCCGCTCCGGCACTTAGGTTTAAGCTTGACCACGCCGCAGACCAGCAGCCGCCGGGGCGTGCCAGCACCCGGAGACTGTTTCTCGGGACCTGATGTGCTGCGCCGCCTGTACGCCATTGTACTACGCAATCAAGGAAAATTTCTATGCTCTTACCGCCCCTGAATATCTTCATATTATATGGCATGCACAGCAATAACGGGGGCCTAGAGAATCAGGCTGATCAGGCACCTCAGACGGTTCGAGAAGGAAGGATAAACGAAAGACGCCAAAAATAAGCACCTGCCTCCACTGCATGGTGGAAGGGACTGCCTCCGGAAAAGAGGCCGAGGGCTGGGGGTACGACGCATGATCATCTGCTTCTAAAGTAGCCTAGATGCAGCTCGCCAGCCTGCAATTCCACCTGCTACAGTCCAGCTTCTACTGGCCTAGAGGGAGGCCCATGCCACGGAGCCGCCGTCGGGCTCACGCGATCGCAGGCTTCCATGAGGGGAGCGGCAAGCAGCTGAGCTCGAGGGAGTCGGCGCACGCGAAAGAGTCTCACGGAAGGGATTTGGTGGCCAGCTTGTAGGCAAGGAGAGCGCGACTTCAGATGGGATGGAGTCGCGAAGGCCGGCGAATGAGGACCGGCAGACGGCGTGCTGGCCAGCGGCCTGGTGTTTCAGCTTGACGAAGCGGCGATCTGGGAGGTGCGCCAGGCCCGATGCGGCTTGGCGTGCCCGGATTTAGAGTCGATTAGAGTTATCGATAGGCCATCCTCCCGAGGCCCGTCCCCATCCCAGCGCAGCCCCTGCAGGTCCCCGCGACGGCCTCTTCCAACCGGAGCCACTAGGCCTCACCAGCTGCGGACGTCAAACCTGACGTCGCCCCCTGACGAGGCCGCACGCCTATCGTGAGCCGTTTTCCGTGCGATGTTTCAGAAACAAATCGACCTCTCATTTTCCTCAGCCAATAATGCCGCTGTTGTACCTGCCGAGCCTGACAAGCACCCGTAGTTCGCTTTCTGCTGCACCACCCATCCTGCGCAACCCCTTGGATGTCTAAACCATCTCCGGCTCTGGACCCTCGTGCCCCTTCGCATCGTTGCATGAGAGACCGGCCGCCGTCCTATAGCCTATGCCCGTTTGCCATGATCCGCCGTGGCACTGCAACGGGTACCTTGCACCGGCCTAACGCTACGCTGTGGGCCTCCGTTTCTCTCACACCGCCACAGCATGCCGGACCAGATGGAATATAAAGGGATCATAGGCTCTTCCCTGTGTTTCCTCCCCATCGCAGGCTGACCACCACAGGCTTCAGTTTCGTTTCTCTTCCACTGTCCATTTTTTCCATTTGACTCTCGCCAGCGGCAGAGTATCCACTCCCTGACCAGCACACTCCTTTTTGCTGAACTTTGATTGCATCTCGAAGAGCGTCGACTCGCGGCTTCTGAACTGTTTCCCGTCAACCCATCACCGACACGGAACTCTTCTGGTAGGTTCATGCCATTCTATCATGTACAATCATGTTATTCATATTCCTTGCTGTTCTGTCCATATACTTCGTCTTCATAATTTCTTCTACACATCCCTGAACAATTTGTGGTTGAAGCACAGCAAGTTGTGAGGCTCGATCCCATGTCTCAATACATTAGACATCCAACAATCACAGACACAGACTAATTCGCAACCAACCGCAGAACAAGTCACGAACACACTCCACAGCCGACGCATCGCTCAGCAGGTCTAGCGATTTCTCAGCAAAAGTTTTCAGCGCCCACTTCACACTCTTTCAACATGATGTTCAGTCAAACATCCGCCCTCCTGGCCCTCGCCGCCAGTGCCTCGGCACACATAATCCTCGAATATCCCGTCCCGTATGGAAAAGCCACTCTCAATAGCTCTCCATTGGCCCCGGGCGACTACCCATGCAAGCAGCGCAGCGGCGTTTACGACGTCACCGAAATGAACCAGTGGAACGCAGGCGAGACGAAGACCATCTCATTCATTGGCTCAGCAGTCCACGGCGGTGGCAGCTGCCAATTCTCCGTCACAACCGACAAGGAGCCGACTGAGCAGTCTCAGTGGAAGGTCATTCAATCTGTTATTGGTGGATGCCCGTCTAACGTCACTGGCAACCTTCCTGAGAACCCCGACGGCCACGGCGCAGCGACCTTTCCCGTCACTATGCCCGAAGATATGCCCTCCGGCCAGTATACGTTCGCATGGACCTGGCTGAACAAGATCGGCAACCGAGAGTTTTACATGAACTGCGCTCCCGTCCAGGTTGGGTCGAGCGGTGATGCCTCTGCCGCAGATGTTTCGCAAGCTCTCGGTAGCCTTCCAGACATGTTCGTTGCGAACCTTCCGGCCACGAGCTGCTCCACTACTGAAGGCGAGGACTTCGAATACCCCAACCCTGGAAATGCTGTCACCACTGGGGCTTCCGCTGCGCCCGGCGCCGCGACTTCGGGTGCTGGATGCGCTTCGATGGTGGCCATGGGCGCCGGTGCTGGGCAGTTGGGCTCTCCCGCCGAGGCTACTGGTGCTCCTGCATCTTCTGCCGAGGCCAGCGCCCCCGCTGCGACCACTCCGGCTGCCACTCCGGCTCCGTCTAACCCCGGGGGTGTTTTTGCCCCGGGTGCGTCTTCTGCCGCGCCTGTGGCTTCAGAACCTGCTGCTACCCAGCCGGCTGCTCAGCCTACCCAACCTGCTGGAACGGGCGTTGCCTCTCCTCCAGCCAGCACTGGTACCCCATCGGTCCCATCCTCTGGCGACTGCACTCCTTGCGAGACTGACGGCGCCGTCGTCTGCATTGGCACCAACCAGTTCGGTCTCTGCAACCGTGGCTGCGCTGTTGCGCAAGATCTTGCCATGGGCATGTCTTGCTCCAACGGCGCCATCACTCGCCGCTCGATTCGCTTCCCTCGCGCTCATCTTCACCGCCGTCACGGCTCCGAGATGATCTAAGCGCGATACCTCGTATCGTAACTTGATCACTGGGATAGTTGGCGCGACGAAGCATTTCTAGGAGTTGCACGGTTGGGTTGCGCATTTCAAGCGTGTGGATTATACCCTGGGGATATTTGGGTCTGTAAATATCGCATTCGCACTTTGTTTCTACGCATCGCCGAGGTCAGTGTTGTATGATGGCTGCCTGGCTTGGATGTTACCTTCTCTACACTTTTGTTTGGTGTCTATTTTCGTTCATGATTGGTTGAGGTTGGATACCTGGCTAGCATGCCCTATTTCTCTTCGAACCTGTGGTAAGCCTTGCTTTTTTGCAAGCACAGCATTGAACTTTGAGTACAAAACTCTGGAAATCGAATGTATCGATCACATATCACATCTGTGCCCCATCGCTTATGCAAAGTGACCTGTGAAATGTGCACTTCCTGGATGTCTTAGGTGGGTGACGCGTTGTGGAAATGGAAATGGTTGCCTGTTTCCTCTTGGTTATCTAGCCCAGACTGGGATGACGGAAGTGACCCCTGTGTCCCGCTGCACCGCTCAAGTAGCTGTGTCTTACCAGGACTGAGACAGTGAGATTCCTGAGGCCCTTCATTTCTGGGGAGCTGGGCGTTCACCCCGAGTGACGTTGTTCGTTGGGGTGCTTCCTCATTGGGCAGCTCCATCCGCCAAGCCAATGTAATCCCCTCCAGCTCGACGCCTATTTTCTCAGCCCTACAGCTCCACGGCCAGCGCAACAGTCGAGCACGCGACGACGCCCACCGCGACTCTTACCTCGATCAGCCAGCGGTTGTATGCCCATTCGTATTGTTTTGCCCTATCCTCAGCGCGCACACTGTGTTGGAGCCTCGGCCCCCGTTTCACCCGCCGCCACCCAGGGTCTTTGCCCTCCCCACTCGCCCCTCGTTGCCTCCTCTCCGTCCGACTCCTACGCCACACTCGACTCTTCTCTATAGACCCCGCCCACCATGGATAGCAACCAGCAGGGCTTCGATCAGTCCAAATACCTCGACAATGCCATCCGCGCCGTCAAGGAGAAGAAGCCCCTCCCCGAAATCGACTTCACCCTGCATACCATGGAAGATGGCACCCAAGTGAGCACTCTGGAGCGCGTCTGCAAAGGTAAGCGTCACGCTCCCTCTCCGCCAGTTTGTACAGCCATTGTAGGCATATGCGCTGTTGTTTGAAGAAAAACCTGAGCTAACCCCGCCGCCGCTGCCAGACGTCCAAGCGCCCGCCTTCAACCCGCCTACGCAGGATCAGTTCTTGTCACCGCAAGATCGAACGAAGCCCAATCTCCAGTTCCTGAAGCAGCATTTCTACCGCGAAGGCCGTTTGACCGAGGATCAAGCGCTATGGATCATACGGAAGGGGACGGAGATTCTGAAGTCGGAGCCCAATCTGTTGGAGATGGACGCGCCCATCACGGTGTGTGGCGATGTCCATGGGCAGTACTACGACCTCATGAAGCTGTTCGAAGTGGGCGGGGACCCCGCGGAGACGCGCTACCTGTTCCTGGGCGACTACGTTGATCGGGGTTACTTCAGCATAGAGGTATGCTTTTGGTGGCAAGACATGCGCGCATCCCGCTGACCATACCAGTGCGTCTTGTATCTGTGGTCTCTGAAGATCTGGTATCCGAACACGCTGTGGCTGCTTCGAGGAAACCACGAATGCCGGCATTTGACCGACTACTTCACCTTTAAGCTTGAGTGCAAGCACAAGTACTCGGAGGCCGTCTACGAGGCTTGCATGGAATCGTTCTGTGCATTACCCCTCGCCGCGATCATGAACAAGCAGTTCTTGTGCATACATGGAGGGCTGAGCCCTGAGCTCCACACTCTGGAGGATCTCAAGAGCGTGAGTCGCAGGCTGAGGCAGAGTTTAGTTGGTAGTCGCTGACATCCCTAGATTGACCGGTTCCGGGAGCCGCCCACGCATGGGTTGATGTGCGACATTCTTTGGGCTGACCCGCTCGAGGAGTTTGGACAAGAGAAGACAAATGACTTCTTCGTTCACAACCACGTCCGGGGATGCTCATACTTCTTCTCCTACCCTGCAGCATGCGCCTTCCTTGAGAAGAACAACCTCTTGTCGATCATTCGCGCGCACGAAGCACAAGATGCTGGCTACCGCATGTACCGGAAGACGCGGACTACTGGCTTCCCCAGCGTCATGACCATTTTCAGTGCACCCAACTACCTGGACGTATACAACAACAAAGCGGCGGTCTTGAAGTATGAGAACAATGTTATGAACATTCGACAGTTCAGTAGGTCTCCCAAGTCTTACCGCCGCATGAGTCGCTCACCAAACGCAGACTGCACGCCGCACCCATACTGGCTACCCAACTTTATGGACGTGTTCACATGGTCGCTTCCTTTCGTTGGAGAGAAGAGTAAGTACACGTAGCTTGCCCAATCATTTCCCACATCAGCTGACCGCTTTAGTCACCGATATGCTGATTGCCATCCTGAACACCTGCTCCAAGGAAGAGCTCGAGGAGGAGACACCCAGCTCCGTGGCTTCTGGACCCGCATCGCCCCCGCTTCCTGCCAACATGGATCCCGAATCAACGGAGTTCAAGCGACGAGCTATCAAGAACAAGATTTTGGCCATCGGCAGACTCTCTCGCGTATTCCAGGTATTGCGTGAAGAGTCTGAGCGGGTTACTGAGCTGAAGACAGCGTCCGGGGGCCGATTGCCCGCAGGTACCCTCATGCTCGGCGCGGAAGGAATCAAGCAGGCCATACACAGCTTCGAAGACGCACGTAAGGTGGATCTCCAGAACGAACGGCTGCCACCGAGCCACGACGAAGTGCGAAAGTCTCAGGAAGCGAGCCGAGAGCAGGCTCTCGAAAAAGCTAGCAAGGAGGCAGAGAACGATGCGGGGCTCGCAACTGTCGCCCGAAGAATCAGCATGTGAGTGCAGCTCAACTGCTTCCTACCGTGATCTTTGCTAAGTTGTTTAGGTCTTCTGGATCCGGGCGCAGCAGGAGGAGCTAGTAACGGATTGGGGATTGATGGCTCAAGTTGACGAACAGTGATTGACTCTTGTTTTCTCTTTCGGCTGGGCATTGTCCGTCTCATCAATATACCACATCAGGCGTATTGCAGGCCGAAGGCTGGGACCTAGACGGATAACCTTCGATGAACGGTAGTAATTTGCTGGTCGAATGTCCAGCCCGTGCAGAAGCCCACGTATATGCAATGAAACGAATTTGGAAACTTCCTTTTGGTCTGTTCCAACTCCATGGCTATTCAATGCTGACCCGTGGACGCTGGACCTTGCAGATTCCAGGACGATGCCCGCGGCACAATTCACGTGACCCCGGGCCGATCCTTTCTCCGTGTGAAGGTTGACCTCATTCTCAAGACCTTGCTTTCCGTGGCGAGTCTCTCAGCCCGATGCCTCCATGGGTGGCCTCTGTGCCGCGATCGACGCTTCTGACCAGAAGAAGAGCAATTGATCGCTTCCCGCCCATCTTCCGCTGCCGCAATGCTGTCGTCGCGACACCTCCGCTTCTCCGCATCCGCTCTGCGTCAACGCATGTCTCGCCGACGGCGATAAATTTCCGCCCAAATATTCCGCCGAAGAACGAGGATTTGTACAATGCGCTGTCGGTATTGAGTGGGACCGCGGAGCAGTACGTGAATTTGAGTCGGCTGCAATTGGCGCTCAGAGGGTTGGCGGCGCAGGATGCGGTTACCAGGATTGCTGGTATGGTGTTGCTGTGAGATACGAGGTTGAGGATGCGTGCTAATGATGCTGTGTAGTGCTCGGGCTGAATAGCCAGGTTAGTGCGCAGAGGCTGGCGAGATTGTTACTTGCGGATCCATTGGGCAAGGAGGAGGGGTGGGAGAGGGAGTTGGAGGAGGGGAACGAGGAGGACGGAAAGGCGGTTTTGCTACGGTATGAGATGCCGTTATGAAAGGGACAATAGGGTGCTAATATATGCTGGCAGGTTTGGAGACGAATCCGATGCGCATCCGCCGAGCCCTCTCTACAAGATCCTCTCGGCCCCGTCGAGAATACTAGGAACGCATAATCTTGAGGTCCTTGTCTCAACATTGAACGTTAATGTCTCGAGTGCGGTCACATCGTCGGCGACGGAGAGTTCTGTGGACGTAGTACTGGTACCGAAGCTGCAGGCTACGTCCGCAAGAGGATTGCCAGTACCCTACCCGGTACACAAGACATTGATACTGGGCGAAGGACTTGATACCGCAATCGCATACGGGAGATTCACGCCGGACAGCACTCGCGACCTGGGGGATATGGTCAAAGTAGCCATTGAGCTCCCTCCACCGGAGAAATACATAGATCCCAGGGAATCCTCCACAACCTCTGCGGTCAACGTTGGCATTGGAACCGAAGCTCTGACCGCCCTCCGGACCTCCATCAAAAACTCCACCACCTACGAACGCGGCTGGTTCAAGAGCGGTCTTCCCACACTATCAAAATGGGTCATTCAAGACCTCCAACCCACCGAACCCATCAAGCCCGCCCACAAGGCCCTTATATCCTCAATCACAGACGAAGTTGAGGCGAATATTACCCGCGAAGATACCAAACAACTAACCCGCCTCGCGTCCGCAACGGACCAACAGATTCCGACAGCGATGATAGGGTATCTAGAGTCATGGGCGGAGAAATCGCATACGGAGCTACGAGATCAGCTCAACGAAGCGTTCGCGTCAAAGAACTGGAGAAAACTAAGCTGGTGGAAATTATTCTGGCGCGTCGACGATGTAGGCATGGTTACGGAAGAGGTTCTGGAGAGGAGATGGCTAGTTGATGCGGAGAAAGAAGCCATTTACCTTGCGGGGCGAATGAAGCAGGCCAGCTTCCCGGAAGACGTACGGCACATCAGCGTCGACGTCCAGGAAGACGCGCAATCCCCTACGACCGGCTCAGAGTCCCCACCGGCAGAACCTACCATGGAAAAACCTCGCGTAGAAGTCTCAACAGAAATCCGCGCACAGCAACCCTGGCCCGCCCTCATCTCCTCCACTCGAGCCTCCCTCCTCACCGAAACCATCCCACCCCTCCAAGCCCTCGCACAACGCCTTGTCCTAACGACGCTCTCTACCACGTCCCTTTCCTCCGCACTCTCAGCCCTCCTATACGTATCCATGTCCTCCCTCTCGCTTCTTGAAGCAGGCGCTGTGGCTGCGCTGGGATTGATGTTTTCGCTCAGGAGAATGCAGAAAGTGTGGGAGGGCACGCGGGAGACGTGGCAGGCCAGGGTCAGAGAGGAGGGCCGAATGACGCTGAAAAGCACAGAAGACCTCGTCAGGTTGATTGTGAGGCGCAGTAAGTTGGGCGGTCAGGAGGCGGATGACGGGGTAGCAGAGCGGAGGGCCGCACGCGAGGCTGTGGAGAAGGTGCGCGACGCGCTAAGGAAGATGGGAGAGTGAGGAGTTATGTACCTATATATGTATATTTCTTGTACTTTGCAAGTGTATCATAGCGTCCGCCATTGGAGAGCGGGGCCACGGAAAGGAATGACGGACCTTGTCGTCGTTGGACAGCGTCTTGCTGCTCTTTGTCATCTGTTCGTGCCTATCTTTGCAATCGCATTAGGTATTCATGCTTAATCCCGAGCCTCAAGGAGGTTCGGGCCCTGGCATCGAGCCAAACAAGCATATAAACGGCCTCTGCGAGCCCCTGGCTCTCACGGTCTTCAAGCGTTGGCGTATCCGTTAGCCGTTCATAAGCGTAGCTAGTCTTTACCTAGCTCCCCACGTAAAAGCCAAGTCGATGCACATACACATGTTCATTTAGATAATAAGAGCAGAGCTCTAAACTATTCAATTCATGAAGAACTATCGATGGATCGCGGCTACCAATGCCCGACCTCCCGCAGCCGCAGGAGGCATACCCATCGCCGGAGCGGAGCGCCGTACCAAGACTCCCAAACGCCTATTTGCCTATATGCCACGGTTCGTCCGGAACAAGAGTGGACTTTCGCTTGTGCTTCTTTGCGGACGAGTTTGGAGGTGATGGAGAGTGAGGCGGAGCTGCAGTCGAACTGGGTAGGGAAGTAGGAGGAGCAGAACGCGGAGAAGGCGGATTTTGCGCAGTTGGAAACGAAGATGCAGACACAGGCGGGGCTGGTGGAAGGGGAGACGAGCCCTGGGGCGCTTGTTCCACCTGCAACAACCAGTGTGATTAGCATGGAGCGGCGAAGGAATTGGGAGATCAATCTGAGACCTCTCCGTGAGCTGCGTTTTTCTTGAGGGCCTCGACGAGTTTGCGGGCGGGCCGGATGATTTGCAATTGGTTGTCTTCGGCGGCGCCGAGCATGACCCAAGGCTCGTTCTTGTTCCAGTCAAAGTCACAGATGCGGTTTGTGAAGCCGCCGTGCATGAAGAGCCTAAACGGAGTTAGATGGGCACCTTGACATAAATGACCGATGATGATGCTTACAGCTCTGGCGGGCCATCCTCCGTCTCCTCGGGAGTTTGCTCGTCACCGATCTTGCTGAGATCCCACATGTTGACGCGGCGGTCGTAACCGGAGCTTGCCAAGATCGCCGAATCCTGAGGATGCCACTGCAGGCCGATAACGTCCCCACGGTGGCTCTCCAGCGTGTGCAATTGCTTGTCGAAATTTCGGAGGTCCCAGATGCCGATGCTCTTATCAGCGGAACCTGTTGCAAGGAGCATCTCGAACTTGGGGTGGAAGGCTAGACAGTTGACGGCATCCGCATGGGCTGGTGACTTGCTGTAGAGTGCCCTCTTGTGGGTGTTCATGCGTGTGTCGATGACTTGCCATGTGAGGTCGTCCGATGCACTGCCGATGAGGAAGTTGTGAATGGGATGGTACTGGACGTCGTTGACTGTTGCGCTGTGTACGGTGTATGTAGTCGTGGGCGAGATGGACTTGTTTCCCTTGGAGAAACCACTCTTGATATCCCATGTCCTCACTGTCATATCCTCGTTTCCGGTGACAAGGTGGCCTTCAAGCAGGGGGCTCCAGCTCATGCCGAAGCCCTCCTTCTCGTGCCCAACAAGTTCCGCCTCAAACTTAACGCTACCGTCAGCTGGAGGCACCATAAGATGCTTCGTTCGATCGAAGATGAGCACTCTGCCATCGACGCAGAGAGAAGCTATTATATCGGGATTCTGGGGCTGGTAGCGCGCCTTGTTGACCTCGCCTGGGTGGTTGATTTTCTGGACGATATTGAATGCGAAGGGTCGCTTCGCGGTACCATAGCCGCCCACCTCGCCCTTTTCCTCGTTGAGGTTTGACAGGTCCGGCACACGAAAATCTGGAATTTCGACTTGCGCAATCTGCAGATAATTCTGCGCCTGCCCTGATGTGTGTGTGCCGAGGATCATTCGGTGCGCGCTCATGTTCGTGCCCTCGACTCTGCGCACTGTTAGCATGCCCCGCCGCGGAGGTGGAATTCGTACGGTTTCTTGTCGGGCAGCCACTGCGTTGTGAGAGTGGGCCATTCGAGCGCGCGTCCATAGAGCATATCGTATAGGAATACGGAATTCTTCTTCCATATCTTGTACTCCTCGTTAACAAGCTTATGTTCGAGCATTTCCTGGTCGTGCTCGAGCAGAGCGTCGGGCGCATCTAGAAATAGAAGCATTAGTGCGAGGCGGACTTCGAAGGGTGGAGAGATACGAACCACTCATGGTGTCGTCCATGATTGCCGAAGTATGTTTGTGCTGCTAGCAAGCGGCGTTGCGGGTGAGAGAGGGAAGGTGAAAGCTGCGGTGGAGCAGCGAAATAGGCGACGCGAGACGCGTTGGGCGGGCCCTAGTGCACGTGACCCATGGTAGCGATCGCCGCGCGCCCCGGTCAAGCGGGGCTTGGCGGCTGGGGAAACTACATATCGCCAGCCGCAGCCCGTTTTCTACTCCTTTGAAGACCTCAGCGTCGCGAACCTGCACCCACACTTTTCTGACCCTCTCACCTAAAAGCGCCGCGCGCGCTCCTCCTCTTACCCTCCCCCTCCCTCCCGTCGCTCCTCAAATTGTGCGCTGGAGCTCTTCCCTCACCAACTACGCCTCCGCCCTCACGCATCATCGATACCATCGCTAGAACGCAGCAGCAAGCATGGGTGTTCCCAAATTCTTCCGATGGATGTCGGAGCGCTACCCTGCGATTTCGCAGCTTATCGCAGAGAACCGCATCCCGGAATTCGACTGTCTCTATGTGAGTACCCTCTTGGTAGCCGTAAGCGCATGCAGCTAACCACAGCCTCAACAGCTGGACATGAATGGCATTATCCACAACTGCACCCACAATGACTCCGACGGCCCGACCACCCGCATGACCGAGGACAAGATGTTCATCGCCATCTTCAACTACATCGAGCACCTCTTTGGCAAGATTAAGCCCAAGCAGCTCTTCTTCATGGCCATCGACGGCGTCGCCCCGCGTGCGAAGATGAACCAGCAGCGAGCCCGACGCTTCCGCACTGCTCTCGATGCCGAAAAGGCTCGAGAGAAGGCTATCCGCGAGGGCGTCGAAATGCCCACAGAACCCCCGTTCGACAGCAACTGCATCACACCGGGTACTGAGTTCATGGCGAAGCTCACGCAGCAGCTGAAATATTTCATCAATAAGAAGGTGTCCGAGGACTTGGACTGGCAGGGCGTGGAAGTCGTCCTGTCTGGCCACGAAGTTCCGGGGGAAGGAGAGCACAAGATCATGGAGTACATCCGCCAGGCCAAGGCCCAGCCCGGCTACGACCCGAACCGCCGCCACTGCTTGTACGGTCTGGACGCAGACCTCATCATGCTTGGCCTGCTCAGCCACGACCCCCACTTCTGTCTGCTCCGAGAGGAAGTCACCTTTGGGCGGCAGAGCAAGACGAAATCCAAGGAGCTGGAGCATCAGAACTTCTACCTCATGCATCTCTGCATGGTTCGCGAATATCTAGAGCTTGAATTTCAGGAACTAGAAGAGCCTGGAGCTCTCGGCTTCGATTTCGATATGGAGCGTGTTATTGACGATTTCATTCTTATGGCTTTCTTTGTCGGCAACGATTTCCTCCCGAATCTACCGCATTTACATATCAACGAAGGCGCTTTGGCTCTTATGTTCAACGTTTACAAGACGGTGTTGCCCAAGGCTAAGGGTTATATCAACGAGGGTGGCGTCATCAACATGGAGAGGCTGGCTCTTCTCCTCGATGAGCTGTCGCACGTTGAATACCGCCATTTCGAATCTGAGAATGCAGACGCTGCCTGGTTTAAGGGAAAGCGCCTGGAGAAAGAAGACGTAATGGAGAGGACGAAGAAGCGCGGAACCATCGTAATGTCCACCGACCAGAAGAAACTGTTCTCGAAGATCAAGAGCTGGGTTGGTACATATCTGGAAACCAAGGATTCCACGCCGTACGACCTGCCGATTAGCCTGAATGCCGCAGATCGGAAGTTTGTGCAGGACCTCGCGGACAGCCTGCATTTGCACTGGAAGACCATCCAAGACGACGAAGGTAATCGACATCTTCAGCTGTCCTTCCCGCCTAACCTGGTGGAAAACGGCGAGGACGCAGAAGATGAAGAAGACTCCGAAAGCGAAGACGACGAAGCCAAGAAGGCCATCTACCGGGTGATCCAGAAGTACGACAACGCCAAGGTTGTCGACATCTCGCCGGAGGAGGCACAGAGCGCAATGGAAAAGAAATATGACGAGAAGTTTCAGTCATGGAAGGACCAGTACTACACGACAAAGTTTGGTTGGGGCCGGGACAATGAGAAAGAGCTGAAGAAATTGACCGAGAACTACGTGCAGGGGTTGCAGTGGGTTCTCTACTATTACTACCGCGGAGTTGCATCATGGCCATGGTTCTACGGCTACCACTACTCTCCCATGATCTCCGGTCAGTCTTTCGAACCGGTTTATCGTCTATGCTAATCAAGTCCAGATGTGAAGAAGGGCCTCAACGCGGATATCGACTTCAAGCTTGGTCAACCTTTCAAGCCCTTCCAGCAGTTGATGGGCGTCTTGCCCGATCGAAGCAAGACGATCGTTCCCGAAGCTTACCATATTTTGATGACAAGCCCCGAGTCATCAATCATCGATTTCTATCCGCGGGACTTCGACCTTGATATGAATGGGAAGAAGATGGAATGGGAAGCTGTAGTGAAGATTCCATTCATCGAAGAAGACCGGCTTCTTGCAGCAATGGCGACGAAAGAGCATCTTCTCACCGAGGATGAAAAGGCCCGAAACTCTTTCGGGGTATCCTTGAAGTTCACATACTCCAAGGATCTCGACTTCATTTATCCCTCATCTTTACCAGGTGTATTCCCGGATCTACCGCACTGTCGTTGCATCGAAAACATTTTTGAGCTCCCCACCATGGATGGGTTGGAGCTTTACGTGGGGTTGATGGACGGCGTCAAGCTGGGAGAGCACTCGCTCGCCGGGTTCCCCAGTTTGAAGGTGCTCCCATTCCACGGCAAGTTGGAGTTTGCTGGTGTCAGCGTCTTCCAACAGGACAGCCGAAACGAGAGCATGATCATCACCCTCCTGGACACGGAGCCACGAACAAACGTTGCTTATGCAAACGAGAAGCTGGGCAAGGCTGTTCATGTTGGATATCCCTTCTTACAGGAGGCTAAGATCGTGAAGGTGTCCGACGAACTGTTTGACTATGTGCTGCCCCCGACAGGACCCCCTGTTCCGGCTGCCATACCGCACGGCCCACAAGAGATATCGAACTGGAAGAAGATGGCGGACCGAATCGAGAACACGTACAGCAAGCGTCTCGGTATGATCGTTGGTCAGGTTGAAGCCCTTGTACATGTAGAAATGCTCAAGGGCCTCAAGAAGACTGACGATGGCGCAACGATCAAAGAGTATGGCGAGATTCCTGGCCTACAAGTCGAATATGCCGCTCAGACCATCGTCGACGAGGTCATCAGCGCAGATCCACGCTTTGTTGAGAAAGAAGCGCTCCCGATTGAAGAGGAATTTCCCGAGGGTTCTCGGGCTTTCTACTTAGGCGACTACGCCTACGGTCGGCCATTGCAAGTTCTCGGACACGTCGACAACAAAGCCACCATCATGGTCGCGAAGCTGAGGAGACCTGAACCGGAGTTTGGTCGGGAGGTGGCGAGGCAAGCTGAAAAGCTCACCCCGTACTACCCGTCCTATGTGGTCGCACGTCAACTCAACATGCCTCCACTGGCACTATCTAAGCTTACGGCTTCCTTCAACGTGAATTCCAGCGGTTTGAAGTTGAACCTCGGCTTGAATCTCAAATTCGAAGCCAAGAAGCAGAAGGTCCTAGGCTATTCTAGGAAGTCAGAAAATGGCTGGGAATACAGTCAGAAAGCGATTGACCTGCTCGCGCAGTATATGGTTAAATTCCCAGAGTTTATTGCTGCCATCATCAGGAACCCAACAGGAGACGGCTGGGCGGATACCGATTTCTTTCCGCCCGAGGTCGCGAAGGAGAAGGTCAAAGAGATCGGAGCATGGTTGAAGGAACTACAGACTAAGAGTTTCGAGAAAGTTCCTCTGGACGCAGAACAGCTTGACTCCAGTGCAGTGAAGATGATTGAGCAAGCCGCCGATGCCAACTTTGCACTCACCCAGGATGTCGAGAACAAGAAGATCGGGAAGGTTCCTCGCAACGCTCTCTTGAAGCCTTCGGATGCGGAGCACCGCCTCGGCGGGCAAAAGTTCACCATAGGTGACCGCATTGTTTACGTTCAGGATTCTGGAAGGGTGCCAATTGGATCTTGTGGTACTATCATTGGAAAGACCAGAACCGCTCGCGCGATGTTGTTGGACATCGTCTTCGACGCCACCTTCATGAGCGGAACTTCCTTGGGCGACCGATGCTCGCCGTTCAGGGGGTCTACTGTTCCGGCTACAGCAGTCCTCAACTTGACCGAGAGGCAGGTTATCTCCTATTCGACTGCAGGTGCTGCGAAGCGACCGCACTCTACTTCTCAGCCCTACACTGTTCCTCGCATGGGAGCTCCTGGCGGTCCCCAGCTTATTCCAGCTGGCACACCGCCACCTCTACGCGGGTCGTATCGCGGAGCTTTCGGCGGTGGAAACACCAATGGAGCTCCCCGCGGCGGCGCTCCCCGCGGGCGAGGTGGTGGGCCGGCGCCGAGAGGGAATGCATATATGCAGAACGGCACTCATCAGTCTCAGCAGCAGCAGACCGCCCTTCAAACCCAGCAGCTGCCCATTCACGGCGGCCCGCCGCGAGGTGGACGCGGCGGGTTCCCCCCACGGGGACAGTTGAACGGTTTCCAGAACCAGAACATCAACCCCAACAACCCTCGTGGCAACACTGGGTTTGTACCGCATGGTCGAGGCGGTCCAAAGGCCAACCGCGGCGGCTTCACTGTTACAGACATGAGCGATCCAACTGAGGGCGTCGTACAGAACAATCCGAATTTCCGCCCGCAGAACTACAGCAATGTTCCCCCGCCAGCTAGCTTGGACTCCTCGCGAGGTACCCGGGGTCGTGGTCGCGGTCGGGGAGGCTTCCGTGGCCGTGGGGCGCCTAGGGGAGGACCTGCCGCGACCACTCAGCAGGAATAGGTAATAGAGTAATGGTGGTTTGCTTTGAGCGTTGAAGCTTGCGATTGTGATACCGTTCAGGTGGAACTGTCGGGTTTCGGATATCGTATTAGATCGTCACTGATAGGTGGTGGGAGGGATGACATTCTTCATGTATTGGAGCTCTGCAACGTCTTGATGTTTGTGGACCTTCGGGCCCCTTGGTCAAGGATTGTATAGGCTTTACTCTGTCCGCCGTGGCAGGGGATATTGATAGGAGAGAAAAATAAGATTCTTGATCTTGAATATACACAGTATGGCGAATTCACGTCAGTGAGAGGGTACTCTTCGGAAGTCCGACGTTGCCAAGACCATTAGACGAACATCCCTGTAGGGCTACCCGAGCTCCAGAAACGTGTTAGGAAGCTCTCCACACCCGCCGCGCTCTCAACTTCCCTTCCTCTCATATACGACACAATCACCCGCCCAATATGCACTCAACGCTCGTACGGGTGCAGAATGTCTTCGGCTTCTTTACTACGGTAGCTTTCTCCGTCGCGGCGGTAATTGCGCTCTCCGCCTTTATCAACCCACAGACCCCGTCTGCGAGCATTCAGTTGCGGAATGTCCAGGTGTATGTGTACAAATGAAGTGAAACCGGGGGATAGAATGCTGATTGCGAGCAGAGTGAGAGGGCGACCCCACTACTACAGCTATAAGAAGGAGGAGTATGCGCACATCAAGTTCGATCTGGACACAGGTACGTCGGTTCTATCCTACACTCCGCGCCCGTCGCCGCAGCCCGTGAGAAAACGAGACCAGAGCCTAATTATATCGATATGCAGATCTAAGCACCCTCTTCAACTGGAACACAAAACAAGTCTTCGTCTACCTAAAAGCCATCTATCCCTCCACCAAACCCTCCGAGCCCGCCTCCGAAGCCATAATCTGGGACGCCATCCTCCCGGGCTCCGCCGCGCCCTGGCACCAGAACCACTACATCCACCCGACGCCCAAATCCTCCAAGACCTCCAAAAAGTCTAAGTCCGCCGACGCGCCCTACCCGCGCGGCATCCTGCACCTGCAGAACCAGCGCCCGAAGTACCAGATCACGGATATCAGTGGGAAGCTGCAGAATCGCACGGATGTGCAGCTCGAGCTGGGCTGGAACGTGCAGCCGTGGGTTGGCGCGCTGCTGTGGGAGCATACCTTGATGGACGTTGGCCTATGGCAGCGGTTGATGGGCGGGAAGAGCGAGGTGTTTGATTTCCCGGCGATTGGGGCGAAGGGCATGCCGAAGAAGAAGGATTTGGAGACGGAGAAGGGGCATGAGGGGCATAGGCTTGAGGCGGGCGGGGAGGTGCCGAGGAGGAAGCCTGCGTAAGCGGAGCGTGGAGGACGTCTATCTGATGCGCAGCGGCTGAGGCGGGTTATGTGCCTATGATATAGGATGTGGGATGTGATATTATGTGCGTTATGGGAAGGGCTTCGCCGGCAGGCTGGGCTTCAATGATACCTCGTCTTCTCCTTCGCGACGCGATTCTCATCTTGAACCCGCTTTAGTCTCCATCGGCCTCGCAGTTAATTCTCACTACGCAGCGCAGAGGAGAGCTCGGAGTGATTTAGAAATACCATATAGATTCCTCGGATTCTTCTAATGGATTCCCACCTATTCAACTATCCGTTAACCTCGTGAAGATGGAACGCCCGCGTTCCCATACACGAAATTTCAATCTGGAGCAAGAAATCTACTGTCAGGGAAAGGGACGCGAAACAGCATTCAGGCGCTTGATGATCGGTAGGAGGTTCAAATCCCACAACTAAAATAGGGGGCCATAGAGAAGGCCCTCCCTTGCTCCCAGTGAGTAGTGTGCGCATAAGAAGCATGCTCTCCGCTGGTAAGAAACCGATGGTTCTCCTACTCTGGCAACTCATCGTTTCCCCCCTTCAATTTAACGACCAGTCTCCTCTTTCATTGGATTGGCACTCCCTCCTAATCTACACATACCACTCATCAAAGCACAGTACATCTATCCCGCCTAGCTGCATCTTTCCCGCTAACCCCTCGCCCGCCTAACTCCCCCGTCCCCAGCCTTGAAACTCTAGATCTGCAGTCTGCATAATTCACACGCTTGGTTTAACTATCTGATCGGATCTGCGCGCATGCATATCCAATCCTTCCCGCCGCGTATCCGTTTTAGCCTCAGCGCTTGGTTGCGCAGAAACTGTTCTACGGGATCCGGCGAGAGAGATACTAGGGACGAGGCTGGTGTTTGAGGCGGCTGGGTGTATGATGGTTTGGATTCCGGGATAGGGATAGGGATGATCGAGGTTGAGATACGCTTCAACCGGACCCGAATTCTCGTACCTTGTGCTGGACGCGATTCACACGTACATCAAACGACCCGAGTGAGAAGGCGGGCGACGGTACATTAATCGCGCCTGACATGTCTGATCAATCACTATCACTATCCGCCATCCATCAGCCGCTACCTAATACTCCAATCCCATCCAATTCCCACCTTAACTACCCGACACACGCCATCAGCCATATCTCCTTCCCAGGACCCGCCTGCAAGATCAGCAACCCAAGGTACAAGGTATAGAACAGTAAGACGACAGATAGACGAAACGCATCAACGAAGATCCGCGAGGTCAAGTTAAGGTTATCTCTTAGGCCGGCAAAGCCCCAGTTATTTCGACAGTGAGACCGCGCGTAGGCAGGCTAGGTAAGACGGGAAATGATCGACTTGACTTGACTAAATTATCAAGGTTCTGGAGCGGAGAAAGGGCTTTGGGTACGTATATATGGAGAACTTGGCGAGGAGAGATTGGGCTTACTGTGTACTGCGATGACGACGACATGGGGATGGTGGTGTTTTGCGAGGCTATTTACTGACTGGAGGGGGAGCTTGGTATTGCTCCAATGGAGCGCTCGACTCTCTCAAGGGGTCTCGCTCTATCAGACAAGAAGCCCTTCTCAGCTTCGGCGTCTGCACGTATCGCTGCGACGTTTCCAAGACATAGTATTAGAAAACCTTTCCGCCGTCCTTATCATCGCGTCGAAACAGCGCGCAAAAACCATCTTACGCCATCAGATTCTCGGCGACAATTTAGCAAAACGACAACGCGCAAGCGACGCTTCCCCAGATTTCGCATCTGCCTGACCCCCGTTCAAAAGCTGTTGGTGGCGCTACTCTGCGCCGGGACAGGCGTCAGCTTAGCTAGCGGTAGGCGGTAGCTAACCTCCAGCCCCACCTTGCCATGCCTCCAAGCCAAGAGAAGCTCCTCAGCTCACCATCGTCCTCAGTCAGCCTCGAACAACCTACGATCTTGGGTTACAGAGCGTGGCGGCCGCTCCGATGCACCCTCGGCAACTCTCGACCTGGGGCCGCTCGGCCTTCGGTACAACATCAAGGCGGAAAGCACCAACAAAGGGATGGTGGAAGGCAATTGTGTGCGACGGCATCAGGTGACGGTACGGCGTGTCGTAAGCCCGCTAGACGAGTCAAGCTAGGCAAGCTGGCTGGGCTGGCTGGCCAAGCCGTGCGTTGAGGTTGGAGAGGTCTTGGGCGGAAAAGCATTGCGACAAGGAGGACCACATGTGGCTTGCGCGATGCTTAGCTGCGACCTCAACTCCACGCTTGAGCGACGAATGCGGCGGGTGTCAGGCGGGCAGAAACCAACAACAACAGGGCGGCAAACCGGGCGATGCGAAAGGGCATTGGAAACGTGATCAGTGTCCAGTTCCGGTGAAGATATGGCCCGCTGATGGCCCGAGAGTGCCTCCAACCGCTCGTATCCCGCGCCGATTCGGCGGTCGCGCAGCGGCACAAGCAAGGCAATCCATCGGCGTGTGAGCGGGCTCCCGCAACATTCGATTTCTCAAACAAGGCCTCCCACCAGCAGCTGGGGGGGCAGAAAACAACGCAAGTGTCAGAAGACAGAACGGCATCGAAGCACTGGAAGAAAATTTTGCGCCTTCGCTCGCTGCTACCATGGCATGGAGCTGAGATCGGATTTCCTCACGCCGTAGCCGGTTTAGGATGCAGTTCGCCGTGCGTGCAGCGAAGGATCGAGTGCGATCCGGGGTCCCCGCTGGCGGAGCGGGGGAAGTGGCCGTGATGCATGTCGTCGTTTGGATACGGCTGTGATGGCGTTTTGTTTGTGCTTGGCGCCAGCTTTACCGGACTTGTTTGCTAGCGGGTATCTTTCTTTCAACCGCAGCCCTGGTGATACTCGTTCTCGCTCCGCAGGCCGTGCAGCAGCCCCTTCGACGACTCGAAAAATAGCACGGGGAACGCCTTACGTGAGGCCGGCAATGCAGGCCTGTGTTTATGCTGTCAGCTAATCGGGAAAGAGCTGTTGCTTGTGGTCGGTGAATCTGGGGGCTTTCGCGATCTGCGCAGGGTCGGCTTGCTGAGTTGAAGATCTTTTCCCTGTATGTAACGTGAATGCAAACCGCCGATCCTCCTTATTCCGCCAGCAAGTTCGCAACGCCAAGACCTGAACGAGGGATACCAAGAGGTCCGAGCGGGGCAGGTCGCGGCAGAGGTGAAAGGCCAGGGTCATGGGCATATCCTAGAGCGCCTAAACAGCCACGGCCGCCAGCCAGCAGCGAGTCTCCGCGAATGAAAGCACAGTCTGAAGGTGAAGGCGAGCCGCTGACGAAGGTCGATCTGAGAAACACCATGCCGAAGCATTTCACTCCTTGGCCCGTTGCCCGGTCGAGTGATTTGCAGCCCTGCATACATAAATTCCCAGCCGAGGGAGGGATGAGAGCACCAAAGGGAATCCCCAATTCCCGCTCTTGTGTCACCCACCGCCACCAGTGTAACCCGGACCCATGCACCATAATTAACGCCTATCCAGCTCACTGGAGACGTCCAGCCCCAGCTGCGCAGAGCTTATAAAAGCAAGCTGCCCCCGGTCCAAGAGCTTGCCGTCTCCACAACACTGCGATTGCCCCAACTGCCACCATGTCCGACTCCAAGGACGCGACAACCATCGAGTAAGTGGACCAGCCGTTCTTGCCTTCACTTTGCACTCCAGCTTGCTAACACTCCACTTCCAGGCCTGCTGAGGAGCGCCGTGGTTCCATATTCGACAATGAAGAGAAGCGTCGACAGAGCGTCGCCGAGTTGACCAAAAACACCGAGGGCGAGTAAGTCGTCCGCACTACTCCCACCAGCTCATCGCTGACAAAACGCAGGGTCCGCAACCCTCTCATCGGTATCCCGAAGGAACAGCTACTTGCCGATGTCGAGAGCTTCGCCAAAGAGCATCAATTGGAGGACATCCAGCCACTGCTCGTCAAGGGCGCACTCGCCGCTCAATCTCCCCATCTCTTCGACGAAATCGACGAGTTGGACGAGGGCGACCGCACCGCGCTTCGCGAGGAGGTGACGCACCGCTGGAAGCTGCCCAGGCTTTTGTACATCACCATCGTCCTCAACTCCATTGCTGCAGCTATCCAGGGCTGGGACCAGACGGGGTCGAACGGCGCCAATCTCACCTTCGCACAGCAGTTCGGCATCCCTGACAGCGGCGAGTTCTGTGATATTCCTGCAAACGCTTCGACCTGCGAGAAGAACAGCTGGATTGTCGGTTTCGTCAACTCTTCCCCGTACATCGCCATCGCGCTTTTCTGCGCATGGATCTCCGACCCCATCAATGACCTGATTGGCCGACGGGGCACCATCTTCATCGCTGCCATCTTCTCCGTGCTCGCGCCCATTGGATCGGGCCTCACCCAGCATTGGGGACAGCTCGTGGCGTGTCGGGTCCTTCTCGGCATTGGCATGGGTCTCAAGGAAGTCACGGTGCCGGTCTTCTCTGCCGAGAATGTACCCGCAAACGTGCGCGGAGGGTAAGCTCTTCTTGGATCGTTGGGATGGAAAGAAACTGACAAATAAGGCTGGTTATGTCTTGGCAGATCTGGACTGCCTTTGGTATTTTCCTCGGTACCGTGGCTAATCTCGTTGTCATGGTAAGTCCTGTTGGGCCTCTCTTCTCTACTTTGGAGTGCTGACCGTAACCCCCACAGAACACCGGCCGAATCTCCTGGCGGTTGCAGTTGGGCTCCGCTTTCATCCCTGCTGTGCCCCTCGTCCTCGGAATTTGGTTCGTTCCAGAGTCTCCGAGGTGGCTGATGAAGAAGCGCAAGTACGCCAAAGCATATCGATCCTTCCTTCGACTGCGAAACACTCCCCTTCAAGCCGCCCGCGATCTCTACTATACGCACGCGCTTCTCGCACAGGAAGAGGTCCTTGTCAGGGAGGCTGGGTTGAAGCCGGAGAGTAACTTCTTCACGCGCTTCATCGAGCTCTTTACTATCCCTCGTGTCCGTCGTGCCACTCAAGCTTCTGGTATTGTGATGATCGGACAGCAGATGTGTGGCAGTAAGTGCACTCTTTCTCGTCCTATTGCGTGCACTAACAGGAGTAGTCAATATCATTGCCTTCTACTCGAGTACCATCTTCCGGGAAGGTGGTGCTAACGACAAGACTGCTCTCATTGCTTCCTTCGGTTTCGGCCTGGTCAACTTCGTGTTTGCTTGGCCCGCTGTGTGGACCATCGACACCTTCGGGCGCCGCGGTTTGCTGCTTTTCACCTTCCCCAACATGTTCTGGACGCTCCTGACGGCTGGAATGTGTTACTACATCCCCAAGGAGAGCCCTGCACACATGGGCCTTATCGCGCTGTTCGTGTATCTGTTCGGAGCCTTTTACAGCCCCGGAGAGGGACCAGTTCCGTTCACGTACTCCGCCGAGGTCTTCCCCCTCTCCCATCGTGAGGTGGGAATGAGTTGGGCCGTCGCGACAAACAACTTCTGGGCGGCGGTTCTGTCGCTCACGCTCCCTCGCATGCTGAAGGTCATGAGGCCTCAGGGCGTGTTCGGCTTCTACGCCGGGTTGAATGTGGTGGCCCTCGTCATGATGTAAGTTGAAAGCCGCCGTAGTGGGTATAGGTCCGAATGCTAACGCTTTTGCACAGCTTCCTCTGGATGCCGGAGACGAAGCAGCGCACGCTCGAGGAGCTCGACTACATCTTCGCCGTCCCAACTAGGACCCACATGAACTACCAGGTGAAGCAGAATCTGCCGTGGTGGTTCAAGACGTACGTCCTCCGCCGCAAGGGACTCAAGAAGCCTCAGCTGTACAAGTTCGACGAGGAGGTTGTTGCCCACTCGAAGACGGCCCTGAGCGATACGAAGGCCTAAGTGCTCGGCTGGTGTAGCTGCATCGGGGATGGTTCAGGTTGCCTTGAGATCGCCGCGAATATTGTTCCCGGAATGGGGTTCTTTACGCCGGGGGAAATACTCCCGTGCTCGAGATTGATAGACACGGTGTATGATGGATTGTCTGGACGGTGTTTGCCGCTCGATATCCGTATAGTCTACGGTAGTCAATCGCTAATGTTTTGACCTGGTCATGTCGTGCGGCGCGTGTGATTATCGTATGATGTGCGAATCGTCCGGATCCTGTGGTATCTTCCCATGAGGCAGGCTTCGCACTCGACTTCCGCGTGGATGTCCCCTACCAGACAGACGGTGTCCAATCGTTGCTCCTGAGGACTCCCGAGGGACGTTCGGCCGACCGCCAGCGTGAATGTGATCCTCTCTCTTCACCACCTCTCGTTCCCTGCATTCACCTTCCGCCTCTCAAATACCGTCTCCCTCTCCATTACATTTCTCGCTCACCAGGGTATTCCATCTCTTCCAATTGCGCTCGATCGCACTTCAGACGATTATACCTCGATCGTTCGCTTCTCAAAACCTCACAATAAGAAGTCGACTTAAGCAAATCCCAGCTAACCCACACTCGACCCCAGCCCTGCGATGTGGGGAAAAAAAGAACGGTCGAATCGGCCGCGATGCCTAATCCGACAAAAGCCTCGGCAGCCCGCGCCCGCCGATCCATTGGTGGGCTCCAGCATCTGAATTGCGGACGACGGTCGGGGTCATGCGATATAAACCGGCTCCTCCTGCTGCTGCTTGTCTGCGCACTTGAGCGACTCTTGTTGGCTTTTTGTAAGGCCTTTGTCTGCTTTTTGCTTGCTTGGAGTGGTGTGATCGTCTTATTCGCAGCTGTCCGTCGACTATTGGTCTTATCGATACGATACGCGATCTAGCATTGTTTCTAGGGCTCCACCAACGACGCAAAGATGCCGCTTTTCGACTTGAAGAAACAGCTCGTCTTCGTAGGTGCCTGCTATTACCCAAATCCCTCGAACTTGCTAACTCTCCGCCCAGTACGGCGCATACCACGCCGACCCTGTACTCCCCCCCGCCCTGCCTCTAACACACTCCTCCCTACTAAAACCCCCAAGACCAATGTCAAAATCCACATAACCTGCGTCCCCATCCTCCTAGCCACCGGCTTCCTCTTCGTAAGCCCCCCCCCCTCCCCACTCAACCCCACCACTAACCCACCCTCCCCAGGCGACCAACACCCCCTCCCTCCGCACGCCGCCCCTCCTCACGAAGCTCCACCTCCCGCTCAACCTGGGCACGCTCGCCGCAACCACCTACTCGACGCTGTACCTGCTGCTGAGCCCGAACGTCGCGGGCGCCGCGCTCGCGCCGCTCGTCATGGCGGCCGGCGCGCTGGCCAACTACCTCACGGCGACGTACAACCGGCGCAAGGCGAACACGGTTGCGGTGGGCGTGCACGTGGTGTGCTGGATCCTGCAGTTCATCGGGCATGGGAAGTTCGAGGGGCGGAAGCCGGCGCTGCTGGATAATCTGGTGCAGGCGCTGTTTCTGGCGCCGATGTTTGTGTGGTATGAGGTACGTATATCGTGGTGTTTAGTGTATCTTGGCTTCCGAGTGCGGAGAGCGAGGCCTGGAGGGCTGCGGTGGAGACTTGAGGCGCGCTGGAGTGTTGTGCTGGCCCGCTTCGCTTCTTGCTTTGAGATGAGACATGTGCTAATGTGTGCTACCTTGCAGGTGCTGTTTAAGTTTGGGTTTTACAAGGAGTTGAGGAAGGAGGTGGAGGAGCGGGTTGCGGCGGAGAGGAGGAAGTTGAAGGAGGGGAAGAAGGGAGAGTGAGTGGAGTTGGACGGGCTAAGTTGGGCATTCGGTTCGTTTTTGCTTGCGACCGGATTTGACTATGCATCCGGCATTCTGGAACCCTTCAGCTCCCTAAGCAATGTTCAGTCGATGTACTTTCCTCTATAAGTTTTTAATTGGGAATAACTACGTATGCATCGTCCTGGTGCCCTTCAGCTCCCTAAACATTGTACAGTTGATGTATTTTGCGCTATAAGCTTTCGATCGGATTTAACTACGCATTCACCGTCCTGGAACCCTTCAGCTCCCTATACTTTTGATTGTCGATGTATTTTACGGCCTGAGCTTGCGACCAGATTTCACAACGCATTCATCATCCTGAAGACCTCCAGCTCCCTAAGCATCATATAATTGACGTATTTTGCGGCATAAGCTTTTAACCAGATTTACCTACACATCTATTATCCTGGAGCCCTTTAGACCCATAAAGATTGTATAGTTAAGGTATTTCATGCCATAAGCTTTCAATTAGATTAGCCAACGTATTCATCATCCTAGAGCCCTTCAGCTCCCTAAGCATTGTATTTCACGGCCTGGGCTTGCAATCAGGTTCGGCTACACATCTATCCTCCCGGCGCTCTTCAACTCCCAATCACAAATCGAAATATCCCATTATACGTATAGCAACGGCCCTCTAGACCCCCCAAGTAAAGCTCCCGCGTCGAGTTGTGCCCGCTAGTTCCTGAAACTCTTTATCCTGGATTTGGGCCTCGTCTTCGATGTCGAGCTCCTCCTCAACATGGTCCTCCTCCTGGATGTGCATCTCACTCTCGGGCTGCCAGTGTTTCGGAAAGGCCACAGCTAGCATGCTCTCCGCCAGCGCGAAACGAGCTTCCAAGTACTGAGCGGTCCTGTCAACCGAGTCCATGTCCACCTTGCCGTGCGTCGGAACTCCTGGCCTGCTTCTAGAGCGAGACGGTCGTGATGGAGGAGAGACTTCGATCCGCGGCTCCAGTTTGTCTTCTTCAGGGGATCGCTTATCAAGTCGAAACGCGCCAGCCTCGAAGGCCTGTTCAACCACCTGGCGATAAACCCCTCTTCCTATCTTTCTCCGTCGCAGCGGGGATGTAGAACTTGAACCTGCGCCCCTCGCAGACTCCCCTGACGTAAGCCGCAGCCTTCTTCAGCGATGGAAAGGTTTCCGGCCACTGCTTTAAGAGCGCTAGGACGGGCTCCACGTTCGCCGAGTATTTATCTAGAAAACAGTCAACATTCCGAATCCGTCAGGGGGGAAGGGGGGAAAAGCCAAACCTGAAGTCGACCACGCGTCGGCCTTGGGATTCGCGTCGATGGTGAATTGCTCCGCGTCATACGCCCGATTCACAACCCTCCTGTGCACTTTTCCCTCCACGTCCATCCGAACCGATTTGGCAGTGGCAGCCTCGAGCCCGTAACGAAACCACCGCTCTTCGCAAGAGTCCTTGACGTACCTTTCGGCATCTTGGAAAGAGGCGAATGACTTCGGATAGGCTATTTTGAGCGCTTCTGCGCGGAGAACGGCGTTCTGAATGAGATCTAGGTCGGTCAGGGTCGGCAAGAATGAAAAGTTGTGCTTGACTCTTACCCTCTAACTGGTCTTTCCATGATTTGGGTGCTTGTGGCCTCTTTCCTGCTCGGTTTGCCATGCGGGTTCGTTTGCAGCGAGAGTAGACGTAATTGAAGGAAAATGTGGGATGGGGGAGGAAGGAAGGAAGGAAGAATTCAGCGAAAAGAAATTTTGAAGCCACATAAGCGGAGTGAAACAAACGCGATAAAGTGCAACGAGAAAGAAGCAGAGTTAGGATACAGTCAGTGAAAGGAAAAACTGCAAACGCGCCTCTTCACTGCCTGTACTACCGCTCTTTTCACTTCTGCTCATCTCGACTCAGTTTCTAGATCCCTTTCCTGCTGCGCTCTCACGAGTTTCTTGCATCATCAGCTCTGCACTCCCCATTTATCTTCAGAGGCGAGGCTTCACACCGAGATATATATATCGTTCTAATGAACAGAACTCGATCAGTTAGAAATGATGTCAGCTCCCTTTGCCTCCAATCGATGACATTGGTCGCGGTGGCGGTGTAGCTTGAGCCCGAGTGAGCTTGGACTCGTGCCCTCGGTGCAATGATTGCGAATAGAAGTAACCTAATTAGGACTGTCGGGAGCAACTGGCCTTCACTCTTGAAAGTGCCGGGTGGAGGCGCCTCCGGGGTCGGCAAAGAAGGTATGCTCCGAGAATGGCGCCGAAGTGCGCACGATTTACACCCTGAAGGACTTCGGCATCATGGATTACCTAGCAGCGTCAAATCGGTGAGACGATTCATTGCATCTACGTAGGTCAAGGCACTCATCGTGATATCTGTTTGCGAAGTCGACGCGGTCCGAAGTACCGATTATTATATTTCCTCCTTGCAATGCGGAACAGTAACCCGTACGTGCAGGAAGTCTTCAGCGTGCATATAGATGCTAACCTGAAGCCAACCATGATGGGGGATACAAAGGAATGATCTCGACTGCAGTTTGTTGCCCTTTCCCTTCGCCTGCACATCTGGGCTCCGAAGGTATAATGAGTCTGCATCTTGGAGCGAATCAAAGGCGTGATTGATGCATAAGGTTCATCAAAAGCATCGACAGAATTGGACCTTGTAGTCGTTGTGGAATCCCAATGCGTAGTCGGGCCTAATGTCCAGAGAGAGATGAAAGGGAACTGTGTCATGTTCTCCCGAGTCAAGCAGGGTGACCCCGTTTGGCGTTAGGTTTTGCCTGGTGTGATGAACGGATTGCCGAGGCATGTGCGAGGTTCACACTTCAACATGTATCACGAGAAAAAAAGAGTTCCCGTGTGATTGTTCCCCACTCGGTACTTCGATACACGCTTTCTTCTTCGAGGCCGGCATTCTGACTTATGCCGACGTTTCATCCTCCGCCTCAAGACTTCCCGTGCGCCATGTTTCGTATCGGGGGGCCGAACATAGCAAAAGTAAACTGCTCTAGCGGCTACATGCTTGGCAGCGGCATTCTCTTAAAAGCAGCGACGTCTGAAGTTGTGGGAATTGCCACGTGCAGGTGCGACACCCGTTGGCAATAAGCGAAATGTGAGATTCCGTTGCAGGCCGAGCAATATAAAAGGCCCCACTTCGGATGGTGAAGCCCTAAGCGGAAGTAGTAGTGGGCTTACGTAGCCTACTGCAATTAATACAGATGAACTCGACAGGGTAGCAGAGACATACCTCAGAAGTGGGTTCGAAGCAGGCTTGTGGCTTCATGAGAGCTTCAGAGGGATACGAGCGACAATTCGGACAGTTGGGATTGAGTCAAGGATGGCAAGGACAGCAAGTGAATGTGACCAGAACCCAAAATTACATTAGTCGGCCCGGAAGCAAAAAGAAATTGGGGTACAACGGCTACGTAATGCTCTGAATGCCCATGCCGGCCCGATAGGGAGAACGCTACGGGAAGGCAGGCGTACCTGCAGATCTTTCACCGGTCTAGAGGAGGAGCCGGCTTGATTTACGCAACTCATGGTAAACAGTGGGCTCGGCTGCGATCCGGGCACTGACAATATATCGAGCCATTTCGAGGGATATTGAGGGTGTTGTAGATCATGTCCACATCCAGATCGTATCTCCTAGGTACCCGACGTTATCTCTGCTGTTTACTGTGGAAATCTGCGGCCGTCCTGTCATATTAATGATTCAGCCCAGCCCAGCGAAGTCGTATGCGAGACCGAATGTTGCCAAGAGCTCCAAATGGACGGTAGAAAGAGCGGCCTCGAACGTCGTAAGTATGTACCTGTTCGTTAGAACATACCAAGATCGGAGATCCTCGGTGTGGAACCGGGTCCGTGGGCCAGGACTCAGGGTTCGTATTGTGTGTAGCAGCGGGGGCTGGCGTATAGTATGCCGGGATGGTGGTGATCGAATTGCGTGTTCGCCCCCGTCTTAGCCGTGAGAGAAGACGCCATAGCAAGAGCTTTCAATAGCAAGCTGCGTCCATATTCAATTGCTCTACTGGAGGGAATTGAGACGAGTTGCAGCCGGAGAAGGCCGAATAGTGTTCTCCGGCGGCTTCTCATGTGGTATGCTGAGCGAGAACGGAAGGTACACTCGGAGGGCGACATTGAGTCTAGACAGAGGACGGCAGGTTACAAAGCCTGCAGAGGAATTGTTGGGAAAGACTGGAAGCAGGAGAATTGATGAATACTCAGTTCGCAGGTAGTAGCCACAGCTGTGGGTCGAAGCGTGGCGTGAATATGGCGAGGAAACCGTAAAGAGATGTGTCCTTTGAGCAGCAATGCGCTGGGATACTGCAGGCAGAGAAGTGGCTACAGGGCTCGTGGTGTCGTACGAGGGCGCACGCTGTATATTGCGAGCGCTCGGCTAGATTGCGCCGTATAGCGAGCGACTCACTATGCATCGCTTATTGCTAGGGTGCGTGACAAATTGACAATCAAGATACGATAACATAGAAAGAGAAAGAGATGAATGGCGTTAAAACGCATGGACGCGGATTGATGGGGAAGGGTGACGAGAACTGGGTCGGTGATGCGTGACGTACGATGGCCGCTGTAAACCTCTTTCGGCTAGTGCGGCCAAACCGCCGACGTAATTCCGTCCCCGCCCCCACCGGAAATTTTCTGGAGAGAACACTGCCGAAGCCAATTCCTAGCCAACATGTCCGGTACCACAGTGGAGGAAGATGCGATCGACGAGATCCTTTACCTATCGCGCGTGAACGAGGTTACTGAACTCGCGGCATACATCTCACAGCTCTCGCAACAGACAAAACACTCAAAGCCCGACTTAGTCGCCGCGGCGGTAGACCCATATTCGAAGAATAGCGCGCTGCACTATGCCGCGGCTAACGGACATATAGGTACTTGTTTTTCCTTTACGGGCAACAAACATTGTTTCGGTGAATTATATGCTGACTGCAGACGGCAGACGTTATCAAGCTCCTGCTCTCCTTCAACACGGACAAGGCTACGACGTCTGCGCCGGGGCTTATCAACGCGGCGAATGATGCGGGAAACACGGCTCTCCATTGGGCAGCGCTGAACGGACACCTCGGATGCGTGAAACTGCTCGTGCAGTCCGGCGCCGACGTTACAATCATCAACAAGGCGGGGCACGACGCGGTGTTTGAGGCGGAGATCAATGACAAGAAAGAGGTAGTGGAGTGGCTACTTGGAGCTGTGGAGGACTTGGAGAAGGGGATAGGTCAGACTGGAGGAAGCTCTGCGGACGGTGACCAGGAGGGTGGTGACGCCATGGAGGAGACGGACAAGAACACCACGTCTAACGGGGCGAGTGCGACTGGCGTTGAGGATCTGAGGAAGGGTATGGAAGGGCTGGAGACTGGAAACGGGACCTCGCAGGGTGGGTGAGCAAGAGAAGGATGGCCGCAATTAAAGATATATTGCTGACAGTCCTTGCGACCTGCGAGGACATGCGCTCTGCCGGAGGCTCAACATGTGAGATATAGTAGCCGGAATACGGGCAGCCATGGCCACGTGGAAGGGGTCATTATCTGGCAAGATCTGCTCTCCCAGGATCGGGGTCCACGACGAAACGCGTCTCCTGCAGCGTCGAGGAAACCGGAAGAACTTCACCCAGAAAGGGTCTGCGGCACAGCTTAAAATGATTACTATCCTACACTGCTCTGCTACATTGTCCAAATGCCGGATAACCTGGTACCGCCGACGGCTTTTGTGAGTGACGGTACTCAGATACAGAATTAAATCGATCATCTCCGGTCGCGTTGCCTGCCTGACGGCACGTCGGAGAATGTACCGATGAACATGCAAACAAAACCAGGCATGATGCCCAAGCACTGTTGTTACATGAATATTGCCCGCGGCTGCTGCCTTCCCCAACGGAGCATATCCCCGCTGCCGGAGGATCAATCAGGCCCTACTTTGTCGCGATACGCGCTAGCAACACTTGAGGCTGCCCACACCTGTTGTTGCATGTCCTCTACGCCCGGCATTAGTCATGGTTTAATTGTCACTCAGTTATCTTTCCTTACCGCCCACGGACTAGTCTCTCAGCCAAGCACGGCGCTTCTCCTCCTTCTTCTCCCGCCGCTTTTCTTTGAAGGCCTTTAGCTCCTTCTTGCTGAGAGTTTTGCCCCGTCGCTCCGCCTTCAGGCTGCGTCCATCATGGCTGTTGGCGGCTGCATCAACGTCGAAGAATGCGGTCATCTGCCGCTTGCTTTTGTTCTCATCGTTATGGTAGTCCGGGTTCATTCCCGCCTGCTGGAAGCGACCGGTGAAGCGGTTGAAGTTGGCGGTGGTGGTGTAGTCTGGATGAGGAGCTGGGAGACCTGCAGCGGCGGCGACGACAGATGCAGCAGCAGCTTCCTCTTCCTCCTCTTGCTTCCGCGCCTCCAGGGCATAGTCTGCGTTCGGATCATAGTCGCCATGTATCGCCGGGTTGTATCCACCAAGCTTGCGCTTAGGCGGAGACGAAGTACCGGGGGCGCCAGAGCTGGTGGTCGGGTCGGTAGTGGAGCTGTTTGCGTATCTGCAGTGGCGAGAGATTAGGATAGGAAGGCAAGGAAGAAAGTGATAAGTTGTTAGCAAACCTGTCGTACGATCCGTAGCTGGTTGCAGAGGTCTCCGGGAGGCGAGGGTTCTCCCACTGAGACTTTCCAGTGAGGCGGTTGTAGAAGAAGTAGGCACCCGCATTGTTGTCCCAGTCGTAGGCCCAGCCGTCATCCTGCGGCGGTGCTTCATCAGGAAGCGGGGGCGCCTCTTCGTCGGGCAAGGGTGGGTCGCTGGCTGATGCCGCAGCCGCGTCTACATCGCTCACGGCAGCGCTGCCCTTGGTTGGCGACGCACTCCTCGTGCGGTTGTCGCTGTCCGTAGCGGCTCCATCTTGCTCGTGTGAAGAGCCGTCCTGGTGAGGTTCCGAGTCGCTGGGGTTGGGGGAGGTGCGCGTCTGCTCCTCGTCGCTGCGGCTAGCGGGCATGGCGCGGACCTAGGATTCTGTAATATAATGGTGTTAGAGGATGGTTGCGATAGCAAGAAAAGGTGGGGTGCGCCGACGGAGATGGCAGGCGGGGGCAGCGCAGTGGGTGGAGGTTGAAGATCAAGGTCAAGTGGGCACGTCGATGTCGCGGGTGGTTAGTCAGCGGGCTTGGCGTTTTGTTCACGTGACAGCTCGCGGGTGGGAGGAACGAACGTATCGCAGAACTCGACGAACGACACCAGGCTGCAGTTCTCACCATCGACTTCGCCTCACGCCTCTCTTCCCGCGCCTCGCCCGTGCATGGCCGTCCATTTCTCTTGCGGGCCGGATTCGCTCGGCCCTCAGCGCAGGCCTGAAGCACAACCCGGACTGCAGCGATGGAGGAGGCCGCTCCCCTCCCATATTCGCCGTGGCGCCTTCAGCACGAGCAGCGACTGCACAGCCGACGCTGAATCGACGTCGTGCAGCATCAACAAGCACTCCTCCAGCAGTCTCGCAGCGGTGGGCGGCGGCGCTCATTTGGCCGGTCGAAGCTGGGACGGTACGCTACGTCGAAGGCAGGCCTCGAAGGACCCGAGACGCGGCGCAGACTGATGTACGGCTGCGTCCTTAGCAGGCCCATTATCCGCTAGCATGCGCATAAAGTGGTAAGCTGCATGTCTGGGAAACCGACTGCAGGGCCTGGGGTGCCGTCGACATGCACGCAAGACCAGACGAGGCGTTGCAGGGGCCGTGGATAAGGATAAGCCCTGGACGAGAGCAGCTCATCGCTCCGCTCAACGGCTGCTGCGAGCGCTCGTCCCGAAGGGCTTGACGCCGCTTTAGGGCCCGCCAACGACCTCGTCACTTCATCACACGGCAACCTCAAGCACCGGCCGTCCCGTTGACTTCTGACAGCGTCGCCTGCAGCAATCTAGGGCCGGCAGCCGCGACGCCTCTCGATCGGCTGCATTGCTGCCGCCGGCCAGCTCTTTTTTCCCCTCGGGCGCAGCGGAGCAGCGCGAGCTGGTCGTCGCGGGCAGCCCGTGCAGCGCTGGACGGAGGGGAGGGGAAGGGGACAGAGGGCCGACAAGCGCAGATGTGCTGAGGACAGGCCACGGCGCAGTCTTTGAGGTGCATCGGGGCACTTTGAAACTCAATCTATGTGAAGCTTATTGGCCGCGCGCGCTCCCCATTGCTCAAGCACCCGACGCCCGGTCTGGAGAATTGCCTGGAGCAATACTCACGGGATTTTGCCGCAATTACATGGACATGTTCGATGCATGCCGTCGCTCCCACGCTGCATGATCGGCACCAGTCAGCAGCGGGATTGCTCGCGGTTGGCCAGCGCGCGAGGGGCCGCTGTTGGCTTGCTGGCGAGATCTGAAGAGCAGGCCTGGCGACGGCCATCCCAACCGCCCACGCGCCCTCCAAGTCCGTATTGCTGCCAGTTGCTGCATCGTCCTGCGTGTGGTGCAGCAGGCCAAACACGCTACGCAGCGGTTGCCCAGCGTGCAGAAGCCCATCTGCCTTTCTGCCACGCTTAACCTGCTCGATATCGCCGCCAATATTGCCCGGTCGGCCTATTCACCCTGCCCCGGACGAGCTCAGCACACCTCGCTCGGCTCTCAAACAGCAAAAGCTCCACGACCATGTCCCTGGCAGTAGTTCATCTCTTCACGCTGGGAAAGTGGCTAGGATAAACCTCTCGTCCTGCCGCAGCCCGCGGCCCTCCCTGAGCTCGCAGCTTCCATTCCCTGTCTCGGGCCAGCTATCGTCTCTGCCGCAGCACGGATTCCCGCCATTCGCCTTTTTTTTCTGATCTTTGCTACCCGGTATTATCAACTTTATTGCTATAATCCCCTGCCGTACCGGTGCCAGCTGGAAGGCTGTCTCCGTTGCGTGCCCAGCCATCTTCTGGGCCCAGAAAAGCCGTCCGCGCCGCGCCTCGCAGCTGTGCCTGTACGTCCCCTCCCGTGCTGCTCTCTAACCCCCCTACATCGCTCCTACATGCCCTGCTGCTTCGGCTGTGGCCCAGGAGCAGCCGGAGGGGTGGACAGTCGTCAGACGTCAGCCCTGCACGGACTGTGAGTTCCGTTGGCTCTTTCTCTGAACCTTGCCGTCTGCAAGACCTCACCGCGGGTATTCCATTACAATACAGACTGCACGCAATCGTGCTTCTGCAGTCCTCTGGCCACCTTACCGACCTTCGCCTGTCTCCATGTGCCCGATTGTCTGACTGCGAGCTGGCGCTGTGCCTGCATGCGTGTCGGGGCTGGGCCGTGCCTGAATCTCTCTAAAGTGCCCTAGTTTATATCTTGTGTTATTCCCTATACCTCGATGTGGGCTGCCGGCCAATGTATCGTGGAAGCCATCCCACCTCAGGCGTCGACCGTCGACCCTCTCCACCTCCCGCTAGCATGCTCGTCGACATGAACCGCCTGCCCAGCATCCCCTCGCGGCCGGCTCCTCCTCCACCATATACCTCTTACAGTCCTTACCAGAGACCTGAAGTTGCACCGTCGCGGCCCGAGATCGTACCCGCCTCCCAACACCACCGTCCCAGGGATTCCGATGGCGGTCAAAATCATGCGCAACAACTACCGAGCCTTCGAACCCTTCTGGAACCAGAATTCCTGGACAACAAGCTGTCCGACCCACCTTCACGAACTGGTGGCGCCCGTTTTGCTCGCGGCAGTTCGGTGCGGTACGGATCCTCAAGCCCAACCTTGAAAAGGCGGCATGATTTCGAAAGTTACAGCCACGAAAATCCCGAAAGTAATGCTATCGCTTCTCGACCACCACCTGTGCATCGTCATGCCCACTACCCCGCCCCCACCGACTCACAGTTGGCAACCTTCTCGACAACAGATTCGACACCCGGCTCGCGCCAGCCGGAGTACTCACGCCATGCAGGACTTGTCCGTCCTGCCCACAATGAAGTTGCTAGCAAGCCTTTTAGAGCACCGTCGACTACATCAGCGATGAGCACATCCTCGGATCCACTCGGGACTCTACCAAGCCAGCCGCCTTACGAAGACCCCATGGATATTGTCAAACCCGTGAGAAGGCGAACAGAAGGCTCATCACGCGCCCCAGTTCGAGCATCGCGTTGTGTAGGACAGCGTGAGATCCCCGGTGAAGGTTTATGCTACATCTATGAGGATGGGACATATTGCCGTGCTGTTATCGACGGCGAACGAGTGAATCCGTCTTGGGGTATCACAAAGGCCGGGAAACCAAGGAAGCGGCTTGCTCAAGCTTGTCTTACTTGCCGCGAGAAGAAGATTAAGTGCGAGCCTGGATACCCCAAGTGCCATCAATGCGCCAAATCTCAGAGGGCGTGTAGAGGGTGAGTAGAAGTTCTGTACAACACGACTTTTCTTTTGAACGGTACTTCGACTTATATGCATTAAATTAAGCCCATTTCAAATCGCTGACAATGCGGCCACTGTTACTCACATGACAAATACTAACTGGGAAATAGAGGCCTCAATCAACCAAGCATGAGCAATGCTTCGGGCGAAACATCACCATCATCGTCTTCAGGGTTATTTAAGAACCCGTCGGCAGAACTTGTAAGCCCAGTGGCTGGCCCCGAAAAACCAAAGGCTCTCGAAGAGCTGCGCGAATCCCCTCGAACAGTTGAAGCTTGGAATGCTGGATCTCCATTCAAGCCTCGCAACTTTCGACCCAACTCCGTCGCTACCTCACGAGACATGTCTGTACATTCGTTGGATTCGGACTGGAGCGGCTCAGTGAATAACCAGGACCCGGATGACCCCAGACGTGGATCGCTCCAGGACCAGCTGGCCCTCCAATGGGAGCAGGATCCCTTTGAAACGGACGCCAGGCTGACAATGCACCTTCTGGACCTTTACTTTCTCCACGCGGGCCGGGCCACCTATGGAATGTTCCCTCGGCGGCCTTTCCTGACATGGGTGGAAACCAACCGCGAAAAGAGCCAGGACCACCTCATGCTTCTGTACTCTGTGCTGGCAATGGGCTCTGTCTTCTCGGCCGATCCCGATAAGCGTAACATCGGGAAGCGCTTCGCAGCCGTTGCAGCCTATGGCACCGAGAAACGCTTCGGAAAGTTCACCCTGCAATTGTGCCAGAGCCGCCTAATGCTGGCTCTGTACAACTTCGCTCGGGGAAAGTCACAGGAAGCTTGGGACTTCTGTGGAGCAGGTTTGCGTGCTCTCAGTGCTCTCAAACTCAATACTGAGGAAGGAGTGAGAGAACTGCCGGATACCGCCGCCGATCTGGACTATGGATTCGACCGCCGGACCCTGGAAGAATGCTGCCGTCGCACCTTCTGGTCCGGATTCTTGATGGATGTAAGTTCAACCGCGTTTACGGCGACCACCACCCTTGACCTAATGCTCCAACAGCGCTACAATGGATTCTGTGGTGGAACCCTCTGTGTTATTAATATCGAAGACACTTTCCTTCACCTTCCTTGCCAAGAGAACTTGTATGAAGCTTCAAGCCCCTGCGATACCCCCTTCTTCGACTTCGATATCCTGAGCCGTCAAGCGACCCCAGGCCCTCCTCTCGGACATATGGCATATTTGACTCTAATTTCGGCAATCTGGGGCGACGTGTTGACCTTTACCAGCCGCGCCGTTCATCGACCAGAGGCCGGCTACGAACGACATTACGAAACATTCTACGAGAAGACTTACGAAAGACTGGATGCATGGCACGCCATGTTGCCGGCCAACCTCCGGAACACGCCGCAGAACCTCGATAATAGCATTGTCGAGGGGTTTGCGGGCACCTTCATCTCTCTCCATGCTCTCTACCATACCACCGTCATCCGGCTGAACCGCCATGCTCGCGTCCGTGCGTTACCGCTTGAGAAGATCGGTCGCAACATCGATCATGCTTTCCGAAATGCCTCGCATTTCGTGTCGATGATGCATTCACTGGCTGCCGCGAACCGCCAAGGACGACTCCCACCTAATGCCTCGGCCGATTTCCTGTTCTCCACACCGTTTCCTGGATACGCCCTAATGCTCTCCGTCGATGTGCTCTCTTCTGCCGGTACTGTTTCTATGTTGCCAAACCTTATTGAGACGCTAGGGACGACGCTTTCCTGCCTTGATGAGCTGGCCAACTTCTGGGCGTCGGCCCGTGCCCAACAGAAGGCGGTGTCGATCCGCGTTCAGCAGCTTACCGACCTTGCGGTCCAGGAGGAACAGGGCGTCAGGAATGGTACCTACGGGCAATTCTGGAAGCTTCCGGATAGCTTGGAGATTGCGTTTGGTAACGAAGACGTGGTGTACAAAGCGAACGAGCAGGTGCTATTCGAGGTCGTCGGCGGGCTTACTAGCCGCTAAGCTACCAGCTACTACTCCATTGGGCAATATCAACCTCTCGACTAGCCAATAAGTCTTCACATACGTACCTGCAACAAAGCACCACCTGATGCCACCGGACCGTGCGGAATACCCGCTTTGGCCGCATTCTGGAATAAACTCCGACACCTTGCGGTGGCATGACCTCCCATGTCCCATCTGGACGGCATAAAATGGCCACCACATTCTAGCGTCCTTGTGCTACCCACCACTCCAGATCTCAGCCACTTGTAATGTCCGTCACAACATCTACTCGCCCTATCTTAGCACTTTTAGTGGAGCACCACTCGTACGGCACAGCGCCGGCCATTCACATTTCGGTCCTCAAAACGCTTCTCCTACAGGTGGCTTTTGTCTAATGTTAATACTGTATTTGTACTTTCTGTTTTGGAAATGCACGCCCGCCTTCAGCATAATGTAGGTGGGAATGGGATGGGAAAGGAAAGGAACTGGATCGGAATCGATTGGGTGATGGAACCTCACACTTTTACGGCTCTTTCCTGTCTACCACTATTTTTCGGCTTTTGTTCCGGAGCATCTAAGGGAAGTGTATGTACGATATGGTCAAAATTCCGGCCTTTTCCATCATCAAAAAGGGATATAGCGAGGTGTTCCATTGGGGACTGGATTTTCTGAGGGTTTATTCTTACAATCGAAGTTATGTCTTTTGCGGCTCCCATCATCATCATTATTATCTTCTCGCCCATCCATCCAGCGGTGTAGTGAGTGGTGAGGGAGGACTTCATGCCCTGATGCCAAGACCGAAAGTATTTGAGTGCCAAGACGATAACATCTGGTGCGCCTTCGATGTAGTTTCGCTCCTGAGACACTTTCGAAGTGGTACTGTTTCACCCGGCAGATGGAAGCTTTTCCAACGGCCTAGCAGCATTGTCTAGAAGGCTTCGAGAGAGGTTCGAGATCCCTTCGCGACGTGCTCCAGCAACATGCTAGAACGCTAGGCCACCCGTCCTCAGCTGCGGACCGCCCCGAGCGACACACTAGTAGCCGATCAGATCAGCACCGCAGCTGCGCAGGTCAGAATAAAGTGTGGACCGCCTCCCGCTCCTGTCTGACAGGCGTGTATGATCGACGGCGCATAGTCAAAGCTTCGGAAACAATGCCGTGTTGTTGAGTAACCTTTTTCTCCGGAGGACCGGGCGCTATATGTGCATACCTAATGCCATGAGAGTGATATGTGGGGGGTGGTATAGGGGAATGGGATATGCAATATGCTAAGCAACCGCTCCAACGCCGTGCTGTGACTGCCAACGCCAACGCCAACCAATATGGGTATCTTGAAGATGCTCCTGAAATGTCGCCAACCGTACACTTTTGCTGCTTCGGCTCTCCGTGTCGCCCCGATATGCATGGGGGGTGGGCGAGTGCCTTGATGCTCATTTCCTCTCTTTCCTGTCGAGGGTCTCCAGGACCTGCTTTCCACATGCCAACTTGCCCCTCCAAAGCCTGTTGGAGCCCTCCAGGGCCGGTGCTGCACACGCCTGTGCGCCACCTACCCGTCAAACCCGCCGGGGTGCGCCGGCTCCTTCCCTTTACCCTTGCTCGAGTCTTCTTGCTCTTTCGTCTCCCACCGCTCGCTCTCCGCGGAATGCGCGAACGCCTGCTGGATGCCTGGCCGAGGCTTGCTCGCGATATCCAGCTCAGCGAACTTTGGTCTGACTAACAGTATGTTTACGCGGGCAGCGTTGAAGACTTGCTCCGAGGGCGGGATTGAGGCAGCGAGGTTGGTGTTTTCGGTGAGACGCGTGATGAAGAACATGAAGCGGCCGGTTTTGATCTGCATTTCGGCGAAGTTTGCGCTGCCGGCGGGGATACCGGTGTGTTTACTACGATAACAGTGTTAGCCGGGTCCGAACCACGGATGCTAGGATGTAGGGACGTACGCCATAGACTGCTTGTGCGTCTTGAGGATGCTCGAGATGCGCTCGAACCGATCAGTAAACGGGTTGTTCGTCTCCAGTCCTCTCGTAACGTGCGTGACCATCAAGCACGTCGTCCTCTCGTATAGTATCAGCTCCCGCGCATCAATAACCTCCGCCAGCTGCTGCAGCAGCCCCTCAATACTCCGCGCATTCGGGATCAAGAAGTAAATAATCTGCGTCCAGGCCTTATACAAACTCTGATCCCAGATGCTCGTCGGAAAGAACTCAACGCTATCCCTGAAGCCCTCGCTCGCGGTGCGTATATACTCTGTGCGCTCTTCGAAGAGCTGGACGCGTAATCGGGCTTGCACGAGGTCCATTTTGTGGATCAGCACGAAGACTTTGGCGGTGGGCGAGCACTCTTCCAGCGCGCGGATGATGTTGCTGTAGGAGATGACGTCGGCTTGGAATTCGCGCGATTCGATGTCGAAGACGAAGATGAGGACGGCGACGCTGCCGAAGACGTGGGCGCGCTGGTGGGTGAGGTAGTTCTCGACGAAGCCGTCTTGTCTGCACGGGGTGTCAACATGGCTCCTGCCCTTCTCGCCCCTTCCTCTTTCGAGGGCGCTGGTGGAGACCTTACCCTCCGCAATCCCACAAGTTCAGCATCAAATTCCCCATGAACTTGATGTTGCTGTGCTCGACATCGATGGTCGCGCCGAGCCGCCGCACATCTTTCGCAACGTAATTGCTGAAGACGATGGACCGCATCGACGACTTGCCCGCTCCGCTCTTCCCCATGAGCAGCACCTTCCGCTGCTTCTGTCTCTTCCCCGTATTCATCTTGTCCTCTGTCGCCCTCTTTCCAATCGTTATTTCCCTCCTTCAAATCCGTCGCCCCAAGATTGCAAAATTGGAATCGTGGCTGGTCGGGAGGGGACGGCGGGCCGAGAGGTGAGATCTTGGTTCAGATCTGAACCGACGTGTGTCGTGCGATCGATTCCAGCGTTTGCGGCAGCCGCGACGTGCGAGCAGAGGGAGGAGTGACGTTAGCGCGCACGTGAGAGAGCGCACTGGTCGCGGAAGGTGCGCGCACTTCCCCGAGATCCTATCGCTCGGCAGAACCCACGTCGTGCAGGGCTCCACCAGGCCCAGCGACCCCTGAAAACTTCTCATGTCCCCCACCCATGGCATGGGCTGGCAAACGGCCTTGCAGGCCGATTGATAACACTGATTAGATTTGTGTCATCGTGTTACTGTTCTTTGGACGCGACCCATGGGATTTATCATGCCATTTCGTTTGAACGCTACTTGCTCCTAGCGATGATTGGGAGAGGAACTCCGGCCGGAGTTCATGACTGCTCATAGGCCACCCTGAAGACCTTTGCAAAACTATTCCCAATACGGTCTTCATGAGCATATGTCACCCTGAAGGCCCTCGCGAGACTGAGATACGTCAAGGCTACCCATCAAGTCCACAGGTCAATTGACGACAGTCGTCTCCATTGATATGATTAAGCTTTGTGCCCGGAAAGTGTCAGCTTCAATTATTTGACTACTTCCAATGTGAATCCCTAGATGGCTCCGTCTCCAATCCACCTATCCGTATACAGTATAACCAAAAGCTTGGAAGCCTTATCGAACGCTATTCCAGAATATGAAGGGACATAGGAAAAGGGTTCCGTCTCGCGCTTACGCAAGGTAGATCAATAGTAGATCAATAGATCGGTTGGCCGGATAAAGGCAGGAAAAGAGGCACCAAAAAGTATAAACACGAAAGAGGATACCCCAAGCGACCGTGTAAACCGTAGATCATAAACGTCTCGCATACGCGACGCAGGCGAAGAAGGGTAGTAACCGTTGAGGCGTGGAGGTGAGTCACGCACACATTCGTAAGGTTCGAAGGCAGGGCAGAACAAGAAAGAAGATCAAGGGTATCTTAGAAAACAGTTCCGTCGGACAGGATCATGATGGGCGGTTCTTTCGTGTTCGGTCGCGACACTTCTGCGATTTCTCGGCCACCCTGTGTGTAATGTTAGATGGTGGAATCCTTTTTCATTGAGGAGAAGAAACACTTGCCTTCCAGCTGCCTGCCTCAAGCATCTGGGCTAGACTCAGTTTATCTCGCCCGCTCAATCCCAGCAGGGTATTGACCTCGGCCAAGAGCTCATCGAGGAATCCCACTGTGACCGCGCGCCACTCAACAATAACGTCGTCATCGGCCGTAAAGAGCGGGACAACTTCCATATTCGGTTGGCCCTTGACCTGGGCGTTCCGTTGATACTGTGCGAGCCCTCGCTTGGCGTCCTCCGGCTTCAGGGTCAACAAGCCGGTATCAACAAAAAGACCACCGTTACGATATTCCGGAAGGCCCGTCAGGAGATCCGCTCCGGCAAAATGGACGTGGAGTAGTTTGGTCATGGGTACCATCAACGAGTAGGTTAACCATTGGGTAAGCTTATGGAAGGGAACGATATTTTCCCAAGGATGTGTAGGATGCGATGGCATAACCGAGCAAGGCCAGGCATCGCCGATGGGGATTCCGTCGATTTGTGTGCGTGTTGATGGCCAGATAGGGGCCAGACTGTCCATGAGAACGTTCCAGAGGGTGGGTAATGGGATGATTGGGATAGACGAGGCTTGCGTCGAGGGATGTGAGAGCAGGTAGTCTGGGGATATTAGCTCGGGGGCCAATCCGAATGCTGCAATGACATACCAAGCATGTTTCCTGGTCGGGCTTCTAGTCCGAAAACTTCCTGGTTCTGCAATGCGTCTCCCAGTCTCATCAACAGTCCAGCGCGGCCCTGCAGACCATCAATGGGGTTGTCGTCGGTGACTTGAAGACCCCGGGCCAGTGTCTTGATGTCCAGCTTCTTTAACCCAGCGCTGTCAACCTGGCAGGGCTCATTCGGGTCGCTGCTGAAGAGACCGGCCTTGAACATTTCCAAACTGGCAACCGCCAGACCCTCGCTGCGCCGATAGATTCTGCCCGACTCTTTGCTACGGTACTGCCACTTGGTGCCCGCGCCGGCGTCGAGGAGGACGGAGACGAGGAAGAGGTCGATTAAACGGCGCGTCCGCTCTTGGTTGTCGACAGTCGATGGCCACGATGCCATAAGCTGGTCGATTCGCGGCCGCCCGCCGACATCGAAGTGTTGCCATCTGCCGTGCGGAGGTATAGAGGCGTAGTCGGGCGCATAATCTCGCTGCCGGAGAAGTCAGCGGTATATTCCACATACCAAAACAACAGACATGTTGCTGATTTGGGGGCTCTCACCTTGATGATGGACACTACATAAGCCGCCGTGTCCTGAAACTTGGACATGTCAACAGTGAAGTGCTTCAACTGGTTCTTCTTGGCCTTTTCGAGGACCAGTCTCGAACGCTCCCTGACAGCGTAGATGCTTCGAAGGTAACCGGCCGGGTCCAAGGCTGGATCTGGGGCCTTGGGGAGAGGCACGTCTGGGAAGCTCATCGGAGACTTTCCGTTGGCCGTGGAAGGTACCGGAGATTTTAGGGAGCCGTTGCTCATATTGGGTTGGCTCCCACTTGGTGAGATGGCGGGTTTGGAGCTCTTGCGACTGAAGATACCCATCTCGACTTTGAGGGCGAACAAGTATGGTGGAAGGAAGCTGCAACACAAACGGGCTACACACTGCCTTCAATGTGAGGTAGCAGGTGGGAGTGTCGACCTCGGAGAGAGGCGAACGAAACAAAGGACGCACGGCGATCGAGTGGTGAACGCGGACTGCGAGCTGGTCTGAGCGGTTAGTGTGGCCGGCTACCTCCGCTGGGATCCCCTGCCAAAGGTTCCGGGGAACGTTCCAATTGACGAGCAAAGGGCAGCGTGTGCGCAGTTGAGCAGGTGAAGGTAAAGAAGCCGGTGCAGCTCAGGAGAGCGCAGAGGGAGGGGGCACGGCGCGATGGATGCCAGTCGGCGCGCCGCCCGGGAGATGTTTTGGGCGGGAAAGGATTGATTTCGGGCCACTGCCGCTACCGACGACGCGCACCCTTGCGCGCGAGAACGGTTAGCCTGATGTATGGATTTGTCTGCCGTGGGTTCCACTGGGGTTTGAGCGGGCTGCGAATAGACATTGTTTGGGAACCTTTTGATGTATGGTCTGAGCAGCAGCCCCGACACCTTGTCCTACCGGACCCTATCCTCAATCACTATCGACACTCAATCTCTGCCCGAGTCATTATAACGCGGTATTGAATGAGGCGGTTGGCTCTGCAGGTGTCTTGTTGCGCACGGGGTGCAGCCTTGCACGATTCACATGCCGTGCGTCTGCCTCCAGCTAGGTGCGTGTTCTGACTCTGTTGTTGCAGCTGTCGTTCTCGAAAACAGTTCGGGGCTTCGGGTAAACTTCCTCTTCCTCTCCCTAAACTTAAATTCGCAACGCTACACTCCAGCGCCCCGCTTCTATGTGCCGTCTCTGCTTGCGTACCTAATCTAGAGTCCTTTGGGCCATCCCAAGGTTGATGAGCTGGCGGTGCCAGGCGTTTTTAGGGTGCTGGACTGTCCATCGAAATGAAAGCTCCTCACCAGTTCCATGCGGCGTAAAAGCCACCGATCGTTCGTTTACTGCTTTTGGTCCTCGCTGACCGAAGCAGGCCTCCACCGTTTCGAAGGATTCGCGGGCCCAGAGCGTTATCCACGGAGTTGGGTTTCGGGTTGGCCATTGCGGTCAAGCCCCTATTGCACCTTGCGAATGCGAGCTTGGCCTTCCTCAAGGCACCGGGCTCCGGCAATCAAGCCTTCGGATTCACTGGTGTCAAACGCCGACCGCTTAGAGGATGAACTTCGAGATGGCTCACGCATCAAGGTTCTGTCGATAATACCGCAGGCGAGCGTCGAGTAATGTGGCGGCCGCACGAGTCATCGACGTGCAACCACACCGACCCGGTGCACTGTCTCCCAACGCCGCTTGAGAAAAGGGAAGCCATGTCTGGGTCGGGAGTGTCCGTCGTGAGCGGCCGTGCTCTTGCGCCATCAATGATCCAAGCAGCACATCTAGCTCACTGACCACTGTTTAACTTGACCGATTTCGAGTGTGTACACAATAGGGTCCAAACTATCAGCCTCATTTCTATGTGTGAAAGTCAGGAAGAGTCAGGAAACCGACGAGGGAAGGCGAATGGGCCACTCAGTTAGTTACCCCTTAGAAAGGAGAAGTGGCAGCTGGATGTCGACGTTGAACAGAGTGGTCATCAAGGATGGAAAAGAATACTGATCCGGGTTACCACGCGATGATACTCTGGTCGGCAGCATGCGAGAAAATGATGGGAGAGGATTGCAGAGGGAGTACTCAATCCTCCATCTATAGGTTTCTTCGAAGCCGACGGAATGTGCCCTACGATACCGTCGCAGACTACTATGCTGCCTCAATTATCTACGTATATAGGTGTTACTCTAACGAAGTAACCTTGGCTTCACTCTTCTTATCCATCGACAAGAGAAAGGGAGGTTTCGCTTCCACCCCGGCAGGAAAAGTGTCGCGAATGGTACGTCACGTGCGGGTTGCAAGATTGTGGCTAGGTGTGGCGCAACGCTCATGCGCCACTACCTCAAACGAGCGAGCACGCGCTGCAGAAGTCTGGCATTTGCGCAAGGTCTCCCACAACGCCCACAGTTATGATATAACGTACGATCCCAGCGTCCCCAAGACACGCTTTCCAACCATCTTAAAATGGACGATCTTGCTGGCCTTGACTGGTCCGCGCCGCCTAAGCAGTCCTCGAATACACCGCCGGCCTTCGCTCCTCTCCGACAGAGCCCCACTCCTCAACTCTCCGGTCGCTCTACCCCCCTCTCTGCGCAGCAATCGGGAGGCAATAGAGTCTTCAAAGCGCCTTCTAAACCGGCGACACCCGCCAATGACAGCTTCGCCGGCCTCGTCTCGTTGAACAGCGCCAAATCCGCGTCGAACAATCTCTCGCTCCAAGAGAGGCAGAAGCAATTACAAGAAGAGAAACTGCGGCAAGAGGCGGAACGAAGGAAGCAATATGATGCGCATTTTGGCGTTACAGACTCGAAGGTGTGGGATAACCTTGGGAGTGGAAAGAGCACGCCTGACCCGGCGTCGTCTGGTCTACAACGGCCCGTCGCAAATGCTCCCGGAATGTCAAGTCTCTCTAAGACAATTAACAAGCCTTTTGCTGGCCTAGATACTCATTCCAAGCGCCCCGTACAGTCTCCGCCCGTCGAAGACGACATCCTCGCAGCCTTCAATTCTAGCGCGCCCGTCGACGCGTCCAGCCATTTCCCTCCTCCTTCGGTCAATAGCGGTCGTAGTACCCCAGCGTATAGTACACAAGCCTCCCGAGGCCATACGCCACTCCCGCAATCGTCCAACAATACTTTTGTGGACGACGATGATGATCTTTTTGGTCTCAATAAACTGGCTCAGAAGCCCGCAGCCATTTCCCAGCCTGCGCCCGCTCCAGCTGATGGGGACGACGATATTCTCGGCTTGCTAGGAAAGCCCGTATCTGAATTTCAGAAACGACCGGAAGTGAGACCTATGGTTGATCAGCCACCGCCCGAAATCGAACGTCAACCCTCTCCTAATACCCTCAATACTCATGATCAAGCCGTTGCGGAACTGGTGGATATGGGCTTTCCGGTAGACAAATCCGCAATTGCCCTTGCCACTACGGAGTCCGGCGTGGATGTTCAAGCTGCGGTCGGATGGCTGTTGAACCAGGCGCACGCCGAAGCGAAGCAAAAAAAACAGGAGGACAGCCAGGAGAGGCCTCGGCGAAGCCCGGATGAATTTGGCGAGCGTCCTCGCCGAAGCGGTAGTAGGCCGGGTGGAAGGGATTCGAGCACAGGAGGAGCCAAGCCCGTGTGGATGCGTGCTGAAGACGGCCGAAGTCGTTCCGGGCAACGCAGACCGGAGGGTCACACGCAGGAAAAGGATGTCTCGCAGTATGCATCCGAGATAGGCAGTAATTTCTTGAAATCTGCAAACTCCTTGTGGAAGACTGGCCAAAAGAAGATGCAGAAAGCTGTATCGGAGCTCCAGCAGGACAGCGATCCGAGCGTACCAAAGTGGATGCGAAATACACACGGCGCAGGTGATGAGGGACGTACTCAGTCAAGCAAATCACGGATGAATAGGCCTCCAGATGTCACTGATGAAGCCATGATGTTGGCGGGTGGCCGGCCTAACAAACCTCCGCGTCCAAGCCACGTCCGCCAGGAACCCGACCCGCTACCGTTGCGACAAAGGCGAGAGCAGGAGGGAATGCGTAACAGGCCTCCCAATCGCACGTCATCACAATCTCCTTCGCATCGGCAACCGCCTCCAAGTATAGACAAACGGCCCGCTACGAAGCTGACCCGCCAGGACGTCGAAGAACAAAGCGCTCAAGCTTATATCAGCCCTGCGCGACGGAAGAAAACTACACCCCAACCAGTCTTGTTCTCCGAGCAGCCCGCCTCCTCTCCATCTACGTCGCGTCAGCCAACACCGGCGCAGTCAAACAACCCTTTCTTACGGGCAACACCACCAGCAGCTACTACCAAAACAACCCCAAAGACAAGAAGCCCGGCAGTCACCCCTCCGCCACCGAAACCGCAGGCACCCCCTCGTCAGATACCTCCTGCATCATCTTCAGCTCTCAACTCCTCTGCGTCTTACCGACAAAAAGGATCAGAAGCTTTCAAGCGTGGTGACTATACGGCTGCACATGCCGCATACTCTTCCGCACTAAGCCCTCTTCCTCAAACACACCCAGTGACCATTATTGTGCTATGCAATCGTGCAGTCACAAATATCAAGGTCGGCGATCCGAAGGCTGCGGTTTCCGATGCGGATGCTGCGCTTACTATAATAGGAGCGTCAAAGGGAGAGGGCGAAAAGATTGTTCTGGGTGGTACAGAGGGTGAAAAAGATATGAAGGATTTCTATGGCAGAGCACTCATGCGGAAAGCCGAAGCCCTGGAGCACATGGAGAAATGGGCTGATGCCGGTAAAGTCTGGAGAGAAGCGGTTGAGGCGGGTGTTGGCGGGTCAATAAGTATCCAGGGACGAACTCGATGCGAAAAGGCTGTCAGTGGTAATCAGGCTGCTGCCCCCGCAGCGGCAAAACGGCCTCCTCCACGAAAACCTGCAACGCCAAAGCCATCCGCTCTTTCAGAGCTCGGCAGTGGGCCCGCAGCAGAATCTGAAGCAGTTAAGAAGCTGAAGGCTGCGAATGCGGCCGCAGAGAAAGCGGATGATGAGAAGTTCGCCCTGGCTGACCATGTGGATGCGAAGCTCGTGGCCTGGAAGGGTGCAAAAGCTGACAATCTGCGGGCGCTTCTTGGATCACTCGATAAGGTGTTGTGGCCAGAGGCGGGGTGGAATAAGGTCAACATGGGAGACTTGGTCATGCCCAATAAGGTCAAGATCGTATACATGAAGGCCATTGCGAAAGTACATCCTGACAAGGTAAACATTCCTTTACGCTCTCTATGATAGGGCGGCTAGCTGATAGCGGGACAGATCTCTCAGACAGCCACGACCGAGCAACGCATGATCAGTGCTGCAGTCTTCGCTACTTTGAATGAAGCCTGGGACAAGTTCAAGAACGAGAATGGGTTGTAGCCGCTGGAATGGACGGATTGCCATTAGTGTAGCATTTGGATCGTCAGCGTTTCTTAGCGAGTATAGATTTGCATGATATGAGTTATGAGGGAAGATGTACAGCTGATGGTGAAGCTGTGAAATGAACCACACCGTGCGGCTAGATGCGGTTAGCCCTTCGGTACCTGCAGGCTGATCCTGGCAATTTCCCCCGGATCTTGGCATTACCCAATTTTTCAGCCTCTGCGTCGACCTCGGGATGATTCACACCATCTGGCAAACTTACGACTTTTATCTCATGATCTAGAATATCCATACGTACGGCGGCCCATTTGTTTCCTTTTCGGGCTATCACATACTACGCTGGACTAGTATCTCCACTTCGACAGTTTAATTCCCCCGCGCGCCTGCGGCGGCTTTTCACGGGCTTCTTCCGCTTCACGGCTTTCAACGCTTTCGCCTCTCGCGTTTCCATCGGCTTCACCATTCCTTCCTTTGGGAGATTTCTCCTCTGCTCGAATTGCCAGACTTTTACTCAGTTAGAGGGAAGTGGGAGCAAGAGCAGCGGACACCACATTCGCATACGTCATTAGAAATGTTTCCTCCGTCCCAGGGATTGCGTCTGGATATCGACGCAGTCAGTCAGATATGCGGCTCTGTTTCGATTGCATGTTGGATAGGTACGTTTTAGTTTCTCAGAGCTGTACAGCTTAGCGTTCGTCACGGCGTTGGGTCTGGGTCCCTGCCCCAAGGCTTGCAACGTAGTCTAGAGAAGGCTGTTTGACTGATTCGTCCCTCAGTGGTCTTTTCGCCCCAAATCATTGAAAACTGGAGAAGGAGCTCAGCGGACGGCCTTTCGGTGGTTTTCATCACGATATGGCTGCTCGGAGACTTCTTCAACATATTTGGAGCAGTGCTCCAGGGCGTTTTGCCTACAATGATTATATTGGCTGTTTACTATACCCTGGCGGATATAGTATTGCTCGCCCAATGCTTCTGGTATAAGGGGTTTACTCTTGTCGACAAGATCGAGACGTCAGAGGATGAGAATGAAGGGGAGAGCTCAGCAACGGAACAGTCACCACTGCTCTCGGATGCTGCTAGGCGCCATCATAACGGGAGTCCGTCCAATAGCCATGGAAATGGGTACCACACTCCTCCGCGCATAGGAGATCTGGACAGAAGGCATTCCAGTCATTCTGTACACTCGTTCAGAGAACGCTTTCTCTCCATCGACGGGACCCATCTTTCTCCAGCCATGCCGATGCACCACGAGCCGGATCCCATGGATCAGAGGAATAAGCCGCGGCCGCCACCGAGGCCTCAGACCACCCTCCAAACGGTTCTCTTCAATCTCGGCACCGTGATTCTCGTGTGCGCCTCCGGCGTCTTTGGTTGGTGGCTCAGCGTCACCCGCGCCGGTCCTTCCCCACCCTCTGATTCCGTCCCAGAAATGCTGCAATTCAACGTCTGGGGTCAGATATTCGGCTACATCTGCGCCGCGCTGTATCTGGGCTCCCGCGTCCCGCAGCTACTGCTCAACTACCGCCGCAAGTCGACCGAGGGCATCTCCATGCTGTTCTTCTTGTTCGCATGCATTGGCAACCTTACCTACGTTCTCAGCATCGTCGCGTATAAGCCAATATGCAAGATACCCGGTAGGTGCGAGAAGGGAGAATCAGGGGCGATTTATGGGAGGTATATCGCGGTGAATTTTAGTTGGTTATTGGGTAGCTTCGGGACGTTGGTGCTGGACGCGTGTGTATTCGTGCAGTACTTCATGTACAGGACGGAAGATGAGAGCGATGAGGAGGAAGAGGTGGAGGCGCAGTAAGTTTGGGGCGAAGATTCCTGTGTAAATAGAGATCTAGTCCGCGCCGATCAGAACTCTTGTATACAAGCATGGGGCGGCGACTATCGTGTTCTGCGATGCATTCTTGGCGAATTGCAAAAGTTTTGCATCTGTGTATGAATAAACGGAGATTGAAAGAGATCGAATCACCGTGGATGCCCGACGGGGCTTGGTGACCAGAGTTCTGTGATAGGCGAGTATAGAGGTCCATACTTTAATCTTCGCTTCGGTAGCACAGCCATGGTGACTTTTCGTATTGGATGGCTATATTAGTTCCTCCTTCAAGAAAGCACCAAAGCGCTCCTATCGCGTTGTTATGCTCTAAGCTACCTAGGTAGGTAGTAGCCCGTTAGTACACCCCAACTACCAACCCCGGAGCACCCTCCATCTACTTTCCTTCCCTCTCATTCCAAAGGCGAGCAAGGCGTGCCGAACCCCAATCATAGGCCTGAAAACCAGGCCTGAATACGAAATATGCTATGTAAGGAACCCGCGCTTCGCTCCGTCTCACCTACCGCCTACCTGCCCCGTTCTCGAACTCCGACGTTTCAATTCCCGACCCTCCACCACGCACCACAGGCAAACCGATCGCCGGATCTTCCGCCCCTCCCCCAGGCACGAGTAACACGCGAGCCAGCCCTTCCACGCTGCCTCTACCACTAGTCAGGGCAGTGAGGTGCGGTCTAAGGCCCCTGCTCGCTGATTGGTGCAGCGCTGTGGCGCGACGGGCGTGGCGCCCTCGCTTCGTGGCGCAATGCAATGCAATTACCGCCGATCATTCATTCTTACACAGCCCGAACCGGGAAGGAAGAAGGGTATTCATTCATGCACCAGCGGGCCTGCGGGCGCTTCGCGAGATCGAGGCTTACAGTGGAACAGCCAGTTGTCTAAGCGTGTTGCTCTTACCTATGCCCCCTCGCTTAGACGGCGCCCTCGTCCCCCAAGCCCTTCTTCGACGACAACGACACGAAGAAAGCGGAATGGTGCGTCCGTCGTCGCATATACCCGGCGCGCAGGTTTCCTGTTTGCACCTGCGGTTCACGACGCCGCGTGCATGAACGAGCGAAGAGAGGGTCACGCGGCGGTGGCGGCCAAGGGCTTCGACTACGGATTCTACGGAGGGTAGTTCTAATCTTGGGATGGGGTGCGGTGATCTGGTATGTTTGGGGAAGCTTGGACGCGGGTTTGGCTGGGTGCGAGGACAGGGGAGGGCATACTGAAGGCCGGGGGTGGCGGACGTCAGACTGCGGAGATTGTTAAAGGGAAGGTGTTTCGCTGCTTGGGGATGGTCTTTAAGTCGTTTGGCGCCTTCGTTGGCTGAGAGTGAAAGGACGGAAAGGTATCGTCTTGAGTTTTTATTGTTGGACAGGAGCTGCGGTGTTGTGTTGCGTTGTGCTTCCTTAGTGTTCGGGTTCCTACACACAAGCGATGTCGTCATACATTGGATACCCCTCATTGGCGCTGCTGCTGCTTAGCTCGTTGAGTGGCATCACTACTGCGGCACCGTTGGATGTGTCGAAGCGAGGTGAGTATTTTCTCCAATTGCATATCCATATTCAAACTTTCTCTTTTCAAAAAGTCTGACGCCAGATAGCTATCTCGCAAGATGTCTTCGACAAGCTCTCGTTCTTCTCCCAGTACTCCGCTGCTGCGTATTGCTTGGGAAACAACAACAGCCCCAATACAAAAGTCACCTGCCCGGAAGGGAACTGCGCAGAGGTAGAAGAGGCGGATACAAACACACTGACCGAGTTCGAAAACTCGCTCAATACCGACGCAACCGGCTTTGTCGCAACCGACAAGACGAACAACCTCATCGTCATCTCCTTCCGCGGCTCTCGCTCCGTGCGCAACTGGATCGCAAACGCCAACTTCGGCCTCGCAGACATTAGCTACTGCGATGGCTGCAAAGCACACGCCGGCTTCAAGCAATCATGGGACGACGCCGAAGATGACGTCATGAGCGCCATCACCGAAGCGAAGGCCCAGTTCCCCGACTTCAAAATCATCGCAGCCGGCCACAGTCTCGGCGGTGCAATGGCCTCTCTGGCAACGGCATCCCTCCGTTCGCAAGGCACAGCCGTCGACCTGTACACGTACGGCTGCCCGCGGACGGGCAACGACGAATTCGCCGCGTTTGTCAGCGCTACAGATAAGGGCGACAGTTTCCGCGTGGTGCATATGAACGATACGGTGCCGACGCTGCCGCCGAGGATTCCGCTGGTGTTGGAGTACAAACATGTGTTGCCGGAATATCTCATCACGAGCCCGAATGAGGTTATGCCGACGCCGAACGATGTTACGGTCATCCCAGATGGGAACGATGGGAATCCCGGGACGGATACGGATGCGCATCTGTGGTATTTTGGACATATTAGTGCGTGTGAGGGACAGGAGGGGATTGAGATTAAAAGGGATGTGGAGGTGCGGTACTTCTGATATTCATGAAATTCCTCGTTGAATGCACATTTTATCGTTCTGTCCATGTGGTTAAGCTTTATCGTGCGCGACCAGTTTCGATACTTCGTCCTACAGTCGTTGATTGCGCGTGAGATGTGGGGGATACGGCACCTTCTGGAGGATGGTAAGTAAGCTGCAAGTCGAACATGCAATGACGTACTTACCCCTTAACGAATACGGTGCACGCCGCCGGCTAGAGGGTACGATTGCGTACGTGAATAGAGCCTCAGGCCGTCCACATGTCGCCGGCTGCTCTCCACCATCCGACTCGCGATGATGCAGGCTCCCTGAAAACAGAAACCGCTTAAAGACCGCAACGACTCCTCCGTCATAGAAGTGCGTCCTTCTACAGGAGCTCCGAGATAGCCAAGCCGAAGAAACCATGGTTCCTACCGCTATCAATACCGCGATGATGTAGGCTTCCAGGCAAAAATTCTCAACAGGGGCAATTATCTCAACAAGAAAGAATTAAGGAAGTATCTGAAGGAAGTTGGCAGGAAATGTGGATTTCACCGCCGCGAGTTGATTTCTCGGATTGCTTGCGACCCTATCAGGTACAGGCCGTCTAACTGTTGTGCCCTCGTATTAGAGAGGATGAGGATTGCTTGTTAATTGGCTGGACCAGCTGCCGAGCCGGCTGTGGAGTTGAGATCACTGATCGACGGGTGGGATTCCAGCCGAGGGTTGTGCAACGCTGCTCCGGTGTAAGCGAAGTACTGATGTTCGGGCCTAGATCTAGACGTGTGGCCGCAAGTGAGGTCAGAACACCGCTTCGTCGCGAACATCGGCGGCCTCTTTGCGAGCGTTGGAAGCGGCGAATCGATCTTCTTCATGTAGACTTATCTCGATTCGAGACTGCAAAGTGATAGATTCGACGACCGTTCTAGGCACCGAAGTACCTCCGGAGGTGCGCATCACGCACGCGTTTGACGTCTGTGGTTGACCCCGCGGGACATGGGGAGGACCGAGGAGGAGCCTGCATGAGGTGCACAGCAGTCAGAGGCGGGAATAGCGGGGAATGGGCGGCTGATAAGCGGAGCGCTTGACGTCGCGGCAGAGTTCTCCGTCATTGGGAGGCGGGATCGTCAGTTCGATCGGTCAGAGCGCTCTGGAGCGTTGGAGTTGCTACGGGAGATGAGGGATTTGAGACAGAGGAATGGGGTTGTAGATTAGAGATAGGAGTAGGAATGAGCGATCTTTCAGCGGCCTGGGGCTACCCAGAAGAGGATGAGGGAAGAGCAGCAGAACAATGACCGCACTAATAAAGAGGATTAGGATTTCTCGTCCACATAGTGCTTGTGGGAACGTCCCAGTCGCCAGGACAACCTTATAATATTGCGGAGCGAAGTGCCGGTTTGAGGAAACGTGTTGAGATTCGCATCGAGCATCGATGCGTCGAAACGACGATGCCTCAGCTTACATTCTCTCTCCTATTTCTCTTCGTCCGTGGCCTCGGGGGGAAGCGCTGCGAGGAAGAAGCGTTGGGGGGTGTATGACATCGTGTTCTACCTGAAAGGGCTCGTGTGGGGCCAGAAGGCGGCACAATATATTGTTTCCAACGATGAGGCTGAAGCGGAAGCGGATATCGAACGATGCCTGTGCACACCCTCGTCATCACAAGTGACGTCTTTGTTAGCGGCGAAAAAAGCACGGAAGCCCTGCGTTATGAGCGAAACGTTGTTGCCCTGCATTCGAAACCGCAGGGGTTAGGTCATCGCCATACCCAAAGCGGTCTAGCCGTCCCATCAACTTCGCTGATCGGTACTGCATCAAGCTGCGATATGACGTTGATTCGCGGGAAAGGTGCAAGGCGCTTTTGCAACACCTATCAATTCCCACGGATACATTCCGAACTCATGGGTCCGCGGGAGTTTGAAGCTGGGCGGTTTTGCGGGTCGCTAGTAGGCTTGTGAGGCTGAATGGAACTTGTCTGACGTCGTCTAGCCCCCTTGCCACGCGCAGCACTTGTCAGACCGTAATGCTGCTTGGTGCGATGGCCTCATGCGCGTCATAGGGTTCCTACTTCTCAAAGTCAATACCTCACGAAAGCAGAAACACAGTCATCCTTCATGAAGAACTACGGGAGACGAATATCGAACAATGGTCATCTGCTGCCTCCGTCAGGAGCAAACCGGAAAGTCCAGTGGGGATAGACATGGAGCGGCCCTTCACGCGGCTATGCAGCTACGCAACCTCCATAGCAGCGTCTCCAATAGCAGCGCCCGAAACCGTTGATCCCATGCTTCCAGTGGCTTCGGCTGTGCCTACCGCTAGTGCATTCTATCCTTCCGGCCTTAGAACCCTCCGCACGGAAGCAAAGTGTCAAGAAGCGGGAAAGATCTCCAGTCTTGCAACAAGGGTCTCGCAATCGGGAGTGCCTCACTGGCTCATAGGAGCTGCCAAAGGGCAGCCAAGATGGCTAGAGCGAATAGAGTAGGACCCTGTTGATCGTTGACCTCAGCCCTCGAGCGAAGAGTGGGTCGGCGGTTGGGCTATCTTTGTCGATCGTGTGCCCTGGGTTGCTGTATGCGCTAGCGGCGGTACAGATGGGTGCGGTACGTCGGTTCATCCTGCTCTACGCCTATTTATCAGCTTCCCTCGCTCCTGTACGCTGGTCATCCATCCTGCATCTCCCGTCTCACTATACAGTTCGAAGAACCCCCTTTTGGACATCTTCTCCGTACACGAACGTTCATCGTACCTACCGCATTTCTCTCGGCGTTCGACGTTTCCATCCGCTCCTCAGTCCACACTCATGTCTCAGGCACCTGGCGTCTACGTTACCGCAAACTACTCCGAGCCCATGTCTCCCCAGCACAACTTCGCCCACCAGTATGATCTGGACAACCCGGCGCGGGCCATGTCCGTCTATGCTCGGTAAGCAACCTGTCAATATACATTTTTGTTGTGGAGGCAGACCTTGCTGACCAGCCTAGGATTATGCATGAGCATACGAAGAAGCAACTGAGCACGGCCACCAACTCCGCTCGACGACGATCCGAGGGCGCATCCCGCGACTCAAGTATTTCGTCCATAAGCTCGACCAACTCGTAATCTCGACCTCGTTCTATCGATAAACACATCCTGTCGTCTGCGACGCAGGCGGAAGCCTCTTTGCCCATTGAATGGACAACACTTGAAGCTGGGGTTCATTTGCATGTATACGAATTTACGAATGGCGTTTGGCGGGTATAATTTGACCCGTAGTCAAGCGGGAGGGGGTTGACGTTGGATCCATTTGCTGTCGTCAGCGTCACAATATCCCAAAGTGAATGTGGACTTCTTCCTCTTGCTGTTAGGCCAGCAAATACTTATCTTCATCTTCTATGCTATAATCCTTGTGACTCTGTGGTTGTATTTCAACTTCAGTCTATTCGTAGCTGTTGTCCGGATCTCGGCTACTTGTCGAAGGGCAATGCACCGCCCTCTCTTGCCCATGTTCCACGGCTAGGATCGAGCGGGTCATGGAAGGTCTCTTGCTCAAGCCATGTCAAAAGACGTATATTGGCTCTATAATGCCTGAATGAGTCGTTGCGTTGATCATTTTACTACAGACGGCATTCTGACCTTACCGAAGGCTGGAGCCGCCAAGGTCCTAGATCAAGTTGTAACCTTAGAATGCACGAAGTCTGTTGGTATGTCGTCCGCTGCAACAAGCGCCCAAGGTTTCAAAATTGAGAGACATACGTGCCGCAGGTTACACTGTGTTCCGCTCACACCTTCCAATTCCACTTGACATCCTCCATACCCTGCCTCCTCTTCAAGCGTACATTCAGCGCTCGCAATGGCTTCACAACAGCAAAAGGAAACCTCTTGTCATCGCGCGGCGGATCCCAGGCCACTTCGCTCTTGCCGCCAGGAGGCAGCATATCAAATCCCCACGCCAGCACCGCCGTCAAAGTCAAAATCTCCATCTGCGCAAAGTGCCTTCCGGGACACAGCGTCACGCCCCCTCCAAAGCCCCTGAAAGCCGCAGCATGCACCTGGCTGCCTTTGCCCTCTGGGACGGATCCGTCCGGAGCGGTTTTGGAGCCATTCTGGCTGTAGTAGAAGCGTCTCGGATTGAAAGAAGCCACATCGGGGCCCCAGATTGAAGCATCATTGTGGATGATACCGCCAGCGATCTGCACAACGGTGTTCTTGCGGAGAAGGTACGTGTCTCCGACGACTGTGTCTTCTAGGACGAAGCGCGCGGTTGACAACGGGGCCGCGAGGCGCATAGACTCTCTGTAGACTGAGTTCAATAGGGGGCATGCTTCCTTCAGCTTCGTGAAAGAGATGGTGTCAGGAGCCTCGAGCGCGTTCGCACGGATTTCTTCGCGGATTTCGGCGAGCAACTCCGGGCGGGAGAAGATGTTGTTGAGGACCCAGAAGATGGTCATGCTGGCGTTGGAGTTGAAGGCAAAGGAAAGACCCAGCTCTAGCCGCGCATGCTCTGCAAGTGATACGCCATGTTCCTCATGTAGGTGCTTACGGTTTTGGAGAATTTCATATGCGTCCTTGTACCGGCCCTTTTCGGCATATTCAATGAAGCCTCGGACGCACTTCTCCAATCCAAGATATGACTTCCGCGCGGTAATGCTGGGAAAGACGCCAGTCATATACGCGACGATACCACCCTCCCAGTCCCAGAATGCCTGAATGAGCTCCGGGTGCACCGCCATTGGATTCTCCGGCCCATAGAAGGTGTACATGGAAGCAGCTGTTATCTCACGCGTCATGAACTTGAATAATTCGACTTCCTGTCCGTCCTTGATCCCGTTTATGAAGTCACCAAAGTGATGCAATTGCTTCGCCGCGATTCCGTCCATTCTTTGAGGTGCCAGGGGAGGATTTATGATGTCGTGTGCCTTTGTCACCATGCGCACGCGGTTCTCTGCCTTGGCTGTGGGGTCTTGGAGTAGGTGTTTTGTGTGCTCGCTTAGCCCGACCATTCGCGGCGTCACTTCGACGATGAGTTGATCGAAATCGAGGGTCGAGGAGGCTCGCTGGATCAGCGAGGCGTAGGAGGGCGACTTGCACACATAGGTGCGGGAGTTGAGCATGGGAAGGGTGAAGATGGGTGCGTCGCTCTGCGAGCTGGCCTTCGTGTTAGTATTGCGCCTGACTTGACGGGGAAGAGCTGTTCTTACCTGATCCTGAGAAGGTAGAGCGGTCCTTCACGTAGCATTCCTATGATATGCCCAACGAAGGGCACTTTCGGATAAAACATTGGTGGTTCGCGTGGGTCCGTCTTCGGGCGGAAGACGATGGATATGAGAGCCCCAATGGCTATGGCCAGCGCCAAAGCGCCGACGGCCCCTGAAGATATAGCCATGGTGCAGGTGTTGAGGTGGTATCTCGCGTTCTCAACCCTGCTGGGACTGTTTTCTGGATGATGGGGCGTGTACTGCGTCGAAAGGTGTGTCCGGACGCTCTCTTTCGCGTCAAGAAATTGAGAAGGGAGAAGGATCGAGGAAAGAGGAATGAGAGAAGAGCAAGGCCAACGCTCAAAGACCAGAGCTCATATCGCTTGTCCCAAAGCCGTTGGGAGGATTCGTGCTACCCAGGAAAGCATTAGGGCTGGGCGTAAGATGTGGCGCTCGTTGACGCGCCACCGCCTGATCAATTGCTTCCCTCCAATGCTGCTTCAAAAGCAATGACTCCAGGGCTAGCACCTTTGCCGATGCGCTTGAAGGATGCTGGAAGTTCGTGATGTCGACGACTTGCAAGCTAGCAAGACGGACGTGGGATCAAGCTTTGTGTGACAGGAACCCAATCGCGCACGCCCCGCGATGATTGGCTACGGAACGTGCGGTTCCTGCGGGCTTGTTCTCCACCTGCGGTCAGGATTGACAACCTATAAAGCCTGTACATCTACAACCTTTTTTTTTTTTTTTTTTTTGGATGGTTTTATGGTATTAGCTTCGCCTCTTGAGGTTCCATTGAGCGTCGCGCCGTCGCTTCCGAACGCGATTTCTCGCGTGTAACCTTCACGATGCGCTGCTTCCTCGCCATACACTGTCTATTGACAACTACGCTTGCGCAGTCGCTCCCGGATGTCTCGAGCACCCTTCAAAACATCCTGAAGAACACAGATAACTCGAACAAATATACCTATCCCACGGACTTCACGCGCGGAATCATCCCGGTACGCTCCAGATGCCACGAATCGTCAAACTCTATCACCTGACGCTGATTGTTCATTACCAGAAAGCATTCCATTCTCATAACGACTATTGGAGAGATGTGCCATTCTACTCGGCTTTATCTCATGGTGCTATGTCCATCGAAGCTGATGTGTGGCTGATCAATGGAACGCTATATGTAAGACACTCTCTCAGTATTCGGGATTCTGCACAAATTTCAAGCCCTCTGCTTTTGCACCTGCCATGTCAATTTTCATTTCGAGCCCATGTCTACATCTTGCATCAGATGGATTGCTTTGTGGAAAAACCGCCATTCTTTTGTACTTCAGACGCCCATCTCCGTTTCATCTCATGGACATATCACAACCCATGACCCTCACATCCCATCACACAACCCTCTCCTTCCATCTCTCCCGACTCAATCCTCTCAGAGACCGCACTCGCAACCTCCAAAGACCAGCCCTACTAACACCCCTCCAGGTCGGCCACGAACGCGCCGCCCTAACCCCGGAGCGCACCCTCTCCTCCCTCTACATAGCCCCCATCCTCTCCACGCTCCAGCGCCAAAACCCCACCACCATCTTCTCACCAACGCCCACGCTAAACGGCGTCTACGACACCTCGAGCGGGCAAACGCTGTACCTGTTCATCGACCTAAAAACCGACGGGCCGACGACCTGGCCCGCCGTGCTCGCGGCGCTGGATCCCCTCCGCAAAGCCGGCTATCTCTCCGCGTACAACGACACCGCGGGCTTTACCGAGCGCCCCGTCACCGTGATCGGGACTGGCAATACGCCCGTCTGGCTCGTGCAAGCCGCGGAGCCCAGAGATGCGTTTTACGATGCGCCGATCCCCACGCTCGATACTACGTTTTCTAATATCACGGCGGACGTGTCGCCTATTGCGTCGACCGCTTTTTCGGCTTCCTTTGGGGGGGTGAGGAGCGGGAAGTTGAACGATACGCAACTTGACCTGCTACGCTCGCAGATTAAAACCGCGCACGACAAGGGGATTATGGTGCGGTACTGGGATCAGCCGAATTGGCCGATCGGGACGCGGAATGCGGTGTGGCGCACGCTGTGGGATGAGGGTGTTGATTTGCTCAATGTAGATGATTTGAAGGGCGTGGCGGAGTTTTGGGAGGGCAGCGGGTGAGAGAGAGGAGATGTGAGGGTCGCTAGGGTTGGATGTGCCGGGTTTTGATGCGGAGTGATGACGGAGTACATGAGCTAAGGTAATGAATGAGACGCAAAGATCGCATCGTAGTTAAGGAGCACGGTATAATTCATGAGAAGCGAATGCATTTCGAAACCAAATCTAGACACAAAGCCCATATGGACCCAAGCCAGATCGAAAGATCGCCTCAAGAATCCCAGCTATGCACCTCTACACCAAGATGACTCCATTTTCGTGCCGAAAACGATGGCGACCCATAGAAGATTGTGAATGGGTATCAAGGGCCAAGCTGTCATGAACCCAAAAAAAGAAAACAAAGGAAGTCATCGTCAGCACCCAGATTCGAAAATCCTCTTTGGCTGCCTGTACTTTCTCAAACCATAACACTGCTCATGCGCCTCACAGCCATTGCGCTCCTTGGCCTCGACCGCATCTCTCGGCTTGAATAGCAACCGGATCCTTGGACATTCTTCGATGACGGTAGGCTCCGGGGCTTTCCTCGCAGATGATGTCGGATTCTATCCATTCCTCAAGTTAGCCAGGCGATCCCGATTACCTGGCAACGGACTCGCGGCTCTACTGCCGGGCCTCGGTGTTTTTGGTCCGACACTCTGTGCGCGCGTACCCACGCCGACACCCCGCGAGTTCTTGATCCGAGCCAGCTCCTCCTCCTTCTGCTGAAGCTGCCTCTTCAAGATAGCGTTCTGAGTCCGTGCGCTCTCCAGTTGTTGGTTCACTAGTTTATCCTGGCGCTCGTAGTGCAGCCTCTGGAGGGTGGCGGCTTCACCGGCTGCTTTGCGCTCTGCGTTCGCAAGTTTAGCGGCTAGGATTTTGTTTTGGGCTGAGCTGTCCGCCGCGGATTCTTGAGCGTCACGGTACTGCTCCTTAGTATATTCGAGCATATTGTCACTGTTTTCAGCCTTCTTAAAGGCGCGCCGTTCAGCGTCCTTTGAGTCGGCGAGTTCTTTCAGCAGGCGCGCAATCTCGGCGGTCTTCTCGTCCTCTGAGAGCAGGGCTATATCCTGGAGCTGTTTGAAGCGGGTCTGAAGGTCCGTATGCTCGGTAGCTTTCGCATCGAGACGCTCGCGTAGTAGGGCTTCTCGCTTGTTCGCAGCCTCAAGCTGCTTCGTGGCGGTCTCCCTCTCCTTCTTTAGGATATTGTAGGATTCTCTAAGCCCTTCATGCACAGTTTGCTGTTTGTCCCAGCTCACCTGGTGCTCGCGGAACTTCTTCACAGTTGCTTTGCGCAAAGCTTTCTCTGACTGAAGCGCTTCAGCTTTCTCTGCTAGTTGTTCTTGCAGCTTTGAGACTTGTGCCTCTGTTCCGGGAAGGGAGTCGCTTATGTGCGTAATCTCGTTGTTCTCGCTCGAGCCGGTTTGGGCCTGTGCCTGCGGCTGTGGCGTGAAGCGCATGCGTTTGGCGGGATCGAGGGCCTCGGCGTCCAAGGGTCGCTTCGCCGATGCCGCAGGACCAGGCGGCGGCGAAGTGATAGTTTCTTGCGACTGCTGTGATTGGAATTCGATGAGGTCCTTGATGCTACCAATAGTCGGGAGAGGCCAGTCAGCCTGGGCTTGGCCGTCTTCTTCGCTTGCGACGAGGAAAGCAACGACGCCCTCAGCTGCGACATCTGTTCGAGGACCGTGCGCATACATTGCATGTCCATATTCACCCTGGAACTGTGCCAGGCTTGCGATGATGGTGTGCAATCGTCGCCGGGGGTTGAGGTTTTGAGAGACGTATCGCTGGATATGGTCAACTGTCCTGGGAATGACTAGGTGGATGAGCGGAACTACAGATCGGTCTGGGTTCATAGCCCAACTCTTCTTCCGGATCTGTGCGGCTTCGAGGCAGCCATCAAGGCAGACGACGAGATCTGGCGGTCGTACAACGGGACTAGACTCGCTCGATAGCACCGTCACCATTACGTTGCCTTCAACATGTGCGAGGTCCGCTTGTCGACCACGCGTGGGGGACTTGAAGTTGACGAACTTGCCCCTCAGGAACGTCTCGACTATGTCGAACAGGCGCTCATCGTCCTTCTCGATCACGAGTATGACATGCATGTCGCGCTCCCGTAGTTTGTGTAATAGCGTGCCGAAGAACCTAAACTTGACAGAATTGTCGAGGCTCCATTGCGCCTGGTGCTGAACCTGCGTGGATGCTCCGATGACTTGCGAGGTGCGGCTTCCGCTGTAGATAAGATCCACATGTGTCTCGATGCCACGTAGCCGCTGCAGTACCTTGTCAACATTGTCTAGCTCGGAAAATCCCTGAGGGTCCTCAGCAAAGGCCTTCAGTATGTCCTTGCTATGCTTGATCTCGTCTCTGTACATGCTGGCCTGTCGCCCCTCTATGGGGAGAGGGACGATGAACTCTTGTGGTAGCAACTGCAGGTCGTCGTTGAGCAAGCTCTCGTTATCGGAGGCGTCGCTAAGTTCGGAATCGGTGGACGGCGGGGCAATGGGCGCGATGGGGGCAACGTTGCTGTCGGAGCCCCCGCTTTCACCCTCGTCTTGAGGTGGGGCTGGCGCTGCTTCTTGTGGTGGTCGAGCCAGGGCTGAGCTGGTCGTGGCGACTGTTCGCAGTGATGTTGGAACTTGTGGAAGAGGAGAGCGGTCGGGAATTGCGGAAGGGGATCGAGTGCCCGCTGAGGCAAACATGGCGGACTTCAGGACCCTCCGGGTGGGCGTGTAAGTGGCATCGTGTTCTCGCTGTCTTCTCTCGATTAACTCTCTCATCTTCTTCCCAAAGTCGTTGGCGGTGTCGTCCATGGTTGCTGACAAGGGAGAAGAATTCGCTGGAGTTAGAGGCCGAGGTGGAGGCGGGGCGTTGGTTGCTGGGGTTCCGAGTGAATATTCGGGAGGTCTTGGCGCAGGCGAGGAACCGTGCGCTGATGTTAGAGGCTCCGGAGTCTGTTGAGATGAGTCGTGCCGTGAAGGCGGCCTAGCTGAATGTTCGAGCGCGTTCTCGTCCTTTTCAACCGTTGGACGGATGCTTTCGGGGGTGTCTGGTGTACTCAAGTACGGATCTACTTGCACAACCTGTGCGTCTTGTTCGGGTGCACCTCGGGAAATTGACGGCTGTCCCGAGCTGTTAACGCGGGTTTCGGAACTTCCAGAATTAGAGTCCTGGGACTCAACCGTAAAATCGCGGCGTTCCACACTGTCCTCGACGACACTCTGAAGGGCGGCGCTGGCCCTTGTAACTGCGTCGTTCGTTCCGCTTGCTGGGGGGAGAGACAGAGCTGCTTCTTCGTGGCTATGTCCTTGTGTCAAAGCCACTGGCTGTTCACCAGATGCGACCTGATTACCCGCGGGCACTTGAGAGACGCGCTGCTCTCCCGCACCACTCTCGCTGTTGCCGCGGTCTGCAACGGATTGTGTTGCTGGCGAAGCAGAGCTTTCTACTGCTTCGGGGATGGCTGAGTACTCTGTGGAACGAACCAAAGGTCGAACGTCGGACCGAGGAGTGTTCTCCGCGATAACAAGATCTTGGGTGTGATGCGGCTCTGTTGAGGGAGACCAAGCCTGATCAAGTAACAGCGAAGACCGCTCGCCGTTACTGTGCTGGACCCCAAGGGCGTTGCTTGCCCTACGAGATGCAGACTGGTCTTTGGTACCGTCCTGTTGCTCACTTGACCGTACCTTTGCGGCCTCAATAGGGCCGGCGGCAGCGGGTTGATTGGAAATGGCACTTTGATCCTTCTCTGGTCCTGGTGCTTCTGGTGTAGGTTGAGGTGCGGTAGAGTCGAGAACAGTGGTCTGCTCTGCGCTTGATCGCACCTCGATAGGGTGGGCGGCAACGGGCTGCTCGGAAATAGTACTCTGATGCTTCTCCGGTTCTGGTGCTTCTGGTGTAGGTTGAGACGCGGTCGGGTCCGGGAGAGTGGTCTGCTCCGCGCTATTCTCTTCGTCACTATGCTCCTCTACTGGGTTCTCAACCAGCTGAGATATACCTTCGCTGATGTCCTGATGCCCGCGTGGCTCTTCAGTCGAGAGCTGCTGCTCAGTCGAGTCGAGGAGAGTGATCTGCTCCGCGCTATCCTCCGCGCCGTTATGCTCCTCTACTGGGCCTTCAGCGGGCCGAGATATAATTTCGCTGATGTCCTGATACTCGCGTGGTTCCTCCGTCAGGAGCTGCTGCTCATGCTCTTGCTCGTGCACCTGCTGCGACGTTTGTTGAGAAGAGGATACGACTGTCTCAAACGAATCCAGAACCTCTATCTGCTCTTCCGGTTGAGACTGAGACTGAGACTGCGACTGCTGATCTTGGGTCTGCGAATCCGCGACAATGTCTGGCTCGGTCTCTGGGATAGAAATAGCAGGTGACGCAGGGCCTAGCTCTTCGAGCGAAGTAGATGCTGTAAGGTTCTGCAAACACCCATTAGCAAGCAATGCAGCGTTCTCTGGGTGTGAAAGACGAACCTCTGTAGCTGAGCTCTGCTGTTCGCTAGAGCTGACAGTAGATGCACCCTGCGTAGTAGGAATATAGCTCTCCTCCGCGTCTTCGTCCTCTGAGTCTCTAACGACGCCGGAAGACCGAAAATCGCGCGGCCCTGTGTATGATGACTGAGAGCTGTCAAAAAGCCGCGTTGGGGATAAAGAACAGGTCGATGCGGGTAGCTGCGAGTAGCGCTCGTACTCGTCTGGGTCGAAGCTGTTTCGCGGGTCGATCTGGACAAGTGGAGACGGACGGTCTGGTGCGGGGCCAGCGGGGGAAGTATTCGTAGAGGACTGCTCGGGCGTAGACTGGGCAGGGGTGGATCGGTCTGAGGGGACCACCGAGGACAATTCGGAGCTGCTCTCAACGACGCGGGACTTGCGATTTCGACGCGGCGGAGGTTTGAGCGGGAGTTGCGAATGCTCTTCTTTTGCTAGTCTACGAGCAGCTCGCTGTGCTCGCTGTGCCTTTGCAGCTTCAGCTTTCCTCTCGTTCCAGTCGACGATGCATAACTCTGTGATATCCTCCGGTTTCTCCCACGTCGGCTTGTATGCTCGCCCGGTCTTAGGGTCAGTGCCCTCCCAGTCGATGTAGTACTCGACGTCGCCGTTCTCTGTGATTCTCTCGTCGAGGATGCTCTTGACCGTATACCAGTTGTCGTCGATATACTCGACGTCGGTAGGCTCGTCGGGCCTGCTCGTCGGGGGTTTCTTGTTTCGGCGTTTGTTCGGCGTAGACTTGGTCGTGGTTCGCTTGCGCTTTGCTGAAGGAGCCATTACGCGGTAGGACCGCTAGGGGTGAGGAAGGAACTGTAAGTAACTGCCATGGTTAGCAGGAGAGTGTTGGAGGGAAAGTTGTTGGTAGTTCGGACTCGTGGCGGGGGCAAACTTACCTAGGTACCTTGTCTCAGGCCTCGCCCAATCAGCGCACGAGTCGGCCGAGGATGGTACAGCTGACTTGCAGCACAGAAACTTCGCAGTTTGCAAGTAATAGAAAATGTGGAGGAAGCGGTAGAGGGTAAAGGTGTGAACGTTCGGAAGCAATTGATTTGCCACAGCGTGTACCAACTCGCTTGTGCGTTCGCTGCGGTGAGTTGCGGTATGTGTTGGAAGAGAGAAGAGAGGATGAGGAGTTGACTATAAGAAGTTTGCTGAGAGGTTCAAGGTTGCACAATGGTCTCTGCGATGCGGGCTGAAAGCATGTATAGTGCCGTATTGTGCGCTGTCGCGTGAGGTGAAGCGGTGGGTACAAACAATTGGGCGGTGTAGGTCCAACTTCACCATGCTGAGCTCGAAGCTTTTCCTAACTATTGTGCACATTGGAGAGCACTCTCACAACTCGCTATTATACACACAAACTTTTTCTCCTTCACTTGGCCTGAAATCGAGGAATCTCCGCAGAACACCGATCGGAAGGCTAGCACCTCTCTTCACGGAGAGCGAGGTAGATATCTAGACTCAACTCCATCTACTACCTCCGCCTCGACCTTGCTGAGGTCTATGGTATCCGCCACGCTGGTTATATCCGCCACGACCCTGAAAGCCTCCGCCAAAGCCGCCTCGGGAGCCACCCTGAGCCTGACCTCCGTACCCGCCCTGATTGCCATACGCAAAGTTACTATTGCCGTAATTGTAAGGATTGTTCTGATAGCCGCCCATGTTGGGAGGTGCACCGGGGTATGGCCCGTTGTAGTTCGGTGGTGGTGGCGGGGGAGGAACAGATGTTCCAGGTGCTCCAAAGGGTGGCGGAGGTGGCGGTGGGAACTGCGCGTTCGGGTACCCTGGAACCTGGCCTGCCATTGGAGACGGTGGGGGATAGGAAGCTGGAAAGTTCGGGGGCTGCGAAGCCTGAGAGAAACCTTGTCCGGGATAGTTGCTGTTGTTGTAATTGTTCCCGCCAGGCCCACCGTAGTTACCGCGGTTGGGCTGCTGATAGCCGCTCCTACGATCACTCCAACGCGAGGGTCGGCCATACTGGTTTAGGAGCGGTCGCTGGTCGGAATGCCTGCGGTCGTCGAGGTGGCTACTACCTTCAGGGTAGTCCCTAGACCCGTCACGCGAGGACTGACGGCGTCGATCATAGGATTCGTCTCTATCTCCTCGGCTGCCTCGCGAGACAGAGCTGGACGTGGACCTTGATCGCGACATGGACCCGCTGTCTCTGCGGTAATCCCGACCACGATCCTTGTCCGAGCTTGATGAGTATGGACGGCGTCCTGGTGAACGTGGTTTAGCGGCTCTATTGCGTTCCCGGGCTTGCATATCCTGCATCCTCTTCTGATGTTGTTCCTCTCGGTATTCCTCTCGCCTTTCACCAAGAGCCTCCGGAACACCTTCGTCCTGCATGTCCTGGCAGAACTTCACTGACCAGCCGTAGCCATTGCAGACCGTCTTTGTCTCTCTCGTCTCTTTATTCTGCTTGACCAATTGGCCCATTGGATCCAGCCATAGCTTGTATTTCTTTGTCTCGCCGGTCGGGTTGTCCCCCGTCGGCAGGTACTTGAGATCGATATTCTCAAAGTACTCCTCGAGTAATTGGCGGACTCGTTCGGAAGGCTGTTTCTCGGAGTATCGCTTGACTTTGATCTCGTGCCTCGCGATAGGACGGTCGGGGTGTCGGATCATAGGCTCAAGCATATACGATGCCGGGAGCTCATGCCATGGGGCAGTCCGGTCGCCGAACCAGACGGGCAGGGCGTACGTCCTCCTCTTCCTGCCACCCTGAGCTACTACCAACCCATCCATCGCGCGCTCTCGATAGGACTTGTACTCCTCGCGGCTAATGTATTGATTGGCGGCCCAGAAGTTGATGACGGCTTTCAACTTCTTCTCTGCCTCTGAATCTTTGCCAGGGACAGCCGACGCCGCCATTTCGACCAGCTCTTCGATGTACGGCTTCATCTCCCTGACGAACATGCCCGGTATTGTACTGTGTGCCATATGGCATCTGTAAGTATGTAGGACATCGCTGATCACCAGGAGCAGATCGTGACGGTTTCTCGCGGCTTTGGCTGATTTGGAGTTCTGATTCACGACCACGGCCCTAGCGACGGCAACCAGGTATTCACCAAGCACTTGAATCCGCGACTGTTGCCAGGCGATGTGCTTCACAATCCATTCTCTGCAGGTCTAACGTCGCGATTAGTCTGCCCCCGACAAGTGGTACAACGGTGCTGTTCAAATAGATACCTGAACGTTCCTCGGTGTATTCTGCTCGAGGACGGCGGAGAGGCTGTTGCAAAAGTCTAGACAGGGAGCTTCCGAATTCTTCAGCGCCTGCGCGAATTTGAGCTGCGCAATGCGCACGTCGGCTTCAGCGCGTTTGAGTTGATCATCATTCGCCATGGCTACTGGCGGCAGTAGCGGCGAGTTGCGCGTGATGGTCCTGTGACGGTTCAGTAACGGTTCAGTGGTAGGTGGTATGTTGTGAGGGTGCGGTGTTCGAGAAAGAACTGGAGCTCGAGGTCCGTGCTACGGCGCTAGTGCGCGCGAACGCTAGCGCGTTTTTAATTCACTCCACTTGCTCCGCGCCGAAGCTCCTCAACCATGAATAGCCCAACAAACGAAGCCATCTGCGATGAAATTACCTCGATAAATTCTATATTCGACGAAGACACCCTGTCGCCAATCTCTGAAAATGATAGCATTTACAGCTTGCGACTTCCCTCATTTCCATCGATAACTCTGCGGATAAAATTCCCTCCAGATTATCCAGATGCCCCGCCATCAATACTCGGAACGCAAAGTGTAGGCCAGGATGTCCAGAAGGGAATGGGGAGTAGGGTGGTGGATGTAGTAAGAGATGTGCTGGCGCAGGTGTACACACCGGGTGAAGCATGTATATACGACCTACTTGAGGAAGTTCGAGAAGCTATTGAAAAGGCGGAAGAGCAGGGCGCAGTACATCTACACGACCACCACGATTCAGAGCCCTATATAGAATCGCAAGGCACAAGAGCGTTAGAAGAACCTGCATTGGACCTAGGACCAGAGCCACCCTGGATAATCGCACCACCCATCACCGAAAAGAAGTCCGTCTTCCTCGCTCGCGTCGCTCCAGTATCCTCTCCAGCACAAGCAAAGCAATATATTGCGCATCTTCTAGCCACCGACAAGAAGGCGGCACGTGCAACGCACAACATGACTTCCTGGCGTATTAAGGGATCCAACGACACCAGCTACCAGGACTGCGACGACGATGGGGAAACTGCCGCTGGAGGAAGGATGCTTCATCTCATGCAGTTGATGGACGTGTGGAACGTTATGGTCGTAGTGACGAGGTGGTATGGTGGCATCTTGCTCGGCCCTGATCGGTTTCGAATCATCAATACGGCCGCGCGAGAGGCTCTGGTGTTGGGTGGATTTGCGAAAGAGGTCAAGGAGACTGACGGGAAGAAGAAGGGGAAAAAGTAGAGAGAATTTCCATGCCGAAGTATGCAGTCTCGCAATGCAATATAGGTCAGCGGTAGAAAAGAGGAGAGAAAGTATCCAATTCGACCTCAGCCAGGACTTGATTCATATAGACAAGCCGTTCGGGCGCCATACGAGCAATGAGCTCGAACTAAATAGATTCAGAATCTTTTGATACAAGAAAATTTCTATGCACCGTATTGCATTGACATGCCTAGCAAATTTCGTTAAGCTCTGTTAGCAAAGCTTCTGCCACCTCAGTAGCCCTCAATATCCATAACATCTGCATCCAAACCCAAGACCGCACGATCTACTCCATCTCCGCTTCCACCCTCCGGCTCGCTCCCGACATCAAACCTGTCGTCTAACGTCTCAATGACCTGCTTCCTCAGACTCTCTGCCGGCCATCCCTCGCTCGGCACCACCACCTTCTTATCCGCTCTCCACTTCCTCGGACACGGCAAATTCTCTTCCGTCTCGTCGTCCATAAACCCGTATAGCATGAAATCCAGCAGCCACTTGTGGACATGCAGACCTCTCTTGATGCCCTCCATGGTGACCATATCGACGGCAGGTTCCATCCTTGCCCCGTCTGTACACCACTGCTCCCGGCACATGAGACCCCAGGACTCCTCGGGGACACCGTTTTCCACCTCGTCGTCGAGCCAGGTGTGCGTGTCCGTGTCTAAATCGTCCATGAGGTATGTGCGGATGAGCATGTCGGTCAGGTCGTCGTAGTCTAGGACCGTCTTCCCCTTGAGGATATTGTAGAGCAAGCTGAGCGACTTCTGCGTCAGGAGCAGATGCGAGAGCTCGCACATGCCACTCCCGAGAACCGGGTCCTGGAAGAGCATGTCGAGCTTCACGAGGAAGAGCTGGAAGAAGATGATATCCGTGTCAGTCCAGATTTTGCTGTCGGAGAGGAAGGCTTGCCGCATAGCGGTCGTTCGTATCTCCATGAGCAGCCAGTACTTGATGAGTGTCGTATGCGTCTCTCGCGGTACACGGAGACCCTCCAGCGCGAGGCATGTCAGGATACCTCGGACTACGTTGTCTCTATAAAGCACCATCTTCGCCCACCTCAGACTCGGGATATCCCTCGCAAGATGCGGTCTTCCATCCATCGGCTTGAGCAGCGGGTCGCTGATACACAGCTCGGGGAACATGATCCATGAGAAGATAAACGCGGCATGCGGCGCATGATACGACGTGTAGTCGGACACGATGGACGTGCTGTACTTGTTGAAACGATAGTGGAATTCCTTGTCTATGGCGTAGAGGTCGATTATTGTGGTGATGGGCAGCCGTATTGCGAACTGGAAGAAGAGGTTTGGGTGGCGGAGGATGGCTTTGTAGAGGTTGAAGCGTTGGGGCTGTTTGGAGGAAGCTTGGCCGGGCAAGGAGGGGCCCCAGACGGTTGCTGCGACGTTGCGGCGCCGGTGCCAGTGCCGGCGGATGACCTGAGGCGTCGTGGAAGGTGGGGTTTGTGGGGTGGTGCTTGTAGCTGAGGCATCGACGTCCATGTCCTCCGCGGGCCGCTTGCCTTTGCCCTTCGCGGGCGACGACTCTTCCGCCATTGGGCTCGATGGTGGTGATTGTTGCGCGAAGGTGGTCGGAAAGTTGGGTGCGGTCGCTGTGACAGGAGTTGGGAGGCCGTTGTCGAAGCAGGTTGGAGGTAGTTGTGAGGTTGATGAGGGGTCGTCTTCGACGTCCTTCATACGCGCATCTGCTTGTGACCCGTTATCCATGAGATTGACAGCATTGGCTACGCGCACATACTAAAAAAGGAATGTAGAGGGCGAGAGAAGAGAGGTGTTGTTTTAGCGCGGGTGGAAGTAGTGTTGTCAAAGCAACCGCGCGAGAGAGAGCAAACGGCAGCGCAGAAAGCGGGGAGATGAGCGGAAGTGACAAAACAGAAGACGACTTATTTGAGAGAGAAACGTAGCAGCGTGGTGAAAAGGAATCGATAAGCGAGTAGTGATTTCAATCACCGGCGCCTGTTGAAGGCAATGCATCTAGTCTAACGCAGCAATGCGACCATGTCCGCCTCCCAAAGTGGATGAACACCGCCACCAACGCCCATTTCATATCATTAAGCTGGCTCGTATATCATAGCTGCTACAAGAAGATGGCACACGTCTATCGCCGGTTGATTAGATTCAGGAATTCCTCCCGGGTCTTCGCCGTTGACCGCATCCGGCCGAGCATGCAGCTAGTGGTGGTAGTTGCTCCTGTCTTCTGAACTCCGCGCATCACCATACACAGGTGACTGGACTCTACTACGACGGCGACGCCTTGCGGCTGGAGCATTTCGGAGAGGGCGAGGGCGACTTGTTTGGTGAGGCGTTCCTGGACTTGCAAACGGCGGGAGAACATCTCGGCGATTCTCGCGATCTTGGAGAGACCGATCACTCGGCGGTTGGGGATGTACCCGATGTGCATCTGGGGTTGTTAGCTTGCGGTCGGCTATTGACGGAGGGACCAGCATCGTACCTTCCCAGAAAAGGGCACCAAGTGGTGCTCGCATAGCGAAAAGAACTCAATGTCCTTGACAATCACCAGCTCATCGTGGTCCTCGTGGAATACCGCGCCATTTACTATGTCGCGAAGGTTCTCTTCGTAGCCCTTCGTGAAGAAGAGCATGGCTTTTGCATACCGCTCTGGTGTATCCAGCAGTCCCTCGCGGTCGGGGTCCTCGCCCACGCACTCCAGGATGGTCCTCACGGCGCCCGACAGCTTTGCTAGGCGTTCCTCCTTTGCATTCTCCGTTGCCTCCTTCCTCTCCCGTGTGCCTCGGCTTGGCCAGCTCAGTCCGTCAAAGTCAATGGTGGGGTGCTGGGTATACGGGCTGTGAGCGCGGCTGGTGGCAAGCGGTGTTCTTGAAGGGCCATCCTCGTTGTAACCCTCCACGTCGATCTCGCTGTGGACTATCTTGTGACTGTCGTGAGGACCGCGACCGTCCATGTTCGCGCTCGTCGACGACTTGGGGTGGTATCCGTTCGGTCCATCGAAGTTTATAATCTGGCGGCCGCGGTTTGACTTTTCTATAGCAGCAAACAGATTGTCCCTCTCCTTCCTGTCACGCGCTTCAGTAGAGATGCTGAGCGGCGAGGGGCCATTGGTGAGGTGGGAGGGGATTGCGGGCTTTGGTTTGAACGGCGGTGAGTCCATGGCGGGGAGTTAGCGGACGGAAAGATGTCGGAGCTGTGTATTAGTATTGTTCTATAGGCGACTAGGAATTCGAAGAGGGCACGAGTGCCGAAGAACTATGGCGGACTGCGCGCATGGCGTGGGACTGGATCCGCGCAGTTGCGATGACGCGGGTCGAGTAGCCCTCCGCCTGCAGCGAAAAGCATTTATTTTAGCGCCTCTGCCATCCCGGCGAAGGTTGAGGCCGCTGAGCTCGGACCAAGCCGGGCTTCCAAGGCCGCACGCAGCTTCGAAACCTCTTCGTCACCCGATCATCAACACCCCCATCCCAACCTGCTGCCCGACCGAGGTACGTACGTCGTCGCTGCTATCGCTACTTCAAGTGCCTAGGTTTATAATGCTTTAGTTCGCATGGCGACGAGGAGGAGGCCGTATTTCGGAGGCGCTCGGTCGCCTTGACCGAATCCCCGCCAGCTTCGTCAACCCACAACCATTGTACGGCCGCCCGCCACAGGCGTGCCGGGTATCTACCTGCTCTGCGGGTATCGCGCTGCCTACCAAGATGACTCGGAGGTAATGACAACGGAGGAGCGGCTTTGGGGAGACGGAAATGCTGTTCAGAGGCGCAGACACATGCGGGATTGGGCTCTCTCTCATTCATTGCATACCGCAGCAGGAAGTCATTCACCCTGCGCTAACCTTCGGCGGTCTCTGAAGCTCGCCTCTACTGCATCGAGCAGACGCGCGAGCGTGCTCATCGCGCATCGCATCCGCTATCCATTTTAGGACCGCGTTCCCGGCGTCAGAGACAGCAGATTCACGTCGCCCACTTCAGCCGTCCTTGAAACCGCAGACTGTGCTGGCCTTCTTCTAAGGCTATTGCAATGTCCCCGCCCGGCTCTAATGTACAGAAAACGACGCTCAGCATCCCGACAGCGAGAGCTTCCTCGCGCTGTGGCGCGGAAGCTGAGCGCTGAGCGCGGCCGGCGTTGGCTTCATGATTCTATCCCTTTGCCAGCAATATGGGAACGGCTATTTGCAGACATACCTCGAGTTTTGATACCCTTTCGCCGCTCTCTGCAGCCGCTCCACCTGGTTTTCCAGTAATTGCGGTCTTCACGGTCTCATCGCCGAGCACATCGAAACGGATTATTTACCAAAAGATTGCTTCAACTGCGGCCTGCAGAACGTTGCTATATATGTTCTGCTACGGATCCCCTTAACGGCACCCGAATCCGTATTCGTGCAGAGTGGGACGCTGGCGTACCATCACCGCACCTCTCCGACACGCTCGCACACCTACGGTATCAACATGTCGGAGCGTATTGGCTTCCAGCATGCGGTTTATGGGCGATGAGAGGCGCTTGTGTGCGGCCTCTGTGACCTTGTTTCTGTTGCTTGCCCGTAGATAGCTATTGTAAAGCCGGAGTCCTGCTCAGCTGGAGCAGGCGACATGGGAAGAAGTTTTGGAGTCTAGGGGGGATTTTGAAGAGCCGCCGGTATCTGAAGAGGCTGTCTTCTCTGAGAAACCGGAGGTATCTCAAGGAGACGAACCTGGGAGGCCCGATCTGCGGAGGTCCTCTGTGACAGTCACGAGTCGGGTCTTGGCGAACACCGAAAGCTGCAGGCAAAAGGCTTCGGGCGCAGAACGCTGCAGCGGCAACGGACAGCAACCCACTGACGAGCGAGGACGCAAAAGCGCATCTGTGACAGTGTTTTGCGGCGGTCGCGGGCCCCTTCTCTTTTGTTACATTGTTCTATCTCCGCTCTTACTACCCTAGACGGGCTGCGAGGTCTGCCGTTCTTGTCGCTCGGCTAGGCCGTGACACTCAGACCCGCGAACCTTGATGCCGCCATCTTTCACCTACCTCTGATGCTACCTCTGCCTACATGGCTGGGTTGCGCCGGGCCCAGGATATAGATCAGTGGAGACCAGAGGAACCGTCCATCAGAGACAGAGACCGGGACCGCCACCGAGAGCGGATTGTTGAGCCCAGGGCTGCGTCACCGGCGCCACGCGCTGCGAGGGACAGCTCCAGACGACGCACGCACGAAACCGACACTCGTTCATCGACGAAGCACGCGAGGGACCGCTCGCGCGAAAGAAGCTTGAGCAGAGAGCGGACACGCCGTCGCAGCCGCGGGGAACCAAGGGACGACCGCTATCGAACCTCACGAAGGGCACCCAGCTCAGACAGGGTTTCGCACTCGCACCGCCATCACCACCACTCCCACCACCATCGAGACACGACCCCCTCCTCCAAGCGACATCGCACCCGCTCGCCATCTCCGCATCGAGACTCGCATAAACGAAGCAGGCGCTACAGGAGTCGCAGCGCGGTTCGCTCGAGGTCGCGCACACGTCGTGCAGACTCAACCCACCGACAGACAGATAGGGCATATTCACCTCGTCCCTCACGCTCTGACCGCGACCCACCTGCCCGACGCCCAACGCCGGACTCGTACAAGCCGGTCTTGACATCCCGCCGCCGCTCGCCGTCAGTCGAGTCTTATTATAGGCCTGTCTCACATCGAGAGCGGAAGAAGTCCGTTTCGCCAGACAGGAGGTCGCGGCGGGACCAGTCACCGAGGCGGCCCTCGCCAGGCAGACACCACAAGCGGCGCCGCACCCCGTCAGAAGAAGCCAGGGAAAGAAGGCATCGGCCTTCTTCGGCCAGGAACCGAGAACGCAGCCGAAGTCGTCCATCCCGACACGTCCGCTCTTCACCACGCAGGCGCTCACCATCACCCGAACGGAGGAGATCCCCGCACCGAGCCCGCTCCCCACGCGCATCGAGCCGCCGTCGCTCCTCCCGTTCACCTCCCCACACATCCCAACATTCCAGAAGATCAGACAAAGAGCACGATACCGATAAAACTGCGCCAGCAACCAGGACCACATCCAGGAGAGGCTCACCGTTACCTGCATCAGGCTACAACTCCGATACATCCAAGGGCAAAGAAGGGGACGCCAAGATGAGGGGTGCTTATCATTATCAAGGCCGCGGCGGAGCCCATTATTCCCACTCGCCGCCATATGCACCAGCGAACCAGTACTCGCCCCAAGGCCAGTCCCCATATCCGGGTGGAAGAGGAGGATGGGGCGGCCATCAGCAATACCCCAACCAAGGGTACGTATCTCTTCGTGCTACCATCAGATCAGTTGTCACTAATAGCTTCTAGTTCTCCAATGCACGGTTACTCACCCAATCAGTCTCCATATCATCAGAATTATTCTCCCGGCCATCAGGCGCCGTACAACTATCCGAACCAATCATATCCAGGCGGTCAGCCTGGTTTTCAAAACTCTCCCTATCGAGGGGGCGGTTTCCGTGGCAATCATTATAATGGACCGGACAGGCGCATGTCGGGACCCCCTTCGGCGCCCAGCTTCATACCCGTAGCAGGTGGGCGAGGTCGTGGTGTTGCTGCTCCAACTCAATATTCCAATCTTTCCTGGACTCCCACCTCTGGAACCAGGGGCGGTCGCCCGGCCACCGAGGCACCACGCCATCCCGTTAGTTCCGCAGTGCAACAGACACAGACCACCCCAGCGACAGCTGACGCCCAATCCTCTGCTGTGGACGCCGATGATAATCCCTTTCGACCGTCAAAAGACCTCCGTGTGGAGGATGAGGGCGCCAAGGAAGAGAAGAAGATGCCACCTCCGACCAAGCTTCCAGTAACTCCAACGCAGCCGAAGTCAGGGTTCAGCTTCTCTCTCAAGACAAAGAACCCAATACCTCCCACACCCAGCAAGGCTAAGCTGGGCCTGATCCCAGACGAACAACCTGAACCGCCAGCAAAAGAAAAGGAGTCAATTCTGGACCCGAAGGCAAAGGAGGCCGCGAATCGAGAATCGTCAAGGTATCCGCCAGACTCTAAGAGCGACCGCGATTATAGAGACTCAGCGCGAGATCGAGATCGCGATCGCGACCGTGAACGTGAACGTGAACGTGAGCGCGACCGCGAACGGGACTATCGCGAGGCGGACCGTGGATACGACAAATACGGCAAGTACGATAGCTACTACGACCGGAGGCCCGCATACAGAGATCCAAGAGATAGAGACCCTCGCGATAGAGATCCTCGCGACATCCGAGACCCCCGAGATCCGAGCTACTATCGTGATAGAGATTACCGAGATCCTCGAGATGTTCGTGATCCGCGAGATCCGCGCGACGTACGTGAGCGAGACCTACGAGACATTCGCGAACGAGACACACGGGATGTTCGGGACATTCGGGATACTCGCGACCCGCGCGACGTACGAGATCCACGAGATATACGCGACGTTCGCGATAGAGACCGCAGAGATCCATGGCCAGCCAGGCGCCCTGAGCCACGCCCTGACAGTCGTCCAGATAGCCGGACAGAGCGACGGGAAGCCCCGCCTGAACCGCCCAAGACAAAGATAATCAGGAAGAAGCGCGAGAAGCCTCGTCCTACTCTTTCCTCAGAGTTTGCGGCGTCGGAGTCTGTATATTACCGGAAGCCAGGCAACGAGTCAGTAGTCGGATCGGGCACATATGGAAAGGTTTTCAAGGGTGTCCATGTCTATACAAAGGACATGGTTGCGCTGAAGAAGATCAGAATGGAGGGCGAACGCGATGGCTTCCCTGTCACAGCCATCCGTGAAATCAAGCTCCTGCAGTCGCTCAACCATGACAACATTGTCAAGCTGCAAGAAGTCATGGTGGAGAAGAACGATTGCTTCATGGTCTTCGAATACCTATCCCACGATTTGACTGGTCTCTTGAACCATCCTACCTTTAGGCTGGAGCATGCACACAAGAAGGATCTGGCGAAGCAGCTCTTCGAAGGGCTCGATTACCTGCATCGACGAGGTGTGCTCCACCGAGACATCAAGGCCGCCAACATCCTGGTCAGCAATACCGGGCAGTTGAAACTCGCTGATTTCGGCCTGGCGCGGTTCTACGCAAAGCGAGCCAAACTCGACTACACGAATCGCGTCATTACTATCTGGTACCGCTCGCCCGAGTTGCTATTGGGCGAAACGCAATATGGCCCTGCGGTCGATATCTGGTCGGCTGCATGCGTCCTGGTGGAAATATTCACCAAGCATGCCATCTTCCCTGGCGATGGGGGAGAGATTAACCAGCTGGACAAGATCTACAACGTGCTTGGGACGCCTACCATTCAGGACTGGCCCGGCATCGTCGATATGCAGTGGTTCGAACTACTCAGGCCGACTGAGCGGAGGCAGAGCACGTTCGCCGAGAAGTACAAGGACCGGGTGACACCGGCGGCTTTTGAGCTGCTGAGCGCGATGTTTCTATTTGATCCAGCGGCGCGACCCGGCGCTTCTGATGTGCTTGTGCATCCGTACTTCACAACGGAATCGCCTGCACCGAGACGAGCTGAGGCACTGAAAGAGCTAGAAGGCGACTGGCACGAATTCGAAAGCAAAGCGCTACGGAAGGAGCGCGACAAGGAAGCGAGGAGAGCAGCTCGGGAAGAATCGCAGCGGAAAGAAGGAGAGAAGCGTCGGGCTGAATGTGCAGCAGAACCGGAGCGCGAAGCCAAACGAGTGCGCAGTGGCGAGGCGGCGATGTGAGGGGCATCGGCAATTAAGAGAAGGCATTATGTTTTGCAGACGGAAGTATTCCTCGACATATACTTGCATATTCATATATTTCACATAGCTCCTTGTAGACGCTACTGTAGGGTGCAGTCGCGTGGTGTGTGTTGATGAGTTGGCGGCGTCGCCACCGGTGCTTCGGCGGCTGTTCGGCATGCAATTGCTATATGAATGAAAGCTGGTTAATTATCCACCCACTTACCATCCGCTGTTAGCGTGCCCTATAGCTATATGATATAGCACACTTCTCACATAAAAGCCACCATTCCAGCCCAAGAGATCGTCGCGGTAGATATTGTTAGCGCAGCAACATTTTCCGTCATTCTCCCGTAGCGTATCCGGACACGTGCGCTGTCAGACATACCAGAAGACGGAGGTGGCACAGAAGGATCGCTTGGCTGGTAGAGCGGGGAGTCCGTCGATGGATTTTACGGAGGTGCTTTCAATGTCACCGTGCGCAAGGCTGCTCACTCTGCTCACGGCGTCGGATGCTTGGCGGTCAGATTCTTGCATCACTTCCGTTCGGACTTTTTGGTGTGGGTTGCAGGCGGCTAACTAGCTGCCTGAACGGAAAGGCTCCTCGAATGCCTAAAGACGGCTTCTCCGCGATCGGCGGGTTGTCCGTGGTGATCGCGGTAGTGGTGGATCGGGAAGGATGGAAGGGGTGAAGAGTCGGACTTTTGAAGTGTTGGACTGTCTGGTGCAAGGGTTACACTGGGGGAAGGCCGATGTACGAGATGTGCCATGGATCGCATCGTGTCATCGGCGTAACAGGATGGCGAAAAGGAATAGGATCTGGATCGGACTGGAGAGGGAATTGGGGGGCCACGAACTACCGTGAAGGGCCTCATTGTTGGGTAGAGTACATGGCTCCTGGCCGTAAGCCGCAGCGGCTTCGTCCAGTTCCTGTGCTGACAGGAACACCAATGCTCCAAATGCCCCGTGTCTGCTGCACGCTGACGATCCCCCATGGAGAAGGAAGGAAGAAAAGGCGCTGAGGACAGAGCAGCCGCACGGTTTCAAACTTAGACGGAGCGAGCATACGATACATCCGCCTCGCACGTATATTAGGGTTAGATGAAAATAGCCGCAGCCGCCTGGACGATTGCGGCCAGCGTGGCTGGAAGCAGTAAGAGAGGGCAGCTGCGACAGTCGAATGCGGACGCGCAGTTCATCTATCGTTAGAGAGAGATCGCGGGTGGAAAGCGGCCGAGGTGTGGGTTGGTGGGGTTGTTGGTTCTTCGGTTGGCGAGACGTGAGCAGCGATGCTAGGCTCTACTATTCCTGGAGTAGGCCTGCACAACGGACCGGGGTCGATAGACGTGCATACAGGCAGCATGCCTGCTATTCGTCGGCGGAGTCCCCGTCTAGGTGGGAGGCGATGAATGAAGCCCGAGGAGCAGCACGGCAGCAGGCTGTAAAATTCTGCGGGTGGGATACTGTGCGACGGCGAGATCGGAGGCAGAGAGGAGGTACCTGTGCTACTCTTATTCAAGAGAGAGAGGTTTATGAGGCCGCTCGCCATGTGTTTGTGCAAGGCGGTTCGTGTCCGTGGAGGGTGGATCCCAGCGGCACGGAAGACGGGTACGAGAAAAAAAGAAGGGTCCTTGGCTCTTTTTTCAAGTCAGTCACCGCTCCAACGGTTCCCAAACCGGATGTGGCGCCAGTCCTTCTCCACACTGGCGCCATGGCTTCGCGCCGGGAGAAATTGTGAGTGGTTCGCGATTGTCGTGCCCCTGAGCGAGCGGCAGGAGAACGGCTCGAAAGGCAGCTAGAGAGGAATGGCACGGGAGACGCGAGATGCTCCTGAGATGGCTCCTGAGAGACGGCATAGCAACGCCGTCTTGGGGTCCAGCCAAAGACGACCGCGGACGGCATGCTCACCCGTACGCTAAACGGGGCCTGCGCTTTGGGCGGCCTGCTGCGGTCCACGAGCACACGATGCACGCTGAGCGAAAAGACGAGAGGTGGTCGCGGCCTGCCGCGCCGACAACGCTGAAACACTTCTACCTGGCCAATGGCGGCGCGCTCCCACACACCTGGCCGCGCAGACTAGAGCTGGCGCTGCAGAGCGGTGTATCGCGTGGTCAAGAAGGGGCAGGGGGGAGGTGTAGTGTGTAGAATTCTCTCGCAGGGCGAGCCTGGCAGCGGACTCTCCAGGGCTCGCCGCTGTTCGCGGACTTGACAGCTGCTGGAGGAGATTGTCATCGGCTAGCGTGCACGTAACTCGCTGCCCATGGACGCCTCGAGCTGACTCCTTGGCCGCATCGCGAGCCTCGTCTGTGTACTTGAAACCCCCAGTCCTTGTCCGCGGGCGCACAGACGGTCGTTCGTCCGCAATATATCTGATATACCATCCCGGATATTGCTCCTTTGCGATCCCCTCGCCCCTCCACCACGTCTCTCCATACGCCTGGGCGCCCAATTGCTACACCTGCACTGCTACTTGTAGGCCCTGAGGTGCACACGTCGTCTGTCCTGCTACGAAAGCCGTGTCTGGCGACGTCTCACCCCCGGCCTGCCGTGTTCGTGTGTTCCCACAGCCACGCGCATCCTCTTACCATTGGTGCGTAGCCTCAGTGCGCCTCCCGTTTCACGCCTGCTGCTGCTGGCAGGCCCTCCACCACATAATAGCCGCTCTGCTCCCGCTGTTGCCGTGCTCGAGCAGTCCGTCCTAACAGTCTCTTCCCAGCAGCAAAAATGGTCGACGTCGCCGTGTCGGCGCAGCTCCAGCAATGGTCCTTCGACAAGCCGGCGCTGGTGCGTCCAGAGCGCTCGAGCAGCTCTGCATCCTCGCCCGACCTGTCCCACCGCGAACCCGAGACCCTGCGGATAGACGCTGCAGTGCACTCGTCCACCGACCTGGATTCCAAAGACACGCGCCCGTTCCAGGAGCGCTATCTGTCGAGCGAGGAGGACCTCTCGCCCATGGACGCCAACAGCTCTGATTCCGACGGCTACGACTCCGAGGCCAGCATACACGATTTCGAGAAGGAGTGCCTGCGCGCGCGGAAAATGTCCATCTCGCGGTGGGAGAAGGGACGGAGCTGCGACATGGCCGTCACCGTGTCGATTGTGTCGGCTGGTCGACCAAAGATGATCCATCTCGCCAATGCTGGTTCGCCGATCCGCGAAACGGCCCAACGGTCAGCCTCGCTCGCCCAGCTGCCAATTGGAGCCATCAACAAGCTGCGGAAGCAGGATCAAGAAACCCGCCGCTCGATGATGCTCCTCAGCTCGTCGACGAGTCGCTCGCCTTCACCAGCCATTGGTCTCGAGCCACGGCGGCCTTCCACCGGACACCGCCCGTTCACGCACAGCAACAAGAGCGCCCTACAGCTCTCAGACTCTGCATCCTCATTCCACACTGCTAGCTCGACCAGGAGCATATCGCCTGCAGCCAGCGAGAACCTCACTACTTCAACACGGCCAGTCAGCGCCGCGCCGGCATCACGCTCTCAGCCCCAGCCCCGCTCATCCCTCTACGTCGTCTCGAATGCCAGGAACGACTCGCCATTATCCCCGTTCCCGCCTCTCACACCACAGTCCCCAGGACCACACTCCTTCCTAAGCTCCGACCCCTACGAGAACTCAAACACCAACGCAGCATCACCCATCATCAAATCCGGACCACACAAACGTCTCCGCTCCATCTCAATGAAGCTCTCCCTCGCCAAAATCGCGATCACCCCCTCGACTAAGAAATGGGACTCCCGCATTAACGGCCGGGGCGGAAACATGCCACCTACACCTGCCACGCCATACACACCCGTAACGCCACTGACCGCTCCTGCGACGTCAGGTTCGTCACCGATGAACAAGCTACGACGCAATTCAAGGATAGCCTCGCGCTCATCCACGCAACGTGGCCCTTCTCCCGAGATACCCCCAGTTCCCACCATCTCCAACCCGCCGCCACGCTGGAGGTCACCTCAGAAGAAGTTAGTCGCTCGAGGCGCAAACGAGCGGGAACCCATGATCGAGCTGCCGCCATTCCCGGATGGAGATGCTGGTCCCATGAACAATAGCATCAAGGCGCGGAGAGTCCGCAAGAGGAAGAGCTTGATGGATCTCCTCTAAGCGGCTAGACCAAAACCTTGGCTTGTTCGTCATCGCATGAAGTTCGAGACTGGATCTTCCGTTTCAAGCAATCGGCATTATGCGCGGCTGTTTCGTTTCGTTTGGTTTTGCCAAACGCATGAATTGTGGCATGCAAGTGCATGAATTACAACAGGCGCGACCCTTGTCGCATCCACACCTCCACACCTCCACACGCGTCCCCCGGCTGGCCAGACCAGCAAGGCGGGCCAACACCTCTCTTCCGCATTTCTGCTGTTCTTTTGTCGACCCACTTTGGGGTTTGCGTTTTGCGATTGTTTGCCGTCCTCACTCATATCCAGGTGTTCTGGGCGATGCATTACTCGTGGAGTTGACTCACGACTTCCGTGGCGTACACTTGGCGTTTCTGGAGGCACACGAGGTCACGATACCCTCTTTGATTATTTCTTGTTTGTCGTTTCCAAAAAGAAGACGTTGTGGGGTGAGGAGGTCCTACCTGTGTTTACCGGAGGATGTTGCATTTCGGCTGCTGTTGGAGAAGAAGCAGACTGTCTCGTTCGTTCGAGTGGCTGTCTTAACGAATCATAACGATATCCCTTTCGCTAGGCTTTCTTGCTGCGTTGGAAACGGCCGCCTGCATATAGTATTAGTAGCATTATGATAGATGCTGAGCTATTTCATCTACTCTCTACACCCTACGTCAAGCCTCCTACTCTACAACACTTTACCATGCTCCAAGCGTGCATCTTAGTTGCTGCTAGTAGAACAGCGTTGTCAACGTCCACCTTGCTCGCGCAAGTGTAATCGCCGCATCATATCCCACCGTCTCCCTTGCTAACTACTATGTACGCTACCGGGACTGTACACTACCGCATGATCCCATCGCATCCTCGGCTATGATATCGCATCGCGCCGCCTTTCCTCACAGCACGCCTAAGGCCGCGTACCCGCCCACGCAAAGCATCACGGCACAAGATCCCGATCATGATGTCCACCCTGCATGCCTCACCCAAATCCCAGCGGAAAGGTGGAGTCCCGAAATCTGCCCTTCGAATAATCCCGCCCCGACAAGATCGTATTCTTGAAACGCAACACTGCGTTCGCGGACCACCTGTCAGCGAGGCAGTGCCCACCTGCATGCATGCATGGCGGGGGATTACGTGTGTTACGGTGCGAACACGGGTTCTTCAGCTTGCTAGCATTCTACTCGCAGAAACATGTCTTAACTACAACTATGGTCCGGGGCCGGGGCTGACTGGAAGGAACGTAGACTACATACCAGGTCGCAAGTACATGATACACCCGGTAGCTAGCAGTCTTACGCCATACTCACGTCCCAGGTACCTCCCCGCTCTCACACGATCATATTCGCTTGCCCTGGTGCTTAGAAACAATAGTGGAGCAGGGAAACATTTGTACCCTTGTACCCTGGGTGGAGAAACAATAGTGGAGCGATCCTACCCCGGGGAAACGATTGCGGGTCGTTCTAGCCGCGGCCAGAGTGGCGGTTATCGTCGTCGTTTCAGGTAGATGTTGTGAGGGCTTACCGATGGCTTGGCATGGGTACGGGTACGTACCCACAGTACGACTACGCAGGAAGTGGTAATTGCGCAAGAACGCGTATGCCAGAGAGATAATGGCCTAATAGTCGCTATCCGGAAGGTTGGGATGGATGGCGGATATCGTGGACGTTCGCGGCTAGCGTGCCGCTAGCGTCCTCGTTCAGGGTCCACGCAGCTTTCAACGTCTTTACACGCACGATGCCCATAAGAAGAGCATGAATTTTTATTATTATTTCGAAACGAGCTTAGCAAAATATCTTGGAGGGACTCAGAGGCTGGCTGCATCTGTTGAGTATCCGTGTGGGAGAGGCGAGGCTGGATGCGGTGTCCCCCATTGCCAATATTCCACCCTCACAATTCCACCTGGGCATGAACTTCAAGCTAATCACCGTCATAGTACACACAGCTCGTAGACCTGAATTCTTCTCCAATAGAACGAATCGCTGGGTCTTGTTCTTATCTCAAGACTTGAACAAGGCTGGCTTACCCCGCAGGTGTGGCTTTTGAGAAGAGCTGAAAATCCCACTACAGATAAAACTGCGCTCAGCTGAATTATACTATAATCCATACTCCTCTAACCTTCACGCTATCAACCGCTTCAGCATACTCTCCGGCGAAATGTCTACACTTACATCAGCGATAATAGGACTCGCTACAGTCCCAAGGCCCGCTTTATCCCAGGCTCTCCCCTCGCAGTCCGACGACAGCGTGCCCAACCAGCTCCGACAGCAATGGTCCAATCCCAGCGATATCTTCTCTCTGCTCCTCTTGGTCGGGGGCGACGTCATCCTGAAAGCCTTCGTCCAATTCCATGGGCGTTACTTTCGGCCCGTAGCTTTCTCTTTCGGCTGGGTCGCGTATGCCTTCAGCGCGCTACTTGCGGCTGTCGGACATCTGAAGGTGATGCCAGATCCCGACTGCCCGTCGTTACTTATACAATGCCACCCAAAGACTGGTAGACGGTACGAGAATCAGTCGTGGCTGCTCGGCCGTCTCGTACGCAGCCCCAAGCACTAGCCTGGCTGGGCAGCGACTGGCGAAGAAACCGTTGAACTTGGACCCGATGGTATACCATTGCGCCCGCGCTTCCAGGTGCAGATATGGGTGTATAATCTGGACTCAAGGAAGTACAATGACTCTGGCCAAGCAGAGCTGGTCATGGACAAGGTTTTCATGTCTGGAATCGCCACTTCAATCCTGCAACTCGGCATCGCTGCTATCCCAGCTGGGCTGTATAGAGAATGGGAAATCTTGGTCATCACCGCGTGTGGCACATTGTTGGCGTTCAGTACCGGCATCTTGCACGAATGGTCGCAGGGTGGAACTGCGAAATCCAGAGCGCGCCGGCCCCGCGAGGCAACATACGCGCTTCTACCGGGTAATGCACCAAGATACATCTTCATCATCAGGAACGAGGGCACGGTATTCGAACTAGCCGATTTTGCAGAAATCGATAACACGGGAGGTGTTTCGGCTGTCGTCGTCTCGACCCTCTTGCTCCTCCTATGGACCGCTCTGCTGATTACCGTCTCCGGCTTGAAATCCCATACATGGTACATTGTCGCAGTCGGCGCGGTTGGAATGCTACAGAATACTATCGTTGCGGGGTCCCCTCGCTCGCCTGCTGCATTGGGACTCCACCTCGAGCAGCAGCACATAACGATATTTCGCGGGAAGAGAGCAATGGACTTACTAAAAGACGTTGAGGAGTACTCTCCAGGGGTTGGGATGGCCTTACTACCAGCCCTTTTCCCGGGCGCATTACGCCCAGACGATCGTCAATATTGGGCAGACAAAGCCCGCGACGAGGAACAGCTGTAGATGACACCACTTGGGTTCTACGGGCCTCATGCGGGTGTTGTGCATTGAGAAGCTCCGGGGGAATGCAATTGGATTGGGGTTATGGGATCATGCGTGGTATCGCTTCGGGAAACTTTCTCTGTACGATCTCCATGAGGTGTTTTGGCTTGCCCGTCCATACCAGGTCGCGATGCTCGTGCTTGCCCGATGAATCGCACTTAGCTACCAGATAGTGCAAGACATTCATCTATCACAATGGTCGAGCGTTTCCACACGAAAGTTCGCTGAAGGGTTTAACCATTAACCAGGGAGAAGTAATCCATCCACAAGCATACCTAGGTATAATGCTCGCAACCTAGACATAGAAACAAAGCAGAGCCTGAACCTGATCAAAGAATAGCTAGTCTGGCAGCCAACATGGCGGATTCTATCGCCGTTTCATGTATATATTGCGGGCTTCCCGACCTCTTGGCACGTGGGTGGATTGCGCAAGCGGGGACGATTTTTCCGTGAGACGGGCGTTTGGGTTTGATGAGGGTAGTTGGCGAGTCGTGAAGATAGGACGATAGGGTGGGAATCAGGTGATGCTGCGTGGGCTGGGAACGGTTCATAAGGAAGGTGAATGGAGCGTGCACGTGGCTGAGAGATGCAGTGGAGGGGAAGTGGTACCGGGTTTGTAAGCGGGTGCACTTACCGCGGTTGGAGGTGAGGGCAGGGCTTTCCGCCGGTGTCGGAATTCCCATGTTGGGTCGGCGACGGAACAGGAGGGGCAGGCACGGCTGCGGGGTGAGATGTGGAGGGCGTTGCACCGAGGTGCCGGCGAGTAACGCCTCTCAAATGTAAGTACTTGAGATATCTTCTCTATCATTTACTACCTTTCTTCTCCGTCCTGCTCAAAGCAAGTTCCTCTCGTCTGAAGTCTCGTTGCTTTTCCGCGTCTTCAGCCAATCAGAAACGCCCCATATAGACCGCATCCCCGCATTGCAATTGCCGGATACCTGCATAGATACCGAAAAGTCCGAGTTGATAAATCTCCACTATCTCCTCGTCCACCCTTCTATCTCCTTTTCGTCTCTTCAGTCTCGCCGTCCAGCGCAGCAATGGCATCAACCGACCATCCCATACCCCGCAAACTATGGGAGCATCCGGATCCCAAGTCCACAGCAATGTGGCAGTTTATGCAAAACGCGAACCAAAAACGAGGCTTAAATATGCAGACATTCCGAGAGCTGTACGACTGGAGCGTGGGCGATAGACGCATAGAGTTCTGGGAAGATATGTGGGACACAGCGGGCTTGATATACGAAGGCGATTATGAAGAGGTGGTTGACATCACGGCACCGATGGATAGCATACCGCACTGGTTCCGGGGCACGCATCTCAACTTCGCCGAGAACGTTTTGTACTCGCCTTCTCCCGACAATCCGTCTGTGAGGACGACGCAGCATAAAGAGGACGATAAGATTGCGCTGACGGAGATAAGAGAGGGGAATACGGAGGTGCGGCATATGACGTGGGGCGAAGTCCGGAAAAGAGTTGGGCTGCTCGCGAATGCGTTCCGAGCGAGGGGCGTGAAGAAGGGGGATAGAGTGGCGGTTGTGGCGAGCACGAGCTTTGATACGTTTATCTGCTTTATGGCTATCTTGAGCATTGGGGGCTTGTTCAGTTCTAGCTCCACCGATATGGGCACGAAAGGTATCCTGGAACGACTGCTGCAGATCAAACCTGCGTATCTCTTCGTCGACGATTGGGCCGTCTACAACGGGAAAACGACCGACCTCCGACCCAAGATCAGAGAGATTGTGGAGGGTATGAAGGGCGTGCCAGAGTTCAAGAGTGTGGTTGTGCAGCCTAGGTTTCCCGGCGAACCCGCAGATCTGCATGGCGTGCCGCGGGCGGTGACGCTCGATGGCTTTTTGAAGGTCGCGCATGGAGATGAGAAGATAACGTTTGAAAGGGTGGCGTTTAGGGACCCCTTTTTGATTGTGTATTCGAGTGGCACGACGGGGATACCGAAGTGTATTGTGCATTCAACGGGTGGAGTGCTGATTAGCGTAATGAAGGAAGGGAGATTGCATAAGGAGTTGGGGCCTAATGATACAGTATTGCAGTACACTACGGTAAGTCTATTCCACTCATTGGAACCAGACAGAAAGGAAGATGCTGATGATGCTGGTGGAAGACTGGATGGATAATGTACCTCGTAAGCGTGCAGTGCCTCCTCTACGGCAGCCGCTCTGTCCTCTACGATGGCTCCCCCTTCCAGCCCTCTCCTCAGGCCTTCCTCTCTATCCTCGCAGAGCAGCGCGTCACCGACTTCGGTACCTCACCCCGCTTCCTCCACGAACTCCAGAAACAAGACGTCGTTCCCCGTAGCATCTTCAACCTCTCCTCCCTGCGCTCCGTCTGCACCACAGGCATGGTGCTATCCGAATCCCTCTTCGAATGGTTTTACGACACTGCGTTCCCGCCCGCCGTGCATTTGCGTAATATAAGCGGTGGGACTGATTTAGCGGGCTGCTTTGGCATTGAGAATCCGCTCGAGCCGGTGCATGTGGGGGGTTGTCAGGGCCCCACGCTAGGAACCAAGATGGAAGTCTACGATAGCACTATCGAGGATGGTCCGGGGAGGGCGGTGCCGCATGGTGAGCCCGGCGAGCTTGTGGCTACTGCGAGCTTCCCTAACCAGCCCGTCTTCTTCTGGGGCGATGAGACGGGTGAGCGCTATCAAAGCGCATACTATACGCGCTTTCCACGCGTATGGACGCATGGGGACTTTATTCAGTTCCATCCGGTGACTGGGCAGGTGCTGTTTCTCGGACGAGCGGACGGCGTGCTGAACCCGAGCGGAGTACGATTCGGGTCGAGCGATATTTACTCGGTGATTGAGACCCATTTCCCTGAGGTGGCCGACAGTGTGTGCGTAGGGCAGAGGAGACCACATGACAGCGATGAGAATGTTCTGCTGTTCTTGAAGATGAGGGAGGAGCATCGTTTCACCCCCCATCTAGTGGAAAAGGTAAAGGGCAAGATTGGGGAGGAGAGGAGTAAGAGACATGTTCCAAAGTATGTGTTCCAGACCTGGGATATACCGGTGAGTCGTGTTCCCATGATCGAATAGTGGCTGGGAATGGGGGCTGACGAGATGCAGACCACTGTCAACTTGAAGAAAGTCGAGCTGCCCGTGAAGCAGATCGTGTCGGGGAGGATCATCAAGCCGAGCGGTACGCTCGCAAACCCGGATAGCTTGCAGTTCTATTACCAGTTTGTGGAGGTGGAGAAGGTAGTTGAGAATATGGAGAAGGAGAAGAAGGAGCAGTTCAAGAGTAAGCTATAGCGTGATAGTCGGAAGAATGAGAGTAAGATGTCGCCCTCTGCTAGTAGGGTGTCACCCAGCAGGAGCTAGGAGCACCCACATAAGCAATCCCGCGTCAGGTTCAGGTTAGAAGGATAAGAGCTTTAGAATATATTAGAAAGAGTACCTCAGGACGAGCTACCCCAGGGCGAGCTATCTCGTGTGGATTGCATATGGGGGTACTCTCTAACTCCTGCCGTGTCACCCTCTGCGCCTTTCGGAAGGGAGCCAATCACAGCGGCTTGTTCCTCGGTTAGCGTATCCCTGTGCGAGACACCTTTCTTCAGGCTGGCCGTCTTCAGCCGCACCCCCACCATGCTTTCTAGCTCTACACTTTCACACACACCACCCAGTCATGGCTCGTTGATGGAATGGTCCGCTCCTTTGATTTATAGTCACCAACGGTTCAGTCATGGCCGAGCTGATACCTAGTCTAGGCGTAAACCAGGCCGGATTCTTCAACGACGCTTGTGGCCAGGTCGAGCTCATTGAAGTTTCTAGTCAAGGTTCCTCCAGGAGACGGCTAACGGAACAGTTGGTACACGAATATGTTCTCAATGATTTCGAAGTGCGTGGCTACATATCCATTACGCTCCTTCAGCTGACTTATTGCAGAACCGTAAGGCTAGGGCAAAGCCGAACACAGCTGAGCCCACTGCAGAAACGTTGAAACTCTTGTGAGTCCACCTCGCGTGCACGGAAGGTTGCCACTCATTAGTCGCGCAGTTACTCTCGTCAAAAGGAACCGTTCGAATATCCGAAGACCATGGGCCCGATCCCAATGAAACGAGCGCTTTTCGAGAAGATGGCTCCGTATGCTAGGATCCCCAAGATATACCCAGAAATGCTGTTCCGCAACACAGCTATGCGGGCAAAAACTTATCCTCAGACTCCTGATAGCCAATTACAAACATCCCCCGAAGCCGTTCGAGATGAATATCTCAGTGAGCAGTTCCTCCTAATATAAACAAGGTAAACCTTACTGACCAGCTTAGGCTTCATCATCCAGTCAATTCCCAGAGCCGAGAGGGGTGTCTCCGTGGGCGCGTCATTCACGTATCACTTCAAGAGTCGACATATGTATACCTTCATGCACGGCCTGGAACACGAGAGATATCGGCTATTTTCCGAGGTGTTAGAGCAAGGAGCTGCTCGAACAACGCTCTTCCTCATCCCCGCCTACCTCGTTCAATTCAACCTCGTCAGCCGGCAGGATTCCCTCAATTACTGGCACCGGCGGATCAAGGACTGCGAGAAGACGATGGGCGTTAGGGATGATCATCCTGTAGCAGTGGACGTCACGCAGCTAAATTTTGTGGAGTTGTCGAAACGTGTGCAAAGCATCACGACTAACATGGCATACATGGCTTGGACGTGCACGAATACGACGCGTCAGATCGAGTTCCTCGACGAGGTGGCGGAGCAGTACTACCTCCAAGCTATCAAGAACGGTGTTATGGAGGAGGAAGCGAGTCGAGTTCGATGCACGCTTATCGACACGCACGCGCATTTGCGCTCATGGAATACTGGTCTTCAGGATAGAGCAGAGTACCTGTCTAAACGCGGACAATCTCTGGTTCAGACTGTGAGTGCGGTCTGACACCCTCCGCTAGTTCGTTCTGATAGATGTCGCACAAGGTCTACAGCGGTATCGCTCAGCGCGACTCCTCACTCGCACATGAAATCGGGATTGCCACCTCTCGCGATAGCGCAGTAATGCGCGTCATCGCCGCCATCACCATGCTTTTCCTACCTGCGACCTTTACTGCTGTGAGTGCTTGCTCAAGTGCTTGCGCGAAGGTTCCAATCTCTGACATGCGCCAGACTTTTTTCAGCACGTCTTTCTTCGACTTCAACGTCGATCCAAGCAAGCATGTGTACTCCACATGGCTATGGCTATACTGGGTCGTCACTCTGGTTCTCACAACCGTGGTCATGGCCGTCGCCTTCCTATGGTGGAGGAGAAAAGAGAACGAAATGGCGGAACGGAGCAGAGAGAATCGCCAGTTGACAAATTGCGAAAAATCTTGCTAAGGCAGCGTCCTGGGACAACACCCATGACTCTGAGGCGAAACACGGCCATTTCTGCACGGCACTCGATGCATAATTCAACTTTGCTCATTAGTCGCACTTCCCACCGCTTCTTCATGTGCAGACATAGCTCCACAACACGCCTCCTACCCACTGAGTTATATCATCCCATCCCGGCGCCCCAAAGTCATACTCCGGCTGTAAATCGTGGCAGTGATCTCCGTCTAATTTTCCCGGGACGAATAAGCCCATCCTGCAGTGGCAATCCGGGGTGTCGATCCTGAAGCTCTGCGTGGTGCCGATGTGCCATTCTGGGTCGAGAGCGATACACACATCTGCGGGCGCGCTGATGACAAAAGGAACTCCGGCGTAGAAGCGGCCGTCGAAGAGGGTAACCTGTGGATTTTGGGTTAGTGAAGGGTTTTCACGGGAAAGAAGTGCGAGGCTGGTTTACGCCGCAACGTTTCCCGGTGCTATTGCTTGTGATGACGACGCCGCCGACGGTATTTTCGAGCTCATTTAGGGTAGGCATCGCGAGGAGGGTGCCGCTTAGTGCAAGGCTGGTTACGGTGGGTATGATGGATAGATGGGGAAGCCTCATGGTGGAAAGATGGCGGGTTAACTGGTCTGAAAGAGGATAGGTGCTGTGCGAAGCGATCAACGCGATCCGGTAACGCTTTATAAGAGTTCTTGGGTCGACGTCACGGCGTTTAACTGTTTGGAGAAAGGGGTCCAGCGAAAGGTCCAGCGAGAGGTCCAGCAGACGGTCCAGCAACCGTTTGCTGGTGTACTTGTGCGACCGTGATATCTTGAAACTAACGAAGCATGCGTGCTACACTCCTAGCTTCTACGCTAACTTAGCTGTTCTCCTCACGCTCGCCACTCCCATTCTCTTACGTGCAATCCCACCTGTCGCTTCCATATTCGTCTTACTCACACGCAAAGCACTGCACAGGATACTGGCTGAAGTTCCCATAACCAGGCGGCTTGATGCCGTACACCGGCCTCAACGCAGCACAGTGCCTATTCTCAGGATTCAGACCGACGCGACAAACGCAGTCCGGGCTCTTGATGAACATGCTCTGGACACCGTTGGGTAGCCAGACGTAGTCGACGGTTACACAGATTGATGCTGGGGCGGTGACGCCGACCTGTTTTCCGACGTAAGAGGGCTGGTCGAAGAGGGTGACCTGGATGTGAGGGATTAGCGAATTAGCAAGGTATTCAGCAGAAAGGAAGGGCATACGGAGCAGGTTTTCATGTCAGTGGCGGAGCGTATGGTGAAGTGCTGCTCGGATGCATCGGCGGCGGCGTCCGCCGGAAGAGCGTGGGCGAGAGGCAGCACACCTGCTAGGAACGCGAGGAAAACTGTTTGGTGGAACATCGCGGTAGCTTTACCGGCGAGAAGGGTGAAGATGAGGACGAGGGCGAGCTAAAGAGGAAGCTATGTCCCCATATAGAAGGCAAACTTCAGTGACCACGTGATGGGTTGGACGGCATTTGGGCGTTTGCCTGCGCAGAAGCGTCGGGTACGACACGGAAATGATGGCGCGGGTAATGGCTTTCGGTGACACAGTACGGGTATCAGACGGGGTGAAGTGTTTTTGACCGAATGTAAAAGCTAATGTGAACTGGCAAATATATTCGTTCAATACCGTTCCCGAGCTCATACAGCCATGTCCGGAGCATAGAAGTTATGTGGGGCGCCGTGATGGAAGGAGAAACGCAGGAACGAAGGCGATTGAATGAAAACTTTTCCCCAATGAAGTAGTACTGACACGCTCATAGTCAAAGCGTCCTTTCCACTCCGCCAATCTCTTTTGAAACAGGCGGAACTGCGCTTGCCAGACCCGGAGCTCACACCCTCCCTGAGAAACACTTATAGCTGTCCAAAACCGTATTTTTAAAGTCCAGGAACCCTGGCTTTCTCAAGGTGGTGTCCAGTGGCCAGGAGCCCTTACATTCCCTATCGCGAGCCCCACCGGGCCCATGAGTAGAGAATTGACAGGCGCAGTCGTCGCCGACTATGTAGAAACTTCGGATGCCGTTGGGCACGTACCGCCGCCAACTGTCGAAAATATCAACGCACTGGCCAGACGGAGCGTTTATGCCAAAGTGTTCGCCCATGAAATTGGGCTGATCGCAGAGTACTATCTAAAAAGCTGGTCAGAATAAGTCCCGTGTTGAAGAGGGTGTTGTAATTGAGTGGGAGTTCAGCACATTGCAGTAGTCCGCAGAGGCGGTGGATGCGATGGTGATGTTCACGGAGGGCATCTCGACGATATCGCTCAGAGTAGAAGCATGGATGAGGAAAGGAAGGGCCGCCACGATAGTGGCGCGGCAAATGGGATAGAGAAGCATTGTTTGTTGATTTTGGTGAGAAGAGGATTTGGACGGAATAGTGCTGGCGCTGAAAGAATTGAAAGGAAATGCACCGATAATAAGTACCCCTCAGCATCCGTGGGGATTTTTTGGGTCCATATCACAGAATAGTGTGATAGGTTGGTGCACTTGTTCGTGTGAGGAGGGACTGCTACACCATTTGGAGTGTCAGGACCTGAACAAGACACCGTACAGCTCGAAGAACCGACATTTTGATCCTAAGTTGGCTTCCTGTCCCTGCACATGACTGAATGTTTGCCTTGCGAGGGATAATCTATCCATGAAGTTCATCAAAAGTGGTACGTTGTTCTTGGTACTGCCGACACTTGAGCATGCGGTAACGTCGTCAAGTCGTCACGGTAGGACAGGGGACAGCGCGGGGCTCGGATAACACATAGAGAAAACAATTGCGGGGGACCGCATTATAGATGAGAAAGAGGAGAAGAAGAGGAGTGGTGGCGGGAACCTTGTTGGATTTTCCTATGGCACTATTACTATTCGGGGCTACACCATTGAGCCGCTTACAAGGCCACATGGACTCCTGAACCCTCCGCATGAAATCCTAAACGAAGACATAGCAAATATTCCAGCCTGAACACTTTGTCTGTCCGCAAAATTCTACATGTCGCAAAGGCATAATTAAGGGTCGACAAACCGAGGGCAAACCTGACTTCACCCACACATGTACTCACAACACGGCCTGCGGGACTCCACGTCGTGACTGCCACACAAGCGCCCTATGCCGGAAGCATCACTCATAAGCCGTCGTCGCCGAATCCCTGGGCTTCGAGGAGGACGAGTACGGCTCGGACGCCTCCATTCAGTAGCGACGGGTGTAGGGAGATGTCTCCGGATGTGTAGGATGCCACGCAAAGCTGGAGATGTTATTGCCCCGGACGGGTAACGCATTAAAGGTACCCAGAGTTCCCGATGGGCGACGACGCTCGGACATATCGATGGGTTGTGTACGTCCACGGACTTGGGGTGGAGTGTCACGCGCATTGGGAGCCGGGGTCTGGCGGGTGAATGCAGCCCGCAGAGGTCGAGAGGACGGAAGACCATGGCCGCCAGGTCGATCCGAATGGAAGCCATCGCTAAGGCGAGGACCTCGGGCGGAGGGATAGTCGGAGTCATTCGGCCTGAGGCGCCTAAGCTCGGAGGTTGGAAAAGAGAGCTCAGGGAAGGGAGCACGTCCAACCGGTGTACCAGAAGAGTCGCAGAAAAGCGCGGCGAGATCCTCGGCATCGCTCTCAGCTTCTTCGTCATCTTCGAAGGTAGGACGAACCCTGGAGTCGACAAACCGAGCGGGCATGTGGACAGTGTTACGCTCTCGAGTTTGCGATAGTGACGCTGCCGCGATACCCTCATTAGTAGGCCCAGCGGCATTCTTTCGAAGTAATCCAGCTCCAGCGGCCGGGCGTCGAGCGATCATGACAACTTGCCGAGCATCATCAACCAAGCGCTGAGCATCGGTAGCTGCATGGCGGGCGGCGGTTGCCAAACGACGAGACTCCTCGTTCGCACGACGGGCCGAGGAAATTGTGCCCAGTGCGACGATGTTCAATATCTCGGTGAAAGTATGGGAACCGGGAGAGTTCCGCCGCAAATCACGCTCCAGATCCGCAAGCTGGAAATGAACACTATCATAGAGAATGTCAAAGTCGGCCGCCGAAACGGACTTATCGGAGGAATCGGAAGCGTCTTCACCATCAGCGATCGAATCGAAAATGCGAGGGGCCAGATCACAAACGAGATTGGAAGGCGGAGCTGACTCGTTGCGGGCTGATGAACCAACAACATCTCGTCGTGGTCGTACAGGCTGATACTGTTCAGTGTTGAGGACGTACGACAATGACTGCCGTGGATCTCGAGCATGTTGTCGGGATCTAGCACCGCCGGATGACGGAAGAGCTTCCTCGGCGATATGAGCACCGTTTGCGCTAGCATTCCCTCCGTCGACGTCCATGCTGTCATTCATTAGGAAGCGAAGCCGACGGTACTGGTCGGCCAACTCCAATGTCGGCTCCATGGCTATAGCGGTACTATCAACCGGTAGAGCTTCGTTCTGTAGTCGGTCGACTAATGCATACAGCAAGTCCAATAGCTCTGGGTCGGCAAGCATCCTCAAGTATTTGGTATTGATCGGGTGGATTGCGTGGATAGTGCGGCCGGTGCTCTGCAAGACAATACGGTGGTATCCTGGAACCGCCTCGATATCGCGGAGAGACTGGTATTGACCAGTAGTTGCGACGATTGTGTCGGGGCGCATAGTGAGTTGAACTACCGCGGTGAGTGAGCTAAGTGTAGAGTTGTATAAGAACTCCCGCTTAGGTTGAGGTTGCCTTGCAAAGAGTTGGTGTGCTGCGGTTGAGCTTAATGAAGGCGATGGGCGGTCCTTTATATTTCAATGGACAGCTAGTGGCATCGTTTTCACAGTTTATGAAAACGAGCCCGCGAACATTCCGGAAGTGTTCGCTTCCGACCTACTTTCACGACGCACAAATGCTAGCTGTTGCTGGGCCATACGGGATTCACGTCATACCGGACAAAAGTGAGGTTAAGAAGAAGTCATTCACTGAGATTTCCGCAGAAATGACGTAGATCTCACCATAGGTCAACGACTTCACAATATGGACGGATCTTGGCTTTGGGTGGCGACAACACAGCATAGGGGAGATGAAGCTGTCCCAAATTAGATCATTGATATCACTCACAAAGTTGGATACGAAAGATGCTTTCAAGTTGAACGCCTTGATAGGTATACACAAACTGTGCTCTATGAACCGGGCTTGATGCCCCACAATCCCGCTTTCCGTGGATCTGACCAACGATATCTACAAATTCCCTGCGAAGGAGCATCCGCTGATAGGACCGAATCCGAGAAAACCACCACATGGAACGCCGACATTTCTATCTCACAGCCAAGGCTTTCCTAAGACCGGTATCCCATGTCCATACACACCATCACTGTCTCTCACGGACGAGGCTCCTTGCCAGGAATGACTCATCCTTATGAGCGGCTTGCCTTGACATACTCAATAAGTCGAAGGACCTCGCCACCCTTTCCTATTGTCCTTTCCGCCACAACACTGTCTACCATCCGTCACTCTAGCGTGAGCTCCAGCTTGACCCTGCGGACCCTCGCCTCTATGATCACTCTTTGGCACCATATAATGGTCGCGGGGGAAAATAGGCGTTCCATCTCGATATACCGGCCCCCGTTGTCGGAAAGGACCCGCGTCATTGCTCTCTCCAGTCACCGGATCATAAATCGCGAATGCTCCTGGTGCGGGTCGCCCCCCGAACGTGGGCATATGATGCTTTCCTCCTACGCCTTCATCTGGGTGTGGGTCCATAGAGAACATATCCCCATGATCACCAGATGGAGGTCGAGAAGCCACATTGGCCCGAGGTGGTACCTGGACGAGAGGAGTCGATGGATTATTCGAACCTGCTCGATGGGAGGTCAGTTGCGGAGCGTCCACAGGTGAAGCTCCGCCGTAAACAGGCTGCAATCGGGGAGTAGCGGGAGTGAAACCGCCAGCGCCAGGGATATCGATTGGCTGGCTGGCGCGACGGACTCCGGGATAGGGAGTATGGGCGGGATGTGGACGCATGCGAGAGTATGCCGCCATTGGCACATACCCCTGGCTGTTCCGATAATTGGTGTAGGACGGGCTACTATAATCGCTGCTAGTGTTCTCTGTTCGAGTTGGGAATGCATGCTCGGGAGAGCCACTGCCGCGCCTCGAGTCGGAGGGAGCCATGACGGCGCTGCAGTAAACAGTCTTTGATGTGCTGATTCGTCTCAATTTGTGGGTGCCAGACTGACTCGAGTTAGGTTGTGCCCGGTTAAGGATTGGTTCAAAGCGGTGGCGGGGTGCGCGATGATAAGGTTGGTCGAGGCAAAGAAGAGCGGGTCAAATCTACATCGTAGGCCTAGGCAGCACTTTCTGGTCGTGAATTACATACTAGTGAAAATGCTCAGGAATAATAGCCTGTTGCCTGGTCGCGATAGGAAGGAGTCATATGGTACCATATCACGCTTGCAGAAGCCCCATGGCCGCATTCTCTCTCACTTTGCAATTAGCGGGGCCTACAGGTTAAGGGAAAGGGGGCATTTTGCGTACATATCGTCGAGGGAATAGCTTTTAATTGGTTGTCGGTGCCTGAAACACAATGGTAGTTCAGTGAATGACTGTGCTTAGTAATCGATTTCAGGGAGGCGCGTGATAGGTACGATGCTACAGTTGAAAGTGAAATTGGCAGCGACGAGATATTTATATTATGAGCCAATTTTAAATGGCGACAATAGAAGAATAGCGGGAGCGGAGAGCAAATGTCGGTAATTTTCTTTTGCACTGTTCGTTCAAATATTATAGTTGGTCTACGAAACGGGTCAATCGGGATCTGCGTCGTACTAATCATGTATTGTGTAAACGAGGAGTTTGAATAGATGGGAGCCATACCGGAGTTACAAATCTCCATTAAGCGGTTGGCTCGTGAGGCGCCGGAGTATTACACTGTTTGTCGTCGTGGTTCTCATCGAGCTTCTCGAGCAATACACCGTCCATGGAGTTGCCATTGGAATCCTTGGCCTTGTAATCAGTTTCGCCAGGAAGATCGGATATGACGCGGGAGTCACGAAGACCGAGGGGTGGGTGATAGCCTGGGCAAGTAACGCCGGTGCGGCCAGCTGAGAGATAAGCACGAGACGTTCCACGAAGACGGGAGTCGAAGGCGCCCAAAGGACGACGGTCGGGGTCGGATTAGCGGTTTGAGGTTTTGCCGGCAGATGAACAAGGTCCAGTGACAGCATGCGCATGCCTAATAAGCATATCCATTATCCACCAGATTATCGCAACACCGATGCTTTTTGGGACCGACATGATTCATAAGCTTGGCGTCTGTACGCTGAGGATCGGAGTGAACCGATTTGTGGATGCTCTGTCGGGATGTATTGCTCGTGGAAGCCGTAAAAGAGAGTGTTCGACAAGGGCGAAGGATTCGTTGCCGCCGGAGATTGATCCAGAGGCTCATAGAATAGCATACCGGATGGAGATGCGTGGTGGTGCATAGGAGCCGCAGAGCCGTGACGAGGACATGAGCGCAGAGGGAAAGGGCCTCGATGAGTGCGTACCGCTTTGAGGAGTCGCGACGTATACGCCATATGCAGCATTGCTGGGGATATGAGCTGTTTAGGCAATGCAGACGAGGTTGTGTAGAACAACATGTTCTCTGACGAGGAGGCGCTGAGAGCGGAAGTGGTTTAAGGTTGTGTATGCTTGAAGCTCCGATGACGAGGCGCGGGCATGGTGAATGTATGCGACGAGACTCAAATTGCGTAGTTAGCGCGCAAGTGTGCCGCGACAGATAGTGTGAGGGTGAAAACGAAGTAGAAGAACAATTCAAGGTACTTCAATCCGGCGGATTCACTCGACGGTGAGGCTCGAAGCAACTATCAGACTTGCACAACCAGGATAGTTAGGTGAGGAGCTTCTGCAAAGTATCTCCACAATGTGGCAGGAAGTCGTTGCTGCCGGAGTTAGTGGAAATGAGGTATTTAAGGAAATGCAGCCAGCGTCTGGATGTGTTTATTGTATTGGTGGAAGGACTCACAGCAGTAAGGCGGTGAATTTCCTTCTCCCTCGACTGTTCTTATTCGAAATCGAACTATCTGTTGAGTAAAGTATCGATTTATGTGGTTACGTTTTGTTGGCGAAAGCCGGATTTTTCATTATATGCTATTGTGCTAAACTCCATGCTCGCAGACTCGCAGTCCACTAAGCGGGATAATAGACCCTGTCGTGACATACGGAGGGGTTATTCTTGAGGAGAGGAGGGTGACAGATTGGGCGGGAATGTGAGTGACCGTTGGAGGTCCTCATGAGTTACCGTCATGAAAGAATGATGCCAATTCGATGTGACCAACCGCCTCGCAGGCCGGCGCCAATTGACGTTTTTGTTCCAGACTCCTTTCAGCAAGCCTCAATGCCTTATGGCGCAGCCGTCGTCTTACTAGCGACGATTACCGTTCGCCAAAGTCTGAAAAGTCTCGGCCAGAACTAATTGTCACATTTACCCATTCGTGGCCCCGCTCCCATCGGTAGGTGAAGGTCCCGCCGCGACCGACCCGGTTCCAAGCTCCGTTCTCCGGACCAGAGGAGGTACCTGCGGATTGAGGGGGACCGCGGCCGGGGACGGGCACGATTTCTTGCTCGGCGCCACGGGTATGGATGGTATGCGCCGAATCAGAAGCATGAGTCCCTGCACGCTGCGTGCGTCGACGACGACGAGAGTGCGAGGACGAATGGGCAGGCTGACCGTACATAGCCAGTTGGCCGCACGAGGCCGGTTGAGCGTACGATGCCGGTTGAGCGTACGAAGCAGGTTGGGCGTACGAAGCAGGTTGGGCGTATGAAGCAGATTGGCTATAGGACGTAGGCTGCCCATATGCGGAACCATTCGGGCCACCCGTGGCAGTCAAGTATGTATCGTTACCATAACCCTCTGAAGAGGAGTAACTATCATCTGAGTACGTGTAAGCCCCATCAGAAACCTCAGTGTCATAGCACTGCACACCCGGCCCATAGAGCCCCGCCAACGCTGCAGAACGTCCAGATCCGCCGACGTGACGCTGAGAACGATGGCCAGTGGTAAACCTACGCGTTCCGGAAGCCGTCGGGTTCACGGTCGTACGACCATGTGAGCCAAAGAAGTTCTCGACGCCGAACGGAGAGCTACCTGTTCGAGCCGAGTTGGTATGGCGATGACTAGAGTGCCCGGAGCGACGAGAAGACATACTTGCTGTAGATGAAGCTGTTTCTATTGGGGGTGTGTGTGTGTGTTTGGCTCAAAGGCAAGAAAGCCGATTTGCACCGGATCTTGCTTGGATGGGGGGTTTGTTGTTGTGTTGTTGTGTGGTGAGAGAGCCTGAGGGATGAGCAGAACAGCTTATATATCTTACTGCTCTAACTTCGACGTGCCTGGATAGTGGAATTGTCGGCTAAGAGGCACATCATCTGTTCAACAACAATGAGTCGCTGGCGTTTAGGGGTGGTTCAAGAGTGTGAACTTACAATGGAGTCTATGGAATGGGCCTTCAAAATGGGAGATGGAGCAGTGATGCCGACGGCATCTATCACAATTACAGATCAAATGATAACCAAGAGTAGCTGCAAAGACACTCAATAGTTCTCTGGCAATGCTTGAAAGCCATTGTTCGTGTACAATGCGAGGCGAAAGGTTCCAGTGCGATCAGATAGGCAAGACAATATGGAACAAGGGATAGATGAGATCTATAATGCAAGGTGATAGAGAGAGGATCCCGCGAAAAGTACAGTGAGTATACAGACGCAGCCACAGAGCGGGAATAAGTAGATTGCACACGCCATCTACAATACTCCATCGATTTCAGAAATCTAGATGGCATGCGAACAGGTTGCTTGTATGCCTCTTAGGATCGATCTACGAGAGACATATTTGTTTGACAGGAGACGTGGAGCAATGACAGCTATAAAATGTGCGTACTAGTTCGTTCAATGAGGCGCACGGTGCGAAAACGCGCCGCTCGGGAGACGTGTCCCGAACATCGATGACAGGCGGGAGTCATGCGTTATGAAAGTGACTGACAGTGCATGAGGTGTGAGAAGGGAGGAAGGAAGACGTTTGACTTGACGTAGCGGCGCTGAGATCTCAACGAAACGATGCGCTAAGCTCGAACCGGCTAGCTCTCTCTGGCATTCATCGGTCATCGGTTCTAAAATGGTGCAGGAACCGATATGTAACTGGAAAAGAACGTTGGAAAGAAATAATTTTGGTGGCAATAGGTATTAACTCATTGAACGACTGCTATTTAGTTAGCCTTGTGTGTTCCAATGTTAGAATATTATCTTTTTTCACGAGCGCGACCCAGGCAATGGCGACAGCGCTGTAGTAGGGATATAATTAGGAGGACTGAACTCATGAAAATAGATCATTGAAAGCGCCGAAGCTGCGCAACATGTATAGCGTAGCATACCAGGCGCCATGAATATCCTCAACTCGAAGAACGCCATACATCAATGCAACAATTCCTTCATAACCAATGTACCATGTACAAGTCTGCTGCTATGCAAAGCGCACCCTCACCTCCGCAGCATATATCCCAAATCCGGCAACGCCTCCACAATCGCCCGTATAATCTCATCTTCCTCCGCTTTTCTCCTCTGCGCGGAGCTTGTCGCACTTGTTAGCGGCTGCTTCGCTGGTGGCGTCATGGGCCGGGGCGGCGCGCGCGCGAAGGGTGCTGGTTCGGGCTCGGCCGGCAGAGCGGAAGGAGGATTAGTGCTTTCGAAAATAGACCACGGGTCTGAGGGGTCGGTTTGACGTTGAGGTGAAGGCGCTGGTGTGGTCGTGGTAGGGAGAGAGGATTCGAAGATGGAGAAGTCGGGTTCTGGTGGGCAAGTGAATAGCGGCGCATCGGTGGGTGCGGGAGGCGGTGGTGGTGATGATGGTGGTGCGGGTGCTAGTGTTGAGGGTTCGATGGGTGCTGGAGGAGGTAAGGAGGTTTCGAAAGCGGAGAACGCGTCGTCTTCGGTGGCACCTGTTGCTAGTGGAGCTGATGTCTGCGTGATTGGCGACTCTGGTGGGCTTTTGATCTGCGCCGCAGGATTTGAATGCTCCGCTTGCAAAACCTCTTCGATTCCCATGGTGGGCTGAGGTTGAGCTCGTGGCTTCTCTGGCGTTGACTCTGTAGACTTGTTCCTTGCCTTCAAAATTCCCGGGCCTATAGGGCCTTCCTCTATACTGGCCGGTACAAATGCGTTCGCTTTGAAGAGGGCTGAGGTCGGAGACACGGTGCCTTTGAGGCGGACGATAGGGGACGCATGCTTAGACCCGCTCGGAAGGGGAAGAGGCTGCAACGGAGAGGACCTCACTGATTTTGGTGTCGTGGACGGCGTCGAAAGCGTGTTGGCACGCGTTGATGGTTCTGAGAGGGTGGCTATGGGAGTCTGCACAGTGGAGACGGCGGGGGATTCCACCATCTCACCCCAGTCGTCATCATCGTCTACTGCGTTTGCGGGTTCGGGTTTCGAAGATGGATTAGTGTCTAAGGTGCCTAGCTGTGCCCATGGGTCTACATGTCCTGCTGGCTTAATTGGCTCCGAAGCGGGAGGCGAGAGTGTTGATGTAAGCTCGGTCAGAAAGTCGGTGCTTGTTGCTGTTCTCTTGTGGGTTGCTGAGGCCCTGGGCCGCGGAGTAAGGTCGACAGACACAGCTCGGCCTTCTTGTCTTTGTAGCTTTGAGATAGCGCTATGCTTGCCTGTCAAGGGTGACGAGGTAGACCGCAAGCCAGGCGTATCGCGTGGAGAGGGGAGGTTCGCTGCCGAAGGAGAGCTCCAGTTGAACGCGGCGGGGACATCAGTCGATAGCGGCTGCAGATTCTGCTTCGCCGACCGGATAGACTTCGACACAGCGATCGACGACTTCTTCCGGAGGTGTGCGTTCGGTGCTCTAGGGTCCACAGGTGCGGGAGAATCCCAGTAGAAGGACGCCCTTGCGCCTGGTCCTCGTCCTGCGATCCTATCCTCGTTCGCCCATCTAGACACTACCTTGTTCACTTCTGACCTTATATTAGAGGTCTTCCATGTCACCCGAATGTAGTTGTCGTCATCGTTCCCGCTGTTGAATTCTCGCATTGTCTGTCTCCGTGTGAGGCGGTACCAGGCTTTCCGAGCCGATGTGGAGTGGACTGGATCATGCGGAGCATCTTCAAACTCTTTCCGTTGCTTTGCAGGCGGAAATAGCTGAGCCAGTAGCTCTAGGTCAAGCGAGTATCCGCCGCTGACGGGAGGCGGAACGGAAGCGATCCACTTCTGTTTGGGTTCGCTGTCTGAAATACCGCTTGCAGGGTCCTCCTCGGGGCCCCAGCGAGGAGATGCTAGGGGTTGCTGTATGGATTCAACCTGAAGCTGCGATGCAGCCGGTCCTTGTACTCCATCCTCCTCGAAGTCCCCGAATTCGTCGTCCGCTTCTTCGCTTGCAGCTGGCGAAGGCTCTACGACCGGCTCTTCACCTTCTTCCACCGCCTTGACCTCCCCCTCTTTTATGGAAGCCTCATCTATCGTCCGAGCCTTCTCGGCTGCTCGCTCGTCTTCGAAGGAAGTTCGCGGAGACTCGGTAGTTGTCTCGTTATGGCTGATGTCGGAAGGAGACGTAGACGGTCGCGTGGAATGGTCATCGTCCGGGTGCAAGGAATCGGCGAAGTCGGTCGCTGATCGCGCAGGTGCATCATCGGGTTGTATCGTAGTCCCTGAATCGGACGTCTCTGAGACTACATTGTCTTGCTCCCTATGCGTCTCCGGGCTCGTGTCAACAGCACTCCACTCATTGCTCCCTCGATCCGGCTCTCTTCCTCCATGCTCCTCAGAAACATCTTGCGCCACGTCCGGAACGCGATCCCAAGTTGCTGAGCTCGCGAATGCATCGCCGCGCGTCTCCGAATGTGCTACGTTTCCAGAACCCGGCTTCCTAGGGGAACGCGCCCATGCTCCAAATCCCTCATCTTCAATGCTTCCCCACTGCGCATCATCCAGAAAACCGTTCAATATCACCGGTGCAGGCGCTAGAGTGGGCGGCGGGGGCGTCGTGACCTCCTGCTTCGGCGGCGTCTTCTCGTCGGCATCGTCTGCCCAAGGGTCGCCCCAGTGATCCATGGTCGAGGCGGCTGGATCTTCATAATGGAGGTCTGCTTTCAGAGAAGCATCCTCACCGCGAAGACAGCGCGTTCAATAGCGAGAAAGGAGATGAGACCTGAGAAGGGCAGTGAGGACTGGTGCGGAGGACTCGGAGGATCCCTGCCAAGAAAGCGCGCCGCGGTCCTTCTTTGTTTCCGGCGGACTTACGACACCAAGTGTTTGACATTGTTCAAGATCATCTTTTAGTCTCCACGACGCAAGCACCGAATTACTGTCCACAGTGGTCATTAATCCTACGATATTTATGGCTCAAGATGGCGAACACGTCCACATCACTCGCTGGTAGAGGCCAACCTTCCCACATCAGCCCCGGACCTCCCGGAAGTCAGCGTCATGATTAGGTTTTAACCCAATCATGAGGAACATAGGAGTAAACAATTTGTTCCTCCCCGCCTCAGCGATGCAATCACCACCGTGGATCATCTCCTTCGCCATCTTCGCCGTTCCCTTCCTAGCCACACGCACAACCTCAAGCCCCCGAATAACCAAATCCAGAACCACGCGTCCAACACTCGTCATCCTCGCAACCCTTCCCCAATCCGCCCACCCCTGCGCATACTCCGTGTCTCCCGCACAGAAGTACCACCACGGAAGAGGATCCTTGTGGTCAGCGAGATCTTCTGCTGCCTCGATCACGAAGCCGGCTTTGCCCATAGCATCCTGAGCCTCCGCAGATGTCCGAATGCACGCGATACCGTTGCCGCGCTCCATTCCGTGGCGAAGAGCGATGTGCCGTGGGTTTGAAGGATCGAACGTATCGGCCATCATCACCCATTCATACACGCCGAAACGGCCGCCTGGCTTGAGGACGCGAAAGATTTCGGCATACGCGGATGCGAGCGACGGTGCGTGGACGGTGGCTTCCATGACATAGACTGCATCGAAAGTGTTGTCGGGAAAGGGTAGTTTCTGCAGCAGCAAAGGTCAGCCGCTTCCTGTTGTCCTAGGTCTCCCCACCCACCGTCTACACACGTACCATGAAATCCCCCTTGACCAGCTCCAGCACGTCTCCGCCGACTCCCTCCTTCTGCGCAATCTCGCGTCCTTTCTCGAGTTGATAGTCATTGTTATTCAACCCTACAACCTTACATCCCACGAAAGTCGCAATCTCCTTCGCTGGCCCGCCGATGCCGCAACCAACATCCAGCACTGCCATGCTGGGGGCGAGGTTTAGGCGGTGTGCCATATAATGCTCGTGGCGAGCCATCGCCTGTGGCATGGGCTCGCGACCGCGTGGGTACCGACAGAAGTGGAAGGACTGGCCCCACCCTTCAAGGTAGAAGTCGGTAGAGTTGTCGTAAAAGCTAGACGACGGCGTCAGCGGGCTACATGGTATAGAAGCGCGATGGCAGAGAAGTAGGAGAAGTAGGAGAAGTAGGAGGAAGAGGAGCCTCCGCGGTAGAGCGTACTCATTTGCTAGCTTGTCATAGTCCTCTCGTCTTCGCTCGCGGCCTTCACTGTCATTCGCATCGCCTTTGGAGGCTGAGCTCATCTGCCAGTGTTTCAGGTAGTCAGTCGAATCCGCGCGTTTGCCTTTCCGGTTTCTCATCGTCGACTCCATGGCGAGTGTTTGGGGCGGGAGCGAGGTGCGTTAGCTGCGTTGAGTGTTGGAGTTGGGGAATCGCCAGGACCCTGAATGAGCTTCTGCACGGTGCAGTCGCAAACGCGGGTCCGGAGGAAACAGGTGGGGTGGGGGCGTCATTGCCTTATGGCCTTCCGTGTAACATTGTCGGCACAGCTGCGCCGCACCGCATAGGTACTGCAGGATGTTGGGCCTTGGCAGGTACCGACAAGACGGCGTCCAATGAACCGTGGACGCCGGCACGCCGGTAGCAAGCGGGACATTCACTGCATGTCTCGAACTCATGGACTCGGGTCACACAGAGTCATTTGAAGACTATAGACCCACATTCGCATATTGCTCCATTGTCACACGTCGAAATTAGATCGCCCTTCTCCTGATTCGGAAGGAAACCTTGCCAGCCGGAAGCTGCACTCCGGGGCCATAGCTTCGCTCGTCCATTCTCCATGCCTCCTTGTTCGCCGTTAGCTCGATATCAAATTTCTGCACGAAGGAGGCAAATGTCGACAGAATCTGTTGCTTGGCTATGTGTCGACCGGGACAGGCGCGCGGGCCGCCGCCAAAAGGGATCCACGAGGATGACAGTCCATCAAGCGTGAAGATGGGTGTCTTGTCGGTATCATCTCTGCTCCCATTCGCTTTCGCGGTCGCTTCCAGCGCTTTGGACGAATGGTTCAGTGCTCTGTACGTTGGATTGAGAGGCCCACTCTGGGCGTCTTTTGGGTCGAGGAGGAATCGCTCAGCCCAGAATGTATCCAGCGGGTGCTTCCCATCCCGGGTGTTCCAAATTGTCTCGTCTTGATGCGCTGGATGGGTTGACGCGAGGCAGACCTTGTCCCGCGGAATAAGCCATTTATCGCCTAATACGACAGAGCTGTGAGGAAATCGGCGCGTGATATAAGCCTCGGTGCGCAGTCTCAAGGTCTCTGCATACACAGACTGGAGGAGAGGAAGTTGCGAGGAGTCCTGCACCAGAAGTTGAGCTGAAACTTCAGAGAGCGGCGCCCGAATTGCGGCGAGAAGGTTGCTGCTGCGGTACACCTCGAGGCTCATCCAAAACGCCGTGATGATGAAGTTGTAATTCGAGCTTTGAACATGACTATGGTTAGTGACCGACCCATAGGGGACTCTGGAGGGGCAGGCTTTACTTACACCCAGATTATTCCCAGGTAAAGAGAGGCCACTGCGTCTTCATCGAATCCGTCCATTTGCAGGAATCTAGCATGCCACTTTTGAACTTCTTTCGGCCCCCAATATGCGTCCGAATGGGAGAGCTGGTCGTATCCCTCGGCTTCCTGAGCTTGGAGCATGAGTCGCTGCCAGTGCTTGAGGGCGCCCAGAAGTCGATCACGAGCAGCATGTGCGCCGGGGGACGTCCATTTCGCAATTGGGCTATAGAAGCCATATAAATGATGGCTAAAATACCAAAAGTCTCTGCAAAAGTTCGGGTGGATTTGGAGAAGCGTAGATCCGTACGTCACTTCGAGGTTTGCCCGAAGCATCTCGAGTTCAAAGAATTCCAGCAGGTCCGTATATTCCACCCACGAGTCTCCAATTGTCATCGCAGAGAGTTGGGTGTCCATGCGGGCCGCAAATCGGGGTGCGAGCTCGACAGACGCGGGACCCCGTAAGAATTCTTTGAGCACTTGGTGCGTGATGTAGTCGATGCGGTTGTTCGGCTTTACGTGGCTATCTGGATGTGGTTTGGCGCTGAATCCTGAGTTGTCTTTCGCGTACAAGGGGGTTGCTTTCTTAGGCATTTTGAATATCAAACCAAAGAAGAATCCATGGAGCTCAGTCGAGGTAGAATGTGCGGATTCTTTCCACAGGCTGGCGATGTTTTCAGTGCCTCGAATGACGTATATGTCGCCTAGAAGGAGCGGTACGCAGACTGGGAGATAGCTGCCCAGATGCTCCCTGCATTGCAAGAGTTAGTGAGCTCGTGTATGTCAGCGCCACGAGAAAGACGATATGACATACCCAGCTTGAAGCATGAAATGTCTCGGGTTGAAGACGAATGATAACGTATTGGATATGAAGGGAATCGCGGAAGACATAGTCGGGGGTGCTCTCAGATGCTCTTCCTGCCATTGACGGCGGCGAGAAAGTACGCATCTGAGAAGGTGTTTTGCAAAGTAGAGAGCCGCGCACGCTCCTAGCAAAGCAGTAGAAAGCAAGAGGGTTCTTGCGAAACGCTGCAAGAACATATCACACAAACTTGGGGTTGTGGCCATGACGAAAGTCTTTGGGGATTGTGAGGGGAGTCAAAGCTAGGTCGCTTGTAAGTCGGCAGTGAGCTCGATAGGGGGGTGGCATGAACGCATGCGCTTAACGGAGCTCCTCGCCGTAGTCTACGGGCAAATTCCTGCCTCATTCAAAGCCGGGGCCGACTCATGCGTCTCTCAAACATTCATCTGTTCGTGTCTCGGTGTTGCGTGTGCGATTACTGTCGTTCGAACATGGTAAGAGCCGAACCGTATTGGACAGCCCCTCCCTGGCTGCGGCAAGGGCATCGGCGGGTGGTTTCTTGCGCAAGGCAGACTTTGGAATATTGGCATGGGGAAGCGGACATGTCGCTGCGCATTGCTGGTGACTAGAATATGATTCAGACAGGTGTTTGAAACGCGTGCAGCATGCAGGCTGCAAGGTGGAGGACGAGGTGGACAGGGAGGATAAAGCCTCCTAAGGTTGGGGGTCGCTATGGCCGAAACGGGAAGCGCCCGAGCTAAAGCGGGGTCGGCAAATTAATGCCCACTTGCGGTCCAACCTTTTGCTCCCACCCAATATCGACCCCTACCACACCATGGGTAGGACACCGATGCATGTTGGCATTGGATGGCCATCTTCCCTTGTCACACAAGCGATTGTATCTCCACGCTCAAACTGCTGCAATCTAGCTCCCGGGCGTGTCGAGCGTTGGAGGACGAACTCTGGGCTGACCATCAACTGATAAGCCAACATGCTCCCCAGCTCGTCCCCAAGATGACACTCTACGATGCAGAAATAACGTCTACACCATTTGCTCTGGCATACTGCCCAGCTCGCCAATCATGACAAGCGAGACCTCAGGTTCCACATGCCTGTCTAATGCGCTGCCGGTCCGTCTATCGGAGGGGAATGTGTGCAACCATGGCTTCTACTGTACGTTTGCTCCTTCTCCTACCGTCTTTGCTTTTTCCAGAGTGGAAAGGTTCCCCAAGGAGATATGGTCAAGATCGGTCAATCCAGCTCACACCGTCAGGCCCCAACAACTCGGCAGCACACCCCCCGGAATACTGCCCGCCCACGAGTTCTTGCCAAAGCATTCGTTTGCAGATACAGCAGAATGTTTGCTCTGAACCTCAGGGCATCTTCGAGCCTACCATTTGCCCACCTGGTAGTTATTGCCCTGAGGGCGGCAATTCACTAATGGAGTGCCCTGCGAAGCACTTTTGTCCGCTAGGTACCATAGACCCTGTTCGGTGTGGCGCTACTTCTGTCTGTCCCCCAGGATCCATTCGAGAATTCGCGCTGATTGGCTTCATTATCGTTGTGGTCATCGATCTCTTAATGGGTCTTTGCTCATGGTGGCTATCATGGACACTGCAAAAGCGAGTAGCCGCTTGTCGTTACCGTGATGTGGAGGCATCGCAGCCCCTGCACGGTCGTGAAGAGTCCCGCTTCTCGAGCGGTGAGAATGAGGCCGCCGACGAAAACCATGACATTGTTGCTTCAGGTATTCGAGATTACGTGTTTTCCGTCGCTCGATGTATTAGTGGTGGTGATATCGGTCTATCATTTGCATTTTCGGATCTCAGCTTTAAAATACCCGGTACTGGAGTCGAAATTGTCTCCTCTATTACGGGAGACATACGCAAGGGATGCCTTTGCGCAGTCATGGGAGCTTCTGGGGCAGGAAAATGTATGAAGCTCCCCTCTGATTGCCTTTATCTACTAACCCATTCTATAGCTACTTTCGTCGACCTCCTCATTGGAAGAAAGCAATCGAAGACTGGCATCACGTACATCAATGGACGGTCGACGAAGATATCCGAGTGAGTTACAGGGGCTCTGGATTATAAAATGCGGCGTCTAACACCCGGTAGATACAAGAAACTCATCGGTTATGTTCCACAAGAAGATTTATTGCTTCCTGAACTCACAGTTCGCGAGACCATGATGCATTCGGCGCTGATCCGTCTGCCCCGATCATGGACAGATTTGGAGTGCGAGCGACATGTCGATCTCCTTCTCCGTTGCTTGCACCTCCAGCACGTGCAGCATAACATCATTGGAGATCCATCCAATCGTTGTCTCTCTGGAGGAGAACGGAAACGCCTGAGTATCGGCATAGAACTAGCAGCTGCACCAATGGCGCTATTCTTGGATGAGCCTACATCGGGTCTGGACGCCGCATCGGCACTTTCCATTGTACGACTGCTGCGGCAACTGTCGCGCATGGGGGTCACGATAACCCTCATCATTCATCAACCGAGGAGGGAAATTTTCAACTGCCTAGACGATATAATTCTGTTGGAGAAAGGCCGACAGATCTACCAAGGCCCAAGGGCAGACCTTCGTTCACATTTTGAGTCTCTTGGGCACAGCTTCTCCAACGTATCCAACCCGGCTGACTTGATAATCGACGTTATATCCACCGGAAAGGCTTACTCGAAGGAAGCGACCGTTCCGCAAAGCGCTAAAATTGAAAAACGACATGAAGGAAACATCGAAACCAGGGATCGTACTATCCAAGATGAGAGTAACCTCAAAGACCTATTGACGCTCGCCTCCCATCGAGGAGCGCCGTGGCTCCACCAGCTATGGCTTTGCTTTATCCGCTCTCTGAAGCAACAACAGAGAAGGGTATCAAGCTTCTATCTTGAAATCAGTGTTGGCGGGATAGCTGGCCTCATCATTGGTCTTTCCTTGTATTCCTTTCAAGGTCTCCATTTTCAAGGAATATATTTGCCCCCATTTGAGCGACTGTCAAGCTCTGTCAACAACAACACTGTTGGCATGATTGCCTTAATGGTTTGTATGGCAATCGGTCTCACAGCTTCGCCGCCGGGAGTCAGAATATTTGGTGATGAGAGTAAGTAGGTCACTCAATTGCTTGACTCGGCTGACCGCAAGATCACAGAGCTGGTATACTGGAAAGAGTCCAGCTCCGGGCATAGCCGGTCAGCTTATTATGTTGGCAAGGTCCTTTCCACGTTCCCCAGGATATGCATCTCGGCGCTCCACTTCACGTCGTTTTACACCATACTAGCTACTCCCACAATGACTTTTTGGGAAAGCTATGGAGCAAATCTGCTGTACTTCTATGGTACGTATTCCTATTACCTTGGATTAACGGTAGATGTCTTACCCGCATCAGCAATTTATGGCCTTGCTTCATGTGTCTCTGTAGCTGTTAGCAGGCAAGACGGACCATTAGTAGCTGTGATCGTGTGCTTGGTTATCAGCGTACTTGGTGGTTATGGTCCTTCCCTACGTACTGTACAGCAATGGCATCTGGAATGGTTTTGGAGGATGTGTCCAGGTGTAAGTCCTAGAGTCCGAGGCTCCGGTCGAAATCCCCTTCTTCATTGATGCTCTGATCTCACTGACATCCACAGACATGGGCTAGTGAAGCATACATTGACCGGACTTTTCAGAGAGTTAGCTACCTGTATGATATTGAAGCCGCTGCAAAAGCTACTGGCTTTGTGCTTAGAAGATATGGATTGGATCTCAGGTGAGAATCGGACTCCGCTAACCGAGTGGAGCTAATGAGCCACTTGTAGCATGATATTTGTCCTGGGGACTATATATCGCATTCTCGCTTTTGGCGGTCTCTTGGTATCTGGTAGGCATCAGATATGATTGACCCGCGAATACCACGTGGGATTTCCATCTATAGAACTCAGGGGAGCCTAACAGCATGGCCTGAGAGTGTGGGGTCGTGGTTTTGGAGGTCGGAGGATTAGAAGCACTACGGAGCATAATGCTATCCCGAACGTGTGCATCACATTTGCTCCCACCGGGCCGTCTTACGTTAGATTTCTAAACATTGATTGGTAGGGATTAGGATCGTTGGGCTTTTGTGGAACGAAATGAGAACACTTCTGCCTCACGCTCAACACGCAGGCGAACCACTCCACTGGTCAAAGTTCAACGGAGGTGTTTACTCCGAGGCCAGGGTGGGATGGATGTGAATGCACCTCAAGCGGCAGGATGAATCAAGAAGTCTAATAACGTACGTACCTGCTGTGCGACCCAACCAGATCACCTTCGGACCGCATGTCAGCCTTGCAGGGCAAGCATCCCAGCGCAACGGTCGTCATATTAGCCTGGAATACAGGGCCATGTGTAACTCGGGGTTCATCCTGATGCATATGCAGACCCTAGCGCGTGCGTACGGGATGGCCTTCGAAAGCAGAGTGGAGCAGCGCACCCCTCTGGAAAAGGATATATCGTTCGACGGCAACTGCGGGACCTTTAGCCACCCTAGGCATTCAACGTCTTTCCAAATTTCAGCTCTCTTTGATTCACACCAGCAGTCATGGATTCCTACGATGATGCTACTATCTACAAGATCGAGCATGCCGGGCGAGTGAGCTTGCCTGTCTCACGAGTGAGTTACTTCCTTTCGCACTACCGAAAAGCTCTGCTCAATGCTTGGATATCCATATGATGTGGTGCACTTGCTGATGTATCGTACAGACGGTCGCCGGATTCTTCTGCGCCCTTGCCATTCTCGCAGCGGTTGGCAGGATAGCAGTTCGACTCATGATTCGACGACGCCTCTTCGCCGATGATTACCTTCTTCTCTTTGGCCTCGCGTCCCTCGGAGCAGCCACCGGTGTCTTCTACAAATTCAGCTGGCTCATTTACGTGCTCAACATACTCAAGTATGATAGGAGCGTAATCCCGACCGCTTCGGATCTCAAAGCTATCATGAATGCACAGGCCATCAATTATTCGCTCATGGCATTAATGTGGTCGGCAATATTTCCTGTCAAGCTTTGTTTCCTCGTATCCTTCAAAGTACTCATAAAGGACGTTTCAAGGGCTATCGTGGCCTGGTACTGGGCTACTCTTTCTTTGACGATAGCAGTGTGGGCGCTTATGATCGCGCTCCCATTCATTGAATGCCCGTACACGGGGCAGGACCTCAGTAAGTTTATCTGCTCCATTGACTCACTGATAAACTTCCTGCTGACCTAGATCAGTTCTGCACTGCACGCCTGAGACTCCTTACAAGAAAACAATCGCCGGCAATTGGCTGGCCTTCAGCACCGATGCGATCACAGATATAATGAGTAAGTTCTCATGCGAACCTTCTCGACCTGCTCAGTCATTGACATAGGCATAGTCGTGGCGATTCCCGTCTACATCCTACGTCATGTTCGCATTCGCCTCACCCAGAAACTTGCCATCGCCTCTTTCCTATGCCTTTCTGCAGTTATGGTAGTAACTTCGCTCATTCGGGCTGTCCTAAGCCGTCACCGTGGATGGGGAGATCTCACGATGCAGTACCTCCTCATATATATCGAGGCATGCGTCGCAATCTCCATGGCTTCCATTGCTGCATACCGTGCAGTTTTCGTGGAACGAAACAAACAGAAGGAAATGGAAGCGCAAAGAGCGCTTGATCAGCAACAAGTTCATCACATCGACGGCCGTAATTTTCAACTCCAGGAAATTCCAGCAAATACGTTCAAAGGCCGCATTCGACAACTTCGCCAAATGCACAATGGCTCGGATATATCGGACGGTACGCACATATCAGGAACGGCGTACCTTGATCAACCACGGACGGGCGGGCCGAAGTTGAGTACGGTTTTGTCCTTCATCAGAGGCGTGGGTAGAACGAGGCAGGAGTCTTCCGTCGATTCGGCACCGGATTTGGATACTTTCCATAGTGGTCCCGCTAGCAAAGAAGAACAGGGCAGTAAGAGCGAAGGAAGTAGAAGCCTAAGCTACAGCTGAATGGAGGGGGATGCATGAGGGGCGGGATGGCGAGGACATTCGCGTATCTTCTTCGCGAGGCTGATGCAAATACGCCATGAGAGAGCGGCACACGGTATTGATTCAATCACTAGCTTTCCAGAAAGTTACGAAGCATACAACTTTTGCTCAGGATTCATGCCCGCAGCACTCTTGTCTTGACTTCCAACTGTCTTGGTCATGTATCAGAACAATAGCGCGCTGCCCAGATTGGTTCTCGCACCAAGACACCCTTTCGCAAAATTCATGTTCCACTCGATGGATACTTGCGCCGAAAAGGTGTTTTCCCTCTAAGCCGTCGTGCTCCCGCCTTGAGGAGCATGGGGTCTATTTTTTCCACAAACCTGCGATACGGCCGAGAGACCAACACAGGCTAATTAATCAATGCAATAGTGCAGTGGACCTCCTGGATCGCATCGAAGTTGTCGGTCCGGGTGGCTATTTTGGCAGTGTTGAGGTTGATGCCTCAGCCTTGCATAGCCCCCACGAGTCCTCAGGAAATCCCTTCCACGAACCCGCAAAGGCGCTTCCTCTAGCCACGCGCCATGCACCTTCCCGGTAGATCGAAAGACCCTCACCGGAAACAAACCCTGTACATGCGTGGCGTGCTATCGCCACCCTTACAACTAAGCCTTGTGGCACATCTGCCTTCGGTCGCCGAAGTTTAATGAATTCATACTCGTTCCAGTCCCACGGCATTGATATACTTGACGCGTCAAATGGAAACAGCAAAGGATGGCATGGAACAGGAAGATGACTACAGAAGCTTTTGCCGATGAAGGCGAGGAATTGGGGCCGCCGTGCCCCCGCTTGCCCGGAACCCAAGCATGTAGGAACTCGCAATGATTGAGAGACCAACGTTTTAATCAATATTCCTATATTGATGGTGCATGGAGAAAAGAGGCAGCCCTGAGAAGTGTTTCGGGGTTGCAACTGATGCAGTTGCAGTTACCGGTAATATCGAGGTGGAACGATTGCCTTGGGGTCTAGAGTAGCATGAGGCTCAGCAGAAGAATGTTACGTACTGTCATTTTGCTCTTCCCGGTTCTAAAGAATGTTGGACACGTAAGTCTGGAAAAGAGTATGGTATGAGTCAAAAGATCTACTACCCGCGGGATGCCAGGTCGCAGCACGACCGCGCTCAGCCATCTAAAGACGTCCAGTATGCGATACACTCTACTCATCGTGATTTTGTTGTTGCTGTCTTCCGTTTGGATTGGTGGGGTTCTTATTTTGGTTAGAGTCCAGAAAATGACGTCATCGAGAACGAAAGCCGACCTCTGCTGTGTCAAGCGAGCGATACTCCAAATTTCGAAGTATATCCATCATACTTGGACAAGATCAGCACTCTACCCAAACGGCCCTCGACCGCTACCGTTCCTGGGAAACATCATTTCACTTTCGAAAATTGCCAGAGGAGGGGACGCGGAGCTACTCCGAATCGCAGCAAGAGATGGAGATTTGGGGATGTTTTGGCTCGGTACGAAACCGATCGCAATCGTCAATTCTCCCCAAACCGTAAAGGACCTCTTAGATCGAGTAAGAGAATTAGTCTTCTCCTAACAGCTAAGCTAAAGGCGGAAATAGAGGGGCTCAATTTATTCATCGCGGCCACTTCAAAAGTTCCGCATGGAGGCCTGGCCCTGGAGACTTGTCATTACTCCTGCTGGAGAATCTTTCCAGTTTCTCAGGAGGATATACCATCAACTACTCAGTCCTCACTATTCACTGAGGCAGCAAAAGTATCAGGATTTCGAGTCCCAGGTCCTGCTTAAGACACTCCTCGATCAGCCAGAGCAGTTCATGAGGTCCACGCAAAGCTTCGCGACTAGTGTAATTCTCAGTGCTTGTTACGGAGTACGGCTGGACCAAATCCACCATCCGGTTGTGAAGGAGCTGTACTCTATATGGGATTCTATGCTGATATGCGGGTCCTCTCTTCCTTACACTAAAAAGTTAGCGTTGACCATATGATAGATTTCCAACCAGGATCGCTACTGATCGATTTTGTACCTTGGCTCGAATACCTGCCGAAATTTCTACAACCCTGGAGGAGGACTTCGTCCCAGTTACGGGCACGCGAGCTAAGGATCTACGGGTCTCTTTTTTGCGCGCTGAAACGGCGAATAGAAACTGAAGGTGTCGCCGATTGTTTCGGTTCCGTACTCCTCAAGGTAGAGTAGTGCTCCTTCCCTATTTGCATAACCTGATATCATCTAGATTCAAGAACAAGAGCGATTTGACGACGAAAGGGCTTGCGACATTCTTGCCATGCTGATCGGAGCAGGGTCCGACACAACATCTTCGTATCTCCAGACCTTCTTTAAAGTAATGGCATTGCATCCAGAAGTTGTAGCTAAAGCTCAGAAGGGTAAGCTAAATTTCAAATTCTAAACTATGGATGAAATAGAGATGCTAAGCTCTCAAAGAAATCGACCGAGTTGTAGGGCCGGCTCGATTGCCAGGCTGGACGGATGAGCCTTCCTTACCGTACCTGCGCGCCATCATTAAGGAGGTTCACCGATGGGCCCCAATTGGCGGTCTTGGAGTGCCACATACCGCCACTAAAGACGACATCTATAATGGCCGACTCATACCGGCGGGGACTGTCGTGTTTCCTAATCTCCCTGCCCTTAGCCGCAGTCGCATGCGATATGATGAGCCTGAAAAGTTTACACCAGAGCGCTTCATTGCAGATGACCAAGACGCAGCTACCGCGGCGGTAAATCCCGATTTTACGAAAAGAGATCATTTCCATTACGGATTTGGACGGAGACTTTGCCAAGGCATTCGTATGGCAGAGTCAAATTTGTTCATCACTGTCTCCCGGGTGTTATGGGGGTTTGAAATCGAGCTGGATCCTCATGCGCCTTCGCTTGATATGAATGCAAAGATAGGTAACGAATCTTTCATAATTTTAATTACTACATGCTAATTACATTACCAGCCGGGCTTGTTAACAAGCCAAAACCCTACATGCTCTCCATTCAGTGTCGGGGACCTGTTTTCGAAGACACGATTAGGCGAAATGTGGACCATGCCAGCACCGATGCTGTGCCGCTGAGCTCAATGACATTGGATGTAGACGTATATTGAGCAACGCCGGGTTCTGCATAATTTGACGCTTGGTTTATCTTCGATGTTTGAGGTTATGCATGCAGGTGCTGCAGTGCTCGGGTCCAGCTTACCGTAACACAAAGTGCATTGCCCCATCATGCCTGGTGTCTGCTGCATCTCTAGTATCTCTGTTTTGTTTGGCTGGATCATCTCATATCATCACTATCCCAAGGCTGTCCGAATTCAGTCTCATGCCTACCAGAAAGTAGAACACGCATATGGCCCCCCCACCCATCTCATCACCCCTTGGTTCACGACCGCGTGATTGTACTCAATCGCCGGACACCGTGAATGGAGGACGAGGACACAGGTAGCGTCTGTGGCTATAAGAAGCGGGCGTTATACTGGCATCAGTTTGAGGCAACGTTCTCATTCACGCCATTTCGACACTCAGAAGCGACTATCGTGCGAAGTCTGCTCAAACAGCCTCTTGCGTCAGTATGCAGTACCAAATCCATTTCGCGATACTCTTTGTCAGCGGCTTGCTGTGGACCTTATATCGGGTTTGGCAGTACAAGCGCGACTCTAAATATGCTGATGGACCTACCCCTTGGCCCTTGGTCGGGAACATATGGACGATATATCGACTACACACTGACACGGAACGAGTCCTTGGAGAGCTGGGACGCAAGTATGGAGACATTTGCATGCTTTGGATCGGTCTTTGGCCAGCCATTGTTATCAACTCCGCGGAGGCCGCACATGATATCTTGCATAAGGTATGACTCCAACCCCGGAAGATTGGAAAGTGGCTAACGTTTCTAGCGAGGAGCATTAACTGCTTCGCGGCCCGCTACTAACCTGCGGCTCAAGGTAGGCAGGGGAAGATTAGTCCTTACTCCTACGGGGCCCGATTTGATGAAGCTGCGCAAGGTCTATCATAGACTGCTCAACTCAGAAAAGTCACAGAGGTCGAGGAGTGTACTTGAGTCAGAGTCAGTTCTGTTCCTCGACGAACTTCTCCACGACTCCTCTTCCTTTTACGAGTCGGCCGAGAGATATGCACTAAGCATAATCTTTACATCTACCTATGGCGTGCGTCTGAAAAGCGTTCACAATGAAGTGGTCGCAGGCCTGTTTCGAATCTGGGACATCCTTTTGAAATGTAAGCTATCCATCTTCACCGAAGGCATGCAACTTACCAGTCTGATAGATTTTCAACCAGGCACCCTGATCTTGCCTGACACATTTCCCATTCTGCTACGCTTGCCAAGATGGCTCCAACCTTGGGACATACTGGCTAATAGGCTCATTCAGACTGAGCTCAAGGTCCATCAATCATTCATCGACCGGTTGAAGGGACTACATAACTCAGGACTTGCTCCGGACTGCTACGGCACCAGCCTTCTTAAGGTAGACTCCCGTGCAGATGCTTAGTACCGCCTTTAGCTGATTCCAGAAGTGGCAAGAAGCTGAGAACATCGATGACGGCATGGTCCGGGGTATTCTGGCAATGATCATTGGCGCCGGATCTGATACTACTGGTTCCGTTCTGCAGACTCTTTTTAAGGTTATGGCACTTCACCCTGACGTTGTTGCTACAGCTCAACGAGGTAATTTCTCCAGTGATCCGGTGCTCTTTTACCTACTTACCCGATGTGGCAGAACTTGACGCCGTGGTCGGAAGGGAAAGACTTCCAACATGGGAGGATGAGCAAACTCTCCCATATGTGCGTGCCTTGATCAAAGAGGTACACCGTTGGGCGCCGATTGGTTGCATCGGTCCATTAAGTCTGCCATAATCTAGATGATATAGCTGCTAACATGTGTCAGGTATTCCGCACGCGGCCACGGAGGCTTTCGAGTACAAAGCCAGGATGGTTCCGAAAGGAACAATCCTTTTCCCTAATCTGGTGACGCTGAACAGGGATCCAGAGCGCTACGATAATCCCGATGCCTTTAACCCCCTTCGGTTTATAGACGATGAGCTTGACGCCTATGCATGCGCAGTGAATCCAGATTGGAAGAAGAGGGACCATTTCCATTACGGGTTCGGCCGCCGTGTCTGCCAAGGCATAAATATGGGCGAGGCTTCGCTTTTCATCGCTATTTCGCGTATCTTGTGGGCGTTTGACATCAAAAGCCGCCCGAATTGCGCTTTAGACATGTTTGAGAAGATCTGTGAGTACTTTGCGCCGCCTCAGTCTATCAGACCACTAATCTCTGCACATTTGCAGATGGCCTTGCAACCAAGCCAAAGCCGTTCAAGGTTTCGATCAATGTACGAGACGAGGCAGCGGCACGAATCATTCGACACGAGGTTAAGCAGGCATCGGTTGGAGCGGAAGGAGTCCTGGATATGTAGATCTTCAGAGAAGTCTAGTTTCAATACACCCTTGTTCTATATCGTGATCTTGTAAGCGCCCAGTGTAACCTCTGAAGACGTGAAATTAGATTGGCTGATAGTCCTTTAACCCGTGCCCCTACCTTACGCGCCATTGCATATGCAGGCGCTCACGGCCCCATACATGCGTGAAGTCTGTAGTCCCCGAGAATAAATTAGGGGGCCGGCCAGCCGGATACGCCTCTTCCGTTTTGGACATGTTGAGTATTCTTGAGCCACAACTCAAAGGCAAATACATTTTAAGTCCCCACCTCTTTGCTTTTGCAGACCGTCAATCCGCAAATGACCAATACACACGGCAAAGCATGGCCAGCAAAAGTAGATTTTCGAGCCTGGCTGCGGTTAGTTCCCATGCTGGTCCAGTGACTGTCCCCCAGTCAAAGGGCAATCCCCCGCTCGGAGAAATCATGTCTGACTTATTCGAAGTTCCTTAGCTCTATAAAAGGCGACCTCGCGAATATCACATCACCTCCCGCGTTCCTTGCGCCAGAGTCAGTTGTGGAGATTTGTACGTGCTGGGCGGAACGTCCGAGTATTTATGTCGCCGCAGCGCGAGAGCCAGACTCACAGCGACGGGCGCTGCTGGTTTTGAAATGGCTTCTTGCATCCCACCGGCGGCAGTTTTATGTTGGGGCCAATGTCACCGCAGGTATGAAGAAGCCACTGAATGCGTTTCTCGGAGAGATATTCTTGGGGCAGTGGACCGATGATGTCACCACCGTGAAAAGTGTGACCGAGCAAGTGAGGTGCGTATTCGAATGGCAATGCTCAGGTGCAGGAGCGTTTGATAGCTAATCTGTCTGGCAGTCACCATCCGCCAGTTACGGCGTGCTACATGGCCGACGAGAAGTATCGGGTTTGGGTAAGTGCAGCTGCTCCAAAAGTCAGGGATATGCTCACCATTGTTTCAGGGTGAAGGATACTCACGGGTCGACATGAACTTCACTGGCGTTCTCAACGTCAATCAAACCGGTCACTCCATGTTCTACCTCGACGGCTTTGAAGAGCAGTTTCTCATACCCTTCCCGAGCTTCAAAGTGAAAGGCTTCTTTTCTGCCCATCTGTATCCAGAAATATACGGTACCTACCACGTCGTCTCGTCCTCCGGATTCATATCCGAGATTACATACTCCGGAAGAGGCCTTTTCGGTGGAACAAAGAACCGAGTCGATGCGAAGATGTACCAGCGAGATGACGAAAGTAAAACGCCCCTCTACATAGTCTCAGGCTGCTGGAGCGAATCATTTACTATCTACGACGGAGCAACCGGCGACCTAATCGATACATGGGTTCCCGAGGATCATCCTCCTTCGACGCTGGAAGAGGTGCCCGTCAGCCAACAGGACGCTTGGGAGAGCAGATGCGCATGGAAAGAAGTCATAGCGGCCCTGAAGGCTGGAGATTTCTGGCGGGCTGCCTCGGAAAAGTCCAAGGTCGAAAACGCTCAGCGTAGTCTCAGGAAAGCAGATCCTGACTATGTCTCGAAATGGGAGCCTCTTTTCTTCACGGCTTCGCATGAGCCGAGGCCCGATTTCGAAGCGCTGGCCTCAGCTGTGCCTGGGTGGGAAATCCATAGCAGCAAAACCAAGGGAGTATGGAGATTTGATAAACAGAAGGCGGGCTATGCTCAGAGGCCGTATCACGGTGGACTCGATCCAATTGGTTCCGAAGACTAGTGCCGTAGGCTGGATAAGAGGCGTGCGGGAGCGGGAGAGGGTGAGTAGTAGGATCGTGGAAGATCACTGATGGAGCTGTCGACGGACTGGGCTTAGGTTGGGCTTAGCCTCTTAGCAAAGACAACCCTACAGGCCTCAGTCAGAGCCAAAACGCCGTTTGTTGGTTTAGGAAAACCGTGAAGCCTGCGGGATAGGGTATGCTGCTGTGATGAGTACAAGCCGAGGGGTCGGGTACTGTGTTCGAATGCAGGACTTTTCATACATGCATCATATAAACGCTGATCTCCTACATCACTTCCCCACCACCGCTCACACTTATGACAGCCTCTCTCCGGGCGGCTCGCCACTCTCTGCCTCCCCCTCCATTCCAGCCGCAACTTGCTCCCTAATTTCTCTTATCTCCCTGTCATCCTCCGCATCAATATCAGCATACTCATCTCCCTCACCGTACCTCGTCCCCGGGCTCACCGCGCGACTGCCCTCCTCTGCACTGTGCTCATCGCCATCTTCGTCCTCATCATCCGTCTCTTCGTCAACCTTGCTACTGGTGTGAGTGCCAAGCTCGGGCTTACGTTTGCGTTCAAAATCTTGTGCGTGTGCGTCGCGGATGATGGTGCCCATACGTGTGAGTCCGCGCGCAATGGGGCTTTCTTGTTGCCCGCCGGGGGGAGCAGCGAAGGAAGTTGCGCGGCGGCGATGTGGGGAGGGGCGTGTGCCACCGGTTTCGAGGTCTACGCCAGAGGCCGTAGGCGCAGTGGATGTGCGGCGGAGATGTGGGCTCAGCTGCTCTCCTTCGGGTCTTGCTTCTGTTTCGCCTGAAGGGCGACCTGAGACTTCAGGACTCGATGGGATCTCATAAGGGAGGGGCACATCGCGACTAGCGCGGAAGTGGCCAACGTTGGAGCAGTGTTCGTTCTCGACACGGAAGAGCGACCACATACCTCTCCTGCAAACCTCCGACAGCGCGATGAAGAACGAGGTGAGGGCTGATTGTTGAAGTTGCCGTGGAAGAATGACGTAAAGGATCCAGTTGAAGCGCAATATAGGGTCTATGACGATCGCAACGTAGTACATCCAGATCTTCTTGTACCCGAGGGTCTGGCGAAGGAAGGGGTATTTCGCACTCGGATCGCCCAGGCTCCAGTCGTAGTAGACATCCCAGAAGCTGGTGTAAATTCCGTTTATGGTAGCGAAGGTGATGAAGATGGCTTGGTTCTGCGATGTCTTCTCGATGCGGTAAATGCTGAGCGTGACGTAGTAGATAATGGTTGCTGTATACTTCCCGCAATTGACAAGATGCGGGAAGGCATTTCCGGTGTCGTAGTAACGTCGGATGCATTGGAGTGCACGCCAAATGCCGGGCAGGGTGGCGAAGAAACCAAGGAGGCGAGAGTGCGATGAGTTACATTGGACTGGGTTGCTCCATTGATTGGCATAGAGACAGAAAAATAGCTCTATGTTCTGGATGGAATTAGCGAATACAAACTGGAGGATCGCGATAACTCACTCCCATGCTGTGCGTCAGAGAGCAGAACATGTCTCCCATGTAGAAGTCTCGCCATTCGACGGGATAGAATCCTGCACATAACAAGCGCCACTAAAGGATGTCAGCAAAACGTAGCGGAAAGAGCGCGAAAAACATACCATGGAATATATGAGCCAGAAGCGGCTCCTATAGTACAACACTGGAAAAGGGTTGAATAACAGGACCGTTGATATACTAAGGAGTATCACAGGAAAGTACAGAAAGACCGACTCGCTGCCATATTGGTTGAAATTCAGCCAGACGAAGAAACCTAAGAGGAAGATGAAGAAACAAGGAAGCTGTGCGGTATTAGCGTGTGCGACTCTCTTCACTCTCCCGAAACTTACTTCGGAAAGTTGCCTCCAATCTAGATGGTGGCGGGTATCATATTCGAATACGAAAACGTAGTTGATTTTGTTCTCGTACCAGACTCGACAGTCTAGGCAAAAGAGTAGAAATAGAACATTCATTAGCAGGAATCCGGCATAAATCTAGAAATGTCAATTGAGGCATATTCCGGACGTTGGTTGGGGACGGACCTGAAAGAGATAACTCGTATTTGTTGCGAGCGTATGGTCATCCGACAGGAGCAGTTCGTAGCCTTTGATAATGCCCTGGATGCCGAAAATGGCGCCTGTGGCCAGTGCTAGGCCGTTTCGGAACGAGTTCTCGTTGTAGTCGCCAGCTCGGACGATCTTGATGCGAAGCTTGTTGATGGCGACCTTGTGGTTGCCGTTTTCGAAGTATCTAGCATACAGATCCTCCGTGGCTCGGATATGGCCTTCAATAACGTCGCTATTTACGAACCAAGCTTTGTTTATCTTCTCAGTCATATAGCGCAGCGAAGGCCGAGCATTGACGGTCTTATCGTACTTCTTATTGATCTTGCGAAAGGCGGTTCGGTTAAGTAGAGCATATGACTTGAGGAGCTCCAGCCCTCGATAGTATTCCTGAAGAGCGACTTTGAGCTTCCGCTTTGCTGTCTGATAGGGTACTTCAGGTAGTTCCGGACGGCGGACGTAGTCGCGGCGATCATCCAGTTGCTGGGGTCTCAAAGCGGATGGTGTCGCCAGATCTTGCATGGCCTTCGTACTTTTGCCGTACTTTCCCGCTTGCACGGCATGGAGAGCGGAATCAATGGGATTCAGCCAAGATAGGTCGAGGGTCTTCCCTTGTGGCGCACCCTCGACAGAGTTGGTTCCGTGCCCATTCATTAAGCCCGCAAGTGCATCGTCCTTCTTCTTTTCCTTCGCCTTCACTTTTGCAGCCTGACGTTTGATGAGCTCATCCAGACGGCGGTCGCGCATCACATGTAGTTGTTCTCTTAAGACGGCTAGCCGCTCAGTGGCTTCGTCCTCTTTCTGCTTGTAGAAAGCTTCGATCTTCTCTAGCTCCATGTCCAGGAAATGGAAGAATTCCGCTTGCCGAATGTCAAACTCACGATAGGCTTCCAGCGGCACATCGCCAGGACTAGGGGGCGGTGTTCCATGCGTCATGGAGAAGACGCGCTTCAGGAGTGGTCTAGGAGCTTGGCCAGTGGGCGTGCCAGGCGACGAGTTCATGCGCTTTGGGCTGAAAATGCTCCTGTACCTCGCCGGTAGGGAATTCGAGGCCGGTGGCGATTTAGTCCTCCCCACTTCAAATGCATTGTCTATCTCCGTCCCTGTCTCGCCATTTGGGGGTAGCGTGACCGACTTGCTCTTCTTGATTGGGGCTGTCGAAGGCCCTACCCTCGGCGAAACATTTTCGGGGTCCAAGGCAGCGCCCGGCAGCTTTAAAGAAGGCGGGGCCTTCGCTCTCGTAGACCGTCCTTCGTTAGGAGGTGACCCAATGATACTGCCATATCTGGTCAAGCCGGGGAACTGTGAGTCCTCTCGCGCATTCAGCGGCGCCTCTTCCGGGTTCCCAGCCCCGAGAGATAGGGTCGAATGATTTCCATTGGGTTTCGCCCTCAGACTGTTCTGGCTGTTTCTTATGGCGAGAGCCCGCAAGTCCCCGGGTTCTCTTGCGCTGCCCGTGTCCCGGCCATGGTTGCGGTTCAGGAATGAGTATTTCGGCGCGGAGTTGAAGGGCGAGGGCGTGAAGGCGTTCGTGGCACGGCGGCGAATGCCCGGGGTCTGGGTGACGTTTCGAAGGGCGCGGCTGATGGCTTTGAGCTTCTTTTTGCCTTGCTGGAGGTTGTGTTAGCGATAAAGAAGCCGCGCGGAGCAAAAGCAGGAGCCTAAAAACGGACCTTGTAATCCAGGTATTTCAGTCGCCATTCAGGAACGAGGTCCCGTTCCAGTTCCCTGATCGGTCAGCATGTGAAATTCCGGCAGATGTGTTGAGCGGGGAGCGCAGTACTTCGCGAATTTCATTATTGCGTTCGCTATTCGCTATGTCGTTGCGCGCATCAGAGGAGCGGTGGATAGGGGAGGATGCGCCGCGACAAGGTCCATCAGCAGCCAAGACATGAGCATCCAGACGGCTGTTATCAATGAACGGAAAGAAAGGGGTACGTGTCCTCGTGTGTCACCGAGAAACCGTTCATTTCCTCGGCATGCGAGATCTTTTGGATCCTACAAAGGGTATCGACGCTCGAAACATATGGACGCTTGGACCACCGCTTTTCGCTAGCGCTACCAAGATACGTCATTTCCTTGGTGTTGTCCCCTCACCTGGGCACGACGTTTCGTCTCAACCAGCAATAAGCAGTTTCGAGCCCACGTGCGATGGTGATGAGAACTGAAGAAATGCGATCAGCTGACCTCGAATTTGCAGTTCAATACGAGCTTGGCATAAAAGTCACAAGGCAAACTTCAACTTTTCACCAACATGGTTCATTGATTCTGATCTATTCGTAGACATCCGTGTTTGGGCCATGAAGGTCCTCCAGCCTCATACGCAGGGCAAGTCCAGGTTTACCACCCGCGCTGGTCAATCCTGTCCGGGCGACCGTACTGGTTTGGATCATACTGATCGGCGTTCTGGTTGTCGATGTAGTGCTCATCGTACATCCGCTCAGCACCCCTCTTGGCCTCATGCTTCGCCTTCTCCTTGTCGAACCAATCCTCGCCCTTGGTCTCGGCGAGCTTGTCTACCTCGGCGGCGGCGAAGCCGGCAAGCATCTCCTTGGCGAAAGCGTGGGACACGGGCTTGCCTAGAGATATAGTCAGCCAACGACCTTATCGAAGATGTTGGATATAACTGTGGACATACCCTCCTTGCGCTGGTGATCCTCGAAAGCCTTGAAGCCGGCGAAGGCTGCTCCACCAGCAACGACCTCGTGGCCCAAGCTGGACTTGTGCTCCTCGAAGTTGTCGTTGTTGTAGACGCGGTCGTAGGACTGCTCAGATTCGCCTAGTGACGAACGTCAGTGCCTCCTCCCCAGAGCGGTGTCCTCAAGATTCCATGCAGCACTTACCCCAACCGAAAGGCATGTTGATGATGGCTGTCGTGTTAAACTTTGAAAAGCTAAGTGAGTATATGAACACTGATGAAGCGAAGCTGTGGTGGGAGTGTTCAGTTGATTGAGATGGAATGATGGAGAGGGGTACAGCGACAGCTGAGGGGTTTAAATATTGCTCCAAACGCAGCCAGCGCATGATAAATCCAGGGACGGCGAGTCCGAAACCTGCGGAGCTGACCCTCTTTCGTCATTCACATCCAGATACAGAGCCAAAATCCAATCGCCAACCAATGCCCCTCAATTCTCTAACGGCTGAACCGTCCAGGACTCGACACTGGCTTTGGTGGGTCTATTGGAGGCCAGGGGTAGTGCATGAGCCACACACAGAAATGGAGCACATTACGCAGCATGGCGGGAGCTCACGATAGCAATTGGTTGCATCGTGGGGATGCCGGCGCTTCCGTCCGAGTTTCTTGGAATCCGCGCATGAATATCTGACGCTCAAGGTCTGGATGCATGCGTAATGGGGTGAGCATCGACGTGGAGATCGGCTGTGCAGCAGGGGTGAGCGATCAAGCTTCGTCAAGCTAACTTGGCGAAGCTTAGCTGTAGTGGCTCCACGGCATCACAGCTTGCTTCAGGGTCGAGATGTGAATATAGACCATGGGGGCGGCTTGGGCTATCTACAGGCTATTGAATCTGATGTAACTTCACCTTGAGTTCAGGTGAGAACCATGACTGTGCGCAGTCGCGCCTTGCTATCAAGCTTTGCAGCTAGGCTTGGCGTGGATCTCAGAATGATCTTCACATCAGCTCCATGACCTCAACCCTCCACCTGAGAGCACCTTCGCCCACAATGCCAGGGCGGTTCCCAACGATAGATGACTTTGCATCCTCTGCAAATCTCAGCATCACCCCCCGTAAGCAGCCGACCCGATGCGCCCCTTTCTGTGATCGGCTAACCACCCTAACAGCACCTTCCTCACAGCAGCCTACGAATGTGCTGATATTACTACACGGTTTGGGCGACACCAGTGCCTCATTCATGCGACTAGGGCAGCAGCTCTCCCTACCAGAGACAGCATGCATCGCCGTTCAAGCCCCGAATCCACTTCCGTTCGACCTCGGCGGCTACCACTGGGGTGACGACATCATCTTCGACCAGAATTCAGGGGGTATGGATATGGATACTGGCTTCAAGGCCTCTACGCGGCTTGTACTCGACAGAATAATACAGGAAGGTCTCATCGGAAAATGCGGCTACAGAGCCCGCGAAATCATGATCTTCGGCTACGCGCAGGGTGGCATGGTGGGACTACAGGCCGCTGCCGAGTTGGATAACGATGAACTGGGAGGAGTAATCAGCATAGGCGGCATGCTGTCCTTCTCGCTGCCGTTGAAGGCTTTGGACAAGAAGAGCAAGACTCCAGTGCTGGTCTGTAAGGCATCAAAAGGATCAAATGTCACAGACGGCGCTGTCTCAAGGCTGAAGGATGCCTTCCAGTTTGTTGAGGTAAAGGAGTGGAAGAAGAATGGAGATGGAATGCCGAGCAGCAGGGAAGAGATGCTGCCGATCATGCAGTTCTTTGCTAGAAGGCTGAGGAGTACGAGAGGAGTGCCTGCAGGGAGCGTAGAGCTGACTTGAAATGAGCTCAGCTGCGCCACCCTATCACGAAAAATATCTGGATGCTCCTCATACAGAAACGCCAGCTGGGCCGTCTACACCGGAACGCGCCAATGCATATTCCAAGAAACGCGTATGGTGCGACGGCGGCTCTCAGTCAGTCAAATTACACTCCAGCAGGCTTAAGGCTATCAGAGGTACAGATTTGCTTCACCAACGAGGTTCTTTAGCCTTACTTCTTCAATATCATTTGCGCGTCTTACTGAGCACGAGCCACATATTTACATAAGCGCACATGTACGTCATCTTTCGCAGCCATACAAAATCGCAGCTTCACCCGAGAAACACCACAAAGCAGCCAGTCAATTGCAGCCCGCTCACCGCAACTTGCTGCCAGCATGGCTGTGCCGAGGAATTCCTTGCGTGGCTTTTTGACGCAAGCACGCGGCGCTCTTCGAGCGGCAGTCGACTCGAGCCAGAAGATAACCTTCGTTATTGGAAACGAATCTGCTGGTGACCAGACCAACCGTAATGCTCTCTGACCCTCGTTGACGGAGAGTACAGATCTCGATTCTATGACTTGCTCGGTCTTGTACGCTTACATTCGCTCCATGGCGCCACCGCGCAACGCCTTTACTCCACTATATGTTCCGATAACGAATATCCCTTCCTCAGGCATCCAGCTGCGACCCGAATTCCTGGCGCTCTTCAAGCATGCCAACATTGAATCCCGGCACCTGATAACGCTCGACGATCTTCCCGACCTGTCCGTCATCAAGTCCAAGCTTCCTCCGGAGAATACGAGGTGGATAATAGTCGATCACAACGCCCTGCAGGGCCAGCTGGGCAAGATATACTCAGATAGGGTTGGTGGAGTCATCGACCATCACGAGGATGAAGGCAGAGTACCTGAGGATACTGGCAGCGAACCTCGCATAATTGAGAAAGCCGGTAGCTGCTGCAGCCTAGTCACCGGGTATTGTCGACAAGCGTGGGACACGCTTTCTGGTTCCGCCACTTCATATGGCGCCGCGCACGCCCAGGGAGACACTTTGTCAGACGATGGCGCTGTTGTCAAATTATGGGATGCAGAAGTGGCCCAATTAGGATTGGCGAGTATTTTAATTGACACAGCAAACCTCCAATCCGAAGAGAAGACGACCGAGCACGACAGGAAGGCGGTCGAGTACCTAGAAGCTAAGATCATGTCTTGCCCGCAGCTTTCCGCAAGTTTTCACCGCAACGAGTTCTATGAGGAGATTGATACGGCGAAGAAGGACATTGGAGGGTTGAAGCTGCAGGATATTCTAAGAAAGGACTACAAGGAGTGGAACGAGAACGGGAGGAAACTCGGCATCAGCTCAGTGGTGAAGTCTATTGACTTCCTGCAACAGAAGGCCGGAGACGAAGCAAACACGCAGCCTGTCGACGACGCCTTGCTCGAAGCGCTGCGTCGGTTTGCATCGGACCGCGAACTTGACATGTACGCCGTCATGACCACGTCCACATCCTCGGAAGGCGAGTTTCAGAGGGAGCTCCTTGTGTGGGCGTTTAACGAGACAGCCATATCCGCAGCGAAGTCATTTGCCCAAGATGCCCACGATGAGCTAGGACTCGAGGACTGGCACGCATCAGGCGTCAAGGCCCATGGTCACGATGGCGAAGGGCATTGGAGACAGGTTTGGTGGCAAAGAAACGTACAGCACAGCCGAAAACGTGTCGCTCCTCTGCTCAGGGAAGCTATGACTTAAGACAAGGTAAACGACTAATACCCGGAAACAGCACTCGGGAGCGCGCGCTACGCAGTGTCTCTGCTGAGCCTCTGGCATGAAGTCAGATTTAGCACTTGTGGTGAGGTGTCACGCTCGTGGTTGGAGCCGGGTTTTGGCGGCGATCGACGACATCTGTTCCCCGTTTCGCAGCATTTGGCGCATAACGGCGGTTGGGCAACGTGAGCGTCAGCCCAAATTTTCTATGCTCAGCAGTCGATGCCCAAGCAATCAGCGGAAGAGAAGTTGCCGAATTATTGGAACTCGTGGAGCGGTGGGACTCACGAGGCCGGCACAAGTTGATGGGTCAGGCACGGGGGGGTCCATCCCTCAGGGACCGACAACATCCCGGTAAAATGCCTTCAGCAGCCTCATTAGCTGCAAAAAAGAAAGCAGCATTGCATGCACAGTACGAAATTGAATGAACGCCACTATCGAAGTTTGGCCTGGTACATGGAGTTTCGTAATGCGGAATGTGTGCGATTCGCCTCGCGCCAGTGAGAGGCAATGGCAGCACTGCACGCAGCTGCAGTCGTCTGCCGATATCCCATTTCCTTTTCATGTTTGCAGCGACGATGCAAGCTGGGGCACTCTAGTGTCAAGCACGTACAGCTGCAGAAGGGAAGGCTCGCCAGGACAGCTGCGCGGCTCATTGGCGGCGGGCAGGATGGGCTTCGGGGGCCAGTGGGAGCTCGAATTTAACTTCAATCTAGGTCTGCAGGATCAGATGAAGTGGGAAACAGCGGTTCTCGAGCCAGCAGCCGCGCCAGTGGGACGCGGCGGTTTGGCGTGCAGGAGGTATTTTGACAGCGTCGGTGTGCATGCGCGACAAGTCTTGGAGTGCCAGCTCATCAAGCACCGTGCAGGGGCCGATCCAAAGTTTCGAACCACTTGCCGCAAGTCACGTCAGGAGGCCGGCGCGGTTCTGCTTAGCCGACTGGACGAGGAGCGCGCGCAGCTGTTGCGGTGCAGCTGCGCGAGACCGGGACGCGGAGGCCGCTGGGGGAGGTGTCGGACGCGCAGAGAGGATGGTGGATGGTGGATGGTGGATGGCAGACGAGGCGGGGCGCGGTGGATGGAGGGGCGGCCGCAGAAACGGCCGCGAGCGCACACGAGCCACCGACGGGAGTGCCGTCGCCGCCATCTGGGATTGAAACGCGGCCAACGGCGCCGATCGCGGTGCGCTGTCGACGAGTCTCGCGGCGCGGCGGGGATGGGCTGGGTTTTACGTCGCGACCTTGCGAGCTGAGGGCTTTGGGCGGGCGGCGCGGCGAGCACGCTGTGGCCCCGGCGACGCGGCGCGCTGATTCGCCCCCGTTCCACCGTGGATGTGCTGTCCTGCAGGCAATGGAGCTCGCCATGAGGCCCGCAGCAGCACTCGGCCAGCTGCCAGGCGGTCTGGCCGCCACCAATCCTCAGCCAGCAGCAGCGTCTGCAACCCTATATCGCAGCCGTTCTGTCCATCTCGTCGCCGCCCATCGCCCTCCGCACCTCGCCGGGGCGTGACCGCTGCAGCCGTGAGTCGTGACCTGCCCGCTGCCGCTGCTGCCCAGCCCCCGCGACTCGAGCCGCCAATCGCCGCGCCGCGGTATCGATAACGACGACTGCTCTGTTTAGACGACGCCTGCCAACGCATACAGCTCGACCACCGCCCGAACAGCCGCCCCGAATCCCTCCAGTACCGGCACTCCAACTGGCAGAGCCATGCTGCGGTAGAGCGCTGCGCTTACCACTCTGCGCGCCACCGCCGTAGGGCTTCAACGGGGCTCCCTGATGGCGACAGGATGATTAGAAGAAATCAACAGTCCGCCTCGCCGCCGGCGCACGTCTCCTCCACCCCCCGTACGTGCTCTGCTCTGCTCTGTACCTCACCTCTATCCTCCCTCCCTCGCCAATAGCCTGGGCCCGGATCAATGCGCTCTGTACGATGAGTTGGCACCTGGACTGACCTTGCTCGCAGCCGTGTCCCCTACCGTCACCCACGTTTCTTCTAGAAGCCACACGCCCTCGCACACTACAACAGCCGTCGATGACCCGCCTGTAGAAGCTCCGCCCCGGTCCTCCAGTCCGCCCAGGTCGCCTTCACCTCACACCTCCAAGCAGCCGCAGTCAACGATGGGAAGTCGACCTGGCGGATCGCACGACAACAATGAGAGGCCGCCGCACAACTTGCACGCGCAGAGGCCCCAGATGCCGGCCTCCGCGTCTGCTCCCGCCGGCCGTCTGCCCCGTCTCCTTCCCGCTGACCTCTCTTCCTACACCGACACGTATCTGCCGACCGCGGCCATCCCCACGTCCGCTACCTCCCTCGCTGAGCTCGCCCATTTGATTCGGCTCCAAGGCTATCAGGAGCAGCGCAAGACCCATTCCCGGGTCCGCCTGCACCGATGGCTCGTGTCCAGCGCTCTATCCGCACGTCTGGTACATTGCGGAGAGCTCGCGTACCGAACTTTGGTTGACAACTTCAGGTCGGACGACAAGAAAAGTTTTGCTACCTTGTATAATGCCGTCAACGACGTTCGGAACTCATGCGACGCCACTCGCCGTTACGCATTATTGGAGCCAGATTTGGAGTTTGGGAAAACGAAAAGTATCAAGAGCGACAAGTCGCCATCTTTCTCAACTTTCTTGAATGAGGTTCCGTCTCAGATTTTGGATGACCTGCTGGGTTTCATTTCTGAAATCCGCACTAATCCAGATTTCCTTGCTACTCGCATTCTCAGTCTCTCTCAGCAAGAGCTTGCTTCTTTAACGTCATTTCGTCAAGCTTTGGATCCCATCGACTCCGTCATGGCCATGCAAGCCCGTGGTAAGGCCGTTGGTACGCAAAAGCCCACTGCGCAAGGTCCCAGTCCCGTGGAACGCCTGCTGTCATTCCAAAGGCACGATCCGTTTGCTGCCCTCATCTACACCATCTTCGCCAACTCCTCGGGGCCAGACTCTGCCGAGGATCTCCGCCGGACAGATGCCTGGGCTACTACCTGCGCCAAGATGATCGTGGACTCCAAGCAAGGAACAGAGAAATTCATCAAGTCCGTCCTCGATGTCTTCGCAGGTATGCGGGAGTGGCCAGGAAAGGCTAACCTGGAGCTTTACCTGATGCAGGTCCTCCAAGATGGGCAATTTCTACTGGAGAGAGCCGAGGAACAGTCCGCACGGCCGGGGACTCAACCAGTCACAGCCAAAGACACCATTGCAACCGACGAGTTCTTCGACCGGGCCGTGAAGCGCCTCTTTGAGGTCGTGGACGACGAACCCAGCGCTGGTGGTATCCCAGAGGGCGTCCTGGAGATTGGAAACGCTATCCTCCGAAAGTTGGATGAGGCTAAGGGACTTCGTAAAGGAGCCCAGAATTTCTTCGTCTCCCGCTGGCTGTTTTCGACCTTCCTATTGAACGCTATCATCCATCCCGAGGCATGTCTTCATTCGACTCTTGTTTCCATGGCATACTAACACTAACTAGACTCATGGTATCATGATTGGCCACCACATCACTGAGCATGCCCGCCAGAAGATCCTCAAGGAGATTGCTATCCGAGCTCAAAAGCATGTCTTGGATATGACCTACAATTGGTACGAGATTTTCTTTGGACCCTTGTATTTTATTGAAACTAATCCCCTCGGCAGGCGCCAGCAAGTTCCAATTCTTCCCGAAATTCGTTCTCACATTGAGAATATTCTGGCAAGATTTAAGCATACCAGATCTCATGCCAAGCCAGTCCTTCTCCCAGCCAAGGCCATCACCTCGCCGCGGGAAACCGTCGAGGTCCAGCCATTTATTGTGATCTGCCCATCGGATATCGTCACTTTAGTCAATACATTATTTCCGGAGCGCCGCCCGCCATCTAGCCATTTTGATAAGGAAAGCCAGCGACGTGCTGGGCTGGCCTCGTCCGCTTCTTCAATATCCGGAATTTCTATGCCTTTCCGCGCAACGCCAGCATCTACAGGCGATGCAAGCTCTATTCTTAGCGCCAGCGCTTCTTCCATGACGAGCGACACCACTTCGAGAGAACCATTGCTAGATGCTGCAAACCAGCCTCTGGATCGCCATGGCCTCCCTGTGGACGAGCATCATCATATCGAGTCCAAGATTGCCCCTACCGAGCTTTACGGAAGGCGCTTGAGGATGGCCTGCTCCGAAATGTCTCGAATTCTAGGCCTTGATGCTACTTCAGGCTCATGCCATCCTTGCGCTGAACGGTGGGCTGTTCTCTACATCTCCCCCGATGGCAAGCAGCTTAAGCCCCGCATGCGCAAGGACTCGGATGATGAAGACGAGCACGACGAGGACTCGCCAGAGAGCGAGAGCAGCGATGACGAAGGTCCCGTAGATAGGCTTGATCTGGAAAACGACTACCATCAGCTGAAGGAAGCCATTGCCAAGCTAGTCGAGGAGTATGAGATTCCCAAGGAACTGGCGCCAGACAGTGAATCGAAGAGCTTCAGTAATCGTACCTCGACTCACCGGAGAGGTGCAAGAGGCGGCGCCATTCGGCAACACAGCGACACCCTCGGATCCAGAAATCCTTATAACCAAGGCCAAAGCCAACTTACCAATCTGATCGCTAGCCAGAGGAATGTACCAGCTCGCCATCGTTCCCCACAACACCCTAGGAGCAACAGCAATCCTCAGCTTTCAGACAAACCGGAGAACAGCTCTGTTCTTGTCACTATGCTAGAAACGGCCATGTACCAATGCCAAGCTCGCTCAGATTTCGTCAACGCTCATCTCTACTACAAGACGCTGCAGTCTCTGCGGAAGCTCAGCTCCCCGTCCCTGGTTAAGAACGGATACGCCGCTCTCTTGAACTACTTCTCCCGCGGTCCGCGCGATTCTCTGGGCAAGTCAACCAACGCCATCGAAGAGTTTGAGGCTTGGTTTGTCTGGTTAAAGCAGTCTCAAGAACGCCATGACGCGGCTATCGAGGACATGATGATAGGGTTGAAGAATCTGCGAGACAAGATGTGGTACATCACCGATGTCCGCAACTCAGGACTCTATGAAGAAGCGAGGAACGTTGCTCTGGCACTCAAGGTGATGGGTCAGCCTACCAAAACGCCCGATGGCAAACCAATCCAGACCCACCGTCCACGCAACTTCTCCAAGTCGTCTACAACCAACTTCCTGCTGAAAACAGAAGCCCAGGTCTTCGACATCATGGCCGCTCCTCAGGACTTTGGTGGGCCCAACAAGTTATCCGACGACCAATCGGATATTACCGCGAAATGGTTGAACCAGTATGGCGTGGAGAATTTCTGCAAAGGTGAGGAGAGGATCCATCGTTTCTGTCTAGAAGTCGACAAGTGCGTGAACAAGCTTGTCGGTGACAGCATGATGGACAGTCCTGTCCTTTGGTCCAGCGAGCTGTATAAGCGAGACAAGGAAGTCCTCGACAGCGGCCGCCAGAAGGGCGATCTCTTCCTCACCGGTGTTGGCACGCTTTCGATCGCTGGAGATGAAGAGTACGAAACTCAAGGCCGACCAGGGTCGCGTAGCCTCGACTTTGCTCAGCGCCCAAGTCAGAGCAGTCTCCGGTCAATCTCCAACCGCAATGGTTCTCAGCAGAGTTTCGACTTGAGCCCTTGGGGAAGCAACCCCATCCATTCGCCCGACTACTTCGGCGGCTCTAGCCCAGTCTTGGCAATCGACTCAAGCGCCACTTTCTGGTCTCCATTCCAAACTCAAGCTCAGTCACCCACCAGTGCCACCAGCATTCGTCCACGGACGGCGTCGTCTTCGAAGGGCACTGTGATGCTCAAACAATCAACTACGGTCAACGAGGATAAGCGGAGGTTCTTGCTCGATCTTAAGCAAACCTTGACGGGTCTGCTCCTAAGCGACCTGGGCACTGTGGTGTTCTCAGGCGGCAGCGAAACTGACTCCTGGTTCTCAGGCGATCTGTTGGAGGATTGTATCCAACGCAAGCGGGATGAAGAGCAGAGACGCAAGAAACAGATTGCACGAAAGAAGAGCATGAAGAGTCTGCGGACCAAGGCTGGCGCCGAGCACCGAAACAGCCCGCTGGAGACACTTGGTCGAACAGAACGAGGCGAAGCCGCCCCTCCTGTCGCCACATACCAACACGCCGCAGCTTCGGACTCTCATCAGTCGGCCGGAGAGCATTCGTCTTCTAGCGCTACCTCCCGCTCCTCGGGTGCATCCACTGCCAAGAAGTCTGGGTTGCTTGAGTTCCCTTACAATGTGGCCTTTCGACGTCTTCTCAACAAGTTCGCTACACATCCGAATCCGTTTTCCAAGCTCCATGCCCTATATGAGCTCGAGCTACTCATCATTGCTTCGCTGTCTTCCCGCTCCGGCCGACCCTACAACAGTCGTCGAGACACGCTGCCGCCAGTCCCACAGTCCCCGACGCTAGGTGCTATGCCAGAGCTCAGCTCGCGAGAGCCCACGACGAACACATCACGTGCTCAGAACCTTGAAGAAGCGATCGCGAACTGCGAGGAGCGTCGCTCGCACACTATGAACCAAGAGGGAGTCAGCAATTCCTCGCCTTTTCTTCAACGCAGTGGCGCACGCTCTCCAGTCGGACCGCCAAGCACCGATATGATCGTCGAGGTCATGCAAGGGCTCTTCCGGGACGCTGACATTCGCCCAAAGACCCTCTTTCGTGACCTTCAGTACATCGCATCATTTGTCCCGGCACAGATGCTGGACAGGACTGCACGTGGGAAAGCATTTTGGGATGTCGGTCTCGCAGCTCTTGGCCTGAAACAAGACGTCTGTCGCATCATGGTCGAAATCGTCGACGACATCATCGCGAAGCACTCTCAGCGCGATGTCGTCCTTCAACAGACCAACGGTCAGGCGACCGAGAAGACCGGCCTTGCCGTCGGTGCTGGTGGTGCAACTTCAAGCCAAGCGCCCGTCTCGCGCTACACCATCGAGGACGCCGCACGCATGCTTCTCATCACCGCCAGAGAGGGCGACCCGGTGGCCGAGCGTGAGCTGGCTATTATGTACCTCACCTCTCCAGAGCTGCTTCACCGCACCATCCTCCCGCTCACCAAGCCCCGCGACGTCTTCAAAACGGAGCTCCTCAATCGCGAGCGCAAGGCCTCTCAGGACTCTGCTCGAAGCGATCCGTTTATGATGTGTGTTGCACAGCACTGGATGGAGCTCAGTATGAAGGGCGGCGACAAACTCGCTGCGCAGTACTTGCGGCAGCGCGAGGACCTGGCCAATATTACCCAGCGGTGATAATACGCACCTCCAACATCACCATTACCCCAGGACTGCCTTCCCCATTTATATTTCCATATACCCGCACCCATTTTACCCGCATCGACTTTACTTATTTATTGTCTTTTTTCTCGTTCTTCGCTAGCGTCGCATACCTACCATAACGGCCTCCACATGCATAGCGAGGAGTTGCCCTTTCTTATATTATTACCATTGCGTGTGCCTTTCAGCTTGATTCCCCGCATGGCCTTTGTTTTTCGACCACATACACGACTTTTCGGCTTTCGTTTCATCCCTATATCATCCTTTCTTATTTACTCGATGACGGGTCGCGGTGCAAATTGGGGAACACCTCACTTGTAGATTTACTTGGTTGGATTTTTTGACACGGCCGATCTAGATGATATCCTGGAGATATGTTGTTGGTCTCGGCGATGGCATTGCCGATGATGGAATGAGGACGACGAGGGACGATGCGATGTGTGTATATGATTGCAGGGCAGCATCGTAACGAATCTCCTTGGATCTGGGATCGGGATCGGGATCGGTTCGGGCTGGGCATTGGGTATGGGATCGGCAAACGGAAACGGGATTTAATGACCATTGTAGATTTCTTGGCTCTTATCGGAAATGGAAAGGAAATATTCGAACATGCCTGCTGCTTCGCCTGCTTTTTTGGTGCCGTTCGCTCGCTTGTGCCTGCCCGACGGTCGTGTTGGGGTTGGGATGCGGTCGGGATTTGCGGGTGTGAAGGTTTTCGGCAGGTCGACGCGAGTCGGGTCGGCGGTCGAGCTTGCGCCTTGGGATTCGCCGGTCTGGAGTGCTTTAAGGGCTTATTACGAGTTAGTGCGACGTGGCACTTTAGTAAGGTTGAGAGTGAAATCGTTCGTGGGAGCTAGCTCAGTCAGGAGCCGGCGTCGATGGGTTTTGCAAGGGCATTAGGAACTCCCAGCGCACCGCCTTGCATGCGGATTACCCTCTGGGGCCCTCCAGGCTCGCTTGTACAACATCAATTTCTCTGTGCCAACGTTGCTAGTTCTAAACTTTGGAAAATTCCACCCGAAGTCCTCCAGCGAATAATCCGTCTCCCAAACCATGAACCGTAACTCAATCCCCTCCTCTTCCGTGGTACGAAAATGAATTATTCGCATCTTAGCGCATCCTCAAACCTATATCAGGGGCCTCATTCCCTTCTCTCCTAACTTCTCCTCCTCACCATCTCCACTCCACATCCACATCACACATCCAGTCTTCAGACCACATTTCCATCGCCAAAACTACATCCACATCACACCCCAAAGCACTCCAGCATGGCCGATCCATCGTCCATCGACTACCTCTTCGAGGACGAAGACCTCCCCCTCCCCACCACCACAACATTCCCCTTCGAGCACCTCCCCGCAGAGCTCCAAAACGCCGTCTACGAAGCCTACTTCGCGGCCCCGCAAACCATCAAGATAAACGCCTCCGGCGCCCTCCTCTTCCCGCCCCTCACGCACACCTCGCGGCAACTGCGCTTCGAAACAGCCGGCTACGTCTACGCCGCGCTCGCCCGCCCCGGCACCCGCATCCACGCGCAGATCCGCGACTACGACGTCGCCCCGCTGCTCAGCCGGCTGGCGCAGCTCTCGCGCGACCTGGACATCCCCCAAGACTCCCTCGTCGCCAAAGTAAGCGTCTCCTTCGTCGGCGCCATGCACTGCGCCAACCTGCTCCACTGGATCCGCGCGCACCTCGCCGCGCCGGCGCAATGCCCCGTGTTCGCCTACGACTGCCCGTCGCTGCCGGCGTACGGCGCGGTCTCGCTGTTCGCGGGGCCGCTCTCGCTGGTTGAGTTTGTCGCTGCGTGGTACCGGCCCGCGGAGAATGCTGTCGACCGGGTTAAGCGGAGGAGGGCGGCGCTGCGGTTCCTGGAGCTGACGGAGGAGCTGGGCTGCGATTATGTAGAAAGGGCGAGGGAGATGGATGACGAGGCGCTGGCGGGGCCGGTGTTTAGGACGGTTGCGGTTTGGCATCATTTGCTGGGGAAGTATCGGGGGGAGCTTGCTGGGGGGAAGAGGGGGAGCGGGGTGAGGGGGGAGTTGTGCGAGTTCGCGGGGGTGGTGTATGCGTTTGCGGGAGAGTTTGTGGGGGGGAGGGTTTTTGGTAGGGTTCCCGGGGGTCTTTGAGGAGGTTTTTGCAAGGGGATTATTTCCTCTGTAATTGTCTTGTGTTGTGCACTTCCTCGGTTGCATTGATGTGCGCTAGATCTTCCATCTCTTCTGGCTTTCCCCTTTGCTATGAACTTCTTGATATTAGTCCACCTCTTCCTCATCCGTTTACTCTTTCTCCTCTCGCCTAACATCAAAAACTCCTCCGAACTCATCGACAGACTGCGGGCAACTGATACACAAACGCTGGAGGGTTTGGAGCGTTGACAGGATGATGCCAATCGTAGTGGCCACCGTTGGGCGATAAGCTAGTCCCAAAATAGAAGGCTAAATTTTAGCAGGGACCTCAGAACTCCCCGGGCCAAACTTCTAACCTCAACTCTCACACAACATCTCCGACCTTGCGAAACTCTGCTCGATCACTCCTTTCGCCTCACTCTTTAGTTGCCACTAGCGCCGTCTGCCGCTGATGGCTGGAAGCTGTCCAATCGTCGGAGATGCGGCTGAGAGCCCCACTTAGGTCATCCTCAGGCAGCAGTAGCTATCGTATTCGAACCTCAACCCACCCAACCCCTGCGATACCGGATAAAAGAATGATCAGCTTAATGATTCTCGTCCCCTTCGGATCTACTCGTGCCCCCTAGCAGTCTCCGGTAATCGAACGTAGCCTCGCGAAGGGTTCTTTGCGGATGGAACCGTGCAAGCTATGCAACGACCAGGAAAAGAAGCACGAGGATGATGCTCGGCTCGCATTCGATTTTACGCCAGAGGACCTTGCCAAATCGGCGTACGAACGGCCCTGCGATTCGTGCATGGTAATTCTTGAAGGACTGCGTCAGTCCCAGACACGCGAGTGGTCGTTTCAGCGCGATGTGAGGAGAGTGTATGCGAGGTGTCATAGTAAGAGGAGTAATTACGCAGAGAGCTTAAGCCTAGAGATTTATTTCGTTGATGATCGACCTAAGCTGGAATTGGAGTTCTATAGCTTGCAACCTCATGGTGAGTGGGTCCGAGCACTGGTGGAGATTATCAGCACTATGCGGTCAGATTGGCTGAGCTCCGCTGCTAACAAGTTTGCAGCATGGAAGGCTGTACTTCCACGCCCATCCATCAGTGGTCATCCGCTGTCACCGCGTGCTTTGGCCTGGCTACAGTCGCTTCTGGATGAATGCATGACCAGCCACAATTCCTGCAAAGACCTCGGTCAGCCTCAACTACCCAAGCGCGTGCTTTCGCTGCAAAGTCACGGCCCCCATAACATTTCCATAAGACTTGTCGAACCGCAAGGGGAATTTGACTCATACGCTGCTTTGAGCCACTGTTGGGGTCATGAACAGCGGTGCACTCTCACGAAGAGCTCGCTCCAGGCCCGCAAGCAAGGAATTCCTTGGGACACGATCCCGAAGACGTTCAAGGACGCGATACGTTTTTGTCTTATGCTTGGCATACGGTATATATGGGTTGACAGCCTGTGTATAATCCAAGACGATGAAAAGGACTGGGAGATCGAATCCTCCAAGATGGCCGACATCTACCAGTTTGCCTATCTGACCTTGGCAGCGACAGCCTCCCCAGGCGACTCGCAAGGATGCTACCCAGAGACCTCCGTATCTGCCGATGACCTGGAGATCCATATTCCGGAAGATGTCGGTGCCTGCAGGATTGCCGTTCGTCGGCCGCTGAAGCATTGGGACAACCTGATCCCAAGTCAACTAAAGCAACAGTTTCCTCTACTCTCGCGAGCATGGGTGTTCCAGGAGCGGATTCTTTCCCCAAGAGTACTCCACTTCTGCAAATCCGAGCTCGTCTGGGAGTGCAGACAGCTCAGCGTCTGCGAGTGCGCAGGCCTGGGCCAAGAGAGTAGCCCGGGTGGTCTATTCTATAATACAATCCGGGATAGCGGAGAAGAAGGCAGGCAGGATAACGCTGCTCAACAGGAACGGCTGGATTTGATTCTGGCTATGCAGCTGCAGCAACAGGAGGACGATTTGGAACTGGCGATGCGTCTGCAGAACGAGGGAGGCCTTGAAGAGAATGAGAATATGGAGGACGGTTCTTGGGCATTTATTTCTCCGCTCGACGGCTTCCCGAACGCTGATCCTCATGCTCGCCCTTCGGATCAACGACACGTCTTTGGTCTTCCTGCGTACGATGCAGCCGTATCCAACATCATTCAGGCGAAGAACCGTCCGGAACTCATTCCACATTTCCATAGGACGGTGGAACGGTACTCAGCACTGGCCATCACCAAGAAAATTGACCGATTACCAGCGCTCTCCGGAATTTGCAGACGCATTCGACACCTTCGCGGCGAGTATCTTGCAGGCTTATGGTCGGATTCGCTCTGTTTCGATCTGATGTGGCGCATCAACACGCTCAGTCTCGACACTTGGAACGGCGGACGCCCACCAGAATACCGAGGCCCCACATGGTCGTGGGTCTCCGTCGAAAGCCCGGTGTCGTACTGGGCCGACATCACAGACTTCAACGACTCCGATCCGCGCTTTCGACCCCGGAGAGCGGATGACCGTCTCGGAATCGGCGATGACGTCGAGGACTACGTCAAGCCTGTACCAACGAAGCCTCTTGGCCGCAACACAGGCAAGGTGCAAGTCGAGCTCAACCTACCAGGTCACAATCCGTTCGGCGCGGTAACATCAGCCGTCCTCACTGCGGAGGCTTCCTGCACCACCGCAAATCTCTTCTACACCTACGACTCCTACTGGTACGGCCAAACCAACAAGCACGACCCCATGCGCTACAAACTCAAAGTGCAGACCTCCGACGCCCGCCGCCCTTCGTTGGACACCCGCGCAGACACGGTCGAGATCCCGTTCTTCGCCGACTACGCTTTGGGCATCGACGGGCCGCATAAAGTCGCGGAAGGCGAAATGGTAACGCTCCTGCTAGTCCATCCTAAAGTCAGTCTTGTGCTGCGGAGGAAGTTCGATGAGGGGAGGGCCATTACGGTGCACGGCGGAGAACAGGCGTGGGAGAGGATTGGTATTGCGCGTATTAGTGAGAATTTGTTGAATTACTATCGCGTGGATTGGATGAGGGCGAGTGAGGTGAAGCGGTTTAAGATTGTGTGAGGAGTGGTGCTTTCTCAAACACGTTAGAGAAACCTTTCAAGGACTGCACTACGTCCTTCCACCTCCGGTGGCACAGCGCCGATTAAGGTTGGCTCCGTATCCAGCTTTCTGAAGGGCTTCAAACTCTCGAAGCTTGGGCGAGTCCAGCTGGTTGTGAAGCACGCTGTACAGAGTAGATATAAGAACGGTTTAGAACAATTTACAGAATTTTAGAAGTACCCCGCATCTGGACGCAGTGCTGGCATCTTCTTCGGGCCTAACTTCGAACTTCTTCCAAAAGCAGAAAATACGCGAAGCATAGCCCGGAAAACTTGACGCAAGTTCCCACCCTCGAGAGACCCACGTGCGTGTGTCGAAATGCAGTCGAAACATGAGCAACGTAAACGAAAAGTATGAGTATCATTTGTAAGTCATTTCAATCCCGTCGAAGCGCATCAGTGAAGAGTATCTAAAAAGAGGAATTAGGCGACGGGAGCCCCGGGAGCAATCGCGCGATAGCGATCCATACGACGACCGTATCAAGGACCATGCCGGGGGGTGGCCAAGGCAGTTATCTGATGCTCCTTTGGGAGGCGTATGCAACAGAGCGAGGCTGACGACAGCGTTGCTTTCATACGAGCCGGCTCGGTTGCGCCGAGAAGGAAGTGGGTGGAGGGAAGTGCATCCTTCGCGGCGCAAAGCTAGGCCGGGGTGTGTTCACACCGTACGAGAAAGCATGCGGGACGATGCTCATGTAGATTAGCGAGAAATAGTAATCAAGAGCAGGAATTCCAGTCCCGGTTGGAGGATCTTATGCATTTAGCCCATTCCACCCTTTAGATAGACGTCTCTACTTTTCGAGAACTTTGAACGCCATCCCTCCGAACCCGTACTCGCATACGCTACCCCGGTCAGATAGCTGGAGGGACACAAATCTCTCCACTTGCATCAAATCCGCACGTCCACTCGTTCGGCTCCGGCATCGCCGCTGTATTCGGAATATTCGAGCTTTCCCTGAACTCCACGATCCTCCTCTCACCGCCGCCCACATCCTGCACCACCGCAAACGTCGCATCCGTGAAATACAGATCCTTGTTGAGTAGAATATGCGTACCGCCCTCCCATCCAATCATGTAGACGAGGCCGCCCTTATCGCCGTTGGAATTTGGCACGGCGAGGGTGTTGATAGCGCCGTGGTTGAAGACAGAGAATGTCTGACCGAGGGTCTCGTTGAAGGAGTGATAAAGGGCGAGCCAGCCCGTGTAGTTATAGTGTGTGGTATTGAAGGTGGCGAGGAGGGAGCTTGAGAATGATGCGGCGAAGACTTGATCCCATGCGCCGTTTGCTGTATGGTATTAAAGCTGAAACTACTATGTTTACTGGCCCTGGACTGACTGACCTGGATAGGGGAAGAAGCCTAGGGTTTATGTTAGCAGGTGAGAGATCCGAGCACGCCTGATGTGCAGCTCACCGTTCACTTGGCATTCCAACCAGTTTGAGAGCTGGATACTGGCGTTGACGGCGGGGTCGTTGGCGAGAGAGCATGGGTCCGTGTCGTCTCGTGCCGTCAGACCCAGCATCTCGGTTGATGGCATGGCGAACGCTGCTGCAGTGGACACGATGCCGCATGCGGCGACTACGCGAAGGGTCAGTCTTGGGATTGTAGGTCCTGGGCTGATTTAGACTCGTATTGCTTACCGAGAACTGCTGCTAAGCGCATGCTAATAGACGGAATTAATGGACTAATGCTTTGGCTAATGATGTAGAATAAGGAATGGAGGGGTTTCGGCAGCACGACTAGGGAAGGAGAGAGGAGGACGAGAAGTAGATGAATGAAATAAGAACTTTGAGAAGATCGCAATATATTGGACGCGAAATTGTAGAGACATCTACCCAGGGGACGCGCCCGGGTAAGACGCGAATGTAAGATGGAGCAGGGATACCGCTTATGAGCACTGCCATTGGTCCTTGGCCGTTTTGTCGTCCTGGTAGCCCGGAATTGATAAGCGAAAGTGCTCGAAGGGATCTCCAATTCAGATTCGCATCAGCAAGCTCTTCCTGGCGGATTTTAGCGGGTGTTTTGCGAGTTTCGAAGCGTTTGTTGGCTTACACCGCCATCGGGGCCACCGCGTCGTTTACCGATGTCAGCCTCCAAACGGGAAATGACTGGGGTAGCGCGTGGGTACACGCCAGGGTGTCGGCCAAGCGTCTTACACCCTTGCTCGGAGCGACCCCGGAGATCGCTGGTGTCGCAAACGTGCTAGATACGCGATACGACGTCAGGTCCGAACGCGGCGTATTTGGGGAAGTTTGGAGAATGGAGGCGTATAGGGCGCATAACTAATGCGCCCGCCTTGCGGCGTTCCCGTACTCAGCCTTACAAACGCCGCTTGAGCCTTGCTGGATATTATATAAGGCCTTGGGGTCCTGATGTATACGCCGCCTGACGGAGTTGGTATAAAGATAGGCCTCTCAAACCGCGCATACTCAGGTCGCTCATCGTCATTTTTTATTATTTCGTGCATCGATCTTCCAATGCGTAGGTCCCGGATGCTGCAGCATTACCGCAGCAAACAGCGCCGGTATTTGCAGTGGAGGTCTGATCAAGAGAAGAATGGAGAAGGCCCCTACATCCCTCCACATCTGAGACAGCTCCGGACTGAATGGTTCGCGAAACGATATACCAAATACAATGCCGGGGCGCTCAGAGGCGATGCAGATGCAACCCGAGAGCCAGAAGCTCAGAATTTCAACGAACCGTCGTCTGATATGGAAGAGCCGGAAGCACTTGTCGACAAGATCTGGAGGTGGCTCAAATGGTCGGATGACGAAGAGGAACAGCGCGGGAGGTCATCTTCGCGGAAAGAAGGGACATGAAGCGAAGTGGACTGGAGTAAGCTGCATGCCGTTACTGACTGGGGAAGCAGTCAGGCTAACGCAAGAGCAGGAACGAATCTATGAATATTGAGAAGCGCTACTAAACCCGATACTTATTTAGAGGTTTGGGTAATGTTGGCAACCACTCGCAGTGCCATCAAGAAGGCTACCCTTTGGGTATCCGCGAAAAAAAGGGTGCATCGATAGGGGCTGGAGGACGGCGATCTAAGGCGAACTGTTCAAGCGTTGAGAGATAGTTGCGAGAATTTTGGAGTGGGTGATCCGGGAGCTGGGGGAGGTGGGATAGATGATGGAGAGATGGTGCCATCTTCAGAGGCCACATTCGATGGCAGGTAGATTACCAGTTGCCAGGGGTCGCAGACAGCTGCGCTTGAACCGTTGGATATCTCCAATATATCCCGTACGAGGTGCGTCAGATAATGAGCATTATAGGCTGGTGCGGGTGATGGAGTTCCTTGCGTGGTACGCGCTATGGGACTCACCGATTCGCGTAGAGTCCCACCGCTACAACTCACCTTGCCCCATTCTCCGCGAGAAGGTGCAAACGAGAAAATAGTGAGGTCCCGCAAACAGAAACGAAACCTTCTCCTGCCACTAGTCAGAGCGGATGGTGTTGGTGTAATATCGGCTCGGGTCTAACTCAACTATAAGATTCGAACAATCCCAGAATCCATCATACATCAAGACAATACACCGCCGGGCTGGCACAATTGGTTAGCGCGTGAGACTCTTAATCTCAAGGTTGCGGGTTCAAGTCCCGCGTCCGGCTTCATTCGTCTTCTTTTTTGCCCTTTCTTTTCTGCCCTTTCGTTCTTTACTGTTGCGTCTGTCCCCCCTTTTTTGGCCGCTCTTTTTGCCGGCGCCTCGAACTGATAACACGTACAAGCTGTGGAAGGATGGGGATTGTACACATCAGGAGGATGATAGCCTAGAAGTGTAGTACTCGAGGACAGGAGCAACGTGGAGAGTAGGAATAACCATTCACTACCTCCACTCTGATCGCAGGAGCTTCCGCACTGTGGTCATTGATGACCGTACTCGCATCAATCCATATTCTGCCTCCTCCTTTCCTATCAGACATTACCTTCGCTCCAGCGTAGCCTGAAGTCTCGCAATGCCTGATTGATGTGCGCTCAAATATTTCCTGGGCTCCATCACAGCGCACCGACTTTCATCCCATGTATCCCTACCCGTACGGGTCGCTTCGCCACAGGTCCCAGGGGTCTAGTATCGAAACGTCGTTCAGGCGTAGGGAGCATAGGGTCGGAGGACGGATGAACGCGGTCAGCGGGTCGTAGTCGCGATTCCAGTTCGTTGGAAACGACAGCGTCTCAACAATTAGCACTATTCATTGGGGGGATTGAGTGTGGCCTTGTGGTGGCTACGGCCGAGCGCGTTGCAGGTCCGTTCCGGCAGCAGAGTCGATAGGTCATTACGAGATCACCCTCTTCTTGTAGGCAACCGAACAGCACAAGGTCGTACCACAAAGTCTATGAGATGTACCTCAAAGATGGGATGGAAGTCAGCTGGATGACGTTCGCTAAGGGGATTAAGACTGAGAACTAGTGGCTTGGCATTCCGCAGAGCCAGTTACCGCTCAACATGCACACGACATTGCCCGGGTCAAGGTCTTCCGAGGCATCAAAACTTCCCGCTTACATTGGCGTTCACAATTCAAATTCACGCGTTCCATCGCCTTCTTAACTCCAAATCGCTCGCAGCAACATGCCACGATTCTTCGCCATCACTCGACAATGGGGACCCAACTTCCAATGTCAAGCACAAGGTACATTTGGAGCAGATGGAGGAGAAGAAAGATGGCGTATAGACCGGATACTTTAAGCCAATAGCTTGGATGGGGCCCAATGGCCAGTGTCCACAAGGCAATGGACCTTTTTCACGCTGTTAAAGCATCCTCAACACGATCGATAACCGGATCAGGAGGACCACTATTACCACAATGAAACCGAGACACTTTGTACTTGTAGAATCTGTCCTATTTCCACTGTCGTGTTGACGTCTTTGCATCAGACCGAGGCGGAGAGCCAATAGGCTGTCAGCTCGCTGCTTCGGGTGGTGGCTGCAGCTTAGATCGTCCACTCAGATGGCCAAAGCGAGGCTGACGCCGGGCTGAACTCAGCCTCGTGCGCGACCTCCACTTCGTCCAGTAAATATTGGGATATCAGGCAGATGGTATTTTGCTCTGCCCCCGCTAATTCTTAATCCTACTCAGATCAAGAAACACACGGTTGCACACCCGAGAGCAAGAACGCTCTGCATAATACCATTATTTTCATCTAATCATCGTTGCGCCTCTTTGTTGTTTATTCGCTACATCGTCCCTAATCGCCCTCAGTATTCCTTCTCAAACGCTGCTTCACGGCTTCAACCCACTACGATCGCTTCAGACTGGTACCCTTGCTGCGCAACCGCCCAAGCACGCGCTCGAAATGTCTCGGTGGGAAAACGACGCTATAACAGGATTAATAGCTCTGATACTTGCCATACCAGGCGCAATCGTCGCGCTCGGGACTATATGGGTGGTCATTGCACGTCGACAACGCCATTCAAGATGTTAGCCTTTCCCCTCCTCGTCCCCTGCAGCGTCTCGCGACCGGCAAGCTAACAATTGTTTTAGTTAGAGGTCTCAACGCAATGCCCACTGCTGGAGCCACCGAAGAATTTGGTGAAGCTGCATACGAGTTAAACTGGTTCCAAGATCAATTCTCGCACTTACACCGAGAGATCACCGCCGAGCAGGAACAGTGGGCCGAAGAGAGTGGACATCCCCAGGAGCCCCGGCCCCAGGATGCTCGAGAACCGCCTTGATAGTATCAAATATGACATACCAATCAGAATTTACGTGCTCTGGCGTGGTGTGCAAACCTCAGTACTGCCCCATTAATGCAGAAGCCAGCTGTGATCTATTAGTCCAAAATGACCCAAGCATTCCGCACCTTGTATGGGTCCCTCTGCTCGTGAGCAGAACGTGTGCCTAGATTAACGAGGGTCCGGGATAGAGGCAAGGGCGGCGGATATACATGGCCGCGTTTGTGGCTACCGCATCAGTCTGAAAGTGATAACCATAGTTTAATCATCATCAAGAATTCGATTTACAGTTCGGAGAGCAAGCTTACCGGTCTGAAAGGCGACCTCTCGATAGGTCTCCTGCTCCAGAGGACGTCCCATCAGCCTGCGTGCGTTCATAAGACAGGCCTAGATTGCGGATCGACAATGTGGGTCTATTGATCCATTGAGCAACGTGGGAATATGAAGCTAAAATGCCCGTCACTGCAAAGATGAGATGGTGAGCTCAGGGGCTCACCGAATGAGGGGTTCCGGAATCGGGCCGTGACGGGCTTGGCAGTCTAGCGACGCCCTCGACGTCAACCCCACGTGCCAGCTAACGTTCACCCACCAACGCCATCGCTATACAGGAGGGCCACCGTTCCGCATATCCAGCCGACCGGTCAATCGAAAAATCCTGCAAGGGATGCTCGATCTGCCATCTCCGAATCCGCGTATCAGCCTGAGACCGACGACGCTTGGCACTCCCTAGGCATCCATGGCTCTCAGGGCCTTCCTAGACGCTCCATAATCGTACTATCATGCCATTATCACCCCACCAAACGATCTACACCGGACCCTATAAGTACTTTCTTCTCGGCTCTGCGTTCATTGAGGCGTTACCGATCTGCATTCGCGCGTCCCGTTGCCTTCTTCCTGGGATCACTCCCATCCACATGGCGGCCATGCTTCGCCATCACTTGACGACAGGGATGAGTTGAATACCGTGAACTACAGCATTGAATATCGTGGACTTTAGCTAACGGTCCAATAGGGACATGACGGATACCAGCCACGAACGTTGCTTTTGCATTGCGCCCTTCCACAAGATACGAATTGCTGACTGGCTGCGACCCGCCGACGTTCCACGTGAGGCGTTGCGGAAGGGAATCTTGGATTCTCGCAGCAAATCTGCCTCATCCTCTTTCAGCCGTCTGCTGACGCTTGCCCAGTCGCATGCAAGCCTGTGATTGGCTATCCGAGGGCCAAAGATGGACTCCGATTGGCAGAAGCCGATGACGCGCATGGTGTGAGTGGTGTGATACTCTCGTGGTAGGCTATGTCCACGATGTTTGATCTCCCACTTCCGCCCGCAAGATGCGGTTCAGCAAGAGAATGAGAGATGACGTAGAGACGGGATATGCTCAAGTTCATATTTCGGGCCCGTCCCCCTCGGCAGCGCCCAGACGGCCTCTGCGCTATTCCCCCAGCAGCGGTCTGTCCATCCGAATCCGCGGCATTGAAAGGCTGTCTACGAGTGATTTCAACCGTTAGCTTCGTTATTCCGTATACCACTTCCCTCAGACTCGGCCGTTGCTTCACGGTTATTCTATCCACCCCCCGATACGAACTTTCCGAGCATCCTAAGCATGACTCGCTGGGAGAACGAGGCCATAACAGGGCTAATAGCTCTGATCCTTGCGATCCCTGGCGCAATCGTCGCGCTGGCGACGTTACGGGTCCTCTTTGCAAGACGGCAGCTCCACTTAAGAAGTATGTTCGCCTTGGCCTTTAGCTATCGATGCCGTACTACGTATGTGCAAAGCTAAAGCCTTGATTAGGAATACATCTTAGTGCGACCCCTGACCTGCAGGCCACCATAGACCTCAATGAGACCGCATACGAATTGAGCGCCCGAAGAGCTACCGACTGGTTCCAAGACCAGTACGTGTATCTCCACAGAGAAATCTCCGCCGAGCAGGAACAGTGGGCCGAAGAAAGCGGAGATTTCCAGCACTCTCCATCCTACGGAGCTCAGGAGCCGCCTTGGTCGACTTCGGTACCATGGGCTAATCACACCTCGTTTCAATAGTGGCGCTGTTATGTGCGTGCTCTTTCTCAACGAGCGCGCTCGCGATTCCGCTCCACTGTCACATCGGTCTGCGTGGACACTCGCCCTCTTAACGAAAGACATATCGGGTCCATCGAAGGATCGTGTCTGCGGGTGCGCCCGTCAACGTAGATGGAATTGTATCGGCGATGTTAGCTAAAGCTGGGTATCTCAAGCGTGAACCTACGAGTCTCAACACCGGAACGGATCTAGCTGTATCCCATGGCGCGGATAACGGCATACCACGTGTGTGCTATAATCTTAGGAAGACCTAAATATGCTTAGATAAGAAATATAATAGGCTGTTCTCTATTAGAAGTAGGTTCTATAATTAAGCAAAGTACCCTATTCTTCTAGAATCGCTAGAAGACCCTGTTATTAACTGTTGCTAATTAATACTAATTAGGCTCTACAACCTACTCCTAAATCTCGCTTTCTTTAAGTTTCCTATAAGTAGGTGTCCTATTAGATGTGGGGAGTTGCTGTAAACCGCAACTCTACGCTACTAATCTAAGATAGAATAAGGCTAAGCTAAGCATCTATAATATACTTCTACTTTAGTTATAGGTGTAGGTTTTTAACAGGAGCTCTATTTTAGAAAACGTGTTCTAGTCTATCGCATTATATACAGTGCAAGGCTTTCTCTTCCTTAGTTGTCATCTCAATATCGTCGCCCGACCCCGCGAGGTGAAAGTACCGCAGGGAAGCTGCACACGCCAGACTCTTAACAAACACCCCGAATCCCTGTATCTCGTCGGAGTCCAACTCTTGTGCACGAGAAAATTGTTTGCGACAGGTGAGGCGCAGCGGTATGCTGTGCCACATGCTAAGAAACTGACTTCTGGGGCCCAATTTTCGTTCAAAAGCTCAGTCCTATGTACTGATATCGCTTCTGAGCCCACCTCGACCACTTCTCATCATGGCTACGGTTCCAGCAGACGTAGCTCTCGTCGTCGTCCAAGGCTCTTTCTAAACCCCTCTTGTTTATAAAGGCTTGACAGATAGTTTGAAGACCCACGGATATCCCACGTCCCAGCTGGAGATGATCCCGGATGGAAGTCGCAATATGTCGGCATGGAACGAGTGCTGACGTTCGGCTAAGAGGGTCAAGACTGAGAACTAGTGGCTTGGCATTTCGCGGAGCCGGTCTCCGGATAGAACGACGTGCGTAACAGCTACCCTAGAGGCCTTCACAGGTGCGTACATTTGCTAAGCTAATCTTACTTACTTGTGCGGCGAGCACTTAGATCTGGAGAATTCCCTACCGCAAGAGCCGGTTATCGCTCAACTTGTAGGCTCGCCGCTCGATCACGACATCGCCCGGATTTCACACCGCTGTTCTGGCATCTTACCGAGACCTCTTGTGTACGGGGCGAAGTTGCGAAATAATAGTGGATTGAGTTACCTCGCGGCCAAGGTGAACCATATGCTGGTAAAACTCACAGCGCATCAAACAGGCTGACATAGTGGTGTGGTTATAAGGCCGTGATATGGCTGAGGCAGCTCGAGCAAAGACACAAGTAGGGGCGCGAGCGGTGGAGCAAACGGTAGATGGGCCGAAAGTTGGGAAGCCTTGTTGCATTACTGATCTACAAATCAGACGGTATACATGAGGCTGAAAAGGATGCGAAGTGGATCACCTTCAAATGGATTTTTCAGAGTTCGAGGAAGCGATCGAGCCACGGTCCAAGAGGGATGGGCAGACGATACGGAAAAGACGTTCTACTTTCCTCCGTGGCATTCTTGTGAAGTGCTAGGAGATCCTCCGATCAGATTTACTAGAGCCTAAGCTGGCTGAGTTCGAGCTGACGAAGACCTCGCATCATATCATCACGACTGACCGCAATTGTAAGACAACCATCCATTTCGCCGGTGGGTATTAGCGCAGTTGTGAAACTGTATGTTCTCTCCCCTCGTTCCCTCTCTTTAGTCTACCGCTGGCTTGTCTCGATTCCCGTACGCATTATTCGAAACCAAGTATCGATTTTGTCGAGTGGTATGTCCGGAACCAAACGGGTCAAGGTTTCGGTTTCAGCAGCCTCGCTCAACCAGGCTTCTTAGCTTCTCAGCACCAACAATCGCAGTTTAATCAAAACCAAGGACGCCCCAACTCGCCCCTCGGCCAACAGCAACAGCAGCCGCAGCAGGCAGGACGTGGTCGTGGAAATTTCGGCACCGGACCGGCCGTGCTCCGAGATATCGTGCGCCAGACATCCGGTATTTCTCGACGGGGCGGCGGCCGAGGTCAACAGCAGCAGTGGAATCAGAGTCAGAACGCCAAATTCTCAAGCCAGTCAAATAGGCCGTGGCGGCGGACGAGGTAGAGGTGGTCGTGGCCGTGGGCAGGGCCAAGGCCAGCAGATGAATCCTGGGGCGCCTGATTTCTGGCTAGGTGGTGGGCGGAGATAGAAGCGTGGAGCTGAAGATGATGACGGCAGTTCCCGACGCAGTAGCAAGCGTGCTAGGGGTGGTCGCGATGGAGGAGGTGGTGGTGGCGAGGAGTAATGAAGTTGCTTAAAGAGGAAAGAGTGTGATATCGAGCATGGGAAGCTTGACCGTATGGCGCATCTTCACCCGCATTTACGGGTTCGGTTTGTTTTCGTCCTAGGTATATGAAGGCCGGGGTTAGTCAGGGTGCGATCCTTGCGTTTCTTTCACAGGAAGAGGTAAGGAATATGCGGTATGTTCTTCATGGGTAAAAAGCGAGAGAGTTTTCATGCCCATAGCTGGGTATTTTGTATCATAGTAATATGCAAGGGTGTCGATCATGATACCTATATGAGTCATCAAAAATCGGGGTTTTGTGTGGTCAAGTCTGGTGAGCCTACAAGGAAACAGGGGAAGCCTGAAGGGCCATTGAGCAAGTAAGTGACGCTTTCATCTCTGAAAGACATTTAATGGGTGGGTACTAAGAAATTGAACCATCTAGCCGAGTAGAACTTGAGCCGCTGTCTCACGCAAATAGAATTTCAGCAGAGATCTTCTCTGCCAGTGCGTCTGCAATCCGGTTAGTCTCCAAGGGCATTCAGAAGGCAAGATAGCTGACTCACAGACTGTTGCCGAAGGCTGTCCGGGAGGTAGAAAGGGGAATATCGATGCATCAACAACACGTAATCTCGAGACGCCGATCACCCGTCCCTTCGAATCTACCACAGCCATTGGATCATCCACTCGTCCCATCTTATTGGTCCCAACAGCATTGTATACCGAATTTGCGCTCTTTCGAACGACATCAACAATCTCCGCATTGGTCTTGAGCCTGCCACCAGGGAAGGCCTCAGCCCTCGCTACCTGTTTCATCGCCTTCGTGGCGAATAGTTTACGACCTTTGCGGAATGCTAGCACTGCCATCTCAAGGTCCCGTGGGTCTTCGAGCCAATTGGGGCTGATGACGGGGTTGACGGCTGTATCTGGAGAGCGAATGGAGACATTGCCACGAGAGAAGGTCGAGACTAAGCCAACTGAGGCTGCGACGTACTGCTTCCCGTCTGTTATCCCAGTGCTACTGTCGTTCCCAGTGCCAAAATAAGCGTCTAGGACCAGGTATTGGAAGTTGGGCCAGTCATCCGAAAAAGTCTTCCGTAAAGAGTCGTAGGTGTAGTTCCGAATTACCCCACGAGGCACCTTCTCAAACCCCGCAATATCGCCTCCCACATTTGTGAGCATTCCCGTCCGGTTCTGGTTGTATTTGCTGACTGCGCCTGCCAGATATGAAGGGTTTGCAAGACTGTTGTGAGTCGTTACGTCTACCGCATAGGTCGGACCGACCAAGATATTGTCCTAAGTCGATATTAGAGTACCTCCGCTGGCCGCAGAGGATATACTCACCCACATATTCTGGCCCACACCTGGTCTGTCGACAACTATATCAATACCCTGCTGTCGCATTATAGCTTTGGGGCCAATTCCCGACACCATCAACATTTGTGGGGAGCGCATCTGTGGGACACGTCAGCATTCCCAGCGATAGAGGGCCCAAGTACATACGACGCCTGCAGAGAGGATAATTTCTCGACTCGCCATAATCTGGTATATCATGCCGCCGCTTTCCACACGTACGCCGCGAGCAATGGTGCCGTCGAATAGGATCTTTTTCGCGAGGGTAGCCTTGTAAAGCCTAATTCGTCGTCCCTGAGAGATTGACTCGTGGAAGAATTCGGCCGCGGAGCTTCTCATTTGCGTCTCTTGATCGAGCTCTTGAGGTATATAGGACCACCCAAGAAGCTTTCCGCTCCCAAAGCTTTTGAGCTCCTCTAAACCAAGCTCCGAGAAGGCTTTGGCCAGCCAAGATGTAATTGGGTTGACCCAGGATGCGTAGCCGACCTGAATCGGCCCGCCAGAGGTACTCCAGTCCGAGGCATTGTACTGCAGGGAGGCATTCGCCGGACGTTTGCTGTTATCTGGTATGTGATAATGTATGCTCCTTTGGAAGAATGGAAGGAGGCTGCTGAACTTGTAACTTTCATCGCTAACCTCTTTGGCCCACTTATCAAACGCGCCTACTGTTCCTCTGCCGGGCATCAGCGTTCCTCTAGAGCAGGTCGCGGGAAGGAGACCGTGGATATACCTGATATACCAAAGGAAGTTGCGACCACTCGACCCACCGATAACTTTTCCCGAGTCGAACAACAATGTCTGGCCATTTAGCGCCTGGTGTCTCATCAGCTTTACCGGGTGCCCCTGAGAAGACCCGCTCTGTGTTTCTCTACCTACCTTTTGAGGCTCGGTATACATATACCAATCCAGGAGGGTGTTCTTGGTTACCGGATTGCTTCCTGTGAAGGTACTGGCGTATGCTGGTACTTGCGAGTTATTTCCATTAGCGAATTCGTAGAAATCGCCAGCTTCGATCACGGCCACGGATACGGAAGGGTCTGCTGTAAGCCGATTCGCTACAGTGAGGCCTGCCGTTCCGCCACCAATGATGACGTAGTCGTATGTTGCATTTTGGCCAGGGACTCCGAAGTAGGAGCCTAAGAGGCCGAAAGACGAAAACGGGTCTGTTCTTGAGGCAGCACAGTGAATGAAGGTCGCGCTCCACAGCAGAAAAGACTGACGACAGGTTTTCATTTCGCTCTCCTGGAAGCTGCTTCAAGCTACGTGGACTGGCAGTCAAAAGACGCGATATGTGTGAACAGATTGGAACGAGTGACCGCCTGAGGCAGGCAAGTGCTCTTGAAGACACCTCTGTGAAGCTATGATCGGGGTAGACATCACATTAAATCCCTTGGTAACAAATGCGCAGTTCTTCGCCCATTGGACTCTGGCTTGATCATGATTCGAACCCACACCGACTAAAATGGGAAGACTCGATGCCGCGGGAACGGAACAGTAGATGGTACTTCATTTGTAGCCTGCAGGTTGAATCACACCCATAGCCCCGCGCGTGACACTTCAAAGCGCGTCCTCGAGTGAACCTGTTCCACAGGGCTGCTAGCGTCCTGCCGGAAACCAAGATTCCCACAGATCAGTGTACCCCGGCTCTCTAAGATTAGCAGGATGTACGACGTGAGATATCATCACTGCTCTCTCATTACTTTCTGTCATCCGGTGAGCGAGCCCTGTCACTCCTACATTGGGGTGTGGTAAGATTCAGGTGTTGCATGTGAGAAGGTCCAAATTAAGACCGATCAGCAAGTGTTCTGGCGCGGGCCCACCTGAAGATCCCTGCTATGTTTCTGGGGTGTCTGAATTGCGGCTTCAAGGCGTAATTATCAGTGCAGCAGGCAACAGATCACGCCCACCCGCTGGGCCGCTAATAAGCTCATATGTGTGCATATGCCCTGGTCCGAGACATTTTCACCACTTTCGTGCAGAAATGTCCAATGGCAAGGCAGCGAAAGGCGGGGTCAACCACTTGCGTCAGGATCTAGCGTGTAGCGCAAATCATGTCTTGTCATCCGCGAATGGACTGATCATAAAAGAATGACTTGGGCAAACCTAAACCGACGTATATGAGAACAGATATGAAATTACCATCCGCACCTAGATCTCTCGTCTAAGAACACCTGAGCTAGAAATGCGGCCCTTACAGCCGCACATGTATACCGCCGCGAGTGCTCTGTTCACATACTCCAAATCTATCGGATCGTAGACTACATGCGAATAGTCAGCTCATAAGATCATGGCAACAAGTTCGTTAGGCCATACCTCCAACTCAGGTTTCCAGTGCAGGCATATTTGCACCCCTCAATGTATTTCTGCAAGTCCGACTGTACGGCAGAGTCCCCAGTGTACTTCTCCAACAGTCGCTCAGCAGCAGTGTCCAGGCTCTGCACTGAGTCCTCAATGATACACGTTGTGATGTCTATGGCTCGATGAATCGAGCCATGCTTGAGGAACAGGAGAGGAAGAATCGTGTCCACTTGGCCTTGGGCAACTTCCTTCTTGATTGAGAGAATATCATTCATCAGGGAGATGATGATGTTGGTTGCGTCCGAGATTAAACGCATGCACTCGTCAACCATGATGGATCGTGGAATCTGCATACCGTAACAGAATTCAGTCAGTGCAAGACAGGCTGTCACTGCGCTGGAACCCATCCGACGTAGCATGTATTCTTCGGCGGTAGGCAAGTGCCCTGAGATTTGGACGCAGTGTTCGACTTCGGTAGATCGGACGAAGTAGACCAGCTCATTGCAAAACTCGCTCGCCTGCTCTGCGCTGGGTCAGCCGTGCAAATCGCCCTAGGCTTAGCAAACGATAACCATACCATGAGTGTATTTCGCACGTACAGCATCTCCAATTGGACCGAAGTCTGTAATGATGGCCTTTGATGATATTGTGCTGGTATCTTTATTTCCAGTTAAGCAAGCTCGGATGAATGAAATAGTTTCTTCGCGGAATCTATTGGCTTTCTCGAAGTCATGAATAAGATCAGAGAACTCCGCAGAGTCGGTTTCTTGGAGACTTTAGTTCGATGACTTAACCGATACGGATGTAGACATACCATCATCCCAGGCGAACAACTTCAAGCAGTTAGTCCATAATTCAGCATTGGAATTTGTGCTCGCTTCTCACTCACCCAAGTTGAGAGATGTGTTACGATGCGAAGCTCCTCGAAGGAAGCATATGGCCACCATGACGAGCTAAACGACGCTGCATCAGCTTTTTTCATTTTCTTCAGCCGATGCCCCGCTGGAAACAAACTACTTTATATTAGTTAAAGCATTTGCTACGGTTTCTCTTACTACCTTTCCATTCTACGGTTGACGTCCAAGCGCAGCTCCTCTCTATGCACATTGACCGCTCTGGGCCAGTGAGCAACCATCGCTTCCAGATCAGGGATCGTGATGGTGATTCCCTTCAAAGCCCCGGCCAGCCCTTCTCGCGTTACTTGCTTTGGAGAGGTCATGATTAGGAAGATTGAGCAGAAGCTGAAAATCCAACGATGAGTGTTGAGGGGAATGAGAAGTGACCTAAGGCTATCTGGGGTGATGAAGGACGACTGCTCCCCACACACTCTATGTGCCACTCACATCCTCCTGAACACCACATGACTGCCTTTTGCCCGCGGACGAGGCTTTGGAGTAACACGATGACTTCGGTCCGGCATCGTTATCATACTGCCTACCGGGAGGCGAAGTGACTGTATGCCTTTGCGAGGCAAGACCTTCCTACAGTGCTTCTTAGCTTCTCTAGGCATATATGGATGGCTGAACCCCCGTCGGGCTGATCAAAGCGTCGCGCTGTCCTTCACAGCAATTACTCAATCGGCATTGCTGTGGGGAAGCTGAGAGTGAAAGTACGGTAGGGAAGCTGCATACACCAAAACACCCCGGACCCCTGCATCTCGTCGGAGTCCGAAAGCTGCAACGGTTGTGCAGGACGAAAATTGCTTGCGCCGGGTGAGGCGTAGCAGTATGCTGTGCCACAAGCATCAAATTGCTGTTGTATGTGCCAAGACACTAATTTCTAGGGCCAACTTTCGTTCAAAAGCTCGGTCCTATGTTCTGATACCGCTCCTGAGCCCAACCCAAACAACCCCCACCATGGCTACGGTCCCCGCGGACGTGGCTCTCGTCGTCGTCCAAGGCTCTTTCCAAACCCCTCTTGTTTATAAAGGCTTGACGGATAGTTTGAAGACCCACGGATATCTCACGTTCCAGCCGGAGCTTCCGAGTTGCAGCAATGTGGATAGCCCCGAATTCCCATCGGTTACGCTATCCGACGACTCAGCAGCCGTGGAGCGCGTGGTACGCCATCTCGTCGACAATGAAGGAAAGAGAGTCGTCATCATCATGCATTCCTACGGAGGCCTCGTTGGGAGCAACGCGATTCCGGAAGAGCTAAGCTTCGCAAACCGCCAAGCTCGTAATCTTCGAGGCGGAGTGATACACCTCTTCTATGTCGCAGCCTTCATCCTAGGCGAAGGGCAAAGTGTCCTAGGGACGTTCGGCGAGTCCCCCAATAATGACGTTAAGGTAAGCCTTGCCAGAAGATTTTCAAGTTTCCAATGCTTACTGTGTTCAAGCCAGACGGGCGATTCTTCCTTAAGAATGGAGGGGAGCTGCTGTACAACGACCTCCCACCTACGGAAGCAGCGCTCTGGGAATCTCGCCTGATTCCTCAGTCGCATGCTGTTCAGAAAACCGAGCTCACCTACGCTGCATACAAGTATATCCCTTCGACGTACTTGATCTGTGAGAAGGACAAGGCTGCCCCGCCCCTATTCCAGGAGATGTTTGCCGGGTCTGCAGGATCACAGGTTGTCGAGCGATGCAGTGCCAGCCACTCGCCCATGCTGAGCCAACTCGATATCCTCGTCACCAAGATCATTGATGTGGTCAAAAAGGTGACAGCTTGAGTGCCCGCGGAGTTATCACTCAGTTTAGGGGCTGAGAGCCAGTGGGAAATGTTTTGATAACATTCGATTATGTATGCAATACATTTGTTCAAAAGCAATCATGTTGCATATACAAAATTGAGCTACGTGCAGTTAAATGTACAAGTATTAATTAGGCGAGGTCGGAAAGTGCGGGTCAGATCATATAAAGCCCTAAGCTGCTACCATAGAACCTTGGTCTGCTTCCCTACCGGTACCATTGACAATGGATCTGGAGCGGCGGAATCCAGAAGGTGAAGGCTATCTCATGAATAAATCAGACACAAAAGTATGCAATCGCTTTCGCACGTAGATTCCCCTCCACTATCTATAGAATCCTATTGACACCGAACCGAAGCAACAGAAGGCCACGAACTGAGTGACGACCAGTAGATACCCTCTACAGCCTCGCTGGATCACACAGAGGTCGCTGTCACGTCCCTCCCTCGCTCTACGTCCAGACCATCCTCCGCTCACCACGAGCACCATCCCCAACAGTGGTCCTTGGTTCCTCCCCTCCATGGACAACATACTGGACGGCGCGTCAGCGCAATCCTTTACAATAGGAGACCAAACTAAGGAGGCACCGCAACTACTAACTCTAACTACAGGCGGAGAACTAGTCGTACTCTCTAAGGGCAGCGACCTTACTACTTCTATATATATAGCCCTAAGGACAGCCAAGGCTAGCGCGTACTTACAAGGTTTAAGGTCTAGAAAGGTGCACTAACAGTGTTCTCGGAGTACTTCGCCGCCAACCTTCGCTTCAATAGCGCCTGTCCGCACTCCAGACTCTAGGAGGGGAGAGAGACAAGATCATCTTCTGCGAGGATGAGATGACACGGGTTGGAAGCAAAGGAGAGGCGGAACTCAGACGCGGAGAAAGCTATCGAGCCGAATGGCTCAGTGCGAACGAGACGAGAGCCTGCTAGGAGACCTCCGAAGCGACGAAATTCCGAAACGCCGTGCAATTGTTACCGAAGACACATGCTCTTGCTGGCTACGGCTCATCCTCGTCGCCCAGCCCCGCACTCTTTCCAACTATGATACGGGAGAAGGTTGAAGACGGATTGGAGAAGGTTGGAGACGGTTGGAGACGGATTAGAGAAGAATCTACATTGGGGAATTGGAGCTAGATGGATTATTTAGGAAGCCCATTGCACACTGAGATACGAGGTGCATGCCCTGGGCTTAAGAAGAGAAATACAAAGGCAGGGGCTTAAGCGTGCCTTGAACGGATAGGAGGTAGTAGTCGCAGGATGCGTGTCGTTACAAGGAATTTTTAGCGCTTACAAACCACGTGATCGCAGAATCCGGGAACAGGACGCACCCTGGATTATTCAGGGTCCAACGCCACGGGTGAGATGAGACGGTACCCGGTGCAGAAGCGTCACCAACAGCATGGCGCAGCCACTTTTCTGGAACTCTTTTGCCGTCTCTCCACCTGGGCATGCATGGATAGTGGTGATGCTGCACCTCATTGGCCAGTGCGCGCTAGCTCGTCGGAAAAGGCACCGTGTTTACCGCCACTCACCCGCTGCCAACGCATCTTCAGCCAGATGCACCAATTGGCGGGATGACGTTGATTTCCAGATTGCCGCTCATACTGCATCTCGCGCATAATGGCACATGCATGGGTTATGCAGGGTAGTTGTAAGACTCGCAGAAAGAGAGCGGCTGCAGGTCCGGTCTCCAGAGCGTCGCTGTGGAGCCGCAGGCGCGACCCTCTCCGTGAACACCTTCCAAGGCCAACACCTGACATCGTTTACTCCTGAAGGCTGCAGATGATACTCTAGAGACCCTCCAAGCTGCGTCAACACGGTCTCGCCGAGCGCGAGTCACTGCGGGCGGTGCGTGCTTTTTGTTGACGGCCCGCCGTTGTCATGGGGACGAACGAGCTTCCATGCAGCCGACCTCCGATATCCACCACCACAATCGCCGCGACTCCGCCCTCAACCGCATCCTATTCCTATCCAGTAGCACTGCTCCACGGCGACCGCCGTCCATCTTTCGACCTGGCTTCCATCGTCGCTCACACCCTCTGAGCGCTCGCGTTATTCTTGAATAACATACGTCAACCTTGCCCGCCATGGCCGAAGGCTACCAGGTTTTGGAAGAATTGGGCAGTATGTCTCGCTCAAGCCACATCCATACATTTCGCCGCTGACATGGTGCAGGCGGAAGCTTCGGAAAGGTGTACAAAGCTATCGAGAAGGCCACCGGAGAGACCGTTGCGATCAAGCTGGTACCGCCTCGCCAATGCTTTGCATGGCTACAATAGACTGATGGAGCCCGCAGATCGACCTCGAAGAGAGCACCGACGAGCTCGCGGATATACAGGCCGAGATCAACTTGCTCAGCACATGCAAGAGCCCCTGGGTCACGGAATACAAGACGAGCTTCGTCAAGGGTGTCAAGCTATGGATCGTCATGGAATTTCTCGGAGGAGGCTCAGCTTTGGATCTGGTGGGCATTGGGTCGGATAATTAGCGACGGCCTCTACTGACGTCTGCAGATGAAACCCGGCCCCTTCAGCGAAGCGCACATTGCCATCGTCTGCCGAGAACTCCTGCTAGGCCTCGACTATCTCCATTCGACGGGCAAGATCCATCGAGATATCAAGGCGGCCAATGTCCTCCTCACAGACGCCGGTAAGGTCAAGCTCGCGGATTTCGGCGTCGCCGCACAGCTTACGAACCTCAAATCGCAACGGATGACGTTCGTGGGCACCCCGTACTGGATGGCGCCCGAGGTTATACAGGAAGCCGGCTATGACTTCAAAGCGGATATCTGGTCTTTGGGCATTACTGCTATGGAGCTTGCCTTGGGACAGCCGCCGCTTGCTGGATCGCATCCCATGAAGATCCTCTTCACCATCCCTAAAAACCCGGCTCCCCGCTTGGAGGGAGACCAGTGGAGTAAGGATTTCAAGGACTTTGTGGCGCAATGCCTGATAAAGGACCCCGATCGACGAGCGAGTGCAAAGGAGCTACTGAGGCACCGCTTCATTCAACGTGCCGGAAAGGTCGAGGCGATGCGCGAATTGGTCGAGAGAAAGCAGATGTTCGACGCGCAGGAAGAGACGACCAGCCATCCGAAGTATTATGAGGAGACCATGTAAGCAGCTACGGCCTCCCCAATCATGTGTCTCCGCTAACTAGGCAGGGTCGACCTATCTCCCAGGACCGAAGAGGATGAGTGGACCTTCGACACTGTCAAGCCTGCTACGATGACTCCAGCACGCCACACAGCGAAGCGGCGCAAGATGGCCCGCATACCCTCCAGCGACGCCAATTCATGTGCCTCTATGATGCAGCACCTGGACCTCAACGCCGGTCCGCTGGGCAATGTCACAGACTCGCCGCTTCCGGAACGCCGCCGCGCATCGTCTCGCAAGTCATCCGCAGGAACCGCCATTCGTGTTTCTTCAGGTTCGACGCCGACGGCTCGCCGCATTAGCAATGTGCCGAAGCAACCTCTCGGTCTAGACCTCACCTTTGGCAACTCGCCCTCCACTGTGCGACACTTCAAGCGCGTCTCGTCCGGTGAACGGCGGGCAGCTCTGACTTCAAATCCACCACCCCCCAGTAACTCATTCCATCCGAACCCTCAGGCCCGGACGTTCCGCCCATCACCGCCGAACTCTGCCCATCCTCTTGACATGGAAGTGAATAATGAGAACCAGCCGCCAGCGCCGGTATACCCTCCAATGCCCGTAACGAAGGACGCGCTTTACGGACGGCGAGCATACGGCAAGGTGCTCGATTCTGTCTTTCAAGAAGCATATGCAGACTGCGCATCGCCCCATCAGCGTGAAGCCCTGGGCCGGGTGCATCAAGCCTGGGCACACCTTGATCAGATCGACCCTCAAGGCGAATTTCTGCTTTTGAAAGCGATGATGGACCGGCTGCAAGGTGACTCCAAGCTCGCGTCTGCCCTCGGAGTTACTGTCTCTCCAGCTCCAACTCCAAAGCAGCATAATACGAAGACGAGCGAAACGAGCCTCAGCGGTACCACCATCCACGGAACTAGCACTACCCGCATCCGATCTAATACGACAAACGCAGCAAGCTCCCTCAGCAAGCAATCAGCGGATTACAGCGCTACGCCCACACAAACACCCTTCCAAACCCCCATCGAGACTCCCACAGGCACTACCTCGGCCTCTCCCATCAAAGGCCCCAAACTCGTCCTCGCCCAGAACAATCCGCATCTCAAGTCGCATCGTCGCCGCCAGAGTGCTTTCGTTGGCGGCGAAAAGGCGTTTGGGTTGGATGCGTATGGCGGTCTGGATGAGAAGAAGCTGCCGGGCCATGTCGAGAAGGGTATGGAGCAGCAGGGATTGTTGGCTGATATCCTCTACGGGCAGTGGATGCAGGGGCTGAAGTCGCGCTGGCCGCTGTCTTAGTGCGAGCGGCTGCTGTGTCGGTGGTCACAGCCTAGTCCGGCGATTGCTGGCTGGGCGGGCGGCTAAGCTGCTTGTATACATGGTACGTATGCGGTTCTACAAGTCGATTTCTATTCTTGCACATATCTTCGGCCTTGCTTGCTTCCACGCTGTCCTGGCTAAGCGGGGGAGTATGAAGGCATTGCATGTTTCGTGTCTCTCCTTTGGCATTGGCATCAGATGATTCATGACCCTTACGGCCTAAGGGTTTTTTGACGATTCACGATGATGCGCGATGCTACTCTGCATTCGGCATTTGCATATGAAAAGTTGGCGTTGTTTGGCATTTTAGGCGTTCACATGGCTGGACCGTGGTGGATTTCAGAGAGATAGACAGCTCGATGTAATATGGTATGTGAATATAGTGTATCAAGACATTGTTCCTGTAGTTTTGCTAGGCTTCTTATCCTACGGTGTAGATCCGATGGTTAGTCCATTGGTAGTGTGGGCTTGACCTTTCTGTCCCCTGACGCGACCATATGGCTACACCGTATGATGTAGTGGATAGTGACGGCCTTTTCGCCACTTGCTCTACGCCCTTGTCAGACTAGGTGGCTTGATGATGTGCGCGGTCTCTTCCTTGTGCCTAGCTTCCTTCTCTAAGCAATGCACTTGCACTTCCCCCCTGGCGCCGTCCACGGCTGGCAAGTCGATGGTGCAGACAGACAGACAGCAAGCGGCCGGAGACTTACGCCTCTCTTATCCATGCCGCGATGCCTATCGACGCAGGACTGCGTGACTCCAGCTTTTCTGCCCAGGTAGTCTTTCATTCGTACGGCGAGCGCTCTGCCCAACCTCCCTCCCCTCCCCATCACACCCACCCCTCCTTCTCCCCCCTCTTCTCCCCAACACCCCCAGCATCCAATTCCACCGCCATATTCCGACTCTCCAGCTCCTGCACACCTATCACTCTCCGCCCACCACCACCACCAGCTGCTGGCACCTCCATCCTCCTGCCCTCATCGCCGACGAGCTCGCGCCGCATGGCGTAGGCGTAGTTGAGATCTTTGGTGGGCGGGGGAGGGCGGTCCGCGGTGCTATCTGGCGCTTCGTAGATTTTCGGCCGCTGGGCAGCTTGACGCTGGCGGCGGCGGTGGAGGAAGAAGAGCAGGGCTAGGATGGCGAGGATGGGAAGCAGGATGGTGGGGAGGAGGATGGCGGTGAGGGGGGTGCGGGGTTTAGAGGTGGAAGATGAGATGGGTGGTGGGGAGGAGGAGGTGGGTGAGATGGTGATGGTGGCTTGGGGTGGGGAAGTGACGACGATGGTTGCGGGTTGGTTGACTGGCGCTAGTGTTAGCAACATGAAGGCGGCGGGTGTTAGAGCAGGAAGGAAGTGGACGTACATCTCGTCAACTCCGTGCTCTTCGCACAATAGCTATTAAACACTTCGAGCGCGCTCTGCACATCCCCCGCCGCAGCACCCGTTGGCGTCGCTCTAGCCACCAATCCCAGTCCCGCTCTCTTCCTCAATCGCGCAGCAGCCGTAATCGCCGGACTTCGGACTTCGATGCCACTCGCGAATGTCTGCGCCTGCGTCTGCGTCGCCGCACTCTCGCACTGATCCGCCACGGCCGTCGATATAATGCTCGCAAACTCGCTGCTCGAATCGATGCAGAAGCATGCGAAGGAGGTCAACTGCGTGTCGTCGCCGCATCCGGAAGCCTGGTTGCGCACGATGACGCTTACGCGGTCGAGTGCGCAGGGTGCGAGGGAGGAGTAGAGAGGGATTTGGTCGATGTAGATGTGTGTTTTTCCTGCGGCGTGTGCGCGCTGGGGGGATAAGAAGAGGAGGAGGAGAGGCAAGAGAACGAGAGGAAGGCGAAGGGGCATCGTGCTGAGAAGCATGATAGGAGACGCAGTATGGAAAGAAGCGATCGAAAGTCAAGCAATTGCGACGATGCTTCGGCTTCGCTGTTACGCTTCAGATGTCAGTGTCTGTCAAAACGGGCGTTCAGCGGGAACAGAGGGGCATACTCCATACTTAACCGTCGCAACGGGCGCAGCGGGCGCACCCTTAGTCCGTAAGACATGGATAACTCACTATACGAGTCCTCCGTCGCACTGCTACACCCTGTCGAAATTACCGTTGAGGCTGCAGCATCGCGTTTGGAGTTACCGCCGTCATGGCGCCTCGCAACCCTGCATTTCCTAAACGGGAAGCATCTGATACGTTAGCGGGCCTTGTGCCTGGGCGCCTTACTCCTCCTCACCTGGAGTCCGTCCACTCCGCGCCGTTCGTGCCTGGCTGCAAGGCTGCTGCGATGCTCGTGGGATGCAGGGTTCGTAGTTCCGTTTGGAGTGGGTTTGGAGGGGTCGTCTTATCGTGGCTCTAAGCGTACACTATACCAGATACCGCTAGGCGATCATTATGGGTTACCTAGAGGTTTGGATATATGTACTCCATTTCTTCGGCCCATTCTTGCCGTTCGGCGGTTACTTCGCGGTGCAGGTGGATGTACTGGTCTTGGAACCAGTCTGCGGCTCGGCGCGTGGTTAATTCGTCGTTGGCGTCGCGTGGGCGGGAGGCAGCTGTGTTCTCCAGATCTCGACCCGGGATAGCGTCGATGTGCCCTGCGAATAGTTATTTTCGATTGCTCTGGGCATTGCACTCCTGATTTACATACCTCTTGGTCGATAGCGTCGTCTTGTCAGAAGAATCCACAGTGTGGCCAAGGCAGCGATCGCACCAGGTATTGCAAGGACAAGAGCGATTAGCTCTACGATATTATCGCTGTCCCCACGACCCATGATGTATGTCTGAATGCTTAGAACTGTATAGAGTCAGCCTCAAGATAGTAAAAGACGTGAAACAAACGGCACCAGTATTTGATATGATGGACTGGGGATAATCAGACAAAACCTTTTGGCTGGCGAAGCGATACAGAGAGTGCGAAGCAGCGAAGATCAGAAATTATTTAGGCAGGCAAGCAATAAAGTTAGAGTACAGCCTTAATTGTGCCGATTTAGGGGAAAGTGACCAGTTGCGAGCTTCTTTAGGTGGTGTTCGCATTCATTGGCTGCCGAGACGGGACTATCCTTGAGATAGAACCTAGAGATAGCACCAGAAGCCGGCACACTGGGTGTGGAACATCAGCAAGAAGAATTAATAGATAATAGAGAGCTTGCAAAGACGAGGAAAAGGTGAAAAGAGAAGCGTTGCGTAAATTTATATAACCAGGCGAGCGGAGAATTTGGGCCCTCGGGCGTTTCCTATTGAGGAATAGGTCGAGGGTTATCCGGTGGAATTTGGGGGGCGAAGTCGGCGGGCTGTGTTAAGGCTCTGTAGGAGAGAACCCACATTGATGTGTGGGCGTGCGTTTTCGCCAGTGACGGCTGGGGTTCCAGAATCTCTCTGTGGGACCATTCCCGTTCAAGCGTAACTAGCTTCCCCGATGACCAGCCCGTTCAATTCTATGCAGCCTCAGCGCCTCTAGGGCGAATTATCCACACTCTACGCCCGCTTCTCCTGCATCGCAACATCGCTCAGATGAATTTAGAGCGACGTCCTCGCTGGCGACCGCTGCGGGACGATTGATTAGGCAGGGCTGACTCCGGCTTTATTGCCCTGCAAACAGCAGCAGCAGCGGCGCCGGTCATAGAGATACTCTTCCCGACGAGTCAATCTTCCTTACTTGTACGGCGAGCCCTTCGATGCGGAGAATTCCCTAGCGCAAGAGCAGGGATGCTTCTGCGCTCATCTCCCGTCGCGAGCGGCTTCACGTGCTGCCGCCCGTTCCTGGATGCCTTTGATAGCCCTTATCGGGAGGAATGCGAAGCACAGCACCGCTTCAGCTGCATGGAACGCAGTGGCGTCGCCCATTACTATCGACACCGACCCTAAAGGTGTACTGTGCATCGCATCAGCGCGGGCTAGACAGCAGGCGTCTCCATGGTGGAGCGCGGGAAATTGGAAGCTTGGACTGTTTGTGTGGTCAGACCCTCGACGCGTGACGGCCGGGAAACACAAAAAGCTCAGGAACGACCGTGTGACGTCCGAACTCTGAATCCCTCGCCCGCCTGCCCCCAGAGATGCTGCCTTCCATGAGTCTGGTATGGGTTCTTCTGCCGGCCCTACTTTGCTGAAGGCCTGGCTCTCGTTTCTGCTGAGGCTCCTCGGCGTTCCCGCTGCCCTATTGGCCCTGCACCTGGAACTCCATGGCAGCTCGCCTGCCTCGACTTCGCTAATTCTGCACCGACTTTCTCGACGCTTACGCCTCTCCGCCCTCGCCTGCATGCTCAAGAAGGACCATGATACTGGCATGAACAGCATCTTCTTCGTCGGAGGTGCAGACGTAATGGACCGCGCACAGTCACAGCACAAGCCCCAGCCGCTCGCTCGAAAGCGGTCAATGACCCTGGACGACAAAGACCGCACCCGGCCAGGGGGCTCACCAACTCTCCAAAACCACCTCCCACGCCAGCCCTCTGGAGCTTCCGACGCCTCGTCGACATCCAGCACGCTCTCTCACCCATCGCCCAATCCCTCAATGCCTTCGCACTCTCGCTCCCCGTCGCACGCCGACATTGTTCGCCAGGGGAAACGCCTCTCGCTGCAGTTTCCCATTCAGCCCGTTGCCGGAAGCAACTCACTAGCCTTCTCTCCTCGATCACGCCCGCAGTCCTGGGTCGCCGCTCCCTCTCCCGTCCCCTCTCCTGACGCCACTTCCTCTTCCTCCGAGACCAACATCCTCGCCGTCCTCGCCGCCCAGGAGCGCTACGTGCTCGAGCTGAAGGAGGAGCTGGCCAAAGCCGAACAGGACCTCAAGACGCTCAAGAAGCATTTTGCGACGCAAGAGGCCATCAAGCAGCGCAACGAAGTGCGCAAGGTCACCCAGCTGCAGCCGCTCAACACCACCCTCGCCAACTACGACGCCGATCAAGACGACGAAGACGGCTCGTCGCTATGGATGCAGAGGGAGATGGAGCGCAGGAAAACCCTGCTCAGCGGCCACAAGACGTCTCAGCGCAAGGTTTTTAGCGGCTCAAGACACTTGCGCACTCTATCGTTGCTATCGCCTGACAAGTCCTATTCCCCTTCCTTCCCCCAGCCACTCGACGTTCGCGAAGACGAACCTATCAAACCACGCCCAGCACCACTCTCCCGCAACGCAACATCCCCTGACATCGCAAACCAAATTGCGCGTACCGTCAGCGGCGAGCGATACGATCTCGGCGGTCTCTCCAACATTCAGCGCGATGCCCTGCTCCGCACTGGGAAGCAGATGGCCACCGATTTCAAAGACGGATTGTTGACGTTTATTGAAGACATCCGGCAAGCCACCGTGGGCGAGGAAGCTGTCGCCGACGGCTCAGGGCCCGGTGCAACCAGGGGTCCCGCTGCCAAGGGTGCCCGCAAACCCTCCGACGGCCGGCCCAATCTGAACCGGGCAGCCACCTCGAAGAATTCGGCAGCATCGAAGTCTGGAGATATTGGTAACGACTTCTGGAAGGAGCACGGTCTGTCCGAGCCCAAGACCGCTCCCACAAACAAGAAGACTCACGCGCTCAAGCACACTCGCACGCCCCAAAAGCCAACGCACGGGGCCGACGACTTCGAAGACTGGGATAGCTGGGACACACCAAATGATAAATACACCAATGCCGCAAAGGCGGGCGACGCCCACAACAGCTCCGACGAATCAGACGGGCCCTCGTCGCCAGTGTCGGGCCAGGCCAGCTCGCGAACGAGCACCAGGTACCACTCGCAGCGTCATGACTCCAAAGCATCCTCGCTCACAATGTCCAGCTCCGCAGACCCGCGCGATGATGCTGCCCCACGGGACTCGAAACGCAACTCCATCCCGTGGCCTGATCTCGTCAAGCTGTCGCCGACCAACCTCAAGCGGACCGCATCACACTTGATGAAGGAATGGGAGAAGAATCTTACACCTCCGCCCGAGTCGAGAGATGCAAGCCACTCTAGCGGCGACTATGTTGGGCGATCTGTAACGCCCGCCGGACAGTCTTAACGACACACGATTTACGGTCTACACCATCCATGTAACGATGTAACGCAACCAGACGCAATATCTGGACGAAATGTATATTTCTAATTCGGGGAACTGTATAGACGGGCGGTTTGGTGTACAATCATGGTCCATATTGGATGCATGGAATTAGAGATGGAGCTTCAGGATTGATATTGGTAATTCGGGGCGTGGCATGGGGTTGGTTAGGAGCCTGTTGATGAGGAATTAACCTGATGGTAATGAGAACCTGAATACTTGTCACTCTTGCAGACCGAAATAATCGTCATACGTGATGTTCCGCAAAAAATCGGTGCGTGCTATGTGCTCCTATAAGGGCGTAGAGTGAAGTTTAACCACGGTGACTTAAACACATTTTCCAAGCCCAAATGTACGCTGTATCACATTGCAGCAAAAGCAAGTCAACCCCTCCAATATCGGTCTCATCTATCCTTTCTCACAATTATTTTCTTAGAAACCCTTTCTCCTATATCAGCCTCGCCCTCGCCCTCATCCCCCAGCAATCTCTCGCCGTGCCAAGACATTCGTTCTCTCCGGCAACTTCCGTCCTCCGCGCCCCATCTCCGCAAAAAAGTTCCCTCCCGTCGCAATCACACACAACATCTATCTTCCCACACAACGCAACCACACACCAGCCGCATACCCACCGCGCCTTTTACTGCTCACCTCGCAATCCCCAACTCCTACGATACGATGGCCTTCCCCGGCGGCCCTGCCGCCTTGCCCGGCATGAATCCTAATGCCGGCATGTCGGCGCAGGAGCAGCAGATGGTGAAATATGTACGTATGGAACGACCTCAAGGTGGACAATTCGTAGTTAGGGGAATGTTTGCATGGGGATTGGGATGGCGGTTTGGATTGGTTTGAATGAGAGAGAGGCTGACGATACGACGTGCAGATGCAAATGGGCATGGAGAGCTGCCTGGGCAAGACGGTGATGGCGGGCGTGATGGGCGGGGGGCTGGGCGCGATGTTTGGCCTGTTCATGGCGTCGGTACGTACAGGCTAGATTGGGAGGTGACGCGATGACAACTGACTAGAGGGACGCAGATGCGCTACGACACGCCAATGTCGCAACCGCTGCCCGTCGCTACACCCGCTCCCTCCACCTCTCCCTCCACTGCGACACCTAAACCCACTACCTCCGCCGCCGCCTCCAAACCCGCCCCCATAGCCCCAACAACCCCCGCCTCCCTCTCCGCAACCTCGACCATCTCCTCCCCCACGCCCCTCGCCGACCTCCCCCTACGCCAGCAGCTCAAGCACGGCCTGCGCGACATGTACCGCAGCTCTCTCTCCTCGGGGCGCAACTTCGCCAAAGTCGGCGCCATCTTCAGCGGGACCGAGTGCGCGATCGAGGGCCTGCGCGCGAAGAACGATATCTGGAACGGGGTTGCCGGGGGCTGTATCACGGGGGGTGTGCTGGCCAGGAGCGCAGGGCCGCAGGCGGCGGCGGTGGGGTGTGCGGGGTTTGCGGTGTTTAGTGCGGCGATTGATTCGTATATGGTGAGTGAGGGAGTTTCTGTTTTTGGCTTGGCTTGGCTTTTTTGGGGTGAGGATGAGTATGCTGACGAGGATTTTACAGCGGATGCCCGAGGACGAGCGGAGTCGGCCGATTGCTTGAACGAACGAACGAACGAATCTCGACTACCCGATGGGATCGGTTCGGATATAGAGGCTCCTCCTCTTATGGATGGTAATACTCATAGATGCGGCGAAGAGATGGGATGTAAGACTATTGTACAACGCGGCGGTGCTGTAACGAGCATACCTAGGTTTCAGAGCCTAGCATTGGGTTGGCGTTCACGGACACTCTCAGCGGAGCGTACCCAACGGTACTGATATTTACATATAGATACATGTTTTGGGAATAGATGGGAGGCTGGGCAAATGCCTCACATTACGCAACTTCAAATCCTTCTGCTGAATTGCCATCATGAGTGCCTTGCGCCACCTACTCTCTGAAACAGGTCCGGGGGTAGCTTGTCGATGCTACGAACTTTATGGGCATTACAAGTGGCCAGATCGGTTGCGGTGATTGGAGGAGGCACAATCTGCGAAGGTTCACGTTGCCAGTTGTTAATCATGACAGTAGCCAGGTATGCCGTCACTTGAAGATAGGGGCGGTGATCATCGTATTGGAAGAAGACGTATCTCTTCAACTCGCTAGCTAGCTACGTGCGAACGCAAGGAAACAACTGCTGGCATAACAGATAGGAGAAAGCAAACAGAAACCATAGCGCGGCAGCAATCTGGGGTTATTAATTGAGACTGGGAAGAAGAGACGAAAGGGAAAACGTATGCTGATTAAGAGAGACAAGAGACTTGACGCGGGTCGGATCGCAGGTATGGCTAGGGTGCCATGCCAGCGCATCGGCCAATAGGGGTCCGGCTGTATCCCCTGAATGCCCAAGGTGCTTCACCCCTGACCCCGTGCATAGCCTATCGATAACGGTAGAAACATGGTGACAAAAGGCAACTAGCCAACGGACAAAACAACTGCCGGAAGTTCGTATCATAAATCGTAACGTAAGTTCGAAAGGTGTGAAGGAAGTGTTGTGTTCATGCAGAGAGAGACCAAGGCAACGCAGAGTCATGACGAACGCGAAAGACATTGGCAACCATGTAAACCGTGGCGTAAGGCAAGGTCGGGGCGTGTTCGGCAGGAGGGTGGGCGGACCGTTCCGGTCTTGGCAGGGCGATAGGGGCAACGTTCGTCCACGGCGGCGCTCTTCAGTGATAGTATTTTCCCCAACGACCCTCTTCATAGTTTCTCAAGTCATCCGCATTCGAGCCGTCTGCCCATGTCGAAGGGGCCGTGTAGACGTAAACGACGATGCCTCGTTGATGCTCACCTGTGGTCGTCAATGACTGTGAGGTAACCAGAAGCAGGCCAACTTACGAGGTTGTGAATATTGATGAATCTGCCATTTTCCCCCCATAAACATCGTTGGAAGCACATTTGGAAGCCATGCGCGGGGAGTCGACAGCGCAATGAGGCCCAAGAGGATGGGAAGCTCCCCGATAAGGCCGCCATATTGCGACGCTGATGTTATTCGGCGGCCTGTGTGGTAGATGTCCGGAAGCAACAGAGTCGGCCACCGTTGGCCACTACGCTGAATGCACAGTGTGTGATGCTCCCCGGCATTCGTGAGGTAGGAAGAGTAGTCGTCGTAGTGGTCGAATGTGAGCGTATGCCAGCTATGCCAATCCCCGTTCGTCAAAGTGGTGGCGTCCGCGTCCATAACCCAGATACCGCATCCATCGCTGTAATACACGGAGTATGTCTTATACAGAGAGCTGCCAATAGGGGGCCCATCATCCAGCTCCACCGCCTGGAAGTATTGTTTGTTACAGTACCACCATACTCCAGAGACGCCTCCGCCTCTCCTAACATTTGCGCCCGCATTCGTAGAAGGCTCCCAGTGACCGTCGGGACGTTGACGAGGCACAGTAGTAGAAGTCTCGGCGATCTCGTCGATCCGAAAAAGGTAGGGTGGCTGTAGTTGAAACTGTTGTCAGGAGTTGGTCGCATTGCGTGGAGGAGCGCACTAACCGACATGGTTCGAACAGCACTGAGCCGTCTAAACTGGGCGCTGGAGCGATAGTGTACGGAAAGCTTTCCCGAAAAAGCACTCTTGCCTGCTTTGCAAGCTTCTGCCATTCCTCGCCCCCACCAGCCCTTTATCCTTACTGCCCTCCATGCGGCTCTGCGCCGTACTGCTCGCAAAGGAAAGGATCCCACATTGATGATCAGGCGACCCTTCGAGCTCGTAATGTGGAGGGCGGGAGTGAGTCTAAAGCAAGCCCCAGATAAGGTGCCGGCGCTCATAGGAGCGACGAGACGGCATTATCCTGTACGGCTGCAGCAGCGTGGAGGAAGACCCTGGGCGACTCCTTCCTTTACCCCGCCAGCCCGCGGCCGGCGTGATGCGCTTGCCTCGGGGCATGCCAATCTCTGTAAGACGCTTCGCATGTGGCGGGTTGCGGTTTGCTCCGGCGGATGGGCGAGCGGGAGGTAGCTTGACGAAGCGCAGACTGCCCGTGGGACCGGAGACGCTCGTCCGTAGCACAAGCTGTATCCATTCTTCCCGTAATGGTTTCGTTCGTGGGTCTCTTGCAGCTATCATGAATGTCAGCCGTAATTAAGTAAACATAATATGCTAACCGGCCGCGAATCCCGTCAGGCGGCAAATGCAACGGCTTGCATGCGAGTACTTACTGCGCCGACCAACCAGCAGGAGCCCTATAGCGCCTTCACCTGGCACGGGCGGGTGGAACCCTGTGGCAGCGGAGTGCCCATGCAATGCTTCCGGTGTGCGACTAGCCAAACTATGAGCTGGCGCATGCTGTAGCGTATGAGGAGCCGCCGAGACTTTGGTCTTGCTCCGTCCATCATGCTGGCTCCGGCAGAGAGATGGCAATGGCGCGCAGGCTAGACCACTCGATCACCCACTGGAAACTGATGGCCTGAGGTCGCCCATGAGACGATCCCAAGCGAGTACCGGGGTATCAGGAAGCGTAGAGCGCGATTGTGAGCCATGATGTCCAGGACGTGAGCATCGGCGTAAACGAGCCGGCTGCTCCACACTGAGGAGGTGATGGTGCCTGTACGTCGAGCAAGGTGGAAGCGATAGGTGATGCGGCTCTGCTCGTCTAGCAGCTCAGAGACCAACTATAAAGGAGTGCCAGGCAAGCTGGATTGCCGAAGGTAATCGACCGGGTGGCAACAAAAGCTGGGCAGCGAGCGAGGATCGGTCATCTATGGTGTCGGTAAGGTCTCCGCGGGGCGGCAGAAACGAAGATGAGTAAGCCTTTCCACAGTCAGTGAGCTCTTCAGAAGTATCGCTAACCTTTTGGCTTTCCACACTGCCCTGGGCCAGGCGACCATTAAGTACGACCCCATGGCCCGGAGATCGGCTGACGCAGTCTGCCCTTGCGCAGTGCAAGCGCTAAGGGCAACGTTGAAATCACCTACGGCTGCTGCAAGTTTGCCTTCTTTTGCCTCCTTCGAACAGTCCTGACACCTCCTGGAGAGCCGCACCGGCCCAATTGGCGAATAAGGCTGCTTGAACGACGCAAATGCTTTCAACACCGTTCCTCGGCTGGATGCAAGTTTCGTCTTTCTGCCGTTCTCGTCACAGTTGACCCCGGAGACGGCGATCGACAGCCAATAGGACATGTGGCTTGCTTGACACCAAGCCAGCTCTTCACCGGAAGACTCGCATGTTCTGTTTATTGATAGTATCCTCCACCACGCCAAACACCTCGACGCTGGTGGTAAACGCTCACCGGTCAGCACAGCGCCTCGTACAGAGATTATCCTCAAATTGGCACGATATAGGGTCATGCGCACACCATTAGTCAAACCCATTAGACTAAGGCTCGTCGCGCAAAGAATCCCCAACCACGAGACCGGCCGCCCATTGGGGGGTACGCAATATCGACACTTCTCGCCAAAAGCGGGTATGAGGACCGACGTGCTCAGTCACCTTGTCGACAGTCGCCTGCTGTAGAGAGATAAGGACTGGACGACAACCCCGCAACGGTCCGTACATCGGTTGGTCAAGGACCAAAGGACGCATGCCCTTCCAGCAGACGCCGTATGGATTTGCCCTGGCCAATCCTTTTGACGCGCACACAGGAAACTATTCGTCGGCCAACAGAATTCGAAAGCCGCCCTACCCGTGTGACGAGCGCCGTTTAACTTACGTCCGCGGTCGTCCTAGTAAGATTGCTCATGTCAGCCACATAGGCAAAATAGGCCAAGCGGATGCCGGCGTCATGCCTTGCGTGCTATAGGTGCATGTCGGTGCGCCTCAGACGTAGAGCTACGACGCCGAGAGAACGCGGGGGTGCATTGGGGAAGAGCTGTATGTTCAGGGTGGCGCCTACGGCTCCAAGGCAAATTGAGAAACAGAAGGACGTAAAAATGGGGACATAGAGCGGCAAGAGCCCAAGGAGCGGGAAATCTGCGGAGGGTTTATGTAAGCGTCTCAGCGGTGATATGATGCCAGTATGGATTGCCAACTGACCTGCACAGGCTCCTCCCACCGACTCAGCGCTTCGACGACCGCATCATCCACCACCTTGTGGCGCCACCGAGATATAAGATCATTCAGCAACAATATAACATAAGGGAGGGTATTGGAGGGAAGCCATAAGAACGACGGTCTGGTTGGAGAGATTCCTTCCTGGGTGGGATACTGGCCGCGTCGCAAGAGGAAAGAACTACGATAGACCTCGCCACAACGAGTCAATCGTCAACCTTAAGCAGAAGCAACAACGAGACAGCCCTGGAGGGACATCGAGCAGGTGACCCGAGTTGGTAGGGCAGCGGCTAACATAGCGTTCGCCGAACCTTGCCGGACTGGATAAGGATGGTAGATGACCTCAGAATGCTTGCCTCGGCGGCAAAGAGCTGGACCCGAGCACCTGGAAAGCCTCGGAGCGGCTTGCGGAAGCGTCTCCCATCCGTCTGCCATCGACGTCAGATCCCACGTCAAGATTAAAGGGCAACCGGGGTGGATGGCGGACAGGGTTGGCCATGAGTGCGCACCGTACGATTCCCACTATTCCCACGATTCTCTCCAAGGAGAGGCGAACTCGTCGGCTGTGCAAGTTAAAGTCAGCGGGATCCCGAGCTTGTTGCTTGTGGAAGCCATCGGCGCCCCTCGCTGCAAGCGCCCGCGTCCTAGAGTCAACATCCTTGCCCATCCGGCTGACAGGGAGGAAATGGACCGATGGGATTGCTTGAATCCGATGCGCCCCACGGAAGCATCATGGACATGGACATCAGGCGATGAACGGGAGATCGAGAGTATCAGCGGCTTCCTGCTGCGGTTGACGTAGCGGCTTGGGGATTGCTGGCGCCGAAGGGTGGCGGCACGGGGCTCCGGGCGACATGATGAGCATCAAAGGCGGTCTCACAGAAGAGTGGACATCGTATCCGGCGCTGCTTGGAAGTTGAAATTGAGAAGCGGGAGCTAAATGCGGGAAGACCGCCCATGGTAGCTTCCACAGTCGTTGATACTTAGTCACCCCGCCATCGTAATTTATTATCCAATGGGAAAGCCAGACGCTAGCGTAGACATGTATCGAAATTTGCCTGAAAACCTTGGTACGTGGTGCGCACAACCACCTCTATGAACGCCACGCTCGTGAAAATCACGAAGAATATCCCCAGGACGAACAGGCAGTCGCTAAAAGGTCAAGGAGAGCGTGACTCTCTCTCGCCTTCTCTCGAACCCATCCGTAAACGCATACCGAATATTTTTGTCAGCCGGAAATCCGTGCGCGCTGCATCAATACCCCAAAATGGCCTCTCAATCGAGCCAAAAGCCAATCCACTCGATCATAATCGATACCGGTCCACTGATCAAAAACGCCATCTCAATCTCTACAATCGTAAACTCCGCGGAAGAACTCTATACGACCCCCGCGATCATCTCAGAAATCCGCGATGCCGCCACTAGGTCAAGAGTGGAAACAACCTTAATGCCTTTCCTGAACATCAGAACCCCGTCACCTGCGAGCTACGAAGCCGTCGCCGCTTTTGCGAAGAAGACCGGAGATTTTGCAGTGTTGAGCAAGCAGGATTTGGGCATCCTGGCACTAGCGTATGAAGTGCATTGTGAGAGCCATGGTGGGCCTTGGGGCTTGAGAAATGCGCCAGGACAAGCCTTGACCACTAGGCCGATGAAAAAGGCTGGGGAAAAGAAGGAATCAGAGAATGACGAGAAGCAGTCCGAAGAGTCGCAGGAGAAGAGCGGAGAGGAAAGTGCGCAACAAGAACTAGAATCCGACCGGTTTGAAGAGACCCCTGCTCAGGATCAGTTCTCACCAGAAGAGAAGCCATTGGAAGAAAGAACTACTTCTAAGCACAAGGACATTGAACAAGAGTCGACAACAGAAGAGAAGACAGTGGAAGAAGAGGTTCACCCGCAAGGAGAATCTCTCAAACAACAGACACCATCAGAACCGACGCCAGAGGCCACCGAGGCAACATCAACCGCCCAGTCTCTCGAAAAGGATCTCTCAACCCTGCATGTCTCGTCACCAGCAAATGAAGCTCAAGAAGCACCAGCATCGCTAACCCAGGATGACGATTCGTCCGACGGCGAATGGATAACCCCCACCAACCTCGCCAAGCACCAAGCCAAAGCCGCTGCCGCCACCGCTCTCGCCACCGAGCAAACGCAAATGAGCGTCGCCACCATGACCACCGACTTCGCCATGCAAAACGTCCTCCTCCAGATGAACCTAAACCTCCTCTCCACTAACATGCAGCGCATCAAGAAGCTCAAAACACACATCCTGCGCTGCCACGCCTGCTTCTTCACCACCAAGCAGATGGATAAGCAATTCTGCCCGCGCTGCGGCCAAGCGACCCTCAACCGTGTATCATGCACCACGAATGCCAAGGGCGAGTTCATGATCCACCTTGCGAAGAACTACCAATACAACAACCGCGGGAATCGGTACAGTGTCCCCAAGCCGATTGCTGGCACGAGCAGTGGGAAGTATACGGGCAAGGGAGGCGGCAAGAATGGGTGGGGCAGGGATTTGGTGTTTGCGGAGGATCAGAAGGAGTATGTCAGGCAGATCGATGAGGGGAAGAGGCATAAGGCGAAGGATCTGATGGATGAGGATTATCTGCCGAGGATACTCACAGGGGATCGGGGGAGAGTTGGGGGAAGACCGAAGGTTGGCGCGGGAAGAAATATCAACTCGAGGAAGAGATTCTAGGTCACCTAGGGTTAGAAAGGCGTGTTGCATCTAATGGTTGGGCGTTTGCGGCAAGACGGCGGCACCATGCGTTAGGAAACGTGTTGATGACCGGGGATATGGGAATGGTTCACGATATAGAAAGCATTAGACGCACATCTAGAACTATAAGGCCTGAATTGAAATGAATTGGGGTATCTCAAGATGTTACACAACGAATAGCAATCCTCTACTACCCATCCATCCCCCAAACAACCACGTTTCCATCCCCTCCAGCGCTAGCCCATTCCTTCCGACTCTTACAGAATGCCACGGCAGATACGACGTCTTTCTTGCCCTTTGCTTCTTTCCCGCCGACTCCCTTGCCACGCACTTCCCTCATCTCAGAGTGTTTGAACTTGTGCAGGCAATCTCCCTCAAGCAAGTCCCAAGCAAACACCATTCCATCGTCGCTGCCGCTGACAACCACGCTGTCATTCAGACCAAGTGTACTCCTGACTCTCAAGTCCGTGTTGACGAAGGCGTCGTCCCGGTATGCCTTGAGTAGCTGCCCGTTCGTGCGATCCATAAGCCGGACCGTCGAGTCCAACGAAGAAACAAGCAGCTCTGTGCCTTTTTTCGAGACCGAGACCGATGTTACAGGACGTCCGATCACGTCCACCTGGCACATGCCCATGCGTAAATCATAACTGCGGACCCTACCGTCGACCGAGCCCGCTATTATCTCCGCGTCGAACACCGCCACGTCTGAGACGCTATCCTTGGCCTCATCCAGCGTCATGATGGGCTTGTAAGAGTTCGATTTGACATCCCATATCCGCACCGTCCCATCGAAACTCGCACTGACTACCACGCTATCCCCGTCCCCGCCAAAAACTCCCCTGTTCACCCGCCCCGCGTGCCCCGTCCACCGCCGGATCGTCTGCGCCGTCTGCACGTCCCAGAAGAATACGCTCTTGTCGCCGCCGGTTGAGACGAATCTGTCGTTGGCCTCGTTGACGTCGATGGATAGGACTTCGTAGCCGTGCGCGGAGTACTTGTTTATGAGACCGGGCGGGTAGGCGGCGGAGCTCGAGGGCACGACGGAGGAAGGAGGGGCTTTTTGAGGGTTGTAGAGGCGGATTGTGCGGTCGGCGGAGCCGGTGAGGATGTAGGAAGAAGAGCCGGCGGAGTACGCGACGGCGTGGACGATGCCGTTGTGGCCGGTTAGTTTGGCGATGGGCTTTGTCGGGAAGGGTGGCATTGTAGAAGGGGAACAGCGAGGGAGAAGGACTTCAAGGCATAGTGTAAGGACCGAAGCACCGGGAGAAGGCTTTCTGGCGGCTTCAAGCAGTGAAAGTGAGAAAGTAAGTGAGCGACGGTGAAAGGGCCCACCATTGTTTGGGAAGCTATGACGCCTCGGGAAAACTTCGGTAAGACATTTTGGGGGTGAAGCAAGCCTGGACCTTTTCTCCTTCTTGAGCATTGCGACACCGAGATATTCTCATTTTCACGTCGCTGAGCTTCAGACTACTCTCTTGAGACATTTCGACCCGCGCCTTCCTGTCGCCATGGCTTTGCGACAGCTTACGTCCGCACCGAAGGTCGAGGACTTCACCCCACTCCAAGAGCACCAGGAACAGACACCCAGCACCTTCTTCGGCGCGAAACCAGTTCTCTATGCGCGGCATTCGGGATTGACGCTCTCCGCATCAGCTAGCAAGCTCCAAGAGGATCCTGCTTTCCAGCAATTCAATTCTATTCGCGACGGCGACAGCGAGGATGCCCTGATCCAGGACGTGGAGATCTGGGTAAACTCCGAGTAACCACCAAAGCCCAGTTTACGGTGCGCATTGAGCTAACTCAGCGCAGGAACCTCATCCTCTTCCAGAATGCGCCCACACCCATGGGCATTTCCATCTCCTACCCCTCCATCGCCCTCCATGCAACCATGAAGTGGAAATCTCAAGTCGAAGCGCTTCTAATGAACATCTCGCTCAACGACGCCGAAACCGTCAACGCAGACGAAGATATCAACATCCTCGAGCTGATCGTCCTGCCGCCTAATTATAACACCACTCCGGAAACCACATGCATCAAGGCGATCTTCAGCGCGATGAATACGTGCGCTGACTTACATCCTGATCCGAACGGCTCAGATGCTGGAGAGGAGGACGAGACAGCGCCGGGAGCTACGGGCTGGATTACGGCGGAGAATATGGATCAGTATTTGGACGAAGACGGGAATTTTAGAGGTGCGGTGATTGGCGGCGAGGACGAGGACTTGGGCCCCGGAGCGGGGTCTGTCAGGCCGAGGGAAGAGGATGATGAGAAAACCAATGGTGTCAATGGAGTGGGTGGGGATGGTCATGAGGAGAAATATCAGCGCACCGGCTAGATGGCTTTCTACCTGCCGTACAGCTGAGGGATACCCATGAGAATGATGGTGCGTAAAAAGAATGGCTAGCATAGGCCGCGGTCTCCTGTAGCAAGGCCGCCGTGTCCTGAAGTCGGAAGAGTGAAGTCCGCCGTATGTATCACCCTTCCCACCTTCAAGAAGCGAGGAGCTCAAACAAATTCAGGGATACCAGTCACTCAAGAACGACTGATGGAATGGGGTCTTCAATGCCAATGCCGTTCGTAACTTGCGTCTCTCCCATCCACTTCATGGACCCATTCAATGGGATCTTCTGTGAAGAGTGCAACTTGGCAAGACATCTATTTAAACCCAGTCTCCAACTTCTCTGTCCTCATCTTCTATTTCCAGAAAACCTAAATTACCGCTTCTAATATATAGCAATCTCACACACCGGAACGCTATCATATATCACAACACAGGATCATGGCTTGTCGCATATCTTCATCAACTTGGAGCTCCTGTTGCCATACTTCTCGACGATCGCGCAGCATGAGCAGGAGTCCAAGCCCCTTTAGTACGACATTTGTGTCCCGCCCCTCGTCACCTACGAGCATTCGCTCCGGCTCTATCTATGGACGTAGGAACAGTGCCCCTATTTATGACCCGGACGTTCCGCTTGACCATATGGTAAATGCCGAACCCACGTTGGTAAAAAGAAGTGGAGCCACTGACGAGCAACAGGATGATATCACGGCGCCCTGGGGCCGCTACCAGACTCCTGAGCAGATGCAAGCTTCTCCCTTCTACACTCGGATCTCTATCCCGGTCAATCCGAGCAGCGTTGAGCAATGGCGCGTCCAGTTCTGCAACTCCTATCGCAACCACATCGATGCCGTCCTTCCGAGTGTCAGTGATGCCAGTTTCACGCTCTCCTCTGTGCATCCCATTCCGCACCGCTATCTACGCCATCTCACGGTTGAGCACTTGTACTATCTATATGAGTATCTATTTGATGAGCTGTGGGAAGATCATAACCATGGTGGCGAGTTGGATGAGCGGGTTTCGGAGACACTGACGAGGATTCGGGAGTTGGTGTTAGAGAGGGACGACCGGGCCGTTGTTTCGGATGCGCGGAGGCGCATGCGCATGCTGAACGGGATGGATAGGAGGGATAATAGTCCGGCTACGACTCTTATGGATGTTGGAACGCAGACTGAGGAGGATAGTGCGATTGCACCGGACTCTGACCAAGCTCTGGAGCGTTCTATTAGCAATTCGGACTGAGACATACTGCGAGAGGGGGCTGGAGGTATTGGCATTCTGAGCTGGTATTAGGGTGCAAGCTGAGGAGGGCTTTGTAGGCTAGTTCTCGGGCCTTTGCGAGATTGATGGCTGTAAATTTGAGTTTAGTGCATGAAATATATGTTGATATTGTTGGTTCTATATGCAAAAATAGCTATGTTCAAACTGATTGTGCAGTAGACCTTCAACTGGGTCCTGTGCGATAGGTGGTCGCTTACGTCATCGTTGAGCCTCAAATCGGCACCGCGAGAGCTGCTGCCTTGCTCCTTCTCTACCCTCCATCAACAGCTAATCGACAGTATTGTCTCCTGCATCAATCAATCATAGTAGCTTCCATTCTTCGGAGTAGGCATACGAACTGACCATTCAATAAACACGTCCGAATGGGTTTGCGCTTCTCAGCGGGAATTCCACGTCGCTCATTCATGGACACACTTTCAATGGCCGACAGACAGCGAACATGTCAAGCATCACGGAAGATTGAATATATCGCTATCGGCCCTCGATCGCGAATTGAAGGTCTAGCGCATATGCCACGATGCTGATGCAGAGGTCAATGGTAAGGGAAACGCTCGAGGTCTTCGAGTAAGTATAAGTATTCTTCTTTCCACATACTCTATGCTTCCTTTCAGACCCCTCAACAACTTCATCGAGGACGCAGGAAATTACAATCCAGAAGCTATATACTATTTCCAAATTTCGACCATGCAAGTTGGACCACGACTCTTCGCCCTTCGGCCCTGCGACCGCGAAGTCATCGACCTCTTACGCGACCCGACCGTCCAGGTGTGCAGCCTGCCTACCGGAAGGACCCTTTACTTTGCCATCCCGTTCCCTGAGGAAGCGCTCACATGGCTCGATCATGCGGAGTTACTGGAGCTAGGGCGCCATCTAGATGACAACATCAACCTCCTCGTTCAAATCGCTGGTCCCGCTGCTTTTGAGCACTGCCTATCAGTCATGTATCTCATTGCAGACCGCATTGAGCACGTTTGGGATTATCCGGCCGTCTTGCCAACTTCTGTAGCAACAGACGTCGGAGAGTTTCTTCACTTTCTGAAATCCCTCACACCCGAAGAACATGAACTGCTCCATACCGGCCATGCTATCATCACGCTGGGTGGTCCCGATAACGGCTATCGCCTGGAACCCCCGACAGAGCGGGAACATGAACATGTGCGCATCGCTATGCGGAACTATAACGCTGAGCGTGTTCCGCTCTGCGATACGTGCTTCGGCAAGTTGCAGCACGGTTCAAGGAGGCCTAATCGCGAGGGACTCAAGAAGGATTGCTCGAAGTCGACGTTGGTTTCAACTGATGGACGGGGCCAGCTGATCCAACTTGATCAATTCAAGGCCTTCCTACAAGCCTTGGCCAACTTTGAAGCAGATTATAATCAGAGAGGCTATATACCACAGGTACCAGAGCATTTTCTAGGCTATAGGCTGGGTGCCCTGCTATTCCCAGAGATCCAGGTGCGGCCACAAGAATGGCGCATGTTCCACGAAACGGGTGAACTCCCTCGAGACGTTGAAGCCTGGGCAAGAACCCTCACGGAGAATCAGCTTAAACAACTTCACAACGACCTCGTCTATTATGGAAGGCTGGAGGTACGCGACTTCATGCATGCAATGCAGTGTGCACCGATCCCGGAAGGAATCGAGCAGGGCTTGAGCGAAATTTCCGCGGATCAACGCAGGGAAGCTTCCTTGAACGCCTTTTTCCAGACTCTAACGGATTTTGAGCTTGATCTCGTTCAGAAAGGCATGAAGGATGTTGTTCCGGATGATTCGGAGCTGGGCTGGCGCCTTGCCGAACGCTCTAAGACTGGAGACGGTAGTCGTGGCCAAGAAATCCACCGGATAGGAGCTGACTCCACAACGACCGATCAACAAAAAGTACCGGAAGAGCATTCTGGGAAGAAGGCCGTTTCACAGTCAATACCCGAACGGACAGAGCAGGCAGCACACAGAAGTTCTGCTCGGGGCGTTTCAATGAATGATTACTTGCAGACCTTAACGGATTTTGAACTTGATTGCTTTATGCAAGGCCTCCTGGGGATTGCCGCAGACGAGTCGGAACTGGGTTGGCGCCTTGTTGGACCGAAACAGAAGGGTTCGTTTATGCAGGGACCACAATCAGCTGTGTCTAGCGGTAGGCCAGAGAAGAAACCGACTACTAAAGCCTCCTGGTCCAACGTCGAAGCTCTCTACAAGGAATTGGAGTCCCTCAGCCTTGACGAGAAGCTCATGAATCGGGAGTATTGCGAGCTTGCCGCTCAGCCTGCTGTTCCTCGGCGAATGGAAGCTGCATCGGGCGAGAATTCTCCTTCGCAGCCGTCCAGGAACAATCATTCGCAGCAATCTCGCCAATCCATTCAGGATAGCCGTCGCACAGCACGTTCTGATATTGAGCGTCTCTCGTCCACAGAAGCTCGGCGCTCGCACTCCAGGCATAATGACTGGGTTTATGTTGGTGAGGATCAGCCTTCGTCTTCGCCGTCTTCCCCATCTCGAGATCGTCAGGGCTAGATCTGAAAGCCTTGAACTTGTAGTCGGCTGTGGTGATTGCATACTGGGGTTTCACATTAGGGCGAGTGCACATTTCATGCCATTCTCTAGGTAGGCTGGGCTTCTCCATAGAATTAGTCCATATCTACTCACTGGCGTACTATGCACTGTTTCACCCATTCCCTTCCAGATCTGAAGCCGTCTGAGATGCCATCTCTACAATTGTATCAGTATCCCGTTGCCCACCCTCCCGCTGACCTATTCAAACCTATTCCATTCACAGCACACAAGACACTCTCCTACGCGCTCAACCCACGCACCCAAACACCCTACCCGCAAACCCCCAGCGCCAAAAGAACAAACGCCCAAACACCCCATTCATACATTCAACCTCCCCCAAACACCTCTCACTCCACTCCACTCCACCCCCTACAAAATCCCCTCACCAAGCAAGCAACCATGTCCCAGCTCCTCACCTCCCTCTACACCTACATCATGACCTCCACCTCGCGCCCCCCAAAAACCACGCCCTTCCGCCCCAACCGCGTCGACGCCTACCCGCAGCTCCTCGCCTCCCACGACCCAGCCAGCGGCCCCAAACCCGCCCAAAAACCCACCACGCTGCTCCCGCTCCGCACCGCCGTGCCCAATACATCCTTCCTCGACGAAATCGCCATGGCGCAGTCCCACGCGTACTACGAAGAAATCGACAGCGTACCCGCCGCCGCCGTAGGCGCTGCTTCTGCGTTTGCGGCCACGGCGCACTGGTACGTCATCCACCCGCTGCTGCCGACGCAGGTGCGCGGGCTGAGCACGCTCGTGCTGGACGAGCTGCGCAGGTGGATTGAACGGAGTGAGGATGCGTATGTGGGGACGGCGAGGCAGGTTGTCGAGTTTCGCGAGAAGAGGGCGGAGACGCTGGGGTTGGTGCGGAGGGAGTTGAAGAGGAGGGGGAAGGGGGAGGAGGTTGGGGAGAATGAGGGGTATTTAGGGGCTTGGGAGGATGTGGAGGAGGATTTTAGGGAAGATGAAGAAGGGAAGGCGGAAGGGAAGGAGAAGAAACTAGCGGTGAGTTGGTATAGTAGGGACTGAGGTGGTGCAGAGCGTTAACGGTAGACAGGTTTGGCGAGCGAAGTCGGGTACTATTACTGAGGCGGGACTTGCGGAGGCGGATAGGATGGCGTTGAAGATGGCGGAAGAGATTAAGGATTTGGAGGAGTGGGAAAGGGAGTAGGAGCCGGAAGTCGGGTGAGTCCTGACATCTTGTTCGGGTTCTTCTTGTCAAAGCGGGTAGGTCTAAGGCGCGCTATGGGAAGCGACCCAGGGAATCTCTGCTAGAGTAGGGGAGCTCTCGTATAGGGCGCTGAACAGAGCTCGGTGCCAGAACAGTCCACGTTCCATTGCATAGATCTGAATTGCGTACCTTTTGCACTGAATAGCATCCCGTACGCAAGATTGGGTCGCTTCGCACTATCCGTCGCTAACCTTGCTATTGGCACGCATTTTACTCTCAGCACGCTTGCTGTTACGTTGTCGAGTACGCCTTCGCTGAACGAAGCATGGCGCGTTGTAGCGCAAATCCACGAGTTCGGACGGACGAATGACTTCCGAGCAGCTCCAAGCGCGCCGGATAGCGCCGCGGTGACCTCTCCGGAGCGGCGGTTTAACATGTTGTTGTGCCAAGCATGTAAAGGCCCGATTCGAGAGTGAGGCGGGTGGCGACGAAGATGATCGGCCTCTGCAAAGTTTCAATGACGATATGAGTGTCGCGGAGCATAAGCGGGCGCGGCGTGAGGGAAATCTCCGAAGGTCGAAATCACTCCAAGCTTGCCGAAGCTTCCGAGCGAGAGGTGAGGGAGCTGGGGGCCACGGCACCCAAATCGACGTCGGAGTTTGCCCCTATCCAAACGGCCGACCCTCTTCAAGCGCTCCCCAAGTCTGATTTGTTCTTGCCGGAGCCGGAGCCTTCATGCGTAACTGTCAGAGCATCCCACCCCGAGATAATAGCATCCATCGTCGCACTCTCAACGTCTGCCGCTGGCTTCCGCATATCCGCAACATACCGAGAGCGCACCACACTCGCTGCATTTTTCGTCCACTCCTCGCTCTGGTAGTAATTAAGCGTAGTAATCACCTCCATAGGCAGCGGTATCTGCAACGTTTGGCAAGTTTGCGTGAGTAGCCTAAAGAGAGGCTGAGCGTAGAAGACGTAGCCGGAGAGGGTTCTGAGTGCCCGTAAACAAGTCAAAAGGCCCTGATAAGGCTCGTTCGCTTCTGGAGAGAGACGCGAGTCGCCTTCGAATGCCACTTCTTCTAGTGAACCAAAGCTGGTTACCATGATGGGATGGAGAACGTATGGGATTGCGTTTACCCAACCGTGTTGGGTCTCGTGGAGTACGAGTAGGCGCCGGAGCTCCTTGATTGCGCTAGATGTGATTGAGTGTGCGCGGTCGCGGTATAACCCCACTGGCTCGTTGACGCTGTCGCGGTGGAGGAAGGGTTGGAATAATCGGATGATGGAAACATGATATTGCATCCTAGAGAGTGTGAGAAGGTCGGCTTTTTAGTAGAAGCGGGGAATCATACGCTGCAAGAAGGTGTTCGGGTGAAGGAAATTTGGTGGGATTAAGGCTTTCTGGTCGTGTGCCCCACCACGACTTCAATTTCAAGTACAGGTCTTCAATCTCTTCTGGTCTTGGAGGGATGGCGGTTGGATCGTCCGGATCCAGTGAGGTATTGGCGCATTCGAGAATAATAACATTGCGGGCACACTCGGAACGAAAAAGTGCTGGAGGTGGGTAAGGATGTGAACCGAAGTATGCGATGGAGTCTCACCTTCTCTGTCCGGAGTATCATCATATGGAATTCCAGTTGGCGGCTGAGATTTGAGTATCGTAGGAAACGGGTATGTAAAGGACATAAGCCTAGTATATCAGCACTCGGAGGAGGGCGAGTTGGGGAGGCGATATACAGTTGGAAATTAAACAATGCCCAGCCAGTAACAGCACGAGCCCTCCCCCACTTCTCCTTTGGCACGTGTTGTGGCTTCTGCATGGACCCTTGAGATAAGCGGAACAACCCAAGACTGTGAGCCATTCGACAGGCCTCTAGGAGAAAGGCATGGCCAACCTTGTCTCGGCCATGCTTACCCAGCACCATGAAGAGACATAAGGCAGAAGAGAGCCTCGGAAGACTGTCTTGCCCTTCTCCAAACTCCCACAGCCGCCTAGCCTCTTGATAGAACTGAGTTTGGATATTGTCCGAAAACGGCTTCGATCGATCTTCGATGAGAGGAGACTGGAACTAGCTGGATGTCAGTAAACCGCTACACAAGAGAACATCAAGATTCAAACATCAAGATTCAGCCTGATGAGAAATGCGGAAGGATGATAGAGTATTACTTACGCTTGCAGTAGCGAGGACTGCATTGACTAGGAGCTCAGAACAGAAATCTGTCCGCCCGGTGGATAAGTCGTCCAGAAACAGGTCCCAGTCTAGAAAATGGTAAAAGCGGTACTCCCACGTATGCCACGCGGACATAAGGAGGACGAGGAAATGAGTGTCATTGGTCACCTTCGTCCAGTTCCCCGTTGCGCGGAGCCTAGGGTCTAATGAACAGTCCATTACTGCGGGCCAAGTCGGATGTAGTATCACCTCGATTGATGGAGGAGGAAGAGGACTCGGACTATCTGAACTAATGTTGGTCAAAACTGTGCCTTCAAATGATGAGTGACACCGACCTAGCAGACACATCTGTATCTGATGCAAGTCTTCGTCTTTGACTCGCTGGGCCATCCGGTCCCGTAGGAAACGGGCCAGGAAAGGGTAGGCCAGCAGAAAAGTTGCTTGCACTAGGTCTAGGAGAGTCCAAGGCTAGTCGGAGAGGTGGCAGCGTTAAAGGATGGCCGGACTCAGACTGATGCCTACCTGGAATTTGATAAGAAGCGTGAATCAGGGCGTCTCTATGTTTAACGAAGTCGGCTAGGTCTTGGATGCGCTGAGAAGGCGTTGTGTCCTGGGGGTTATCGCGGATCCGCCTCAGAATTTCCAGGGCTTCTGGCTCTGGACGTAGGCGAAGGAAGTCATAGAGCTGGCGTAGGTTTGAGAGTTCTCCCTGCATTTCCTCGTTCTTGCGTTTCATCGCCTGTGAAGGCTTTTCATTTGGGCCGAGCTCATAAACGCATTCTGTGTTCTTTTGGGAACAGCATGAGCAGATAGGACGGACACCATCACACTGCAGCGGGTTAAACTGTGCAATAGGGCGTGGCTTGACTCTACCAACCTTCGATTTGCGTTTGCGACCTGGAGAGAATGCACGTCAGCCAACAGTCTAATATAGGCGGAGGTTTACTAGACGTAAAGATTGTCCTGGAAGGCTTCGAGAGAAACTAGACCGTCCTTGAAGAGCAAGAATTTAACTTTTGAATACTTGACATACATGCAACACAAGCTCCGAGTGTAACCGTTCGCTTAGGTTTCTGCGTGAGGGGTTTAATGGGTGGTAGTGGAGGAGGAGGAGGCTGTTCTTGATCCGTTGGGGCAGGCTGGAGCGGACGGAAGTTCGCCATGATAACACCAATTCAGAGCTTTGATAGTTGATGGCGGCGTCAAGATGGCCCAGCATTGCCACAGTAGAGAAGAGAAATGGAGAGCGTTGCAAAAGAACAGAGGCGCGAGCTAGGGGCGGAAAAATATCAAAAGTACTGCAAGGCAAACTTCGTCTGGCAACATGCAGAGCTACTCATCGCACAAAAGGTGAGTTTTCTTGTGGGGAAAGCTCGCTGAAGTGCTGAGAGTGGTAGGTAGGTTTTGGTGTAGGACACAGGGCGCTAGGAGACCCCGCGAGACAGCCGAGCTGCTCTGCTGCTTTAGCAACCGCTTCGGACTGCTTGGTCGGCAACACCTCAACGTCCAACCCACAAAGTGAGGCCTAGCTGTCGAGCACATCGCCACCCGGACAGCTTCATCCGATGCCGATCACGTAGCGTCTTTGAGGCAGACTTTCCGCCGGGATGTTCGCTTACAGTCTTTCGGAGCCAGCTCCGGTGGCGCAGTCACAACCCCACCATTGCCCCTCTGCCAAATCAACGGCTTCCCATTAGCGGCGGGCGTTGTGCCGCGCGAGCCTGACTGGAGCCCGCCGGCTGCAAGCAGCCGAGCTTATGCACAAGGCATCCTCGCATCAAATGGTACTGGCCTGAGCCGCGGTTGCAACTCAGCGGAGTGAGCGACCAGCGAGCCATTGCTTGGGATTGTGTCCTACTTTGCGCTGATTGGAGCAGTTCTCGAGAATGTGCAATACGTCAGTACCTGATGCGAGTCCGAAGGTTAGCTGTGAAGCCGATCGCTATATGTGATTGACAACCTGATTGAACGGCAAACGGTGTAGTGGGAACGCCGAGGTGACTATTCGGCGCTATAGTGGTCGCCGTACGGCGCCTCTGCGGCAGAAGAATGGTTGCTGTTCCGACATTGTTGGAGAAAAGAGAGACGGAGCAGTGCCGCCAAAGTGGATATGCTATTCAACCGTAAAAGGAGATGGATGGTGACGTTCGTGTGGTGACGAGGCGGGATCGCTCTTTACTGCACCTCTTCCTTTGTCCAGACTACTTTGCCCTGCTTGCCACCGTCCACGTTGATTACCTGCCCGTGGACGTGGCTGCTGAAGTTCGAACTCGCTAGGAAGAGTATGCTCTTTGCCACGGCCTGCTGTGGGATTGATTGGCACAGTGCAGTCTGCAGACATCAGTTAGCCAGGTCGTAAAAAGCTGAAGATAAAGGAGTCGGGATGCGCCTTCCTGAAGGTTTAACAGTCGAGGGGAAATTAGCGCCATTGGTTGTGACTAGGCAAAATGCAAAAGCACTCACCGTTGCCTGAGCCTCCAGGTAATACTGATTAGGATTCTCCTTGCATTCTTGTGCCCATCTGACTGTGTCGACAGGCCCAGGAGCCACAGCGTTGACCCTCGCGCCCGGCCACTCTCTTACCACCTCTTGCCTTAAACTCATCAGCAAACCACCTTGAACAGCACTCTTTCCCAGGCTGTAATCTGCGTTGAGCCGCTCGCCGAAGTGACCACTTTCACTGCCGATAATGATGAGGTTGACATTCCTCAATTCCCGCCCCTCGCTCTTCGCTTTCCGCAAACCCCGTAGCCATTCTCTAGCCGTGAGCCACGTACCAGCGACATTGACATCGAGGACGCGCTTCAGCTGGGCGAAGGATGCATCCGCGAACGACGAGTGTTGCAGGACGGAGAAGTCCAATGAGGCTAGCGCGATGCAGACTTCCACTGGTCCATACGCCTCAGTCGCGGTTTGAAACGCATTTTGTACCTCCTCTTCCGAAGAAACATCGCAGTGGATAGCTAGATAATTTGAATTTGGCTTCGTTTCTCGCACCGATGGGTAGCTGATATCCAGCGACGAGACATGGGCGCCTGCCGCTGCGAGGTGACTGACTACGACTCGACCGATGAGACCACCGCCGCCTGTGATGAGGACATGGGTGCCCTTGAGGCCTAAATCGAGGTTTGGAGCTTCCATTCGGTTGGCAGATGAGGTGAGCAAGGGGGAATGTCTGGTAGGTGATGGAACCTTGGAATGCTTGGTTGACGAGATCACAAGTGGGGGTTGGCATTGGCGTCCACTTCAGACGCGACTGCCACCTCTGGACAAACACCATGCCCATGGCAAGAGCAACTGCTGCTCCTGCACCCAATCAGGGACGAGAAATGATCATCAGATATCGAACTTTGAGGTCTATATAAAATACATTTTTTTTAGCACCTAATGCTACGTCTAGATTTCAGGTCCATGATAAATATCGAAATACAAGTCGAGTAGCACTCGTGGTATTAAGAGATGCCCATCAGAGCTGACAGCTCTTCATTGCGCCAGAAGCCACCCAATGCCAGTACAATATGCAATCGTCCCATTCTCCCATCAATGAGCAACAAAGCGCGAGCACTAACACCGAGCTAACGACCGGTCCATACTCCAACGCGCTGGCCGAATGCGGAAGCTAGACTCCTCTCTGTAGCATGAAGACGAGCTGCTACCGGTTACGTAGGCTTCTTCTTGGCATTCGCACTGCCCCTCGCCAGCTTCCGCAAGAAGTCATTCTTTACGCCCTTCTGCTTCAGATCCTTGTTCCTGCTCTTGTTGTACTCGATGTAGGCCATATCTTGACCACCAGACAGATCCGAGAGTGTGCCAGCCATCCTTCTCGCACCGTTCTTCTTCTTCTTTTTTCCCGCGGTTGACGCATACCTGCTCCCAAACATGTCCCCAGCGATCCTCTCCTCCGCGGCGTCCGTGTCTTTCGCGAGAAGAACATCCATGAGGAGTTCTCGTCGATCTTGTGCGGAGTAGAATGCTATATCGTTGCGTTGGTCTAATCCTTCAAGTCGGGTAATGACCTTGAATGCGTAGCCTTGATCGACTAAGAAAGCCTGGCGCTTGGAAGAATAATACATTTCGTCCGTATCTTTGGAGACTAGTGAATAGAAGAAGGCGTTGAACCCCTCGTCGTTCCTCCTCTTAGCCCGGAGAATTCGACCCAGCCGTTGTGCCTCTTGACGGCGGGAACCGTAGTGCGATGAAATTTGGATAAGGCAGGTCGCTTCAGGCAAATCCAGACTCGTGTCGCCGATTTTGGAGAGGAAGATGGTGTTGACCAGCTCGTTGTGCTGGAAGTTCTCCAGAATGCGCAGCCGCTCGGCCTGCGGGGTGTCGCCGTAGATGTAAGCCTTGTTAAGCTTCTTTGCGTACTTCTCCAGAGCATAGACGTTGTCGGAGAAGACGATAATCTTGTCGCCGCGGCGCTCATGGTAATCGATGAGGAACTGGCAAGCTTGGAACTTCCGAGGGTTCATAATAGACAGGAGAGCCCTCTTGTGCACCGACGCAGGCTTCAGCCATTCCGCGTAGAACTCTGGCGTCATCTGGCACCAGACCTCCGCGCACTGAACCTTGGCGATGTGACCTTGTTCCGAGAGTTCCTGCCAGTTTGCTTCGTATAGCTTCGGTCCAATCAGGAAATTCAGATCATCGATCCTGTCGTCCTCGCGAAGTAATGTAGCGGTCAGGCCTAGCTTTGCATGCGATGCGATGGAATAAGTGACCCTCTTGAAGATGTTGGCAGGTACGACATGTACCTCGTCGGCGATTAGCAGGCCCCATTCTCGTGACCGGATAAACTCCATAACCTTCTCTGAATCGTACGATCGATTCCGCATAGAGGTGATCATTGTGTATGTGCTGATAATGATACCGGCATTACGCGGGAAGCGGTTCTTGCTCTCGGCGGTGAAGACTGCGATATCCTCGGGGCTGATATTCGACCACTTCAGAAACTCTGCGCGCCACTGGACGACGGACATGGCGCTAGTGCAGAGAACGATGACGGACTTTTTGACTCCACATGCTGCTGTAATACCGACCAGCGTCTTGCCTGCGCCGCAGGGCAGAACGATGATGCCCGAGCGAGCGCGCGAGTTGGAGAACATCTTGCTCAGCGCCTTCTCTTGATAGTATCGGATCTGGGCATGCGGCTTCAAGTCAATGTCGAGCGTGGCGTTGACTTCGTCGTTGTTGAAGTCGTATTCCTCAGTCAGAGGAAGTCCTAGATCTTGGCAGCGCTTAATGACCGTTTCGCGCTCTTCACTCCGAATCTGGAAGGAGTGGACCTGTGCAACTTCTTCATCGTCGTCCTCCTCCCTTAGCGAGGCGATCATGTCGTTCGGCGCTTGAGGCTCTGGAGCAGGTTGTTGCGCGACCTGATTGGCGCCGGCGGCCATCTTCGTACCGGGTATTGCCATCACACCTATTTTGGGAGCAGCTTCTTGAATTAAGCCGGCTGTCGTATCTGCTCTGCATGATGCGACGGTCTCGTCTTTGAGCAGCCGCTGAAGAATAGTGGGATCGTCGCTCTCGATGTAGGACAGCGTCTTCTTCAGAACGATTTTCGCCTTCCCGAAAGAGGAGGTGGACTTCTCGATGAAGGAGACGAGCCCTGGACTTAGCGCTGTCTTTGAGTACTTCTCCAGTCTGTCAATGATTTCTTTGCTTGAATGTCCCACGGACACGGCGGCAAAGAGGCTGTGTGCGGTCAGTCTGTACTCATGCATGCGCGACACACGAGACTGCGGTTCGGCAATGTTGATCAAGAAGTCCTGGGCCTCATCGAATATGGGGCTAAATGATTCCAGGATGATGCGTCCGCGATAGTCGACCCATAGAGGGCGGCTGGCATGGTCCGGCTTCAGCGCGGCATCCCACTGATCCATCTTGAAGAGGAAGGATGCCGCATCTTTACGTTGCTCCGCCCGTAGCCTCTTCGCAGAGGCGTTGAGCGAGAACTCCTCCTTCAGCTTATCGAATAGCTCTTGGTCACTCAAAGCCTCTTCATCCTGCGAGTCCCAGCCCTCGTCGGCCTCGGCAGTTGCCTGGGCTTTGCGCTTCGGGGGCATGGCGATGTCTCGCGCTCAGGCCGCGCTTCGATGCTGGACGTCGCGCAGTTCTTGTATTCGAGAGCGAAGCGGAGGTTACGTGGGCTATTGAGTGGTGCGGCAGGCTTTGAGGTGATGAACGAAAGAGCAGGGTGGCGGAGGTGTGAAATACTGGATGAGCGCTGCGGCGATGCCAAGAACGGCTTAGTAAGGTGGCCCTTTCACAGCCGCGGCCGCGGGGAGGGGGTGAAATGAGCGAGCACGGCGGATGGGAAGGATGGGGATGCGGGCGAGAGAAGTAGTCAAAGGCCTGTGGCAGACGCCAACTGCAGTGAAAGATGCGCGTCGTCCCAAGGCGCGCGAGCATGTGAGACGCGGCGCCCAGTTTGGCATGTTTGCAGCCAGCCTGGGTTCAACTTCACCGACCACTATACCACGTCACCCCAACACAATGCGCACGTAATGTGACATGCATTCCAATGGGCGCTTCCGACTCCAAACTCAGCTTCAAGCAGGGCATCTTCCGCCTTTCGGAGCCGAAGCAGATCCCCGCCGATGATGCGTACTGGACAGGCGTAAGGCCGCCGGCTCCCTTCGAAGCTCCACTGACTCTCTCCTCTAGTTCTGGGAGCTGCCCGAGTCCGCTGAGGACGTCTTCTCGCTCTTCTCCCCGGCCGATATCCGTCGCACACGGGACAACAACCTAGAAAACCTCGAAACGCTTATCCTCGCCGTGACCTCGCGCCTGTGCGTCCTGCGCAATCACCCCTCGTTCCCCGATCCTGATCTTGCGCCCGAGCGAGATGCGCTGAATTGTATCCGTGTCCTTACCCGCATCTTGCCGTTTATATACGAGGCGGACCATCTAGAGTCATGGGAAGACAAGTTCTTCTGGGGAGCGCGGCGGAAGCGCAGCCGGCGGGGACAGCTTGTGGGGAGCGAGCTTCTCTTCGACGAGGCAGACCCGGAACAGACGCCAACCGAGAGAGAGCCCGAGTTCGAGAACGCGAAGCCGCTTGCCGAGGAGATCATCGACACGCTGATTGACCTGCTCTTCTTCTCCGAGTTCACACTGCCCAAGGTGCCCGCGGGGAAGAACAAGGTCACATACGCAATATGGCAGAGCGGAGTGGGCTGTAACACACCCATCGCTTCGACAAAAGAGTTTGAGAACAACAGGACGGAAATCTTGCGCCTGCTGCTCACGCTGGCGAGCAAGTCAATGTACATGTCGGCCAGTAGGTGTGCTCCGGTCGAAGCGGGGCTCAAGACTGACGGGTTGCAGATGTCTTACCTGTAAAAGGTGTCAATGCTATCACGTACATGGCGACTTGCCCCGACAAGCAGGTTGTGCTGTCGGTGCTATGCTCGCTTCTAAACACGGTAAGCGGAACGGCATCCCCACCATCGTAAACGCTAAGACTAGGCAGACTCTGAAATACAATCCTGCGTCATGGCGTGTACCCTACGATCACGTCGTGTTCAAGGATCAGAAGCAGATATTGGTCACGTATTGTCTGCAATTGCTCCTCGTCCTCATCTTGTACCCGATACCGGAGCCAGGCAACGGACCTCCGCCAAAGAACTTCTTCCGGCATTTTCTCGGCCGTTTACACCGTCCTCAGGACTTCCAGTTCTTGGTCGATGGCATGACGAGGATACTGAATCAACCAGTATGTATGATGGCTGGAATATGGAAGTGGCAATGCTGATTTGGACCAGCTCCAAGCGACCACTTCGTATCTGCCTGGGAGCCACAAGTCGTTGACGTGGGCGCCCGAGATGATCATGCTGTTCTGGGAAGCCCTCCAATGCAACAAGCGCTTCCGTTCGTTCATCATAGATACCGACCGAGCGCACGATTTTATCGTGCTAGTGCTCTATTATGCCATTGACCAGCGCAACGAGCCTACCAAGCAAGGTCTGGTGAGGATGTGTGTCTTTGTCCTGCAGACTCTCAGTGTGGAGCCCCACTTTGGGAAGAGCCTCAATAAGCCGTTTGAGGGCCAAGAATCACTCCCTGCGAGCATTCGGATCCCTAACTTTCACGGCACCTATGCCGACTACTTGATCACCGTAAGAGCAAGCGTTGCATGATCGGACTACACTAATGCCAACCAGTCTATTTACACCCTTCTTACCACCAGTAAAGGGAAACTGGATGCCATCTACCCAGCGCTGCTGGCTATCATCAATAACATAGCTGCCTATGTTCAGAACCTCGGACGCGCCCCCAGCTCGAAATTGGTTCAGTTGTTTGCGTCCATGTCTTCGCCGAGCTTCCTGTTAGCAAATGAGAACAACCACACCCTGCTTCAGTCTTTGCTCGAAGCCCTGAATGCCATGATTGAGCATCAATATCATCGTAAGGTTGAATAGGTGTGTGTGTTGGCTCTGAGGACTAACGTCTGACTAGATAACCCAAACCTTGTCTATGCAATCATACGGTCACGGAAAAGGTTCCAGGCTTTGCGAGAGTTCACGCTAGAGAGTGGGCAGGAAGAGATCGAGCGGCAGAATCAGCTGCGAAAAGAGAACGGGGGCGAGCTACATAGAGATTCGATCGACAGCTTAAGAAGTCCGACGGTCTCGCGTACCCCCACCTTAAGTAACGTGCCGGAGGAAAACAATGCGTTTACTATTGGAGACGACGAGGATTCAGACGCGGACGATAGCCAACACCCAGCTCCACCACGATCGCCATTGCAGTCCACCGGAGGTGCTTCAAGAAGCGCATCCATCGCATCGTCAGTTGATGAGTCGGTGCCTTTCCAACTGCGAGGCATGTCTGAAAAGGCGCGCGGAAAGATGCCTGTTGGACAGCCCGCATTTTCTCGGCAGAACAGTACGACGAGCCTGAACAGCGTAGCAACTCCTACTCTGGGCGCAAATGAGTTCTTCACCCCATCTACCGCATGGGTTAGTGCCACCTCGCCTATGCCTGCATGATGCTGATCATTTCCTTTAGATCGAAAGCTGGCTTCCGGAGTTGCCGCTGCACACGATCTTGATGCTGATATCACAGCTCAGCCCCAAGATGCCGACCGGGGGAAGCGTTGGTACGGACACGGCAGCTGCCCTGGAAACGATCCGCGAAACTGAAGTTCGGGGCATTGAGCCTTCACCTATCCGGGTTCATCTCTTCGAATGGTCGCCCTTGTCCCTTGGATGGTATGAGTCGCTACTTTGGGGATTCGTCTTCGCGGGAGAAATGCTCGTCTCCAAAGGCACGGCGGGCGTCTGGAACAACACTAGCATAAGGTACGTAGGTCGCAGTACACACTCCAGCATGTCTTAACTTTGAACTGCGGAAGCTCTTCCTAAAGGCCTTCAGTAGGTAAAGACCTAAGACATGCTAACGTGTTAACTTTCCCCCTGGTCTAGAATATCTGCTAATTGTTCCTCCACCTTTACAGGCTGTTTAAGGTCCAAGAAGCGGCTGCCCAAACACCGTCCCTGATGGCACCCAGGTAAGCGGGCGCGTCTCCTACGGTCGAGTGGTGCTAATGGCGAAAAAGAGGAGCGATCGATGCCGTCGGGGCTGGCGTGGTCCAGCGAATTGGTAGTCTTAATCTAAGGGGGTCGGCCAACCAGGCGTCGCAGCGGGGTACTACCAGCAGTGGCAACAACCCCGGCGGGAGAGAGAGCGTTCGCGAGGTCTAAGCGACCTGTCAGGTCGGTGACCCCAGAGAGTGGCCACGTTGCTATTTATTGTCGAAGAAATATTCAAGCTCTACGCTTTGATTGGTGGTTCTTGCGCTGCAACTTGTGCATGTCAATCCACCGTTCGTCGATCGGGTGCTAGCGGTGGCGGTGCTGAGCACTTTCGCCACAGCGTCCCCTTTAGAGTTTGTCACCCAACAACCAACGAGATACAGGACAGCCTCTACCAGGGCACGCCGTGGCGATCAGCCGCCTGAGGTTACGCGTTTTGCATCAGAGTAGGCGAGGTCCCTTATCTCCCTCTGCTAAGCGCCCATTTGGAATCCATTCCAAATAGAGCAGGCGCGCTCCTGTGCTTCGCGACTGCTTCTGCCACACTATGGGAAGTCGCGCTACTGCTCACCTACAGATCACACACATTCATTTGCATTTCCTTTGTCGTGTTCATGGCGCATGCAACAAAGAATGGGCGAGACGATGCAGAGGCTGTTACGCCTTACTCTATGCATGTATGCTCCGAACGCCCTTCAGTGCTTCCTCGCCATCACTACTCTGCTACACAACTGACCGTAGACTGGCAGGTGTCGTCCAAGTATCTGGAATTGACGAAGAAGAAACTGGAATTGACACGTCTGCCGCGCGAGCTCGATCTCCCGGAGCAAAGAAGATGGGACCAGGGTACACCGAAGGCGGTACTTGAGCCGCTGCTGGATTACTGGTGAGTGGCTCCAGGTGCATCTCACACTCGAGAGGAGGCATGCGTGATGGGCCGGGTATTCGATGGGATGGAATACGCTTATGGACAGGCATACTGCTATTGCTGGCATGTACTGTGAGCAACGACTTAGGAGGCTCAGTCCATTCCCCTTCACCCCATCGCATACGCCACGCCTACACATAAAATCTGCGGACTGGAGAGCACTCAACTCGCCGGATAGACGACGGACCGGGAGCCTGCCGTGTAGGTCCGCGACATCGGCACCCGCTGTTGGCGGAGGCGAGGAAGAGTGCATAATACTCGCGAACCATATCACACCGCACTACCTATAACACGCGTTTTAAGACGCTATACTAACGAGACTATAGGCTCGAGCAGTACGACTGGAGAAAGCAGGAGAGCCACTTCAATTCTCTACCCCAGTTCAGGACGACCATTACTCTGCCATCACCCACGAACCCGGAAACCTCGCAGTCGCTGCGCGTTCACTTCGTCCACAAGCGCTCTCAGCACGCAAATGCCATACCACTCTTATTCTGCCATACCTGGCCGGCATCCTTCATCGAGGTCCAGAAGATCATCGATGCGCTTACGGACCCTCACTCGCTGCCAAGCTTTGGTGCCGGCGCACTGCAGGCTTTTCATGTCGTGGCTCCGAGTATACCGGGCTTTGGGTTCAGCGACGCGAGTGCGATGGAGGACTTTGGGCTGAAGGAGACTGCTGAGGTGTTTGATAAGGTGATGCAGCGGTTAGGGTATGAGCGCTATGTCGCTCATGGCGTTGGATGGTGAGCCACGCTTGCTATCGGCAGAAGAATGTCTAACGTGTAGTAGGGGCTTCAGCATCTGTCGAGCATTGGCTCTGAACCATTCGCATCACTGCGTTGCTGTCCATACTGCGAATCCGATGTTCCGCAAACCTTCGTTCAAGTGGAGCCCCATGGCGTTTCTGAGGTACCACATCGCAAGGTACGTAAGTAGCGCGGTACATACTGGTATCTCTCCGTCTTAATTCTGTAGAGCTTCTCCTGAAGGCCTTCAGCAGATAAAGACAACACGGGCATGCTATAGCGTTGCCTCACCCCGTCAATCTTAGACATTTGCTAATGTGCATTGTTCTGTTCGCAGGCTGACGCGGGCGAAGGTCTCTCTTCTCAGCTTTGGCTATGTGCCCATGGAACTACAGGCTCCTGCTCCTACTTCGGGCTGGGACAGCTCGCCGACTACTCAGGGCTCTCCTTATTCGGATGGGCCGCTTGGCGCCGCTCTCGCTCGTGGCTATTCGCACCGTCCACAAACACACGCCTTCGCTCTGTGCGACTCGCCGATCGGCCTCCTCGCCGGACTACTTGATGCAATACATACGCGAGCGCCCGCGATATCTCCCGTAACGTCGCGAAGTCGTTCACCATTCTTGTCTCTGGAGGAGCAGGACTCGCTACACGACCGCTCGTTCCACGAAGAGATCGGATCGTCCCACACGGAGCGCCCGCCACAGCCACTCAGTCCGCGCGACAGCGAGATCAATGCGAGAAATTACACGTGGTCGCCTACTGAGGTTCTCAACTGGACTATGATGCAATGGCTACCGGGTGTTGAGGCGGCCCACCGCTGGCTTCACCGCGCACATTTGGATTGCTCACCGTTGTCAGACTTTTCGAGCACGTACTGCCCAGTGCCACTAGGAATAAGTTCCTTCCGAGCGCGCAACAGCCACAGCCCTTCCACACCGCTGATGTGGGGCAGCGCATCCTGGGGAATCGCGTGGGTACGGAGGCACCAGCGACCGGCCTCGACGAGCCCGGCGTGGGAGGCACCCGATCTTCTCGTCCTCGACATGCGCGAGTGCTTCGGAAGCATTGTCAACTTTCCCACTCAGGCAACTTAGGCCTGCTCGCACGGCGTCGACGATAAAATCCGTGGATAGCAGCTATAGGTATATTGTGGCATCGATATGCGCATATAGCTAGGTCGGACAATTAGTTCCAGAGGAGCCGGCGAGTAATTTGAAGAGGGCGGATGGGAATCGAAGGTAGAGATGCAGGTGGGAGCAGTAGTGCTTGCTGTGTTCGGTGCGGAGGACGCAGGGTGTTGCGGCTGCAGGGCCTGGAGTGCATTGCGGCGCAACCGGCAATGAGTGGTTGGAGCCCGGCGTTCCTTGGTCGGGGTAATCTATAGTTGGGCAAATGCTGTATACCTGGGTATGGGTAGGGAAGCGGGCTGCTGGGCATATGTATAGTGTCGGTGTATATGATGTATGCTGTGCTTCTTTTTTTGGCACGTCCTCATCAGGGTATATTGGCGGACGCAATGCGATGGAGGATGCAATTGAGGCTGTGGGTGGGTGGGGACACTCGCGCACACCGGCAACGAGCAATACATGCTTTTCTCAGTCTGATCTGGGGTGCGATGCGGTGTGAAAGTTGATGCTGTGGACCGACGTGTATGGAGAGGAACCTGGAAATATTAGGAGCGGGGCGGGCTACCACCGACAGCTGCCTTGGAGGCGACGGGTCGCGGATCGGCCAGCGGCGTGTGCTGTCGCGTGAGGGCCCAGCCACACCTGCAGGTTACGTCGGTCGTCAAAATCGCTCACCCCAACGCACCTTCGAAAATTTCGAACCAGAAGCAATTATCACCTGTCCACGCTCCCGCCTCGCCACCTGACTTCACAAACAGACTCCTGGAAGTTTGCTATCCCCGTCAGAGTAAGCTTCTCTCCTCACACTCGCGTAATCCCGTCGTCAACCAGCGCGCCCGCCAGCATTTACACGTGCAAACCGCTCACCGCACGCAGTTGCACCCTACGCTTCAGCTGCCATTGCCTCCCAGGACCGCTCCACAACCTGTCCCAAGTCACGACCGTCAAGCTGGCAAACCTACTCTCGCCGTGCCATAATACTGCCTAGGCTCTAGAGCCCGCAGACCGTCTCCTCCACCGTTCCAACCGTCTTTCATGCGTCGCGAGGACCTGGTGCGATTCCTGTCTAAGCCCGCAAAGTGAGTTCAGCCTTTCACTTCCAATACGGCGACCACCCCTCCCATCTACTGTACAAGCCACTTTCGAGACGGCGCTGACCGACACAGGCCCAGATAACACGCGCTACGCCCCTCTACCCACCCATCCCCAAGACCCAACAAGCAGATCTCCTCGTCTGCTGGACCCGATACTTCCCCAGGGTATCGGAATCTAGTCGCTCGAGGACCACAACCGGCTGACACCATTTCTCGGCGCAAAGCCTCGTTTATTCCCCTTTCCGCCCGACCTCCTTAACGCCCTTCACGGACGCTCTCATACTTTGCGACTGCTGCAGCTGGCAGCCGCCAGCCCTCATACCCTACCCCTAACGTGGGCCTTCTCTTCTCAGGCGAGCACCGCATTGTTCGTCTGGGTGGCAGATTGTGCTTCACCGCCAAACAGCCAACCAAGCCCTAATACCTCTTTCGAATACCACAAGTCAGAATCTCAGTTCCGCCGTACCGTGTGCTTGCACGTCACTTCGCCAAGAGATGGTCAACACTGAGATCCCCAAGAACTACACTGCGTCTCCGTCTTCGTATATGGGAACCCCGCATTTGACAATCAACAAGGAGGCTACTATTGATCTCGATTCCACCAATGCATTCGAAGGTATGCAGTTCTAGTACAGGTGGCATGACAGGAAGCTGACGGAATACAGGTCCCGAGAAGCTGCTAGAAGTATGGTTCAGTTCCTCCGCCACCGACCTGCCCGGCCGTGCTGGTCCACGCGGGCTCAAGGCCGTGCCCGCCGACACCTGGAAGGAGATGCTGGACCTGGTCAATTGCAAGGTTCTTTCGGTCATTGAATCCGAGCATGTGGATGCATATCTGCTCTCCGAGTCCAGCATGTTCGTGTTCCCCCACAAGGTGGTTCTCAAGACCTGCGGCACCACGACCCTGCTTTGGGGCCTTCCTCGCCTGTTGGAGATTGCTGCCCTTGACGCGGGCTTCCCTCATGTGGCTGCTCAGCCGACGTGCGGAATTGCGGCAGCTGCCACCCCGTACCGCGTCTTCTACAGCAGGAAGAACTTCATCTACCCTGACCAACAGCGTGGGCCCCACCGCAGCTGGCGCGATGAGGTGCGCTACTTGGACCAGCGGTTCCAGGGTGGCAGTGCGTACATGATCGGCAAGATGAACGGCGAGCACTGGTACCTCTACATCACTGGTCCGGATACTACTTTGACTCCACCACCCAGCCCGGAACGAGAGATTCCTGAGACGGAGACCAAATTGATGAGCCATCCTCAGCGGCTGCTCCCAGGGCAGATGACGGACGAAGAGGAAGACGAGACTCTGGAGATCCTTATGACTGACCTCGATGAGAAGAACTCCCGTCAGTTCTACCTCGAGGACGCGAGTGCGGTCGCGGAAGGTCGGTTTTTCCAGAAGGCTCGTGAGGCTCGCAAGAATGTTATCTCATCCCTTGGTTCTATCCCCGAAGAGAAGTGCGAGAGTCTCGGTGGCTCCACTGCCCTCAACTCCGCTGCCAACACCTATTCAGAGGACTTTGATGTCTTCGAACAGACCTCGTCTGATCACTCGGGCTTTAGCTCGGACGAGGATGAGTTGACCTTCCCTGAGGAGCTGACCACTGAAGGTCACACGCTTGGCACAGTCGTGTCCGAAACCTGTGGTCTGGCTGATGTGTATCCTACCTCCAAGTACCCGGATGCTCGTGTCGACGCCTACTTATTCACTCCATGTGGCTTCTCCGCCAACGGTGTTATCCCGGCTCCCGGTGGCGCTCCCACCGGCACCAAGAAGGGCTCTGACGCAACCCACTACTTCGCCGTCCACGTCACCCCAGAGCCCCAGTGCTCCTACGCCTCGTTCGAGACCAACGTCCCCGCTCGTCAATGTGGTCGTGAGACTGCTGACATCGTGGAGCACGTCGTCGGCATATTCAAGCCTGGTAGATTCAGCGTTACCATATTCGAGGCGAAGCCTTGCGGAGAGGAGGGTGTTAGCAAGAGCATCATGAAGAGCAAGCGCATGGACACTATTCTTGGCTACAGGCGCGTGGATCGTATCGTCCATGACTTGGACGGGTATGATCTTGTCTTCAGGTACTATGAGCGGGATGATTGGAAGGGGGGAAAGCCGAGGTTGGGAGAGATTGGATACTAAGTGGTGATGAGTTGAGAGGGGGGAAGGGGAAGAGTGGGAAAATGCAGAAAGCGGCGGCTTTCGGAGGTGTGTTCGTGCATTCCTTGTTCTTTCTTTGTCCCGATATTCATCTGTGTGGTGTGGCACGGTCACCTAATGCTGTGGATGTTTGCCGAGAACAGTCTCCTCTGCGGTCATTACCGTACCCCTCATAGGAGTGTCCTGTCGGACCCTCTCATATTTCTGTCATCTTCTATACAGTCGCTCGTTTCAAACCTAGTTTTCGAGGAGAGCTTCAGTAAATAAGAGTCTGTCCGTTCTTTTACCGTGTCTGTCCTACTATCACTTAGATTTGTGCTTATGTTATACGGTATTCCAAGGTTGTAGGCGGATTACACGCAGACTACTCCTTCTGTCTAGGCTAGCGCGTTGCTCCTGCCATTACTCTGCGGATTACGTATCTCTTGTCCCTTCACTTAGAACACTCCACTAGACAGAATGCGCGAGCACCACGAAAGACGGTCTATGCTTCAAATTCTTATTCAAGGTAGCTCTAAAGCAAAGTTTGGTATGTTCCAGGTGGTGAGCGTCTCTCTATTCCTCTCATCTTTCTTGCGGATACTCTTGCCTGATGTATGATGTAGTACGCGGTGCGCTTGAAGCGGTATTTTGTCTCACTTATCGTGGATTAAATCGCCGCCCCCGGTGGGTTTGTGTCTCTCAGCACGGCCGCTGGTAGTGCTGGGGTAGATAAGAGCGTCTGTTTCTTTCATCTCACCTCTACTTTTCTTCGGTACTCACGTAGTGCGGCTTTTCGTCTTATAGTGCAAGATTTGAAGACCTCCATGGGGCTTTGGCTTCATTTCCTACGATACTAGGCTGCTAGGCTAACTGAAGCTCTAGGTATTACTTTTGATACGGCCTCGTCGTACGCTTCGACCTCATTGCAGCTTACTTGGGCATATCTCACCTAGACTTACCAGCGCTGTTCATCAGCTGACACAACCGTCCCATGTTAGCTCAAAGGTATGGATATATTCCCTCTACACATCTTCTGCCCTCCTCCGCCTTTAATCGCTTGTGGCTTCCTTTACTAATAATACTATAGCATCTCTGACGGACACTACTCCCTACCGCCTTCTATCCTCCATCTGCGATACCATCTTTCCCTGCCTGCGAACCTAGCTGGCAGAGACCGGGCCCCGGCAACGGCATCTACTTCAGCGGCAGTCTCCGCCGTCCTCCGAACCACACAAAAATAATGGCCCGAAAACCACCATCTCAAAAACCTAAGCGGGCTCAACGAGCTCAACGAGCTAACCGGGCCAAGTCCAGGTTCGAGACACCGGCGCCATTCAGAAGAGGCATCACGCCGTCTGTGGCAACGTATCGCCTACGTCGGCGAACGCGAGCGCCGGCAACTTATTGCCCGCAGTGGCCTCAGATCGATGGGGACGAGGAAGAGAACGCTCAAGAGATGGTTCAGACTGTCGCCGATCATGAAGAGCATCATGAGGGGGTTGACCATATCAGTGGTGGACCATTCTCATCCACTGGAGAAGAAGTCTTGTCCGAAAGCGACCTCAGCGGCTTTCCCGATGATTTCTCCGAGAGTGCCCATGAGATTGTGAGAAGTACGGCGAACGGAACGCAAAGGCGTACATGCATTGAATCCTTTTCAGACCATGAAGAGGTCGAAGCTGGAGACCACAGGAGCCTCCGGGCGAGAGCGCGGCAGGAAAGGCCTACACTAGACCGCATTGTTGGCCCGTCGAGACAAGATCGGCCCGCCCGCGAGATACCCATGAGCCAAGATGGTCCAGTTCTGAGCAAGAGCAGAGCGCAGCGTGAAGAAGTCAGGTCGGAATTCATCGAATCAGATACAGGCCAGGTCAGTCCTCCTCCTCCCCTCTGTTCAAGAGAGAATACTAATGTTCCGGTACTAGGAGACGCTGGAACAGCGCCCGGAATCGGAGGAAGCCGAAGAAATTGGAGTGATGAAGGTGGATAGTGAAGATACGGTTCATTATGTCCCGCCCACTGCTTCAGACCCCGCCGCTTCGGCAGGCTTAAGAGGATTCCGGAGACAGCCGGAACCAGGGGAACCAAGCGGATTCTCAAACGGAAGGGTAAGTGGCTTGAGAACACCCCCTCTTGACATGGCATTGCTGGCTAACATGAAATCGAATCAGATATACCCAAACCCCCGCAACCCCTATCTGCCAACCCCACCCCGACCGCAAGAGCAGTGTAGCGAAAGAGCCAGTCCAAGGAGCGAAGCAGTAAGTATTCCCTCCCCGTCCCAGCAATTCCGCGCATCACATCCTAAACATATTTCTCCAGCAGGCCTACACCATCTGCCGCCCACCCCCCACCGCACTCCCCCCCTCCCCAACTACTCCGCCTCAAGACCCCACGCACATTTTTCCCCACCTCAACGCGCGTCTAATCGACTTCGAACGCCTGACCAGGACCACACATCCGTATCTGACCCACGCCACCGAGCCCTCAGTCATCTACGACCTTCTGCTCGCACAATACATAGTCGCGGACTGCGTGCGCGAGGCCCGAGAGCAGCGCTTGCGCCCGGTTGATGAACTTGAGTATCTTCGGCTGGTGCTTAGGTTCCGGGAAGAGCGGCCGCTGCAAGCGGGGAAAGAGTATCCGGTTAATAAACTGTGGTTTGTGATGTTTGTTAGGGAGTGGTGGGGGAAGAGGGCTGGTGTAAGGGGGCGGGAATAGGGAGGGAGTGGTGGGGATTGAGGTTCGCCCGCTGCCGACTGCTTTCCTTGCTCTTCTTTCCTTTCTAGTAGTACTCGGTATGGCGGAGCATTAGAGGCTTCAAGCATCTTAAGCGGTGCCAGATTCACACTATCTGTCTCGGGATCTTCTTTTCTTTGGCTTCCCAGTGCGCTCGAGGATTTTTGGGTCTTTGGATAGGATGATTTCTTTGGCGGGTTGGATCAGAATTCTATCTTCTTGCATAATACTCGTAGCAGAATAGCATGCGCAATCGATGTGTAAGTTCACACGTTTAGAAAAGAAGGAAGGTGGTAGGTAGCCTCCTACGCCAAGACCTGCGGACCTCCGATCGCGCCGCCACTTTTCCTCGATTTCAAATCGCACCCTCGACCTTACCACCACCATGCCTAACCCTCGCCTGCAAACTCCTCCTAATATCTCCATACTACACCTAGCATCTCCAGGCTGAGCAGCCTCCACAATGCCGCTCGAAAATATCAAGAACATCGTGCTAGTCCTCTCGGGCAAAGGCGGGGTAGGCAAATCCAGCATCACCACTCAGCTCGCCCTCACGCTCTCGCTGCAAGGCCACACCGTCGGCGTCCTCGATATCGATCTCACGGGCCCCTCGATACCGCGCTTTTTCGGCATTGAAGAGAGAAAGGTCAGACAGGCGCCAGGCGGGTGGATACCCGTGCCCGTGCACGAGACGCAGACGCTGCCGACATCACACCCCACGAATGGCAATGGACACGGACAAGGGGCGCAGAAAGAGATCGGGGCGCTCTCGTGCATGTCACTAGGTTTTATACTGGCGAACAGGAGCGATGCAGTGATATGGCGCGGACCGAAGAAGACGGCGATGGTGCGACAGTTTCTTACGGATGTCCTATGGCCGCCGCTCGACTTCCTGCTCATCGATACGCCGCCGGGAACTTCGGACGAACATATCTCCCTGCTCGAGAACCTGCTCAAGCAGACCGCGGAACCGACATCCCCGCCGAACCAGCTCGCCGGCGCCGTCGTCGTCACCACGCCGCAAGCTATCTCGATATCCGACGTCAAGAAGGAACTGAACTTCTGTAGGAAGACCGGGATAAGGGTGCTCGGCGTGGTGGAGAATATGGCGGGCTTCGTGTGCCCGAATTGCAGCGAGTGCACCAACGTGTTCAGCAAAGGGGGAGGAGAGATCATGGCGAGGGATTTTGGGGTCCCGTTTTTGGGCAGCGTGCCGATTGATCCGGCGTTTGTGATGTTGATTGAGGAGGGCATGAGGCCGGTATATCCGAAGGGCACCACGGTGGATGGGAAGACGATGAGTGTGAGGGATGAGGGGACGGGGCTGGCGAACGGGGAGGGGGCGAAGGAAGAAGGGTTATTAGTGGATAAGTATCGGGATTGCTCGCTGGCTCCGCTGTTTGATGGGATAGTGGGGAGGCTGGTGGAGGATATTAAGAGTAGGAATGGAGGGAGGTAGGGAGGTGGATCGGGTGGGACTGGTGGAGGAAGATACCACGATGCAATGAAGTTAAGAAGGTGGATTGAGATGACGTTGCGACCGCCTCACTCGACTTCGCCATCTCGCTCTCTATCACCTGCAGGCTTCCAACCAGTACCTCTCTTTTGCAGCCATCCACTTCGGGAGCTGGGTGATATCTAGCACTATCAGTTTCAGTATTTTCACGACTACCGCCAGATCCTTCCACACTCACTACCTCATCTGTCGGCTATGATCGGGCGTGCCGCGTCGTCATCCCATCTGCTCGGTCCAGCTCCTATCCGCTTCCGCCACCAACAACACCGCTTCCGTGACTGGATTGAGGGGAAGGCTTCCTCCCAAGCTCCGCCGGACATCTGAGCTCCTTTCTTTGCTTGACGTCCTCCATTTGACATCTGATATGTCGCTCACCGCTCCCTGGACGGCGTCATCTGTGACTCGGGCCTTGCCCCCACGCTCCAGCTTCAGGCTCCTGTTTTCCACCCTATTACATATCCATCCTACTTCATGGCAGAACGCACAGACTGGCTACGTATATTCTGACTAGCCCCTGCGCAGAAGTGAGAGATTTCTGCAATTATCAGGTAAAGCTAATAGCGAGTTATCTGCCCGTTATCCTCAGATTTTACGGTAATTGCTTGCTTCCATATAAAGCTCGCGGCCCCCTCTACCCCCGGCTGACCTCTAACCTTCTTATACCCTACTATTTGCGACAACGTCTTTTGGTGACTGATTTGCGGATACCTAACGACCTCCTAGCGAGACTCCAGCAATGCGATCGCTTCTGAAGCCCTTCCGCGGACCATGGTCTTCCGACGGCTCCGTAGACGCTCGCCCCGCAAGAGGCTCACCCAGCAAACTCTCTGTCGGACCAAGCGATCCCAATTTCGCGCAGCAGGTGTTCAAGAGCGAAAGTCCGAAGTACGACTCGAGCGACATCTACGGCGCCTCCGAACCCACCGGCAGCCCCGCTGACGCCGACAGTGAGCCGAATTTTCAGACGCAAGAGCTTGGAATAGCGGTGTTGAGACGGAGTGCCAGTGATATTGAATATCAGATTGCGGAGACCGGGACGCAGGCGGTTGAGGGCGGGAATTCTCCTCACTTCACTGACGATGCATCCGACGATTTGACGAATTTCTTCATAGCGGCGAGCGACGAGGCCGGTATGGCACAGCAAGAGAACCGTGATGGAGTTTTACGGCAACCCACTCAAGCAGTGGAAGATGAAGACGACGTTCAAGTCAAGCGTGGTGCGAGGGTTAATGCTCCTCGGCGGATCAAGAGCGAGCCTCGAGATGAAGACTACCGCACCCCACATCAGCGCGGCCCTAATCACTCTGGACTGGAGCGTGCCTCCGATGGTCTTCCGGGTCGGTTGCAGGGGACTACGTCCACCCAGCACTCTACGCAAGGTGGGCCTGCCGGATACTACTATGGTCAGATGCCCGGCAATGAGCAAGCAGCCGCTTATGGTCAAACTGGCATGGCCATGTATGGACAGCCTCCGATGCCGGATGTCCCGTACCAAGGCACCTTCAATGGACCCCAGCAGAGCGCTATGTACGGGCAGGGCATTCCCCCTTACAGCCACGACCACTACTACGGACAGATGCCGGATCCACATCAGTATGGTTATTATCCACACGGCACCTATCAGGCGTACAGTCAGCCCCAGGCGTCTTTGTACAGGAGCGCTCGAGCAACAGGCAAGCGCAAGGCCGAAGATGAACCTGTCGCCCACTCCGACGGTGACGATGATGGATCTTCAGATGACGAGCCCTTGGTAACGCGCACGCAGCGACACCACTCAATCCTCAGCCACTCCAATGCATCAAATTCCGGCATGGGTCGCAGCTCCCCTACCGCCGCATCAGGATCTTTATATCAAGCCGACGCGCACGGTGGCGCCTCCACCAACCCTCGCGTTCCCACCAAGCTCAAGCTTACCGTTAAGAAACCTACACTCGCTCGTCCCCTCCCCCAACCTCAACCTAGTCAGTCATCCGAACAATTCTCCTCCTCCGCCGCCGACAACAATGGCATATCCTGGAAGCTTCCAACCTACGCCGTCGAGCCACACACAAGCGGTGACGGCTATCCCAGCGTGAAAGTCTCCCTCCCAGGCCTTGTCCGCGAAGAACTACTCTTGTCCGCCGACCACGCAGCCCAAGAGATACATCTCTTCAAGCACCTCTTCCTGCCCGGCCAACAAGCCCTCGCTACCCCAGATCCACAGCCCACCATCGCGGTGCTGAACTTCCACACCGTCTGCACACTGGTGCTAGACGCTTACGATGCCTATGAGATCGGGGATCTGGAAGCCCACTCGCGCCCTCAGCCGCCCTCCGCCCCTGAAGGAGCTGTCGGGATCCTCGATGCGCGCGAAGTTTCCGTAGACGACATCTTCTTTGCGGCCATCGACCGTTGGCGCGCGGGCATGGCCGGCGACCACGGCAAGAAGAACTACGCCTTGATCCGCGGCATCCAGGAATTCTGCGACATCGCGCTGGACGTTATATACTACGTTCATGAACATGGACTGCTGCGCGAGAAGGAGAAGCAGAAAATGGATGGACGGGTGCGCAAGGAGCGCAGCGATAAGGGCGTGCCGAGGAAACCAAGGGGCGGTGGTGCTTCGCAGCAGCCACAGGCGCAGACGCAGGTGGCGAAGAAGGCACCGGGACGGCCCCCGAAGGCGGAGAAGGCGGGCGCGAAGAAGAGTGCGGCTGCGGCTGGAGCTGGGAGGGGAAAGGTGAACACGCTGCAGGCGAGGAAGAAGGCGAAGAAAGAGCCTGCAAAGCGGGAGCGCTTGGGGGAAGTCAGCGTGACGAAGGCGCCGGCGAAGAGGAAGTGAGAAGCTTCCTTCCTCCTTCCTAGGCCTCCTCGGGATAAATGAGAAAAGGCTTGAAAGACCTCGACTGGGCTGCGATCGTCTTCTGGATGCTGCGGCATGGATGTAAGGGGGCTGACGTGCCTCGCTCGGTTTGAGCGCTTGCGCTTCCCTTGGAGAGCATGATTTAGGCGTCGGGGGTTTGCCCTGTGGCAAGGTCTTGGGATGAGATAGTTGGTGCTCTTCCTTGTCGGTCTTTTGATTGAGCACATGTGCATATCATAGTGAGATATCTTATGAATTCGTGGAAGCTAGATATTCATAGCGTTATCTTCAGGTTCCTGGCATATCATTTCTTGATGGTATCAGTGGGGACTCTGAATTTCTCTTAGCCTAGTCTAATCCATATATCTCTCTATTGAAGATCCTTTGGAACATCATATTCTTGCCCCCCTCCCCCTTAAACCCTCGAGGTCAAGACTCCATTCCATTGCTCAAGAAAAATTTGCGAACTATGATGCCAATGGAGCCATTTTACTTACTGCGATCACGAGCCTGGGGATATTCAGCGAAGGAGTGGAGGCCAGGAGGACCCACTTGCGCATGCATGTCGTCTTATTATGCTCTAATCCCACATTACTGCGTATCTCAGTCCCATTCTAAACGCTCTAAGCGCCATATCCATGAAGGTTCAACAACGAATAGGGACTTTGAACGTCTCTAGTCAGTCGCCAAGCTCACTCGCTCGCCCACACGCAAGGCTATGACTTAAGGCTTTCACTTATGATTCTTGTTGGGATCCGCCATACCGCGCCGTACATATGCATCCCGCATGCGAACTGCAATTCAGGGTCACGCGGCTGCGTGAGTGGCCTCCCAGATGTCCCAAACTTCCTGATCCGGCTCACCGGTGAAAAACCAGGCCTTTCATTGGTCCAGAAATAGGTTTAGGAGGGACTGAACTGCATATAGCGGTCAAACTGAAAAACAGTTCCTGGAGCAAATCGGATGGTTGACGGCTGCAAGAGATCGAGCGATCTATGCTCTACTCTACTTTGTGTTGTTGATACGCATAAGGCACCCTCCGGATAAGCCCAATGCTACGGCCAGAGCCATTTGAGACCCCATCTATCTCTCAACTTAGCTCATTGCTCCCATTCTAAGAGACTAGTAAACTGTCCAAACCGCGCCTGCAACCATGGAGAAGAGAGAAGCTGGTCATGCCGGTGGAGTGGAGCCGTTCATTGAACTCCGTATGTCCACGTCGAATCAATCGTTTCTGGACAAGCAATCTCTCTAACCACCCCGTGTAGCTATGAACCCCCAGTCTCAGGACCTCGTCCTCAAACACGGGTATATTTGCCGCCGACCTCTAGGAGGCTTGCCGTTCGCCTTCGATCTCCTCGCACATTCCGCGCAGCTCTTCGATGCGTACACCACGCAACAGGCTGAACAAATGCGGGAGACATGCAAGCCCGACTCAGGGCCAGTCTCTCGCTTCATGGTGGAAAGGTTCGAAGATATCGCTGACGCAAAGACGAAGAAGACGCACCCGCACATTGGTAAGCTTGCTGAGCGTACGCGCGATCGTGAAACTGACGGAGGGGAAGCGGTCCGCGAAGTGGACATCGGCGAGCCATACCGGCTCTGGTACCAGGCAAGCGCGCCTGGCAACAATTCTGGCCGGCCCGGTGATTCCTGGTACCAAGTAGATGGCCGAACTTACGAATGCTTCAAGCTGGACGGATACCGATGGACGAAGCAAATCCGAGGAAGCGCCGTGGACATTACTCTCGGCGAGCTAGTCGATTTTGTGCGGACGCTGGATTGGAAGGCGTATGATATAGGGCAGCATACTTGCCATGATGCCCGGGAGAAGATCATGGAGGCGCTTGGTGTCGCGAAGCCTCCTCAGCGTGCATTCACACGCTTTACGGAGTTCTTGCGGCCGGCTATTTCGTCCACGCAAGGGGCTTCGACGAGTACGAGTAAGTCCTCGTCGAGCAATCGGGTGTGAAGGTCCTGTGGAACCAAACGCCTATGCTCAGTACTATCATTGAGCGTCTAAGCCAACATGTTGCACCGCCATGAAAACACTTTTACTACTACTCAACATATGACGACTTTTCCATAACCCACGCGTATCCTACTTAGCCCCTGAAAAAGCTAGGCCAAGCGAGACCTATCCGAACCCCGATTACGAAAAATCAAAAGCCCCAAGCCCCCACAAGAGCTAATGAGGGTGGTGATGCTCATGGTGATGGTGATGCAAATGATGATGCAAATGCCCCGCCTGCAAGCTCGCCAGCAACGGCAACATGCCAGCCATCGCCGCATTAACCCCCTGCGTAGCTCCCTGAATGGTATCCATAACATCCAACAGCGCCTCCAACGAATGAGCCGGATATTGCACATCGTCTGCATCGTCGTCTGAATTGTCGTCCTCGTCGTGATCGCTTTCGATATCCATATCCGAGGCCATGTCCAAGAAGCCATCAAGCCCCAAAGGCCCAATGTCATCAGAGAACCCATCGTAGGCTTCGGAATCTGTAATCGTGTCCTCGTCCGATGAGTACTCGAGGTCCTCTTCCAGGATGCCTTCCTGCGAGACGATGAAGGAGACGCCTGAGTTGAGGAACTTGTGCTTGGGCACCCATAGATCGATGCTCTTCATGTAGACGAGCTTGTGCGCCTTGACTTCGATTTTGTGGAGTTTGGGGAGATCCTCGTGATACGTTCTGTGCAAAAGCTCGAGCGACGATGAGCAGAAGTCGGAGTGCTCTTCGTCTTCGAAAATGGTGAGGGCAAGGTGGAGGAGATTCTTTGGGAGCACTTGGCCAAGGCGGGCGAAGGGTATGTAGTCGGCATCATCCGGCGATGTTGCAAATAAATCCACGCTCTCATCATTGATGGCTGTGAAGGCCTCGATCGGCGCACCGAAGAACTCAAGTTTCTCGAAATCGTGGAAGGAGCCTAGAACGCCACGGTCATAGTCGGTGATGACGTGCAGGGTACGGTCGGAGATATCATCCAGGTCTACGACCTTAAGTGTCTTCTTGTGCTTCCGGAGTCCCTTGCCTATTTGCGCGTAGTTGATTTTCGGCAGCGGGACGGTGTAGATCCGGGAGTTGTAGACAAAAACGAAGTTCCTCAGCTCGCGACAAGCTGAAATGAGATGCGCTAACGTATGACTGTCTAAGAAACTATCCAAGACGGTGAGCTCAGTCACTGGAGACGTGTCTCGGAGTGATTCGAGCAGGTCGTGATGTGTTGGATCCCTCGCTCCGTTTATCCCTATCAGGATTAACTTTTGGAGTGAGGGCAAGCGGAAGATTGCTAATAGATCTTCAAGAACCATATCACCCATACGGATATGGAGGCTGTGGAGGTGCGAGTAAACAGGGGAGAGCCCGACCGGGGTCCCCTTAGCAGCGTTGCTCAGCAGATTAATGTAGCTTGTCGCCTGATAGCAGATTCGCGGGATGTGGCGATAGCTAGGGGTGTCGTCATTAACCACCAGCTGTCGCACATTAGGTGTGTGCAGGAGTGCCAGCATGAACAGCTGACTCAGTCGACCCTGGCAATACTGATCCTCGAGTACAGCCCTGTCCCGGATGCGCAGGTTCTTAAGACTCTCCCGGAGCTGGCGCCGGTCTGTAGACGACGGCATAAAGCTGTCCTTCCAGTTGCGGTCAAGCATCTCAAAATGCCACCACATGGTCTTGACCCTGCTTGCTAGATCCTTGTTCCCAATTATGGTGCGGAGGAATTTCGCCGGGTGCGTCCAGATGCGCGAGTCGAATTCTTCGTACAGGAAGTTATTGCCCAGCCTGTTAAGGCGGCGGCTGGTCAAGCAGATGTTGTAGAACTGTTGAATGCGTGCCTTGGACAGGATATACTGCGCATCTAGGTGCTCGAGGACACACAGGAGCAGTTCGTCGGGTAGGAGATCGAGGTAGGGGGGAGCGTTAGGAACGGGCGAGGCGTCGTGGACAGGCTCATGCTCCGGTTTCGCTGGCTTCCGCCTCGAACTCTTTCTTGAAGGTAAGGCATCACCGGTGCCAGCCTGCGGTGACGTTCCCATTGCCGCTCTTTTCGATCGTTGCGCGCCGCCCGCAGGAGCCCCGGTCGAGGCTTTGCGCTTGCGGCGAGTCTTGGGTGGCATCGCTACTGACGTCAGTGTCGGAAGGGGAACAGAAGGCAGAGAGATAGGGAAACTTACCCGCTATGAGCTGTGCCCTAGAGCTCAGTGTCAACGCGTAGTTAGGAGCTAAGAGGCACGGGTTAGTTGAGGTTTAGACGCGGGGTGCCGTGGGACTTCGAAGCTTGTCGGAACCGTGGCGCGTTTCATCGGTCTATCTCTTGGCATCCACACTGTCACGTGATTCTGAGATACTACACCATAGACTTTTCTTACGATTCTAAAGTGCTTTAATAAGCGGTTAATAGTGACGCTGGTCAATGGTGTTCGACCAACTATGTGCGGACCTGCGCTTCCCATCCCACGAGAATCTTGGAGCATGATCAAAGTATGGAAGTGGAAGAATGTTCCGTCCCGTTTTAACAGACATCGAAGACCTGTAGAAGAGCCAATAGGAAATCTCCTATGGTCATATATCCATCTCACTCGTGGTACGTAACCCAAGAAAGACAGGCTGGTCACCAATCACTCACTCATCAGCACAAGTGAACAGGCAAATATTAATTTTGATAGTACACAGAATTACATCCTCCACAGCCCCAACTCCTCGTCCACATAAACATCATCGCAAAATTCATCAAAGGAAAACCGTTTCCAAGTCTTACCACATCATGCACCGATCCGCCTCACCCCTCGTGCCTCACCCCGCTCACACACACTGCGTCCGCGCCAACACCTCACTGCACGACGAATCCTTGCACAGAGTGTCGCACTTCAAGCCCACCGCCACATAGACGCGCCCCAGGTTTGGGATCCTGAACTGCTTTGAGAAGTCCGCGGCGTTCCAGTCGTTCGCCCTGTAGCCGGCCCTGCACGCGCAGTAGTACTTGCTGCCGCCGGCGGTAGCGCAGCTGGTAGTAATGTCGCACTTGTTTAGTGATGGGTTGAATGGATTGCACGTATTTGGGCAGAGGCCCGCGAGCGTGCTGCCGGTCCAGGTATCACCCGAATCGACGTGGCCACCGGGAACGCTCTCGATAGTAGGGCCGGAGTCTTCAGAGCTCGTGGTAGTCGTGATCAGGGTAGTCGGTGGTGGTGTAGGCTCGGTGACTGCCTCTACAGCGGGGGACGTCTCCGCCTCGTCGATGTGGGGCCGGGGAACGTAGGTCTCAGTCGTTCTGGTTCGGGTTCTGGTCTTGGTGCTGGTCGGGGCGTCGGTGACTACGGTAGGCTTGGGCATCCCAGGCTTAGACATGTCAGGCTTTCCGGGCTTTTCTGGCTTCTCTGGCTTCTCTGGCTTCTCTGGCTTTTCTGGCTTTTCTGGCTTTTCGGGCTTGCCTTTACCCTTGTGCTTGTAGCATTTCTTGGGGCATTTAGGCTTCTTCTTGTCGTCCTTCTTGTCACCCTTCTTCTTGTAGTCCTTGTCATCCTTCTTGTCATCCTTCTTTCCAGGCTTCTTCTTCATATCCTTCAGCCAGTCGGGAAGGTCATCGTCATCATCGTCGCCATAGTCATTGCCTTTGTCATATGGCGAGTCGTGGCCGAAAGGATCATCGCCAGGTCCTCGAGACATTCCCATGCCCACACCCTGGGCATTGCCGGAGAAAGAGGGAGAATCGCCACCATTCTGAGATTCTGGCCAGTCGAAGCCTGCCATCCCGCCTGAAGATGGTGGAGCAGCGGCGCGGTTTACACCTGCGGCATTGTCGAGAGCGATGTCAACGTTCCTACGGGTGCGGAGACGGCGCCTCGAGCCCCAAGGCTTCGTGGGTTTCTTAGGAGGCTGCTTGTGGCCAGGGTATGGTTTCTCATCTTCTGAATCTGAGAGGCAATACTTCGGGCATTCGTCATCTGAGCTGTCTGAATCGTGACCCTTGGGCTTCTTGTCGTCTTTCCCGCCTTTCTTCTTCTTGCCGAAGTGGTCGTCGTCGTCTTCGTCGTCATCCTGACCGTCATACCAGCCGTTATCTCCGCCGCCCCACCCTGGCGATGCCCCAGGTCCCATGCCTGAGCCGCCACCCCCGCCGCCCATCATGCCAAAGGGGGACATTCCAGATGCGCCACTCCCGGGAGTACCCGCGCCAAGTGCGCTAGGAACGTCGGCAGCGAGGGGACTGAAGGCACTGCCTCCCGAAGAAGATCCAGACGCATCTGGGGCAACAAGGGGTGCAGCGGCCGCCCCAGGTCCAGGCGGGACAATAGCCGCGTTTGAGCTTGGCAAGACTGAGCTGGAGAGCGACTCCGAGGCCTCAAGCGGGGCCACACCGCTACCACCGCTACCTCCGCCCGGGGACGTCGTAGGGATAGCACCCGCAATGATACCACTGCCGGGAGTGGTGTCTGCGGGAGTGGGCGATGAGCGAAGGCCCCCAAAATTAATGGCGCCACCGAAACGGGCGGTGCTGGTGGATGACAGCGTTGAAAGGACGACATCATTGGTGCCGACTGGTAGCGAGGTAGATGTTGGATCAGATCCAAATGGCACTGCGCCGCCTAGGGGAGAAGACGGACTTGGGCCCGTCGGAAAGTCAAAACCAGGAAGATCTGCCCCAGTTGGGGAAGTCGTGGGAAACGCATCGATCGCAGCTCCTAGGTTCGAGGAAGATGAGACATCGCTGATTGGCGAAGGGGAGACGGTGGCAGCTACACTCGTGGAAACAGTCTGAGCGTTCAGGGTCCGCGCGAGCAGAGCCCCAAACACGATGGCCTTCATGGTGGCCAGAGGATAAGGCAGAGACGAATGAGAGACAGTGTACAACGCCGCCAATGCAAAGCGTGTTGGAAGGAGTGACAGAAAGGGAATTTGACCAAGACATGGCTTAAGCCACCCGTGTTTCCTAGTTATAGGTCGGGTTGTTGAATTCTTCGTGCCTGAGATCAAAACAACCTGGCTGGTTCTAGCGTGACGGGACAGGAGGACATGGTGAGGCTCTAGCTACATTCGGAATGTCAACGCAGATGATCCGAACAGCATCTGAAGCAGATTGGATGAAATGGCGATGTCAACTCTTCGCGATGCTTTGGAATGCGTGGTAGATTGCGTGTCGCGCGTTCATTCTCCTTGTTGGATTGTGGAATGCGGAGGCTAAAACAACTGTCAATGCAGCATTAGCGAGTAATCACAACACTTTTGTCTCATGAGGGGCGTATCAGAAGATTTGTACGAACACCTTGCAGCGACTCTAACCAGTGCTTTACATTCCTGTTAATGTGCTTCCGTGGCCCTTGAGAAATGCGTTGCTCTGGCGCCCTTGATAACCCCGCGGAACCTCTTGCGTTCTTTCTGCTGCCTCCGCAACGACTTCTTATGGCATCCCAGCGCGAAAGTCAGTCCTTTCGTTTAAGCCCCAAGCAGTGGAAGAAGCATCATGCACAGTGGCTCTGCGCATGTCACGGACATATTTCCCCTCGAAGGAACCGCGGCAAACTTTGTGCATGACGCAAGTATTGTCCTGTTGACGTTATCAATGCCTCTTTCTATCGCCTGGATATTACCACCTACCCATATGATGATATCGCCGTTGTTCTCCCAGTCTACTTCAACTGTATACTTGTCCTGAGTCGCGTGCTTCAGCAAGTCCCTAATGATTTGCTGTCCCTCTTCCTTTCCCAAACTCTCAATGTGATGGGCATGATGGGCAATGTATAGATTCATCCTGCCGCTAGGTTCGTGCAGCTGCGCGAGCTTGTGGCGGCCCATGAAGTGTTGTTCGGGAATCATCCCCTTCAGAAATTCGCAGTCAGGGGCCGCGAGGCGCCGGCTATGCCACAAGGAATGATTGACCACGTAATCTTGGATCCGCTCCTTAGTGTCGCCGTCCAGATCCGCGTAGGCCGTGCGAGTATCGGCAAATGCGGTAGCCCCTCCCGTGCCCTTGGGAGGCAGTTGGTGAGCTCTAAGTACGGAATAGCCTGCGCGACGGGGGTTGAAGGCAGAGTCCACATGGAAGAGGCCGTTGCCCAGCCCGAGCTGGTATCGTAGACTATCGGTCGAGACAAGATTGCCGTCATCATCAAGATTGCTCACGTCGAAGAGCTCGGTGTATGGCGCAAGCCTATGTTTTCGTCCGGCTTTGATGTATGGAGTCGAGTCATCTAGCTCGCCAAGCTGAGACGCGAAGGCGACGTGTCGCGCGTCGTCGAGCTGTGCCTTCCTGAAGACAAGGACACCATACTTGGCCAGCCCTTGGACGATTTCGGTGACGACCTCAGGTGGTACAGGCTTCGAGAAGTCGACACCATAGCATTCAGCAGCAATAATAGGGTGCAGTGGCTTAAAACCCACTTGAGACTTGATGGAAGCCATTGTGAAGCTGGTACCGGTGGGGATAACAGCAAACGCGCCGGATGTGGACCTGCACCAGACAACCTCCAGGGCGGGCAAGTATTTGAAGCTTTCTGCGGCCCATCACGCGTACCAGCGCAGCTAAGAGGCTGCTGAGGAAGAGGGGAAATGCGGAGAGATAAGAGTTGTGGTGGCAGATTGGCCGAGGTGGTAAAACCGTGCTAGCACTATCTCCGCGCTAAACCCGAGCCGCGATGAGATGAGCTCTCCTCAACCTTCCCCTGTCCCTCGTCACTACTATTACAGTTGCGGCACCTCGAGCGCCATATGTCGAATTCCGAATGTAACAAACGCCTAACGCCAATGTACGCCGCCAGTGCAAAACTGTGGATGCCTAAGACGCCGCTAAAGGAACCCCACTCCCGCTATAAAGAGCAGCACTGACATTATCCACGAACACTCGCCCTCTCGTCTTGTCGCACCATTCCCAGTATATAAGGGTCCAGTATACACGCCTGTGCAAATAGCAGTTGCATTCCAACCCCTTGCTGTTCCATTGTTGCCCGGGTAGCAGTACGAGTAGGTATAGTACGGAGTGGTGGTGGGATAGGGGTAGAATTCAGGCGCCGTTGGCGTTTCTACGACCGTATCGTCTTTCACCGCTGTGGAGAAATCCATGTTCGTGCCAGTTTCCGTTGGGCCTTCCGTCGGACCCGCGACATCTGGACCGGAAGACGGCTCAAGCTGGGTCAAAGTCGCCTCCGCGGCAGACGAGTAGGTCGTCAGTGTAAGGTCGGAGAGGGTCCGTGTCGTGGTATGTAGACTTGAAGACGTTGAGCTGGTCGATTTCTGCTGAGCTACTGCGCTACTTGTGAAAGTCTGGCATGACCCGTCGACAGCGTCTAGGACTGGCTGGAGGTATGAATCGGCGCAGGAAGTGTTGGTACAGGATTGGGAGAATGGCTGGAACACATCACAGCTACAAGCGCCTGACGAGAGTAAGCATTTATCTTTATTTCCATTGCGGATCCACTGACAAGTGAAGTCTAGGATCCCACAGTCGCATGTCGCGAAGGCAGTTGCGATGCAGGCTTGCTGATTCCTGTCAGTCCAGGACTCTTGTCAAGATTAGGCACTTTGACTCACTGCGCACACCGGTAACCTTCCGATCGATTCTTCTGGTCTCTGAGCTATTGTTTGCTCGAGAGTGAACGATAATAAGGCTAGAACAGTGTAGAACGATGAGCGTCTCATACTGCTGGGAGTCTTGAAGATCTTCATCCATCTCCTGTCTAAAGGGATTAAAAGCCTCAATCTCGCCATCATGGAGACCGACACTTTTGCCGCCATGCTGAGCCTCGGCGGTTGCACTGTGGCTATGCTCAAGCCCTCTCAGCCCGCGAATTCCCGCCCTCCTCCTGATATGTTACCACAATTTCATGATGGTGGTGTGCGAATATAGCCCACATAGGTTGAGGTCCCCCGTATCTTGGCGGAGGTTGATAGGCTGACAAACTGCAAGCCACAGCCGGACTAGGTGATCGTTGACGAGAAACACCGCGCCAAGTAAAAGGGTGCTTTTGAGAGAAGAACTTCAGCCTTGTCGATTACGCTTCAGACTGCTCGTTTTCGATACGTATCTTGGTATATCTACTCTTCAACAGGAGTCGAATAGCATCCCTGACTTGGATCTCTACAGATTCTCCCGAAAACAATCGAACTGCGACCGAGCAAATCGTCTTCTAATACCGACCGCTTGGTTCAGATAGCGCTTATCAATCTAGGGAGAGCGGTTCTCGTTCCGCTCCCGGAACGAAAGCTTAACACTGTAAGTTTCCACGCGTTCCAGCCTTAGAACCCGCACCTCAGCCCACCGACCCATGTCCTCAGCCCCTCTTGGCAAATAGGCAATTCTACGTCCACTTGCAGCCCTTGGCTCGCTCTAGTCGCCACCCTTTAGCGAAGCATGAGGGCGGCGCTAAAGGCCGGCGTTTTGGGGTCCAAAGTTGGAACGCCGCAAGCCGAGATGCACGTACAGCCGGCCAGGAGCGACTCTACAGGACTAGGGGTTTGTCCAGCTCGACTTGATATTATTTTCTTGTTAGCTTTCCCACACCGATACACCAACGATGAGGCCACTTCGTTCATCGTTCGTCAAAGCCGTCACTCTCTCATTACTTATACTCCCCATCCCTCAAGTGTCTGCTCAGTGCGGTTCCTTGGTAACCTATCGCCAACATGCCGACCTGCTCCAAACCGCACCACAATGCCTCCGCGACGGGTGTATCGAAGGGCAGAACTCCAGCACTATTTCATCACCATGTCCGTCTTCCTCACCATGCTACGTCTATTGGAACATGTTCGTCGAGCAATTCGACCAGAAGAATGCATGGTGCGCGTCTTGCTCATCGGACCTCGCATGTCGAATTTCAGGCTGGCCAGTTATGAATGTCACTGCGGTTTGCGACACGACGCCCAACCAGCTGCTCTTCGGTGGGAAAGGCTGCTGCGTGAGTGGAGATGAGCCTTTTGAACTCGCAGAATGGACCGGAAAGCTTTGCAATGGATCTGAGTGGAGGGAGCCCTTCGACATCTGTGGTGGCATGGCGTGCCTTGACTGGCGGGAGTGGATTATGCCATGGAATTGGACCGTACGGAACGAGTCACTTCCTCCAGAACAACATCAAACTTGCACATCGCCGTCCAAGTACCTTGCCATATACGGGGGAGAACATTTCTTCTGGTTGTTCTTCGCTCTAACCTTCGGCGGGGTACGGCTGCGCATCGCCCAGCATGAAGAAAAACACGATAGGGACGTCTTGCGATACTTCTTCCTGTCTATCTGGACGGGGCTCACGAAAAAGTTCAGGCAGAAGGACATGTCGGAGAAAGAGGTTAGGGTAACGGAAGGCGAGCAATATCGACCTCCATTCACGGAGAAGCTGCGCTGGGGATTCCCAGTCTGCGCGGGAATCTTCCTCGCCGGTGCACAGCTTGGCTTCAATCTTTTCGCGGCACACCTGGTCAAGGAACAGCCCGGCTACCATGACGTCCCGCTCGGAATGCTCGCCCTACTCTTCTGCTGCCGGCCGAGGCTCACTTGGCTCTCATGCCTTCTAGCGCAGATACCGGACACATGGCTCATCAAAATCTTCGGATTTGTAGAGAACGGAGACGGAGTATGGGCAGCCAGAATGATTCTATCATCCGTCGCCGTTACCTCTGCGGTCACGGAAGCTATCATGCAGCTCTTGGGCGGTTACTTTCTCGGACGGGCCGCCCAGGTCGGGAGGGAGCGAGGCTTCTACTACGTTCACCACTTACGACCGAAGTTTAGGGGGAGAGATGCACGGCACATGTACCTTGGGGGTCTCTTCTGGGTCATGCTCTGCATACCGATGGTAATTGCATTGTTCATCCTGGCCTTTTTCTTCGGCCAAGTCTTCAACGGCGTGTTGAGCTTTCGGAGAGGACTCTACGACTTCTTCCATACCAAGACTCCCAACATGCCTGAGCTGGCTCAAGGCAAGGTGGAATGGCTGCTGGACTACATCAATCCGGATCCCTTGCCGCCTAAGGATGATCCGCCCCCAACTCCGAACCCTTTCGATGACCAGCCCGTGCAGCTTGATTCCGACCAGCCTATTCTCGTGGACCGGCAATCCTTCTATGATCAGCCGCTGCCCTACGGAGGGCCAGGGACCGGCGACCTCTTCAGCGACCAGCCTATGCCAGTAAGACACGGCAGTTCAAGACGTAGCCGGTACTCCAGGCTGTCACAATCCGAGTTCGAAGACCAGATCATGCCAGTCCCGCGGGCCGCGTCTGGAAGCTACCGCTACCCGTCCGGTGGTTATGCGCATGCTGCAACCGGAGTCCAACGACGGACACCCAGTGGAAACCAGTACAATACCCTCCCTCAGCATGACGCCCCGGACGAGGAAGGAGACCAGATCTTGCCACATCCCCCATCCCAGCAGCACCCTCGTCGCCAGCCTGAAATGCGCGAAATAAGTCGGGGTGAAAGTCACCATTCTCTCCTTGCGCCTGAGCTCCAAGTCGACCCACCCTCATCAAGCGCTGGCAGCTCGTCTCGCAAGCGGTCTGATTACGACGGCAAGCCGACCTGGGGTCTCGCCGAGTGGGAGTCCACGGTTATCTGGACTGGCGCTATGCTAGGATTTTTCGCGTATGCTAGTCAATGGTTGTTCTGGGATGGGTTCGTGAAGGCTGCTGGTGATCGCTTCTGCCCGCCCGGTCTTGGTAAGGTTGCTGGCGTATGGGTGACTGGTGCCTTTTTGTGTAAGTGTCGAATGCTCAGATGAACCACTCGTGCTGATTCTTCGTAGATGTCGGAGCGCCTTTCTTAGGCTATTGAGGGTCTCGACATGGATGGAGATGGTTGCTTCTGGGTGGTACAAACTAGCATGCTCGTTCATCGTTCTCTTTGATAGTGAATCCTTCCAATAGACAAAATACAGTAGCATCAAATGCTAGACCATTCATGAACTCCCCCCTACCAACGTCGAGAATTAGGATGCGTCGGATTCTCACCAACCACCACCTTAGCTTTGCAAAGCACATAACGATCCCCATACTCCTCACCATACTGATTTCCTTCCCTGTACAGTGCAGGATGTACAATGAGCTCAACGCACGGATCCGCAAAACGCATTGATCCAGTCTTCGCCTGCTCGGGCCCAGCCAGCATCTCCATCTCGTGTTCCTTCCACTTAAATCCCCACAAGGGATTCCCCTCCAGACCCGCAGCACTCCACTGCTCGCAGAATATCCACGCGCGCTGCTGATGCATCTCCGCATCCAGACACATTGCGTTGGTGACGATCGTCCACAGCTGGACTTTTATGTCCTGGTCCGCTTTCGCGCGCTGCGCCTCTTTGCCGACAATGAAGGGGGATATTGTGTCTATGATGTTGTCGACGAGGTCCATAGTATCATGCTCCAGGATCCTCTGCTGAGAGTTTTGTTTACCGATCAGCATGATAGACGTCGTCGCGCGCCATTTGTGGAAGATTCTCGCCTCGGCTTCCACGCGTTTGGCATCGGGATCGTCTCGGGGTGAGTCTTTCTTGCGGACAGGGCGCAGTTCCGCCTTGAGACTGGCGAGGGTTTGGCGCATGTCGCCGGCCCAGTACAGGCCTTCTGAGCATCGGTTCGCATGGTCAAAGACCTTGTTATTGAGTATCCACCAGATGAATGCTTGGATAATGAGCGGTCGATGCGTCTCAGAGCCAATGTATTGCGCGTGTTCTCGAGTGAGAAACATCAGCCTCTTGGATGGCTGTATGTCCAGCTTGTCCACACGTGAGCCTTTCGCGCGTGTTAGCACCGAGCCGGTGGACCGTGATAAGCGGCCGACGAAATATTGATTGGTGAGATTTTGGATCTTGGAGTGTAGATCGTTCCACTGCTCGATAAAGTATTTGTCGTCTAAGTTGCTCTTGAGATCGGAGCGGAGCTGGCGGAGTTCCTTGCTGACGGCGTTGAAGGTCTCTTTACCCCTCCTGAGGTCTTGTTGGAGTTCGAGGTTCTGATCGTGTAGCTGCGTGGCGTTTCCCACTGCGCGATCGTGTGCGCTGCGGAGTCCTTCTACCTCGGCTTGCAGTCTTTGGATGCGCAGGTCTCTATCACCGAGGGCTCGCTGATGGTTCTCTTGCATGGACTTTGCTGCTGCCGCTTGTGGCTCAATCTCTGCAAGTCTTCTCTTGGCGGAGGACAATTCATTGTCCAACCTTCTCCTCTCCTTCTCCTGGTTCTCTTTCTGTGTCTTCATTTGCTCATACCACACAGAGAATGTGTCTGCCCGCCTTTTTTCATCGTCTCGTTCACTCTCGAGACTCTTCTGATATGCGTGAGCTTTTTCAAGCTGCTCCTCCAATGAATGCGTGTTCATCTCTTGCGTGGCGACTGAGTAGACTGGTTGGGATGCTGCGACTGGGCGTAGAGGCTGAGCACCAGCTGGCAGTTGCGACGGCGCCGCCATTCCCATATCCACCATAGAAGAAAGCTTAGATGCATTCTGGGCTGCGCTGGCCGGTTGTCGTACCGTCGCTCCCGCACCCGGCTTTGGGACATCATGAGGCGGCGGGGTAGGTGGTCTGGGATCTGAATATATCCCATTCACCTTCTCTTGGCTTAGTCCCCTCTCTAAAACCCGCCCTTCTTGGCGGGCTTTCTCGAGCTCAATCTCGGAAGGCAGTGGGTGTTGGTCTGTAGGCTGTCTGGTCATAGAGAAAGAAGGTCGGCGTGCAGACCCATTTGCTTTGGGTGATACTGGCTGCCTTTGTAGCTCATGTGGTCCCGCTGGTTGCATTTCTTTCCGGCCATGGGATGAAGTGATTTTCATATTCTTGATCGTCCTGAAAAGGCCCTGACCTTTATCCTTCTTCTGAAGCTTGCTATCCTGAGAAGCATCGCCCATGGTAATTTTGCGGCTTGGACGGATTATCCAAATGGTGAAGGACGACTGGAGGCTTCCTCTTTCTGGGCGCACCGGCGATTGAAGCGCAGTTGCGACCTGAGCTCAAAGGATCGTCCGATTCCGGTTTATCTCTGGTTGGCCAATATTTGCCGCAGAAGAAGGCAATGTACAGCGAAAGGACTAGCCTATCGACGGCTTGCTCTGCCGTCTCCGCGACACTCAGATAATGGCTGAAAAGAAAAATGTTCCACCACCGCGTCAGCTGCCGCCACTATAAAACACTTGAGTGATTAGATTTGACGAACGTACGTGATACGCTTGTTACTTTCTTGGACCGCGGGTTCCAGGCGGCAGCTCGCGCAGATAGACCGTCTAAGCCCTTCCCGTGCCCGAGATGATTGGCCGATAATACCACATGACCCAGAAAGGCTGCGTAGGAATCATGCAGGGTTTTGCTGCTGAGTGCGCACATCAGGCCATCTTGACCAGGCTGAGGTGAATGTGTTAGAGCCTCGCGCAATATTCTTGGCGTATGGCTGCTGAGAACGCCACACCTATCCAAGAATGGAGATAATAGAGAGCATTAGCTGAAGGTAACACCACTCCGGGCTGAGAGTGCTTATCGACCAGTTCTCGTCCTGCAAGCCTGTCTCCACCGCCCCAAATTTGCATTCGACTCGCGTGGTCCAGATGCGAGTTTGGCGCTCATGATCTTGGCGGACGGGTGCGCAAGGCCCGATAGTTGAAGCGCACTCAGCCTTGTGGGGTAGAATCGGCAGATCTGTCTTTTCAAGTAAGCAATTGGCAGTCATTGATGTTCTCCTCTAAACCTACTCTTACGCCGACCATGAATCGCCAGATCTAAGCATGGATGGAGATCTTCAGGACCAACCTCTGGAGTACAGAGTGCCTACTCCGCCTCCACTACCATTGAAACCTCCTCCACCACCTCCTCCTCCGACATTAGAGCTCACGCTCAGACGGCCCTCACCATACTCGTTTGGACCATCATCTCTCTCGAGCCACTCCCGACTTTCGTCGCTCACCTCGCCCCGTTCTTTGACTTCATCACAGACGTCCTACAGCAATCCTCGTAGTGATTCTCTTCATATCAACGTCGGCATAGACTTCGGGACAACGTAAGCGTTTTCTACAAACTCCTGCGCCGTGTTCTAAACCATACCCAGCTACTCCGGGGTCTGTTGGGCCATCTTGGGCACACACGAGCCCAGTGTCAACGTCGTTACACAATGGCCAGGCGAAACCAGCGTAAAGGTACCGAGCGAAATTGCGTACAAGGATGGCGTTGTACACTGGGGGTTCACAATTCCACCTGACGTCGAGAGGTTACAGTGGTTCAAGTTGCTGCTTCTGAAAGAAAACGAGCGGTTTGCAAAGGTTCAGGGATCGAAGCAACTAAAAGCAGCTAGACAGCTGCTCGAAAAGCTTAGTAAATCGGCCGTCGATGTCGTGGCCGACTACCTAGGGCGGCTATGGGAGTGTGCGTTAGTCGACATCAGAAAGCAAGAGGGTAGTAGCATGGATGGGATGCCATTCCGAATCGTCTTAACAGTTCCAGCAAATTGGCCTCTCGAAGCTCGAGACGAGATGAGGAAGGCTGCTCAGAAGGCTGGGTTATTGGACCGTCGAATGGGAGCCCTAGAGACCAAATTGGAATTTGTCGGGGAGCCAGAGGCTGCGGCGCTTGCAGCGTTCTTCGACGGGAATATTCGACGTAACATTAGAGTCCGTAGTTCCCCATACAATGTGTCGCTGACAGCCGCTTACCATTGCTAGGTCGGCGATATCGTTGTCATTTGCGATGCAGGCGGAGGAACAGTCGTAAGTAGACCAGAGCAAATGCTGTCCGATCTAACAAGCACAGGACATTGTTACATACGAAGTCGAGACGGTTGAACCTTGTGTAAACCTTGGAGAGTGTATTAGTGGCGACAGTAAGCCACCGATCTTGATGTGAGCGATCGAGGAATTAACTAGCAATCATAGTGGATCTTTGCGGCTCCATCTTTCTCGACGAGGCCTTCCAAGAATACCTATCCGTGAGGATGGGCAAAGACAAATTACGAAAATTACCTCAGAGGACGTACCGCGAACTCATAAGGACTTGGGAGAACAATGTCAAACGTCAGTACCATAAAGATACCCCGGAAGTAACCATCAACCTGCCTCACGAAGTCGCGAAAGCAATTAAGTCGCTCAGGAATATGGTCAAAAGGAAGAATGGGAACAAGCAACTTACGGGAGATTTGATGCGCCTGAGCTCGTAAGTTTCCCTTCTAGCCGGTCCTTCGACTACTAACAGAGCTCCTTAAAGTGAGGACATCCGCGGCATCTTCGATCCCGTTATGACGAGCATCCTTACTTTGATAATCAAGCAACGGAATGCCACGATGGAGAAGAGGAAGAGGAAACCGAAGGCCATCCTCTTGGTTGGAGGCCTTGGGGGGAACAAGTACCTGTACCAACACCTCCAGGCAGAGTTCTCCGCGGGAGACATAGATCTCGTGCAGCCTCAAGGCGATAAAGCGCAAGTTTTGCTCCACTCCTTGAATTCTTTCGTGCTCACAAAAGAATTAGGTGGGCATCGATTTGTCGTGGCGCCGCTATCAAGGCGATGACCCTTGACGAACCCTACGATCAGCCTCTCCCTGTCGTAACATCGTACATCTCCAAGGCGCACTACGGAATCGTGTGCAAAGTGCCTTTCGACAAGGAGAAGCATTCAGAAGAAGACCGCAAGTTCGATTCAGCTACAAATATGGATCTGGCATGGAATCAGATGCGGTGGTACGTGAAGAAGGTAAGAGCGGAATGTACCACGGTGTATCTGGATACAGATGTTAATCTCAAGTAGGGAGAGGACGTGTCGAAAGGGAAGCCAGTTACCATGTCGTGGGAGAAGTTCCATCCCGAGTCCCGTCCATGCACGAGCTTCACCATCAAAATGTATGAATGCGAAGCGGAGGATGCACCTACTCGATTGACAGCCGAAGTGCGCCAATGCGAGACGATAATAATCCCCTTCAGCTGGAGCAACCTGCTTGTGCAGGATGGTGCCGACGGTAAACGATTTCGCAGGGTACAGTTCGATCTAAAGATGAGCATGCTGGGCATGGGCAAGCTCGACTTCGCGACGTACGTGGACGGTAACATGGTAGCTCGGAAGAACGTGAGCGTTAAGCTCGGGGATAGCCATGGAGAAAGATGCTGAGGGCTGAAGGATGTTGAAGCAAGAGATTGGCGAGGCGAGCCCGCGGGCAATCAATGAACTAGGCTTCTTTAGAACTAGCGTCTCTGAATTCGTCTGACCCACCTGGGCGAACCGTCCCGCCGCACTCTCCCCCTTCTCCCCCTTCTTTTGCAGACTGCTATCTCCTTCGTCTTTCAATTAAGCACATCAAGCTAAAGGAAGCGACATGCCGCTCGCTCCGGCGATACCGACTGCCGCAAATGTTTGGAATGCACCCTTCAAAGCCTGCCTCAAATCTTGAGCGCCCTCTCCTTCTAGGAAGAGGTTGGTCGGTCCTTCTTTCTAGGTACCGTGTACTTGTTCATTGCGTCAAAGGTCACGAGTTACCCGATCTACAAACTTTCCTTGCGAGAGACTCCTTCTAATACCCGGACATGCCCGCTAGCTTCCACCTTCAAAGTCATCCCCGATGGTACCACATCGGAGAGGTCCTGCTCCACAAAGACTCCCGCTCTTCATTCCTCTTCTGGGATATCCCCTGGAGATTGAATTCGAAACCATGGTACTTCCAGGTGAAGAAATTGAGGTGTGCCGCAAATGAACGACAAGAGGGGCACACAACATGACTTACCCAGATCTTGATCCCCCTGGGCCGCCAACGTGCCACACTGGGGGAAGTCAGAGCAGATATCTTCGCCAAGCTGATGCCTCGCTGGCTCAAATACCACGCCATGAGTTGCGGCTCAACATGGCAAGCTAGACGCCTCTCGTCGCCCCCAAATTTGAAGCCAATATCCTCGGCAATTTCTATCGCCTTTGCAGTCCACCAGCATCCCGATAACACGCTATGTTCTTTTCCGTCATGTCGATATCCGCTCATCGCCCAAGTCTGGACCCCTTTCATTTCGAGAAATCCCAGGCACTTCTGACTCTGCCAGCTAGGAAGTGTGAATTCACGGACTACAAGTTTTGCCGACCCGAGATCAGATGACGACATCCAGATCCCGCTGATGAAGTGAGCGCACTTCATCTCGGATATCTCCTGCTTCTCTTCTAGGATTGCTTGGGGAGGTCGCTGATTAGGGTCGCTCTGTGCCGTCGATTTTGACTTTACCACCAGACTCGTAACCGTTGCTCCGTCTTTCGCCGTGGAACGCTCGAAAACGTACATCCGTTGATGCTCGCATTCCTCACTGGTCTCTGCACTTTCGCTAGAAGTGGCGCCGTCTTCGTCGCGCCGGAGTGCCCGAGCAATCTCGGTGCGAAGCATCCCCTCGATCAGCTGGCTCATGGGTGTGTTGCGACGTGGAGATATATCCGTCTTCATCCAAAGCGGACTGGCATAATCAATGGCTCGGCGGCCTTCATGATCTTCAATCATCTTGTCGGCGCCCGCTTCTAGAAGTATCAGAACGTTCTCGAGCCTGGCTTCACGCGCAGCTATCATCAGCGGCGTCCTTCCAAGGCTGTCGGTGACGTTGATACCGCGCGAAATTTCCGCGGCTTTTTCAATAAGAAGCTCCAAAATGTCGCGATGCTGTGTTGCTGCTGCATGGAACAAGGCCGTCTTTCCTTTCTCATCTTTGGGCCTCAACAAGTGGATCCGGTTCGGCAGTCCCTCCAGTTGTTTTCGCACCGCTTCGTGGTCACCAGCACGGCAAAGTCGTAAGAACTCTGTGAAGCGATGCTGTCGTGAATCCTCATACGGGGGCTTCCCAGTAGATTGAGAGTCTTCCACTTTCGGGGACGCTTCAATGGTCAGGCTTTCCACTTCTTTCGCTAATTCGTCCATCGCATGCGGCTTGGTGGCATCGCTTTCTCCTGGCGTCGCTGGCGAGTTCGAACTTTCCGTCATCTTTCCAAATGTGGACGGATGTGAGTAGCTGTGAGATGAGGGCACGATCGCGCTCTGCGGTAGGAAGAGACAGCCTAAATAACTGCGTTAATTGATTGCGCAGGTTTGCGGTGAAGCCTCACCGCAGCAAGCACTGCGAGACTTCCCGGCCTCATCACCGCCAATCAATTCTTTGACGTTTACAATTGTCCATTCGGCGCTTCACCACTACGAATCGGGCTCCTTCAAGGAAATGCCTAGCCAGTTCCTACACAATGATTCCACCACTGTTTGCCTTTCTACGCGCCATAGGTCATGTGGCGTAAGCACATTCATGATCGATTGCTTTCCGTTATTTCATTATCTGCCGGGCATCCATTGGCTTCTGGAAAGGACCAAAGGTGTCTCCCCAAACCGGCGTACTCCAGCATGAGCTTAACCGCGACAACTGAAGCAGGCTGTTAGTGTAGTCGTTCCTCGTTCTCGGAGGCAAATGATATCGCGGGCCGCCTCATAGCTAGCCACACTCGCGCGCTGACTGGACATACCGAATTGAGAAGCACAACATCCATCTGCCGGATTAAGACTAACCACCTGTCGAGCGAGCGAGTGTGATATTGCGGCTGCATAGGAGGGGGCTTTGGCCTTGCCGTCGTGCGGGTTCAAAACGGCACCACCTCTGCTATTATGCACGCAGCCATAAAACCCAGCCTCGGACAAGAAGCAACACGCCGCGATCCCTCAAGTCCAGACTATGATGAACGAAAACCCGGCTCTTATCCGGGCCTGGGGTCTGACGTCTGACGTCTGCGCCCTAGCGCACACGCTATTCCCGATCTAGCCTCGCTTCGATCGAACTTCCTCAATCGCGTCCACTAGCAAGGCAAGGTACGCACCCGCTCCAGCCGCAACGCAACGCAACACTGAACATCACACAGCGATACTCTCATCGCCTCGTCCGAGAATCAGATCAGATTTGATTGCAATGGCGCGCGGAAAGCTGATCGTGTTCGAGGGGCTCGACCGCGCCGGGAAATCGACACAATGCCAGATGCTCGTCGAGGCGCTGCAGAAAGACGGGGTGAAGGTTAGGCATATGCGGTTCCCTGGTATGTGGTGGATCTCCTAGAGATTTACATGCGATCATATCCCTTTACCCGCATTTATGAGGATGTGGAGCCAGAGCTCTTGAGGTCTTGATAGTGAGTGAGGAGTACGGCGAACGCGCATGGAATATTGCTCGTATGTCTTCACGAGGATTAGCTGGCTGACTATGTTATAGATAGGACGACGCCGATTGGGCAGATGATCAACAGCTACCTGAGTGGGCAGAGCGAGCAGGAAGATCATGTTATTCATTTACTATTCTCGGCGAACCGATGGGAAGCAGCGTAAGCCTCCAGCTACATTATTGCATCCTGCTCTCCTTCCTCATCCTAATCGATGTGGTAGACCAATGACTGACAGTCTATTAGTGCGTCCATACAAGCCGACATATCTGCTGGCACTACCGTGATAATAGACCGTTATTACTACTCTGGCTGCGTGTACAGCGCCGCAAAGCACAATCCCACGCTTTCCCTCGCCTGGGCGCGGCACCCAGAAGTCGGACTCCCGCGTCCGGATGCCTGTATATTCCTTGATATATCTGCCGAAGATGCTGCGAAACGAGGTGGATATGGGACTGAGAAGTATGAGAAACAGGAGATGCAGGATGGGGTAAGGGAGTTGTTCAATGTTCTGATGGAGAGCAGCGAGAAGGACGATTTCGTGAGGATCGATGCCGGAGCGAGCTTGGAGGAGGTACAGAGCAGGGTGAAGGCGGCGGTAGATAGGGTGGTGGAGAAGGTCGATAAGGAGGATTTGTCATTGAGATCGGTTGAGCCGTGGTGAGGTGGCTGGGCCGTCATCATCCAATCTTGAGTTGAGGGAGATCATCATCCTCGTCCACTTCGTCCATCCATGTCTCGTCCAAGTCATCGTCTTGCTCCCCAACTTCTTGTGGCTCTGCCGGCTCCACCTCGGAGGCGCTGTCCGCCTTCTTATTCTTCTTCGGCTTGAACATAGCTTCGATCTCTTTCTGGCCGTACATGCGTAGGCTGAGCTCTTTCACTAGCGTGCCCCATTTGACTGGCGCGTGGCAGCCAGGACAGGTGCCTTCGATGGGGATCAGAGCGTCTTGGGTGCCTTCTTCGGCAAGAAATCGTTGGGAGAGGCATATCATATGGGTGACGGTGGGGCATGTTCCGACTGGGCAGACTAATACCTTCCCGTTCGCCTTCTTTCTGCAGACACCGCAAGACCTCTCTTGACTGTCCCCCAACAGCGTCCTCGCCTTCTCAACGTGCGCTTTGCAGTCTTCGTATGCAATTGGTATCGCTCGGATGACGTCAGGAACCTTGAATGCTTGCTCTTCGTTCGATGCGTCAGTTGCTGGGACTGGTGGCTCTGCAGGCGTGAGCTGCACGAGGATGCTCTTTCGGAGCTTCGGCGTCATGTTGGCCGTATGTTTCTCCCACAGCGCGAACACGTCCGGAGCAAAGAATCGGACGTCCAGTGGCCATCTTACAAAGCTCTTGACGCCTAGTAAGTAGTGGAGATTCTTGAGCCTCGCTTCCAGTGACATCGGGGGCCTCTTCCTCTTGTTACTGGTTGATCCCTTCGTGCCCTTCTGCAACTGCTCCACTCTCGCATCGCGAACATCTTTCTCGATATGCCGGGTCGCGTGCGCGTTCTGCCATGCCCATTCGAACTGCAACGCTGCGTATTTCGAAGGGAATCCTGTGACGATGCAGGTCATCTCCCAGGGCCTCTTCCCCTGCATTGAGGTCCGTTTTGCACCGCCCTTGCTCGCCCCATTGTGTTGGGCAAGGCGACGCGCCGGGTTGGGCGTGCTCCCGATGTAGTACGACTTTCGGTTCTTGGAGCGCAGGAGATAGCAGCAGTAGAATGCTGGAATTGGCTTGTCCATGTTGGAGCTGTCTGCGCCTCGCGTTGTGGAGGAGGGATGGATGTTTTGATGATGCAACAACAGGCAGAAATAAGCGCAACAGCAAAAGGAAGGCGCGACGCGGCGACCGAGGCAGTCGCGGTCGTGAGTCCCCCGGACTTAAGTCGCGCCGCGCAGATAATACCTAGTAAGATTGCTCGGACAGTTACCTAACTATACCTGCTATTGGACCTAGATGCACAGTACGCATCTACGGGTGGCTGTTGCATGCCGTGATGTCCGGAGAATTCCACATGGGGCAAGGCAGCGCCCCGTACGGCCTGATTGGCCAAGTCCCCCGCCAACGTCAACCCATCCTGCAGCGTCGCAGTATTGGCTCGCTCCGCTTTTGATATTCAAGTACAGCATGTACGCGGGCGGCGAGCGCCGCATGTGTCACGATCGAGGACATTATAGCCCATGCCGGTTTCTCCCCCATTGCATGCGATAGCCCTCTAGGCCTCAAGAATCGATGCGCTGTCGGAGCCGGAGGCCCAAATGACGGCGTGCTCCCTCCGAGATGGCGTGAGATGCCTCGTGTAGGACGCGGCGCCATCGGCAAAGTTGGGGAGAAAACTGACGGAACCGTGGTGTGGCCGCGGGTTGAGGAGCCAAGCACTCGCCTCGTGATGTAGGTTTCATCACTGCGAACCACCGCAGATGCAGCAGATTGATATTAGCCATTCCTGAGCGGCAGCGAGCGAAATTCAAATAGCTCTCTCATGGCAAGATCTTAGTAAGGGTGCCTGGCTATGCTGCGCACAGAAACGAGGGTTTTTCCTGGGATAATTCTTTGTCGGTGCGAGGCCGCTTTTGGGGCAATTTGTGGTTCACTAGCGTAGCCGCAAGGAAGGCATGGTTCGCACCCTCTCCTCTCGGCTTCCCTTCCTTCACACCACCCCAGACGTCGCCCAGGACCACAAATACGCTGCATTCACGACGTCCACCGGCGACGGCGTGCGCAGCAACCCATCTAATTCCCAGCAGACGCTCCTTTGGCCTGCATCCGGCCCGCATTCGGTCCTCTTCTGCCCCCGGCAGTCGCTCTGACTTCAGTGCACGTCTTATGCCTACCGATATCACCCGCCGATAGGGCCCGCAATCGATATTCTTCCACCCTGCAACACTCGCTGAAGCCGACACTGCACTCCCACTGTCGTTATAATACTGTGTTGTGCGCTGGATCGAGGGTAGTGCTGGGTGCAGCAGCGGAGGTGCCATGGTCGACTTTATACCCCCCGGCGGGCCTCCGACGGGCGCCACCATGTCCACCTTTCGAGTCGCAGGGACGCCGGGCATACCCATGGCGGGCCCTGCAGCGCCGAAAACAAGAATGGGAGGCATCCCTCTACCCTCTCTGAACGGCGCGCAGCCGTACGGTGCGGGCGCTATTCCACTCAGCGCTCGCAAGGCGCAGGCCTTGGATCTCGCGACCGTCGAGCGCAGAGGCCAGGGCCCTCCGAACAACCCACCACCCAAGTCGAATCGCATGTTCGGGCTCCAGGAAGCTCCGACATACAGGCCGACGGCCGAGGAGTTCAAAGATCCCTTGCAGTATATCCAGAAGGTCCGGGAGGAGGCTCAGCAGTATGGCATTGCGAAGATTGTCCCGCCAGATTCGTGGAATCCGCCTTTTGCAATCGACAGCGAGGTACGTCTGCCGTCTGCGTCCCTCATACTTCTTTTTTTTTGTTATCCGTTCTGCCTTCTCTTTGGAGCGGCGACATGCACGATGCAGAGCTGACCCCTGATAGCGCTTCCATTTCCGCACGCGACGACAGGAATTGAACTCAGTCGAAGGAGGTATGTCTATTGCCCTAGTATATGTTGCTTTCTGGCGCTGATACTCCATCTAGGTACACGTGCCAACCTGAACTATCTGGACCAGCTGGCCAAGTTCCACAAGCAGCACGGCAACAGCCTCACCCGCTTCCCCAGCGTTGATAAGAGACCCTTGGACCTTTACAAACTCAAGAAGGCTGTGGAAACTAGAGGTGGCTTCGACCGCGTGTGCAAGCAGAAGAAATGGGCCGAGATCGGGCGCGACTTGGGCTATAGCGGCAAAATAATGTCTTCGCTGTCGACGTCGCTCAAGAACTCCTACCAGAAGTGGCTTCATCCATATGAAGAGTATCTGAGGGTGGTCAAGCCGGGCGTGCACCAGATGCTCGAGTACGAGAATGGTGGTCCCTTTACGCCGTCACCGGGCCCGTCGCCCATGAAAAGGTCGACGCACGGCACACCAACGGGAAACCCAATGGACTCGCCTGCTATGAGGGCATCGGCTGCGCTTAATGCCTCTCTTCAGGGCGAGGCTGCACCCACTCCACCTCCCGAGCTACCACGATCGGCCATGTCGGGCTTTACGCCTGTCAATGCGGGAGGATTTACTGCTGTCAATGCGCAGCCACCGCAACCTCCGCAACCACCTCCAGCAGCAGTCTCTACCCCCACACCCAGCGGGTTCTCAGCGGTCAACATAACTAATGGTGTGCATCAGAGCACCACCGACTCTCGCACTTCTACACCGCTCAGAAATGGCGGCAGCCCTATGCTGTCAGCCCACAATACGCCCGACCTGCGACCGTCAGCCGTCGGTCTTACTCCGCTCTCGAACGGGCAGGCATTCAATCACCTCAAGCGAACGCTGTCCCAGGAAGCCGAAAGTGGCATGAATGGCGAGGCGGATGCGGCGAATGGCCGACGCAGTAAGCGACTAAAGAATGGTAGGCGCATCTCATGCATGCAGATTTCTGCACCTCTCGCCGCCTGTCGTCGAAACAGGGTTGCGTTGTAGCAGATCCTTGCGATCCAGGGACCGCTGTTTTAGCGCGCGATTTCTCATTGGCTGCTGGATCTCGCTAACAGAGCACTTGCAGAAGCGGCGCCCACCGTGGCCGGCTCGCACATGACCCAGCCTCGCCAGTCCACACCGGGCCGATCATCGTATCCGCGCATTCGCGCGCCGGACGAGCGTCCTGGAGATGTAAGCATTGCATGTCTCGACGTCGATGGATGGCGCTGATATATGTTCTAGCGATGCGAGACCTGCGGCACCGACAACGACCCCTCCAACATATTGCTGTGCGACAGCTGCGACGCTGGCTATCATGGCTACTGCCTTGATCCGCCGATCAAAGGTGTTCCTGAATACGATTGGCACTGTCCGAAATGCCTCGTCGGGACAGGCGAGTTCGGGTTCGAGGAGGGCGGCACCTACTCGCTGAAGCAGTTCCAAGAGAGGGCGCACAACTTCAAGCAGGGCCACTTTGCCAACAAGATGCCCTTCGACTCTGTTACGAACACTGCGAAGCCCGTGACCGAGGACGATGTCGAGCGCGAATTCTGGAGGCTAGTAGAGAACCTCACCGAGACGGTCGAGGTGGAGTATGGTGCGGATATCCACTCCACGACGCATGGCAGTGGATTCCCTACCATCGAGCGAAATCCTCGCGATCCGTATGCGACTGACCCCTGGAATCTCAACATCATGCCATACAACCCTGAGTCGCTTTTCCGCCATATCAAGTCTGACATCTCTGGCATGACGGTACCCTGGTTATACGTCGGCATGGTCTTTTCGACTTTCTGCTGGCATAACGAGGATCATTATACGTACTCTGCCAACTACCAGCATTTCGGCGCTACGAAAACCTGGTACGGTATTCCAGCAGACGATGCGGAGAAGTTTGAGCAAGCGATGCGCGACGCGGTGCCGGAGCTCTTCGAGACTCAACCCGACCTGCTGTTCCAGCTTGTCACTTTACTGACCCCAGAACAACTCAAAAAAGCGGGAGTCAGGGTCTACGCGCTCGATCAGCGCGCCGGCGAGTTCGTCATCACCTTCCCACAAGCCTATCACGCTGGCTTCAACCATGGCTTCAATTTCAACGAGGCTGTCAACTTTGCGCCGTTCGACTGGGAGCCTTACGGAGAGCTTGGCGTCCAGCGCCTGCAGGACTATCGGCGACAACCGTGCTTCTCGCATGACGAACTTCTTCTCGCTGCCGCTTCGCGGAAAGACACAACGATCAAGACAGCCAAGTGGTTGGCTCCGGCGCTGGAGCGCATGCGCGACCGTGAAATGCAGACCCGAGCAGAATTCCTGGAAAAGCATAAGGCCGTGCAGCCGCATACATGCAAGATCGACGGCACTGGTGAAGCCGAAGCCGAGTGTGAGATGGAATTCATTATCGACGACACAGACATGCACGAAGATGAGCTAATATGCCACTTTTGCAAAGCATATGGCTACCTCTCCCGCTTCTACTGCTCGAATGCTAGGAAGGTGCTTTGCTTGCGCCATGCCGGATGGGTTGAATGCTGTCCTGGAAGCCTGGGGAACGACCGTTACCTTGGCGCTCGAGGCGAGCATACGCTCATCTATCGCATACCAGACGACGCTCTTTTGGCGACTGTTCAGAAGATAGTTGATAAAGCAGGTACGCCCGAGGCTTGGGAAGCTAAGCTCGACAGTCTGCTTGATGACGGCCCTAAGCCTCAACTCAAGGCGCTGCGTGCGCTCCTCAACGAGGGCGAAAAGATTGACTGGGAATTAAATGGCCTCGTGGACTTGAAAGAGTTCGTGGAAAAGTGCTCTGAAGTGGCCGAGGAAGCTCTCAACTATACCACGCGCAAGCAACAGAACCGCCGGAAGAATGAGCGAGCTTGGAGGGGTCGCGGCGCTGCCAGCAAAGCAGCCTCAGCTGCCGAAGTGGATGAGAAAGAGCGAGAGTTTCGTAAGGTCGAGAACATTCAGAAGCTGCTCAATACCGCAAACAACCTTTGCTTCGACAGCCCGGAGATCACCGTCCTCCGCGAGCGCTTCGAGAGCATAACAGAGTTCCAGGACAAAGCTCGAGCAGCGCTGCGTGATCGCCCAGCCCAGCAGAGCATTGCTCGGCTCGATGAGCTGCTTGAGGAAGGCAAAGGCTTCAATGTCGACCTCCCTGAACTTGACTCTCTAGAGAAAGTTGTCCAACAGCTCAAATGGCTTAAGACAGCCGACGGGGTCAAGTTCAAGCCGTCATCGCTGCAAGACGTCATCGAGCTTATAGAGCAAGGTACCGAGCTTGGTATACCCGAGAATCATCCGGAAATACACCTCCTTCAGGAAAAGAAAATTCAAGGCGAGCTCTGGGAGGCCAAGGCGAAGGAGCTCATGTCCGTTGAGAACGTCCATTATCAGCAACTGGATGCATTGTCCAAGCAGGCATCCACACTCCCGGTCACGCCAGAAACTCTCGCGGCTGTTGATGCTATCTTGAAAAAGCAGCGCGATGCTCAAGACCTCATTGTCTCTCTCTTCGAGCGCAGCGCGAATCCTGACTTCCGCCAGCGTCCGAAGTACATGGAAGTGCGGAACGCCATGGAGGCTCTAAACGCCCTCAATAGCAAACCTGCTGGTACAATCGACCTCGAAAAGGAACAGAAACGTCACGAGGACTGGATGCGGCGAGGCAAGAAGTTGTTCGGAAAGGCTAATGCGCCCCTGCACATCCTGCAAGCCCACATGAAGCAGGTCGATGAGAGAAACCGCTCTTGCTTTGACCTTTCCGATCAGCCCCGGATGCCTGTTGAGCCTGCGTCTCGGGAGCACACCCCTGCGGAAGATGAGAATGTGGACGGTTCTGGATCAAGTCGCGACGTTTTCTGCATCTGCCGCAAACCCGAGGCTGGTATGATGATTGAGTGTGAGCTTTGCCACGAGTGGTAAGCATACTGAGCCCTCTACCCTGCATTCTATTTGCTGACTATTCCAGGTACCATGGCAAGTGTCTCAAAATCGCTAGGGGTAAGGTCAAAGAAGACGACAAGTATACTTGCCCGATCTGCGACTACCGCGTCAAGATCCCCCGTGACGCTACTAGACCAAAGCTGGAAGACCTGCAGACGTGGCAGGACGAGATTGCGGGCCTCCCGTTCCAGCCGGAGGAGGAAGAAACCCTCGAGTCGATCATCGATCATGGCACCAAGTTTCGCGAATATGTGGCCCAATACATCAATCCGGTGATGTCTAGCCCAGAGGAACTTACCACGCAGCGCTTCTACCTTCGAAAGCTGGAAGGCGCCGAGATCCTTCTTTCGAATGAGATCAATTTCTTCCGCCAGGAGTTACACAAGTGGGCACCAGTTGCTCCCGCTCCGCCACCCATTCTTAACGTATCCCTCTCGACACGGAAGCCGCGGCCTACGAAGCAGCAGAAGTTGATGAATCAGCTCGGAATCACGAATCCGGATGATCTGCCTTCGCACCTGCGCACAAAAACGCATCAGTTCAAGCAGCGGAAGTCTTTGGATCCCACTAGGCCCCAGAGCCTCCAGCCGGCGCCCGAGCAATCGCACACGCCGCCAGGAGAACCACCGGAGATGCGCCGTGGGTTCGGTGACCAAGACTACTTCAACTCTGCTGCTTCTACTACCAGCTACAACAACTCTCCGACGTTCGCCACGAGTGCACCGTTAAGCTTTGGCGCTAGCTCGTCTATTCAGCCTATCGACCCTGGCTTGTTCGAGGGTGCCGGGCAGGCACCTGCTAGCCCAATACAGGATCCATTCAAGAGCTCTGGCAGCGGACAAGAAATGTTCGGCGAGGTAATGGAAGCCGGCGGTGGTCAAGCGGAAGAGGCTCTTGCCGTCACGGAGGGGAACAGCTACATGGACTAGGCGTCCTGATACATGGCTTCCCGCGGACACCAACGCATGAACGGGGAGCCCCGGTTTACGGACTCTACATTCTTCATTCACCATTCACAGCATCCTAGGGTGGCGTTGTGGTACACTGGCGTCTCCTTGCCAGCTTCGATATCCCAAAACTTACGACACGACACGATACCGACTTCATTCTTCATCGGCAGCGCCCGCTACCGCTGTACAACATGTCCCTTTATACTTTCCACTTTTCTCTTCATGGGGTCATGTCTGCATTTGTCTTGTGCATAATGCACTTGTTTCTTCTGTTTTCCATAGACGGAGTCATTCGGGCTCAACGGACTGCTTCGGCGGCTCTGACGCCCAGGTATGGGGTTTTGCATTGTATTCTACCATGTCCCATGGTCAAGGTTTATGTGTTACGTGTTCTGCACGGATGGTGTTTCTTCTCTGGTTATGCTGATAGCAATGGAAGTCACGATGAACTCTGGGGTAGATGTGTATGTGGTGTTCTGTATTTCCATAGTCAGTGGATGAATGGATAGTCAGCATTCGATCATTGAATCTTGCGCATGTAAAGTCTACCTAAGTACCTAAGGTAGGACGTGTTGTGCTTGTCCACCGCGTGCTCGCGCTTAAACCGCCTTGTGGCGCTAATGCGGGCCGGAGGTCTTGGCGCGTCCATCTTTTTCGAACTTCGAGCTCCATAGCCAGCTTCGGACGGCATATCACCATGCTTCCAAGCAGAGGGCTACGGCCCGCACAATTCGTTCCTTTAACTTCTCGTCAGTCTCTAACTATACGCTCCAATGCGTCGAGAAAGGTGCGTAACCCCCGATCTCCGCTCCAATTGGAAAGCTCCGCTTCCCTCCCTCGGATCATGGTCTCCTGTGTCTGGCGCCGAGCGATGGTTGTTGCGCGCCCTGCGGAGCAGCAATGCCGACAATTGCATTGCATTCGAGCGTCTCAAGCTGATCGTGCCTGCAGTTTTCCTCGGCTGCACGCAAGGTAGTCGGATCCGCATCGTCACGCCGGCCGAACCCACTCCAGTCCGCAAACTGGCGAACCGGCGCCACGGCTTCTCCCAATGTCCTCCTCATCGCATCCACCGTCCGCCACGGCTCGTGGTATGCGCCCTGGACCTGGAGTCGCTCCAGCACACCGTCCGATGCCAACCCTGCCACGCCTTCCGATCTCGCCGCAACGTCCCCTGCTGCTCCCGAGCCTGTCTTTACCACCGAAACGCCGGAGCTTTCCCCCGCTGGCATAGGCAAGGACCCCGTCGTCGAGAGCACATCCGTAGCTTCGGATCCTAAGACAGTGGAAGAGCTCCTCGGTCTTGACCCTGCGCCGCCTGTTCTGGATACGACGCCGGTGCTCGACCCCGCTATGACCGTCACATACTGGGGCCAGCTCAAGGACCTGGGACTCGACTATGGGTGGGGGCCCTCGTCCTTCTTTGAGAACCTGATGGAGCTCAGCTACCTCAATACGGCTTGGGGATGGGGTGGCTCAGTTATTCTTTCGGCAGCACTGTTACGCGTCATATTGTTCTATTTCCAACGCCGAGGATCAGACTCTATGGCCAAGCTCGCTGCTATGAAACCCGTCCTGCAGCCTTTGCTAGAACGGATGGAGGAAGCGAAACGGCAAGGCAACGATGAGATGGTTCAAGCGCTCAAACTGCAGCAACAGGGCATCATGAAGGAAGTCGGCGCAGATATATTCAAGAATTTGGGTACGCCAATTGCTCAGGGAGTGTTTGGATTCGGCGCCTTCCGATGCCTCAGAGGCATGAGCAACCTACCGGTCCCGGGAATGAGTACCGACGGCTGGCTGTGGTTCACCGACCTCACCATTCCGGACCCTATCTACATTCTCCCAGTGCTGACGGGCGGCCTTATGTATGTGATACTGAAGGTGTGTTCCGCCGCTCTCGCACGACGTTTACGACAGCTTGCTGATTTCTAATTCCGCAGATGGGTGGCGAGACGGGTATGTCTACCGAAGCGAGCATGTCCAGCCTGCAGAAGCAGATGCAGATCGGTATGCCCATCGTCATGACGTTAGTCACTACTTGGCAGCCAGCGGCCGTCCAGGTCTACTTCCTCATTTCCGCCTCTCTCGGCGGCATCACTGCGTATTGCTTAAAGCAACCTGGCTTCAGACGCTTGGTCAGAATCCGTCCACTACCTACCCCAGAAAGCCACAAACTCTACAGTAAAGTCGTGAAGGGCGAGGTTGAGCTCAGCGCCATCCGCGGCGCAGATGGCAAGATCCGCTACCAAGCTCCCAACGCTGCCCGCACCACCACCTCTTCCTCCGGCAGCGGACCTGCATCTACTGCGCGCGGAATCAATCTTAAAGCCGGTACCGCTTTGCCCCCTCACATGCGCAAGGCTGCGCCCAAGGTTGACAAGGAGTACCAGGACCGAGACGTCGACTATGAGGAGGGGATGCCGAAGGAGGGTGGGGTTGGCAAGAAATGGGATTGGATCAAGCGGAATTATAGACCAGGATTTATTGCGAAGAGGTTGTCTGGTATTATGGATTCACGAGATCCGAGTGTGAAGGCGGCGCAGGACAAGAAGGAGAAGGCGAAGCAGAGGGCGAGAGCGTATGAGCTGGAGAGGAAGAGGAGACTTGAGAATAGGCGGTAGAACAAGCTTATGGTCTCTAAGGGGGTGTATGTATGATAAGGGGCTTCGAGTATCGCGTTAGTAGAGATGGCCCTACCAGTACCTAAAAGAGCATTGGATGGGAGATGGCATTGTAGTTATATAGACGGTTGGAACTTCTTGTACAAATACCTACTACTCAGAACACTACAGCTCTTGCACTTGTCTACATCGGTCTGGAGATTTTTGATTTGATCGCCTCCCTGAACGCCGCGCGCTCAGTCCGGCCTGACTGGATACGCTCTATGTACAGTACAGATGCTGATTGCTCACTCTCCTCCTCGTTCTCCACCCCTACACAAAGCACCTCGCACAGAGGACAGCTCGACTACTCCAGTGACGTGTACATGTCCATCTCCCGTCCACTTCTCCGCCGGCGCTCCACGGGGTCGGGCCGCATCTCCACGCCGGGCCCTACGCGCCGGGAATCGGAACGATTAGTAGGAAATATCTAGATTGCAATCATTAACCCCCATATCCTCAGTATATGTATATGGACGATGGCTAGTACGTACCTTTGTCCCCGACCACCCCAATCTAAACGCTACCTCGTTCGCCACCAGCTCGCCGAAGCCCAGCATCAGCCCGTTGATGAACGGCAGCACTAGGTTTATCGTCGCGCCTCGTATCAGGCCCCACAGCGTCGGCGGCTTGTATAGTATCAGCGGCGCGGACGAGGACGACGGCGGCGAGGGGGATAGTTCGTGGTTCGCGTCGTAGTTCTCGCTGTCGGAGCGGATGGTTATGCCGGACTCGGCGAGGGGCTGGGCGGCGCCTGGGCGCGGGGGCGAGGACGAGGAGGCCATTGTTGGGGAGGGCGTGGAGGAGAGCTGGGTGTAGTGCAATGGATGCCCCACGGCGGCCGAAGGAGGTGCGCTTCCGAAGACGGAGAGGGATGTTGAGTTGTGCGTTAAGCGCAATGGTGGACGCAGGGGCTGGCGGTCGAAGCGGGCTCGATGGAGAGGGAGAGGGAGGCGCGACGGCGCTCCAGAGCGCGCGTGGGAGTGACGGAAGGGGTTCCGAGGTTGGATGGCTGCAGCGAGGTTAGACTGAGGCGCTGGAAGTTCGATACCGGCCGCCAAGCATCGGAGCTATGATCTCGGGCGGAATGGGCTCATGCACTCACTCGTTTCGTGTGCACAGAGTTGCAATGACGTATGCGGGCAATTGCAGTGAAAGAGAAAGTTCGCCGCGGACGAAGGAGCAAGGAGCTGTTTGCTGCGGATATTGTGTGACGGGCGCCTGGCCAATGAGCGTGCGCGCGACGTCAAGGCCGCAGCCCGCCATCAGACCCCACCACCGAAGCTACAAAACACGACCTCAGCTTCGAACAACACCACAACCCGCCTTCTCTCACCTGAGGCATCACCTGCTATGTCTTCAGGCCCGCCCGCCAACCAGGACGCACTCATTGCTGAGCTCGCAAGCTTGACCGGTCTAGCTCCGACAGAGGTACGTCGAAGCACGTAGAATCCCGGAGCTTCTGACTAACGCGGCTACAGGCTGAACAGTACTTGAACGCAGGCAACTGGGACATCCAGACCGCTGCAACACTCTACTTCGACCAAGCCGCGCCCGAAGAGGGAGAACCGGACGTAGATATGGCAGGCGACGACGAGCCCCAGAATCCGAACCCCAACCCGCCGCAACAGCAACAGCCTGGTGGCGGACGCACGCTTGCAGGCGCCTATGTGCCTCCAGACCCGTCTGAAGCATCCTCGTCGCGAGGAGCAGCTAGCGGTAGTCGGCAACCACAGCGAGGGGGAATGGGGACGCTGCGGGACTTGCAGTCGTCGGGCGCCGGCCGGGGACCCAGTCACGACGACGGCGACCATGGCTCAGACTCGGACTACCAGGATGACGAGAACCAGGACTTCTTTGCCGGTGGTGAGAAGTCGGGCCTCGCGGTGCAGAACCCTGGGGCGAATAATCCGCGAGACCAGATCAACAACATCCTCCGCCGTGCGCGACAGTAAGTGCGGCAGGATCCGCTAGTACTTTGCGCAGGCTAATCGAGTACAGGAATGCCCCTCGACCCGGCGGTGACGACGAGCAGCCTTCCTCCCACTTTCGGGGCGCTGGCATGACACTGGGTGGCGACGATGCTCCCTCTCGCGTCATCCCCGATCCTATCGCCAGCGTCCAGCAACCACCTCCGCGGGCACACCGCGAGCTGCATCTTTGGCGAGATGGCTTCTCCGTCGATGACGGCCCTCTCTTCCGCTACGACGACCCCGCCAACGCCCGCACGCTCGAGATGATCAATACCGGCCACGCCCCGCTGCACATTCTGAACGTCGAGCACGGCCAAGAGGTGGATGTCGAGGTGCACGCGCATAAAGACGAGGACTACGTGAGGCCGAAGAAGAAGTACGTTCCCTTTTCCGGTGCTGGCCAGCGTCTCGGTAGTCCCACTCCCGGTGCGATTGCGGTAGCGGCCCCTCCTGCAGCGGCTGCACCCTCCGGTGCCACTGCATCCTCGGCTGCCTCCGGCGCTGCGCAACCATCCGTCGACGTCGACTCTTCGGCTCCCATCGTCACGCTTCAGATTCGGCTCGGAGACGGTACACGCCTGCAGTCGCGCTTCAACACGACGCACACCATCGGCGATGTATACGACTTCGTGAATGCAGCGAGCCCCGCCAGCCAGCAGCGAGCGTACGCGCTCATGACGACCTTCCCGTCGAAGGAGTTGACCGACAAGTCGCAAGTGCTGGGCGACATGGCAGAGTTCAAGCGCGGCGGCGTGGTGGTGCAGAAGTGGACATGAGGATGTACAGGGATGATGGTGTTCATTGGTGCAGCACCGATGTTTGATGGAGACAGTTTGTGGGGATCAGAGAGGGTCTGGCCCAATGCGGCTCTCGAACCGCGGTGATCAGCCTCATTTTGATTGCGGCTCCACGAGCTTTCCGTCTCGAAAATTTCAACATTTGCCTCCCGGTGGGTATGGCGCGATGGTACCTCGTAGCATTAGAATTCGGCGTGGATATGGGCTTCGGACTGATCATGGGCCGGTATCTTAGCATGGCTTTGTCTAGCGGGTTATTCCGAATGCAGTGTGCGCTGCCAGATGAATCATGAGTGGCCATTCCCGCTGTAGCACTGCAGCTGTCACTATCACGTTTGGCAACTCTAGTAGTCTTTGGCCCCAGTAAATCTACCAGTATTCAACAATCCGCGCACGACGCTAGAGATGCAGTGACCGCAACCTGTCAAGAAATCCCACGCGGCTCGCTGACAGGAGGAAGGCAGAATCTCCGGTGGCACGATGCAGTGCAATCTATCATTTCTTATCTGGCAGTCTGGCCACACGCAGCGCATGCACGATGGCGTCGTAGCCCGGTACTGTAGTCGGGTACTGGCAGCATTCTCACATGCGAGGCGTGTGCTTTAGATAAATGAGGATGCGACAGGGTGGGGATGGCGATCATGTCGGTTCACAGTCCGGCGAGAGAGAGCAGCAGAAGAGCGGACTTCCAGAAATACAAACTGGACCAGGGGCCCGGCGGGCTGGTTGGTGCATGAAAATGAGCGGATCGTCAGGCATTCGGGGGGCCAAGCGGGCGATTGGTGGTCTTGGTGCAACGCGTGTCTGGACGATGCGGCGGGCGGTCGAAACGCCGAGCTCTGCGGCTGTCGATCGCGGGCGCCAGTTCCGGGCTGTGACTGGCGCCGGCCCCTGCCACGCCTGGGGGTGTGTAACGCGTAAGATGGGCGGCGGGTGGGTCCAGGGGATGGGTAAGAGGGCAAGAGAGCGACGCCTAGTCAAGCGGAAATAACCCACCCGCTCCCGCACCACGGTACCCTTTCCTCTCCTACATCTCTTGGCTCCTCGCCCTCCGCTCACACCTACGGAAAGTGAAACGGACGGACTCTTCTTTCTCCTTCTCGTCAGCTTCCGTTTTCTTGCTATTTCGGGGTCTCCGTGGGATTGCACCTGTTTCACTCTGGTAGCGGATTCACCATCCTTGCGGCGTCGCCCAGTGACGAGTGACGTCTTTGCCTTTTCCTTGCTTTCTCTTTGTCGTCGACCTCCTAGCTGCTGTATAGCTCTTTTCGAAAGAAGCGATATCGAAGTGCTATAGCGGCATCGATTCACTATACGTTTTTTTGTTACTGCATCGAGCATTCACCAGCTCCGGCAAGCGATGCAGTGGTCCGCTCCTTAGGCAGGATCAGAACGAGCTCGCGAGTCACATCCAGCAGCCGACTTCCGTTGGCAGAAGCCGCGTTATCCGAAGATGCTAGTTCGATCGCCCCGCAAGCTCGCCGTTCTCTCCTTCATCGCTTTTGTATTTATCCTCGCCGTATGGCACCAGAGTCCGTGGTCGGGCGCCAATGTGTACGAGCAGATCCCGCTGTTCAGCGGGCCCAAGTCAAAGCCAGATCAGAGTCAGAGTCCAGAGCAGAATGAGGGGAGCACGAAGGTGCCCGATGTTGTGGACCCCGAGCTGGCGGCGGGAGGGACGGGGTCGCTGCACCCGCAAGAACCACACAAGCCTAGCCCTCCGTGGGTGACGGCACCTTCGAAGTCGAGTCCGCTAGTCCATCCCTCGCCACGACCGACGAATCTCAGGGAGTATATGAAGGAGATGTTGAACTGGCATCGCCCGTCGTGGAACGGGCATTGGCCGCCGTTTGGGGATTATATCAATAAGGACTACGACCCTAATCGGTGGGAGGAGTTTGACATGTGAGTGCAACTGGATTCGGGTCAGGTAAGGAAAGGCAGGCTAATGTATGCCAGGGACTATCGGCCTTATTCCGCTGGACATCATAAGCTTAATGGCACCGTTGCCTCGAATCCGGTCGCTTACGAGCCGTTTCCCGACTACAACTCCGTCGAGTGGGGGAAGAGATGGAAAGGTGAATACGTGGCTTGCGAAGGTCCAAGAGGCGTTCCCCTGAACATCAGTGCGGATGATGAGGTGCAGGTCTATCAGGGAGTTCCACCAGGCTTCCCGAAGGTGTTTGCTGGTGGCTACGACGTCATTGGTCTAGACGATGACGTTTGCTTCGACCGTTACTCGCGATACGGTCCATATGGGTATGGCGACGATATGTTTCCCGAGGATGTCAAGGACTGGAAGGCGCCCAAGACTGTTCCGGAGTGGCATGAGGTGAGATGGGGAGAGCTTCAAGATGAGTGCTTGGAACGCAATAAGAATCGGTATCGACCAGAGGCCAGGACCCCGATCATGAAGATACCCAGCACCACGCTTCCCGCAGCTGCATCCGCCTCCTCGGCTTTTGCGATCCCCACCGATACTGCCAGGGGGAATATGGAAAACAGGGATACGAATGTGCCGAAGTATCATCACCGCACTGCAGTTCTCATCCGCGCATGGACTGGCTACAAATACGAGGAGAACGACATTACCGCGATCCGCGCCATGATTTCCGAACTTTCCCTCAAATCCGGCGGCGAATACCAGGTCTTCCTCTACGTGCATGTCAAGGACAGAAACAAGCCCATTTTCGACAATCAGACGCTATATGATGAGATTTTGAGGGAAAATGTCCCAGAAGAACTTCGCGATATCGCATTGCTATGGTCCGAATCTATTTTCCCCAAATGGTACCCAGCAGTTGGGGATTGGCAGGTCTATTGGATGCAGTTTATGTGTCTGCAGTGGTTTAGCATCACACATCCGGAATTCGACTACGTCTGGAACTGGGAGACGGACGCGCGATATACAGGCCACCACTACCATTTCTTTGAGAAGATCTCGGAATTTGCGGATAAGCAGCCCAGGAAGCTGCTCTGGGAGAGGAATAAGCGGTACTATCTTCCCAGCCTGCATAACAGTTATCAGGAGTTCGTGGAGAATACGCATAGAGATGTCCTGAATGCGTCGGCACATTCGTTGATTCCGGCGCCGGTATGGGGCCCACGACCATGGGCGAGAGCCAATCCGCCTCAGAAACCGCTCGGACCTACGCCGCCTACGACCTTTGAGGAGGATAACTTCGAGTGGGGTGTCAATGAGCCTGCGGACTTCATTACTCTTCTGCCCATGTGGGATCCTCGCAATACGAGCTGGTCGTACAAGGATAAGATATGGAACTATCTCCCGGGCGTCCGACCGATCTTCACCGCGCAAGACGGCGCTGCCGACTGGTTCACGCATCCTGACTTTGTCACTATCGACCGTCGCGTCTTCATCAACACCGTGGTACGATTTAGCAAGCGCATGCTACAGGCTATGCACGAAGAAAACTTGGTGGGTCGCAGTATGCAAGCGGAGATGTGGCCTTCAACCGTCGCCCTTCAACATGGTCTCAAAGCTGTCTACGCCCCGCATCCCATATTCAACGACCGGCACTGGCCTGCCGCTTATGCAGAAGGCATTTTTGACACGGCCTCAACCATCGACCCAACAACCGGCGGTGCCGTCGAGAACGTCCAGGGCGCGTGGACAGAGCAAGCGGATAGCCCGTATAATCACGATAGAGAGTACAACTTCCAGGGCTGGAGCTGGTACTACGCGAGCAAATTCCCCCGAGCGCTATATCGGCGGTGGTTGAACTGGCCGATGATCAAGCAGAACTGGGGCGAGGAAGAGAGAATCGACGGCGGGCCCGGCCAGGACGGGAAGCTAGAGGAGAGGCGGATGTGTATGCCGGGGATGCTGTTGCATCCCGTGAAGCGGATGAGCAGGGATAAGGTGAAGCCTTGATCTACGACTATCTGAGGCGCATCTTGTTGTAAGAAGAAGAAGCAACATCAACGACGAGAAACAAGCGATGGGGAAGAAAGAGAAGCAACACGAGCGGCGGCAAAAGTCCCTCAAGAGGAGGACTACTACTACTTTCCAGCATCTTCGCATTCTGCATCGCATACATACCCGACATATGATGGTTTTCTTCTATGTCACTTTTCCTTGCATCCGGGGTTTTTTTTTTTGGAAATCAAAGAAAGCGCCTGATATTTTTACACTATGTCGGCTCGGGCTGACTGGCGCTGCGCAGCGCACAGCAACGCTAAAAGTTTTTTTAGAGCGGGCTTTTTGCTTTTTACTATTTGGCGAACGGGGTTGTGTATGTGATAGGATGCGTGGATGGTGGTGTATGTGTATGTGGGTGTGGGTGTTCAAGTGCTGTGTGGGAGAGGGATATCCTGCTTGGACAGGATGGGATAGAATAGAACAGAATAGGACAGAATAGGGGGAGGTTTGTATGGGGTATGGTCGGTGCAGTATATACAGTGTGTAGAGAATATACTGGGCGTGAATGCCATTTAAGTCCATTTTAATGTTCTACTCTGCTGGGATGAGCTGTGGGTGGTGAAGAAGCTAGACTTGTTGGGCTTAGCGCGGATTCCGGGTTGCGCTTGCCCGACCTCCGCCGCACTCTTCATCCTTCGACTTCATTGTCTTCGTGTCTCTGCTTCTTTGGCTATCTGCTCCTCGTGCTGTCCGATTATTGTCATCGCTTCTCTACAAAATGCGGGTTCTAGGGCACTCGGCGAGAGTCGTTTCTGCGACCGGATGGGTACATACCGATTTTCCAACCCGAGTGCATCTCTGGAGTCCCGCATCATCCTGATCAATTTTCCGTCGACGCCTCGGGACCGCACGTGGATGATGAGGGGATCAACCATCCCGCCATGCTATCGGAGTAGTGGAGACGTATCCGGTTCCTCCGTTGATCGCGGGGCTGCGTTCTACTCGGGGTTTCCTCTCTGTGGGTTGTACGGTACGGGACAGGAACGCTGCTGAGCCTGGAGGACTCTTCCAGGCTTGAAAGGCGCGACTGCAGCTTTACTGGTTAGCAAACGAGGCAAACGTCTTCGCCAACGCCGCCAGCGCACGGAATGTTGAACTCTTGCGTTCACCAGTCCAAGCCTCGGAGGGGAGGGCACGATGCATGTGAGTGGACGGTAAGCGAGGGCGAGAGGCGTGGCGCAGGGCGTGCAGGACGTCGCCCTTATCGGCCCTGTGCGGCTCTACATCGTGCCTTCCTTTCGAGGCCCCGAATATGCTTTCATCCAATATCCTTCTAACCACGTCGCTAGTTTCAGCATCGTCCACGACCGCTCACGACGCAAAGCTAGTTCACTCACGCCGATCTATCTGATATCAACACAGAAAGCTCGTTCTTGTAAAACCTACCTCCAGGGTATCTTAGCCTTGTGCCGAAATTTGAGACGCGAGTTGACTGGTTGCAGTGCACTATCGAACGTTGACCCTGCCGCAGTACCGAGAATAGCATCCAACTGCTGCCACCCAGAAAATGTCATTCCAGAACCAAGACGCTTCCGCTCCGTTCCCGGAGTACTTCCCAATGGACAACTCGCAGAGTCTCGTAAGCGTCTTCCCGAGGTGCCCTGACCGCACGGCCTGACTCATATAGTGCTACTCCTCTGATGCCTCCAGCTCGTTGCTTCCCAGCTCACTTCCAGATTCTGGCTTCTACGACACTGAGCTTACAGCCTCCGATCATGGGAAACAAACGGCTGGCTCTTCCGAAGGTCTCGTCGAATGGCAGGACCTTATCCTGAGCGTGTGGTACGCCAATAATCAACGACTGGCTAGCGATACTGATGTCATTCTTTTTCGCGGTCTCTTGAAGGCTCCCCAGTATCTCATCAAGACTCGCCTCCGCCAGCTCTTCGAAGACGACGAGGAAAGGGATGACGCGCATAGCAATCACGTACGCGGAAGGTACACTGCGAATCCGTACACTGAAGAGAGGGGCGCGCCTTCCCATGTCGTCAAGAGCGATCAGCAAGAAACCTGTTCATTCGCCCATCAACTGAAGCCTGACGGCAGCAGCCAGCAATTTGTGAATACCAACACTCATACGACGGCTCCTTGCGATGTCCGTACAGCTGGTAATACTGTTCAGAGCCAGCAAAACCTCGCGAACGATATCGCCAGGCTCCCGCTCAAGGGGGATTCGGTTTCCTCGATTTCCTGGCTTCCGGCTGCAGATGTACTTGTAGGCCAAAGTTATACTGCTGCATTGAACCTTTCTGGTGACATGCCTTCGAAATCTGCCGCAGAAGTGTTGAGAACTGGCATCGACAACACGGACGGCTCAATTTTTCATCGCGGCGTTTCTGCACAACAGAGCTTTGTGAATGAACCGATTAGCGACCCGGGCCTACTTCACGTTGATCACTCCATCGTGCTGGCCTCAGCCTTGGTCCCGAATAGGCCGCGTGTTAATATGACTGCGAGCCTGCGCGCTGCCATCGTCAGATTCATCGACACTAGGAGAGCGAAAGGATGCCAGGCCATTCGCAGTCATGAGAAACAAGCCGGAATCTACGAATGTACCCTCAAGTGCCAGAGGCGCTTCAAAACATCAAACGATTTATTTCGGCATGAGAGCACAATCTTCCCCCAGGACTTCTGGTTCTGTACTAGATGCGGGGATCTGGACAGTGCCTCCGAACGGTATCTGTTTACAAGGGAAGATAAGATGCGCCAGCACAATAAAATCATCCACAATGACACTAGATCTATCGTCGACTGCAAGGTACCGAACGCGCCTAAGATATTTCCAGAAAGGTGTAGCCTTTGTACTCACCACCGGCATCGAAACTGGAAGGATCGTTGCAAGCACACCATATGGCACTACAAGAGAGGGGATGCATTACCAAAATGTCTCCATACTCCTGACGAAGACACTACGGAGAGTGGCGGGCCCCCAGGAGACGATGATGATGACGACGATGACGGCAACGATTCTCAAGACGGTAACGATGATGATCCTCCTACAGACGATGGCGGTGGTTTTAATACCGGCAACGATGAGCTTCCACCAGATAATCACGATGGCAACGATGGCTCCGATTCTCCAGATCCTCCAAATGCACCGGATGACTTTAGCAGTCTTCTCAACTGGGACCTTGACTCCTTGTGGAGACTCCAAACTACTGTTTACCTGTCACCGATTTCGACATCGGCTGCTCCGAACATTTCACAATCCTCCTCACAGCCAGTTTCCATTCAATGGAAGGAGAGGGTTAACCAGAAAGGCGGCACTGCCTCTGTGTTCAGTGTCGAGGTCTCTCTGGATGACCACGATGATTCTCCAGATGCAAAACCCCGATCGCGCGTCGTCAAGCAGTACCCCTCCCAACATCACCGCTTATTCGAGAAAGAGCTAGAGGCTTTCGCCATACTAAGCGAACAAGAACCGCATCCGAACATCATCAGATGCTTCGGATCCTTTGAGTTGTCAGATCGCGCTGGAGGAATGACACACAATATCCTCCTTGAAGACGCCCAATGCGACCTTTTCGAATACTTTGCCGATACGGTACCACCGACTACGCCCGCTGAGATCTTTGGATTCTGGTCTCAGTTGTTCGGCATTGCTTCCGCACTAAAGAGAATCCATGAACCTCACGAAACTGCTGTAGGTTGGCATGCTGATGTGAAGCCAGACAATATACTTTTCATCGATAGCGAGTTCAAGCTCGCCGACTTTGGCTTTTCACAGTTTGCAAGACGTCCGGACAGGGAGAAGACTAGCAACGCCATCATCGGGGGCACAGCTACATACGGTATGGCACAACAAGGAAGACTGAAAAGGCCCATAACTGACGAGCTTAGCTGCGCCGGAGTTGAATTGCTCCGTATCCATCGATATTCCTGCCCTTGCCGCCCCAAAGATGGACATCTGGTCGTTTGGATGCGTGTTATCCATGGCAATTACGTACGTGCTCTCAGGTTTCCAAGGAATACAGTACTATGAGGAGCGTCGTAAGCGCGCATCTGAGGCGACTGGCCGCGAGCTGAAAGCACGATTCCATGACGGAAGCCAAGTTCTCGCCGAGGTCAAAGCATGGCACAATCGCTTGCGCGGCCGCATTCGGAGTCACGATTACGTGACAGGAATGATCCTGGATCTTGTCGATGATCATCTTCTTCAAGGCGACCCGGCACTGCGATTCGATTCGAAGCAGCTACACGAACGTCTAGACCGGATCTTACGAGAAGCTAAGGAGAGCCAGGGAAAGGCAGATAAAGTTGCAGACCACCCAGAGCATTGCTCTCATGTCTGCGAAAGAGTAGACGTCGGTCAGTGTTTGAGAAACGACTCTCAGGAGGACGTAAAAGTCGACATTGATGACCTTCACTCAGCAGACTCAGGATCAGCAGCGCGCACCAACATACTGTCCTGCGACCCGTCCCGCTCAGCGAATCTACCCACCCTCAATTTTTTGATTGGCAGATGTGTCCTACGTGATTCGACAAGGGACAACGTATATATTGCGGAAAAGCCGCTAGAGTTCTCCTGCGCCGTTGACGATGTTGGCGCTGCCACCAACACTATCAAATTCGCCAATACGAGCTTTCGGAACCTAAATACTTATGTGGAGGGTTCTAAGAGAGCCGAAACTAGGGTCAAGGTCGAAAGGCTTCTGGGCCTCATCATGGATCAGTATCTTGCTGGTCGCCAGGAGAAGCGAACGATGATATATGTTTTGCCCGAGAGTGCTTCGGATGTCGGAAAAGTTGAAGCTGTAGAAGAGATAATTGGGAAGTTCTGGCGTTCACCGCGTCGACGTGCCAGCAAGAACAATCTCCGAATATGCTTCATTCAGTTTGGAGACGACCTGGATGGGACCAGGAGGCTGCAGCAGGTGGCGAAACACTATCCGTAGGTCTTCTATGTCTGCTCCACAGGAAGCTCACTCACTAACCTCTGCGTAGGTTCGTCAGTGTCCTGGGAGGGGACACCGAAGATATTCCTCGGCGAGCTTTCTTCCTCTACTGGAATGGCATTATTTGGGAATGGATCAAGGACTTCGAACATGGCAACCCCCACCATCGATACCGCTATTATCCGCACAGTAGTGACGGCCTAGACTCCAGTTGGTCGAGATCGCTCGAAGACCATTGCGAAAGGCTAGTTCATACCAGGAAAAGGCGCTGCGTTGAGTCCGTAGATAAGGACGCTGCCCTGCCCTGATCCTGGGAAGAAGACCAAAAAGGAGTTATCTGTAGACCAAGAAGAAGTCCCAGAGATAACTTCCTCTTGGTCGGGAGATGACTTCTTCTTTCGTTGCTCTTCCCTCCGGTCTACTGATGTCATGTACTTTTCTCCCTTCGGGGTTCTAACGGGATTGCGGCCCTTTGGGGGCTAGTGAGGATCATGGTCGTGTCTTTTTCTCCCATATCACCATGTTCATTATCACCCTCCTATGTGCTAACGTCTGTCATTGCATCACCATGCACTTTTACACAGGTTCAACGCGCAAGCTCAAATTTCCACACCAACCAAAGAGCAGCTCGCAGTCAAAATACAAGTGTCACCCAACTTCCCCACTCCCTCCCTCCCTACTCCCCATCCCAAGGCCGCCCCTCCCTCACCGCCGCCGGCAAATCCCACCTCACCCGCCTCAACTCCTCCTCACTAACACCCGCCAGCACATCCGCCATCCCCGCATAATCCACCACCCGCCCGCCCTCCACATGCCTGCTCTCGCTATACTCTCCCACCTGCCTCTCCCGCGTCCACGCGTGCAGGGCGTCGAAGTCGCGGCACCGGTGGTAAGTGTCCATGCGCAGCAGCATGTACTTGCGCTCCGGCATCCAGGTGAAGGGGATAGGCGCGATGTCGGCGGAGCATTGCAGTGATTGGCGGAGGCTTTCTATGCAGTGGTCTGAGGGGCGGGGTTAGTGGGTGGGGAAGTGGGAGGGGAAGTAGGAAAGAGGGGGAAAGGGGAAGGAGGGGAGGAGGTACCGATGTGCACCCAGCCGAGCATGTTGAGCGTGCCGTTGGGGTGCCACATGCCCATGCCGCGGTAGCGCTGCGGGTAGAAGGAGCGGCGGAGGACGTTCTGCCGCAAGGCAGCGCATGTTAGTGGGAGATTTTTTTTTGTGGGGGAGGGGGGTGGACTGACGAGGCAGTGCAGTTGGTGGAATACATCTGCTCGAGGAGTATAGTTAGCCAGTCAGTCAGTTCATGCTAGGTATATGTAGTAAGGAAAACAAGATCTGCGCGAAACGCAACGCACCAATCCCAACCATATAATCCTCCTCCCAGCCGTCGACGGTCAAATGCGCCGTCTTGTTCGGCAGCCTGTGCGCTTCGGTCTTGGGTACGCGGACGGGCATGTCTTTGCGTCCATCAAATGCGTCAGATCGATGCTATCATCTTTCAGGGCCAGAAGGGTCCAGGGGACTTACAGCGATACAAATCCGTCCACAGCTCATCCTTCTTGTCCGTCGGCCAGCCCATGTACGCGCTCATATCCGTGATGAAACCCTTCTTGAACGCTGCGTTTTTGTACCGGACCGCGTCGTTTAGAGGCGCTATAAGCTTCCGTAAGTCCCTGACTGCCGTTGATGTGGATAGGATACTAGGAGGTAGGCGTACAGTATAAGCCTCTGAGGCTGGGGTCCTCGCATTGCGTAGTGGTATTTCTGGCCACGAGAGATATTAGAGAAATTAGGAACACTGTGTTCACGATGTATAGTGAGAGTAGAATTGGCTCGCGACGAGCCCGGGCGAGCCAGGAGTGGTTTTGCGTTGGTGCGTCGGAATATCGCTCGAGGAATGTGTCGTGCTCGGTGGAAAGGGGAGAGTCCGGTGTAGAGGAGGAGGGCTGCTCGAAACTGGGCTTTTCGCGGAGGGGGGAGTATTTGGGTGTCCGAGAGGACATGGTGGCCGCTCTGTGTATGGCTCAAGTAGAATAGCAGGAAGGCGGACGGTTTGGGACGGTGCTTGCGACGTGGTGTGTATGTATGTGACTGAGAGCCGGTGAGTAGAGGCAGAAAAATTTGTCCAGGGAGCAAGGAGCTCCAGACTGGTGGGCAACGCGATACTCATCTTCCGTTTAGGGAGCTGATACGAAGATCGAGGGCGTTACTGATGGGGTGCTGGGGTGAAGGATGCTGGACCCTGTCGTGATGATGCAATCCACCTCTGAGTCTTTATTAGCCTTTTCATGTGGACTAGACACTGCTACTTTGGTAAATCAGGCAGCGTGGTTATCTGTCTGCACAGTAGCTCCGCTACCATACCTTCCCGTGTAGTGCTGCTATCACTGACCAAGGAATGCCATGCTTCCTTCCACTATGAGTGAGACTATTGGATGCGGGGTAGCTAGCACGATCGATCCTGATGCCTCGATCTACCAACGTGCTCAAAGAATGGCATCTTCAAGGGGAAAGATCGATCCTCCTCCATCTATGAAAGTCTGCACGGCAACGGAGTATCCGTCCGCATACTTGGGAAACCAATTTATTTCCCGCTATCCAATACGATCTGTTAGCATCCAACCAATAGAGCCAGGCAAACGATATGCTAACCGTTGGTGTGTAACATGCGTAGACGCAAGATATGCCCAACCTAGGCTATCTCGCGTGCTCAAATCTGCATATGCAAGGTCAGCAAGCAATTCGGGGACCGGAGTACAGAACCACACGCTCGACAATCACACCGCCCGCATCAATGGACTTCCTATTTCCATTGCAACTACATATAACCCTGCATAACTTAGATTAAAGTTATTACTCCAAGAGCGGGGGAGCGGGAGGGGCGGTTTCCGCGGCGGGAGGCGCCGGGGAGTTAAGTGGATACACTGCAGGACAATTGGCTTAGCTTGACGTCTAGTGGAGCAGAGGTAAAACACAGTGTTACCGGCTGGGATGCTTAGAGGTCCATGTGTGTACCTGTACTCAATGGCTATGAGTAGATTGGTGAGGCATTGAATGTATCGCTGCTTTCGGACCGATCTTGCGACGCTTGCGGATCGTCACTCTACCGCATGCGATATCGCGTGGAAGGATTGAGGAAGGATCCACTACGTTGCTTCGGCATCATTTGTCCTGGAGATCTATCAGTCAATGGGTTGGTCAGCAATTTCGAACGCCTTGGCTGCTTTCTACTTGCGTGGATAGAGAGCAAAAGAAAGATAGTTCCATGCGAGTGCATCCATCCGCATATTGGTACTGGATAATGTCGGATTTGCAGCTTCTATGAGCAACCGGCCAAGGTACAGGGTGGCATCACTGACCGAGGAAGGAGAAACTGCGTAGGCTTGTTAGACATAAAGGGGCGCCCATCGCTCAATCCTGTCTCCTCTTTCGAGACTCCCACGAACTGAACAAAGCCCATCGACCACCGGACGCGTATCTTGTAAACTCAAGATGAAGTTTTCCGCCACTTTTCTGGCCGCATTGGCGGGCCTCACCCTCACCTATGCCGCTCCAACGCCCGGCTCTAAGCAAGTACGCTCACCAGACAACGATGCTGAGGCGATCTTCAATGCAGAGTACATTGTATGGACTTTTCGAATCCCTCGAACGACGTCGTGTAACATGACATAGGCATTGAGTGAAGCGGGTAAAGACGCCCAAGCGGATTCCGAGGCCATTTTCAATGCTGAGTATATTGTACGCCCCGCTTAGTCCTCCGTCAGCCTGATATCGGAGGAGATGATAATCGGTGCAAGGCATTGAGCGAAGCCGGCAAGGACGCCGAAAAAAGAGTATGTAATCTTTTGGCGAGCGAAGGGACGGTCATGAGCCGCAAGGACTGACGATTTCGGAAGGAAGCCAGTGATGACGCCGAGGCCATCTTCAACGCTGAATACATCGTAAGCCGTGTTCCGCCCTTGACTCATTCCCCAGATATGCTCACCACTCAGGCGTTGAGCGAGGCCGGGAAGGATGAAGATGTCAATGCTGAAGCCGAAGCTATTTTCAACGCTGAGTACATCGTTCGTCCGCGCTATTCCTGTGATGATTGTGTGCTGACTTTGGTAGGCCTTGAGCGAGGCGGGCAAAGATGCAGAGTAACTGGAGCGCGAGCATCATGACCGAAATCGCTGGTCCTAAGGCATGATGGAGATGTTGAAATCATTCGTTTTGAAGTTGCTCGTACGTCGTATTCTGCTCTTATTTGATGCTGCCTCTGTTAGTACGGGGGACCATAACCAAAAGAAGCTTCAGATAGCATAGTGCGGACCGATGCTATTGATTGCAACACTTCAAAGACATCTCCGGAAGGGAGAAACTGTTCCTAACCCGTTGTGAAAACCGTTCCTTCGCGTTATTCTCTCAACATTCCAACAGATCTGTTTCAAATTCTGGTATTTGCCACGCGGTTGCCTTGCGGATGCCCTCGGGGAGTGGCGAACCCGAACGACATGCTCGCGGCCTGAATGCGGTCGCGGCTATCATCCGAACCAGTGGCAAAGACGAGGACCGTTTCTTTTGTGAGTCAAAGGGGCTGCGCGTAGGTGCAGAGTATGTGGGAAGTTAGGGAGGCGTCTCCACTCGCAACCATGTTTGGCGACGCTCGGCTAAGCTAGAAGCTGATCAAACTGAGGCGGGATGACGGCCTGATCTAGTACGTTGATAAGATTCCAATAAGAACAGCCTCGGGCATGGGAAGTTAGGTGATAAAACGCCAACGGTTTATCATGATCCTGAATGAGTCCGGACAAATCTAGCCAGAGCCGAGGCCGGCGAGTAAAGCGACCTTCAAACAGTAGTTTGTACATGCGCTAATGTGGCGATATCATACCGAAGCTTACATCGTTCATAGAACTGCTGTAAGGACCCCAACGTCGGTCGGAACATCGATAAGTCCGCGAGCAGGAGCGATGTTTCGAGCGCGCTTTCCACGGTCTGACGGAGCGCTAGCATTGAAGGTCTTTCGTTTCATACCTAGGTATCACTGGTGCGGGAGCTACAAGTGGCTGTTTTCGGTTGGATGATACTCAGGGGTCGAGCGAAACCTTGGAAGAAACGGTTGGGCGGAGGGAGAGGACCCGATTGGGGCCTTGGAATGTCACTTTTTCGCGTCCGAAGTTCCTTTCCAACACTACCAGGGTAGGCCAGCTAGAGATAGCCGGGTACTAGTCTTCCCATCAACTACTTGGAACGCTCTTTGTGGGGCGGACAAGTCTCGTAATCCCTGGCGAAGAGGTAGAGGAGACCGCGGGCCTGCGTCGAAGAAGTAGCAGAGGTTCGACGGAAGCCGTGGTGCAATTTGAAGAGAAGATCGGAGCGAAGACATTGGCTTGGGCGATTGTCAGCACGAACTCATGTACTGGGGAAAACAGACACTGATGTAGCGTCAATGTAGCGCGGGCAGCGCGTTCTGTCCGGAGTTTTTTGACGAACCAAGCTGATCGGCGATAGGATTTAGAGGAGGTGGACGTTCTTTCCAGTTCCTTCCATTGGTATAGAACGTTGACGCAATATAAGGTCGAACTTGGGTCATAAGGGCGAGGCCGATATTCCAAGTCTGCTTATATATCGCCTGTACAGGCGGCCTTGATGGAACCTGAAATGGCCGGTAGGCTAAGTCAATATCTTATAGTTTGGGACTTACTAGATAGACTGAACTACAAGCTTGTTGCCACGTAGATCTTGGGTGCTGTTGGGGGATGGCATGAAGCTTCGTGCCACACTCTGCTCTCTCGTGAGCTTTGCTGGCTAAAGACCTTTGACCTCAGGGCGTGCGTGACTGGGTGGTAACAGAGCATAATGCGGTTATATATGGCCGAATGCCCGTTGAATCTGTTGAACGAATCTCCCGATACCGGATCATGCGGTCGCAACGTGAGCAGGTCTGGTCTTGCATAACCTCTATAGGTTGGTGACTTAAAACGAGAGAAATCAATCAATCAATCAATCAGGCCTGGTCTTCCAAGGTAGCAACTCGCGAAACCCCAGTATAGTCAATCTGTGATGTTTGCAAAGAAGGGAGACCTGGCTAAAGTGTATAGTCGAACGCAAAGCAGCGACGAGTGATGCGGATGAGGTGTTGATATCACGAGGCATGTCGAAGCTGAGGAGACGTGTTCGACAATGCGGACGGTTCCTCTGTCGGCGAGATGAATTCTCCTTGAGCCGAGGCAAACCAATTTCAAGCACTTCATTGATTGGCCATCTCTTCTAGACTTGGTCCGAGCTCGCAGGTCGAAGTGTGCACCATGAGTAGGGCAGAAACTTCGAACATTGAGACACGCGTCTCGCGTTGGTGGGCGGTGGGGAGCCTTTTATAAGAGTGCTGCGCTACAATTCAAGACTTTGCTGCTTTGCATTATCTTCTTCGGGTAAGGCGCGGATTGGGGCATCGCTGCACATGCATGCTGGCGGTGATGGTTGAGGAGGGGTTGTTCCCACGTACCTAGGTTACAAACAGAGCAAATCCCGCTCGCAATCGCTCCGTGTAGCTGTCGACGATTTCGTCTCGGGATCGAAGATAAGAACTTGTCGCGCCCAATGCGTGTTTTCTGAGATGTGCTTATAACACAGGCACGCTTTGCTGGCGAGAACATCAGAGCATCATGGATCTCCGATGCCGCGAGGTCGAGCGAAGTCTAGAGCGCAGTCGATGGGGAGGAGTCGAGTCGAAACATGTTGGATGACTGAGAGACAGAGGGAAGGCCGTGGAATGCCCTGATATGGGTCGATAGCCTGGGCATAGTACCTCGGTATTGGTTACCGGGCTTCAACGGGCCGTCCGGCGGCAGTCCAGTAGGAGACTCGGCAACCAGCGGAGGCCGATGTGTGAGATCGGAAGGCCACCGAGATGTGACGATGCGGGGGGCCCTCTTGCGAAGGCGGGTAGGCTTCCAGGACGTTAACCGTGGTCGTGTGGGTGACTCAGGTGCTCAGATCCAGCAACTCTGTCCGACGACCAGCCCTGAAGAGTCTCGCGAACTGTGTACTTAGTAGAGAGGCCCTCGCGTTACGCTTTCGAAAAATGCCCTCCTCCATCTGCTCGACGCAGCCCGTTCTCGATGCTTGCGTTTTCAGACGCCGCGAAGGTCCCCAGGCGCCAAGGCCCGAAGCCGCCCGAACGCCGACAATCGGGGCAAGGCTTTGATCTGATAAACTCCATCTGATAACGGGCCCGGCCCAACGCGCCTTCGCTCACCCACCCACCATGTCCGAAGACGTCCTGAGCACCACCTCATCCAGCGGCCACAGCAATGGTACACCCGCGCAAACGCCGTCCCCAACATCAGAGACGCCCGCAAGCACTGTCTCCCGCCCCGCAAGCTCCCGTGGTGAGTCCAATAGCCCCGCACAGCCGCTCGTTGTTTTTCGCCCGCCCGCACACGAACTGCAGTTCGCGGCATCACGCAACCGCGGGCATTGACTCAAAGCGCGCCCACACACCCCGATTAATACACCCCGTTTGCTGCTGCTCGCGCTCGAATTGGGCTTCTTCGAAGCCTGCGGACGCCTGTCACCGCTGCTGGCCCATGTCTCGCACCGCGCAGCTGTCTTGGCGCTCGTACTGACAGCCGCGCTAGCACTCGTACCAACACCACTCTCCGCCAACCTCACCCCCAAGGTCGCCATTGCAACGGCTTCCTCACCGGCTTCCGACTACGCCTACCCCTCCCCGCTGGGAGGTGGTCCCACAAGCGCAAGCTATGTGGTCCCGCCGCGACCGAAGCCCGGGCGCAAGCCCGCGACCGACGAGCCCGCGTCGAAACGCAAGGCCCAGAACCGCGAGTCACAGCGAGCTTTCCGCGCGAGAAAGGCTGCCAAGCTCAATGAGATGCAGGCGCAGGTAGAGACCACTGAGCAAAGGCACAAGCAGGAGATGAACAAGAAGGTCGCCGAGCTACATGCACGGGACATGCGAATCAATCAGCTGGAGGCCCTGGTAGCCCAGCTCAAGGAGTCGGAGAAGCGGACTGCCCAGGAACGCGACTTCTGGAAAGATCGTGCTGCCCAGGACCAAGTACAGTATCAGTTCCTCGAGAGGCAGTGGAAAGAGCAAAACTACCCTCTGAACGGATTTGGCGAGAAGGAAGCCGTCTTCTTCCAGACTAGGTTATCGGGCTCTGGTCAGGCCTCCCCCACGCATGGCTCGGTGCAAAACTTCACAGGGTACACCACGCCCAAGGCCATGGATATCGGCTGCGGCAACTGCAAAGCCGACGGAGAGTGCGCATGCATCGCAGAGCTCGCCAAGGTGACCACTCCCAATCCCTTCATGACCGCTGTACCTCTCGGTCCCGCACCTCCCCGCACCTCAGTCTCACCTATGAAGGGTATGCGGGCGCAGACACCTTTTGACGTGTTCGCTGAGCGCGAGATCGACTTCACCGCCCAGTTTGCATCCAAGCGTATGCGACAACATCAACGCCCCTCCATCGCGTTTTTGACCCAGGCGAGCGAAACGGACTCCAATTGCGGCTTTTGTACGGATGAATCCAACTGTCTCTGCAAGGACGAATCGCTCCGGCACCAAGAGTTACAACGGGGCAACGAGGTCGTTCCGGCATCTCACGACTGGACTAGCACATCGGCCGACGTCAAATTACAAGGTAATGATATCGGCACGAATGGACCAGGGAGCTGTCCGGATTGTCAAGCTAATCCCCGCCAACGGGCTTGGTGCCAGAGGGTTGCCCAGCTAAAGAACTCCGGGAACGACCACCTCCTGCCGTCACCCACGTCACGAACTTCAAGTATCAGCGGCCCATTGGAGACGATGGAACCCCACATAGCCGATGCCTCCACACCTTATGGAGCGAAGCAGTCTATCGGTTGCAGTGAGGCATACAAGCTGCTTGAGGGTCGCGTGCCTATGGACCAGGACAAGATGGACTGGATTGGCAATCTCAAGCCTGTCCCTCCTGCTGGCAGGAGGGACACACTGACCCAGCCTACCCGGAAATACAGTGCCCTGGAACTCGACACCGCTGGCGTCATAGCAACGCTTGGAAGCACCATGCAGCCTCTTCAGCCCCGACCATCCGATGGAGAAAACGCCCATCTCGTTCGCATAGCGCAGGAATACCAGAGAAGCAGCAGCTCACCTCAAGTAGATGGCGACTCGCCAATGCCCGTGTCCATGGTCAACGGAGCGACTATCCCAGCTGGGAGCTGGAGGTAGCCGTCCATGCCTTCTTACTGCATTTCTTTGCGATGCATGTCCGGAGTTTCGGTTGCAGCTTCCCTTTCCTGTGCTTCTGTATAGCCGAAAAATTTCGATAGCCCGATGTTCGTGGGTTGGCCATGACGCCGCCGGTTTCTCAACCCACGGTATCAATGCTTTCGGTTCGCTTGCTCAGTCTCTTGGTGGCAAGCAAGCAGTCAATCTCTGCATATTCAGTTTTCAATTCTCGGCCGTCGTGTGCATAGATAGAGCGGTCTCATGTGCATAGGTGGAGCGGTCTCATGTATACCCACGGTTAGCTGTATATGCCACTGTAGATAGCACTAAACAGAATAAAGTCTTCATTGACGACATGAACCTCTTCTTCGTGCGGAATTTCATCACTATGCGCACTTGAAACACCATCCATTCGGCTCTGGCCCCCAGTCTTCCGGAGCCCAGACCTCGCAGCCGACCACTACTGCCTCGCAAACCGTGGTTCCCAGACCACGTCAACGCCCTGCCAACCTCTGCAAGTCTCGCCGAACATTCCGCACTCTAGGCAGACCGTAGCGGCGGAGCGGTCTGCCGTAATACGCTCCACTTTGCGGTAGATTGGGTGGAGATGCTTCGGAGATGGGTCGATGATCAGGCCATTTCTGGCGCTGCGGGGTTGCTGACGTTCCGAGCTCCGTGCGATGTCGGCATCTGATAAGCGCGCGCGCTAGAGCGGATGTGGGTGCGATTCTTATGCGTCGGGGTGGGATCGTGATTGTGAGCGAAGGGGGTTTGGAATCTCGGACTAAGACGGAATCCAGGAGTGCTTTGAGGCATATCGGATGAACGGTACGATGAGGATGAGTTTTCCTGCGGACATTTAGTGTGGAGGCGAACAAGGTTATTTGCAGGATATTTTGTATCACGGCTGCGTACTTTTCAGTCCGAGCCGAAGATCTGCCGGAACATCAACATCCCCGCCTGCATGGCTCACACATTTGCAGGTACCTCCAACGCCTGTTCTTCACCTGTAATTGCGCCAGGATTGCTCAAAAATCGATGCGGCAGCCACACAAGATTGGAAAGCACTTGCGCAACGTGTAGATGAGGGTAGGCGCGTGGGTGACCTACCGAATTCAGGCGCACCCTCTGACCTCATCGCTCTTGGCGCAAGGCCTCCCACCATGGTGCCGAACCCGAGAAGCTACGAGACTATGAAGGCGGAAGTAGAGTAAGAAAACGGGATCTGTCCAATTAGCGTTGGCCGCTATGTGGCGGAGCAGGTCATAGCCTCGTACAGATTCGACCCTGCAAGGTAAAGATGTTCAAGCATCAGTCTTAAAGGCTTCTTTCTACGCTTCACGAGTAAGATCCTTTTTCCTTCCCGGTCTCAAGTCTGAGCCATCCTCTAAGATGCGTCTAATCTTTCCGCCGCTCTACTCTCTCTTCGCTCAAGCTATCGTGGTCTGCATGGTGATCCACGCTCAACCAGACACCGCGGATATTCAATGGGGACCGTGCGACATAAACGGAACGCTGCCATTCGTATGCGGCAACATATCTGTGCCCCTGGACTATTCGAATCCGAACTCGAGCGAAGCGCTCATCATCGAGCTTCTGAAGGCGCCTGCCATCAAGCAGCCTTCTAAGGGAAACATCTTGTTCAATTGGGGTGGACCGACTGCGAGCGGGCGGGAGTTGATGGCGGCACAGGGGGCGCAATTGATGGCGTAAGTGGGATAGCGCGTCTTATACATGCCTGTGTAGATGGGGCGTGTGCTAACTTCAGAGGAAATAGGACTACGGGCGGTTATTGGGATCTTGTTTCTTTTGATCCGAGGTGAGAATCCACTCTGGATACCTGCTAACTGATTGATTCCTTGGTGGCAACTAACGGGGATCACAGGGGTGCTGGGAAAACCATTCCGTTCTCATGCTATCCCAATACGACGGAACGCCAAATCGCCAATCTACAGAACCCATATCTCAATGGGAATTCGTCCGACACCACAGTTGGACGGCTTTGGGCGGAAAGCGAAAACTTTGATGAAGCGTGCCACGCCAATGGGAACAGCACGGGTGGTCTTGTTGGGTACGCATTCTTGGCTAGAGATTACATGCGCATTGCGGAAGCGCTAAACGAAGATGGCCTACTAAGGTTCTACGGTAAGCTACGAAACGCTTGGTGACGAGCTCTGGTGGAGGCTACGTAGAATTGCACTAATGAAGGAATGTAGGCTTATCAGCTGGAACAGTTCTAGGAGCAACGATAGCTGCCATGTTCCCTGATAGAATCGACCGTATGGTGCTGGATGGAGTGTGGAACATCCACGAGTACTATCACTACCAGTGCGCTTCTTCATCCCCTGCCTCCATCGCATGGACTAACGAATATTTTCTCTTCCTCCCCTGCAGCGCCGTCCAAGGGTTCCACGACACAGACAAAACCTTTTCCGGGTTTCTATCTAGCTGTATCGCCGCTGGCTCAAACTGCACTCTCTCCCGACTTAACCTAACCTCTGCCCAACTTGAAGAGTCCGTCTTCGACCTTATCGAGACCGCCAAGTACCACCCGATTCCGTACCAAGGCATCCTGCTCGACTACACCCTCGTCCGGAACGTTATTTTCCTTTCCCTCACCCAGCTAGTCAGCTGGCCCGCACTAGCTACCTTCCTCCACGCCCTCTTCACGCACAACATGAGCGAACTTGACACCATATTCCCCTCTCTCCAAACAGATGAAGATCCCATTTTCACAGAGCAACGAGCGGCGACACAGTGCGGCGACAAGGCGTCCGGAGTACGCACATCCGACATCCAAGATGTGTACCCCGTGTTCGAGCAGCTAGAGCAAGTCAGCAAACTCGCAGGCGATAGGATCTTCTACGACGTGGACTTCTGCTCGCGCTGGAAGATGGAAGCCAAGGAGAAATATCTCGGCGACTTCAACGTCACGACGCGGCAGCCTATTTTGATTATCGGAAATACGTTCGATCCTGTGACGCCGTTGATCTCGGCACGAAATGCGAGTGCGAGTCTGCGGGGCAGCGTAGTGCTGCAACATGATGGCTTTGGGGTATGTCTAGTCCTTTCTGAGTATTGCTTTTAGACGTGGACATGCGACTGACGTGGTTTTATGGCAGCATACGTCGGCTTCCCAACCCTCGCTGTGTACGGCGAAGACGACGCAGGCTTATCTGGAGAATGGGACGCTGCCTGAGGACGGAGCTGTTTGCATGGCGGATGTACCTCCATTTTCGAATGTGACTTGGATGGATGTTTTGGGTTGAGGGTTTCATGGCAGTGAGGACCGTTTGTTTCTCTACTGGTACGATGATGTCAAGCGCACCCCCCAGTTCGGAGCGGAGAAGAGTTGGAGAGATAGTGCAGTACAGCAAATGTAGAGCGTATTAAAGTACCAGCGTGGCCGAAACGAAGCTGGAATTTGTGACGGAGCGCAGAATTTTTTAAGGACTGTATTTACAGCCCTTGAGAAAGAGGTAGTGCATTTGGAATATGACTAGATTATTGGCAATTGGTGTGATCGAAGCTAGATAGATCTTACTCTTTTTATATCAGACACGTTCTCTAGCTAGACTAAGGGGAACTCGCTCAGCTATCTATGCTCGGCAATGTCTGCCCACTCAGGTGACTTCCGGTCACTTTTTCCACTTGCGCCACCTCGATTTCCCTCCATCCTTGCCGTCCTCTCCACTCTTCTCCTTCTCCTTGCCCTTGTCCCTTCTATCCTCCGTCTCGCCATCCCGCTTCGGCTTGACAATCGCCCACTCCTTCTGCTCCTGCCCCTTGAGCTTCTCGTCAATCTCATAAGCCTCCGTATATCCATACTTGTCGTAAATGGCCCTCCGCTTGGGATCACCAATGATATCCCAAGCTCGGTTGATGTCAGCGGTTCTGGTCGCGGCTAGGTCCTTTTGCTCCTGAGACTGGCCAGCCTGCTTGTCAGGGTGATACTTCCTTAGGAGGAAGTCTCGCGTGGCTTTGAGCTTACCCTCGTTGGCGTCGCGCGGTACGCCGAGGGCCTCGTACGGATTGAATTTGGTGGATGAAGGAGGTGGTGCGGGAGGAGTGGTGGCACGCGAGGCCTTGCCTTTGGAGTATTTGCTGGTGGGCGCGAATGTGGTCGAGTGGGAGTCCTTTCCGCGGTCCTTTGCCCGGCTCTCTTGTTTCTCGGGGATACGTGTAGGTGACGGTGATGGAGTATGCCTGGCCTTCCCCTTACCCTTATAGTCGCGCCCTGGAGATCGTGTACTTCGTCTGTGCGGAGACCCGCTCCTAGGCGGCGATCCCCCGCGTCTACCGGAGCTCTTTCTCCGAGGAGAAGGGCTTCTGGATGAGCCGTGTCGTCTTTCGTGCTTAGAAGAAGAGCCCCTTTTCTTCCCATACTTATCCCCGCGGGATTCGTACTCCACGTATCCTTCGCCCTTTATCGGATCTCCGTACGCGTCTGCATCGTACGTTTTGAACCCCGCTTTGCTTTTCTTAGACTCCCCATAATCTTCCTCATTATATTTGATGAATTTACCTTTCCCCTTCTTTCTCTCGTCATCGCTATCAAACTCGGGATCAGGGTTGCGCCTGCCACGATGCCCAGGAAGACCGGGGTATCCCAGAACGAGTGAATCTCCACCGCCATAACCGTCCTCGATGGTGGCGAAATCCAATGCCGGGACACCCCAATTAAAGACCGGCATGCGGTTTACCACCAGATGCATCTGTTGGAAGAGAGGCCTGTCTATCCCTTCAAGGACGCTTATGATCCTACGCAAAGTCACCTCCATCCGATATAATGTCTCTCGCTCCCGAAACGGGGCAGGAAAAGGGCGCAAATGAGCAGATTTCAACTGTGCTTCTATTCTGCAACCCCAGGAGTACAGGTCCATGGGCGAAGCTCGTCGGAGTCTCAAAAAATTCACCGGGTGGTGTATAACGTATGGGTCCGGACAACCGCCCGCATATAGTAGATCGCCCAGCTGCTCCGCCATTTTGACTTTGAAGAATTAATTAGGCGCTCGGTTATCTGGGTTGTCGGGGGACGATGCTGCTCGAAGCCTTGCTTTTTGCTGAAGAGAACGTCGGGTTGACTCAGGTGGATGGCGGCTTGGTGTCGCGGATTTCTGACTGCGTGACGCTTGGTGTTAAGATCAAGAGAAGGAATTCTAAAGGGGCCGCAGAAGTTTTATGTACATCGTGGCATTCAATGTTAGTAGGAATTCACAGACGAGTCCGCGTGAAGCTTCGAGGCCACGTAGCGGAGGGAAGTCGCGTTATTGAAGCGTCGGGCGGCATGACGTTGCACTTCTCTTTCATGGCAACAAACATAGAGCGACGAAGACCAGTAGTAAGCCATATATCCATAAGACATAATAAGAGCACAAAGAAGACATAAAGATAACGTGTTCTGAATATGACGAAGAATGGTGTTGTGGCAATGGTGTATTGTAGAATAGTTGCATAGCTTCCAAGAAGGCTTAGGACAATTCAATGATTTCAGTCAGCGGCAATGGTAGCGCGGACAAGATTTCGAGTCGTGACGGTAATGACTCAGCAAAATATCGATGTATTAAAGAATGCCTTTTTTTTTTTGGCAGTGGCTCAAGTTACGTTCATTGGTTTTGCTTTATGCAGGCATGTCATCTCTACTCATACACCACTCATAGTCTCGGACAACAAGTCCGTGCATTACCTCGCACCAAGAATCCCGCACATCCTTCGTCCACTCTACCGTGAGTGCGATCGCGAGCGACCATGCGATCGATCCCTCGTCGAGCGATGGTGTGATCGCTCTTCAGACTGCGACCTTGAGCGCGAAGCAGAATGGTGCCTTCTTGAGTGACGATGCCCATGATCCCGACTCCGCGAGCGGGAACGAGAAGGAGCGCTTCGCCTGTCTCCGCGGCGTCTCCTTCGATCACCATCACTCGAATCTCTCTCATTGCTCCTGCTGCTCCTCCTTCGGTCCTCGATTCTCCTATTCCTCCCTCCGTCGACCGTAATCCTCCTGGGCGACCTCCTCCTCTCACTGCCCGAGTCACTACTCGAAGAGTTCTCGCGTTCAGGTTGCCTTCCATAATTCCTTCCCCTCACCGGTACGTATCCGACAGGACCACCGACCGGAACATCGACATAACTCACCACAGGGGGGAGGGTGGCGACGGAAGGCATTCTAAGAGGGGGCCCGAGACCCGTGAGCTGCCGTATTCTGCCCTGCGTCCGTTCCATACTGTAGGGGGAGTTGAGACCATAGCATCCCAATAGCAAGCAATTTTTGATATCTTGGTAGAGGCGGTGCATGCGAACTGAGGAATAAGAGTGAAGGATGCGTATAGGGACTGGGTGGGGGATCTCGCACGCCGGGGTGAGGCCGGGTACATAGTCCATGTAGATCGACATTTCGAAAAGAAGGGCTCAGTTGGTGTTTGGTTTAAGAGTGCAAATGATATTCTGCGTTCAGAGAAAGAAGGTCTGTGGAAATTTGAGGAAGAGCAAGTGCGAGCAAGGTTGGAGAATTTATAGGATGCGCGGCTACGCGTTGGCGATGAACCTTCAAGGTAGTGCGGACTGTGATATGCTGTGGACCGCTTCGTACATTGAATGCTTTGAGCTGTTGGAGAAATCGTAACGTAAGAGAGGCGTGAAGAGGTCCATGGGCGGAGTTTGCTGACTGTATAAGACAGTTCTCTATTGAAGGTACGGGGGATGGGCTTATCGTACGAACTTTAGACTGGATTAACTATTCAAGTTGCGGTGATGGTAATAGGAAACACTGTTGTTGTTGTTGTTGTTGTTGTTGACGGAAGGCAACGAAGAACTGGTGCAGGAGGCTCTCCCCAACATTAGCCCGGACTCCGCATCTTGCCCACAGCTTCAACACTCTTCGATCAAAACATCGATAGCCCTTCTTAAACTTTCAATCGCTCTGCAAATGTGGACTCCCATCTCATCCTTCTTTTTCTTATCCTTGATGTGAATCCGAAGCTTCGCGACCGGGACCTGAGCGCCTGCATAGTCCGGGCTCAGCCTACTTATACGGAAACCATCTGAACTCACATCAAACTACCAACCCTCTCGTCATCAGCCCTCTCGCTAAGCCAAGCCCGCACACAGCCCCGCCGTCGCAAATATCCGTCACGCGCCTTCCCCAAACACGCTCAAGCCAACGCGCGCCCGCCCACACCGCGTCGCAGACTGCCACCCCCAATCTCCAAAATCCCTAATATACGCCTATATATACTATTTAAAAAAGCTCAATCTTCAACAAAACAAGCCGTAAGAACTCGGTGCGCTGTCTCACGACACCATTCTAGCCGCCACTTTGAATGGAGCCCCCGGTTCGAGCCTGCATAGATTCACGGATTTAAATGTATTCCCGATATCTCAGCATTAGGATTCACAGCGATGTAATATTCCGCGACTAATGGCCTGGATTTCGGTTAAATCCCCGATAGCAGTGTAAAATTCCCAGCTTGTGGGTAGTAATAGCAAACCACTTAACATCCGAATAATAATTCGGCTTACGATGAATCTCGTAAGATGTGGTTTCTAATTCGGGCGGCGAATTCTTTTTGGTATTTTCTTTGACTTGGAATCTCTTGTTGCCTTTATGTTTGCGCGCAGGGTAGAGGGAGAGAGGGAGAGGAGGGGACAAAGCTAAGAGTAGAGGAGAGAGGGTCGTGGTTGTTGCGACAAGAGCCAGAGTGAGCCAAAAGTGAGAGCGCCAGTGCACATGCAAAATGGAGTCCTGTATTGCTAAGGATAATACATAAGTGCATGCTGCACGGAGACATGCAATAGCAAGGAAAGAAGCCTAACTACCTCCTACGTCTGTGCTTTGCATCACGCCTCCATTATCTGCGCGCTCCAATGTAGGCCGGAGGATTACAGCAGATATCTCTGTCCCGGCCTTCCCTCTCCGCCCCACGGAATCTCAAACAAAGAATACCTCCCCTCCTCGTCGCCGTCCACCAGCTGCAACCCCAGATCCAACATATCGCTTGAGTAGTCGTCTTCGTGAATGAGCCACCTCCACGGCTTCACTTCGCGCATAAGCTCGCGAAGATGCGCTGTCTTCTTTTCTTCAAGGTTCGTCCTGTAGTACTCGGACAACAGATTCTCCAGCGCCCGTATGAAAGGCCGATATACCGAATCTATCGGATGGTTTCCGTCATACACGCTCATCCACATAATCTTCATACGCCGTGCATCAAGCATGCGGTCGCCAATTGAATTGAGGATTTTGTCGGCACCTAGGATAGCTTCGTAGACGCCCGCAAAAAGTTTCTCTGCGCTACCGTTAGCGTCTTGATCTGTCAGAAAGGATATCGCATCAGCCTCATGATTGAACATGAGCTTGCGCGAGTCTGCATCCTCGCCGCGGTGGTATAAATTTCCCCGTACTCGTGCTAGACACGCATTCGCGGTATTCGTTGCCGCAAGAGCGTAGTATAGGTTGTCGCACCAGAGTTGGAGCCTGTAAGGGAAGTCGATAGTGAGATTACACAATGGTGAACAGTCGTTGAATATGTTGCAAAACATGTATGAGGTAAGCGCAAGGGCATAGCGGCCGGCGACCATGTGTTCTTCCGCGACGCGCTGCAGCCACAGGATGGCTTTCACGCATTCGGATATGATGGAGGATGGGTCGGGATGGGAAGTGGTGATTGACCGCCGAATGGAGTTCGAGAGCTGGATGTCGGGGTTGTTCTTGATTGTGAATTGGTGGAAGTGGCCGTGGAGGGCCGAAAAGCTGCCTAGCAAGGCGCGATATTCGGGCGGTGCGTCTGGAGCTAATTCGAGATTGATAGACAGTCCAGCTACTGTTACGCGCTCTTGTATGGCGGCAAACGCTGTGAAAACGGCACCATTGCGCACCCTTGCGCAATAGGTAAGGACGTTGAGCCGTAGATAGGAGATGAAGTCCCGCAGATCTGGAGGCAGGACTAGGTACGTGGTGCACGTGGTCTCAATGGGGTGGCCAGTGTAGGAACAGGTGCGTTCCTGTGCTGTCAACCAGACCCTTTCATCTTGGATTGGAGTCGGAAACATGATATCAGCCCGAATAACGCCTTCGGGCAGACGCCCAACAAGGTGAGAGTTCGGGATGCAGAAGACGGGTATGCCGAACTTCTCTGGACTGATGAGTAGCCGTGGAACATTGAGATTGACCACGATCCACTGGTTCTGTTTATGAAAGAAGGACCGAGCTAGGTTGTAGATGGCGTTGTTGAGGCGAAGAACGACCGGTTCGAAGGCGTATCGGCGAGGTCGGGTTGAGGTACCTGGACGCGCGGTTTCCTTATAATGGAGCAAGTAACTGAGGATGCGGTTGAAGGTTTCGGCGGGCAGGCTTTCGAAAAGCGAAGGCATGATTGAAGTGGGAGTTGTCTCGCGTAATTGCGTGTGGTACACTGCGGAATGCCTGGAGCAGAAATGAGCGTCATGAGTGCGGTGGTCCGAAATCGGTGAAAAGGGTTTAGGGCAATAAGTAAAAGAGCTCCTCCGGGTCGCAACGGTGCCGGCACCAGGCAGGAACATAATTATTGCTAGGATCGCATTACCTTAGCATATTACATTAATTACGGAGTAGTAGTTTTAAGCCGCTCTACTGAAAAATTTACTTTGGTAAACCTTTTAAGTTTATACAGTACTTTCCCGCGTTGTATGCTATTAATTATAAGTTTTTTTACTAGTAGTAATAATCTTTTAGAAAAACCTCAATTGCGTGTAGATTTATCGTGGCAGAATGTTTGGACTAGTAGTAGTTGCTAGCGTTATCTAACATTAATTATGCCCTCACCTAGTGCCCGAAACAGAAGATTGAGCGTCGGGACGCTTAGACTGAACATAAGAGCTATTCGCCTACAGCTGGTGATAACTATACCTGCGCTAGACTATGCACCGCAAGAACCCCAAGATCGCGAGAAAAATTGCCCGAATCGCCATCGCGTTGCCGAAACGCTCGTCTTCATTTATTTGCTCCTCTTATAGATCTTCTTGAGAAATGCCTCAAAGACGTCTTTCTTCAGACCCTCAGACTCATCGACCTTGTCGATCTTCGCTCTCAAATCGGCGACACGCTCCTCTTCCCACTGCTGATAGAATTCCTGAAGCTTCAGCTCGTGATACAGCGTCTTCACCTTGGCTTCTTGCTCGGAGTTCTTCCGGCCGTAGTTCTCTTCAAGAATCTTGCGTTGTTCCGGGTCAACCCTCTTGAGAGCTTGGTTGATGAGCCACGAGCACTTATTGTCTTGAATGTCGGTGCCGATTTTGCCGAGGACTGTTGGATCCGCAAAGGCGTCCAGGTAGTCATCCTGGGCCTGGAAGTACTCACCCATCGGAATTAGGATGTCAAGGGACGTTTGTAGGTTCTTTGGTGTGGCAGCACCGATGTAGTGGAGAGCCAGAGCAACGGGGAGGTAGAACGAGTAGTAGGCGGTCTTGAAGATGACGATGAAGGTGAACTTCTCCAGACTGAAGTTGTCCAGGTCGACGTGGTCCTCGGGCGCAGTTAGCAGATCGCACAGCTGGCCGAGCTCGGTCTGGAAGGTGACCTCGTGGAACAGCTCGACCATATCGATATAGCCTTGGTGTTGGCGGAAGTGCTTTTTCAGGAGGAGGTAGATGGAGGATTCCAGCATGAAGGCGTCGTTGATGGCAACCATGCCGACGTTGGGTGCAAGGTACCAGCAGGGGTTGCCGCGGCGCGTCTTCGATGCGTCCATAATATCGTCTGACACAAGGAAGAAGGCTTGAAGGAGCTCAATCATCCAGCCGAGCAGCGCGGCGCGGAAGTAGTCCTCGGACGACAGGTCAAGGGTTTTGTTGAGCAGAATGGACGACGTGTCCACGACGGACATTCCTCGATTACATTTTCCGCCGACGGTATTGTAGTTCAGGGACTGAGGAGATATAAGCTATCGGGTCACGGGAAGGGGGCTAAGGCATATACCTTGACGAACCAATCAAGTGACTGCTGGGGCAGTTTGTACTGTTTGCAGTGGCTCTCGAGATCGGCGACAATGCGGGGCCACACGCTCTCGAATTCCTTTAGCGTGGTCGGCATCGCGGGCGAGAATATTTGGCGAAGGCTTCAATCGCGATTACAGGAGGGCTGTCGAAGAGAGACGGGGTGAGGACTGAGCGGGCGGTGAAGGAAGACGATTTGGGCGGGGCCCGGAGAAACATAACGCCGGGCGATTGTTTTCTGCCCCACCAACTACAAACAAGGCAGCCAAGCATCACCACACGCGTCGAGACCGGCCGAAAGGACGCGCAGTGAACCTCTGGCTATTACATTCTGGGCTGGATGCGACAGCACGTGTCGTGAGCTCGCGACGATGGGCACGCTCTCCCAGGCCGACGAGGCGCAACTGAAGGCACAGCTGCAGGACGCGGCCGTGTCTTGCACCGAGCGCTGTCTCTACCAGTCGGCGAAATGGTGCGTCCGCTCTTCAGGAACGGTTCCTTTCTCAGCTGCTAAAGTTATCCTAGGGCCGCAGAGCTGCTCAATTCGCTCCCTTCAGCCGATGACGCCGGCTCCGAGACCGACGTGGACTCGCCCATGTCTGATGCGCCACCACGCACCCCGAACAACGTACCGAAAGACCCAATAGAGCTGCGATTAGAGGCTCGAGAAGCCCACAAATACCTCCTCGCGAAGACGTACTTCGACTGCCGCGAGTTCGACCGATGCGCCGCCGTCTTCCTCCCTAGCACCCTACCGAAGGGCTCCATATACACCACATCCTCGCCATCGACCAGGGCGAAGCAGAAAGGGAAGGCGAAGCTGGACACACCTGCCGAGGCCGAGGCCTCGACGGGCTCCGTGCATGGGCTGAGCCAGAAGTCGCTGTTTCTGGCACTGTACGCAAAATACATCGCAGGCGAAAAGCGCATGAATGAGGAGCGAGAGATGATCCTAGGCCCGCAGGACGGAGGTGTGATTCTAAACAAGGAGCTGCCGACCATATCCGCCATCCTTGAAGAGTGGTTCAACCACCTGCCGTCGAGTGGCAGACAAGCACAGGGATGGCTGGAGTACCTGTACGGCATCGTTCTGGCGAAAGGGAAGAACGAGAAGCTAGCCATGGACTACTTCATCCGGAGCGTCCATCAGTACACGTACAACTGGGGTGCTTGGCAAGAGCTGACTGCCCTGCTCGGCACGGTAGAAGAGGTATGCTGCTGTAGGGTCTAAAGTGAACGGGCACTAACATTGTCTAGCTGAACCAGATTATCCCGCGACTGCCTCAAAATATTATGACATTCGTATTCCATGTTGCCGCCTCACAGGAGCTCTATCAATCGACCGAGCAGGTCCACAGCGCCTTAACCCAGGTCCTCTCCATTTTCCCGACATCCTCATTCTTGAAGACACAGCGCGCGCTGCTGCACTATCACGCCAAAGACTTTGAAGAAGCCGAGCAGATATTTTCCAACATGCTAATAGCCGAACCACACCGCATCGACCATCTCGACCACTATTCCAACATTTTATACGTTATGGGAATGAGACCGAAGCTAGCCTTCTTGGCTCAGCTTGCATCGTCCACCGACCGATTCCGACCGGAGACCTGCTGCGTTGTGGGCAACTATTACTCCCTGAAGTCTGAACATGAGAAAGCCGTCATGTATTTCCGTCGAGCCTTGACTCTGGATCGTACCTTCCTTTCCGCGTGGACACTTATGGGCCACGAGTTCTTGGAAATGAAGAATACCCATACGGCTATTGAATCCTATCGCCGCGCCGTGGACGTTAACAGAAAAGATTACCGCGCGTGGTACGGCCTAGGCCAAACATACGAGGTGCTGGAAATGCACTCGTACGCTTTATTTTATCATCAGCGCGCCGTTGCGCTGCGACCATACGACCCGAAGCTGTGGATGGCTGTCGGCCAATGTTTCGGCAAGGTCGGAAAAGTCACCAATGGTATCCGAGCCTACAAGCGTGCTCTAGTAGCCGGATCCTACTATGATGCAGGTGTCGGCTCATCCTTTAGCTCTGGCGAAGTATCGGGACTCGGTGGTGGCGTTCTCGACCCCGAGGTGCTCTATTCGATCGCTCTCCTGTACGAGCGTCTGCATGATATGCCAGAGTGCGCCGCTTACATGGAGCTCGTTTTGGCACAAGAGGAGGGGCCAGAATACGACGAAGTAAATCCCGAGGTGGGCGGCGGAGTTGGCGTGACACCGACGACCAGCAAAGCGAGGCTGTGGCTCGCGAGATGGGAGTACATGCGTGGCATGTATCAACGATCCATGGAGCTTGCAAACGAGCTTTGTCAAGATGGTGTTGAAGTGGAAGATGCGAAGGCTCTAGTTAGAGACATAAGGGCAAGGATAGAGAGGGAGAAGGACGAGGGACGTGTGCAGTAGGATAGGATAACTGATGGTGATCGTCGTTATGGTTATGTGAGCATTTGCGGGCGCCTAGGTATGATACCCCTCACTGATATGTTTTCACGTCGTCTGTATATTACTATGCTATTGCATATGACTGCCTGTGTGCTCCATTTAGCCCTCCTCTTCCTTCTCCTGCTTTATTCCCTTTCCAGCGCTCCAAGTCGCTTCATACGGTTGCCTTGTACGAGCGTTCCGCTGGGACTGCCTGGGAAGTTCATGGTCTTCCAAAAGGCGACCCTGCATCAATATACTCCACCCATCGGCTCCACAGCTCAATTCGAACCCACAACGCCTTTATCTTTCAGGTCAGTTTAAACTATCGGCGTCAGAGCTTCTTGTTAGTCTCCGGCGTGGATGCAAACTCGTCTGTGTGACAGTGTGTACGGGTCAATCGTATGTATTGTATGTATGAGTGATGGATCTATGTACAGGGAGCTACCTGGTGGAGGTGGGCGGGCAGGGCCAGGCCGTGGGTATGACTGTGGGTATGACTAAGGGTCACGTGACAGTCTGGGTCTGCCGCGGTGAATTCAGCAGCCCAGAAGCAGTGAAGCTTGTACGCCGCCGGCAGCTTCATCCTCGATTCGCCGCTTTTCTCGACTCGAATTTCTTGGGCTGGAGATCTTCAAGAAGGTAGTCGCGTCTCGGCTCGGGGAATGGTGGAGCGAGGATTAAGCCTCTTAAATTTGTCGTCCATAAGGTTATGATTCCGAAGCCGTTACAGAACAAAGGGATGTTGGAGCTGCTTCCGCTGTACGAGAATGTTTCTTCGGGAAGAGGGAGTTTAATACGTTTATGGGCTGGTGGTAGCAAGAGCCAGGAGGATTGCTAACTCCTTCGAGCGAGGAATGAGCATAACATGGTTCTTTATTTTGTTGTTGGGCCCGCTTTCACCAACAAGGCCAAGTTTCGCCAAGGGGTCGAAGCTTTGCTGCATTCATTTCTTGCTTTCATATCACAGGAGTCCTCAATATCAACCCGCATGCACCCCTTCTCCCACAACTCGGCGAACCGGAACAACTCCAACGCGCCTGCCTATCCACCAAACGAGCACCAGCGCCCATCGCAATATCAATCATGTCGACACCGTCACCGATGAAGCTTTCGCACCTCGAACGGCTCCCAGCAGAACTGTTCAACCGTATCTTAGACGAGCTGGTGGTAGTTGGAGACTCCACAGGGAACTTCCGGGTTTTCTTCCAGGATTACTTCCACGGCGCTAATTACCGCATTCGGCCCATTATTCAGACCGCGGTTCTACGGCTAAACAAACGCATCCACCAATTGGTGAAGTCATACCTCGACCGCAGGAACACATGGATCGTATTTGATATCGACTGTACCAGTAGGAAGCTCTTATGGATCTGGCGTATTGTCCCTTGCTTCATTATCGATGAGCCAGAGTCACAAGCTCTACCCGAAGGGATCCTGCACGTTCGGATTAAATTTCCCACCGTGGCCCGAACACCGCGTCGATTGACGTTCCTCATCACGATGGAGTGGTTCCAGTCCTTCCTCGAGTGTATCCGGATAGTGGATCTGATGATTAGCTTCAGAGGCCCAGAGGGTCGAAATCTTCCCCGACTGCCGAGTTCCGGGAAACGAAGCAGTGCCGCTTGTCGAATCTCACATGGCACAAGTATAATCGTCCACGTGCATCCAAATCACCCTGATGTGGATATGGAAGCATTTTTGGAACTCTTTCGGATGTTCCATGGGCCATTGCATGAGCTGTCTATTATCGGCGCACGAAACACAAGCTCCGCACGCGAAATCGAGAAATCCCTCACGCAACCACGTCACGTCCCGGACTTAACACTATGGGAAGTCTACATGCACCTGCTACGGTTGAAAACAGAAGCTGATAGGCATCTGACGCAACATGCCAGGCTGCATGGCAGCCCTCTATACCTAATTGCACGACGGCTACCTCAATTCTGGCGGTTCAAAGATTGTACACCCTGGGCGGGAAGTTTGAGCGCTGCTGCTCGGAATATCCCTTTTGTTGCGCTGCTCGTCACTGGAGTGCGTCTCAACGAAATGCTGGCAGATGCTTGTATATTAAAGGGAACACTATGTGTGGACGCTGCCGCCTGTCGACGCCACTATACCTCGCACCCGTTCAAGCGGGTCCTTTCATCTTTTCGTGGATCTGCGACCGCATACATCTACATAGTAACGGGATTGCATAAGATGCTATGCACAGTTGCGCGTGGTGCTGACGCGCCTGGACGAACAATGAGCGAACAGATCTCCATGATTAATGAAGGAGCATCGGATATTGAGTATGGCTGGCGAATCCTTGAACGTGTTAATCGCAACACCACATCTCAACCCTCCTTGTTCTCCCGAATGAGCCACGAGATTGCAGGTGTTGTACTCAAGCCACTCGAAGACGATTGCCGCCTGCGCTTCCAAGTGATTGTCGATCTCCTGAACGGACATCGCGAGTGGCTCATGAAAAATGTCAAGGCCGTTAAGTGGAAAGTCCAGAGTGGTGCAATCCCCAGCTGCCTAAAGGATCGTGGGCTATTGGAAATACTTCCTAACTACTCGGATATGTCATCAGTGGAGCGTGAGCAATTTCTAATTGCGGACGAATTCCGAGTGGCGTCCGACATAGGAGACTTTTACCTAGTGTAGATTCTGCATTCAATGCACAGGTTAGGCCCACAAAGTGGCATTTGTAGATAGCATTCCAAGGAAACTCGGTTCATCCGCTTGAACGGTCGCTCACTCTAGTAAAGATAGAGGAAGCACCTGGTGGGCCTTAGGAGGCCGGAAGCGAAAGCTCACGAACGAAGTTGTCAAGCTCAGATATTACAATTAAATTCTTCCTGACATACTCCTTGCCCACTATTGTAGCTCCGATAATCACGTATTGGGATGAATCCCGCTCAACAACGCTTCACCACAATCTTTCCCCCAGCATCATGCGAATCCAACATTTTATGCGCATCCCGAATATCCTGCACCCCAAAAACATGCGTAGGCTTAGCGTCCCACTCTCCGCGCTCAATCCTCCCGACAATATCCTGAAACGGAATCCCAGATAAAGGAAAGTCCTTAGTTCCGAGAACCTTGCTGTGGAACAAGCTGAAATGAACACCACTCTCCATCTGAACCATGGGGTTGAAGTCCGGTACAGGCGCGAGACCGCCCAGCCATCCGGCTTGCAGCATCCGCCCACCGGTCTTGGTCATCCGGATTGACTCCAGAAGTACGCTGTTTCCGACGAGGTTTAACACTTTATCGAAGCGTGGATCATTTTCAGTTGAATTCGCAGTTATATGTAAGTCGAGCTGTCGTTCCTCGCGCAAAACGTTCACCGCGCCCATCTTCTTGAGCCATTCGAATCGTTCTCCGCGCCTCGTCGTCGCCGTAACTTTGGTCCCCGCATTTACCGCGAGATTGAGTGCTGCCTGCCCCAGAGTCGACGTCGCCCCGCGAATCAGAAGTCTCTCGCCGGGCTTCAAGTCCAAAATAGTAAAGAGACAGGACCACGCGACGCAGTAAACCTCCGGAAGCGCCGCGAGCTGCTCCCAGGGAAGCTGCGTGTCGAGCGGTATAACATTCGTGACCGGCACTGTAACGTATTCGCCATATCCTCCTGGCCGGCTTCGTCCCATGCCTCCCATCACTGCTGCGATCTTCGTGCCGATGGGGATTTCGCTGCCTGGGCACGCTTCTACGATGCCGACGCATTCGAGACCCGTGATGGGGTTCCATTCGTCCCATTCGCCTTTGCGCATGTGCATTTCGGCGTGGTTCAGGCCGAATGCCTTTACGGCGATGAGGGCTTCGCCGGTAACGGGGGTGGGTTTGGGGACGCGTTGGTTGATGAGGACTTCGGGGCCGCCGAAGGACCTGATGACGATGGCTTGCATTTGGTCGGCCATGGTGGTGGTGGTATCGGGGATTTTGATGGTGCTTAAAGATGGATGGGGAAAGCTTTCGATTAGTAAGTAGAAGAGGTGGAGTGCTTGTTGTAGATGAGACTGCATCATACTCTATGCGATATTTTATATGTGCTTCTCCCCAAACTTTCCGTCGTCGACTATTAGCAATGGGCGCGGAATTGATGGTGTTGCGATGAGTGATGGTACCGCTGAGTAATGCTTTGGGAGGCACATACGTCTTCGCAGCCGTCTTTGGTGTAAACTTCATAAAGTAAATTCGGAAATTCGGCACAGGCGAATCTATCGTGGCCAATGAATGCTGCTCTGTCCTAATACTGAACTCTCCGCGGCCGAACGATTCGCTGCCATCGCAGGGACTCGTCATATGAGTAATCGGCGCCATAAGGAATCATGCGGCGGGTATGTTGTCAGGAAAGCGGAATTGTAGGGCTGGGAGTACCTCGTCGGAGAATTTCATCGTAATGTGGGGTAGATTTTGTTTGTCAGCCATGGCATCAGTGAACGCTAGGCAGGCGTTATGCTAAGAACTGCGCAACTGTGACTAGAAGTGCGCAGCCTCTTCATTACCAGCTACGGAGGATGCCTTTGACAACCTCTCGGCAGTTTTCGTCGCATAATCGCATCGGATTTCCTGTCGTTCTCTCCGTCTAAAAATAAATTTGGGAGATGGCGTGCTCGTTTGGGACGTTTTCAATTTGCCAGCGTCAGTACGGAAAAGACAGCTGCAAAAGCTGGAACGAGCGTTGACGCTCCAGCGCAAAACTAAGATGCTGCCACCATGGGTCGTTTCGTAATGTCTCGTTTCAATTCGCGCCCGGCCCCCCTAGGAAGATATAAATACTCTCGACCCCGCTCCTGATGATCTCCTCGCCGCATCCCGCCGAGACCACCAAAAGGAACGTAAAGGCCGCTCATATCTCTACGTTGTCCTCTACTTGCGGTGGACCTTCCTCAAACACCATGCGCCCCAATATCCCCGTCTTCATCATTGAATTGGAATTTGACCGACGATGGACCTCCCAAAAGCCTCCACCAGGCTTTGAGGACCTTTGGTTTAACTTTGTCACCAATGCCAGGAAGAACATGGTCTGCGCTTGTACGAATTGTGGACGAGATCTCAGTGCCTCGAGTCTCTCAAATAGGGTCTATGCCTTTATCGGTAAGAACGCCTTGCGTTTTCGCAGTTATACGTTCTAATACCCATTCGCTGAAGGGCTGGATCCCTATGACTTCTGGAAGAACATAAGTTGTGAGAGACACGAGGCCTGTGCCGACGAGTTGTGCATCACCCAACTAGCGATGCAAGAGATGAAGCAAAGTCAAACCCACGAGTTGCTAGAATCATTACGACCCTTCCTCAGCGCTTCGCCACGAGTTCACCACCTGCTCACGATCGAAAGTCCGCCCCATTATTGTAGCGACAGCGGATTAGCAGATCTCATCATAGTGAAGACGCCGCCTTCTAGTTCTCTTCGCGAAGACTCTGAGGCAATTGTCAAGCAATTACATGACAAGTGCACTTCGATTACCGGCCGAAGGTTCTGTGACTGGCAACAGCAACAGTGTGGGGACTTGTATCACTCACTTATAGGAGCTGTCGAAGATAAACAAGTATATACCATTTGCTGGGTATTATACTGGACCGAATTAAAAAGGATGACAAGCTTTAAAGACCCGACCCAGCCAAGCGTAGCATCAAGGGAACGCACGCTCGATCCCTATTGGTGGGGCAGGGAGGTGTTGGAGCCCCTCGATGACCTATTGACACGAGGAGCTGACGTGGCCATGAAAACTGTTACGTTCTCCCCAGAGCCATACAAGTGGCCATTCCAACCCCAAGCGGAGGATGAATCAAGGGAAGGGAAGGGGCATCTCGAAGAAGAATTGGAGAGTGAGACGAAGGAATGTCGCTTGAAGAGTCGCGTTAGATCCTGCAACATCCTGTAATAGATACGAAAGAGAAGAATCTAGTATTGATAAGCGGCAGTGCGACTCCTTCAATGTTCTCGTCATTCTCCCTCCCCAACCTGAAATCCTGGTTGTCGAAGCACAAAATTCCTCCAGCCCGTTGTATCGCGAAAGTCAATCAAGGAGGTGGTGGTTGCGCGTAGCCCTTGTGCCAGTCCCACTCGCTCAAAAACATTGCTTTCCCAAAGAGGGCAAGGTTCTCCGGACTCTTTCCGGCCTTGCGCTGGTTATATTGTGCAAGCCGTACGGCTGCCTCCCATGTGTACGTCTTTGTCGCAACATTTTGGGATACGTGCTTGCCCTCTGCGTCACTCCACTTTGTCTCCTTGTGAGTCTTCAGCTTCCCATCTTTCGTATAAGTCTGCTCATCGTTACCTAGCTGGTGTTAGTAGGACTATTGAAGTTTGGTAGAGAGGAGACAGAATCCTACGGTTGGCAATTAGATGTGCAAGCTCATGTAACCAAGCTGTTGGGATATCCGTTTTCTTTTTGCCGCCGGCATCGTAAAGTGTGGTGATTTTGCCGGCTAGAATCAGCATGGTAGTGGTGCCTTTAATCGCCTTCTCGCCTTTGATTTTGTTTCGAACAGCATGAATCGAAGCGACAGCATCGTCTAGTCCCTGCAAGCTGCTTAGTATTGCGATCAACATCGATAGAAAGTCTGTGGCTATTTACCCCAGGACAGAAGGATACGAGTTTAGGAGGGGGTGCAGTCATGTCTGTGTAAGCCATTGTGTCGGCAGAACACTCCGGAGGGTCACCGGGATTCGCTGGCGGAAGGCTGTCGATGTAGTGGTATCCCGCGGGGTATTGGCTGCTATACCAGATGCCTCCCCTGGCAGCGCACTGAGGATCTGCGCAGGAGTCAGTTCGGAGCAGTTCAATTTATTCCTGTGTAGGACATACGAGTATCTTCGATCTTTTGCGAAGCATCCTCTGGGTCCGGCTCTCCATTCCTCACGAATCGAAAATGCTGGTCACTGCAATACAAAGTAGGACTTTCAAGGCCCGGCCCTGCCCTCGACGAGCACCTAGTAATAACTCCCGAGTAGAAGCCTTTTCGAAATCAGTGATGACCAGAACCGTGAGCTTCGCCTAGTATTTAGAACTTACTCTCTGTTAAGAATATAGCGTTGTCGCTAATTGGCTGCTTCATATTGCCTTGGTCATCCCAAGGCGAGCCGAACAGGGCTATAAAGGTGTTCCATACACGATTCCATCTGGGACGGTTATTCGCATTCGTTGGGCCATTCCCATTGTTGTAGTTAGTTGATATGAATCGAACATCTAGAAGCGCTTGCCTAGCGAATAGGCACACTTCCTCCCAGGCGGTCTTCAGTCGATCTTCATAGACATCGCAGCCTCCTTGACTGACAGGACCGGCGTGGACGTTCCAGTAAGGCTGGAGTAATTAGCAGTCCAGTTTTGGTCCGACGTTCCACTTGTAGCAGACTTACCCTTAATGCGTTGTCGGTGTTATCATTCGGAACCGCTTGCACCTCCAGCGTTAGTTGAGCTCCAAGAACGAACCAAACAGTGAGCCGGATTAGACTTTGCAGCATCATAATTGAACAGCTTGGTGGTAACAAGCGGGGACAAAATATGAAAGGAAGGTGTGGATGACGGAACTGGTGGGTGAAGTCGCTGGTAGCTGGGAAGAGTAAGAGGACGTCCTTGAACTAGATATATGCCTAAGTTCTCGATCATGATTGCCCTTAACTAGACAATGCTATGCGGGTGGCGAGCGAACGAAGAGCTCCTTCATAAATCTGCGCCACGATGTTTCATGGTTAGAATCCATAACTTTTAAAATACCCTTGCTAGGGCTAAAGAGGGAACAACATTCCCTTGATCTGCCCGATTTCAAACAGCATAGATAATGGTACGATCTGTCTAAGATGCGTAGCACAAGCCAAGCGTGGGACTGGGCGTGGGAATGTGGCACAGAAGCGTGCTGACATACGCGGCGCTTAACGTTTTCGCCCGCGCGAATTTTGGACACGCGCATGGAGAAGAAATCCATGATTGGCTCAATCAGCGCGAAGCCTTTCTGAGCCCTTATGAGCCGTTCTAACCTTGGGAACTGCGGTTCGTGCTTGGCCACGTGCTTCACCTTCGAGCGCTTGAATCTAATCGACGGTGCATACCTGCCGCTACGCCTCACCAGTGTCAACATGATCGATCCCTTACCACACTGTTTTAATTCTTGACAAATTAACGCGGTGTTTCGTTTCATCTCGAACGGTGCCGTCCTGAATCCCTACGAAGATATTTGTGACTGTTGAGCCTTATACGCCTCTTCCTTCTCATTTCGGATTCACTAGGTCCGAACGATCAACTATTTTCATTCATAACCCTGTGAAGACACATGATGCAGTCGGATATAAATGGCGCAGGGTGATGCTATGTTTGGCTGTGGCTTAGTTCACTGACTTCGAAGAAGATGGAATCTACATATACAGGCCTGAACAGTCCTACAAGCCAAGATGCTCTCCACCGGCTTCAAGCCTTCTATGAATTGTCATACCTCTTGATAAAATTCTATACACGAGTGGACTGTTTCTTTCTTCTCGGGCAAGGCTTCGCTAGTCGGCAGCGTCATGGCGAAACCTTTTTATCTACTATTGTATGTTGGGCTATCTGCCGGCATAGATGTCCTCGTCTGCACCTTCGAATCATGCTACGCAACTCAACCCGACCTTCCACGACCGACTACAGTTACCGGGTCTGATGGACAGCCATCGTTTCTCATACCTTTTGTATGGCCTGACTTGGCCGATCTTACCTCTACTACTACGGTCACTACCAGCATTACCGAGACCGATGATACGGGTGCACTTATCACACCTAGCGTACCTATTATTGTTCAGCCGCAAGGTTACTGGTATGTTCTCTAACACTTCAAGAGAAGACAAAAGGAGCAACTGACGCTATTTAGGTGGAGACACGAGCTGCTTGGACCGCCGGTGACTCCTCCGGGACCTCAGCCTACCGGTGCCCAGCCGGCTCAACCTCCACCAAATCCATCTTCAGCTGGTGCGCCAGTAAACACTGGCGCACCTGTCTCCGGCGTGCCTGCTGATCAACCAATTGTTTCTACCTCCACTTCCACCGACTCTACTGGTGGCCTTGTACTGATCCCCATCACTCTGTCGGGCGCAGAGCCATTGCCCGCCTCAAGTGACGTACCTTCACCACGTCCGGAAAATAGTGACACGGTACAACCTCCAGACGGCACCGAAACACCTTTGCCGCCTTCTCCCGATAGCAGTGACGCAGGCACGCCTGTTCCATCTTCAACAAATGCACCCCCACCCACAGGTTCGCCTACTCCTCCTGCTTCTTCTCTTGTCACGCCCATTGTTTCAACGTCCACTTCGACAGACTCTGCCGGGGTTCTTGTGCCGGTACCAATCACTCTTTCACCGCCTGGTCCAAACCCCGGCCCTGGTCCCCAGAATCCAGATAATCCAGACAGTCCAGATAGTCCAGAAGGTCCAGAAGGTCCAGAAAGTCCAGACAGTCCAGACAGTCCAGATAATCCAGATAATCCAGATAACCCAGATAATCCGGAAACGGAAAACCCTGATGGAGAAGGGGACCCCGTTCCCACACCTACGCCGCGCCCTCCACCTCCATTCGGTCCAGATACCGACATCTGCGAGACCTCCCAAGCGGCCGACGTATGCACCGCCTTCTGTATAGCCAGCACGGTCGAATCGCAGACCACGCTGACAACCACCTGCACTACGACCGTGTGTGGGACATACCATGCGTGCGTAGCGACACCAGCGACTACTAGCACAATCAGGACGAAGGGCGCTCAGTCTGTATGCCTGCTTCCGGCCAACCCGCCTCAGGTTCTCCTTCATCCAGATGAGGACATTCAGGAACTAGTCGACGCTGGCGAAGATATTGAGTCCATGATCCAGATATACAACCCGAGTACCCCAGCTACGACAGATGCCTCAGCTACGCCTAATCCATCTGCGGTGCCTTCGACGTTCTCCACACTGACCGGCGCTCCTCCCACGACCGAAAACCAGCCACCTGCCCCTACGCCGGAGCCCACGGAAACACCTCAGCCTCCGCCTAAACCTTCTCCGTCCCCGGAACCACAGCCTCCACCCCCAATCACGAACAAGTGGCGCATCAAAGTCCACCAGCAAATGGAGTTCGAATTCTCTCAAGTCCAGTACGTCACCTCTTCTTCCCCTTCCTACTCTACCACGCTAACCTACCCCCCAGATGGTCCCTCATCGACTCCAACGGCAACGAGCGCGGCTCCGGCCAGGGCTCGCCCATCAACGGCGACGAGCTCCCCTACCAAGTCCTCGTCGAAGTGCGGGACCCAACCAACAAAGACAAGACCGTCATCGTTTTCATCTACGATCGCAAAGTCGACGGCGGCGTTAATGGCTGCAGGCCTAATTGGAGTACAGTCGACGATGAGGATGGGGTGCTTGGAGCTTGCCCCGGTGATAATGGTTGTGATATGGACAGTGTTGAGTGGAAGGGATGGAATGCTGGGTTTGAGAGGTTCTTCGAGTGCCATTTTGAGGCGGTGACGGGAGATTTTGGCATAGTGAATCCGCGGGGCAGTCTTACTGGCGAATAGTATGCGGTCTTATGCGAGAGGTGTTAGACGGTAGTGCCGAATATGGAAGGCCCTTGATCTAGTGTGGATTTTGTGCGATAGAATAGAGAAATGAGAAGTGTGCACATCATTTCTATTTAGTAATATTGATTTCTGCAAGCTGCGGCGGCGGACACGATGCGGAAAACTCACAAGTTGAGCACCTCCGACATCCTTCACAGTTGCAGTTCGTAGTCCCACACCTGCACCTTCCTCTCTCCAAAAGGTCCACCCTGACGCACAAAAACGCTCAGCACGCCATTCTGCGCTAGCCGTTCTTCATCCACCTGCGGTTCCCCAGCCATATTGATAATCGTGGCCATGAGCTTCCAGTCTTGGTAATTCCCTTCGGCGGTCGCACCCCAAAGAGTGACTGTATTCTTTGGCGCATCAGGCAGAATTGCGATGAGACTGTCGCCCTTCGCAGCTAGCTTTCCTCTGTAGGCGAGATAAGGAGGGTTGGATAGTCCCGGAGCATTTATCGCTGTTTTGCTAAAGGTGCCAGTGGATGTGCGCAGGTAGTGGTAGAAGCGGGCAGTTCCAGACGACTTGTCGCGCATGAGCGCGTGGAAGCGGCCATTTTCATCGGCGGTTTGCGCTTCCTGGTTCATGATCTCACTATTCTGAGGAATCGTGTATACTTTGATGCCAGCAGTCGAAGGAGTGATCGGCTTTGAGACGGAATTACCGCTGGTGGCCTTCCACGTCCTCCCATCGTCTTCTGAGAGAGCGAAGTAAAAGTCGTGATTCGTGCTCGCATCAGGCGTCTCTCGGACCGTCCAGCTAACGTAAAGATTGCCATTTGAGGAGGTGACTCCGTTGATATAAGCGTTGTTATCCTGGCCTTGAAGGTATTTCCCCACGTTACTCCATTGACCGGAAGTGCTGGAATAGCGATGAACGTATGAGTCGCCAGCGCCTGATTGGCCGATGCGGAATTCCATCAACATGTCACCATTCGCGAGTCGCTCGAAGCGCGGATAAGTGAGCGGCGTCCATGGGCCTGAAGATCCGGGTAGGCTGTGTTGGACCGAACCACCAAAAGTGCTCATACTCCAATCTGAAGGTATAGTTTTCGCGACGCCAGACGTTGAGACGCGATAGTTTAGCGGTACATCGTGATGGTCGAAGCTTAGGTGTATTTTCCCGTCGCCGCTTATTCCCATGCTAATTGTGTTGTGTTCATCCAGCGTATGCTGCTCGTAGTCAGTGAAGGCAAAGTATTGCCAGTCACCGACAGATGGTGCAATGCGACGTCGGCCAAGGTTAACGTAGTGTTTTCCATATCCGCTGGCGGTCTTGTAGAAGGTAACGTATTGATAATCGCCGAATGTCGTGAGAGCGCTCTGTTGGAAGGCGAGGCCGTTCAGGTGGACCGAACCTTCCACATCGTTGCTTATATTATAGTATTTGGTCGAAGTAATGGAGATGGCGTTAGCATATGATAGCAGCGTCGTGAACAATGCGAGAAACCGCATTAGAAGAGCCATCATTGAAGGTGCCAGGATGGAATTTGGGCCACTGGCGAGCTCGGGGTAAAGAGTCTGCTGTTCCTGGTTCTCGTGATATGGGTTTCCGGGCGGATGTCGGGCTTAGTGGTCGGTCTAGGGTCATGATTTGCGGATAAATCTATTTCGGCCAATATCTCTTATGAACCCCTCTTTAGCAGGTCCATGAAGTTCCACGTAACGAAAATTCTTGCCTAGGTACTTCGCATCCCTTGGAATGATAACGGAGGCCACCTAGAACAAGCTGTCGAGCGTAAGTGTGCCGCACTGCCGACGAAGCGCTCAGCTGAGATCCTGATACTGGCATCGGGTCAATGATAGCACGAGCTGGATTCTTGCAGTACCCATTCTGTCAGGATTAGGCTACGACAGCCGAGTAAAGTGGTCGCGATGCACCTCGGCTGTTGTTGCAGGTTCCTGCGTGGGAGGCACGTGGGAGTAGCGCAGGAACGATAAATCCGTCAGAAGATGGTTAAGCAGGGGAACATTGTCACATCTTTAGCTGTTCGGTCGTGAGCGGGCTAAAGAACCCAGCGCTACCTCGCGGGCGAAGGAGATGCGAGGTGAGAGGGGTGTCGGCTGTCGAAGAGGATTCTTCCCCTGACATCTCGGTCCGAATTCTTATCGATAAGGCTCACCGATCCTCCCGACTTCCGTTTTCACCTCGCACCCATCCATCATTGACACAGCGGCAATGGCTCCGCATCTGACCTACCCGCCTCCACGCTCCCTTCGCATGCCGTCTTCTCCGCAATGCTGCCGGCTACATATATGAAGGCGCCTTTTTGCGCAAGCAAACGCGATCACTCCCATACTCTTCGCCACCGAAGGTATCGCCAATAGTGTCAGGATTGCCGTACCGACAAGTTGATGGATCCGATCCGCTCGTCTTTCGCGTCTGATTGACGTTGTTAGATTTTTTTGCAGGATTGGGAGGCGTCGATGCCTTTTGTGAGGTCTTAGTCGGCTGGTGGAGTTGGTCGTATGTCTTCTTTTGGGTCATGGGTGCCCGAGCGGAGAATGGGTCTCGGCTCGGGTATGACAGTCGTTTTATATCCATCGGAACTGACATATGCGTACATGATCACATTCTATGGGTATTTAAGCTTTCTCAGCACTTTCTCGGTCATGCTGTGGAGTCAGCTCTCGTTTCTTTCAAGACATAAACTAATACACCATAATAGGGTCGAATCGATGTGCATAGACAAGCAATCACGGTCGAATCGACGGTGGTGGCGTTCTGGCGGCACAAACACGTTTGGTTTGACAAGGAGACGCGCAGAACTTCGCGACGCAAACATCAAGCTATTGCGACTACGCGGATCGTGGTCTCTGGATCATTCTCACGTTTCCTGGCGTTTCCAAAAGCAATCACCGCAAGCATATATCTTGGGTCACACGCAAGGCTCCAGTGCTGCAACGCAACTCTCGCGATGTACCCGCCTCCGGTTCCTCCCCCACGCCGCGCCCGACTGCGAACTCAGCCCAAAAGGGCGTACAACGTCGAGCGCATGTATCATCAAGACGCCACACCGCCATCGCCGTTTGATTATCCCTTCGCCACTCCTTTCGACCCTCCCATCAATGATAGCGCCATCCCAAGCATCAGCCCGTCCAAGGACCCAGCCGCACTTCCGTCCCGCGCGAACGCACTCAGTCGACGCTGTACGGCACTCGCCAACAGTATCAGCAATCTCAATGCGGTCATCGAACCTCTCAAGTCGCTGAAGCCAGAAAGAATCGCGAAGGAGCATATGGTCGACGTCTATCAAGAATCACAGAACGTCTGGTGGGCGGTTCTGGAAATGGAAGCACAAATGCAAGAGGTGGGAACCATACTTGACGAGATCGTGAAGCAGCAGGAGAAGGACAAGGACAACAATGCGGGTTGGCCCTATGAGGAGAGGACGAGAGAGCGCGGATTTAGGTGGGGCTGAGCGAAAGAGGGTTCAAGGCGGTGGCTGAGTGCAGGGGCACTATCGCGGGACTCATGATAAAGATACCGTACCAACGGGCCTTTCTGAATGCCCCGCCGGCGAATTTCATAGAATGAATATGCGGTTTCTGGAGTCTGCAGGCGGGGAATGATCTGGTCACGTGATGTACTCTGGAACGAAAGTTCGACTAAGAGAATGGTAAAGCACACCGAAGAACTCAGCAATGACCACTATTTCACTCTGAGTCTAGTGTACGAAGGACGTAAGTCGCCACCAACATCCCCAGTAAGGGAAGGAAGATCCCACTCGCTGACAAGTACCACAGGATGTCCAACGAGCGGGACTGCTTCTCAGCCCTCGCGAAAGCTCCTCCATCCCGTGTCTTTCGGTCTTCTACTAAGTTCTTGTAAATTTGCGGATACATGGGCCGGAACCACTGTTGCAGGAGCTTCACCGGATTCCTTCTCCATCCATCAAGGTGCCCAGTCGTAAGCTTCATATCTCTTAACAGCAGATCGATGTAAAGCGTCGCATGGGACCCTATATGTGTCCCCTTCGCGCCATGTGCGGCAAACGTTTGCGACTGCCACTGATAGAAGTGCTCGACATCTGTGCATAAGATCAGCAAGGATCGACGTCATAGTCCGAGAAAACTTTAAATACGAGAATCCGCAACGCAGGAGGCATGACCCACGGAGCTCAACGATCTTACCTTCTTTGATCTTTTGGGCTTTGGGAAGATCCAGCTTCCCCAGAAAATACTCCGCAATCCAGTGCGCGGATACGAAGGAGACAGTCGGGTTGAGCAGGGAATATGCGAACCCGCTAAACGCGATGTTGCGGGACGGTGCCGACCCCATTTTTGGATGCACAGTGGCGGGAGGCACGAGAAGACGATGAAGCTTCAAGAATGGAAGGTCAGTTGGATCGGAGTCTAGATTGTCAGGCATGATTCCAAGCCGTTGCAAGGTGTCGACGGTGAAGAATGGGAATGCCTAGGCAAATCAGCAACACACTCACAGGAAAAGAACGGAACGCTTTACAATCTTGTATCCTGTGGCCCAAAGGACGTTGTCGACGTCTATCATCGTCGCACTCCCTTGGTTTGTTCGGACGTTAACCCCGCGGTCTGATATCGACTCTATCGAGCCTTCAATGATGCCAATTTTCTTCTCTCGGACAAGGTCCAAATAGCCTTTCGGAGCGACATGAAGAGCTCCGGAAAGCGCTTCTCTTAGGGGATGACTTGGGACGGTCTCGTGAAGGTCCAGCTGCCCAAGAGATACCTTGAAGTCCGCCTCTACACATCGGAAGATCGTGTTTGTCAGCCACTTTCCAATCGCCGTCTCGGCTATCCACCGGTGGAAAGAATCCGGGTGGACAGCGAAAGGAAGCCACGCGTTCTTGAAGTGTTAGTAGAGATCATTGGTGCGCCAACGGATTTTGAAGACTTACAAGGAAGCGCGAGAAGAGGAGTCGCTCGAAGTATATCATTCCGCCAAGTATGGAACGTGGCGACAGCCAGTGCGGCCGCTTGTAAAGCAGACTGACTTTTGGTGATCTTCGATCATCAGACCATGCCCCTGTCGCAATCAAAGTCGCCAAATCGATCGCTGATTTTCCAGCTCCTACAATCAGTGTATGCACTGAGTTTGATAGAGCATGTCGTACATCAGGATCCCCGACATCGGCAGAGTGGAATATGCGCGGCCAGGTTTTAGGTGGTCCTTGTCGCGGTAATCCAGGTATGTTCTTTTCGTGGTATAATCCATTACAAACAACCAGAAACTTGAAGTAACTTTGGAAATCACCAGAATTATCTCTTCCTCGAATCAGCCATCGTCGTGTTTCCGCATGCCAACTAACGTCTTGCACTTCGCTGTTGAACTTCACATGACTCTTCAAACCATGCGTCTCAGCAAAAGCGCAAAGGTAGGCGTTGATGTCTTCCGCTTCAACATGTGCTCCGACTTTTCTGACGTCATCTGGGTACTGAAACCCTGGGATCTCGTATGTCAGCGCTGGTGAATTGCTAGCGAGTCCTGGGTAGATTCGTTCTCGAGACCATACGCCCCCAAGGCTGGGTTGCTTTTCGAAAATAGTGATGATTGAGAAGGCGTCGTCCGTCTCGTGTAGAAGAACCTTCGCCGTTACCAGACCGAAGAGTCCTGGAGTGCTGGTCAGTGGCACCTTTTCGGGGAATGCGGTAGCGTTCTCAGATACTCGGCTTACCTGCGCCGATTATGGCGACGCTGTTCTCGTCGCTAGCCGCCATTGCTGGAAAGGCCTCTTCCCATAGAAAGATTTAGGAGCTGTCATGAGGTATAGCCAGAGCAATGAGACCAGCAGCTGAACCGCGGCACTCCCGCACGTGGGGTGGATATTGCGCTGCAGATGCGAGACGCGAGGGCCATGCGGAATACGAAGTATTCCCAGCCGCAACCGCGGGCAGGGTCTAAAAATGCGCTAATCCGACCTGCCGGAAAAGTAAGACACTTAGCCACAAAAATAGTCATTCATTATCAGTTCCGCACCGACGCGAGACACGCTCGTGTTCAAATTATTGGTCGCTGAATCAACTTTGATTTGCCTGCGTACGCTAAAGGTACTTTCCGTTCCCTGCGTTGATCGATAACACCCGCGAACTTGTTTTGACCAATGGGGTTCTTAGGAAAGACTATCTGCACAGCTTGGTATCAGGCCTTGCGTAGCATGCAGTCAAGCCGGTTTATCGATCGTACCGTGTCGGTCAAGCTACCGATTTTAGTCCAACCCGCGGCTCGATAAATGAAGATCAGGCAACGACAGCCCTCAAGCTGCATGAGACATTCGAAGGAGGGATCTCCTGCAGGGCCACCCATACCCTCGCTCTACGAAAAGAAGCAAGAGCTGATGAACGAATCGTCCCAGGCCCGAGTACCTGGCCGACACACCTGGAGTGTTGAATTAGACCGAATAGATGAAGGGCTACCGATAGGAGACGTCATTCCTATATGTTCATAAAGCAACCTTCCATGGTTCTGATACCGTACTGCACTGCATTGTTCTTACACCAAGACATTAGACTACCATCGTGCTAGTTCAACATGTCTTCTCTCATTGCTATGCTCGCTCTAGTCATGCTCGGATTCTTCGCCCGCCACTTCTCGTTTCTATTGGCGTTTTTCCAATGGCGCACAGAAGCAACTGCGGCCAAGGCTCTCACCAAGACCACTTCACGAGCCTTCGAGTGCCCATACGAATACCTTCTCCACGTCTACGGTCCACATCACTTCAAGAAGATCATCTCGTTTCTCCGACCGAACCTGGAGACCGAAGATCCGCAGCTTTACGCTCTCGCTCTCGAAGCCTTGGATGCAGTCCATTTCGGAGCCATCCTGGTGGACGATGTCACGGATGGTTCAAAGCTCCGGAAAGGCCAGATGGCAGCGCATCACATCTACGGATCCTCGGAGACGATAAATCGCGCCTATCTCGTCATCTTGAATGTGACGATGAAGTGCCAAAAAGAGCGTCCGGAACTTGTACCATTTATTCTGGATTGCATCACCGAGATCCACCAAGGTACGCATGTCAGTCTGATGCGACCGGCAGTACCCAGATACTAACTCTGTTTCTTAGGGCAAGACGATTCGCTTGTCTGGCGTCGCGATGGCTTCCGCTTCCCAGAAAAGTCTGAGGAAGCTCTTCTACGGTACCGCCGTTGCGCATCAATGAAGACTGGAGCTATGTTCAAGCTCGTGGGTCAGCTCATCACGTGCTCTCACGAGCTGGACGAGCTCATGAACGAATACGGGTGTGTTTCGCTCCCCGAAGCTGCCGTGCATGAAGTTAACCTTATCTCTCAGGTGGTACTGCCAGCTGCAGAACGACTGCAAGAACGTCTTCTCCTCTGACGTTGTGGCTGGAAAAGGCGCCCTTGCCGAAGATCTCATCAATGGCGAATACACCTACCCCATTCTGGTGGGACTATATGCATCAGACCACATCAAGGCAGCTATTTTGGACGCATTCGATCGGCGAAGGAATAACGCAGCTGAATCGGAAGCTGCATTGCACCGCGCCGTCCTCGCACTTCAGAGGGAAGAAGTCCGCAGCGTGTGCCTGAAAGACCTGGAAGACGCGAGACACCGGAATCAGCATTTCGCTTCACTGTGGGGCAGGCAAGAGATGATGTCGCTTTCCTCCTCGTAATTCTTCTGAACGTCTTTTTAGGGCAATCCAATTTTGGGCGTATTGATGATACCAAATGCGTATATGCAGTACCGTGGCCGTTGTGGCGCCAAAGATAAAACGTTGCTTTTCTCGTCCCATCTCGTCCCTCCAATCATTTTCTGCCCATTGTCGACCCAAGCTTCGCAAAGCGAGACGTTGTGCTTCGGTCCCCGAAGGTTAAAAGCAAATACGAAAGGGTTTTCGTATCCGCGCAACGCCATGACGGAAATGGCGCCGATACCGAATACGAAGGACGCGCCACCCCGCAGATACTCACGATTTTGGCTCTGCATCAGGCTTCATATGCGCGATAATTTCTCGCACGTGCGGAGAATCCTTCCTTAGGCTGGACGGTACGTGCGATACCATGTCTTCAGCTCTCAGGACTCCCGAGTATCCGTCGGTGGAACGAGATTAGACCGTTAGACTAATCGTCTCCGGCGCGGCAGGGTGAGAGCGGGAGCTTATCCGCTTGCCCTGGCTCTGAATACGTGATAGGCCCGCGACGGCCCACGGGTTTTGTTCGGAAAGCTTTCCGTACCACACCAACATTTCCTAGGTGCCAAAGGTTCAAAGACCGAGTTGTGCTCACCATCTCCCTTCTGGAGCTCCAACGAGCAAACTTAGCAAGAATGGAAATCAAGCTTCCGACCTTACCCCTAGGCCCCATTGATGCGAAGAACAACCCGCCGGAGATCTACCTATGGGTGCAAGATTACCTCACCATTGTGATGGGTCTTCTGTGGATAACCGCCTATATACTCTACATTCGACAGGCATATCGCGACTCCTCCTATGGCATGCCGATTCTCTCACTGTCAGTTACCTCAGTATAGCGACATTCTCCTCAGCTAATCACAGCTAGATGCACCAATGTCGCATGGGAACTCGTCTACGGTCTCTTCTACCCGCCCGGTGTAGCTGAATTCGTTACATTCCTCCCCTACTTCCTCGTGGACCTAGGCTTGGTCTATACCACAATCCAATTCGGTGCGAACGAATGGAAACATGCACCATTAGTTCAAACCAACATACATTGGATCGTACTTCTCGGAACTGGCATGCTTACCTGGGCGCAATACTCGTCCGCCATCTTGCTCACCGACGTGCATGAGGCGAGCTTTTGGAGTGGGTTCGCATGCCAGATGATTGTGAGCTGGACCGCGTTATCCCAACTCATCTCACGAGCCAGTACGCGGGGCCATAGTTTGCTGATATGGTGAGCCCAACATGCCTAGCAATTGGGGTGGCGGCGAGCAGATCGAGCTGATGACATGCAGGTTCTTCAGATGGTCGGGCACGCTTTGCGCCATTGCCGTGTTTCAATGGCGAGTGTACCATTATCCCCGAGATTATTCTTATATCCATACGTCGGCGGCAACATTCCTTTTTGTGGCGGCGGAATTAGCGGAGTTGGCGTATCCGTTTGTATTTACCTATGTGCGGAACGTGGAGGAGGGACTGAAGAGTAAGACGGACTAGGGCGGGCTGAGCCACGTGGAGCTTGCAATCTTGTCACTGAATTGTCCCACAAAGCTGTGCTAGTCGGTCCCTCTAGCATTGTAAAGCGGTCCTCCTGGTCCAAGGTGGAATGCCACCTGCCCGTATTCTTTCGCATGGCAGTTACACAGCCAAGCGCTCGTGTTAATATAGTGCGGATCTCGGCCATGTACGGAGGGTCAGGCGAAGAAACGTCCTTCAATTATGCTTGCAATCGATCGATATCAAATGCCTCGTGGCACATCGCCAGGGACTGTTTCGGGTTCCGAAGACAAGTTAATATACATTACCAAAAATGCGACCTGCCACCACGTGTCTGCGTCAACCTTATTGCTCCCGACCAACTTTAATTGAACTGCAGGCTGCTTCAGCTGCGCAGTTACATAGGGCCGTATTCGTATAGCCTGCAGACTCCAAGACGGTTGCCTGCGGATCCCGTTCTATTGTTCGCCACGTTCTTATCTCGTAGGAGCTGCATCGCGTCCAAGAAAACGATATGCACGTCAATCAATTGCGCGGTACCATTCTCGGTCTGCGAGTATTTCCATTGGAGCCTCGGAGTCTTCTGGTTTCTTGGTCGCGATGTCGCTTTATTAGGACGGAATTTTGAACCCTATCCATTTACTCGGGTTTTCCAGGCCCAAGGACTCCTCCTTCATCCCACGGTCGGCCCAAATTCCTACGCCATGTCTCAATATGCAGCTTTGGAGGTGCCATCTAATGGCGATCATAGCAAAGGGCCAGCACTGGAAGCCGTGAATCTGGCGTCGTTCTGTCTCGCAGCTGTTGTGGTTACCGCAAGAGTCCTATATCGCATGGTGAAGACCAAGCAAACATCATGGGACGATTATACAATAATTATAAGCACAGTGAGCTTTTCGGCCCATCTCAAAAATGTGATACTGACCCTTGAATAGGTCGCGGCGGCTCTCAACACGGCCTTCATCGTCAAATACGTTGAATCCGGCGGAGGCAGGCACGCTTACTACCTAGGCATGAGTGCTCTAGACGCAAAGAAATGGAGTACGGTCGCTCAGATACCGTTCATTCTGTCCACGACACTCACCAAAGTGTCGATCGCGCTCATGATCCTAAGGATCTCGAACAGCCGGAAGCTCAAGTGGTCGATGGCTCCCCTAATTGCCATCGTGGTCTGCGTGAATTTTACGGGCCTCATTATGCTCGTGGCGGGATGCACACCGTTCGAAGGACAGTGGAATTACATGATCCAGCGCAAGTGCTGGCCACGAGAGGCGATGATGAGCCAGAATTGGCTTCAAGGGGGTAAGTAATTGGTACGATCTCAGTAAAAGCACTTACTAATACCTTCAGCCGTGTCAATCGCCAGTGACTTCATCTATACTTCGCTCCCCATCTTTGTGGTGTGGGGCCTCAATATCACGAGGAGACAGAAGGTCGCGATCAGTGGACTTATCGCGTTAGGTCTTTTGTGGATATCCCATCTCCGAAGAAAGTACCAGCGCTGACGGAAGAAGTGCGACGGCATGCTCCATTGCCCGCATGGTGCTCTATGCAACGTTCACCGACTGGAACGACACGACGTACGCCTTTTCAGACCTTCAGATCTGGACTGCGTAAGTCGACTCACGCTAGAGTCTTCCAGCCTGTTACTGATGAGCGCAGCCTGGAACAAAACTTGGGCATAATCGCTGCAAGCTTACCCACCCTTCGCGTCTTCTTCAAGGAACTGGGCCGAGCTATCGCGACATCGTCTCGCTCGTTATTGACCGCTTTCAGCACCCGAAGCCCAGCAAGCTCGAGTGATGATTCGGGATCAACGAAAAGAGAGTCAGACGTTGAGAAGGGAATGGCGCAATGGAGCGATTCGGAAAGTGGGATGAGCGGCAAGGACTCTAATCAGGAAGTGCATGCGTTTGATGAGAAAGAACTCGATTTAAAATACCTCGGCGGTAGCCTTGATTTGTAGAGGCTGCGTTTGTAACGTACGGCTGGCGGAGATATGTTGGGAGACACGGGTCGCGATCCTGCAACGGAGCAGCTTTAAGGCAATAGATCGACCTGTACATAGATGCCACGACGAAATTATATTGGATTCGATCAATTCATGTCAAATCAGTGATGTTGTGCGTTGTCTAAGCGATTGTTCGCAATAGGTGCAGGTCAGCAAGGTGCGTAGTAAACGAAAATACGAAAGGCGGGGCAGGTTTCGGAGTGCGACAGCGGTGAACGGAACCGCCGCTCTTTTAGTGCCCGACGGGGAACTCACAACGCATCTATAGAAGACGCAACTCTACACCATTCGAGACGCGCAACACATCTGGGCTCAACATGGCTGTACTGGGCTTGTCGATATCTCAACTAATCTTATACTTCTGTGGAGTTGAGTCCTGGCGCCACCGAATCCATCATTTTAGCGCGAACATTCACTGACGAAAATTAGTACCTTATCTTCAGCCTCCTCCGCGCTGTTTACTACGCTTTCTTGCATCCCCTAGCTAAGATCCCTGGACCGAAGCTGCGTGCAGCGTTCTACTTTCCTCATTTCTGGGAGATATACACTGGCGACGTCGTCTTTAATTGGCATGCACTGCATGAAAAGTACGGAGACATCGTGCGCATATCTCCGACTTGGGTTTCGGTGATCAAGCCAGAAGCATGGCGAGGTACGAGCACCTAACCTTAGAAGTTGAGACTTCAAAAAGGTCACGTGACGCATCGTAGTCGACTGGCGCTGAACTCATTTGCAGACATCTACGGCCATAGCATAAAGACGCCAATCCCAAAAGATCCGGATATCTACTTCAAAGATCAAAATGGCGTGGCGGATATCGTTTGTAGGTCACCAAAAAATAACCCTCGTGGAATTCCCAATGACCCGTGAAGGTGGACTGACCCACTACAGCATCAAATGACGCCGACCACACTCGTATCCGGCGTCTACTAAACTACGCATTCTCCGACCAAGCCCTCCGGAGCCAGGAAGACATTATCAACTCGTACATCACCGTCCTTATCGACAAGCTCCACGAGAAGGCCAACTCGAACACTCCGGTCGATATCATGAGATGGCTTAACTTCACTACTTTCGACATCTTCGGCGACCTCTGCTTCGGAGAATCTTTCGGCGCCCTCGAAACCGAGCAGTACAACGCATGGGTCGCGAATCTCTTCAAAGGGCTGAAGATTGCACGCATGTTCCGGGTCTTCAGAGCGTATCCAATCGTGGGAGTGCCATTGTTCAGCTTGCTCAAGGTCTTTCCGGCGCTGGCGAAGGCAAAGCATCGGCATGAGATGTTTACGGCGGAGAGAACGGAGAAGAGAATGAATGCGAAGACTAGTCGGAAGGACTTCATGAGGTGAGATACATGATCTGCTTTGGGAATGTCCACTGAGCGGCATTAGCTACATTCTCAAGCACAACGACGAGAAAGGGATGACGCGAGCCGAGATCATGGGTACGATGGGCATCATGATCATTGCGGGCAGCGAAACATCCGCCACGTTGCTCAGCGGCGCCGTCTACTACCTCCTGAAAAATCGCGAGTGGCTAGCGAAAGTTCAAGAAGAGCTGAGAACCACATTCAACAAAGAGTCAGAGATGACCTTCGCATCCCTTAGCCAGCTCAAGATCATTAACGCGGTTATCATGGAGACCTTTCGCATGTACCCTCCCGCACCAACAACGCTACCCCGGTTGACGACCGAGGAGGGAGCCATGGTATGCGGGACTTTCATTCCTCCGAAGTGCAGTGTTGGTATAGCACAGTATCCGGCCTACAGATCTTCTCGGAACTTCAACAACCCTGACACATATGCGCCTCAACGTTTCCTAGACGATCCGGAGTACAAAGACGACAAGCGCTCTATTATCCAGCCGTTTTCGGTTGGGCCGCGGAACTGCATCGGCCAGAATCTGGCGTGGTCGGAGATCCGGACTATACTCGCGAGACTGATCTGGAATTTCGACATGGAACTTTTGGATGAGTGTAAGGGCTGGGAGGATCAGAAGGTCTTTATCTTGTGGGATAAGCCATCAATCATGGTTCGACTGAAGCCTAGGACCAGCATACTGTAGGTAATCACTTCAGTGCTATGACACCTAGTGCGAACCTAGAGTCCATTCTCCATATCCCATTCGTGACCGGAACCATACTCACTACCCATGCACACCGTCATGCGCCAATCCTCCCCCTTACTCTCCAGCACAACTACTACTCACTTCCACAGCTGTGCCCACAAGTCGAATCCCGACTTCCACTCCTTCATCGCCTCCTTGAGCGCATCCACCGCCCCCTCAAACTCCCCAAGGTATTCGCTCGTCTTCCGCAGCTCCGCAAGCATCTCCTCGTCCGGCCGTTTACTCGCAGTGCTCAAGCAAGCTACCTGGATCTCGAACTTGTCCTTGGCTTTGTCGAAGGCATCCATCGTCTTCTCGATCTCGGGGCACCGGTCGGTCCTGATGGCAGTGCGGAGTTGCAACATTTGTTCCTTGCGGTTGGTGCTCATGGTGGATGGGTGTGAGTGACGGAAATGTGAAGATGGGAGTGAGTGATTTGAGAAGAGGGAGAAGAACGGCGAGAAGTACTTATAGATCAGAGAGTTTGCTCGAAGCCCACGTGTCTAACGCATGTATGACCAAGGCAGTGTAGAAGAGACAATCGCTGCGACAAGCGTATGATGTCTCATCTCGCATGATTTGTCGCAATCTATTTCTTCACGTGCACAACATTGGCCAGCTAAGTTCCCCGTGACGCATGGCAATAGAATGCTGTGAGGGCTTGTTTAATACGGCAATAGGTACAAACACTCGATCCTGAAATCGCCTCAAGAGAATCCGAACCATCACCGCGAAGACTCTCAAACATCTTGTAAATGACAACATCCCAATACGAATCCGCTTCCAGCAAAAGCTCTTCAACAAAGAAATTATGCACTCATACGTATCCCACAGTCCCCACCATCTCTCACGCCTCTTCACGCCTACCCCTCTCCGCTATCTGCTCCAGCAGCGTAATCCAAGCTCCCAGCACCTTTTCATGCTCTTGCATCGCACCACGCAAGCTTTTCAGTACGTCCACGTCCATCGCCCAAGGCGCGTTGATCTTTTGGGCTTGTTCCCGTTCTCTTCCACCGTAGAGATCAGCGTTCCTCTCCTCGCAGAGCGCTCTCATTGCATCCCGGTCGAGTTTGAGCATTGCGGTCAATCTTGCAAGGTCACCTTCGACGTATGAACGGAAGAAGCTATCAAGATAGGCGTGGAATTCGACTGGGTTGACTTGAAGAGGGGTCAGACCAAGACCGTTTGAGCTGTTCAAGCTATTCGAGCTTTGCGAGCTGTGCTCCAGACTGTTGTGACGCGAATGCATTGCGTATGGATGCGTAGAAGCGTTGTTGTGGGTGACGCTCTCTCTCGTGCGGTCAGAGGTGATCAGAAAGGGCTCTACAACATACCAAGGACTCGGCCAGCCGTATGAATCATTTTAGGGGAGCCAAAATAGTTCGATTTGGGGGCTAGCAAACAAAAGAGCAACACCGTGCAAGCAACAACTTCTCTTTGCCTCCCAGAATGCTTTAGCAAATAACGGAACATCTTGCATAGGCTAGCAATCTCAGGAAAGCACTGGTGACATAGTCGCATACACAATCACACCGGCACCATGCGTCGCAGGGGTTCCGTTTCTGTCGGAGGGAAGATCAAGCACAGGAATCCCCCTTGATCCTCACAGCGTCTTCAACGCTGCTAGGACAAAACAGAGCCAAGCGGGAAAATTCTGTCGTCAGAGCCCCCTCTCATTTCATCTGCAAGCAAATCACCATAGAGTCCACGGGGTTCCGTAGGAAATGGAATACAAAATTACAAATGACTAAAGAACAAAGTATCGCAAAGAGATGAATCTAAAAAATCGAGCGATGTGAGCAAGTCAAGGAGAGACGAGGAAATAAAAGTACGCGCGACTTACAAACGCTGCCATGACCGCGCAAGTCTAAGGCAGCTTCGCAACCTGCTTCCAGCTCCCAGTATACTCCCAGTGCCACAAGTCACCCCTATCATCCTCGACGATAGCTTCCAACGCATGGTTGAAGCTACCCTGCGCCAAGCCCCAGACGTGTTTAATCTTCTTCCCGTATGCGAACGAATGCACCAGCTTCCACTTCCCCTTGACCCCTGCAACCGGTGGATTCTGCACAATATCGTCGTTGAGGCGCTGGAAGTGGTCGACATGGCCGTTATGCGCGACGAGCAACTGGAAACCCCCGAAGGCATTCTCGTCCTTGGCCCAGAAGTCTTGAATCATGACTGGCGGCGTCTTGCCAATATTGTAGCCTGCGGCAAACTTCTCGCCCACTCTCCAGCCCTTCTCGCCCCAGCGTCGCCAAAACATTTGGAGAGAGCCATCCTTCGTGACGGCAACGACGTACAGATTGCCAGATGTGGTAGAATCGTACACATCGTTGCCGATGTTAGATTGTACGAGGGAAGGCCCGGATTGTTTGATGTTGTCGGTGGTTATCATCTGTGTCAACTCAAGCCGGTCTGCGGTAGCGGGTTGTTTGAACTACATACTAGTTAGAAGCGCCGCCAAAATGATACGAAGTACGTACCTCTGCAAGGCCATTCTTAACCCGCCCCGCGACCATGAAGCCGGAATCGTCCGTTTCAATAAACCCAGGGTAGCCGCGGATCTGGCCATTGCGCCTGTTTCCCGTGACATCATGCATAGGAATCCAGGATCCATTTACTTCATTGTAAGCCCAATGCGCGTAAACATCGTGAGAATCGTCCCAATACACCATCTCCTTTCTTCGCGCGAAGCTCGTTTCGACGAATCCCGGCTGGCCCTTCACCGAGGTTCTCCACCGGCCAAAGGGCCACCACCACCAATGCTTGTGGTCCTTTACGTAGATGGTCTCTTGTTTGGTCCACGAGTATGGCTCCTCGGCCTGGCGAACGAGATGTGCTATGCTTCCGTTCCTGGTGCGGCGCAAGACCTCGATATCGCGATGAGTACTGCCATCACCGGTCTGTATGATGTTGCCGTTTGCGTGGCGCCGGCGCGCTCTTGGGTCTGGAGAAATGTTGGTGACTCCGTACTTTGGGCGTCGATCATCGTCGATTGCGACTTTTCCGTACCTTTATGGTCATTAGTCAATACGTCATCTTCACATATAGGGTTATTAGGGATGCCTCATACCCAATGTAAATGTATCCAGCGTCCCCGAAGTCATCACCCCATGAATTCCGCACGATCCAACAACTGCGGTTGTCATCATAGCCTACTATGAGCATGGCGTGTCCTCCCCACCCCTCGCCCGGTGCAGGGTCGTAATTATAGACACCCATGCTTGGCTTCCAAGATCCGAAGTTTCCGTAAGCATCAATTCCACCTGCCAGCGGCCCAACCTGCCATAACCAGCGCTTTTGCTCCTCAATGTCCTTGAGCTCGTAAACCTGGTATATTTCCAGAGCGCGTCCGGGACGATCAGCGCAAGTAGCATACGGTGCGAAGAAAGGCTCGTAAGGATCGCAAGTGTAGTCGCAGTGACCGTGGGTGTCTTGTTGAATCCATTCCAGAGCGAATTTGGCTTTCCAGCCGCTGCAATGGGTGCCGCTAGCTTCCTTAAGCTCACCCTCACTGCGCTTGTTCCAGACGCCGTGCTGGATGCGGGCAATAGTCTCCGTCACACCGGTGGCCGCGAACGCCCAGCAGCTGCCGCATGACCCTTGGTCCTGGGACTACATTAAAAACTAGATATTCTTGTGGGAATTAGGCACTTACCTGGACCGTTGCCAGCCAGTTAACACCCCAGCGATCTCTCCAGTCAACCACTTTCGGTCGCGGCCCAGAGAAATTACTACATTGGTTACCTCCAGTAGTACCAGGCCGCCGAACTGGCCCACAGTTATATGATTTGAACAGACTGTTCCAATCGACCGTTGCTGAAGGTACAGCTGAAGTTGCGGTGCGGGTCGGTTCATCAAGTTCACCGAAGAAGTATGTCTTCGTAGTTGCACTTGCAGTGACGACGACAGACTGGAGAGAGCTGCCAGGACTGCTTGTTGGTATCAGCAAGTCGGTCGCTGTCGGCGACGGCAGCTCTTGGGTTGCAAATATACTTGGAGAGCCGGACAAAGTAGACTCTGGGGCGGGGAATTCCTCTGGATCCAGAAGCGTTGGTGATGGGTCCTCGGATGCAGCGGTTGGGATTAAGTCCTCCACAGAGATTGACGTAACTGTTGGATCATCGGATGTGATTGGAGGAAGCTCCTCAGAAGCAACATAAGTCGGGTCCTGGAGGAGTTCTGGGTGCTCAGAGGCAAACTCTGCGTCCGACCTACGCTAATCGACATGAGAGAGTGGACAGCATTCAAGCCCCCGCCAGTATGTGCTTACCAGAACAGCGCCATTTCCCCAGACTGCGAAGAAGAGAAGCCAAAACACAGTAGCCCCCATGCTTGTGAAGAACGGAGGAAGAAGAAATTGGAATAGAGAAATAAAGGAAGGGATCTAGTCTCCCACCTGTACTACCACAACAGAGATTCCCCAGGTCACTCTTTATGTTCTGGAGAAGCGCCCAGACCCATGCTCAGAGCTATGAGTCTGTGCCACTCCCCCAACTGGCGCTGGCGCTGGCGCTGGCAGTGTAGCAAGTGTGTTCATATCAGCTCGAGGCGACTTGTTGGATCATGTTCTTGAGCTGTCAAGTGCGGCGTATCGAAGAGTCGAATATAGTCAGCCGGCTGAAGCTGTGGCAACCACCCCGTACCGAGTAGTGTGATATGCTTCGAGTCTTACAGATGTTGCAGTTTTACGGTACCTAAGCAGACGTAGAGGGTGATCAGCTGCGCCAGAGCATATTCTGGGGCACATGATTCCGATGCCCAGCCAGAAAAGGGAATTTCCAAGGCCGCTGCAAGCAAAGGGTTGTGAGCGAGCTGATCAGCTATTGGCCGAATGAAGCCGAGCGGTGCTCCGTATTTGGCCTGAATCATGGCTGCGATAGATGGCTGAGACTTCGGTGGGGTGACAAAACGCACTCTCGAAATAAGTGCGGCTATCTCAGCCGCGGATCTGCGCCCCGCGTGTTCGCCTTCGATTCCCCAGCTCCATACTCTAATAGGTGCGCATAGAGACAGGGACGGAAGTTGCCGAGATTATCGAGCCTATGAGGGACAGCACTCTTGCGGAAGCGACAGCGTGAAGAGGCTCGGCGGAAGCGTTGGAGAACAGCAAAGTTGCATAGCCACGGAGGTCTTTTAAGGCGTGTTGGAGAATACGTTGAGACGTATTGGAGTTACGACTGTACTGCTATTTTGGAGATACAGGATCATAAGATATAGGAATACAGGTGGTGTAACGCCTGAACACATGTGAACTTTCGGAGATTGTATAATCTATCTCCGAGATCCGAAATATTTCCGATGACCATCGTTGTCTGCTGACGTCGTGCCTTCTGCACATCTATTGTTGTTCATCAGCACCGCTATGACTCGCCGGTTCCCAGGATCTATGCAGCAGTTAACGAATTACAATGCATATATTGTGAAGGAATCATACCTTCTGTCCGCGCACGGCAAGGCACCGTATCTCCTCCCTCTCAATGAAAGATCGAGCTCATCAGAAGTGAGGAAGTAAATTTGTCCATTGGACCGTATCATAGATTCGGCTCGGTAGAAGTCACATGCATACGAAGGTTTCGACAAGCAGGATTGATCTTGCGACGAAATACATCATCGCGATAATGGTTCCTGGTGCGTCGACGGCCCATTCTCTCTAGAATGTACTCTTGGTCGCTTTGTTTTCGCAAATTCCTAGTATGGTAACGTAGAATTGAAGCCGGACTTGACTGAAAGTACTTCTACTAAATATTGCTCGAAACAGGACGTTGATTGAGTATCGATCGCATGCGAAACGAAAATCTGAAGGCATTTGAAGTAGAGAGAGTAGAACGAGTCCCGACTCCTCCGCTTGTTGATTGCAAAACATGGGCCAGTTGGGTTGTAGGTCCTGCGAAGTTTCTGCAAACCCTCGACGACGGGAGTGAGAACAGTCCTCGAGGGAAGATTCTCGTATCGGAAGGCATTATGTATCGGTCGGGATGCGGTTGCCGCCGCTCTCTTCGCACTGCCAGCCAACCGTGGCTTCTTTGCGACTTTATTGGATCAAATTTCCAGGGGTAATGAAAGACGGCACGTTTTGCAAGAGATCATGAGCCACCACGGGGCTATCGAGCCGGACTACAGGGCATGATCCCAACCACAGAGTAGTCATATTCCCCCATAGGCGGGAGAGTTTCAGGCAAGTTCTCCCCGGAACCCTGTGTAGTTTGTGGAAAGTCCAGATGTTGCCGAAACCCCCGAAAGGTGTTTGGCCCGGGGAAGACTGTATGTGTGACGGCGGGAGCTTCCGCACATGAGCCGGCATAGGACAGTGAACAAAATTATTAAGGTCGCTACGTACACGAATGGCATACTGATAATTCCACGCAGCTGTGACACGTTGACCTGACTGGCGTCCGTCTTGTTTAATGCACCTTCGAGTCAGCAAAGGTAGTTGCTAGAGTCGACACGCCCATGATGTGTATTGAGCTGCACATGGCACCCAACCCGTGTGACGATGTGCAGCAGCACCTGGACAGATTTGCTTAGTGCAAGGCAGTAGGTTGCCGGCACAGTGCACGGGCCGTTGCCTCCGCACCCGTGCGCGAGATCCATCGTCCACCTCTCGCTCACATATTAGGCGGAACCGCCGTCATCGCGCTGGAGAACGAGAGCATCAGTTCTCCTCTTCCAATTAACTACCCTACCCCTTCAAGTGGACAACATAAGCCTTGTGCTGGAGGTCATCCCTTCCCCCGCGCACAACATGGGAGCAGCGACAAGCTCACTAGGGCCGATGAGCGTCCCGGCAATTGCGGTCCTTTTTGGAATCTACATCCTGGGGCTGGATAGCATGTACGGCTTGGTTGCTCGCAACGGATACATCGATGCACTCATCGACTTACGACACAATGGTCCGCAGTACCTGCCAGGGTCCACCAACCCAGTCCTCACTCACTTCACCGGAATCGCGCTATTGGACAAACTGCTCACCTTGGCCGGCGTCATGTTTGCCAATGTGACAGACGGATCGGCTCCGCAACTTTCCCTGTATGGGTTCTACTTCGCGGGCCAGCTTGTAAGCATCTTCACCGTCATTGCCATTGAAGGCATGCGAGAGGGCAACCAAGGAGGAATCATGGCACTGTAAGCAGTCCGTTTCCTGACCGTCCATCCTGTGCTGAATTCCGAAAGTTACCCTCTATGGGGATGTGCCATGCAGGGCCTGGGTTACGGATTCACGATGCCTTTGTGGGGCATTGCGCACTTACTACGTTCCAAGACGGCCCGGAAGCCCCGCCGAACTGTTGCCAAAGCTATCAAGATTACCGACCTTCAGTCCCTCGAAACACTACCAACGGCACTCATACTAGGCTACTTCATTCCAACCCTGGTCATGGTTGTCCCCGTTCCGTCCAATACCCTCCATCAATGGCTGGGCGGTCTCTAGCAGGGATTTCCCGTGTGGGTTGCATTCATCCAGCTAGCCAGCCGTAAGATGCGCCAGCTTCGCGGGGAGACATCGCCGCTCGACGACCGAATGGAGAATCGCTCCTTCCTACGTCGCGCATACTTGTTCGCGTTTGCCTCAACCAGCATCTCGCACGTGGCAACTTTCGCAACAATAGCTGCTCGGAACCTCTTTCCCCCGCTATTTTCCCCCCTGGCACAGGAAACCTTGACCCTTAACCAGGTTTTTCTACCTCCCTACTTTCGCGCTCCTGGACCGATGGAATCGATGGCTGTTGGCATTCACAACTTCTTCCAGTATGACCAATACGTGGGGTCAACTGCGGCGCTGGTATGGGCTGCTGCCACGAGGGCGAACTCGAGAAAGTCTGCAATGACGTTCAAGGATTGGGCGTGCTTAGTCGGTGAACTAGTTGGCGTGGGTCTGATCGCTGGGCCGGCGGGCGCTTTGGTCTCATTGATGTGGAATAGAGATGATTGCGTGCTTTCAGACGATGATTTGTATGGCGAGAAGTAGCTAATAGCGTTAGCTAAAAGGAGTTAGGTCTCCTCGGAAAGGCCGTTCCATGGCTTTCACCTTGGTCGGATTAACCTTCCAAAGCTCTTTCATATGCTCCTGCTGCAACTTCCCCCCGGCCGCTGAGCTAAGCTTATCAAACAGGCTGTATGGGCCATCTAGAGGTTGAGACAGTAGAGATTGCCATACGGATCCTCTACCCCAGCCTGTTGCGAAGACCAGTTCAATAATAGGCTTTCGAAGTTCAGCAAGCGGGAGTCTGTGGAGATTCTGGGGTGGACGAGGGTTAGATGTAGCTAGGATAGAATGTTTTGCGGAGTTGTTTGATATTGTATAAGGACGAAGCGGTTAGAATATGCTCTTGACTTCGAACTAATGTTAGAAAATCTCGCTGAGTCATGCTGAATGAACCAATGAGCCACAACCTAACAAACAAACATTATACTCTCTATCTACCACTTACATCTATCCATATATAAACAAGTATCCAATCCAGCGTCCGGAATATCAGTACCATCCCTACATCCTACATTCCACTCACGCCAACATCAAACCCAAAACCCCACCACCAACCTAAAATGTATACACTATGCCCCTCGCTTCTTCTTCGCAGGGCGGTCCCCAGCTCGTGCTCGTGCTGTCGAAGCTGCCGCACCTTTCGTCTCATCCTTGTCAGCCTTCTTCTTCTCCACCTTCGCCCTCCTCGCCGCTTCCCACTCCCGCCCCAGCCTCTCCTGATCCTGGTCCTGGGCCTGCACGCGCTCCCCCTCCTGCACGCGCTCCCGCTCCCGCTCCTGCCCCTGCCCCTCCTCAGCACGCTCCCCCTCCCGCACCCCTTGCACTCCCCTTGCCTCCCTCTCCTCCAACCTCCTCGACCTCTCCTCAAGCTTAGCATGCTTCTTCGCATTCTTCACCCACCGGCGAAACAGCTCCCACTCCTCCGCCGTAGCGCGCTGCCGCATAACGGCGATCAGGACGTTGGCGACAGAGGCGTCGGCCTGGGCGGAGGACTGCAGGGCGGCGAAGACGGGGCCCAGGGCGGGGTTGCCGTGGCGTGCGAGCCAGCGGACGGTGAAGCTGAGCGCGCGTTGGAGGAGGGTGGGGTCGTCGGGGGCGGGGGTAGTGTTGTCGTTGTTGTTAGTGGTAGGGGTGGGTGGAGTAGCGCGGTGGGAGGGAGTGTTGTTGTTCGTGGCGCTCTTGTTATTTGTGGTGGTGGTAGGGGCGGCAGGGTTAGTGTTGATGGTGTTTGGAGAAGTTGGTGAGTGGTTGGCGTTGGTGTTGGTGTTCCCGGAGGCGTTCCGTGCATTCTTAGCCTTCGCCGGGGTTCGGACGGAAGTCGACGCAGCGGCGGTCGTCAGCTTCGCGACGTTGAGGCTGATCTTCTCACTCTTGCCGCCACCCGGCATCGATCCGCCCCTCCGCTTCTTCTTAGACATATACCGAATCAACGACGTAGAAGGCGGGTGTCGAAAGGCTTCAGCGCGCTTCCGGCTCTCGCCACACCTCGTCTCCTCCCGAACCATATGCGGCGGCGGTGTAGGCGTACGCGACAGCTCCGAAACAGGCGAGCTCTCCCTGTCCCCATCCTCCTCCCCACACTCCATCTCCTTCTCCTGCTCCCTTGCCACCAATTCCCCGGCCCGTCGATACAGCTCCTCCATCTCCTCCTCCTCCTCCCTCGCCACCCGCGCATCCTCATCTTCATAAACCCCAACGCCGCCACTCCTTCGCCTAGCCCTACGCTCTACCGTATCGATCTGCCTCTGCACCAGCGCTTGTTCCTCCCTAGTCTTGCGCAGCTTCTCCCGGAGCGTCTGCTGCCTGAGGTCGTCGTCCGGCGCGCTGCTGCGCTTCGTTCCCGCCCTCGCGGCTTCGACGTCCTTCCAGCTCTCGTCCGCTTTTCGCTGTTCGTCGCGGGCTTGCTGGCGGGCGAGGGCGTGCGGGGAGAGCGGGGGAGGGGGCATGGTGGCGGGGCGATTGTGTGTGGCGGATGCTGGTAGCGCGTGTCGGAGGTATGAAGGAGGGCTTGGTTAGGGAGTATATATATACTGGCGTTCGGCGGAGGGGGTATGTAGTCGTCGTGCGTCGAACGGGGTTGTGTTGATGTCGCGGGCGTGTTGAGTTGGTCAACTTGCGAGGGTCATTGTGGGCGATGAGGGTTCGTGTGCGCGCGCGAGGAGGGGCGAGGACTGCGAGTTCTACCCCGCGGGCGAGTGAATCGGTGGGTTGGTGGCGGAGGGGGGTAGGCGTGGAGAGATACATAAACGGGATGGATACGCACGGATATCTATAACATACCCTCTTCCCGTATCAAATGGGAGTATTGACCTCTCCCCTCGGCCGTCCGTCTTAGTCTTCTGGTCCTATCTCTTTCTGCCCAGCTCCCTTCAAAACCGCTCCTTCATTCAAACGCTACCCTTCCTTATTAAAGCTGTGTCCGCCTGATCTTTCGGGCTATACTTAGCATTCACCCTGAACGCCTTTCCAAAACCCTGCACTGAACCATGTCCCACACAAACCCATCGAAGAGGCGCTGCTTGAGTCACATGAGCTTGCTATTAGAATTACATACCTAAAAATTGCACCCCAACTCCTTACGCAATGCGTCTATCCTATATATCTCCCCAAACGCCCCCAATCCCTTTCGCCTCTTCGAAAACCCCCTTTTCCCTACATCCCCACCCTCTGCCTCTCCCACCCAACCGTCTCCCCCATATCGATCCCCATACCCACGGGTCCCTTCTCGCCCAAGCCTAAACCCCCATCTAACCCACCACCCACAAACCCCTCTATCTCCGGCGGCGGACTCTTCAACACCTTCTCACCATACGCATACCCCATGGTCGGCTCCCCCGTCTCGCCAGGTCCATCGCCCCACACCCACCACTGCAGCCCCAAGCCAAGATCACAGCACGCCTGAAAGACACCGCAGATCTTAAACGCGAGAGGGACCTCGCCGGCAGACGAGGCGAAGAAAAACCACATCTTGAAGGTGTCGCCGATGATCCAGTTGACGATGACGCTGGGGCGGAAGCCCTTGCAGCCGCGGCGCTGCCAGTTGGACAGGAGCTGCGGGAGAGGCAGCGTGGCTTCTACGGTGAGGGCGATGTAGCCGAGGAAGTCGGTGTAGGGGAGGAAGACGCTTGTGGGGCTGAGCAGGAAGTGGAGGACGAGCAGGGTGAAGGTGAAGTAGGATAGGAAGGTCCAGTAGGGGCGCGAGGTTTTCCACTGCCAGAAGCTGTACGGGCGTTTCGAGGATGCGGGCTGGAAGGGGAGGTGCGAGGGCGCGGGGCGGTGCGTGAGCGCGACGTGCAGGAGGAGGAGGTGGATTCCGATCATGAGGAGGGCTTGGACGAGGAGCGAGGTGCTGAAGTGGGCGCCGAACCAGTAGTAGACCCTGAGCTCGCGTCTCGTTAGCTGGTGTAGTGTTGGGAGGAGGGGGTGGAGATCAGGCAGGGAGGGCGGAAGACGCACTTCAGTATGCTAGCGACCAGCATGATCAGCGGTATATCCAGCGAGAAGCCTGCTGAGGTCTTGGTGCGGTGTATGCTGTGTATCTGGTCCGCATAGCTCGTTATCGGGCTCGTCGCTATGCTGTCGCGTGAGTCAGCGCTGTACCATTGACCGCCGTCACAGAGCACAAGACGTACAATATCGGCGCAATCGACGTAACGACATCGTTCAAGAACCCCATCTTGCCCGTTCCCTCTTGCCCGGACCCTCCGGTATCGTCGCAGCGCGATCCGACGACGACGTGGAATCGAAGGGTGCGACGCGCGCTCCGTCAGCCTAATGCGACGGGTAACCTGAGCCGTCTGTCACGTCGCGCGCGTTACCTCGTAAAGCCGGGAGCGGAGAGGAAAGGAGAAAATGAGGCTCAAGCACGGTCGCGATTAGAAAAGGAGCCGAAAGCGCGCCGTGCCGATCTCATTTGATCTCAGGCTAAGCTTCGCGCTGCATTAGCGTCCGGCGTAGGGCTGGCCGATAAGAGCTTATCGGATCCAAATTCCATCTCAAGCTACGCTACCCCTCCACATTCGCTTCCTTTCGTATAACCATCCCATCTTCCATTCTTCTCTCGTTTTCTCCTTTCCACATACTTATCCTCCCCTTTCCGCCTGTTACCAATCAAACATTCCCTTCGTAGAAGCGTTCAGAGCCGCCACAATGTCCCCCTCCCACACCGCCTTCTTCTACGGCACCCTCATGGCACCCCCCGTCCTCCACCGCGTAATCTGGGGCCAATCCAGCGCGCCCACCCCCGCGCACGCCTCGCTCCTGACCATCCGGCCCGCAATCCTGCACTCGTACCAGCGCCACAAAGTGATCAATGCCGACTACCCTGCCATCCTGCCCTCCTCCTCAAGCACACACTCCGTGCGCGGGACGCTGGTCACAGGGCTCACGGACGGCGACATCTGGAGACTGGATATATTCGAGGGCAGCGAGTACGAGCGGAGGAAGGTTCGGGTGCGGGTTTTGGAAGAGAAGGATGGTGGAAGAAACCGGGGAGAGGGCGGGATGGGCGATTTGCAGCAGAAAGAGGAGGACAATGTAGAGCGCGGGGAAGTGGATGCGGGAACGTACGTCTGGATAGCCGGGAAGCACTTGCTGGACCCTACGGAATGGGATTTCGCCGAGTTCGTGCGGGATAAAATGAAGCGCTGGGTGGGACGGGAAGCAGCGGAGACAGACGAGGGATTCCAGGGTAGGCCATCTATCAACGGTGAGCCCTTTTGGGCTGCTAACTGAAAAAGAACGTAGTTAGCTAACGTGTTGTGATAGATGTCGACGACGCCGTCGCAGCGCTAGAAGCGGGCAAAGATCCGACAGGGGGACGAGGCGCAAATGGCAGTATAACGCGGCAGCTGCAACAGAACGGACAGACGGAAAAGGAAGCTTTGGAGGGTGCCGTATGAGGGGGATATAGAGATACGAAATGGACGGCATAGAAGGAGCACAGCATGTATACCCAGGAAGGGCAGACGCATCACGGATACAGCCGTTGTTGCAAGCATACACTATTTTCTTTCCATCAAAGCACAGCGGACTACCTCTCCATCTATGCACGCTGCCCGAAGACACCAGCACGAACTGGTATTCACGCCCTTCAATGCAGAGTCGCCATGCCCTCCTCCAGTCTACCACTGAACTGAAAGACGCCCGAGGCTGTAAGCGCCGAAGCAAACCTGGGCAAAACTCACAAAGTCCGCCCTTCGGTACCGCATCATGGACAACGCCGTCGCCATGCAAGAAGATGAAAAAGATAAAGCAATGAAATGGGAGTACACGAAATGAGAAATCGCTAGCAATTGCCAGAGATCGTCTAGTGGGCCCGAGTAACATCGGCCTGTCTGAAGAAACATGCTTAACCGATTCGAAACTCAGCGCCTCCATAAATCGTGTCATAGCGGTGACATCTCCTCGCCCTATTGATGCATAGGCGGAGAAGATCTTCTTGCTGGTGGTGTCTCGGGAACGGTCGTGTCATCATAAGCAGTGACTGATTCGTCTCGCTCCGCTGCTTGCGAACTCCCCTCCGTCTCTAGGGCGTCATCTAGGAATCCCTCCCACGATGTCTCTTCATCGTCTGCTTCGGTTGGTTCCTGCGCCGCCGTTCCGCTTTGGTTAGCAGAAGGAGAGCCAGAATGGCGACGCATCTGGTGTTTTACTTCTGGAGAGTTTCCCAGATACGATAGAAGCTCGTCCCCTACGAAAGACATATCCTGGGGGGAGTGTGAAACGCCTTCACGGCTGTTCAAGGTGGGACGGTGGATCTCTTCGACGGAAGTCTGCCGACGATGTCGTTGCACACCGGGAGATGGCTGCGCTTTGGACCTCTTCGGTGAGGTGACGATGATAGAGTCCTGCGACGCACTTCGTCCTGGGTTCGATTTCATAGCTTTCGGCGGGCTGGTAATTATCGCATCCTGGGAGTCATCGATCGTGATTGGGTCCTGAGAGCTGCCGTGCGCATCTTGGGCCAGAATTGCAGCTCCAAGCGCGCCTTTAGTCGGCTTTTTGAGCTTTACGCTGGCATCTGTTGGTGCTGTTCTGAAAGAGCGCGGTGACTCAGCCCTCCCAGCTTTAGTAAAAGCCGACGTAGACATATTGTCAGCGTCCTTTGTGCGCTTCTTTGGGCTATAAACCCCATTCTGTTCGATGACCTCGTTCTTCTTGTTTGCCACAGGCTGTTGCCGAAATGCTTTCTTAGCATTATCAGTAGCAGCTTTAGATACTCCGCCAGCCTCGAGCTTTGGCTTCTTCGGGCTGTGAACCTCGACTCCCTCATCGAATGGAACCGCATCCCCGTTCGCAACGGGCTGTGGGCGGGGTGTCCCATGGGCTTTGGGTATGGCCGCGCTGTATTCTTCACTAGCCTCTAGCTTTCGCTTTTTCGAGCTATGAACCTCAATCTCCACATGTCGAGTCGCATTGCTATTCACAGCGAATAGCGCACGAGGCTGTTTCGAGGAAAGCGGCGTCTGTGGTGACTTCTTTGGGATTAAGACAACAGGGCTGGTTCTTCTACGCGGTATGGACGCGGCAGGCGAATCCTGGGCTTTTCCTGGAGCAGATTTGACAGGAGACTGTGATCGTGGGTCCTGCTTCGTTGGTGGTTGGGGGGAGAAGGGAGAACCCAACCTTCCTTTTGGAGCTCCAGCGGATGGTTCGGCAGGTGGTCCCGGTTTCGTAGAGATCGCCGTGGATACGGCGGGTTCCGGGTCTGCTGGAGGCTCGGGCGCGGTTACGCTCGAGTTTGCCAAAGCCTCTTTCTTGGTCGTGACCAAACCCGTTTTTCCGGTGTGATCCTTCGCCGGAGGGACGGTGGACCAAGGTGCAGAGGCAGAAGCAGACTTTTTGGCCTTCTTTTCAGCCCTAGCTTGCTTCCGTTCCGCCTCATCTTGGTCATGAAGCTTGAACAGAATATCACGCATTGTGCTACGCATTTGCGACATCGGCATATCGGGCCAGTCGGTCTCCATACGCATATCACCCGTGAGTAGGCGATCCTTGAAAGCGTCAGGGTTTTGGAAGAATTTCTGTGCGTATCCCAGCAGGTACACGCCGCAATCGCTGAAATTATCCTGCATGGGAATTTGGCCGTTCTTTGCATAATAGGCATTCTGCGTGATGTTGGCTTCCATTCCGCGCTTCTCCCGGCCTTCCTCGCGAATGTAATCTTTCAAGGCACGAACTGCTTGACTCCTAGCACCTCCACCAAGAGAGTCTAGGATAATGATGGTGGGCTCATGTGTGTTCCATTTCTTAGGCGGCGGGCCGGATTTACGTTTCGACTTTTTCGAGGAGGCTGGGGAGGAACTGGCGTCTGGGAGGATACCTTTCGGAGTACGGTCCGCGATGGACAGCTTCGCCATATGGGCCGTCTCTTCTACAGACGATTCTCGGACTCTCTTATCATCTGTGGCGGCCATCGCCCGGTTTGGATCTGATATGGCCGCATCGGGATCAACCAAATTGAGCTTCGATTCCTCTTCCTCGAAGAAGTTTACGTCGTCGTCAAGCTCCAGTGCGGAGGTATCCGCCGTCGGGTCGACAAGCGCCGGTGGAAGTATGAGTCCCCCTCTCTCGGCCGACTTCTCGTCCGTTTCTGCTCTCTGTGCTTCGTTTCTCTCCTTAGACTTCTCGTCGGTCCGGTTGACCGAGGCTTCTGGATTCGTCGTTGAAGTATCGTCGAGATCTTCGAGGGCGGGCTTGCGCGGAATATTGGGTACATTGCAAATGATTGCAAGGTACCAGTGAACGTCCTGGTTGATAGGCACCACGATGTAGTCGTAGCCGAAGAGATCCTCCTTTGAAGTCCAGCGCGCCACTGCAGAGTAGTTGATCGATGTCTTCTGCCCCGGGACTTTGCGAGTAAGGGTGGAGAAGAAATGCGTGTTGAAGATGTACACCTTGTTGGGGGGCAGCGCTGTTTGGTTAAACAGGTAGAGCATGTAGAAGTCGATCAGCTGATCATTCAAGAACTCGCCATCATCAAGCCGCTCAAGATCAGCAAAGTCCACAACTGCGCGGCGGCGTCCAGTTCCATAGTTGAGTTGCCGTGCCCAAGGTGTGCCCAGCCCGTGGACTACGGAGTACTTTTCTGGGTCTTTCTCTTTTTCCGCGCCAACGTAGACGGGACGAGACGCCCTCGTGGTTCGTGTTGGGCGCGCAGATGCACGCAGGCTTCCGTTTTGCGTCTGCTTGAGTTCGGTATCCAGTGTGCTGTGCGATTTGGCGGGAATCTCTCCGCCAGTGTCATTTTGTGCCTGCTGATCCAACGACTTCAACCTTGAAGCGGGGCGCCGGGCTTCTATCGCCGCGTTCTGTACTCGAGCTTCACCCTGGTTCAGCGCAGGGTTGGTAGGGGGCGGTGAGACGGGCTTATGGATGGCATCGAAAGGTTTGCTGAAGAGTTTCTGCATGTGCTCCCTGCTACGAAGTTAGTTTCATCCAATCACGGGAATGATACAACTCACTCAGTCTTTTCCGTGACTTTTCTGATGGCCTTTCCCACATGCTCATCTCGAAAGAGTCTGAAATCTTTCGAATCTAGAAACTCGAGATCGAAAAGATATTGAACGCCATTCGCGGGGCGTGATCCCTTCAATCGAATGCGGGAAGTGTCGTCCGCCCGCGCGTCGACTACCTTGTACATGGATACCGTGCTTTTGCACTCCAACTTTCCATTACCACCTAACTCTATGAGATCGAATGTAGGGTCCCCGCTACGGCCTTGGAGAAACAGGTCAGGGCCGCGTCCTTCATAGCCATGAGTCCTTGCGAATTCCAAGCACCATTGAAAGGCAGGCGGGTTCTCTTTTCCTTTCGAAGCAACCTTGGCGGACGCTCGATGTTTGGAAGGCGACTTGCTCCGCTTGACGGCGCGTGGTGCTTCGACGACGAGCTCGTCGTCGCTGATGTCATCTGCACGCCTGAATCTATCACGCAGGTTCTGTGAGGTACGATGGGTCGCCGGCCGCTCACCCCGGGGTTCACCTCGCGGAGGCGAAGTTGAATGATTGAACTTGGGGACGTTCTTCGCGACGTGCTTGGGATATGCTTGGGTAATCTTCGCCTCGGGACTATGCCTCCCTGAGCGAACGACCCCTTGCTGAAACTGGCCATATTTGAGCTGTCCCGGGGACTTCGATCTGGTGGCTGGCGCCTCGTCATCGTCGACAGTGATTGGTGAAGAAATCGCACTACCGTTATCCACTCTCCCGAAAGACGCGCCGGAAGGTGTTTGCGGTGGGACAGGATTTCGAGACTTCTTGCGATGAGGATCAAAGAACATGCTGGTCTCCTCCAGCTCGCTGCGCGATCTGCGTCCAGCACTGCCGGCTCCCGCCACTGTGGGTCCACTTTCGAAGCTGCGCTGCGATTGTGTGATTGCTGGGTGCTGCGACTGGGACAAGCGCCGCGGCTGCGAGACGAAAGGCGCTTCCACAACTTCATCACCTTCGAGATCTATTACTTCATGTGTAAATGATGTGATGGGGTGCTCCGTCTTTCTCCGCTTCGCTGAGTACGGATTGTCACTGGCCGAAGCTGCATGACGCCGCGGTGTGTCTGGCAACTTGATCGGCTGGTCCTCGAGGAACTCTAACCCTGAGTCAAACCGTGACTGGTGCTTAGATCCGTACATCTTAGGTCGACCGTGGCCGTGGCGGGGATTCATCACGCCGGCAAAGGTGTCCGTGGGCGTGAACTGGTATTTAGACCCGGGCTTTTTCGTCAGCAACCCGGTCTTACGGACCAGAAGCGAAGCAGAACGCACCTTCATGGTTTTTAGGGCAGGGTTACAGGTCCAAGGTGCGGGAAGGGGTGTAGCATCAGCAGGTATGCTACACAAGGCGTCAGTCAAAAGCTGCCGCAACTCTGCTCACTGTGTGTGCGTACTTGTAGTTCGGGCAGAGTCTCGCCTCTTCTGGGCTGATTTTCACCCGTTTTGGCTTTCTGGCCGGCTCTCCAGTCGCATTAGACTCGGCAGGGGCCGGTCTTTTGTTTGCTCGCGCCGGCGAAGTGAGGTCAACGGTGGGGTGCTTGCGACGGGACTCGGTCGGTGAGTGGGACGCGCGAACGGAGCGGCTAGGCGACGAAGCATCGTTTGTCTGCTCAACGCAACGTTAGCGGTCTAAACCTGGCGGCAAGTCGGACTCATAGGATGTCTCCAGAGCGAGTCATAACGCACATGGTGGGAAGAAGTAGCTGGGGTGGTCTTGCTGCCGATGAACGGGGCGAGGATTGCGTCGAACATCGCGGGCTAGTGGGAGGCGAGTGGAAGAGGCAGAAAGTTCTGCCAGCGGGAGAAGAGTGTGACTGTCATAGGGAATAGAGAAGAAGACATTTCGGCGGCGCGGGCTCTTGGTGAAAGCGCCCGCCTGCGGTGTCGTCGTTCAAACTCCAAGGGTCCGTGCGCATTGACGTCGATCGCCCAATTGTGCAGGGCAGGGGAGCTCACCTCCGTCCGACAATAGCTTTCAGCGAGAGTCGCAACACTCCACGTCGCCTATTCCACGATACACCTGTGGCGAGAGGACAACAATAGGAGACGTGATTCAAGAAGGTTGTTGTTTGTCCATTTTGTTGATTGTGTATTTCAACCAGTGGGCAGGAGCGCCACAGTCCGGGAAGGAGCAGCGGCCAGAGCTAGCACGCAACAGCCCACACAATGAGGAGTCATGCCCCATTTGTCTCGTTTTCACATTCAGCAGAGTTTACTCATAGTCCCTCCCATGCCTAAGCCAACCGTAGCACCGTTCGCTACCCAAGCCATGTCACGGATATGTAGAATACAAAGATGAGAAACGAAAGAAGAGCCGTTGCTTGACTCTTCGCGGGCAACAACCGCAAGAAAGCAGGGGCTTGTCGTAAACTCAATGCCGGAAAATCGAACGACGAACGCTAACCGGATACCCTGAGAAGCCGTACCATGCCATACCATGCATGCTAGAAAATTGTCAACGAGAGGAAGAACGTAAAGGGAACATCCGCGCGGACTACGCAGTGGACTTATCCCGCTGCGACTCGTCACCCAACGTGAGCCGGCGCTTCTCCTGGTGACTCTTGTCTTGTCGCGCCTGGTCGATAGCAGTGCGCTGGGCAATGCTCTCGTCATGGCTGCGCCAGGTGATGATGGTGCCTTCAGGAAGGTTGAGGACCCGCTTGACGGTTTCGCTGGTATTGTCAGAAGAGATCGTCGCGCTAAGGATTATAACTGCTTACCGGATCTTGATGTTCCGACCGCCGTCGTTCTTCGTCCAGATGCTGAACACGTCCTCACCGCTGCGCACGCTGAGCACGAAACCGCACACCTCGTCGCCCGCCTCCGCAAACTGGTCGCCAATCAAGGCCATCAGCAGCTCCTCCCAGTAGCGGTCGGCCACGCCCTTTTTCAGACGCATGATCCACTTGCCGCCGCGCTTGTTCTCATCGTCCTCCCACACCGGGCGGATGCCCTCCTTGAAGAAATGGTAGTCGGAAACGGTGGGGAGCGTCGAGGGTCGGTTGAGGTGGGTGAAGATCTTCCAGAAGTCCTGCGCCGTACTCATGCGACACAGCGGCTTGGTCGACTTCTCGTAGTCGGAATTCTTGGGCGTGGGCGGGCGATACCAGATCACCCATGTGTATTTCAGCGGCCACGGTGCGCTGGGGTCGGGCGGGGCAGACGAGCTTGCCGCCTCTTCCGAGGCGGTCGTGGATAGCGACTCCTTTCGGGCGCTACTCACGGCCTTGCTCGCAGGCTTGTCCTTCTTCTCGCCAGGTGTGGTCGGGGTGGCACCGCCTATGGCTGCCGTCTTAAAGTCAAAGGCGGTGCCGGGAGTCTTTGGAGTCTTGGTCGCGGATCCGAACGAGGCAAAGGCGCCTGAACCCAGGCCGAAGGCAGATGAGCCGGCAGTGGTGGGAGAAGACAGCCCGGTGCCTGTCAATGGCGAAAGCGCATTGAACGGGTTGCGGCCGCCGTGCGAAGACGAGTCGCCACCGAAGCGCTTCGTGGCAGAGAAGGTGCGGTGAGGGGGGTCGGGCTTGTCGCTATGGTGGTCCGGATTGGACATGGACAGGGAGAGCTTGCTGGTGCTGTGCGCATGCCGTCAGTCTTGAAACCAAGATTGCGGAGGTTGTGGGCAGAGCATACTTGGAGCGGCGGTTCCATAAGTTGTCCCTGCCGTCCATTGGCGATTATTTAGTACTTAAGGGGAGTATTATAAGAGGAGAGGCTCTGCTAGAAGCTTGGTGGGATAAAAGAGCGAACAAGCAGCAGAGGAGCGGCGGGCCAACGGCCGTGGTGCAGCGGGAGCGGACGGCGCTTAGCGGTGGATTGATACGTATAACCGAGAGCTGAATGAGTTATGGTGTTGAAGAGTACCGACTGGTAAGTGTACAGCGTAGTGAAGCGGGGAGTTAATCCGTGGAAGTGTAGATGCAGTGGAGGTCTGTCCGGAGCGAAAACGTTTGAGAGGTTGGCGTTAGTAGACTGCAGCAAGCGCGCGTTTAGCCGCGGCGGGCCCGTGCGCCCAGCGAGCTTTTCCTCGTGGCTGCCCGGTGCCCTCCTCTCCTCCTCCACAACACCGGCCTTCGACTCAAATCCTCGCCAGCTCGACGCACCCTACTCGGCTGGCGGCTCCGAAGATGGCCCAGAGCGAGCCATCCCTCTCATAAAACCATCATCACGAGGGCCGCCTCTGCGGCTTCCATGATGCGGTGATGACCTGAAAGAAGGGACATTTCTTTGTCACGCGCCGCCTCGTTGCTCGCTGAGGCTGCGGGCTGTCTCACTGAGCGGACACCTCTGTCGTATGTACCTACATGTCCCAGCACAATGTCTCGGGATGAACACGTCCAATTGGACTACTTCTGGTAGTCTGAGTCTCAGCCAGGAGCTACACTGTCGCCTCGCGATTCCTCGGTCGAGCATGAAGTTCTAAGGCAAAGTCTGATTATGAGCCTTGCTCTTCCAGCTTCAGTAGTGGCGTGCAGGATCCAGCTAACGGCGTCGAACAGCGTCGACGGCTGCGTGCCTCTTATACGGCGTGTATTTCCACAGATCGCCTCGAACCCCTTTGGCGAACGGGACCATCCAAGTGGGCATCTTGTCGGGCAGAGCAGACATCGCAATGCAACCCAAATCGGCGGCTGTGAGCAGGGTCTCCTGATGTGCGGCTCGGAAGTCCGCCCTTTTCCCCTACCCTTTGTTGAAGGCTACATAGAGATGCCACCCTTGGGCAAGAAGGCCAGGCAACCCCACGCCCCTGTGTACTCGTCCGTAGGAGGAGTCTCTTGGTTCTATTGCTGTAGTACAAATATCACATGTGCCTAGTATTTCTCCGATAGGCCTGTCGCCTTGCGCATACATGTAAATGGCCCGGCTGCGTCTCCCAACGCCTCACTGCCTACTTTGATTCAGCCGCCGCCTCCAGGCAGCTGCCACAGCTCACTGTAATGATAAGTCCTGAGGACTTTCTGCAGAAGAGAACATAAGCTTCGGGTCCCTGCAGCTGTCTCTGTACTTTCGCGCAGAGTGAGACGCAGGCGGCTACGTCATAACTAGCGGAGGCCAGCACCCTCACCCAGACAACCAGAGACGCACCCCTCCATCTCCACAATTGCACCTGCCGTTGCCGAACCGCGCCCTACCTCCGCCCATCACCACACCTCTCCTTCAATCCGCATCCAGCCATCCAAAGCCCGCTTACTGGCCATCTGGCGAAAGTCACCCCACGCCACCTGCGTTCACGTGCGGGCGACACAACTTCTTGTCCGCTTCAAAACAGCTCGCTCCCACCCCGCTCCTCCCGACAAAACACCACAGCCATGCCTCAACGCTCACCGACTCTACACTCGCCCACTCAGCACCCTGAGCGGCCGAAGGGCAAGTTGCCACCCCACATGCGCGTCGCACCGTCTAACAGCAGCCGCAGGCATCCTGAAGAACTCCAGCTCGTACCGCTCGCAGACGTCCCCCACCAGCCCTGAAGCACCCCCTCTTGGTCCACCACTTGCCCAGATACCATCGCACGACCGGCCAGGCCTAGGTCGGGAGCTCTCAGAGAAGGAGATCGTCTTGGAGAACACGCTGAGGAATGCCGGCCCCGCCCATCGGCGCTCGTCGTCAAACCCCCGCGGACCCGGGTCCCGTCGCCAGTCCGGCACCAGCATGCACGCCGACGAGAACAGCCCGAGGCTAAAGTGGGACGAGGCGAACTTGTACCTCACAGAGCAGCAGCGAGACAGCACAATGAAGATCACGGAGCCGAAGACACCGTACGCCAAGCAATACGACCCCGCAGAGGACGAGGATGAGGTCGAGATGCTGAATGCGGAGGAGCTCAAGGTCGATGAGCTAGATGCCATACCGAAGCGCAAGCCGAAGATGGACGATATTCCCGACTTCGATCTGGGAGAGCCGGAGCTGGAGGCGGGGAGTTCGCACACGCCCGACAGCGAGAAGCGGGTTATCGTCGAGCCGGATGCAGAGGACACGCCCGGCCACCATGGCGAAGACCTGCCGCACCTGACTCCAGAGGAGAGGGAGAAGCATCGCAAATTCGAGGAGATGCGGAAGAAGCACTACGAGATGAAGAACGTCAAGAACCTTCTTGGGTAAGTTCTGTGCGTCGCATCATGTATCCTCAGTCTCACTGACAACTGCGATAGTCATCCGGAGATGCTTGATGAAGAGGGCGAGGATGAGCCGACCCAAGTGCCACCCATTCCCAACGGCCAATCGTAGTCGGCCACCCTTCTTAGCCATTTTAAGATGCAACATCATGATACCTGTTTCCTTTGTCTTATATCCCCATAGGATGCTTGGTGTTGGGGTACGTATCCGGGGATGCATCATGTATGTTCCTTCACTGGCCTTAGGTTCTACATCAATTTATTGTAGGCTCAGCCTTCGGTCCTCTCATTCTGGAGCGTTTGGCGGCTGCTGCCTCTGAGCTCGTCCTTTTGAGAATACCCATTCGCTAGACGCGTGTGGTACACCTGGGCTTCCAAACGCCTCACTTATGCTTTTCGGTCTGCGTTGCATTTGCCTGATGAGTACCATTATAGCGGAGTCTGGAATAAGGAAGGACTCGGGGTCTAAAATGGTGGGGGGAGGCCCAAGTATTCGTCTAGCCATTACCAAGTAATTACGACAAATGTCATATCTGTATCATCAATTTGACGTAAGTGACACCGAATAGATGCGCAATGTTGAAGAGCCTCGTTAATACCATGGCTTCAAAGACAAGAATATATGCCTTCGATCCAAGGCCGATCGGTCTGTAGGCCTCTAAAACATGTCGACCATGTGATTGGAAGGTTCCGTCGTTGATGCCTTCCGCGTTAGGCAAGCTTGCGCCCCCGCACCGCCACCTGGCGCGGGACTAGGAGCTTGCGTATCACCACGACGACGCCTGCTCAGCGTCGCCCTTCCCACTCCCCCAACCCCTCGACTTCGACAGTCAGCTCTTCTTTTGGAGCACCCTCAACATGACGAAGAACCAGCCTACGCTCCGTAAGACGGTGTCCACCGCCGACCTCTACGCCGATCCACCTCCGCTACCACGCCACGCCAGCCTGTCGCGCACGTTGACGAGGCTACAGCAGCGCCCTCGAGGCATTTCGCGAGGGAATCCGTTCATGCAGCCCCAAGCTACCGTCTCTCAGACGTCCTTACGCTTCCACAACACGGATGCTCGTGACTCGGCAGAAGATGCCGGCCGCCGCAATGCCCCCACTTTCCACGAGAGCCACAGACACAGCGTTGCAGCTCCGTACTTCTCGAACCTGATCGACTTCGACGATGACTTTGGCGCACCAAAAGAACAGCAGAGCCCTCCGCCTGTCCCTCCAAAGATCCCCGAGATACCAACGTTCGAGCCGAAAGTAGAGCCCACGAGGGAGAAGGAAGGACCGGAGAAATACACGAAGCCCTTTACGGACTTTATGACCGCGAACCCGACCGTCTTCCACGCTGTAGATGCAGTGGCCAAAGATCTCGAGAAGAGTGGGTATAAGAAGCTGTCTGAGCGCGATTCGTGGGACTTGAAGCAGGGTGGGAAATACTACGTCGAGCGCAATGGGTCGTCGCTTATCGCGTTCGCGGTCGGGGAGGGATATGAGGCGGGAAATGGCGCGGCAGTTGTGGCAGGCCACATTGATGCTTTGACTGCCAAGCTGAAGCCGATTCCTAAGCTGCGGACGAAAGCTGGATTCGTGCAGCTGGGTGTTGCACCGTATGCTGGTGCGCTGAATGACACTTGGTGGGATCGCGATCTAGGCATAGGAGGAAGGGTCCTGGTCAAAGAACATGGCAAGATTGTGACCAAGCTTGTTAAGCTGGATTGGCCCATTGCACGGATTCCGACGCTGGCGCCTCATTTTGGAGCTGCCGCAATGGGACCATTCAATAAGGAGACGCAGATGGTGCCCATCATTGGGTTGGATAACTCGGATATGGGAAGCTTTTCTGGCAAGGAAGAGGCGGGGGAGTGGAAGGGCAGTGTGCTAGGTGGCGAGGGCACGTTCGCAGCGACGCAGCCCGAGAGGCTCGTCAAGGCCATCTCAGAGGAGCTGAGCATCCGTGATTGTAAGTTCTGCCTCCTCGTTTAGAGGCGGTAAAACAATGTCGCTAACCGTGAATCAGACTCAAGTATCGTGAACTGGGAGCTGGAGCTCTTCGATATTCAGCCTGCTCAGCTTGGTGGCCTCTCCAAGGAGTTCATCTTTGCCGGCCGCATCGACGATAAACTCTGCTCGTGGGCGGCCATCCAAGCCTTGCTCAACACGTCAACCTCTGGCTCCTCGCAACTTAAAATCGTCGCCCTGTTCGACGATGAAGAGGTCGGCTCGCTGCTCCGGCAAGGCGCTCGTGGCAATTTCCTTCCTGCCGTGATCGAACGCATCGTAGACGAGTTCGCCGACAAGGGCGTCAGGAGCCTGATTTCCCGCACATACGCGAACAGTTTCCTCGTCAGCAGCGACGTGATTCACGCCGTAAACCCCAACTTCCTAAATGCATACCTCGAGAACCATGCACCCCACTTGAACATCGGACCCGCGGTCTCTGCAGACTCGAATGCACACATGACCACCGATTCAGTCTCTACGGCAGTCTTCCAGCACTGCGTAGACAGGGATATGGGCGTCAGGAAACAGGATCCCAAGCTACAGGTCTTCCAGATCCGTAACGATAGCAGGAGTGGAGGAACAGTGGGACCCATGTTGAGCGCGGCTACGGGTATCAGGGCTATCGACTGCGGTATTCCGCAGCTCTCGATGCACTCTATCCGGGCGACGACGGGATCGCTAGATCCTGGCCTAGGTGTGTTTGCGTTCCAGAGCTTTTTGGAGAACTTTGAGAGTGTCGATGCGGAGTTTAAGGCTTGAGGATGAGAGAGTAAGTGCTAGGTGGGATGGGGTGGCGCGTGTACGAGTACGGTTTGGCACACCGGGGAGGGGGGTATGCATATTTGGGAGTATAGTTTAGACGTGGAAGAGCAGTGGGCTGGAGTTTAGGTCAAAGCATTCTGTTTCAGTCCGTCAGTTCAGTTCTATCTCATCCTACTTTTGTGCGTTTCCCCTGCCTTCGAGCGTGCTGCCCCAACTAGCTAGAGCCGTCTCATCCGCTACCCAACGTTCCCCGTCCAGAGAAACCCCCTCCATTCCCCCGCTTCCAACTCCCCGCAGTCTTCCCTGACAATGTCTTCGTCGACTAAAACTTTAGGCACCACATCTATGTCCTATGGGACTAAAACGCTGCGCCGGCAGTACTATGTCTGCGTAGTGGACTAGAGGACTAAAATACCGGAACATGTTCGATCATGCTGCGGACTGCGAGGTGGAAACCCACGAAGACAGAGCTCAGGGAGACGTAGGCATTTCTACACGAAAACCACGTTGGCAACTTGACATGGGAGGACCCTTCCTAAGGCGCTGGCTAATATGCGAGCTCGAAACGGTCCGGGACTTTTGTGATGGTTCCTGCACTGGGGGTGGGTATATTAACCCCCTAGCGCGGCGTCTTCCAGCGTCCTCACACTGCCGCTAGTCTTTCTAGAGCATATAAAATTGTTGATATGGTCCGTGGGACGAAAAGAGTCTCACACTCGGCCTCATGGGTGCTTTGTCGCAGCACGAATGCATTCTGCTGGGAGCAAACATGCTCGGGGGAATCAAAGCACCAATTTGCCAATACATGTAGCGCCGGGCAGATGGGGGTGTTATAGACGAAAACGAAGTGTCTACAAGAGGTATGGGGAGCTACAGTGCCAGGATACATACAGGAGCAAAAAGCAACAGAGCGCCACTTCTACGAGCTGGCGCCCGAACGTGGCTTTATAAAACCCCTTCGATCCTTTCTTCCGCACTCCTTGCAGTTCTTGCGGGTTGCCTCCAGCTATCAAAACGGATTACGATTTCGACGATGGCCGCTGGGAGCAGAACGAGCGAGCTGATACAGCGATGTGTGCTCGGCTCGCGGCACCAAAAGATATTAACAGCACTCGACATGTGGGCGGAACCGAAAGCGGACTGGGTTATCACCTGGGAACCTTCTATAGTTGCAAACTCCGCAACGATCTTCACATCACTCTGGAGGCTCGCGCATGCTCGCTCTCAAAAACATCAGACACATCGTACGCATGCTTTCTCAGGAGCCGTTCTGAGCGCAGAAATCGTCAAAGTGGACGAGGTGATCGGGGCATGGATCATTAATCAGGTAAAATGGCGTGCAAAAATTTTCATGGGATGGGTCGCTTTTCCCTCTTGATCGATTCAAGGGCCAATGCATTCCGAATATGAGAAGTGGAAGCGTGGGTGTCTATATGAGATTGACTGGCTTCTGGCGTTAACTTCCACACATCTACGACGTCTCGAAATCGAAACTAAAATAAAATCCAACCGCGGTTCATGTTGGAGTTGGGATCGGGAATCAAAAGCCGCAGGCTATATATCCTATGCTGGAAAAGGCAGGAGGCATCTGCCAGGTTTCTGGGTTCTTGAATTCGCACACCATTTTCATCAGTGGACGCCTGCGATTCGAGCATGGCCCGAAATCAGCATCGCAGCAGTTGATGTGGCTTCGCGGTCTGCTAGGCTTTTGGCCATATGTCCTGAAACTGAAGTTGGAAGGTGGAGCATTATAGGAGAGGATATTATAGGAGAGGATCTTAGTCTTTTCCAAAGGCGCTTTAAGGCAAACATGGGTGCTCCCCGCGGCCTCTTCAGCGCTCAAGACTAAGAGGAGCCGGAAACGGCATGCCGTGTGTTGGAAGGCCTCCCATGGCCCTAGGGCGGCCGTGAAACGCTTAGCTGTCGTTTTGATGTGCGCTTCCCCCCTGCTCTCGCATCTGACTGTTTTGATGGCTTCTTGAAGGCTAAAAGAGAAAAATCAATCAATCAATCTTGAAGACTACGAACGGGGTCCGCATGGTGTAATGATTGCCACAGTAATCGATTCAGGTTAGATCCGCAGCGAATGAAGAGCAAACTGTTCTAAGTGTGTCCGTTAACGTCGGACCTAGGCCCGATAGAGGAAGACGCGAAGATACGCTAGTGGCTTGGCGTTACGCGCAATCACGTGAAACCTACATTCACCGCTCAGGCCACCACATTCCTGTTGCGCGGGGGGACCTTGCTTTGCAGCTCTCTGGCCTGCTGTGCAATAAGATACCATGCATCTTGCGTGGCATGGGGCACTAAATGGAGCGTACGCCGCGGGCCTGGCCTCATCAGTCGACAACGCCTCGAACCGTACTTCCCGTTCGCGTCCGGGTCCCCCCTCTGGCGACCTCATTCGACAGCGGATTCAATGTATCCTTGCTTCTTTACTACACCATCCCGTACAGGTACCCATGGGCTAATCGGCGTTGCACAGACGGCAGCTCCCGTAGCCGCTTACTCGAAGTCATGACGAAATGATGTCGACAGATAAGCTCTGTAGTTGTACATTGCGGTATTTGTACTGCTCCCACGACGTCAATGAACGCATCCATGGATGGCATCTGGTAGCGTGACTTACAGGGAAGGTCTGAGATAATCCCAGCCTGGGGGAACTGAGGGGGGGTGGGCTGTCAAATTGTTGAGGGAGGGGTAGCGCGACAGGCGGAGCTTTAATATCAGCACAGCATGCAGGGCCGCCGCCCCTGCACGACGCTTATCGTGCTACTGTGCTGAATATCATGCTACTGAACACCGTCCCCGCGCCCATCGGAGTGGGGCGCAAGAGGGGAAGTCGCCGCACGTGCAGCATGGCGCTAACGCCTGCCAAAGCGCCCGCCACCTGCCCCTAGCGCGATAAGCTCGCCGCTCGAGCAAAAACCTTGACCGCTCTCCCACAATGCTTCCAACAACTCCCTGTCCGTCTCAATTACCATGCCTACAGACCCTAAGGATGCGCCTTTTCCTACCAAGCAGCTCATTATCATCGGTGCGTTTACGCGACAACAAACGACGTCATTGCTTCTCGCTTACTGACGACCCACCGCGCAGGAATATGCCGATTCTCCGAGCCCTTGGCCTTCAACTCCATCCTGGCGTACTCGTACGTCATGGTGAAGGACCTGGGCATTCATGAGAAGGATGCGTCCTTCTACTCGGGGCTGCTGCTGTCCGCGTACGCGATCGCAGAAGCAATTACAGCCATGGGCTGGGGCGCCATTTCCGACGTCTACGGGAGGAAACCGGTCGCGCTCATTGGGCTTGCGGGCGTCGCGCTCTCGAGCATCGCATTCGGCATGGCGAAGACGTACTGGGTGGCCCTGCTGGCCAGGTTCATCGGCGGCGCGCTGAATGGCAATGTGGCCATCATGCAGACCATGGTGGCCGAGATGGTCAAGAATCCGGACCACGAACGTGCGTATCTCCGCGTTCTTGGATATTGGTGGTGCTGATGACGAGCAGCTCGCGCATACGCCACACAGCCGTTCGTATGGACGCTCGGCGGCATCATTGGCTCGGCTATGGGTGGCTTCCTTGCCCAGCCAGCTCGCTTCTATCCCCACGCTTTTGCCAAAGACGGCCTGTTTGGGAGATACCCGTACCTCCTTCCCAATCTCGTGGCTGCCGGCGGAATCTTCCTCGCCATCATCCAAGGAATCCTCTTCCTTGAAGAAACGAACCCCGTTGTCCTGGAGGAGGATGACCCATCGCCCGTGGAGGAGGTTAACGAGCGGACGCCACTCCACCGCCCGCGGGAACACAGCTCGCTGTCACGTGCCTCCCGCACTAGGACCCTCTCCCGTGGTCGGAATCGATCCCTGTCCGTGGTTGACGGCCTTCGCCAGATTCGAAAGAAGCCGTCGTTTATGGAGGAGGGCATGCCGACGGCATTTGACCAGCGTTTCGATATCCGCCGGACCTCTTTCGGTACCATGCATTCCATAAAGATCCCGCACCACGAGATTCTGCCTGTGACCCAACCGCAGCCGGGAGCCCGACCTCGCAAGACATTCAACTCCGCCGTAGTCATGGTGACGCTTGCGATGACTCTCATTGCTTATCATCAGATGGCCTACATCACCAACCTCCCAATCTACTTGCTTGACGACCCTCAGTTCGAAGGGATTGACTTCCAGGGTGGCCTTGGTCTGGACCTGCATGACGTCGGGGCATTCCTCGCCGTCAACGGCGTCATCGCGCTCTTCATTCAAGGCGCAATCTTCCCCATCTTTGTCGAGAGTCTCGGTGTCTGGATCTCCTTCGCCACCATGATCGTCCTCTACCCGACGACATACCTCATCGTGCCTTTCATCAGCGCCCTGCCCGACTACCTCATCTCTCCCGGCATCTACCTCTCACTCGTCTTACAAGCTTTCTATGGCATCATCGTCTTCCCCTGCGCTCTCATCCTCCTGAAGAACGCGTGTCCTTCCCCGCATGTTCTGGGCCGCGTCAATGGTATGGCCATGTCCGCCTGCTGTCTGGCACGGACTGTCTCATCTCCTCTTGTTGGCATGATCTATGCCGTTGGAGGAAGCGCCGCAGCGTGGTTCAGTCTTGCCGTCGTTTCCCTCCTTGGCATTATCCAGATGTTTTGGGTGCCGAAGGAGCACGTTGATGGTGTGGAGATCCACAATGGTGTGAAGGATGTTATCGAGGAAGTCATACATCCTCATCATCACGAACATCATCACCCGCAAGTGCGCGATATTGACGAGGAGGCTGTTTTGGACGAAGAATAACATCTTAGGTTATGTTGAAAAGGGGGAGTTAATGTGCGTCTTATGCGGCGTGTCGGCGGTATTGGTACATAAAGTCTTTGGTTTGATTTGCATCGGCTTTCATTGCTTCTTTTCTTTCCATAGTCGGCTGTCTCATCTTCATGTCTCGCAGGAGGATTAGCGTTCGTGCTCTTTCACAAAGTCGGTTCATGTCATGTCATGTCGCGCGATCTTTTTCCCTGCGCATTTTCTTAACTCTTGCTATGCAGCATTTCATCTTGCGTGGCTATGAAGCGTTCACTTTCCTACTGTCGCTGTGGTGCTCTTGTCGATCGTCGTCATATCGCATTTCCTGCATAGCCTACCTAGTTCGAATTGCATGTATTCCTAACTCGACTCAACTCGACTTTACGCCTTGTCGTCAGTCGTTCCACTAGGACGTATTACTGACGTCTGCCAGATACCGTGCTATCGTCGGCTGTAGAACAAGCAGCTGTGGCACAGTATTCTCGATGACGCATGGCACCACCATGTTCAAGACGTGGTGCGCATCACCGCAGTTGTACTACGCTCGCTTTCTTGCATGGCCGCCCTCGAAGGCGCGTCCACAAAAGAGCCTTCCACCAGCCACCGGAGGTATGTATACCGCGTCTTAACTCCTGCTTCTCTTCCTTCACGCATTATTCCGCCGTTGGTTGGAGGATTTACTCATTGCCACGCCGCCACCGCTCGTGTGGTAGTCTAAAAACGTCATCATCACCATGACATGCTTTATCCTCCTGTGGCGGCTTGGCCACCGCATCGCAAAACGAGATCCAGTTCGTCGGAAGCGAGGACGTTGTTGCACAGCATCACCGCTTCGGAGCTTTTTCGCCTCATGTCCGTGGATACCCCAACTAGCGAGCACGTGCAAACCAAGGCCCTAGAGGGTATATATACTGCCTCTTTCCTGCCCTTCGTTCCTCTTCACACACTTCCCACCTGCTCGTGGATCTCTAAAGCTATCAGTCGATTTGCAGATGGTTTTCTCTAAAATTGCTGGAGACAGCATCAATGGCTTGCCCTTACCTCGCGCCGAGCATTAAAAATATGCGTATACTACGGCATGGAGCGCCTTTGCTTCTAGATGTTCACATAACCATAGCTCCGCGAGAAATGACATTAGCCGTTTTCCAGGAGCTTCCTTTAGCTGGATACGGATCAAATGCTTTTCTGTACCACTGTATGAGTGCGGTTCCTCCAAGACCTGGCAAGGGTCATTCAGGCCTTCGCTTCCAATTGTTTCTTTGCACAATAATGTGAAAAGAGGCACTGACTCGCATGATGAGTCCTAGGAACGCGCTACGTCTCCTAGCCGCTCAGCGTCCAAAACAAGCACAGCCTTGCCCCATGCCTGCTGGAAATACCCCCGTCCCGCACCATAAATTGAGGGGGCTCCTATTCTATGACGGCCCGGAGAACTCTTCGGTTCGAGTATAAAAAAGCCTCACCGGATCTTTCTTCCTTCTCTTCACAGGACGTTGGCGAAAAATTCGATGGACTAAAACCCCAGGCCGCTGTGGACATGCTTCGGGCCGAAAGTGGAAGTTCAAGAGATACATGGCTGCTTTCTGACCGAGGCTTCCGAACGCCCGTGTGTCGCTCAAGAAAAGAACGAAGACCGGCGGCATGGCTTTCGCTTCCGGAGCGAGTAGGGAACGCGGTTGAGGAGCTCGTGTGTTCACAGCCTATCGCATACTAGACGCTCTCACTGTATGGCCGCCTGCTCGGACTGGGCTTGTGGATATAACGTCGACTTCTCGGGGCGCTCTTTCATTCTTTATACTTGCGCTCAGCCTTGGGACTCGAAATGCTGGTTGCTTATGGCTTCATGATTTGGACTAAAAGTAGACCAAACAGGAATTCATGGTTCCTTCTGCGTCTAAGGCTTCCAATATCGTCGCATTCACTTGAGAAACAGCCGGAGACCTAATGTGGCGTTTGCTTCTGGAAGCGGACTAGAGCGTAAAGTTCTGGGCGTGTCTGATGATGCTCTGGAAGCGTTCCCTTCGAAGGATGTCAGGCGGTCTGCCATGTCCTCTGCTCATCGGACGGCGTTCCTCCCTCCAAAAAGGCGTGCGGATACAATGGGCGCTCAATGTCTAGGCCACTGTCGCCAAAAACTACACCCTACCGCGCTATGCGGCTTACCATTTCTCGAAGACGCAAAAAGCAAATATGGTTGCTCCTTCAGCAGATGTCCGAGCGAACACCGGGCCTGGAGGAGACATTTATCAGACTAGAAGAATCGAAAACCTTCTGCATCTACATCATGATTTAAAAGGCAGGAGGTTAGGTTTCACTGTTGCAAAAAGCTCAAAATAGTCGCTGCAACGCGCCATGCTTTCGATACCCAGAAGAAAAATGGAAGCCAGAGATGATTACAGAGGTCCCTAAATCGCGTCCGCCGGCTCAGATGGTATGGGGTTCAATATGGCTCGATAATCGGGGTCGCCCGCGACGGAGTCCCCTGATCATCATGGAACGCGATAACACCTCCGCGCGCAATGGGTACACCACCTGGAGTTATCTAGAAGCCCTCAAGGAAGGCCTTATACCGTATTACAAGCCCGGGGAAATATTTGTACAGAATAACGCTCGTATACACACCTCCTACGAAGCTCGCGAGTTCTTGGAGTCGCATGGCATCTGGGTGGCAGAATGGCCACCCTACTCACCAGACCTCAACCCGATCGAACACCTCTGGTGGGCTCTCAAAAAGCTACTCCATCGCGATTATCCACAGTACGCCAATTTCAGTACAGCAGAAAGTGAGTAGGATGGCTTTTGTGAGGCTCTAAAGGCGTCGTGGCGGAAAATACCTAACGCGCTTATTAAGACCCTCATACTTAGTATGCCGCGACGACTAGAGGCTTGCCGTAAAGCCCGAGGGCGGCAAACAAAGTATTGAGTCTCATTTTATCAAAACCACAAAAAAAATTGGATATATGGGCTATTGTACAGTAATTATTTATAAAAAGGTGGGTTGAAAATGGTGGGCGATGAAGCCCGTGCGTTGAGCTGTAACCGAACTTTTGACCTAGTACTGTACTTCCCGGTCATCAAGCTTCGATCTCCGTACCATGAATCTACCCCTCCAAGAGGATCTCTAGGAGGGAGAGATATAAATCCATTTCTCGGGGCTCTTTCTCGCTCTTCACGCCTTCACTTCGCCGATCAGCGCACTAAAAGCATGGTTGGGTCATGTATATGGTTTGGGAGAAGTTCAAAGCATGATGAAGTGGAGATTATGTCTTTGTCGGGCAGTTGAGAGAGTCTAGATATCCCAAAAAGAAGCCATGCTGGGTTTATGTCTTTCTCGCCAAGGGTTTCCAACTTGATGCACATACGACACATGTCCCACCGACCATACGCGGGCTACTCGCCAAAACCGACCAGGGAGGACGGGATTCCTTCCCTCCTCCTCGCGTCCCATTCACATCTACAGTTCAGGACTAAAACTTTCGCTTGAGCTTATCATGTTTGGCGGTCGGAGCGAATTTCACCTCTCCCAATATCGCAGCAAAGCGGTCCATGGACGGATCCTCCGGCATGTCGAAGCGCGAACCCGGACAATATATGGCTCTGCCATAGTAAGAACCATGTTCGGTCTCATATGGCTTGAGTGTGTGTGAGCCATTGCACGCTGCCCACTAGCTCTGAGATACTCGGCCTTCGAGGAGGGCGGAGTACATGCTTCTCTATGGAAAATATGGTCAGAGCGTACATGGTCTCCGCGTGTCTTCCCCGGGCAAGGTGGCCATTCATTGCAGCCCATGTCGATGTTGAAGCAGAGACCTTTACAGATATTGCGTCGAAGCTGCGACAAGGCTCACCTATGGGCTATCCAGACTTTGGCACGCACATACGTGCTTGTCATGGGGCCTAGCAAGGTTCATTGAGACATATATAAATGCCGTACTTCTTCTCTCGATCCTTCGTCACTTTCACTCTTCCGAGCTGGTACGGAGTTCAAAATGCAGAAAGACATCCTAATATGCTTCTTTAAAAGGACACCAGCAGCCTTATTGTCCTCCGTTCGGTCCTCCCAGCCGATTACACGGTCGTTGTCATTACCATGATGTCTTCGCCGGAGAGCTTTCCAGTTGATCGCAACTTCATGGTGTGTTCGCTCCTCTTGACGAGACCTCAAATTTGGCAGAAGATCAATGCATGGAATCTTGGAGTATTTTGGGCCTTCTCCACTCCAACGAAAGTGTATGAGACGAGACACCATGAGGTCCTCTGAGCTGCGGAAAACAGAAGAAGACATATCACAATCGCGAAATGGCGCCCCTGACTGCCTCTGCTCCTCAAACAAAAGTACTTTGCGCCGCTATGATGGGATCTGGGACTTGTCTCCCAGTCCGCGCTTCCTCAGGGCAGCAACATGGCGAAGGGAACATCTCGACGACGAATTGACGGAACTACTCCTGTATGACTGCACCCTGCCTGCCACTACAAATAAATCTCCCCCCTTCTTATGGGAGCGTTGCTGAGAGGTATATAAACCATTCTCCGAGGACCAAGACTCTACAACAGCTTACCCCGCTTTCTTTGAATCTAAAAGGAATGCACTTGGAAAGAAATGGAGCCGAAAGTACTGCAGCATCTCCAAAATTTGTCTGGTTGGGTTGATCCTCCGCTAAATAACCAAAGAGAAACGCTCATAACGCTATGGGCTTGCTTCTGAAGAGCATCAAAGAACCAGAACCGGGAAGTAACGAGCCAAAAAAAAGCGTGCTGAGGCATATCATCTCACCACAAACGCCCTCGAAGAAGCCATAAATGCCTCACTGTCACCATCATGGCGGAACCGAATCCGATATTAAAAAGAGAGACATGGAAGACTCATGGAGGCGAGCTCGTGTCCTGCACTCACGGAAACAAATCAAGGCTTCGGTTCCGCTATATGGTCGAAAGCTTGCTTTTTTCTCCGCATCTAGATATGAAGGCGTTATACCATCGGTATTCTATATATACACCGTCTATCTGGCTCCCATCTCTGCACTCCCACTACCAGCAACTGGAACCTAAAACTGGATGCATCAGCACTGATGCGGTCCAAAAGCAAACCCTACAAGCAGTATGCTCTTGCGTAAGCGGATCTCCCCTAGACCTGACGAAGAAAAAGGACCAAGCTCCAGATGATGTGCCAACTCCGAGAACCAAAGCATCGTAAAACTTCAATAATTGAAGAGTTTTTCTCAGAAAGCCTCTTTCTTACTACCTATGCCGCACTGTCGAACCGATGCCGAGCCCAGCACTCATATACACCGCCGTCTGCTCGAATGTTCGCGGCTTCGTGGCTTGCAAATGTATAAGTTCCACTTCTCCTTCCCGTCACTTCGTCGCCAATCCTCCATGCCTCCTTTTCAGGCTCTAAAAGTTGGTTACCCATACCCCATGTGTCTAGTGAATTTCCTGTCTTGAATATACATATTTCTCACTCCTTGTTTGGAAAGTCTTATGCAAGAGAGATATGTCGCGTTTTTTCCAGCCTTCGAAATACCAAAAATGGTAGTGTCGGGATGAGACCAACCCTCGGAGAAACCGGAGAAAGTGTGCACACTAAGAATTATACGAAGACCACGCATGTTTTGCATGTAACCGGGCTTCCACGCTTACAAAGTATGCAGGCGGTTTCCTCTGTGAACGTGGATATAGCCGCTTTCAGCAACCTCTGCTTTCCTCACGGATCTTCTTTCGACCGGCTAGGTCTCTAAAAAGCCCAAACCAAGGAGCCATGGTGGGACCAAAAGCTGCCAACGCAAGAGTTCATGTCTGCGGCGGTCCGAGCTCCTGGACGTCATTAACGAAAGCCACCAGATGGAAAAGGAGTTGTGACTACGTGTTCGCTCTCTACATATATCACCATTCCCAGATGATGTTCTCGTTTCCTCCGGAAAGCTAGCAGAACACTCACAATACACGCGTCATGCCTCCACGAGCCGAGCTCACTTCAAAATAGTTCGCTAGCCTACGACATTGGCCCGCGAATATAAATTCCTCTCCCGGCTCTTTCAACTCTCCACAAGAACAACTAATCGTTCGTGTAAACACACTTCAACCCTGGAGCGCATACTTTTGGCCCAGCCCAAGTCAGCCCGGCACACTGCTCATACAACTGAGCGTAGCCCGTGGGCGCCGGGGTAGCCGCTCTGGTAGTCGATCTCGCTGTCGAACTCGGGTACACGATAGGCGTACGCGTGAAGCTCCAGCGGGGAGGTCGACCGGTCCGACCAGGCCCCGACGTCGAGAGGCGACGATTAAAATGGATATAGCTGGGTCGAATGGGAACTAGAAGAACTACGCAACTGTGTCTATGTCTGCGGCAGGTCGGGTTCTTCGCCTCAAAACAAACCGCAATGTACGAGGCGCTATGCGTTCGCGTTTCTGGACTTAAAATTCTCCGCTATCCGGTCGATGTGCATTGGTCGCCGTTGCTGGACCTTCCTCCAAGGAGTTCCGAACTGCTGAGGAAGCTCCCGATGCCTCGGAGTTCTCGTGGAGGGTTTCAGCCGGACCTTGGGATGCTGTTCTTTCGGCTTCTTGTCAGAAAACATATTTCGCATCCTTGTATGTCTGCGGAAGGACCTTGGTGCGGATATATACGTCTTTCCCACTTACCTATTTCCTTCGCCACAACCAACTCCTCGGCTTGACGCGAGCTCCTAAAAAGAATTCGGAAGGATGCACGGCGAGACTAAAACCCGCCTGTATCTTATCTCATGTCTTCCCCGGCTCGAGCAGTGGCTTTAATAAATCCGAGACGTTTGCAAAACATGGTGCTCGGCAACTGAGCCAAAAGGAGTAGACGAGAACGAATGTCCTTCGTGTTCCGCTGGCGTTGCCTGTAGTCTGGATTCAAAGCAGCATCCGTCATCAAAAATGACTGAAAAGGGCTCCGGGACTCGAATCAGCTGCAGTAGGACGACCTGATTATCGACGCACGTATATATTCCAAATTTCGGCATCTATTTCTTTTCACACTTAGTCCTTCACTGAAAGGGTGGCGGCACCTTAAAAAGAGCAGGGAGTAAATTGGATGGCGGGATCGAAATTTTTGGAGAGAAATGGACGTCGGCGCGGCACATGCCTTGCTTGAGGAACGCGTATCCATCGACGCAGAGGACTCCACGTTGGCGAGCTTGAAAAGGGATGGTGCGAGAAAACATGAGCGCCGTCGGTCCGGAGGAGTGGAAGACTGCGGTACGTTTGGAGGTTCTCTTGAGCAGCCCGATCGTCCAACCACTCTTTCTGTCTTTTGACAACACGATGTTATTCCATCCCAGACATGTCTCGAAATCGGTGCGAACACGTCGAATGTCTCGCAAGCTTACCCCCCACCGTCCAGGCCATCAAAAGGCCCATATGCCAGTTCGATGTCGTCCTGGCCTAGTTCTTCTCTCGATACAGAAACCTTCGCATTATGCTCTACATGGCTTTGGATCCCCTCTCCTCTAGAATCGGTGGAGGAGTGGGATATGTCGTCCCGCCGCTATATCTGCTTTAAAAAAGAAATGCGATCAGTTGCAGTGCTATGGGAGTCCACTAAAAGAACCCCTGCCCCAGACATGCTGCTTTCCCGTTCCCTGGAACATAGACACTATACCAACAGCAAAATGCCTCCCAACGGAGCAGACTACTCATTAGTGTGGGAAAATTGCTCCGAAGATAGATCACGAGGCTGGAAGAAAGAATTGTCTCGTTCGATGTGCAGAGCGCGCTGCCTTTTCCTTATCCAAGTACCAAAACGGCAAGAAGAACTTCTGGATGGTCGCGCGGCCGTTGCTGTCTAGAAACTACCGCGGACGGTCGCAATGCCGTGCGGGAGAAACCGGCCCCGCCGAATCAAGTCTTTTAGAGCTTTGGCACATGTCTAAAAGGGATACCCCATCGCCGTTTCAACTCTTAAGGTCTCCGAAATTCCCAACTCAAGCCGAACATGTCCAAAAAACCGATCTCGAAGACTCCATGGAATCAAACTCTGGATCCTTGTCTCCCATGGCGAGCTTCCCAGGTACCCAAAGGCGCGATCCCCACGACCCATGACCTGGTACCACGCAGTTCCGCCTGTATAGAACCAAATAACTACAACTCCGGACGCGTGTCGCGCGTGCGCCTTGCCTCTCCGCTCGCGGAAAAGATGTCTACTTGATGAGCATGTTGAAGAGGGTCACATGACCCGCTTATCCGCCCACTCTCGCAGGCATCTAAGCTTCTTCTAGAACGACTGAAATCTTCCATTGCTTCGACAATAGGACGTATCGACGTGACAGTCTCGTCCTAAATGGCCATGACGTAGTCCAAATGGTATCCAGACGTAGGACACCCGGGTAGCTAAACGCGGACTCAAAGTCTAAGATGGTGTCGTTCGCTGGGAGTACTGCGAGCAAGTCAATTATTCGGGATGGGAGCCCGGGCGAGTAGCATGGACGTGATGGCGGTTGCTGGGGAGAAGCTTTTGGTGGTGGGGGTGGTGATGTGCATTGTCGAACGCCAGACCGCTAGATGGAAAGAGGATCGGAAATGAAGCTCTCTTTACATCCAGCAGAGGCAACCGGTCAAGAAGTGCGGCGGAAGTTTGCTGGCCTTTGATCTCTGCGTGGTGGCTGATCGGCTGAAGATCTGAGGAAAATGGAAGGCCGAAGTGAAAACATTAGCAAAGCATCTGGGCCAAGAAGGCCCGAATGTTCATCAAGATATTCTTACAGCTATACTCACATATACAAGATGGTATGGATATACATCTAGATCTCGTCTCCATCCGAATCCTCGCACCTCCGAATCGCATTTTTGACATATCCTGCGTAGCCGCCCTCTTCCCTCGCAATCTCATTGCCATCCCGTATCCTCAACGCGCCAAGCGCCTCTTCGCCGGCCTGTAATGCCTCCCGGATTTGCTGCTGTACGTTCGCAGCTTCTTCCGCCATGGGCATCTCTTCGTCAAGCACCGTTCGTGCGGTGCTAAGCGAATTCCAAAGAGGTATGATGCTATACATCTCTCGCGCTAGGCTTGTCAGCCCTTCGGCTTGAGCCGACGCGTTCTTGAAGGAGCGTTCGGCGGCGAGATCGTTGAGTTTCTGGATATCGCTCTGATGGTCTTGCGTTAACATAGCGTGCATGCGGGAAGGGGCGCCACTTACACTCATGAAATCATGCTGCTTGAGTGCATTCATCAACCTGTTCGCGTACTTTTTCACCTTTTCCACATCCCCGTCGTGTCGGTATGCAAGCTCAGCCGCCATCTCCAGCGGCAGCGCAACAACCTGGGGCTTCGACCGCAGATCAATCTCTGGGTCTGCCTTCCCCATATGCTCCTTATCTTCCATCAATTCGACGATCTGCTCCGCTAACCTCAGCGCCTTCTTCGTGGCCTCAAGCTCGAAGTCCGCCGTCGCCGCCTTATCATGCACCGCCCGTAGCACCTCCACTACAACCGGCCACTTCCTCAGCCTCAACCCTGTATGCGTTGACCGCTGCAGCGCCTTCAAGATCAAATGCTGCATGCCCGCCTCATTCATCTTTCTTACGATCATCTCCTGCCACTGTGTCTTTAGATGAATTCCCGCGTTCTCAAACCCCTCCATTATGCGTAGGACGTTCTCCCAGTCCTCTTGAGTCTTGCTCTGACGCACAATTGTCCGTAGATGTTTCCCGCGGTCGGGAAGATCGCGGTTGCGGTCGATGTGTTCGAGCGGCAGTGTGACATCGCCGAGCGTGATTTCTATGGGCTCCGCTTCGAGTTTCGCGCGGTTTTTCTGCCTGTAGACGAGCTTTGCTTGGTCTTTTGTGAGGTGTTGCGGGAGGAAGACTTTGGCATGGAGGGTCATGAGGAGCTTCGAAAGCTCGGGAGAAGAGGGTGTGAGGAAGATGGGCAGTGCGCCTGGGAAGGTGTCAGTCGGGATAGAGCTATGGTTGCGTATTGCGGACCTCGGTGGAGCGCAGGGCTGCGGGAAAAGGCGCGCCGCGAGCCATTGGCAAAAGGGCAAACCGCGTTTGAGCTTTGAAGCGCCGATTGGCAGCTCCGTCGTATTGAATGCATCGCGTTGAAGGATGCGAAGCTGTCTGGCCGCGCGATGCTCAGGTTGCGGACTCCCGAAAATTTGGGCCAAACGCGACAAACGCGCCAAGCATCGGCCACCAGTCCCCGACGTCACCCATCCAATTCGATCCCTACCTTCCTCAAATCTCAAAAGAATAACTTTTCGCTGAACTTGCTATGTCCAACCTCTCTAGTTGCGGGACGCTATATGAAGCCATGGACAATGATCAGGCTACCTTCTACCTTTCGCAATTCATCGGCAAACCTCTCCGCATCCACGTCTCCGATGGCCGCGTCTTTGGAGGGCAAATGAAGTGTACGGATAAGGTAAACCTCCCCTTCTAGCTGCCTTTTCGACGCCCACTTGCCTTTTTTCACTCATGGATCCGCCTCCAGATGCCCTTTTCGGGTGTGCTTATCATTTGCACGCTTTCACTGCCAAGACCGAACCACGCACTGACGAGAACCAGGACCGCAACATCATCCTCGCTCTAACATACGAATACCGTGCACCATCTGCGGAGGTAATCCGCAAAGCTGTCGAAGCATCTGGCAATCCGTCGGCGCCTGTGAATTGGAACAGCCGCTATGTCGGGCTCGTGGTCATTCCTGGCGGGCACATCAAAAAGATTGAGTTCGAAGAGAGCGTGCTTCCGGGACAGAGGAGTGGCGTGTCTGTATGATTTCATGGGAGGTGCGGGACATGATAAGTGAAAGCCGCGACCGGGCAGGTGGGAGTGAAAAGAGCAAGCCATGTGTCACTGATCCACCGAGCTCCCACCCGCACAAGGCTCATGAAGGAGATGTAAAAGGCTCCCAGAAGCTTCTAAGCCGTAGAATAACGCCATATCCCTGCGAGGGAACTGGTATAACGCTCCGTGATCCCTGCAAAACGGATGTGCTAACCAATTAACAGCCGGTTGCCGGTCCTTTCACCACGGTGAATGTTCAACCGCCAACGCTTTCACTGTTCGCCTGCCGCGCAGCTCACCATCTTATTGTTCAATATGTCACAGCACGCGAGCTCTGCGAACCTTTCTTTAACACCTTGCCCTTCTTCCTCGCAAAGCCTCGACAGCGACCACATCGCACTGAACATCACCAGATATCCAATCTTCTCTGCCAATCTTCGCCATTCAGGCGCTTCAGCAATACCGTGGTTCTTTGACACTTCACCCTTCTTCGCGAAACCTCGACAGTGACCCCGTCGCATCGAACATCGCCAGATATCTTACCTCTCCTCCGCCAAACATCATCCTTCAACGCCTTCAGCGACACCTACACGCTCTCCCAGCTCGCACCGTCCGCAACATCTCAAATGGCACAGAAGCCAACCTCTACCGTCCAGCAGCGCACGACCGCGACCCAAACCCACGCCCTCACCAAACCTGCCGGCATTGAGAAGCGGAAAACCCGCAAACGCCCACGAAAAGTCCATCCGAAGGTCCTCGGCCCCTCAGAACCTGAGACACACCAACACTCACGCCTCCTCGCCCTCCCAGCCGAACTGCGGCTCATGATCTGGGAGTATGCACTCACCTCGCCAACCGGCACCCTGCGCTACCATCCACCCACCGGCCGCTTCGACGTTACCTCCATCGGCGCCGCGCTGCTCACCACGTCCTATTCGGTCGCACTTGAGACGCTCTATTTACCGCTGAAGTATAACACGCTCGTGTTCGATAGCGGTTCGCATGAGATCAACAGCACTGGCTTCTTGATGTTTACGAGGAGGGTGACAGCTATTGAGGATGCTTTTGGAAATGTGTTGAACATCAAGGGGGTTACTGTTGGTCCACATGGAAAGGGCACTGCAGGAGTCCAGGCTAAGCTCTCCGAAAGCAGCGTTGCACAGGGAGTGGAGGAGGCATGATGGAGTGTGGGGTGGAGTCAGAGTTAGGAGGGCGGGAATGCAATGCTTGGTAGAGACCTAGAGCCGTAGAATACGATTGATTTCTGAAGTACTTCAGGTTAAGCGCTGTGTCACTCTTACTTGAACACCAGATAGGTTAAGCCATACAGTCGCTGTTTGCTAGTCCGAGAATGTGTACCTCATCCACGCCCTACGACACCCAAAACGGCTAGCGTCGGCTATTCACGCCTCCAGCCTCACTATCTCTCCGCGCTGACTCCAAACTCCCATAATCCCATTCTCTAACCCCTCATTTATCTCCACTAGATTCAACCCCCCTCCAAAATGCCACCCCTAACCTCAATGGCGCGCACGCTCGCCGGCAAAACCATCCTCATCACCGGCGCCAGCTCCGGTATCGGCCGCAGCACAGCGTTCGAATTCGCGCGCACATCGCCCTCGAATCTCAAGTTAATTCTGACGGCAAGACGTGTGGAGAGACTGCAGGAGATATGCAAGGCGATCAGGGAAGAAGTGGGCGAGGGCGTGGAGGTTTGCGTGAAGGGGCTGGATGTGAGCAGGCCGGAGCAGGTTTCTGGCCTTGTCGACTCGCTGCCGCGGGACTTTCAAGATATCGATGTGCTGGTGAATAATGCGTAGGTGGTGCTTCGCTTCCCTTTGGGGGGCTTTAGGGGTATGAGAGAAAGGGCTGATTTCTGGTCTAGGGGGTTCATGTCTGGCGTCGAGCGCCCGCCGGACATTCCACAGCAAGTCATCGACGATGTTTGGGCGACAAATGTCACAGGCGTGATCAACATGACGCAAGCCGTCCTTCCTATCTTCAAGAAGAGACCGGATGGCGGAAGGGGCGATGTTATTATGCTGGGCAGTATTGCGGGAAGGGAACCATACGTGGGCGGAACAGTGAGTGCTTCCATAGAACCAGGAATGAAGGCGTGAGTGGCGTTGACGTGTAATAGCTATATTGTGCAAGTAAGACCGCTATTCGGTCCTTCACCGATGCGTTGAGGAAGGAGTTGATAGCGACACGGATCCGCGTGATTTCCGTGGATCCAGGGCAGGTGTTGACGGTAGGGTTGCACGCGTGGAGAAGAATGGATGATGGCTGACTCTGGTAGGAATTCAACGATATCCGGTATCGATTTGATCGGGAGAAAGCAGATGCGGTGTATGCGTAAGTCCCTCGTGCTCTTTACTCTTCGGGGTCTCTGCTAGCAGCCCGGTCGAAGTGGGAATTTACTGATAGCCCGCCCTTAGTGGCTGTAATCCCCTTAGCCCCGACGATGTCGCCGAAGTCATCGTCTTCGCCGCCGGCCGAAGGGAGAACGTCGTACTTGCTGATACGCTGATGTTTCCGTCGCATCAGGTATGTTGTGAATACTAACAGTCGCCGAGCATTATGCCGACCTGATCCCGTCTTCCTCCTTGGTAGATTGCTAATGTCTCCTAGGCATCAGCTACTCATATCCATAGAAGATTGTAAATCTTGCTGCTGCCCTCAGCGGGAGGAAGGGGCGGATTGCACCTAATGCAGGGCTGAAGCAGTTCCGTGCATCTGTACGAAGGGCTAACGTAGGTCGTACAACGAAGTGAGGGTCAGGCCGCAGCAAGTTAAATCTCTCATGCTAGGCATTTGCTTCAGCAAATTGTTCTTCAGGGTGTGGTGTGTTCGCTGTTACTTATTTGTTTTAAACCCACGGTCCCACTCAAATGTCGTCCCGAGTCATAAATTGAGTGCGATGGCTCGGGGATGGTTGGCTTTTTTGGTAGCCGGTGGTCCGGAAGTAACCGAGACGTGGCTCGGGCCGGTATGTCGATCGTATGAGGAGACTCTATGTGTAATGGTGCGGCAGGATACTGGAGCGCTGCGCTCTTGTCGAGCTGATTTCGAAGCCGAGCTTACAAGGGCAGGCCAGTGTTTTGCCCCACGGTTGTCGAGTTCGAATGAGCTGTACAACTTCATCAGCACTTGGCCTTGAAGCACGGTCCTGCCTGAGCATGGGCTTAATGCACTCGGTGTACATCTCGCGTCCAAGGTCTGATATGAACCAGCCGTCCATGAGATCGACTACGCGGTGATATTGCCTGGTCATGTATGTCTTGCCGAATCCGTTATTGCGCTCCAGGTATCCGTGTAAGGCGTCAATAGTATGACCCTCAAGTATCGTAAGCATCTCTACGAAGACAAGACCCAGGGAGAAGACATCAGTTTTCGAGCCATGGCGAAAGAGATCACCTTCTTCGGTTGGAAGGGCTTCTGGTGCAGCGAAAAGGCGGGATGCTCTTGCTGGATTTGCAGTTGAGGTGGCTTGACCGGCTTCGAATTGTCGCGATGAGCTGAAGTCGGTGAAGTAGATATGTTCGCCTTCGTGGATAATGTTCTTTGGCTTAATGTCCTCGTGGTGGAGATGATGGTTGTGCATGTATTGTAGTGCGGAGGCCAGACATGTGAACCACTTCATGATCCAAGCGGAGTGCCTGATTGAAAGTTCGCTGTCGCTATCGGTCGAGACGCATTTGCAGTCATCTTCCAGGAAGCCGCTCAGGTCGTTATTGCCAACGGGATACATAAGCAAACAAAACGAGTGTTTCCATGTGCCCGGATCCTGCTGGTAAGAGCCGATGAGTTTGACGATGTGTGGGTGATCGAGACACCTTAGGTTGGCGATTTCGTCCTGGATAAGCTCGACTTCTCTCCTTGCAAGGGACTGCCGACGTGAAATTGCGATCCTCTTCCTTGCTAGAGTTTTCTTCCCGGCGATGGATCGAACTTCATCTACCTCTCCAATTGCGCCCCTTCCAAGTCTTCCAAGCGAGGTAAGAACCTGATCTATGTTGACTATGTTGAAAGGATCTTGAGACCACAACCAGCCAGTCTTTAATTTAATATCCTCCAGCGTCTCACTCGGGGGTAGCGATATATTGAACGACCCAGTCACGAGGCGGGTGATTGACTTCATCTTTTGCTCGGAGAACAATTGCATACCTCTAGGTCTTACAAGGAATGGAACAGTAGATGCAGGCCGATATTGGGCGAGCCCAGAATCAAACGTGCGTCTCCGTTTGTCGTGAGAGCTATAGTAAGGTGGTTGAGTTATCGAAGGATATTCACCCTCGGTTTGCGATTCGCGGCTAGGGCTGATCGAGAGATACTGATCTAATGCCAGAGGCTCCCTCCCATATAACGGTGCCCAACCGGCCGAGCTATTACCGGGATAGGTCTGGTATGAGAACTGCGAAGTAGAGGAGTCGGAATGAGAGGACACGCTGCTAGGCGCCGAGTATGACTCGCTGGGTCCATAGTGCTGTCGTGATGCATGTGTCCTGGAGTCCTGATAGGCAACTGATTCTGTCAGAGTAGGTCAAGGTGGTTTCTGGTAGCGAGATGTACCTCCGCCTTTATGTACCGCTGCCGCTGCTTCTGCTCTCCATCTTCGAGTATCCTCCTTGAGGTCTTCCACCATAGTCGGCGTCAGGTTCCGTAAGGAAGTAATGATGAATCCAGGAAGGGCGGAATCGTTCTGGCCAGGCTTCACCAATGCATCAGGCCCTAGATAACGCTGGATATCCGCCGTAATGACCTCGCGTGCAATTCCCACACCTGGCACGAAATACTGCGTCATCCTTAGGACTGCTGTGTCCTTCAGGGCAACCCCAGAGAGCTGGTATCGAATCAGGCGGACTTGAAACGGACCAGGCTGAGGGTGAGTGAGGATGGCCGGGCTGGGCTGGGCTGACGCGTGGCTATGAAGGAAGTTCTCTCAGCAGAAATGGCTAAGCCATATGTCGCCTCGTGAACATTGATGCTTGGAGCCGTGGGTCCAGAGGAGGGTTGCGAAGAGTGAAGTGAAGGCACCGGCGTGCGGCACGTTGAGGTGGCAGGTGGCTGAGCTCCTGCGCCCGCTACGGCCCCCAGCCATGGTTTCAGCCCGCCAATTGGCATGGACGAGGCTATGTGTTACCGCCGAAAGCTAGACACAAACTTATCTTCTCGCCAACCGCGCAAATAACGCGAAACTTTTTGAAAGTGCGCATTTCAAGGGAAAAAGAGAAAGCATAGGATGGAAACCTTGGAATGATGGATACGACTTCGTGCCCTAATCCCCTTCGGGACTAGCGCTCTCCGGAATTAAACTCGTCCCGGGGTCGGAATCCAAGCACCTGGGCCATAGCCTTCCTCACCATGCACCTTTGCGACACCCTCAACAAAGGCTCCTCACGGCATCAGCCGGATTCAGAATCCTAGGAGCAGCTCTCAAGCAAACCGCTGAACTTGGAACGTCGCTTCAAGCACTCTTTCCACATTCCCACCGATGGAGGTCGACAAGCAGCTGAATAATTGTACTGTGCATGAACGGACCTATCGCCCCAACTCCAGGAAACAACCAGCAACTTGCAAGAATCTTAGCGCACTAGTAGCTGGCGGCGACTCGCAAACAAGTTCTTTTCCTACCCCCCGTCATTCTCTCGTGTTGGTAGCTCTTGCGGAGGACCCGTGGGTATAACTGCAAATGCCACGGTACATGTTAGCAATGCCCTGGATTCCACGACAATCAACACATCGGTAGATCAGAAGTACCCCCGCGGACGGCGTCTACGAGTGCCCTCCAAATGGCCGGATTATCCGGACTATGCTGGTCTGACTACTACAGCTTACGTACCTCCATATTTCAGCAGCTTGACCTCCAGCAACAAGCAGTCCTTAGTCGCTGGCAGCCGGCACCACTCGCACTTCTCGCCCATCCAGCACGGCTCGCGAAGCTCGTTACCGGACGCCAAGATCCTGAATTTGCCCTCCTCGCTGCCGACAGTCTCGTTGATCCATTTGCATTCGTCGTCGCCGCATTTCCAGACGTAGATTTTGGTTAGAGGGTTAGGGTGGCGGGGCGCTTTTATAAATGGACTACACATTGTGGGCAGTCGCAGTTGCCTGATGTCTGTATGTGCGTTGATCGAGTTGCGGTTCGATGACGTGAGAAGAGAAGGAGAGCCGAGATATTGAGGGCGTGGGGGCGGTCGGACTGAAAGGAGCGACGAATGTTGCGAATTCGGTGAAAGATACCTCCAGACAGGCTTGGCAGTGACTTCGACACTCGCGTTCACTCCGGATTGTCCGCAACCCAGCGAGCTTTTCTTATACCGGCTCCGTCTGGCAATGCCTGCCAAACCCGTCCCTCGCGTTCAGCTAGTCATCCACGATCCCGTGCACATCGCAGTTGGGGTTAACATGAGGAATATGGTAACAGTGAGTCGTTATTCATTGAGGTCGTTAGCTGGTCCGGTTCGTAAATGAAGTATTCCATGCGTTCTTAGTAACCCGTTCCTTCTATACCAAACGCTTCTCAAATCAGAACAATGTCTAGTGCGTCTTCCTCTTCCGGCGCATCTTCTTAACGAGAGTCTTATCCGCATATCAGATGCGGTCTTCCACGCCTCCCTTCACTTCCTCAACACCTCTACTCGCACCTCCTCACATCACCTGCCCCGCAGGACAAACATCCCACCAGTCATCCTCCCCACACACATACTCATCGCACTCCTCATTCGCATCCCCATATTCCGGCCACGTCAGACACCCCACACAAAACAGATGCCCACAATCCTGGCACATCCCCGTCGGGGCATCGAAGTCCTCCACGATCTCCTCGCTGTCGTAGTTGCGTCCGCGGCACTGGCAACAAAAGAAGTCCTTGTGGTGCGTCGTCCAGTCGTAATTGTACAGCGGCGTGTTGAAGAAGAGCTCGAAAACCCAGAAGTCCGGGTCGCCGGGGTCCCAGTTTATTTCGACGCGGGACCATTCTACTGCCATTCTGGTGGCTAGTAATAATGCTTGAGTGCTGTTGGATGTAACGGTTTCGGGGGTTAAAGCGTTCACGACCCGCGGATGTCGCTGCGAGTTTGGGTGGTAGATATCGAAGGGCTTCGATACAGGTTTCTAAGCTTCGTGGAGAATCTGGGACTTCCTTCTAACTTTAGCATAGATCCGTCCCGTTCCTTGCATTTTAAACTCGTGTTCAATGTCGTACCGTCACGCAGGCTTCAGCCCGGTATCCCACGTTCGTCACGCCACATCAGGATATGCTGACCGGTCAACGGGGGCGCCACTGGGAGAAAGGATATCTGAGCCTCAGTATGTTCCGGAATATTCTCGTCAAGCCGTCTACCTAAATTTCAGTCGCTTGGACTCTATACACCTAGCATCCTCATGAGAGGGATCGAAGCGTAGAGGAAATTCCAAGCCCCCGGCAGGCGGCTTCCAAGCTAAATGACTACTTTCGGCTTTCCATCACCCAGTCAGAGATTCTAGGGAAGCGAATATCGATTTTCAGTTTGGCATGTGTAAGAGAGACGGGAGGACGAGGTGCGCCGCCAGCAAGTGCAGCCTAGAGCAGAGCTGTACTCATGAGTGCGCAGGTGGTACTGCAGATTCGCAGGACATCAAATACGGACGACCGGACGCAACGTTGGAAGACCACGCAAAGACAGCAAATATCAAAGCGAATTATTCAGCTTCTTCGCTTAAACTCTATCCTTCTATCTTAGCTATAATTTAGAGACGCAGGATTGCTCCGCCAAGCGCCTTGGCAATAGTTTTGCACTTTCCGCATGTGGTAAGGCGTCGATCTATTTCGGCAGTAGCGCTTCTGCACATCGGAGTTAAGCAGTGAAAGAAGCATCGGAAGCGACAACGCGCAGCAGTATAAGAACCCATCATGCAGCTCAATCTAATCCACCGCTCTACCTACCAAATACCTTGCTGCACATTCCTCAATCTGCAAAACCTACCCTCATCATGGCCTCCGTAGCAAAAACTATCGTCCTCGTCACAGGCGGTCCGTCCCTTCCTTTCCTCCACCCAATGTACTTCATGCTAACCCCATCCCAGCAAACAGCGGCATCGGCTTCGAGCTCGCCGCGCAGCTCCTCGCAAAAGGCACATACCACGTCCTGCTAGGCTCGCGCAGCACGGAAAAAGGTAGCGCCGCGCTCCAAGAACTGCAATCGCGCAGTCTCCCCGGCACAGCGGAGCTGCTCCCCCTCGATCTCACCGACGACGCCACCATCAATAGCGCCGCCAGCACCGTCGAGCAAAATCACGGCAAACTCGACATTCTCGTCAACAACGCCGCCGTCGCCCTCCCCGCCGGCACAGACCGCGAACAGCTGCGCACCGCGTTCGACACCAACGCCACAGGCCCCTACATCCTGACCAAGACCCTGCTCCCGCTGCTGCAGAAATCCACGGCTGGCGCCCGCATCGTCAATATCTCCAGCGGCGTTGGCAGCATAGCGCGCAAAATGGATCCCACGTCCCCGATGCACAAGATGTCCGGCGTGCAGTACCGCGCGTCCAAGTCGGCGCTTAATATGGTTCACGCGTGCCAGTTTGTCGAATATGGCGACTTGGGGATTAAGGTGTTCTTGTTTGATCCAGGGTTTACGGTGAGTAATCTCGGGCCGCATAATAAGGCGGAGCATGGGGCCAGGAGCGCGAGGGAGAGCGTGCTGCCGCTGATGGATGTGTTGGAGGGGAAGAGGGATGCGGAGGTGGGGCTGTTTCTGCATAATACAGGGGTGTGGCCGTGGTAGAGAGGGATTGGGTAGGGCGGGGGTGGGACGTGGCGAGCCGATTCGGGCTGGATCGTGGAAGAGCATCTGTACGACTACAGGGGGTTAGCGGAGGACGGTCAAGACCTGGAGGCAAATCCATGGCATTGATGCAGACTGGGAGGATGAAAAACTCGGCTTCTTAGGGCACACGGAGGCCGGATTGATAGAAAAGCTTTCCGCTGGGCAGCTCAATCCAGTCGTGATACTCACAGCACTCACATAAACCACATTCCACTCGAACTTCCTCATCCCTCCTCCCCCAGCCTCAGCAAACCTGCCCCCCATCCGCCACATACACCGCCCCAGTAACAAAACTACTCTCCCCACTCAACAAAAATGCATTAACCCTCGCAATCTCCTCCGCATCCGCCATCCGATGCAGACTCTGCTCAAACTGCAGCGTCCGATTATGCCCCTCCAGAAACTCCGGGCTCAGATTCTGCACCATCGGCGTATCTATTATCCCCGGCGCCACGCAATTCACCCTAATCCCCTTTCCCCCAAACTCCTTTGCCACGCTGCGCGTCAGCCCCACGACGCCGTGCTTCGCGGCGCTGTAGTCCGCACTGCATGCTTTGCCTTGGATGCCGTAGATGGACGATGCGTTGACGATGCTGGCGTTCGTTTTGCCGTTGCCGCTGCCGGCGGATGATGTTTGCACGGCGCGCAGCTGGGCGCGCATGCAGTAGAACGTGCCAGTGAGATTAATATCGATGTTGAACGCCCAGTCCTCGTCGCTGACCTCAGTAATCGGATGGACACCCGCGGCTCTCGAGCTGACGCCCGCCATATTCGCCGCGCCATCCAACTTCGCAAACTTCTCAACCGTTCTGGCGATCCAGGCGTCGACGTGGGCGGAGTTGGCGACGTTGGCGGTCATGGCGAGGAGGCGCGGGGCGTCGTGGACGATGGTGCTGGAGTCTGGTTTTGCGTTGACGGCGCCGGGGAGGGTGCTTCTGTCTGCGGACTTGGCTTGTAGCTGTTTGTCTGTTGTCGGTGAGGGCGCGGTCACGAGGCGTTCGGTGGCTGCTTTGAGGGCGTCTTCGCGGACGTCGGTGAGGGAGAGGGAGGCTCCGGCGGAGTAGAGGTATTGCGCGGTTGCGAAGCCGATGCCGGATGCGGCGCCGGAAACGGCGATGATTTTGCCGGTGAAGTCGAAGGGCATGGTGGAGTAGAGGCTTCTGAATGGCAGAATGAGTATTTGGCGTTATCGATGCCGTTTGTAGGGCGATGAGACGATGAAAGCGGCTCTAAATGGAAGGAAACAAAAGAAGAGGGAGGTATATTATGCTGACTACCTGAATGCGTAAGAGGAGTTGCGATGAGTTCTATGTCACGATGAAGTTACAGGAAGCGGGGAAAAGCGACGATGATTATTCATGGTGGGGAAGTTTGAGCGCAGATCCGCCTTGTCATCGGTGTTGAGCGCTTCGCCAATTCTGAGAATAGAAGGCTTCCGAACAGCCTGGCTTAGGTACGTACGTTAGGATGCCAATCAGGATCTAGATGCTAGTATAAAGCTTAAGGCGGGTGTAAGTATGGCGGAGGACAAGCGTGTAGAAGGGTCAGAGCGACCGTCCCCTATCAACGCGGGTCATGCTGAAAACTACGCGTGATTTCCTTGTAATTGTGGATCTGGGATCAAAGTGAACGTAATCTTTCGTCCTGAGCTTTTGAAGATCTCACCCAACTGCAGCGTCACCTAGTATGACAACAACGTCCCACTCTGGCGTACAGTCCTCCTCCCAAATGTACCATTCAGCCCACATCCCGCAACAACACAAGCGCTCGCCGTATGCGCGTACTTGATCTTCGCATCCTCCACCCTAAACAGATGACTATCCGGCATCGGATCCTGGCCTTGCGTACGGTCGAGCCCCGGGAATCCAACAAACATATCCACCACGCCGTATTCCTCATCCACCACATACCTGCGGTACGGGACGATAATAGTGCTCGGCCAAGCTTGCTCGCAGAAGCCAGTATCGTTGTGGTATGTCCCTCGTGCAGCCAGCCCCCCTTCTACCCGATAGCAAGGCGCGCCCCAGGGAACGGTGACGGAAGTGTTGCCGAAGCGGTCGAAGTACGCGTCTCCCATAGACTGGACGACAGCGCGACTGTTCTGCTTTTCTTTCGGAATGGGAGACCAGTCCTCTGGTTTAATGAGGTCGAGCGTTCCGGTGGCGTTGAAGAGCCAGTCTCCCTGATCGGTGACGATGCTCTCGATCAAGTCCGCTTTCCCATCGCCATCCTTGAATACCATGCGCGTGTGGATGACGTAGGGATGAGGGTTCGTTGCCGCAACCAGCTCGGTGAACGTGGCGCAGCGAACCGTGTCGTGCGCGCTGAAATTGTAGTCAATTTTGATCGGTTGCGACAGAGTGCCTGACGAGATGTTGAGAGGCTTGTTGTTCTCCCAGTAGGTCAGATTAGGAGAGGTGAATGCGGTCACTCCTGATGTCTGACCTGAAAGCTGGGCAGCGAGGTAGTCGCCTGTTGCCGCTTTCAGGTATGCTCGCGTACAGTCGGCGGAAGCCCGGGTGGCCAGGGCAGCTAGGATGATTTGGCTCAGCATGCTGTACTTGGCTCAATCAACGCTGGAATCAAGTTATTCGCAGCGGAGGAGAGGGGGACCATATTATACCACTGAGATCAACACTGATCGCCACAAGTGCCGCGGGATGTCGTAGCAGCGCCAGGTACGATATATGATGCTGTGGGGCATATGAGGAGGCAGCGCCCCACTTCATCTACGCTTTTTGACGCTTATAGGGATCTGTATGCTATCCTTGGAGAGTCGACGTCAAATGTAGCATCTGGGGTAATATGGGATTACCGGGTATTTCCATATGCGGAACTTGAAACAAATACATAGGCATTCATATATGCAGAGCGGAAATTTTCCAGAAACAGCGGCCAAAGAAAGCGAATTGACGTATCAACGCAAATCGAGTAATTCATAGTGGAAGGGGACGGGAAGGACGGGAGCAATTAGATAGAGAACGGGACCTCCCCTGACGTGTAGAATGAAGCCCCTTACAACACACTTCTCGAGAAGGCCGCACTGATTCAACAGTCTCGCGGGCACCTATGATTGAGCGCCAATGCGACATTGTGGAACTCCACAGGGGTGACGTCATGGTATCCGGTGCGCTGTTGGGGCCCATTGAGAGGCATTCGCTTCCTTCGACGACAAGTAAGTTGGGGATTCTGTCATCGCTGGGGCAACAACAATGGGTTGAAAAGCGTCGGTGAGCGCGAGAAAGAGGAGGGAGTGAGAGAACTGGCGGGGCAACGATTTGGGAGCTGGGCGCACGAGCCACCGCGACGGCACTAAGCTCAGAGCTTGCTGACCGAAAGCTCGACACTACAACAACAAACCTCGTCTCTCCATCTTGACACCCTATCATCAACCATTGCGACACAGCGCTCTCTTGCGCCTAAAAACACATCGATTATTCGCAATGCCACCAAAAGCATCCTCCACCACGCAGCGCGGCCGCAGTCGCCCAAAGAGGGCTGCCGCAGCTCCAGCTCCTGCGCCCGTCGCAAACGACACCCCGAAGAGACGTGGACGCGCTGCGAAAGCCGCCGAACCGGTCGAGCCCGAGCCGCAGCCTAAGAGGCGCGGCCGCCCTGCAAAGGCGCCTGTCGAAGAGCCCGCTGCTCCAGTTGAGGAGCCCGAGCCTCGCAGCCGCCGCGGTCGCGCTCGCAAGGAACCTGAGCCGGTCGAGGAGGCGCCCGCCCCAAAGAAGCGCGGCGGACGCCGTCGCAAAAACGACGTTGCCGTCGTAGAAGCCCCTGCCACACCCTCAAAGCGTAGAGGCCGTCAACCGAAGAACGCCGCCCTCGACCTCGGTCGCGTCGCCGGCTCACCGCGCGTCACCAAGCGCTCATCCCCACGCACCAAGTCCACCACTAAGGTCGCTGCGCCTGCTCCCCGTATCGATCCGCGCATTCGCTCCAAGCTTCGCACCCGCCTTCCACCTGCCCAGAAGGCCACTGCACCCGTGAAGGAGGAGCCGAAGAAGCCCGGCAGACCGGCCAAGAAAGCTGCCGCTGCTGCACCTACCGCGAAGAAGACAGCCGATCGTAAGACGAAGGGTGGCCGCGTCACCAAAGATGCTGCCAAGTCGGCTGCTGCCCAGCCGGCCGCGAAGCCGCGCAAGAAACGAGGCTACACACTCATCGAGGTGCCCGACAAGTATGCCAAGCGAATGAAGGAGCTCTTGCAAAACCTCATCGACGAAGATGCTCAGCCTGAGGCAGTAGCTGAAGAGGCTAAAGAGGAGGATGTCGTCATGGCCGAGAACGAGAGCATCAATGGCGAAGAGGTCGAGGTCCTGGAGCAACTCCAGGAGGAGTTAGATGAAGACGTCGGCGGCGGAGCGCAGGAGCTTCTGACCGAGCAAGCACAAGAGTTGGCTAAGGCTACGGAGGATAATCGGGACGACCAGGACGAGAACGACGTAGAGGAGGTCCAAGATGAGACCGTTGAGGTCGTTCAAGACGTCGAGATGGAGGTCGAGGTTCAGGGGGAGGCCGAGGACGAAGTCCAGCAAGCTGAGGAGGCTGTTACTGAAGAACTTCAGATCCAGCAAGAGGTTATCGAGGAGGTTACTGAGGTTCTTGAGAAGCCGACAGAGGAGCCTGATTCCCTGTTCGACGACATTGGGGATGCTGGCCTCGCTCCTGCTCTCGGTCCGGCCCTCGCACCCATCGATGTTCCCATCGCCCAGATGCTTCCCACTATCTCATCGAGCACCTAGTGCTCGTTTGCTTACCACATCGGCGGCATCTCACGCAGCGTATTCCTTGCGCGTACTCATCGCCCTGCTGCAAGATTGTATAATACGGACCCTTTCGGTCCATTAGAGCATCGGCGTTCAGGCTTTCGACACATGATTTACCCTGGCACGCTGGAACTCACGAGGAACATTTGCGCGGAATTTACGCTGGCTGGCAACCGCGAAGTTGGATCTGCTATCGGCGTTTGGATGTATGGAAGGATCACGCGACCTACCATCCATCTTTACCACGAACCGCTCATGGAATTATCCGAGAGCCACAGGTTCCGCTGCTTTCTTTGTGCGTTGCGACTACGCGCGCACTCTCAGCATGCCGGTTTCTTCAACGGCTTATGTACATGAACAACTGGGGCAAATGGCTTTTCTTAATGGCGTTTCTAGGCCTTCTTTCCGGCCCTGTCCATAGCATTGCACTGTACGATAAGCAATGATGATTGAGTACATTCACGACTCTAGCTTCTTGGGCCTTGTGATAATAATCTGCTTGCCCCCGGAAGGTGGTAACATGAGAGTCCTTCCAATGGTGTAGAGGAAGGCGCTAGTAATCTGGCCCTCCTGGCTCTGTATCAGTGCATCGTTCCGCGCAATTTGATCCATCTCTCTACACTACCGTTCTACACAAAGCGTGTCCGAACGTCAAAGAGGTCTATCTTGAGGGCAATGTGAATACGACGTTTGTGCCTAAGAGAGCAGAGGCTGTTGAGGGGACTGCGGTATTTGGATCTATCGGATCAGGATTCGTTGGAGGGGCCTGGGGGTGAGTGAGAGGAGCTTGTGGAAGGTTCGCTGAGGTTGACGAGGGAGAATGAGAGGTTGCGGGTGTGTGTGAATTCTTCGGTGTGGGATGCGTCCTGTTTTGTTGCCGGGGACATGTTCCGTTTTCGGCAGACTCAGTCACAGATAAGATGGTGGCGGGATAAAGGGGTTCGTCGGAATGCATGGACATCTCGATGAAGAACCTTTAGCCATCCCTGCGCGAGGATAGGACATTACATCACGCATACGTTTCCTGATCAGCAGGTCAACAGGTGAATAATATCGTGGTCTGGAGTTCTGCATCTTGGGTGCCAACTTGGTATGCATTAGGTTCTGAGGGAACGAAACAACTCAGGTCAACAAACAACATTGCCGCTCTGCAAGAGAACAAGAACCAACATAATAAAATTCCGCAAACGGAAAAAATATGGACCAATCTCTCAATCACTGGACACTTCCGTGACGTAGATTTCGGCAGGACACAGAAACATAAGTTCGGTAAGATAGAATCCATGCCCATCGCCACTCTTCTTCAAGCCAGGCCGAGCAAGGAAGCTGAACAATCCTTGCTTCGCTTCTAGCGTTTTGGTGTTTATGTTTGTGAACTCCTCGCGACTCAAGTTCTCCATGTTGAGGAAGTTGCCATGGGTCAAGTCGGGGAAGTAGAATTCCACTCGAGAGCGCTGGCGCCCAATTTGGATTGCGAATTTGGTAGCGAGCTTAGCTAGCGTTTGAAGCTTCGCTTTCTGGTCGGGCGGGAAGGCTGTGTGCAGTTCATTCCAAAGCTTGCTTTCGACCCTGGCCACCACTTCAGCGGGTGGGCTGTCTACAGTGACGTGCTTCGCGGCGCAAAGGCGTTCAAATGTGGCGGACCGCCATTTCTCCGTCAAGGTCTCAGGTGTCGGCCATGCTCTCCATGAAGATTCCGTTTGCTTATCTGCATAACAATCAGCCCGGTTTCTTTTTCAGCAGAGTGTTCCTGACCTTGAGAGAATAGCTGCTCCCAAGCCAGGGCCACATGTGAGGCATCATCTCCAAAGACTGCAAAGGGAGAAGAGAACAACTCTCTGAGGACCAGTGACCAGACAACGCTTGGCGCAAGGTACCTTCGGGTTCTCTCATCCCTCCAGGTTTCCGTCGGTACGTTCGGTGTCAGCATGTTTGCTGCTAGTCCTTCTATAACGCCTGGCGCGAGATTCTTGCCAACGAGCTTGCCAACACCCTTCACAGTGTTGGCAAGATTATTAAACGCATTTTGGAGGTTTGCGTCGAGGTCTGGTTGGAAGTGGTCCGTTTTCGCCAAAGCCTTTCCCTGAAGAGTTTCTAGATTCCGCTGTAATGCTGAGTTGATGTCGTTGAGCCTCTTGATCTCCCTCTTAGACTTCTCTAGCTCTTGTAGGACATTGGACACTTCCTCCACGAAGTTCAGCGTCTTGATGTTGGCCATCTTCTTGGTTTGGGACCTGAATTGCGCCGCCTGGCGAGGATGACGCTGGCATAGGGTCTCGAGCATTTCGCGCTGTATTCCGAAGAGCTCGTCCCTGTAGTTAGTGAATGCGGGTCGAACCCTGGCCAGGTCCAAGTTGAGTTCGTCTGTGTACTCGATTAGATCCTCTATGTTGCCGCGCAGCTCCTTATTTTGCTGAACGAGTTGGGTGTAATCCAATGAAGGGCCGTCATCCCTTTGATGTGTATCGATCATGACGCCACCGTCCTCACAGATCTGCATTCTATCCTCTTGCATCGAGTTTTGTACGGACATAGCCGATCTGTGAAGAGCAGCAGATGTAGTAGCTTCTATTTCCGAAGCCCGAGACGGCGGAGCATCCAGCAAGAGGCTTGGATATGGCTGATTCCTGCTGTGCTCGCCTTCAGAATAACGCGATCGGTCTTGGTGGAGCTCTGAAGAGACGCTGTGGCGTTCAGTTTCGGTATAGTTCTCTCTCGGTATTTCTTCATATTCGGTGGAAAGGAAGTAGTTGCACGTATCGAGGTGGCCTTGCGCTTTCCAGAGGATACTAAATATGCTGGTATTGACTTGGCATGAGTATACGCAAACGGCGCGGTCGCGTCCTAGCCCTCGATCATAGTACCAACCACTGCGAGCCATTGCGCTAGGACTAATTGTTCGGTGAAAGACCGGGCAGTCCTCGAATGCTCGCTGGCGAGCTTCGAGCGAGAGTCTGGGTCGCGGATGACGAAAGGAAGAGCGACTGCCTGTGACCATGGTCCACTGGCACGGATAATTGGTTGTAAGATCAGCCTTGAGCACTCTACGATGGTTTAAAAGGGTTCCTGACACTTACAAGTTGGAATATAATACTTATTCATATGACTTGCTACGGACACCTGGTGATCTCACCTACTTTCCTGCTCTTGATCGAAGGGTTGATCGAAGGCTGTTGGTAAAACGCAGGACTCGTTGCGGTAGAAGTCAGGAGGCAACAGCGCTCCCACCCTGTTAATCGTAGCAGAATAACTTACGCCAGCTAATCGACGAGTAGTATTTGCAATCTGCTGATGATGCGCTCACCTTCCACACCCTTAACGCGTGATCTTACGCCTCATTGACACAGATCAAGCGCGAGTGGGCGGTCGATCTGAGTGGGCTGGCTTGTTAGCTCCAAGGCTTCCGTAGGAGACTCCAACGTGACAGGCAGTCGCATTCTACTCTTCTGATCTCTCCGTAAATAGCACAATGCCGTATGCCCAGTTGTGCCCGTAGCCACGAAGACAAAAGAGAGGGCTTACAACGTGGGGGGAGACATGAATCGAAGGCGATGCGCTGAGGTCGGCTCGGCTCGGCCCTCGCCAGCCTTATCTGTATTTGCTCTAGCGTGCCAAGCTAGGCTGAAGCACCTCATCTGTAGTTCCTCCCCGCTCCCGCCTACATCGCAGCAATACCATAATGAACCTCCATATGGTGAGACTATGTCTAGGCTCGAATGAAGGAAGTAGTCAGTCTTTTCCACTACGCAGTAGGATGGTCGAATACCTAGATACCGGATTCTTCTACTTCTGGGCTTATCGAGACGAAGAATCTTCTGTGGCAATTTCAGCCTGATGCTATAGTAAATGGCTAAGGTCAGTTCATGAAGCCACCATGCTGAAAGGGCGTTCATCAGCCCTTGCTAATGTCTCAAAGTCGGACCATGTTCTTCGCAACCGACATGCCGCGTTCTGCCTACCCAGGTCAGTCCACATAGCCCCAGTCACACGGATTCCTACGCGGTATGGAGGGTGGAAGGTATTAATTCCATTCACCTGATTCCAGTCAGGCCATGGGCTTCTCATTATCCTTAGACGGCCAATCTTCCCTCGCGGTAAGCGAGGTCGAGGCAAGCAGATTTCCTCCAGCCGTTCGGCTGCGCCATTTGGCTCTAAGGCGGAAACCGGTAACACGATTGAGCCCCAGTGGCTCACTATGGGTGGTGAGATGAGTATGTCTTGGAGGTGCTCTGCTGACATATCATGCGAGGAGCGGTACGAGCGGCTATTGCTTGAATTGATATGGTCGACACGCAGCACGCAAGTTGCCTCCGTCCATCTATGATCAGGTTGCAATTGCGATATTCTGTTTCCTTGATTCATCTATTGAACTCCCCTTCCCAAATTATTTACCGTCTTCGCGGACACATATTCAAGTTTTCTACAGTGTATCTCCTTTTCCTACGCTAGTGCCTCAATCGCTTACGAAGCTCAAAATTCTTTTCTATCATGCCTTCCACTCCCACCAATCGGCTTGTTGTAGGCCTGGACTACGGTACCACCTTTACTGGTGAGTTTATCACGCAGAAAGGCCCTATAAGTGCTGACAGCAATCCGTCTCCCGCCCCCGCTTCACGATATCAATGACGCGAAGAGAGGCATCGAAGACGGCCATCTGGAATTGAGCGGGTGGGTCAAAAGTTATATCCTTCTGCTTTGAGACTCTGCTCATTCTTTGAAGGGACGACTTGAAGCATTTATTTGACCCTTGCATTGAGCAAACACTGGCGCTCATCAATGGTCAAATACAAACCATCAAAAGAACCGGCTCTCAGGTGAAAGTATGTTCTCCTCTCGCACACTTTTATTCTCAGCTAACATGAGCAAGTATGTGTTCCTGGTTGGGGGATTTGGGATGTCCAAGTATATGTTCGATAGAGTTCGAGCATTTACCCTTGCGCAGGGGATAACCACGATACACCCCCCGCATCCGTAAGTGGATCCGGCTCTAATGGCATAATACTACTACGCCTAACGTCACCAGTTGGTCAGCAATTGCGCGGGGAGCAGTCGCAAAGGGACTCGAAACCGATATTGACCTCGTGTTCTTAAGGAAATGCCGGCGTCATTATGGCACTCCATGCTCCCAGTTATTCGATGATGAAGAGCATGACGAACAAGATGCCTATCGCGACCAGTACGATGGAAGGAAAATGGCCCGGGGTCAGATGAACTGGCTCATCAACAAAGGAGATGCGCTCCTTTCACGACAGCCCCTTCACGCTCACATCGACGTCCATACCGAATTTTGGTTGGACGAAGCAAAGATCTTTACTGCTTTGTTAACAGCTTGTGATGATGATGTTCCTCCGAAACGTTTCGCTGATGATGGTACGTTACCCTAATCTCGGTTCTCAGAGACTCCAAATCAGCTGGCCGACTAACCTGATACAGCCGTCTATAAGGTGGTATCGCTGACCGCCGACGTGAGCACTGTACCCGAGTCCATGTTCCAATTCTGCAAACCAGGTCCAGGCAGGAAGCCATTCTTGCGCTTAGACTTTGACATCAATATTTCCTTGACAAGTAGCTTGAGGTTCTGGGTAACAGTGGACGGTCAAGAGTATGGTTCGGTGGAGGCACGCTATGAGTAGCCTTAGGTCCTCATCTCCTTTTCTCTAGTATTCCTTTACGCCTGTTCTTGACATATGCATCGGATATCGTCCTGAGGGTAATAGATATCTTCTTATTATTTCAAGGCTCTGCGCCCGCGGGAAGATGTGCAAATTCTACTTTCAGCCCATGGGGAAAGAAGAACGAGCATTGAAGCAGCTGTAATCGATGGGCCCGTCTATTCGAACTCCCTCAATCAGCCATATAACGCACTGCGATTAGAAGGATCGCAGAAGTGGCGGAGGAGTGGGGCGTACCATTGGCCACAGACAAGGCTGACCCGCTCTCAGGCCATATCAGCTTCTCTTCTAGCCCAGCGCTGGGTGGTAAGACATTTTCTTTTCTTTTTTCCTCGCATACGGCTTCCGAATTAAGCAACACCACCATTGGGTCGCGGTCCTTTCCGCATTGGGACTAAGAAGGATCGCATCAGGGTGTTTGCCCATCGTTCTATACTCCCTGTGCTGATCCAGAGCAGGATCACCTCATATGGGAAGTATTCGTGGCTTTGTTTACGGTGTTCTTGTGAGCGTCGTCCTAATTAAACTAAAACTCAGCGTTAGCTTCAGGTCATCATTGCCGGCCTACCCGGAGCCTTCTCGAGCGTTGCCTCTGCCCGTAGTGAATTTCACTACCAACCGTCCTCATATTTCCGTTTTGAAAGAGGAATCTCGTCGGCGCTATGGAGGTAGCTCTGGGTATTGCCGGTTTAGCTCTCGCCGCTCCTACCGTCGTCAAAACCTGTTTCAACCTTGTGGATGCTCTTATGCAAAAGGTTGAAAAGAACAAGAGCTTGCGAAGCCATGCCGAACGTCTCAAAGCCTTCGAGATCAAGACCGGACGGAGCAAGCTCAAGCAGGACATGAAGCTTGGGGAAGCCATCCTTAAGGACCCAACAGTGGAGCAAAACGATAAGGCTTGCTTAGAGGCCGTATTTGATGACGCCATGAAGACACTGAAAGAGATGGATGTGACGGTGGACACAATACTTCAGAACTGCGATAACTTCCTTAGCCGTAAGAGGAGGGTGGCACTTGCAAAGTTCACTGAGCAGTCTAGAGCGCTAGACACCACCACGAACCGCTTCCACGACATCGTTATCAGCCAGACCTTGGTGCAGATTTCAGAATCCAACAACAACGTCTCACTTCTCAAAGATTTCGACTTCACCATAATTGGACCGCTGGAAGATTGGAAACCCTTAAATAAGTCAGCTTTCATCCACAAGGGACGGCTCACGAGAAGCCTAAAAGACATTCCCGCCGGCACAGGTGAATTCGTTATAGAGTCAAGAGCCTACAAGGCAGCCACCAGAGATTGGGTGAAGACGAACCTACGATTCCTTGCTCAACGCCTTGCAGCAGCTCAACTTGCCGAAGGTATCCTTCCGCTCGTTGGCTGTCGTGAAGACTCCGTCCGGCAGGAGTTCCAACTGGCCTTCTGCGCGAACAGCTATGCAGCAAGCGCGCAAACCCTACAACTGCTATATTGTGAGAAGAAGACGCTTCCGACCCTCAACTTCCGTCTCGGTTTATGCGCAAACCTAGCCGAGGCAATTCTCCACGTCCATACCCTAGGGCTGGTGCATAAGAATATTCGCCCAGAGAACGTCCTCATAGCAAGCAACGATAATTGCGAGAGCAACAAGGTTTTCCTTCTCGGCTGGAAATATGCTAGGAAGGCATTTGACGCCCCGACTGTCCGTGAAGGGGAGCCTAGTACAGAACGAAAGATCTATCAGCATCCCCATCGACAGGTTGAAATTGCAGACGAGGACTACTGCATGGGTCATGACATTTACAGCCTAGGAGTGTGCATGCTTGAGATTCTTGCGTGGGCTCCTCTTATCTCGTCCACGGAGGCGGGCGAAACGTCATTCAACGAAGACTTCAAGTCTGGCTTTAAGAATCGAGGGCTTGCAAAGGATAAGGATGAGGTTAACCCCGCGTGGTTGAAGGGCCAACATCCAAGAAATGTACAAAGAGTTCTTCAGGACATGGCAGCGGACAAGCTGCCATACCTGGCTGGGACACGAATGGCTGAGGTGGTGGCGAGTTGTTTGGGATGCCTAGAATCTGAGGAAGGCCGCGGTGGAGACGCAAACTTCCGTGGAAGGAACCCAAAAGAGGTTGGGGCTGACTTTGTCGATTCAGTGCTTAAGCACACTCGAAGCGTGGCGGGGGCAATTTGACACATCACTAGCTGGCGCAGTGCTTTTTTCGGAGGCGAGAGTCATAGTTCTCATTATGCATTGGCTTTGCGTAAAGTGACAGGCTCCGCGGGAGCCTGATTTCAAGGAGCACTCTGCAGCTGTTCGCTCAGATTGGGGCCTTGATGTCGACGTGACCTTTGGAATCATGAAACGTGCAGTGACAGAAGCCCACTTCCGTATCCAGCGAAAACACCCCACTATTCGCGCAACTCTTTACGGTACCATATATGTGGCTTGCATTTTTTTGGCGGGGTGACATGATGTTTTCGTCCGTCAAACCCAGCCTTCAGCCGCGAGGCCACCTCAATCCCCTAATGCGAACAGGATAGGCGAGTGCCTATTTGCGGCTATGATGCTCAGGCCATGTTACTAAATTCGGGGGATCTCGTGTACGGGGTTGACGCAGCCCCGCCACTCTTTCCAGTCTTTCGACAAAGTACCGGCATGACAATTTCCAACCAGGTTCGGTCAGTCGCATCATTTCCGAGCTTGAAAAGCACCTGTAGTCAGAAATAACCCATTTGCTGCGATTAGTAGGTTTATTTGGGCCTGGGTAACAGCTTCTACGTCTATCGTACCATTCATCATTGCCTCACTTTGGCGGGCTGTCGGAAGCGAATGAAATCCGACCTGTGACACACTGTACATGGCCGCAACATCACCAAGTACCTCGCTAGCTCAAGATACACTCGCCGAAGCTGGCCCTTCAATCCAGCCTCTTGAGGGAAACATTGTCCACCAGGAAGAAGGGTAAGTCCCGATAACTCCGCTAATATCATATCCTCATGCTTACTTTTGCAGCAATGGAGATCAAGATGCTCTACCATCTCCTCGCTTCAAGGCCCCGAGAAGACAGCTTTCGGGATGGAGCTCGCTGCTCGACGTTGGGGACGATATCCCCAGCTCGGTTGGGCGGCATAACCTTGAAAGGGAGACAGACGGATTGAATCTACGTGCGATCTTAGACCAATTTCGTGGTTCCGAGCGAGAGATGGATGGCGAACCTAACATTCCTCTTGCGAGCACCGATGCCCCAACGGACGGGGGACGCCAACCCTCGACGATGCGGCAAGAGGCCGAGAATGCGAGCGCGGAAGATACTGATGACGGACGCAGCACCCAAACGAAATGGGTGGCCTTGCATTTCGCGGCACAGGAGGGATCACTACCCATGACCAGGTCACTGTTGCGTCACGGCGCCCAAGTCAACGCCAAAGAGGACGAGGGTCTCACACCTTTGCATATAGCTGCGAACGGAGGATACATTAACGTAGTCTCGGAACTGCTATCTCACAGAGCGGAGCCGAATGCGGAAGACTTTTCCGGCAGGACCCCTCTTTTCCCGGCAGCGAATAAGCGTCATCTCACTGTCGCGAGAGAGCTGCTCAACTCTGGTGCGGATCCAAATTGGATGACGGGCGAGGGCACTTGTGCGTTGCATGCCGCAGCGAACAATGGAGACGCCGAAATGATCGTCCTTCTCTTGGAAAAGGGAGCCGAGATTGACAAACAATCAGGCAACGGGATGACACCTCTCCACATAGCCTGTTTGGAAGGCAACATCGAAGCAGCACAGATTCTGGTCGCCATGGGTGCGAATGTGCGCGCTCGGGAGGAGACGCTGTGGACGCCTCTGCATTTAGCGGCGCAGACAGGAGGCGACGCAGGAGCCGAGATAGCGAGGTCTCTACTTGCCAATGGCGCCGATGTCGACGCCCGAACCAACCGAAAGACTACATCCTTGCATCTTGCCGCTCAATCCGGAGATAATCCGTTCATTGAGATTCTCCTGGCGGCAAATGCAGATATAGAGGCATCAACATCTTCAGAGCTCACGCCCATCTGCTCAGCCGCAGTTAACGGACATATCGACACGATTGACCTCCTATGGGAACATGGAGCCATAGTTGATATCCGAGACGAAGACGGTTGGAATCTACTTCATTTGGCATGCCACATGACGGATAATGTGGAGCTCATTGAGAAATTGATCAGTATCGGAGTGAGTATGGATGGTCTCACCAATAGGCGCCAGACGCCATTGTGTGTGGCGATACAGGCTGAGCATTTTGAAGTCTTCGAAGCGTTGTTAAAGCATGGGGCGAAAACTGATCTAGAAGACTAACGGAAATTTGCCTATATATCGACTAAATACATTCTGATAATTAGTTAGGTATCCTTTTCCAATCAGCGAGGAACAGACCGGTGCACTGGAAGCCAGCAATCTACCCACGATTTGCTATCTCTGCTCCAATTATGATTGCGGCTCTTCCAGCGCTGTGAAATTCACCCAGCGCCCTGGGCATGACGTGGTCCTCAAGTAGCCTTGCAATCTCCACGTGATCGTACTTACGAGCCATGTCGTGCGGACTTTCTCCTTTTAACCCGCCTCGTATACCAGCATTTGCCCCTCTCTCAAGCAACAGCTGCACTACGCCTAGGTGCCCTTGTCTTGCTGCCATGTACAGAGCGGTCCTTCCCTCTTGATCTTCTGCATCTACGTCCGCACCTTTGTCTAGTAGCAGACGCAGGACGTCCTCGTGCCCGCCCACGGCCGCCTTATGAAGCGGCACTCGGTGCTGGCCGTCCCTCCTCTCAATCATTGCGCCCCTTGAAATGAGTATGGCGGCCGTGGTACCATTTCCAGCGCTCGCTGCCAGGTGTAAAGCGGTTTCGTAATGAGGGCCAAATCGCATGGATGGGTCTACCCCTTCGTCTATCAACTTGTTAAGGACCAATTGGTACCCTTTTGCCGCTGCAATTGCTAGCCCGGGAAGGACGCGGGGACTCTGTTTGATCCAGATACGATTGTCCGTACGAAGGGAGCATAAAAAGTCAATTTCCTCTGCGGAATGCTCCAGAGCGGCTTTATGATTCGACGTGGCTGCCTCTTGTATGCGCTGTGCCTCGCTGGCTTCGCGCGCTGCTTGTCTGAGGAAGTTAGTGAGAAGTCAGGCCGGGGTTCTTCGAAGTCTTAAGCTTACTCTATCTTGGACAACATCTTGCATATCGGCCGGCTACCCCTTTCAGCGGCAATCTGACTTGGATACAGGCCATCCTTATCACTTCGAATGACTAGACCTTCCAAAGCGGGGGAACTCGGCCACTGCGTCACCTCCCATACGAGGTTTGCGAACTCTTTATCGGTTGGCGTGAGTTCGGCGGCCGCGTGGAACACGGTTTTGGGCTTTTCTGTGAGACGGTTTGCCGTTGTCTTCAGAGACTGTTTGGAGTAAGTCGCCGTGAGCGACATAATGGCGCAAATCTCCTTTGAGGTGAATGTAGCGTGGAGTAACGGCAGATACTGGCCCGAGAAATCCCGAACCGTTTGAGAGATCATTTGACGGTGAGCCTGATGAGAGTCCTTCGCTAAAGTCGTCCAGAAAGACTCGCTTCGCCGAAGATTCCCATCCGAAGAACCAGCCTTGAGTGACACCGCTAATAGAGTCAACGCTATAGGGCGACGTGCGGGCTGGCGATCGAGGCAGTCGCATATGAGTTTCAGAAGGACCTCAGAGGCCTCAGTTCTCCCATCTGGTAGTTCGTCCTTCAGTTGCGCAATCCGGGCTGAGATGGGAACTTCTCCGATCTTCTCGTTTGGCAGGTGGAAGGTTAGGAGGGAATAGAGTGTCGCTGCGAGACTACATATGTCCGTGGCAGAGGACCAGCCGGTAACCCTCCCGGAAGACAGTGCCTCTTCCTTTACCTCCTGTAAAAAGTCAGCAACGCCGGAGATAACCCGAAGCGTGTTCAGAGGATACGATACCGGAGGCCAGTATGCTTGCGTTCCCGTCATGGTGGTATGCAGAGTCCCTTCCTTTAACCTACAAGCAGCGCCAAAGTCCCCGAGCTTCACTACCACTCCATCAATACACTTGATAGCCATCGCAGCCGCCTCGTCTTTCGATAAGCCCGGTAGAAGAGAGCTGAGAAATACTGAAACTAATCAGAACGTTTTCTGCCTCTTCCATGAAAGTGGGCTCTTACCGTTCGCGGGTTTGACGTCTCTGTGAATAATCGGAGCCCAGTGAGCATCAATTCCGACGTAGCTCTCCTCGGAGCCCACCCTGATACTCCGCAGGCCCTGATGACATTGTGCAAGCGCTGAAGCTATAGCCTCGCAAACATTCCATATGAACTTATCCGAATATTCCGCTCTACGGATCCACTAGGTTAGAGGAGCCCAACAACGTAACCACATCAAAACACGTACTTGACCTTGATCAAAGCCGATATATCCCCTAGTTCGCAGTACTCCGTGAAGATCTGGTACGCGTCTACCTGCCTCTTCGGCCTCTTGTGGTGGACATAAGCAATAATGTGGGGATGGTGTAGATGTCGGAGGAAGTTCAATTCCTGGTCGATTTGGTCTAGCGACTTCTTCAACTTCACGTCATCATTCGTTTGATCAGGTGTGACGTCCTTCCGGGCAAAGCACTGCGCGCTATCAGCAACCGGCCCAGTAGAAAATTATTGAATACGTACTTTTCCACAGACCCGGCATTTTACTCTGAGGACCGCGCCGAACATGCCAGATCCAAGTGAATCCCCTGCATCCTGAAATTGGTGAGGCGTACCGGTAGTCTCGCAAGCCGCCACTGTCGATATCAAGGCATTTGCTTCATCATGCGCTACAGATAGGTGTTCTTCATCCCTTGTGCTCTGCTTGTTCTGCGCTCTAGCGGTGGACGCCATAACGATTAAAGCTCTTCAATTGATGAACTTGCGGCAAACGGTCCAGGGCGCAAATACTCACGACCGTGTCCTACTTGCATCGTTCCACTCTTGACAGCCTGGGCTGAAAGATCATCCCATGCTGTCACGCGTCTTCGGTGGTGCTCTGCAGGTAGCGGCAGACATCCTGCCACCTGGGCAGAGAGTAACAAGTGGCAGGGCGTCGCGCCACCGCCACTGCATAGGCGAATACCGCATGCACTGCTACAAAGCCTCGCGTCGCTAGAATGGCCTGATATCGCAAGCCACAGCCTCATACGCACTCCTTGGAGCGGATTTCCTCCCGTAGGAAGCATTCATGCCTTGCCTTATCGCTATTGGTTTCTCGATTATCCGCACATGCGTCGTAGGTGGCCTTCTGAGTCGCGCAACCCGGTGCCGTGGAGGAAGGGTACGTAGCTCGGTGTTTTCGCAATCCACTTGTTCTTAGGGTTCCTCTAGAAGCGCGCATGAGTCAAGAGCCTAGGCGCCATAGGCAAAAGACTACCAACCCGGCGGCACAGTCAAGGCGGAAATTGCTCTCAGGCAGAAATCAATGATGGGAAAGACGGGAAAGGCTTCTCTTCGCGCGCGTGCTTTCTTGTGCTGATTATATAAGCGCCGTCCATATGAGGTCTAGCGCGCCTGTGCCCCTCTTCCAGGCCCTACATTCATGTTTTCAACACCCAACACCCATGGACGAGAAGAGAACCCAAGAAGGCATGCGTCTCCTCTAGATCATGTATGGAAGTGCCATAATTCCGTTTACCCCAGCGTTCCCTACTATGAACGAACGAAGTCCTCTCATGCGCCTATCCCGCGAACTGCGCGACATCATCTATGAGTACGCGCTCTACGAGCCCAAAGGACTTTTCGTCTACAGAGATCAAGATTACAAGGCAACCTTTTGCTGCTCCAGACGCGATCATGCCGACTTCAACCAGCTGAAATACGTATGCCGGCAATTATATCACGAGACGCACGGCCTCGAGCGGCGGCTCAACGAACTCGTACCCGCCGGGGTCTTCCGTACGGCTCCTAGGTCTGCTCAAGATGCTCACAGAGACACGGTGGTTCGACATTCGGCGCGTTCACTTGCGGGCCGTGCGCTTAGTCGGAATGAGCCTATCCCCCTCGACAGTTGATCGTCTACTGGTGCTAGATACACCCTCAGATGACAATATTCGGGGAGTCTTCGAAAGCCCAAAACGTTTGCTATAAGACTCCCAAAGACTTTATTGTCAAGGTCCCAGGGTCTGAACCACTGACGAGCGCGTTCAGTACCATTTATTGTCCCGAAGCTTCGATGAATGCCCGGCGGTATCTTCTGACTCTCCTGGATCTGTCTTTGAGCTTGGTCACGCTTCCATTTGCGCCAAACTTGTCTCACACGATCAGAGTCAAACATAATGAGCGTGGTATAAGCACGGAATCCTAAGGCTTACCAGAGAAGCTGGTGCAAATGCAGGAGGAGAATGTGCGGCTGCGTGAGTGCTTTTCCGCGGCGAAAGCCCGATGAAGACACCGCAGCGGACGAGGGCCAGGAAACGAAGCAACGGGGGGCGCAGCCGGGTTGTGGGTTGAAGAATATACTATGCATAATAGTTAAGAGATATAGAAAAAAAAGGAGACCAGATCTCACAGACACGGCGAGGCGAGCATCAGCGGTTTCTCCCTTAGTTATATCTCACCACACCGTGTCGCGTAACAACACCCTCACTGCCCAAACTGCTCCCTCCCCAACCTCCCCATCAAATTCATCTTCAACCACCCCTACTCTACAATCTCCTCCCTCCTCACCACCAAATTCCCCACATCCCAATTCACACGAACATACCGCCCGCTCAAAAAACCCCTCTCCACGCCCTCCCAGCCTGCAAGCCACGTCCCCAGCCCCGCCAGCAGCGCCGGCGTGTCCTTCGCAAACGGCATGAAAGCGTCGATCGTCATGCTCATTAGCACAATACCTAGATGGAGAGATACGGCCAGCACATTGGGATTCTCGGCCGCGACGTACGTCATGAGCTGGAAGACGACGAGCTTGCTGAGGTCGTAGGCGGAGAGGGCGGGGAAGACTTCGTAGGCAGCGCTGGTGGTGGGGGTTAGGATTTTAGCGGGGGTGTGGGGGGTGGAGAGGAGCGCGAGGAAGGATTGCGTTACTAGGAATGTGCCGTGGATGTTGAGGGTCTGGCAGTGTGCTAGTAATCACGAAGGAAAAGCGGTGGAGTGGAGGGGGTTGGGTACTAGTTCTTCCCACGAGGCTGCTTGGTCGATGTCCTTGACTGGTGCGATGGCTTTGAATACTCCGGCGTTGTTGGCAAGTACGTCTGCGTGACTGTACTTCTGCTTGATTTTCTGGAAAAGCGCGGCTACTGATGCGGGGTCCGCGATATCGGTGGGAACTGGCAACGTCTCCAGTTTTGGATATTTCTTGTTCATGGATTCTGCAACCTCTTAGAGCTTCTTCGCGTCCCAGGCTACTAAGACGATGGCTTTAGGCCCTATAGCCGCGAAGGAAGGAACGAAATCCCTAGATCGTCAGCATTGCGCGCAACTAGGTGGGCGGTACTGGTCGAGCTCCTTGGCCACGGCTAGCCCCAGTGATGAGGATGACTTTGCCCGCCTGCGAAAGGGATGATTGGGTAAGATCAATGGCAGGATAGACATTGCGGTGGGTGGTTGCGGTGAACTGTTGGGTGGTGACGAAATGTTCGTCTGGTAAGGTCTCTATAGGGAGTTATGGATAGAAATTCTCGGAGGAACGTAGTGGTTAAATCGAAGAGGAGAAGTGAGAAGGTACCTGTTCGTTTGTTGCTGAGAGCGCATGCTAGATACCAGCTCTTTATATGCTAGCCTCTAGTGAAGCTTGAAAGGAACCCTTTTAGTAGTATAGGAGAGCAATGCAGACTAAGGCACGGGTTTGCGCATGTAATCAGGACGGCGCTTAGGAATGAGAAAGGAGGGTGGTGACGTATCGCAGAATACCTTCGCTTATACGAGACGGGATAGAGGAATTAAAGACTCTTTTGAGAGAAGCTAAATAGTAAGTCAGAACAAGTCTCCTGGTGCACACTAGCGTGCTGCACAAACAGGGGTGTCTTCTTACCCAAAGAAGCTAGGCGCCCTCACTCTCCACCTCTTCTGCTATCTTCCCCACCGGCGTAGCCCTCCGCAATATCCTCATAACCTCTTCTCGAATGCTCTCCTCGCTGTTTGCAAATACCTTCTCGACCCAAAGCACACGCTTCACGATTTGCATCAGCTCTTCCCACTCCCGGATTTGCAATCCGCCCATCACCACGGCGAGAAAGAAGACGAACCGGCTCCGCTCCATGGCATCTCGCGTTTCGACTGCGGCAAAGTAGATCACCCAGGCGAGTAACGGCTTGAGATCGCCCCATTCCACCATGTGGCTGTGAAGAATTGAGAGGAGATTCCGCGAGATATTGAACGTCCAAACTGGACGGGCGCCAATCCACCGCCAGACTGGTGCTAAGAATAGCATCGTCCCAAGCCGACACACTTCTTCGATGACGTTCTCTTGACTGCTTCCACGGACTAGCGGTCGGATAGCAAGCAGACGGACCATTGTGGGCTCCATCCAGCTTCCAGTCGTTGCAGCAAGTCGGAGCTCCTTGTCGGTAAAGGCGCGCTCGAGCGAGATGAGTTGGTTCACGTCGTCAAATATCGATATCCAGTCTAGCAGTGTGGGTAGCTGCTGTTTCCACTTCAGCGAGATGGCACTGTAGGGACGAGGTGAGTGTGGTGGTGACTTCGAGTCAGCTTCCCATTGACGCGGAAGTGTAACGATTGACGGAATGTCTTGCGAGAATGCGCCGACGAGGTCACACCTGTTAGAGGATTAGCGGTTCCCTAGAAAACTTTTTCCCGAGTAGGAGGGTTAGAGCACGAGGTGGAAGGCTTACCAGGACATGGTAATTCGAAGCTCCTGTTTGGTTATCTTGTCTATCCCACCTCTTAACTGCGTGATCCTCATCATTGCATTACGATGGTTCTCCCATCCAGCAAAACCCCCGAGAATATACTGTCCTCTCGTAAGTGACCAATCTCCAAAAACTGGATCGAACTCACATGATGGCACATGAAGGCTCCAACAGCACCTAGAAGCTCGTCACTAGTGTGATGCCGGGGGTCCTTCATCTTCTCGCCCATCGAGCGGATGGCATTGTTCTGATGCAACAGGCTTACTGCGTCGTCCTGCGTCACAAATGCACCATTCAGCTCCTTGAGCATATACAGCCGCGAGTTTCCGAGCACCATATAGAAGGCTGCAGGGTCTGCTAGACCCACGGGCCACCATGAACCCCGGAGCTGACGCGAATGGCTGCTGTTGTTTCGAAAGACTAGCGACGGGTGAGCATGTGCACCGCACATATAAGGTGGACCTCCCACCCTCGAATGAGACTCACTGTATGCAACAAGCCCACGCCCCGTCTCATCCAGGTCGATCGGGTACGCGCTGAAAGGGTCGACCTCCCCTCCACCAAGCCGCTCGATGCTCGAAGGACTCCCTGCCGGCGTACGAAATTCGAGCACAATCTCGTTTCTTTCACGTCTCGTCTTCGGTTTTCTGCGCGCTTTGCCGACTTCCGCCATAGCCAGCCGCCGGATTCGAAGCTGCGTCTCCTCATCTTTGAGCTCGTCAGGATGGGAGAGGTTCACGAAATTAAAGGCGGGTTTTGCCGAACGATCCATGGTGCGAATAACGGTAGCTACTCCTTGCTATACTGCTGAAAGACACGAGTTCAAGGTTGATATATGCCAAGTATCCCATGGAGGAAGCAAACGTTACAGGTTTGTCGGTCTGGGCGGTACTCCTGATATTTGGGGGCTGAAATGTTAGAGTGCAGCCTCGTTGTGGTGGCGACGTCATCGCCTCTGGCAGACCGCCGTTACATATGGGGAAAAGAAGGCCAAGCCACTGGTAGAACATCTCAGAATTATTTGGCGTGAAGCTGGTGACGAAGCAACGTACGGTGCGGGCAATGGAAGACGGAGCCTAGCGTCGCTAGCGCACGATCGAATTACTAATGGCAGTTTAGCTTTCATAAGCATCCGGAATTAATAACCGATTAGAAGCTTCGCTGGCATACCTTGAAGATTTGGCAAACATGCAACTGCCCTTTTTCATTCCCTTCTTTTCTCATTCATATTCGGACTGCCCTCATCCTTCGCGTAGGCTCCAGGCTCTGACACGAGCCTCGGCGCGCTAATCTACTCCAGTACTAGCGCGCTTCGCTTCCCCGTCCATAAATTTTCTCCGCCAACCTCACCTCTCTTCCTCCCTCAACGCATCCATCAGACAGTTCAGCCACTCATCTCACTAGCATCCTTACGTTTTGTATCGAAGCGACTCGAGACTCCATGGGTATTCTGCGATTTAGCGATGCGGAGAGGGAATACAAGTGCTCCATTAGAGCTGGCTGCGCATTTTGTCGGTTGCGCAGGCGGTGTCATAGGGGCGGTACATTCATCATGGAAAGCTTTGCGTGGGGCTTTTCATTTATACTAACACGAAGTCTTCCTCCTCTCCGTTTTCCATCCAGTATTCGAATTCGTGCCTGAGCTGCGCGCCTTCGTTTTCGCCTATATCTGTCGGCGAAAGCCAGAATATATCCTTCCGCTCAAACGTATTCGATTCAACATTCCTCAGTACCAAAACGGCGTATTCCCTGTCGGAACAGAGCAACAGACAGACCGTCTCCGGCATCTTCTCCACGGGTTCCTGGAGCATCCAGGCCTGCGAAAGGCCACGTACCGGTCCGGCACGCGTCCACCCGCGCGTCTTTCCATCCCGGCATTGCAGATATATCGAACTCTTCTGGTCCTGTCCGTCTGCACTCATCACATGGTCTCCTGGAAACGCCTTCCCGCGAATGTGCAGTTTGCAGCCGCGAACCTCGCCAAAGGGATCGGTACCTGCAAGCTCCATCTCGTATGATCGGAGCACGATGTGCGAGTTGAAGAACGTCTTCTCTATGTCTTGATCCCAATACCCAGCATCGCTGGTATAGATCCGCCACGTGCAGCCAAAATCGTACGACGCCCAACTCCACGAAGGACGAGGAATCGCAGTAGGCATACTGACGTAAACTCTTTGCTTGGTCTCAGTGACTTCCGATGATGGATGCCATGCTAGTCCAAATGCGATATCTTCTTCCCAAAGGCCCGCAAGGTACGTCGAACCCGTCTGCCGGTGCAGCGCTCTCGCGATGCTACTTATAGCCGGCAGCTTGTCCGATTTGAACGTCAGCCTCCGGTGCGTATACTCGGGTAAGATGTAGCGGAACCAGGGCCTGTACAATGCCCAGCGCGGCAATTCGAAGTCTCTTTCCTTGAGCATCTGGCGTACTCGCTGCAGTTCTTCGAGCGTGGAGTAGTGCAGGCTTTCCATCAGCAACTGCTCTTTCTGGAAGTTCACGTATGCCACCCGTGGGGCCATAAACTCTTTCCCAAACTGTGCTCCGATATGCGAGATGCAGTATGAAGGCACGTTTGCGGAGGGCTCGTGCCATACTTCGTAATGCCGTCGGCATTCCCAGAGGATCCCAACGTCGAAGAAGTGCAGGATGCGAGGGGATACTACGCGCTCTTGCAAGGCCCACGCCCGGGACTGGAGATGCCGCGCCTCGGTTTTTAAAGAGCGAGAATCGGATGCGCGGAAGATGAGTGTGGCAGTCTGGCCGTCGGATAGGGGGCTCGTGATCGTGATGGGGACACTCATTCCTTCGTCCGGGCCTACGTTGTCAGTGAACAGCCCTCCTCTCGAGTCTTCGCTCGATTCTGCGGCAAGTGTGACGGTAGAGTTGCTGTAGATGGCGTCCATTCTTTCGCCCTCGTGCCTCCAGTCTTCTAAAGAGCCTTGGACGATGCAGAGCGCGTCAATCCAGAGATAATCCAGGCCCAGGCGGCGAGTCACCTCGATAGCTTCGCGGAAAGTTCGAGGCAGCGTATCCACAGCAATACCGGCCTCCCTCTCCTCCAGCGTATCCATTGTCGTCTTAGCAGAATCAGGGAGCCCCGCCGCACCCCAGCAATGACTAAGCGTCGCGTACCTGAGCCGTTTCTCCTCCTTCGGCGTAGAAACCAGCCTCACTCCATCCTCCCCACCACCTACATCAATAAGCCGCCCTGGCCAACCCCTTCCCTCTGCGACATCCTCACAATCATGCCCTTCCTCACACTCCCCCATCCACCTACTCGCCCTCTCTAAATGCCACCCCGACCCCGAAAACGCCCTCTCCCTCTCCCACGTAACGCCCAACCCCCTCGCAACATCCTCCTCCCCCACCGTAACATACATCTCCAGCCTCCTCCCCGCACTCTCCGCGCGCACCAACCCGCCATCCATAAACGCCCTGAGCACGCTCCCACTGCCCGTCTGCTCAATCTTCAGCCTCACACCCGTACCACCAGTCCTACCCGCTCTTTTAAACTCCATGAGGATAGACTTAGCGTCCGGCCACAGCCGCCGACACAGCATGCAGTCCAACGAGTCCCAGAACTCGTTCCAATCGCGGGCGTGCTGGAAGCCCGCGGGGCTGAGGAGCGACTCGACGGTTAGCTTTTCGCAGAGCGAGCAGGTGGAGAAGAAGAATTTGATGTATTTTCCCAGGGAGCGCTTGTGGCGGGTGCGCTTTTCGGGGTAGCGGTGGGTTAGGGACATGGTTTGTTGGGAGGTAGGAGGTTTGCAGAGATAGGGGGCCTAGGGATGAGTGTTTTTAGGGGTGAATACTGCGAGATATGAGCGGTGGGGGTACAGAAGAGGGATGTGGTGGGTTGTGGATATGTGATGTTGAGGGAGCTAGAGGTTGAAGGCGGTGCACAGCCACGAAACTCAGGCACTTCTGAAACGGTACTAGTATGCTCCTAGGATGAACGCTAATAATGAACTACATTATTACCATGACCGTCTCCCCCAAAATATTCGTATAATGGTTGTGATGTTCACACCCACCCTATGAGACCATGATGCTGCGGCCACCACCATCTAGCCTATAAGCTTTAGACCCGCTCACCCAGCTCCTCCCTCGCCTCTACGGCGCCATTAATCTCATAGTCCTTGAACTTCCTGCTCCCAATCCTCCTTTCAAACATAATATCCAACTCCTCGAACGTCCTATCCTTGGTCTCCGGCAAGCAAAAGAAGCAATACACCGCACACAAGAAACTAAGACCCGCGAACAAGAAGCCCAGCTTGCCCCTCCAGTTGCCCTGATCCTCGTTCAGCGCGTAAGGGATGACGACCGAGAAGACGATAGAGACGATGTGGCAAGTGACCGTAGCGAGAGCGATCGTCATCCCGCGCAATTTGGCGGAAGATACTTCGGCGAGAAGGATGAAGCAGAAGGGGCCGATCGTGATGTCGTAGATGAGGTTGCAGATGAGCATTAGCGAGCATTGAGCCCATGTTGGCGCGTGGGAGGAACGAGGGGCAAGGTCGATCGCGCCAATCAAGAACAAAAGTACAGCAAGGCCAGTGCAGCCCCAGAAGTACGCTGTCCGGCGGCCGATGTAGGATGCGAGAGGCCAGGAGAGGCAGGTCCCTACGAAGCCAATGGCCGTGAGCCCAAGATTCATAGAGAAGGCGTTGGAGGCATCGAGGCCAGCGAGCTCGAAGAAGTAAACCGCGTAGTCGATGAAGAGGATGTTGCCAGTGAAGGCCTGCATATCATACGCCATCACACATATGATGAGACGACGAAAGTTAGCGCCTCGGAAACAATCCAGGATCGTTGGCTTGTCTTTATCGTTATACGTTGTTTCTAGGCGCAGCGTCTCTTTGATGTGAGCGAGCTTTAGCGAAGGTTCGACATCGGATGTAGCGAGACGACGGAGCGACTTCTCAGCTGCCTCGTACCGTCCTTTCTTGCAGAGCCAGTATGGCGGGTCCGGACAGAAGTAGATGATTGACAGCATAACAGCAGGGAGAGCCCACTGCGTGGCGATGGGGACTTTGTAGGAGTACTTGCTGTCGATGCCATTCGTCCCTTTCAATATACCCGAAGCAATAAACTGACCAATGACAAAAGCGAGGTTGGTCATGGATGCTGCGAAGCCACGAAGAGCGAGAGGGCAGACCTCTCCAATGTAGGCCGACGCGCAGATGGGGTAGAAGGCGATGATGCATCCGTTGATGAGCTCGCCGGCGAACAGTTGTCCTGGTGTGTGCGCGAAGAACTGCAGGAAGATGAAAGCGACGGACATGCCGGAGCAGGCTGCCATCATGCACCGGGGGCCAAGTTTGTCGTATGCGAAACCGGACGCGAGTGCTCCACAGATTGCTCCTAGCTTGTTGGCATAGTTGAATGCGGAGACCCAGTGAGCGGCAACGATGTATGTACCGTTGAATTCGTATCCGTAGTCGCGCTTGAACGGCTCAAGACCAATCAAGCTTCCGACGATACCGCCGTCCATACCTAGAGAGTTGTAAGCTCAATCTTGCAAAGATAGAGCGAATGGCTACAGACCTTTCAAAATAGTGGCCAAGTTGATGAAAAGACCCCAACATATGGCAGGCCAGTACAGCTTCGCAGCTTGCCAGAAGCCCATCGCATGCTCAACCTCCGTGAACTGTAAGGACTTCTCAGCCTCCTCGGTAGAAGCGAAGCCGACATCGACGGAGGGTGATAATTCTTTCTTCAGATCCTCCTTTGGGAGGTCTGAAGTGGCTTCAGTCATGGTGATCGCTGTTTATGGATGAGAAGAAGGCTATGTGAAGTGTTTGGAAACGAAGAGGTGTTTGGAAACGGATACAAGGTGAGGATATATAACTCCCACTTTCGGTAGAAATCCAGTCATCTTATCTCTGCTGCCGAAGAGGCCGGGCTGATGATAGCCGTCTGGCACCCTTTGGCCTAGGTCTAGACGAGGAATGAGTTGGTCGAGTTCAGGTTCAAGATTGTCGGTAATCCGCTCGATGGCCTGAGAAAAGGGTTGTTCTGATGACCCACCCCAGAGTCCATGGTTGATCTATGCCGAACTGGGAAGTTTTAACAGTCGGGGTTCCACGAGTCAGGAGCGGTATTGAGCAGCTAGCCCGTTGTGGCATGGGATGGGCGTAGTGCATGACACTAGCGGCTATCGTGATGTTGTCGAGGGTGGGGTTGGTCGGAGCGCTTATCCCCGCGAAGTGCTTCCAGCCTGTGTAGGAGCTGTTCGAATTGTCAGTGTTAGCAAGGCGCCGGTACCATATCTGATAAAGCCAACAGATATCCTCATGCGCCAACAGTTCGATAAGCTTCCACTCCCAGTTCCTCTTTGAATCCTTTCGTCCTAGTCGGCGCGTTCGTCATTGCCATCGTTACGTTGTACTTGCGATGATTGCCCCAACACCCAAACCCGAGGTGACTCTCATCGAGCTCACCTCGGATGAGCTTAAGAGCAAGACCATCGACTCCCACAACTTGCAAGCGGCGGTCGAAGCACTGCACCGAGATGGCATCGTCGTGCTGAAGAATGCTGTCTCAATCGAGCACCTCGACAAGCTCAATGCTCGAATGGTACCGGAGGCAAAGCAACTGTACGCGAAAGCTACGACGCATCGTAACTTTGGCGAAGCTACCGGCAATATCCAACAAGAGCCAGTTCCGGAGCCCGAATATATATTCGAAGACGTCATCGCCAATCCATGGGCAACGAAGGTGATCGAGTGCATGTTCGGCCCAAGTCCAACCCTCAGGTTTTACAGCGCCAACACAGCTCTCAAGGCCACCGGTCGACAACCTCCACACATCGACATCAATTTCGATTTCCCGAAAATTCCGTTTGGATACTGCGTAAACATCAACTTGGTCGATACCTCCACTGAGAACGGTGCGACCGAGGTCTGGCTAGGCAGTCACGCCGACACAGACGTCAGCGTCCTAGACCCATCAGTTAAACACAAGCAGATCCGGGAAGAGCTGCAGGAGGAGAGGCGCAAGATCAGTCCTCCTATTCAGCCCAGCCTCCCGAAAGGCTCTCTTATCATCCGCGATTTCCGGCTATGGCACGCGGGAATGCCGAACAAGACAGACGAACCAAGAGTGATGCTCGTAAGCATTCAGTTCCCGAACTGGTACAGAAGCGAGCAGAAGATCCAGCTGCCGGAAAGCGTGAAGGGCAAGGTCCAATGGGGTAGCGTGGTGCCTTGCGTGGACTGGAAGCCTGATGGTTACGACTACCTGAAGGGATCGCACGACCTTGACTTCTCTCTCAAGCCTTGATCACAGAATGGGATGATTTTGTCGCGCTCCGTAGGTAGTATCATGCAAGATCCACTTCTCGGCCTCGCCGTCGTAGAATGACTTGAATGCAATCAATTTTGGACATCCCATCCAATCCATTCGTGATTTGTTCCATGTCTTTCGCCGCCCAAACCTCCTCAATATCTCTCATAACTCTTCTCAGACTTGGGAACTTCCGGGATTGGTACATAGCCTGAAATCTTTCCCTAATAAACTGTCGTTGAGCATCGTCGACGGCCTCGCATCCGGCAGTGAACAGCGGCCAAATATGCGATGAGGCAAGAGAAGAATCGACGCTAATCTGCTCGATGCATGTGATGCATTGCTGAACGTGGTTCAGAGTGCTCGGGTTCGGAGCACCAACATCCAACCAACCCCGGTAGAGATATATGAATGCGGCATGTCGGTACGCCTGCGCTGTAAGATTGATATCTCTGGAGTCTTCGGGGTCGCCCTTTCCTAATGGGAAGTCCATGGCGAGCAGGCTTTGCTGAATCTCAGTCCCGAGCGCAAAACTTTCCTCGGACAGGTTTGATTGATTTGAGGAATTTCTCTCTGACTTTGCTTTGTGCTGCAGCTCGCTAATCCGCGCAACGACGTGGAGTACTTCAGCAACGCTTTCCATACTGGCCGCACCCTCGATCGCACGGAATTCAGATGTATGGTCGACAAGAGGTCGCGATCCTCTCGAGACAGACGATAAGATATCGTGATATGCAAATAGGCTGAGCAGGAACCTTGCGCTAGCTGACGTATTCCACGCGGCCAGACCGCCATTCCGAGCAATCATTGCTTTAGCTCCGATTAAGTGGTTTGCCACATGAGGCTCCTCCTCTTCTCCAAGCAAGCGCGCGGACACTTGCATCATCATGACAGTGGCCAGGGCTTGCTCCAACTCTGCCTGGTGCGGGTCTTGGATAAGTTGTTGGAGAAGGATGACAGCATCTCGCTGATGGCGGTATGCCTGAATCCGGAGGGTGACGTCGTTCGAAACTACGGCAAGGTGATTCGCGGCCATAGACAGAACGGTCGATCGCAAGGCGCCGTAGTTGTAGGCCATCGAACCTAAGTGGACTTGGAAGGGGTTCGGCTGTCGCCTCCTCGGAGCAACGGATATCAGCAAGGAAAGCTGTTCAATCCAGTAGTGTAGGAGCCGCCTGTCACTCTGGGAGAGGTCAGGGGCCAGTTGAGGCGGTATAGCCGGAGTTAAAGCCATAGCGGTCTCTCGAAGACCTTCATGCGGTGGCTTGTCAAGCATTGCCGGTGCAGACCTAATGCTGGAGACCGAGACCGGGCTGGAAATGGACGATGGGCTTGCGACTGACGTTTGGTCGACTGATCCTCCTCGTCCGGCGTTACGAGGCTCGCTGGATGTCGTGACGGCAGCATTTCTCCATTTGAGTTTGACTCCATACCCCTTACACTCTTTGTTCAAGCGGATGCAGCGTCCACAATGAGGTTTCTGTTCGTCGCATTTATAGCCCGTTTCGCGGCAAGTCCAGCATCCGGTCCGGGTTCGTTTGTGGCCAGCCATGATCGTATTCGCGACGGTATTCGTCCAAAGCAGGCAGATGCAGCCCCGACTTATCAATGCGGGCGTTGGCGCATCGCGGCTACTTCCACATATTACGATCCAGATGTAGGGGACAATCAGGACGCCGGTAGTTTTTCTGGAAAGTTTCGAGCAAGGGGATGGGTTCCACGCAGATACGGTTTGACGTAATCTTCGAGTCCCCTCAAGGAATGTGGCCTGATGTCTCTGCGAAGGATAGTGATTTCGAAATGGTAGAGGATCACACCACTCTCGGAGGGCGTGGATTCTGAAGGTTGATAAAAGGTCGGAGCTGTGCAGACGGAAGAGGCAAGTGGGCCAGAGGACCCACTTCCGCGGAGTCGGTCCGATCAGATAAGAGCCTAGCGCCCAGTCGGATATGCCGCGACTCCTTCGACACGACAGCCACGATGACTACCAGCATGTCCTATTCATGTTGATGAGTATCTACCGTTGAGCATTCGCCCCATCCGAGGATCAAACCGGCTTGTTCTGTAGCGTTCCGCAGCCCCTCGTTCCCGACCATGCGGTCTCTCGTCGATGCATTTTAGACCTTGTAGGGGACGACGACGGCGAGCGACGACTGGGTACTCTCCTCTTGCCGTCTTGGTCCTCTGTTTTCAACTTGCGAGTCCACTTTAATGAAGAGTAACGCATCTATCTGCCCAATATGGCTTTCGACTCTTCAGGTTCCAAGCGCAGCCATCGCTTCGCCATTGTGGGCTTTAGAGACCGAGGCAGGCAAGCACAAAGACATGTACCAGGAGATGATGCTTTTTAAGTTGCTATCGCCTTTATCTCCCGAATTCCTAGCTCGCCACGAGCAGGCAGATCCGGCGCAAAACGCATGAGGGCTACCTGTGCGCTTTTTGAAGTGAATTCAAGCCACTGGAACTACCTTGTGGGGCAAGAAGACAGAAGACGCTCCATAGTATGTCGTTGATACTGTTTGGCAAGACCCATTGGGTCTGCGACTGAATTATAGGACTCGCCGTTGTGGTCCGGAACCGGGAGTTGCGGAACATGTAATCGGGGCGTCAGATTTTAAAATTCCAACCAGATACCGCAAAGGTAACCACGGAGGAGAAGAGAGCAAGCGCAGCATCATAGGTTCATTACCCCGCTTGTTGCGGACTTGCACACTTATCAGCACTGATCTGGAATCACTTTCGATCACTTGAGTTCTACCACCAGAGAGCAGGTAAGAATAGATCCACATGTTCCCTCGAGTATATTTTTTTAGCGAAGCCGTAGCAACCTCGAGGAGACGGAGAGAGTAGCAGGAGTGTGAAAGAAAGCGAACGTTCCATGTAACCATTGGTAGCTGGGATGCAGCAAGAAGAGCAGGACATAAGCCAGAACATGATCCACTGCCTGTGATCGACTTCGCAGAAGCAGCAAGCAGAACGCAGGGCCATGTGCAGCGCAGATTTCCTCTTTTGGAGACAGGGCGACGTTGAAAAGAAGGCCTTGAAGTGGACACTCCATGTCAACCCGCTCTCGGTCTTTTTTTGGGGTACAGGCTCAGGTTCGGGAGTCATGGGATTTTCACTTCGCAAATAATAGCAGGTTTCTTGTGTCGCAGCAAGAAGGACGATCCCGCCATGCTGGCAGCCGTGACAAGTTTTGGATTCCAGGTGACATTATTTTGCGGAGTAATCCATTTTAGCGCCGTGGAAAGCTCCATCGCGAAATGCTCCAGTACTTTTCGTCCGCGCTCCATGAATGGTGTTTTCTCGTCTTCCCAAACGCACATACATTGAACAGGCCTCGTTTTCCAAAGAGGCGGCGAAAAAGACAGGCCGCCAGCATACCCACGTACCCTTGTCCATTTTCTAGTCCACAGGTCCATCGAAGATTATCACCATTCTCTTTGACGGTGTCGTGGTCAAGATTTGCAAGGACCGGAGAAACCCAGACATCACAATTCCTCCCTCAACTTTTAGTCCCCGAAAGACTTCAACAAATATCGAGGGAAAGGAAAAACGGGCCCAAGGGACATTTCTGGTTATCTCTGTTGTTTCGAAAGAGATCGCATGACGGTTGTCGTACCCAGTTTAGGATCGACGATGGAAGAGGAGACAGACTGCCATCAAATGAACGTCCTCATCTTTTAGTCCTTGAAGAGAGGATATGCTCCATGTGAGGGGCGATCTGGAGGACGGAGGTGAAGTGCCTATATATACACACGTCGAAGAGGGCCGCAATTCATGACCATTTCGGCGCATGGTTTGCTGTCGGGACCCTGGTCGAGTCTGAAGGATCATCTAGAGAAAGCTGCCATGCGCGCCCCTGGACAGTACTTTGAGTTCCCAAGAGACCACGAAATAGAGTGAGGAGCAGGCGAGGCGCGGAGGACATCTGGGTCCCAGCTCCAGTTTTAGAGGAGGCGCCATCAGGGGCCACGCCAGTCTTTTCTGGAGCTGAGGGCCGCACACGGGAACGAGGAGCATGCATTGCCGAAGGTCGGCGTTTTAAGTCTTCGAGAAAACAGACATTGTGTGCAGAAAAAGAGTTAGGAAGTGGGCGAGGGGGTTTATATATGGGCATACGGAGGATAAGAGCTAATGAGAGACGGTGGCCTGTGACGTGGTGGCATATATTAGAAATTAGATGATCATCACCTTCAGTTCCCCATGAACATCATCCTTCCCCATGGCCGAGGAGCCAACCCTACGCTCACTCACCCCCTTCGTCACTCTCCTCAAACAAGCTTTTCTCGAAAGACCTCACCCACCTGAACACCCCTTCGGCAGGATCCATGATCGTCACGAAATGCGTCTCCCCATTCGTAACCGGGTAATCCAACAACCACCGCTTCAACTCCTGCAGCTCCACTCCCTCTTGATCACCTTTTGGCCCTCCCCTCCCCCTCTGCCTCAACCTTCTACACCTCTTCTCCCACTTCGCAACCATGCACCCCTTTCTATCCATGCTCTCATCCACAAGCTCTTTCATTCCTATGCCGAAGTGGTGAGTCTTTGCGTGAGCGGCGTGGGCTGCTTGCGCATTGGTCGAGAGCGATTCGTAGGAGACGTCGTGGTTAGTGACGGTAACGAAAGTATCTGAGCAGACGATGTTGGCTGTTACGCGGTCTTTCTCGAGTACGATGGTTTGCGCGCCTGAGCAGAAAGTGAGGTAGGCCGCGGTGGTGGGAATGGAAGGGAAGTCGCGCGCGATGTTGGCCAGGATGTGGCTGGGGACCGGAGGAATCTCTCGGGTCATATCCGTGAGTGCATAGCCAGGAGTGTCGTCCTCCCTATTTTTCCGCTTGCGGTTCTTGGTGCGCGGCGCCCTCGATGGTGGGAGCATGACATCCCTCAGGTGTGCAGCGATACATGGTCGAAGCCCGAGCAGAACCATCAGAATATGCCCGTAAAACTTGCAGTTCGACCACGTCGAGCGGTCGTCGTTGTGGTACGGTCGGAAATTCAGGGACAAGCTGAGGCCCTTGGTCACACCCGTCACGACGCCCACGAAGCCCACGTAGTTGATCGTCCGCGCAACGACCTCTCCATCTGGCTTCTCTTTGAACTCAAACTGCGCGATGGCTTCCTTGAGCTGCGGCATGCCCCAGTCCAACGTCCGGAAATGCATGATTTTACTCTCCCGTTTGCCCCGCTCTTTGACGGGTATCCCCCCACTTGTACATCCCATGAACAGGTCCAGCAGGACGTTGTATGCGACCAAGAGGTACATGGGCACCTCGGTAACCTTGGAGATGCCCGCGAGTTCGGCCGTCTGCTCCTTGCTGTGAAGCTTTCGGAGGATGAGGCGCGCAACGAAGTGGAACAACTTCTTCGGAAGCTTGACCGATTCGAGCAGGTCATCGAAGATGTGTGTCAGGCCTTCGATTACAAGCTTATAGTCCTTTGCGACCTGAACATATCGTTGCTCGGGCGGGAGCGAGAGATCTATCGTGTATATGGGAGGGACGGTATCGAACGAATCAGTCGACTCGGCATCGATTTCGACGGTCCGTATCACTGCTTCATGTGGTAGCGTCTCGGAATTGGCGTCGTGGGTACTATCGTGCGGTTTCGCGGCTCTGGCGGCCTGTGATCGTGTACGCACCATTCTTTCTAAATCTTGAAGAATCCGCCGTAGAAGAGTGTACTATATCTTTGAGGTTAAGAAGACGAGCTGTATTTCACTGATGTCCGACTCAGCCCTCAGCGCAAAGCGCTTCTGCCTGATCACCGACGGCCGGAAGTCTGAGCGGGCATTCGCAGGCTGAAGTCCTACCTATCGCGAGTAGGAGGGTGGCAGGCCTGCGACCAATGAGACCCATCATCGCAAAGAAGAAAATGCTGCACGTCTTCCAGTAGCTTGTGACGGCGATGTCCATGGATGTAAGCAACGAAAAGGTGAAACGGCTGACTAACCGGACTGATGCAAACACATCAAACAGTGGCTGGCACGACTCATGCAGCTTCCCCGAACCTTCCCCACCAAACTAACACCCTCGGCTCATCCGCAGCTCCAAGGGAAGTGCTTAGCCGCCCTCCCACCATGTCGACGTCGACTTGTTTTATAGCTTTAATGCACTCCAAACCTCCCTCATACCGCCAATTCCACGCTCATCCAAGCTAGCAGAAGGATTGAGAATCATGGGCCATCAACCGCCACCACTCAGCGGCATCCGCGTCTTGGAGTTCGCGGGCTTAGCTCCAGGTATATCTCCAATCTTCTAGTCTTCAACGGCATGAATAGAGACGATGCTGATGAAACCAAAAAGGACCCTTCGCAGGCATGCTCCTCGCCGATTACGGCGCCACCGTCCTCCGCCTCGACCGCGCCCCTGCACAACCCACCTCGGACCAACTCACGCGTCGCAAAACATCCATATGCGTGAACCTCAAATCCCCCAGCGCGATTGCCCTCATCAAGAAGATAATCCCCTCCGTCGACGTAGTAATCGATCCCTTCCGGCCCGGCGTGCTAGAGAAGCTCGGTCTCTCTCCCGAAGACGTCCTCCTAAAGCTCAACCCGCGGTTAATCGTAGGTCGGATGACAGGCTTTCGAAGAGACGGGAAATACAGCATGATGGCAGGCCACGACATAAACTACATTGCGGTAAGCGGTGTGCTGAGTTTATTTGGACGGAAGGGGGAGAAGCCGTATCCGCCCGGGAATGTGGTGGGGGATTTTGCGGGCGGAGGCGCGATGTGCTTCCTGGGTATTCTGCTCGCGCTTCTTGCTCGGGAAAGATCAGGCTTTGGACAAATCGTAGAGGCGAACATGGTGGACGGGAGTGCGATTTTGGCGACAATGCCGCGCATGGGGCTGAAGACGCAGGTTTGGAGTGGGGAGAGGGGGACGAATATGCTAGATGGTGGGGCGCCGTACTATGGAACATATGAGACGAAGGATGGCAAGTATATGGCTGTGTAAGTTCCCTCGCGAACCCATATTATCGGATCCGTTACTAATCTCCTTCCAGCGGCGCAATCGAACCCCAATTCTACGCCGCGCTCCTCAAAGGCTTCAACCTCAAACCCTCCGACCTCCCCGGCGACCGCGACAACCAAGCCGATTGGCCCAAACTGACCGATTTCTTCACCCAGAAATTCAAGACGAAAACACGGTCAGAGTGGGAAGCGATATTTGACGGCACAGACGCGTGCTGTACGCCGGTGCTGACCAACGCCGAGCTGGAGGCTGCGGGTTTCGATCAACGGCCCGCTGTTACACTGAAGTCCACACCTGGATATGCGGTGCACGAAGGCGAAGCGGATAGAGCGGCGGCTGTAGGGCAGGGGATTGGGATGGAGGGTAGTGGGTGGAGTGAGAAGGGTTTGGAGCCTGGGGATGGTGGTGAGGAGACGCTTGGACGGTGGATGGGCTGGAGGAAGGGAAGGCATTATGATGTTGAGAATGAGGGACTCGTGTTAAAAGATAAAGCGAAGCTGTAGCGTGTGATCAGCAGTGGAAGACTATCTGCCATTCCCCCTTAGCGTTCAACAGTGCAACCTACACCCTTCGAATGACAATGCCGCAATGTGTTGATCCTGTATGCACGAAGGCTTATTCCAAATCCTAAAAACCGTAATGCCTACACAGATATTTGTACATCCATATAATCCACACACGCCTACCTCTTCTTTGCCTTCGGCTTCGCCGCCTTCTGCGAAGTCCGCAACCTCTTCCTCTCCGCATTCGCGCTCTTCCTCGCCTGCGACTTCCGCCACGCCGCCCACCGATCGCCCGGCACAAACTCCTGCACCCGCACATTCGCCCTCTCCGCCGCCCGTCCAATCTGCCAATTCGCCTCCCGATACGCATACCCCTTGCCCATCACCAAATTCCTCTCCGGTTTATCCCTGGGTGTAGCTCTTACGCTCGTTTCGCTGCCCGTTCCATCGCCAACCTGTAGGTCCGCAACGACGATTTGTCCTTCTACAGTATCTGGCTCAGCGTCTCGCTCTACGGCGACCATGTTCAGGCGTCGTTTTCGTGCGGCGTTTCGTGGATAGGGCAGGGTTTCGTCTTTCTGCAGCGCGACGCCGATGTATTGCCGCTTCGGGTGCTTGAACGGATCGCGGTAGTAGCGCACGTAGCCGGACTCAGTGGCGAAAATGCAGTGGTCGCGGCCGAATTTGCAGTTCTCGCCGGGGAACCAAGCTGTGCCGCGCTGGCGGAAGATGATGTTACCGGGGATCACGTATTCTCCTGCAAAAGTATTAGGGTTGTGGAGGTGTTGGAAGGGATAGAGAGGGTGTACCTCCGCTCTTCTTTGCTCCTAGGCGCTTCCCGGGTCCGTCCTTTGCGCCATTCGCGCGGCCTTGGGCTTGGTGCGTTGCGTGCCGGATGAAGGAGAGAGATGGAGAGGTGGAGGCATTGGCGGCGCGGAAGGCATCGAGGACGCGGGACGAGGAGACTATAGATATTGAAGCGTTTACTGAAGATGCCCGTACGGGCGCGAATATTCGTGGGAGCAGCATGGCCGTTCCGATAGAAGTTCCACGGCGTGAAGTCCATCTCAAGAATTGCTCGATGCTTGGCAAGCGCTTTACCGTTTTAGGCCTAAGCTGTTTTCCTCCTCTCCACCCCCGGGGCCGGGCCTGATCCTCCCTTCCACTGCCTCCGCTTTCCTTCGCCTTAATGCTTTTCGAGAATTCCCCCCAAGGTCTTATCTTCTCCTTTGGCTGGGAACATGCACAGTTTCCATTCCTGTGATCAGATTGCTTCCAAATCATGCGACAGCCTCCGTAACGATACCCAGAGGTAGCGCTCGCGCAGGTTCGAAACTACCTGGGACTCGACATCGTCACCTCACCTTTCAGCTTACCATCACGCACGCCCTTTCTCTCTATCTTCATATCTTCCGAGAGTGTCCTCCTCCTAGTGCCTCTGGCGCTTCCAAATCATAATGTCACGTCGGGGAAATAATCCCAACTCCGAAACGAGGGACGACATCACCGTTTGATATTCCCACTGAATCGATTCCAAAGCAATTGACCCCTTCGTCTCTGCGGCTTGCTCACTTGCTCGCGGAAAGCGTTTGAGTCTGTTTCTGGCCGTGTCACACAGCCCAGAATGGTACTTTGACTGAACGGTGGCTACGAGCCGGGAGGAATGGTCGATACCACTGACGACGACTTTTCTTCAGCCAAATAATGAAAGGCCAAAAAGAGCAGCATTAAAAGAGATATTTATGGGAAGACCGCAACAAGAAATATTTGAGCTAGGATGCGTCGGATAACGGCTGCGGTCGATACCGCAGTGTGAGCGAGCGGGGCCGAGCCCGGTTCTTGGAGACGTCTAGAAAAGCACCGCGCATTGCCCGACATGAGAATCCTCTCGAGGAGATGAAAAATTAATATTGCAACTGATGGCTTCCATGAAACCTTAATTCGCTAAACGTCGCTTCTCGGGGGCCGATTCCAAATCTTCGATGACCGCCACATTCGCCCAAGAACATCTGATCTTGCGAAAACGCCTGGGTTGGAAAACAAAGAGTACCCAAGGGCATATGCGAACTCTGCTTCCTGGGCAGTTGGAATGTGTAGCAATCCTACATGGGCGCGCCCCTAACCCCGAAATACCGACCTCTCGAGCAGCGGATAGGTGTGCCAGAGTTCGATAACGTGAATATCGTCTTCCTCGGGAAAAGGTCGTGACATAGGAATATAGACCGCGATCAGATTTCTGCATTCATTTTTCGCTCGCGGCCATTCCGGTTCCTTGGGATGTCACAGTATGGTCGTACGGCCGTATTCGAGATAGCGAGCCCTCGACTATGAAGTCGGTCGCTCCATTTCCGGACCTGAAAGACTTCGGGCTTTGGAGAACAGAGCGAGCTTGAGCTGCCGATAAGCTTCGATTGCTGCGTCTCTTGATAATGCATCGCGATCGGAGGATGGATGACACCGTGAACCTCGCTCAGGTAAAGACGACGTCCATGATGTGATGGTTGATGCTCGCGACGGCGGCAGGAATGGATGCATTGAAGAGGGACTTGGGGGCGGTGCCAAGGACATATCTTGAGAAGACTGCGTCGAGGAGACGGAAGGTGGCGACGACGACGGGGTAGAAGACATCTCGAAGATGCCAGGGAAACAGAGAGGTGGGTAGGAGCGGTAAATATGTCGCTTGACTTAACGTTAGGGACAAGGTGTAGAACACCCGTTGACCACACGGACTATTTCTAACATGCAGGATCAAGCGCCATTACGGACGAGCACGAGACATCGACCGGGTCCGGTAAAGCCTTTCTCAGGATTATAAACAGGCGCCGTCTCAAGGAATCAATTTGATAAGAGGATCGTGTTTAGCATGCAACAAGATTCGTGATCGCAAAAGGACAAGGCGAAAAGTGGTGCTCCATCCAGGTGCACGACCCACCAATTGATGCCATATCGCAAACCGCCATCTCGGTTATTCCAAACCACCAGGCCGTGTGCAGTCTAATTTGACAAATCCCGGGTCTGATAAATGCAGAGGATGCGCCAGGACTCCCGAAACATGCGACGGCGGGATGTGTGTCAGGCGGTGGATGGATGGTTGAGTATTCCAAATAAGTCCCGACGCAATCCGCGCTAGCGCATCCCTGTCCGCATAGTGCCGACTCCTTCGAGAAGCCTAACACCGCTCAGTATGGATATTTCAGGGACATGTGCATCGTGCACTTCACCGTTCTTGTGGGTTAAGAGAAGCCATAGGTGAGGGTTTACCGTATACGGGGTGGGGCTTACGACTTGCAGTCCTCGCGACCATCTTCCCGACGACCAAGATCAATCATACCCGGTTTAAGCGCGCAGTTAATCCATTCTGCAACACTCGTCATGCTGTCGCCAGCTTTGAGTTTGCTTGGAGCATCGTTGCCGGGACATTAACTTCGGGTAACCTTCAGCATCATCAACCACCACATCTTCCACCATAGGCCGCCACGAGTACCTTAGTGTCCAGTCGAGGCTGGAGCTACCATTGCCTTGCTGTTGCAAGCCAGATATCATTCGACTGCAGCCCGTAAGAACTATAGGACGCCCGATTCCGCCGTGCCGGCCCAACACGAAGACAGAAGACCACGTCGAGGATGTAGGGCCAATCCTTCGCGCGAGTTGTGAATGCAGCAAACCGAGTCATGAGTGTCCGCTATCTGGGCTTCTGCTTCGACTGGTGAGATCTTACGCGTAGAATTCCCCTACCGTCTCTCCACATCCGACGAATGGCTGACGCATTATGGACCTAATCCGACCTGCACCACCTGCATCCTTCCACTGCTGCTCTATCAGTTATGCAAGCTCGGTGTACGTACGTGAGGGCAACTGCCAAGCTTAGGAGACACAATCAATTTTTTCTGGCGCTTTCCTCGCCCTCTGGGATTAGATTGATTCGACTTGTGAGGACTTACCATTCCAGCATCTCAGATGATTAAATGCGTTGACCGATAACGCCCGGAAAGGAGTACGAAAGCGCGGCTACCGAACGCGAGGAGGCGTACGAGCAGGCGTCCTCCTTCAGTGTACCATAAGGATGGGCGTCCTTTCTTTTTGCCCGAGAAGGTCGATTCGTAATCCGCCTGTGTCCCGCAGCCCGATCAGGAAGTGGATTTGGAATCATCTTGTGCATCGCAAGTGGACCACGTACCGTGCACTTACTTGGTGTAGTTGCCTTTTGGATTTATTTGCACAGAGAGAGTCAAGGGGAAGGATTCATCATGATGGATCTGATACAGGGAGTCTCTGGACGAGGAGAAGCTATTGATCGATGGAGTGATTATCCCAGAGCTTTTGTGGAAGGGCAGTTTAAGTGGTGTCCGGGAGCGGGGTGTTTTAGAGCTGAAAGTTCCGCTGCGGCCCGATGAAGGGGCTTGAGCAGAGGAAGCTAAGTAGTATCCTGCGGTGCATTTCGATCGATACACAACAACAAGGGCTTACATGGGGCACAAGACCATATTCCGCCGGTTACCAACATATTATTAGTGTAGTGTGGTATCATATGGCCGAGGGCCCAGGCATGCTGGCGAAGGGAAAGAAGGACAACGCTCAAGGAAGAAAGATTACGCCAGGGGATGTCCGATGAATTGCCCGAGAAGATCCCATCCTTGTATGCGCCCATCGCCAGCTCAATCATCCATAACCACCCAGTCCTGCCATTCTTCTTTCGGGTCTTCTTCCAACAGCGTCTGCCGTATTATCGCGTTGTTCGCTTCATCCTTGACAGCTAGCACAATCTCTCTCTCCGTGTCGATGATCTCGTCGAACTCTAGCTCTTTACCGTACCGTAGGTCTGTAATGCTTCCGCCAAGCCTAGCCCCTGCGATCAGCCTTTCCGGCAGGCTGGGGAACGGATGCCAGTCCGCTCGATCGCAGTCGCGCTCCTTGTCCGTCTTGCTATCCCCGTCAAAAGACCAGAACTTGTACAGAGCATACACGCCTCCAACAGACCCGTCTTCGTTGAGTTTCACGGTGAGCGCGAACCGCGAATCGCGCCAGGGCATGTTCTTCCAGTTTGTTTGTTTGGGGTGCCAGTGCTCGGGTGGGACGTGTTGGATATTGCCGAGGACGCAGAAGACGAAGCCGGTCGCATCGTTGCCCTTGAGGACGTTGTATTTGTTTGAGGCCTCGCGGACGCTGTCCGGAAAAGAACGCTTTCGCCGCGATGCGGGCTTCGCGCGGTTGCTCATTGCAGGCTCGACGTTGAGGTTGATGCCGAGAATGAAGGAGCACCAGGCAGCGTCCCACTCCTTCGAATCTGGAATCAGTAGCTCGCGGTCCTTGATGGGCTCGAGGGCGTACACGCAGGGCTCTAGTCGGTATATGTATCCGCGGTGAGAGCCCAACCCTATGAAGGGAAGTTCTGAATCTCTGCTTTGAAGCAAATGCTCTTCGAGTAAGCGGATTTGCGATTCTTTTGTGTAGTCCGTTGCGTGTATCGTCAGCATGAAAATGTCTGCTGGTGGTACGGTTCGCCTGTCCCGGGACGTAGCCCGCGCTTGCCTAAGCTCCTCCTCTTGCTGCTGGAAATACCATGCTAGGAAGCGCTGGATGTTGTCCCTTGTCTTCAGCTGCTGGGTCAGATATCCCAGTCCGTTGCTGAAATCAAGCGTCTCCAGATCATTCTTCATAGCCCATATTTGGCCGTGTGTTGCTGCAATCCATCGAAAGTCGGTCTCGGTGAGAGTGTCCATGGTGAAACGAGGATAGTCCGCGGAGGCGAATAGATGAACTCGAAGAGTGGCGAAGTTCGAGGGTCGACGTGATCTGGTGTGAGGCTCTGGAATGCTGGAGAATGACCAGTCACCCACAAGAAGCCGGATGTATGACGTGCATTCCAGGTTAGATGTATCCCACAGGTTTTTAATTCGCTTGCAAAAACACCGCGGGGAACTGTAACGTTTGGTGGGGAGCTGACTGGGGGCAAAGCTGCCGCGTATACTATATAGAAGATCCCTAAATGAGGAATTCGAGACGAACATACGCACGTGAGCTCGAGACGAAGGGCCGAGTGGAGAGCAGTGGCGCAGCGGTCCGGAGCACTCCATCCTGTAGTCTGCGAAGTGTCCAACCTCTGCTCTTTGCCACAGATTCGGTTCGACACCTCGCAATCCCGCAATACCTTCTGGACCGGCATATTAACAGCCCATTCAGAGGAGAGGCTTATCGAGGGAACTCGCGGAGAGACGAAATCAGATCTCTTTCCCCAACTACACAAACAAAGCGGCTTCATCCTGATATGGGCTCGCGGGTAGCCTAAAATTGCAGCAAACTGCAGAGCGAGCATACAAATATCCATAGCGGATAAACAGCTTTTAAGGGTCGCCGCACTCGATGTCACTGGCCCTGCGTACGTAAGCAAAGTCTTGGCAATTCCTGCTCCGAGCTTCAACATCGACCTATCTCAACGCTCTGCCACCGCTAGCAGCTCGTCTGCCGCTACCACGACACAATGCTCGCCCGAACCCTCCGTATGCGCACCACGGCGCGTGCTATTCCCCCGATCCTCCGTGCGTCCTACGCTTCGTCGCCCGCAACCACCGTCAATCAGGTCCCAGCCAACGACCCGCATCCGCGCGACCCTAAGCCCAATGTCTCCGCAACCAATGCGACGCCCACATCTTCAGAGGGATCGTTCGACAAGATCTTGGTAGAGAGTGAGGAGAAGGGCGAGGAGTTGAGGGTGACGCAAGCTCCGAATCGGCAGGGGCCGAACCGGAAGGCGATTTGGTCACGGAGCCAGCAGCCGAGGGAGATTGCGATGACGGGCCCGCGGTTTGAGCAGACTATCTTTGAGGATCAGGTACGCCCGATTTCGATACGAGGTTCTCTTTGGAACAAGATAGGCGATTTCGGCAATTGAAGGATGTGCGGAAGAGGGGAAAGGTTGGACATTGGGCTGACGAGATGCATATAGCCTCGCCCCTACGCCGCCATCGAATTGATCCACAAGCAGCCCGTCCGCTGGACCAAGGAGCGGGTCGTGTCTTGCGATGGAGGAGGAGGTCCGCTCGGGCACCCCAAGATCTTCATCAACGTGGACAAGCCGCAGATTTGCTGGTGCACATATTGCGGCCTTCCTTTTGTAAGTCTTTCTCTACTCCAAGGGCGTCCCAGCAACCACTGTTGGGCTATGTGAGGATCAATTGAACAATGCTAATCAATACAGGCCCACGAGCACCACCGGGAGCATCTTGAGTCCCTACCGCAGACGTCGTATCCCCTTGGTCCCAGAGGAGACCCAGCTGAGGTGCAAGAATCACAGAGGATTACAGATGAGCCGCTTGGACAGCGATAGATGAGACTTGTGGAACGGCGAACAATTGTATATATGTAGTAGCACTCAAGACGCATTTCCAGATGACAAAAACGGAGCAGGGGTTTTTTGATCGATCGATTTTCCGTCTAAAATGAATGAATTGTGTCTGTACCAGCTCCTATACACTCTCTCTCCTCCTATCAACTATAATGGAGCTGGGATCGGAGCTTCGGAGGATCATTGTTCCGATGGACGTCATCCCAAGCTACTTGACGCAACTCTCACAAAGCACAACGCCGGGCTTCCAATGTAGCTCCTGACAGCGTCAAAAGAATCGCTGGTACTCAACTGTGTACTAGGAACTCAAGATGCTAAGAAAGACCCTCCTCCGCCCGACGCGCCTGCCGCTCTGTCCTCACAAACAGCTCCCCCGACGATACGCTACCCAAAACCCACCACCTCCTCTGCCAACCTCCCAATCTCGCATCGAGCGCTTCAACCGGCGCCTCCCCAGATTCCTCCACAAATATACCAACGCACTCGCCTCCGCGCCGCTCTCTCATATAACCTCCTTCCTCATCCTGCACGAACTCACCGCCATCGTCCCGCTCCTCGGCCTCGCAGCAACCTTCCACTACACGCACTGGCTGCCCTCGTGGTTCGCTGAAGGCGCATGGGTACTCCAGGGCGTTGAGCGCTTTGGCAAATACTTCCGCCGCAAAGGCTGGATACGCAATGAGGATGCGAGCGAGGCAGAGATGGAGGTCCAGCTGCGGAAGAGGGATAGGGCGTGGAATATCGGCGAGGGAGGCGTCAGGGTGGTGGTGGAGTTTGCGACGGCGTATGCGGTCACGAAGATGTTGCTTCCTGTGAGGATTGTGGCGAGTGTTTCCGCGACGCCGTGGTTTGCGCGTAGGTGCATGATTCCTGTGATGGGGAGGGTTAAGAGGTTGTTTGGGAGGGGGAAGGCGAATAGTAAGGCGAGGGAGAGTAGATCTAGAGGTATGGAGACGGGGGCTGTGGATGCGGGTGCTGTGCCGAAGAACAGTGGGAAGGGTGCTGGACCTTGAGGTGGGAATACGCTCACGGACAACGCTAGCACTCTGCACGGAGGCGCTCACAGCGAAGCATATGGGTTTCGTTACCCAGTGGTATCCATAACAGAAAGGAACCGAGGAGCTCGCAACCGGTCACCTGGCGACATCCTTGCTACTTGAAAGCACGAATAGTCAAGCGGTCCGGGAAGTTTCAGATGGCAGTATGTGAGAAGGCCCGTTACTTGGTAAGCCTGCGGCCGGGCGTGTTAAGAACTAGGTTTGGGATTACATTCTGTTGAGCGGCCAAATGACCGTCCACAACACATGGAGAAGACAGCACACTCGGAGCTTACATGTTAGCCTGCAACCGAGGAATCCGGTGCGCACGCCAATCTAATACGCTCGGAGCAGCTGTGAGTGGAGCCTGCTCTTTATGCTTTCCTGCGCGCGTTATTGATTGCTTGGTCAATTTACTCTGTCCGCTTCACCCCGCTCCATACGGTCCAGTCCACCTTCCGCCCCAACACCCAATTTCCGCTCTCGGAACTCGTTTCCAGCTTCAACCTCTCAAGATGTGCTTCGACGACGGTACAACGTACCGGAGCCGTACGTACGAAGCCTGCAGCGACTCTTACCACGATGAGGTGGTCCTGGCACCTCGCCCCGTCCGACGCTATGGTCCGCGGCGTACCTACTATCCGTCTTCGTACTACACACGCCCTCCCTGCGGACGCCTGTTGAACAGCGGGTACTATGGCGGACGCTATGGGTCTCGCAACGTTGTCCCTGGTGGATATGGATACGGCGGAGGCAATTATCTCGCTGGGGGTAGAGTCCCCATGCCGAGTAATTCCGCGATGGTGAGTACAGTACCGCGCTTTCCTCTTTCCTCTGACCGATCGTTCGCACCTGCTTCCACCGCTTCTCCTCGCCATTGGCTCCGAGCTGGGCTATCAAAGCCGCTCGGACCTCTCACACGATAATCTTTTCGCATCTGCCTGCTGTCTCTTTCCCCCACCTTCAACTCACCTTCCCACCGCTCTTCTCCCGCTTGCAAGTTCCATCCCTGCGACCTCTCCTGCAACATTCACGACAGAATTCCCATCCCTGCGACCACTCTCCACATTCATCGGAATGATGGACGACTACGGCCAGCCCAAGCCCCGCCACTCGTACATTCACATGCCCCAGCCCGGCCGTCGCGGCCTCTTGGTCCATAGCCACCAACAACCCAACGGTGCCGCACCCACTGGTGTTGCGCCAGGCGGGTATGGCTATGGCTACGGCGCTGGCTATGGCTACGGCGTCGGGGCGGTCGGCGCCTACTACCCTGGGGTAACTCCCTCCAATTCCATGATCTACCCCCTCTACCACGGCCCGAACGTGTCTACCAGCACCTACTCCGACTACTCCAACTATCTTTCTCCCTATTCTTACTCCAATTATTACTCTCCATACTACAGCAGCTACGGCTGCGGTCTCGGCCTCAGTGGTGGCTATGGCGTGTATGCTAACTACTATTACCCGTACCAGAGGTCGTACTACTACACTTCGGGCGTCGCTGCTGCTCCCGCCTATTCGTACGCCTATCCCGCCACCACTACGACGACTGTCCTGCAACCGGCGGCAACGACGTACACTGTCACGAACGGCACGGTCCCGGTAACGACCACAGCATCAGTCGCAGCTCCTCGCGTGCCGACTCGCGATGAGATCCAGAATGAGAACGTGCGGATCGCTATACAGCGCGGTGCCACCAATGCGCGGAGAATCAAGCCTGCAGACGCGCTCCCGGATGATCCGTTTTGGTGCAAGGAGCGCAATGGCGAGTGGCATCTGCGGTCGTTCTATCAGATCGAAAATGAGTGCCAGCCGGGGCTCTGGAAAATTAACGCAGAGAGCGGCATGCTCACCTTCGAGCGCCTTTGATCGAGCTTGGTGAGCTCCGAATCGTTCAAGCCTCGGCACATCTTTTCGTTCGACTCCGAAGCGATTGGTCCCCATAAGTATATAGCAAAGCGACACCGTATGCCTGCGCCAGCGAACCTCTCTGTCGAAACCACACCCTAGTTCCAAGGTCCAGCTTTCCCAGCATCTCCACACAAATTGTGATACCCCTTCCTGCTTCGGTTCGATCCTACTCGGCTTCCCTTACGAATACTCAGCATTGGAGCAAGGCGTTTGCATCGGCGGTCTATGGCGATTTCTTCTTTTCTGGTTCCCGATTCTGGGCTTTTCATCTGGGTCATATGGAGTCTCCATCGTGGCGGTTCCGTGGTGGTCGGAGTGATGGTATTTCGGAGTTTCGGTGGCCCAGTCAGAGGCATGTTCATGGATGGGAAGGACTATAGACCCAAACTATTCCCTCAATGAGAATTGAGCTCCTTTGTATTCATACAATGACACAAGTCATGCTTGTGTCCCCATCCGTTCGATATGCGGTCACCACCCTGTATCCCTCAAAGGACTTGGATCTTTTCGTAGATGGATATTTCGCTAGTGAAAATATGGCATTGGTCGGCGAGCTTGATGGGCAATTGCCTCAAATAGGTCCGATACAAAAGCCCTCGTTCAAGCCTTCCTTCATAGAGCATCCTTCTCTATCCTTGATGCCTACCAACCTAGCATAACCCTCAATGCTAAGCTAGCACAATGCCAGCCTCGTCGTTCAAAGCCCCAGTCACAGCCCCAGCTGGTCTTAACCACAAACCTCGTTATGTACCGCCCTCATATCCCCCCATGCTCGCCCTCGCCGCCCAACCTCCTCCCGCAGAAAGCAAGCTCCGCTCACATCTTCTCCCCCTGAATCGTCGCCACCACCCTCCTCGTATGCCTCGCGGCGCGAAACTCCAAGTACCAAATGCCCTGCCACGTGCCCGTCGCGAGCCTGCCATTCGTAATCGGCACGCTCACGCTCGCGCCGACCAGCGCGCTCTTGACATGCGCGGGCATGTCGTCGCTGCCCTCGGCGTCGTGGCGGTACAGCCCCGCGCCCTTCTTGTCCTCCGGCACCAGGCGGTCCAGCGCGTCGCTCATGTCGGCGCGCACGTCGGCGTCCCAGTTCTCGTTCAGGCTGAGCGCGCAGCTCGTGTGCTGTATGAAGAGGTGCAGGATGCCGGTCTTGTAGGATTTTATCTCGGGGAGGGAGGACACGATGGTGTCGGTTATGAGGTAGGAGCCGCGGCTTTGTGGGGGGAGGGTGAGGGTTTTTTGGAACCTAGAGGGGGGGGGAGGTTGGGTTAGCGGTGGGATTGGCAGTGGGATTGGCGAGGTGGAGGGGCTATCATGCATGCTGAGAGGGAGGGATATGGGGAGGGAGAGCCTACCAGGCCATTGTTGGTGCCGCAACACAGATATTCGGCGCTGTGCAGCGTACGCTGGTGGGACCGCGGGGTTCGTTCGGCGGGAATACGTAGTTGTAGGGCGCCCAGATGATGGAGTGGAAGACGCCGGGGAAGAAAGCGAGTATGAAGGCGGTGAGTATGAGGAAGGTGGTGAGAGGGGAGATTGTAGTTGATTGGTGTGGTGGCATGAAGATTGGTGTTGAGGTGGGCTTGAGGGTTGATTGACGTCAGAAGCGATTGGTGGGTCCGCAGCGGTAGCGAGGGAAGGTTTAGGCGAGCGGGGGTGTTGGACGCTTTGGAATGGAGCAGGTCAGGGCATTCAGGAATAAATGGATAGACAGGGCAGAGACAGCTGGCATGCAAGCGAAACACTGCGGACAGACAGCTTCCCCGCACCTAATCAATACATACCAAGCCTATACGCATACTCTCCTTCTATCGTCGTCCGCTGAGCGCAGCAAAGTAAGTGCCCGCCCACAGAATTTTCTCTACCTACAGAATGCCGAAAACGCTTTTCCATTTCCCCTGCTAGCTATCCGCCTCATTAACCAACCGTCCAATTCAAGAATTGACACTGCGCTTTTGCTCACCTCCCTCCCTCTTTCACAACTTCGCAGCATCCTCCATGAACTCCTCCAGATTCCTCACCGGCCTGACCCCCGTACTCATCTGCAGCCCCGCCTTCCAAGCATGCACATCCGTGATCAGCACTGGCTCCCTCGCATGCCCGCCCTCAATCCCCACCAGCGCCTTCTCCTCCAGCGCCTTATCCACATCCACCAGCGTCTTGACCTCGCCCGCCAATCCGCTATCCGCTAGTCCCAGCGCCGCCTTCGCCTCATCCATAATCTTATCCACCTGCTCCTTGCTGTCTAGCTTCAGATCCGTGGTCAGATGCGCGGAGATAGCTTCGGGGATGTCGGTGGCGGAGGTGCAGGCGTCGATGCGGGATTGCAGGAGATTGGAGAGTTCCGGGGTGGAGTCGGGGATTTTCTCTTCTGTGAAGATCGTGCGGAGGACGGTGAGGGCCTGGGTCTTGGCTTCGGGGAGGGTGGGTTGCTTGGCGTGGGATTGGGCGATGAGGTGCACGGAGAGCTTGGAGCGATGGGGAGAGGCGGGGGAGATGAAGTGCGTGTAGAAGGCTTTCATGCCAGATTTTGTGAGGGGCTCGACGTGTTGGGCGTCGATTTCGGCTGTACTGTGTTAGGCGAATCCTATCTTCCGAGGAGGGGGACATACATTGCAAAAAGTCATATGCGTCGCTAAACATATGATTCCAGAACCTGTTCCCTTCCTGGTTGAGGTTCTTCAGCTTCTCCAACCGCTTACTCATCACAGCACCCTTGTGCTTCTCAAAGTCCTCCTCGCTCATGTCATCCAGCATCTTCTCAAAGCTGGTAAGGAAATGCTCGATCCTCCCCTCAAGGTACCTGCAGTCCTTCTCAGACTGTATCAAGATGCGGTAACCTGCCCATGTATTCCCTGCTACCGGGCCCGAGAAGACAACGTAGCCGAGCTGCTCGATGGTGCGCAGCTGGTTGAAGACGGGCTCGTCGGTCATCTGGGCGAGGAGGAGTTGCTTCGCGCGCAGGGTACGGTCCATGCGGTTCCCGAGGTAGAGACTGTATTCGATACAGTGGTTTACGTTTGCGGGGTCGACGAGTTGGCGCTCGTAGATGAAGTTGCTGCCGGTGGGGAGGATGAGGCTGCGGCGGATAGGCCATTGGCTGGGAGGAAGCTTCTTCGGCCTAATGGTCTTCTCCACAAGGTCGGTAATCTTCAACGCCTCCTCCTTGTAGAGGTTGCCGTGCGCCAGGACCTCAATGTGGCACTGAGCCAGGACCTGTGGGAAGAACTGCTGCACATCCTGCGGCGTCACGCCCTCGAGCTCCTTGGCCAGCTCGTCATTCATGAAGGCATGCTCGGTCCTGAACCAGCGCGAATACGTGCCGACCTGATGGAAAGGCTGTCCATAATTCCAGTTGCGGAAGCCGCGGCTCATCCGGTCGAGAACGATCTTGAAGCGGTCTTCACGTACCTCGAGGTCTCGTATCGAGACGAGCACCTTCTCTAGCAGAACGTGAAGCTTGTCGTTATAGCCCGACACAGTGATCGACAGACCAGTGCTATGGTTGTTGAAGTCGTAGACAAGGCCAGAGATATCGGCATCATAGGAGTATTCCACCAAAGCGTCGTTGACAAGATCGCGGTATATGGTAGTTAGCACCGCCGCCCTTGGCGTGATGTGGGCCATCGGCGTCCGGAAGTGGATATTCACATTAGCCTTGGGTACCCAAAACTGGTCATCCTTTTTCCACCAGATCCGGACAGCCTCGTCGTTCCTAATCAGCTTCGGTGTCTTCAGCGGCTCCTGAACCAATTTCTTCTCAACCTCAAGTCGGTTCGGAATAAACTCGTTCTTGTGCGGGAAGTGTAGTTCCGCCGGCCGCACCTTGCTCTCAAAAGCCGCTTTGAGTTCAGCGAGGAAATCCTCAGGGATCTTCTCCGTCTTGTACTCCGTCCCATACCACTTCTCTTTCCGATCCCATCCGCCCGGGAAATCCTGACTGATAACAGTGAACCGGAAGTTGTCGGGCCGCAGATAAGTCATAGCCTCAGAAATGAGCTTCGGGTCAAACTTCTTGATAACCGCAGGCCCGCTCAAAATCTGCTTCCGATCGTACGGCCTCTGCATGACGGATGCCAGAGCGCTCGTCGTCCTGCTCGGCGCGCTGTTTTGCTTAAAGCGGAATTCAACCTCGCTCATCTTGATCTGCTCTTCCACCACCCATTCCTGAGGCTCCTTCTCGCATACCATAGCGATATACTGGAAGATAATTTTGAGGATCTCCTTGTAGTGCTGAAGTCCGTCTTCGGTGAGCTTCACGTTGATATTGAATAGACCGGTACCGGGGCATAGTGATGATCCGCCCGCTCCTAGTCCGTTTGCCCATCCTTTTGCTTTGATATAAGCAAGAATACTACCTGGGCCTTCGTGTCCGATAAGGTGGCTAATATAGCGTGCCGGGTGCGACTCGTAGAATTCTTCCTCATCGCGGTATAAGAATGAGAGCTCCAAGGACCGCGAGTCATAGACCGGTCGAGCGAAAGTCTGGATCAGCAGTTCCTTGGGTGTGTAAACCGAAACATGATCCCATCGCTTCCGGGGCAAGTCTTTGTTGGGGACTTTGGAGAAGATCTCTTCGACCCACTCCTCCAGGGTATCCAAGTCCTCGCGGCCCAAAACGACGAGCTTCATCCTGTTGGCGGAGTAATGCTCGGCGTGGAATTTCATGAACGCCTTTCTGATTTCAACGCCGCGTGCGAGAGGATCATCGTGCAGCGTTGTCCAGCTGCCGGTGGAAAAGTGGTTGTAGGGATGCTCCGGGTTCGACAAGGATTTGTTGAGCTGATGCAGCCTCCAGGTGTCCATCTGAAGGTTCTTCTTGTTTTCCGAATCCACAGCCTTGATCTCCCGGTCCACCGTATCCTCGAGGAAAAGAGGACATATGAAGAACTGGCCAAAGCGATCAAGCGCTCCCCAAAGAGGCGACTGCTCCTTCGATATCGGCAGATGCTCCTGTGTAGCATTGGGAGTCGGAGCCTTGCTACTCGCCGGCGTCGACGAAGATGCGGCGAGCTCGAAGTAGTAGTTTGTCGACGTGGACGCCGTATATGCGTTCGAGTGCCCGGAATGCGAAGTCAGGTACTTGTTGTAGTTGTTTTCTTCTGGATACTGTGTAACCCCAGTCTCAGCCTCGATGCGCCTTCAAAAATAGGCACGCAAAACTTACCTTCTCGGTTCCCATAAACAGCAGATGCTCTACCGCGTGTGCAATCCCCGGCATATCCTGTTCATCGCTGAAGCTGCCCACATTCACATCCAGCGCCGCGCTCGCTTTGTCGGTCTTCGCGTCATGTATAAGCAGCACCTCCAGCTGGTTCTGCAGCGTGATGATCCTGTACGAGCGATCATCGAGCGCCGGGCGCTCCAGGTCCTCGATCCGCGGTCGACTCGCGACATCCCGACTGAGCGACTCGCTCATGTTGGCCGCAAATTGTGCTGTTCGATAAGGCTGAATCGCGAAGGTCCTTCGCGAGGTCGTGATGCGGAAGGCTGAGGCAGCTTGGGTGCCTGGCGTTTTATATACGCGGCGAGGTAGCGGCCTTGCGGTGGCGGCTGAGAAATATGGGCGTGGGATCCCTGGGTACGGAGCAATTGACAAGGCTACCAGAGCCTCAGTTCGCACCGCGTTTGTCGTGAATGTCCCACACAGTCCGCCCTGTAGTAGATTTATTTTCCCCAAAAGCCGCGTGCCCAAATATGCGTTCATCCACGGGAGGTGCTGGCGGGGCGACGGGCGTGCAAAGCAGGTCCAAACACACAACAGTCAGCCCGTTTGGCGACCCTAGCCTTCGATCGAGAAGGCTGCCCGACCCGAGCAAGCGACAAACAGGGCGAAGGCGAGGCAGGCTGAGGACGAAAGAATTCGGAAGCTGTCCTTGAGCGGAGACGTGGTGGAGGCTCTGCGTTCCGATGGTTCGGTACCGGCTACTGATAACCAAGCATAAAGCTCCACAAGTGGACCCTGGGCCCCCATAAAGAGAGCGCAACCGAGCCCGCCTCTTGCACGATTTATCCCCGCTATCGAGCTGTCCATCATGGTGCCCAAGGCCTTCGAAGCCGGCTATTCGCACACATCGGGCTTCCGGAAGGTCGTCAAAGCCACCATTCTCGTGAAGAAGAAAGAGGGCATGTCAGACGAGGACTTCATTGAGTACTACAACAACCATCATGCGCAAAAGGCCGTACCGATACTGCAGCGTCACGGGATCATAAGCTATAGCCTTGTAATGCTGCCCTTCCAACCGCTATCCATCGTCTAGCTAGCCCCTTGTGCTGTGTTTGACCCCGAGTGTCTTCAGCTGATTGTTGGGACCGCAGACGTACCACTTGGGCCGCGACCGCAGACTCATCCAGGATATCATGCACAACAACGCGAAATTGCTACAATATGACGCCATTTGCACCTTTGTGTTTCCCGACTACCTGGCTTTAGCCAAGTTCCTTTACGACAAGGAGGGCGCAGCGCTAAACAGCGACCACGAGAACTTCATGGACGACTCCCAGATGAAAATGATGGTCGGAGACGAATTCATGTTGATCGAGAACGGGGAGAAGGTGGGCTGAGTCCCTGGTGCAGGGTGCCGAATGACCTCTCCCCTCGGATGGGTATCTTCTATTGTATACCTCTGCTCTCCAGCAATTCATAGCATGTCTCTGTCCTCACCTCATCACCGTCCCCTACCCCACCCCCTCCCTCCCCGAGGTCTTCCGCGTCCAGCGGAGCCCCTTGGCGTACCTCGCTGCTGCTGCGGACAATCCTTGATGAAATGCCCCTTCTGCTTACATCTGTGACACTCGATGTTGGCCAGGTTGCTCGAAGGCGGCCTCCGTTCTCCGGATAGGGACTGTAGACCACCCAGATACATGTCCTCGTCCAGCGGCTCAACTTTGAACCGCTGCGGTGTCTCCCGCTCAGTTTTCGTATGCGCCATTCGAGCCTCACGCTTCTTCTCGCGCTTCGTCTCGCGTATCAACTCCGCGGTAGGATCATCCGAGTCGAAGTCGTCGTCGGAGTCGTCGTCGGAACTCGATTCACTCTCCGACCCCTCTTCTTTGACCGCAAGGGCGACCTTCTTAGGCACTCCACCCCCAAACACCCTCTTCCCCACCTTGTCCCCCTCCTCTTCTTCCTCTTCCCCCTCTTCGCTCGCCTCATCGTCCGCATCAATAACCGCGAACCCCGCTTGCCTGACCTGCATTCCCCGCGTCCTAGCTCCATCTTGGGGCTCCTTAAAACTCAACACCCACTTCGTCTCTCCACTCTTCTCCGCCGCCCTCGACAGCGCCTCCTCTCTCTTCCTCTCCTCCGCCGCGAGCGCGCTCTGTATGACTTCGTGGTCCAATGGCGTGCCGGGCGTACCTGGCGCAGACGCACCATTCGAGAGGCGAACTTTCTTTGAGGGCGGAGGGCCGCTCGGCGTTGAAGGCGAGGATGTGGCAGATTTGGCGGCCGAACGCTGCATGAACTGATCCATAGTCAGTAAAGAGATACCGTGGTGCGCTTTTCAAGACCAGATAACTTTACCTTCATTGTCATGAGCCGGCTCGACATGGTCTTTGGCGTACTTGACTCCATTGTTGCAGAGTTGACAAGCAATACAGCTGCGGTATTAGTGAGGCGAGCAAAGCGCCAGTTGGTAGCGCTGGGTTGTGCCACAACCTGTATTGCAGTTCAAAAAGAACGCGACCGAGAGATCTGTAAAACATGCGCACGGACCATACGCCAAGACTAATCGCGATATTAATAATCTGGTAGGGCTGGCTGCATGAGCATTATCGATTTCGATACTAGCAGATATTTCGCCTCCCTCAAGGTTGAATGATTTTACTTTTGTGATTCAACGCTCCTAGGGAGTAATGGAGTCCTGGCAGACGGTTGATAGATATTCTGGGTGTTATGGATATAAACGGGGAAGCAGCTAGCGCAGCCAGACAAAAATCTAACTCAACAACCCTATCGACACCGCGTCAGATTTGCCAAACCCAAGCCGCTCAGCTCAGCTCAATTTGCAAACACACAATCGTCTATTCGCACAGTGCTCCAATCTAACATGCCGGGACCCCTAAGCCCTCTCGCCTCCACACGGACCCCGCCCTCATCTCCTCGAGTGCCCAGCCCTCCTATCCGCGCGCATTAGCATTCGATTTCGAACACCCAATTGTACCAGTAACAGAGAATCCAGGGTATTTCAATCACTGCACCTGGTTGACAATCTCCTGTGCCTTGGACAAGCTCTCCACCATCTGCTGGCACTCCTTCCGCCTCCTGACTGTGTACTCGCTCTCCTTCAGCAGATCGTCCAATTCTTCCGTCTTGTACATGTTCTCGAGCAGTTCGCGCTGCATTTCCTCTTTAGTCCACGAGACAAGGTTCAGCATAATGGCTTTGGGAACCATGTCGATCATGGTGCGACGGACGATATTGAAGTAGGACGTGATCAGGAGCTCTGCGCTACGCGTTAGTGAATGGTGAGAGGGACATGACATGTAGATACATACTGATGACTTCAACCTCTTGCGCCTCCTTCTCAGACAGCGTTCCTGAGGCCTTGAGCGTGGGCGGCGGGGGCTCCATAGCCGCCATCTTCTTCTTGTTCTTGCTGGCGAAAAATGAGCCGAAGAAGCCGCCGCTCTCATTCCCATCCAGGCTCGGCGATGACGACCGCGGCGGCACAGCGGGCGGCAGCGGCTTTCCGGTCTTAGGATCCACCTGCGTCGGTTTCGCAGCGTTGTGTCGCTCGTGAACGATGGCCATGGCGCGCGAACCGTTGATAAAGTCCGGGTGTCCGGTATTGATGTAGCAAGACTCCATTGCAACGAGGTCTTTGACAAGCTTGTTGGTCGGGTCCATGGCCTTCTTGAAGAACGAAACGACCACTTGGTGCAGCTTCTCCTTGAGCCCGGGGTAGCGCCTAAAGGTGGGTTTGTTGAGGAGCTGGCCGAGGATACGAATCAGTTCGTCATACACTAGGCTCACGCACTTGAGACTTGGATCCTCTAATCGCTTGATCTGCTGCTTCACGATGAGTTCGAAAGCCGTGGTTCCGACGAAAAGCGCGGGCGATGAACCAGAGGAGTTGTAGAGAACGGTGCGGATATCGACATCCTTGACCTGGTCGAAGGGGTCCACGGCCTTGACACCGTTGGCGTACAGCTCGTGGTAAACGAACGAAATACGAGCACCACCTGACAGCTCCGTTGCTGACAGTTCCTGGTTGTTTCCTTCCAGAACCCCCCGGTATTCATTGCTGAACTCGGTAATCATGTTCAGAACGATGTTCGAGCTGTTGCCAAGCAGGGAGTCGCCCAGCTGAGCGAGCTCGACTTGGTACTTCTGGAGAGAGGATGCGATGCGGGCTTTGATGTCTGGGAGAGTCTGCTTAATGTGCATCATGAGGATCTGAAGATGTTAGCTCCGCTCCCTTTCCTCGTTTATTCTGGTAATGGAAACCTACCAGGTTCAGCTTGCGAGCCAGATAGGGCGTGCCGCAATAAGCAGCCTTGTTCCGGTACGCCTTGTGCGTCTCGAAGAAATTCCTCTCATGCTCTAGCGCATACGAAATAGCCTTCTTGTTCTCGATATCCCTCTGTCCTCGGTTGACGACCGGAACGTAGCCCAATCGCAGCGGAATGATGCGACCAGCCAAGATATCCACAACGTCTGTGCCCTCGTCCATTAAGTCGACCTTGGTCAGCACACCGATTGTTCGCTGTCCCTCCGGATCTACCTCTCGCGCCAGCTTCAGACCGTCCGAGTTGGCCAAATCGGTGTTCGCGGCGGTAACGGCCAGTATTATAGCGTTGGGCTTGGTAATGTGCTTCAGAACCATCTCCTTGATCTGGCGCTCAATATCCCGCGGCTGGTCTCCCACAGGTACCTTGGTCAAGCCAGGCAGATCGACTAGCGTGAGAGTTAGGACGTTCGGCGAGTATATCCGCAGGTTGATGGGAGCTGGGGAAATGCCCGCATTGCGCCCAGTCTTAGAATCCGTCTCCCGCACAATCTCTTCTCTTATCTTGTTGAAGTCGAAGAATTTCTGACCGGGGATGTGCAGGAATTCTCCCCACTCGTGTGGGTTAGACTGTGCGTCCGACGTCTTGACTTCCTCCTCCTCCTTGACGCCATTTGTCTGCGGCTTGTGCGCGGGTTGTCGGTTGATGAGCTGGAGGACGAGCGGTCTTCGGGTAACAATGCCGGTTCCTCGAGGCAGGCTACATGACGCTTGTCAGTAATGCGGCCGCGATGCCAACCATTGTTTGGCAGGTTCCAGGACTCACAAGTCGCGCCCCACAATGTTCTCCAACACAGAACTCTTTCCGCTGGATTGCGATCCTACGACGACGATCTGAGGCAGGTCTATCGGGTTTTGGACCTGAGCAAGGCATCAGTATGCGCGAAGCTCTTATCGCGGCGGTGGGTGCGGAGAGGGCTGCGACGTACCCCTACTGTTGTGAAGACATCCTGGAGCTTGTTGACGAGTGTGATAAGGCCCGGGTCGTTCACGTTGATGCTGCAGCGACGCTGGTTAGCATTCCGCATGCACCCCCGAGGGGCTGTCGGAATAGGGACAACTTACGCAGTCGGGTTCACCGCCATGGCAGGCGAGAGCGTGAGGTTGTGTAAAAGCGCAGAAACAGTACTAATAGCGATGGTGTCCGGCGGCGCAGGGCAGGGTATATGTAAGAGCGTTGGGCTGTTGCAGGCTCGGTGTTGTATTCTGGGGCGTTGTGTCGTAGCCCTTGGAGTTGCGAACGTCAAGGTGCACAGACGGACAAGGATTAGAGACAGGTGGCGGCCGCCTCAGCCACACAGCGAAACTTCCTCGCCAACGCCAGATGACGAGGGTCACCGGCCACGTTCACGCGTCGTCAGCCAAACCAGGCATCAACATTTCTTCATGTACAGTCCTCAGTCTATGGTCCGTCCGGGCAAAATACACGAGACAGGTACGCTATGCAATCCTTCCGCAGTCCATACCTTCCTCACTCATCCACAACCGACGCAAACTTGTCCATCATCCTCTGCATCAGCTCCTCGTACTGGACAATAGTTAGCTCAACATCTCACGCAACATCGTGTTCGCGAAGCTTACCTTCTTGGTGATTTTCTCCTCGCCGTCGCTAGGCACCTCGAACTTCATGCTGCGCAGCTGGCTCTGGATCTCTGCTGTCGAGTCGCGAATCTTCGCCCAGCTGTGGCCCTGCGCAACTGCCTTCTGTGCCTCGTCATGGAATGCCATCATGTTCTTCATCATCCATTCCGTCTTCCACAGCGGGCAGAATTGATCGTAGTCTGAGTAACCGTTCTGCTGCAGGAAGTCTTCCTTGATCAAGCCCGCCACATCAAGCGTAATCTTATCCGGGTCGCCCAAAGCAGATTTACCCACCAGCTGCACCACCTGGTCGAGATCCTCTGACGTGGTGAGCAGCTCCTTGATTCGGTCGCGTAGCCGCGGGAACTCGGGGTTGTTCTGTGCGTAGAACTTGTCTAGCGGGGTGGTGTACTTGCTGTAACTGATCGATGTGTTGACCGAAGGAAAGTGCTTCCGCTGGGCGAGCTTTTTGTCGAGACCCCAGAAGACCTGGACGATACCAAGCGTACTGCTGGTAACAGGATCCGAGAAATCACCGCCGGGAGGACTAACAGCACCGACAATACTGACACTGCCATGCCGCTCGGGGCTTCCGAGAGCAGTAACGCGACCGGCACGCTCGTAGAAGGAGGCAAGCTTAGCGCCCAAGTAAGCCGGAAAACCTTGATCAGCAGGCATTTCTCCCAGCCGGCCGGAAATTTCACGAAGCGCCTCAGCCCATCGAGAGGACGAGTCAGCCATCATGGCCACGTCCTTTCCTTGATCGCGAAAATACTCGGCCACCGTAATTCCCGTGTAAATAGAGGCTTCTCGAGCAGCCACAGGCATGTTGGAAGTGTTGGCAATCAGCGTCGTTCGCTTCATGATAGGCTCCTTCTTGCCGTTGACCTCGATGGTAAGCTGTACACAAATTAGCCAGTAACCTCCTGTTTCAGTACACATGACTTCACCTCAGGGAAATCCATCAACACTTCAGCCATCTCGTTACCCCTTTCCCCGCAGCCAACGTAAACAATGATGTCACTGTTGGAGAACTTGGACAACGACTGACTAATGACAGTCTTTCCGCATCCGAAAGCACCAGGAATGCACACAGTACCGCCCTGCACGCTAGGGAAAAGAGCGTCGAGCACACGTTGACCAACAATGAGCGGCTGGTCAGACGAGAGCTTCTCGGAAGACGGGCGGGGCACACGGACGGGCCACTGGTGCATCATGCTGTACTCGGTCTTGACGCCGTTGAACTCAAGCTCCAGGATCTTCTCATCGACCGTGTAGCTGCCCTTGTCCGCGAGGCGAGTGATGGTTCCGCGAGCGCGCGGGGGCAGCAAAATCTTGTGGTCGCTGAGGAGACTGTTCTCGACAACACTACCAAAGACATCACCTCCAGTAATGTGGTCACCGACCTTGTACTTGCCCGGTGTGAAGTCCCACTTCTTCTCGCGGTCAAGAGCCGGGATAGAGATACCGCGGGGGATGTAGATACTGTCTGCCTCGACCGAGATGGCTCTGAGAGGACGCTGGATACCGTCGTAGATGGTCTCCATGAGACCCGGTCCAAGCTCGACAGACAGTGGTTTTCCCGATCTGTACACAGGGTCGCCGACAGTTAGACCAGCTGCAAAGCGATCAGCCTAGAATTTCTGTCATTTATTGTGGCAGCATACCAGTCTCCTCGTAGACCTGCATCGTAGCCTTATCAGCCTCAAGTCGAATGACTTCTCCGACAAGGTTCTCATGGCCGACGCGGACCTGGATCCATCAGCATCAGATGCGATTTAAGCTCCAGCATGCCACCTACAAGCTCGTACATAGCACATCCAGTCATGTTCTCAGCCACGATGACGGGCCTGGGGGTATCAGTATGTGCTTCCATATCGCGAAAGCGGTGACGTACCCGGAGACGGAGTAGACGGTTCCTGCAGACAATGTTAGAATTCTCTTCATGGAAGCTCCATTACAGAGCATGATAGCGGGGAATAAAAGTACCATGCTGCTCCTCGCCATCAATCTGCTGCTTCTGCTGCTTCTACAAACCCCGCCGTCAGCTCTCCCACCCTTCACGCCTCCACGTCGCAAAACTCACAGGACCCATCTTCAATTCCTCTTTCGTTCCTTTCTTGCTATTCTCTTCCTTCAGACTGTATGGCGGCGGGCTAACGACAATCTCAACCTCTTGCTGCGGTGGGATACCAGGGCTCTTCGGGAGCGGTATCTGCAGCGGGCGCGGGTCTGCGTCGAGCGGGTGCAGGCGAGCCGGCGACTGCGAGATGTCGTCGATGTTGTTTCGGCGGACGAGATCGAGGAGGGAAGGTCGGGCTTTGAGGCGTGGCCGCAGACCAAGCATGCAACGAAGATGGTGGAGATTAGAGAGTGTGGATCTGTATCTAGGCGAAGCTGTTGCTGTGCAGATGACGCCGCCTGCCGCTTGAGGTGGTCTGTGCACAAGCTCCCCGGATCTGGCTGGACAGCAGCCCTTCAGCTTTCAGTGAACACCAATCTCGCAAACCAGTCACAAGATTAAGGAACTAGAATCTCGAAGAGTATGCTGTAACACAGCTAATTCCCCGCTCATTTTTACGTGCTATAGCGGACATGTGGACGCTCTGTCCCTACACCAGGCACACCCCTACAGATATCGCAAACAACAATATCTTCGAAAGCGATGAACATTATGTTACATGTTTCAAGGCGTGTTAAGCAGACCGAAGCGTCAGAAACTCCCCAAAGTCCTTCCAGAATCAAGCGTCCGACTCGGCCAAATAACATCATCACTTTCTTCATGTCTCTCACTTGTACTCTTACCCGTCTCCATCATACTTTCCGGCCCAGTCCCCTTCTTCCTCAACCCCACATATCTCTCCTCTCTTCCAACCCTCCCTTCAAGCCCATCCTCACTCCGCAAGTCCAATACTGTTTCATTCAACGTCGTCGCCGTCGCCCAGATGAAGAAGGCCTTCGAATCGTCCCGGGCGCTGGGCGGCTCGATCATCATTCTGGGCCACAGCCGGACAAATAGCGGTTTCATAACAAGCAAAGACGCGCAGATGATGGCCACATTGACTTCGATAGTGGACCAGAGGATGGCGTGGGTACCGGGTTCTAGGGATTGATTAATGCCCGGTATATACGAAAGAACCAGATGGAACTTACTAGTCACCTCTCCCGCTTCTGCAGCACCATTAACCAGTGCAAGACGCAGGATGGAAACGATGCAAATGCTACGAATTCAACATTAGTGACAGATTCCTACCCTCCAGTCGTCACAACTCACAATCCACCTAGTCCAAATACACCCACCAACCCCATTTTCTGCTTCTTCGGCAATTTCAACCTCCCGATCACTGGCATAGGTAACACCCTGCACAGTTTGCAGTCCACGTTAGAAAGAGTCTTGAATCTCAGGGGTAGATCAATCGAAGGGCTTCAGGGCAAGCCTTGCTACAACGAGGAACAGGGCGAGTTGACGCGGAATGTGACATACGTACCATATCGCAAAGTCCAGCACAATCCCAATGATCGCATTCGACCAAAAGTGTCTTTCAGGATCAGTACACTCCCCCGGAATTTGCGCTTTCCAGTACTTCTGCACCGGCCTGCACATGAACACGACGCCGAGGGCACCCCATGCGGCGGCGGAGAAGATGACGAAGAGATAGGTAAAGCAGGTCCAGCGGATGACGGGTGATATAAAGGAGAAGAGGCGGAGGTATTGGAAGACGATGGAGGCTTTGACAAGGTTGATGGAAAGTTGGTAGAAGAGTGATTGGGCGAAGACGAGCTTGGTGGGTGAGCGCGGAATCAAGGATGCGTACTACGAGGGGGGAGAAGAGTTACCTTCATCATTGTCTCGAGGGAGGAGGAGCGCACTTCATCGTTGGTGTTATCCGTGTCGATGTGAAATTCTACGTGCTATGGTTAGCTTTTTTGCCTCATTTCTAACGGCGGCGAGTTACTAACCTCCGGCCACAACACCGCTCATTGCCATTGAGAGGATCTAGCGCTCTTAAATGACTGTCTCATCCGAAGTAGAGAAGGTACCAACCAAGGCAACAGTCACGAGGACATCCTCTGTTCCCGCTTTACTTGACAAGCAAGCCCGAGAGTACCACCTGAGTATCACCGTAACCAGAGCGATAGAGAAGAATATAACGGCTGGGATGAGTGCCTGAAAGCCGATGTTTGCCGCTGCCTTCGAAGAGAATACAACCCAGCTTGGGTCGTGGGTGTGCATATTGTCTGCTGTTGCCACCCACGTGAACACAAGGGTCTGGAATCGCTGAAGAATTGGATTTTATGTGGGCTTGTCGTCGAGCAGGATGTTGGCAAAGAGGGAGGGATCGCCATTGCTCTCATCTAGTTTTGCTCAGCGGCTTTATGTACAGACTGGGATGAGTCTAAGCTAGCTAGTCTAGACTCTGGGGGTAGTGAGGACGTCATGAGCAACGAATTGTGGGATGCGGAGCATCAACCATACAATGGTGATGTGTGATGTGGGCTGCGAAAATGCGCTGAAAGAACTTTGCCGACTGTTCGATGGTGACCCAAGCCTGAACGTCGAATAGCAAAGGGAGACGTGAGCAAATTGCTATTACGTGGATCCTTTGGCATGTGATACCTTCCGCACCCGACTAGAAACTTCGAGTCCGACTTTGCAACTGAGAGGCACGTTGTTTGATTTCGAGTGTTTTGAATGGGTAGATATGGGGAATGTTGATGGTACGACTGTGGATCAAATGGCGAGACAAGCCATCCGGACCATGGATACGTCGCGGGGTCGTCCTACCCTGTGTTGGGAGCTTCGCCCACAGCTTCCGGGGGTCAGCAACCCCCATACCTCGTGATAGACTTTGAGAAGTCGGAACAGCCGGCTCGCATGTTTTCCTGAAGCAGTGGTCGAAAGGGCTGTGGTCCCTCACTCCCTGGATGCCATAGCAAGATCATCGTCTTGGCTAACAAGGCGCGGGTTTTAGAAGGCATGGCTAAGTCCGGGGCGATGCGGCAGGTCGAAAAGGTCACGGAAACTCAGCATAGCCAGAAATGTGTCCTTTTCTGAACACGGCGAGTTCCTTGATTGGGAAAGCTGCAAGGACCCTGGACCGAAGTTTACAGCAGAGAAGACATAGTGGTTCTAAAGAAGGTTGGTTCCTCCTGGAGCCCCGGCGAAGTTTTAATGAATGATGGAATCGAATAGCCACACTGCCTGAGAGATTGTTGGCTCTCTATGAAAGACCTCTCGGGCGAATTAAGGATTATTATCATTCTGTGACTTATTAGGCACAGCAGACGTTAATTCGTATATGAAAGAATGAAGGTGGGCCAAGATAGACGGCCAAGTAAAGGCCGCAACAGACATGAAGGCAGAATGAGATGGCTTAGACGAGAAGCAACCGATTCAGGGAATTGTAACGAATCCTGCAAGCGTGCAGAAGGGCGACGGCGAATGGACAGAACGGAAATTAGACGAGAAACATTAAAAGTGAAAGACGAATAAGAAATCGTATGTCTCAACCCCCACATGCGATGCAACTTGATGGACGAGGCTTGGCCTGGTGGTGCCTGGGCCCCGAGTACTCCTGGCCCAAGTCAGCCGTGTATTCCCGTTAGGTGAGCCAAACTATACCCCGAAATCCCTAACTGCATTTAAGCGTACACGTTTATCGGGAAAGTTTTCGCGACGAGCGGCGCGCGGATACTGAAACGGCCGCATCGGCGTCGGGTGCCAGTGGCTCTACGATACTTGCGCCACCTGCCGAGCCTTCGCTCCTTCGACGTGTGGCGCGAGTATCGCGGGAAGCTAGGTTTGTCGATACCGGCCCGAGAGTCCATGTTGGCATTTTCAAAGTCTGCCTTGCGAAGGAAGGGAAAGTCCACACGAGATTATCGATCCACATTCGCGGAATGGGGCCGACGGACTATGGATCGCTTCTGTGAGGTGCCATTCGATCGAGATGGATTCATATCTTAGGAACTGTGCGAGCCACCGGAGCTGGAAGTTGGAGTGTTGCTGCTAGAGGAGCATGAGTGACCATCCAGTTTCGGTTGTCCGCATACTGGGCACTTGGGCGGTGGAGGAAAGCTACTCTTTGGGTAGTGTTAGCAGTGTTACAACATGGAAGCGAAATAGTGCAAGCACAGTCTGTTAGATCCGGCACAGAGTCTCCTGAATGCCAGTTTACATGGCTTTCAGGAATCCACTGCCGAGGCCGAAGAGATTGCTGTCTGCACGTAGAACATACCTGCATAACGCCCATGGTGGTGACCAGTGAAAGAAGAGAGCAAAGCCCGAAAAGCGAGTATGAGAGAACTTGAGGTGTTGAGGGTATTCAAAGAGGAGGGATATTCAAAGAGGATAAGACGCAGATCGAGTTGAAGATGGATATCGATGTCGAAATTGAAACACTCACTGGCTTTGGAAGGCAGCTTGCAATGCTCGTTCGTGTGCTCCATCCTGTCATCGCCGCTCCGGCCAATTTATACAGAACGCTATCCGATAGACTAACTGTGAGATCAATAGTAGACATGGTAAACTAGAGCCGGCCGCACAGGCTGCAAGGCACGTTGGAGGTGCTCTGAGACACACTTCACCGATCGCAGCTAGGTGCATACAGCAACGGCGACCGCGTGGAAGCTCGTTTTGGCAAGGTCCAAGGTTCCACAGTCCGGTGTAGTGTACTTTTGAGGAGTCAAAAGGGCTCCGCCACAGATATCCGATGAAGGATTGGGGATATATTCGTGTTCGGACGGAGGAAGGAGCGTTGCGAGCTAGTGAAACTACGGGAATGGGGCTAGCGAGCTAGGCGAGCCAATGATAGCTTAGCGTGGGATTTGCGGATCTACGTCACCGTTATTTTGGGGCCGCCATCACAAGCTAGCTCGCAGACCTCCAGGCCGCAACACCATATCCATCCTCCGCCATGATAGCCTCGTGATGGCTTCCGCGAGCGACATCCTCACACTCGTGAGCTCACTGGCTCTGCGAGTCAGTATCTACATCTTTTTGCGATGGGTGAGTGGCTTGTCTGCCTGTACTCCTCCCCGATTTATTGACCTTCACTAAGTATTGATTACTGCAGATTCCGACCACGGTTAGTCACCTGCGCTGCCGCTGAGCCTCATTGAAAATCCTAACGATAACCTGCCTAGATCGCCCCTCCACTCGCGACCGCTCTGACCCTAGTCTACCTTCCATCATTCTTCATCAGCCTTCAGGACACGGCCCCCTTTAAGGTGATATCCGACGAACTTGACATAATCGTGAAGGAGACGGTCGCAAGGGGCAGCTCGACCTCTGACTCCTCGGAAGATATTGAGCTGATAGAAGGCGTTGAGGATGGACCACTGCAAGAGCTAGACGTCGAGGAGACAATTCAGTATGAGGAGAGGAAGCCGAAGATACTGCGGACGCTGCTTACGGGCATGCCGAGCCCCTCTTCGCTGCTATGGTCCTGGGTTACGTTCGCTATCAATGTGACATTGATTGTGATGGCATTGGACATGGTCTACCGCGCGCCCATGTTCCACTCCTGCCATCATGCGTCCTTTGGCCGTCTAGGCTATATTTCCGAGCACACCGCCAACATTCTAGTGCGGGAGCCGTATGCGTTCGACGTCAAAGTTCTCTACCGGTCGATCGATGAGCCAAATCGCTCGTGGATGCGAAAGATACTCCATTCGAGCCAACCGGATTACTGGACGAAAAACGAAACTGATTTTACCGCAGCCATCTCTCTGGACCATCTGCGCTCGGACACACCGTACGAGTATGTCATTGAGACATCAAGCGGTAACACGACAGGCACCTTCATTACCGCCCCTCGCCCCGGGCGCGTCTCATTGCTCAAAGACGGCAAATACACCTTTGTCCACTCAAGTTGCATCAAGCCCCGCGTCCCATACACACCCTGGCAGCATCCGCTTGAGTTTCCCGGAATGGCGCATCTTGCCCGCTGGTTGCCTGAACTCCGGCCCTACTTCATGCTCTTCCTAGGAGACTTCATATACGTCGACGTGCCACAACGGTTAGGCACGGAGGCTGAGCACTACCGCCGCGAATACCGCCAGGTTTACTCGTCCCCGTCCTGGCCCGCAGTGAGCAAGAACCTACCCTGGATCCATGTCATCGATGACCACGAGATTGCGAACGACTGGAATGGTAACATGACCGGCGTGGCTGTCCCCGCGTATGACGCCTTCACTCATTACCACGTCGCAGTCAATCCGCCCCCGCACCGCAAGGGACACACGTACTTCAGCTTCACGCAGGGTCCAGCCCAGTTCTTCCTCGTAGATACTCGCCGCTACCGAAGCCCCGAAAACAAGAACCCTAACGATGAGTCTAAGACAATGCTCGGTGAGCCTCAGCTATCGGACCTGCTCGCCTGGGTAAGCAAACCGCCACCAAAAGGAGTTCACTGGAAGATCATCGTCACCGGCGTCCCCTTTACCAAGAACTGGCACTTCGGCACAGAAGACACGTGGGGCGGCTACCTATTCGAGCGGCGCAAGATCCTCGAGGCAGCTTGGGATCTCAGCTCCGCCCACGGCGTCGGGGTCGTCGTTCTCAGTGGCGACCGTCACGAATTCGCGGCGACTTCCTTCCCGCCACCCAAAGACTCCAAGTGGCCGATTAGTGCGACGGTACATGAGTTCAGCACTAGTCCGCTCTCTATGTTCTATCTCCCAACCCGCACGTACGATGAAACCGACGACGAGGACGTCTGCATCAAGTATCTTCCGGATGGAAATAGCAAGTTTGGCGCTGTTGAGATTACGGCGCCCGACCATAGCGAGCAGAGTCTACTGAATTATCGGCTGTTTATTGATGGCAAGGAGGCGTGGACACATGTCATTTCGACGCCGCCCACGAGGGACGGGAGCAAGAGGGCGAAGGATGCGGTGTGGGGATAGGTCACCCCGCTCATTCTTCTCAGTCGTACTACTTTCTTTCTACGGGAACGCGATCTAAGGTTCGCATGGACAGCACGCATTGAGCGGTGTTTGGGATACATCCGGGATTTGTTCAGGACATAGCAAGCGGTTCATCGCACAAGGGGCAAACTTCTCTTCTGTAGGTAGACTAACGCTCTCAGACGATCTGCGAGCTCCATAAACGAGAAACTGCCTAGGTATTCCATTTCGACCTCGCCTTCTCTTCATCCTCTCTGCTCCACTCACGCGGCAGCACCGCGAAGACAAGATACGACGTATGCGTCTTGATCTCGGGTTCGGTGCGATGCACCAGCCTCCCCTCCTTGAACAGGTTCCTGTTTTCCAAGTCCTTCTTCGCGCGCTCCAGCCGGTCATGCTTCGACGGCGGTACCCCCTCAATCTTCTTCTTTTTCTTCGCTTTGCCCTGTGCTTCTTCATCCCTTACAGGCGGGACTTTCTCGCCCCGCTTTTTGGCCTCAGCCCTCCGCATCACTTCCTCTTGCTTCTCTTTCTGCAGACCATGGAACACTTTCGCGCGGTCTTCTACGTCTCGCAGACGCTGGACCGCTTCTTGCACGGTTGCTGCGCTGGGGTTTGCGCCGCGCAGGCCTTCCTCTTGCAGCCCGATGCGCTCGCGGCGCACCTCGAGGCGCTTGGATTGTATCTCCGCCATGCCTATTTCGAGCCAGCCGAGCGAGCGCATCGCGGAGACTGTCTTGGTGACTTGCTCTATGCAGGGCGAGAAGGTGCATATCCGCACAGTGCTGTTGGGGTTGAGCGGTGAGCGGAACGGAGTTGGTGCGGAGGGCGGTTGGGTGGCAATGTCCGAGTCGTTTGGTGTTGATGGGTCGGAGGAGAGGGATTTCAGGACTGCGGATGAGGGGCGCGAGCGTGTTAGGTGCTTGAGGGCAAGCCAAGGCGCGGGGAGGTCGAGAAATATAACGTCTGCGTTTGGCTCATCGTCGCTATCTAAGCAGAATCCATCGGCGTAGACGTCTCGATTTGTGACGGTCACGAGCGAGTCGAGCTCATGCGCTTTGATCTCGCTCTGTAGCTCTTTGGCTCTCGGCGCGTGGTATTCGAAGCTGTATACACCGCCGTGTCTCTTCCTTCGCTTCTTCTTTGTCGGGCCAGCTTCGCTCGCTTCATTTTCCTCGCTATTATTCTGTGTTTCGCCAGGCCTAGCATAGCCGTTGAAGACCGCTCTCACAGCGGCATGAGTGAAGCTGCCACTGCCCGCTCCTGCTTCTATTATGTGGTCCCCAGGTCGCACGCGGAGTCTCTGAAGGATGTACGAGTAGTCCGGCGTGTACACGACCTGCGTCCTGTGCGGCAGACACAACGTCCATGTCTCCGGAGTAGGTGGAATGAGATGCGCGAACCCACTGCTCGCCGTGGCAGCCTTCGCAATATCCTTCTTCACATCTTCGGCGTCTGCTCTAGGTCCTCCCGCGCCCTCATCGTTCTGTCCGCGTTTCCGCTTCTTCGACTTTGCTCCGCGCGAGCCTGTGTCAACAAGCGAAGCGAGTATCTGGGTGCCCCATGGCTGGTTCAGGAGTGTGCTGTGTGGGAAGGAGCCGAAGCGTGTGTTCTCGACCTTGCCTTCTGCGTATTCCGAGTCGGCAGTCGGGGAAAGAACGGCGGGGATGAGGTGGTCGCGCTTCAATTGAAGGATACCGAGACTGTCGGCGACTGAATGTGAGCCGGGATCGAGAAACGGCGAAGGTCGATGTTCCATGGAGGCGTTGCAGAGGTGCCCCTGGAGGACGTGACGGGTGAACGAGCTTGTCGAAATTTTGGCGGGGAGCTCGCGGGGAAGGCGCCAAGACCTCCGTCGACAGGGGTTCCAAATTCCGCAAGCAACGTGACACGACACCATCAGCCTCCGCCTGACTCACTTCGCTTCTCGATATTGACTCCTTCGCCTGTTTCTCCTTCCATATAGCCCCTCTTCTTCGTTCCTTTCCGTCACTCCTTTTCGAATCGTCTGCAACCATCCCATTGATGGTCTTTCGTTTCTCTTTGTCGCGCCAACTACTTTGCACAGCCTCTCCACTCTTACCCTCATCAAGACACAGTTTCAAGAAAGCGCCTGTACATTCCATCTGGAGGGCCACAATGGCTACTCCGGCGCGCACGCAACCGCCGTGGAAACAGCCCGAATCATCAGTTCCTGCGAAGCTGAAGGTCTGGAACTCCTTAACGCGCACCAAGAATGACTTCATCCCCGTGGATCCCGAGGGGAAAGCTGTGAAATGGTACAGCTGCGGTACGTTACTTAACACTTTTTCGCTTTAGCGGTGTGCTTATTGTCTTAAAGGTCCGACTGTCTACGATGACGCACATCTTGGACATGCCCGCAACTATGTCACCATTGATATTCTCCGCCGCATTCTGGCGGGTTACTTCGGATTCGACTTGAAATTCGTCCAGAATGTGACGGACGTGGACGACAAAATCATCCTGAGGGGGCGGCAACAGCATCTCTTGGCGGAATACAAAGCTAAAAACCCCACAATAACCGGAGAGGTTACCGATACGACTGTGAAGGCATTCGATGCCTATATCAAGAAGAATCTGCCACTCCTGAGCCCTGACCTGAAACCAGAGGACTTCAACAAAGAATCGGCCGAGAAGTATGCTGCCGTGATCGCAGGAAAGTCTCTCGACGGAACAGGACCCCCAACGGACAAAGAGGCCAAAATCAAAATGCATCTGCGTACCGCTGGACAGGCCGCGACTTCATTACTAGCTCCATCGAAAGAGACGCCAGAAGATATCGCCGTTTTCTATGCCGGAGCAGAAGACGTCTTACTGCCATATTTGGACTTGTTATATGGCTCGTCGATCAATGCTAGTGACCATAGCATTTTCACGAAGCTCACGAAGAAGTACGAGGCAAGGTTCAACGAGGATATGCGGGCCTTGAACGTCATGGACCCCGATGTGGTGACGCGAGTCACTGAGTTCGGCCCTCAGATCGTGAACTTCGTGCAGAAGATTGTCGAGAACGGCTATGCGTACCAGACCTCAGACGGATCAGTGTACTTCGACATCGAGGCTTTCGAAAACACTCCCGGAAATGCCTACGCACGCCTTGAACCGTGGAATCGCAACGACAAAGACCTCCAAGCAGATGGAGAAGGAGCTCTAACGAAGAAGTCTGCAGAGAAACACAGCGACAGCGACTTTGCCCTGTGGAAAGCAAGCAAACCCGGAGAGCCGGCTTGGCAGTCACCCTGGGGTCCTGGACGTCCCGGGTGGCATATAGAGTGCTCTGTGATGGCGAGTAGTGTGCTTGGTGAGCAGATGGATATCCATTCCGGGGGTATTGATCTGTGCTTTCCCCATCACGATAACGAGCTTGCACAGAGTGAAGGCTACTGGACGAAAGCCGGCGGCCACCAGTGGGTGAATTACTTCTTGCGTAAGTTACGATACTCTTGACGCTAGTTTATGTACTAAGGAACGCAGATATGGGTCATCTATCGATCTCGGGCTCGAAGATGTCAAAGTCTCTGAAGAACTTCACAACGATTCGAGAAGCATTGGCTCGAAAAGACTGGACCGCCCGAAGTCTTCGCATAGTCTTCCTTCTCGGTCCGTGGCATGACAGCATCGAGATTACGGACGACATGCGAAAAGCCGCGTCTTCATTCGAGTCGTACATCTCCAACTTCTTCTATAAAATCCTCGACTTGGATGTTCATCCTTCTACCTCTTCCTCAGAGGCGGAGGATAAGAAGATGAGACAGGCGTTCGAATCGGCAAAATCAAAGCTACACGAGGCGCTCGCAGATTCGTTCGACACACCTACAGCTATGCGCGCTATTTCTGGGCTGATCACGGACTACAATTCTGCAGCCAAGAGTGGCATTTCGGACGACGTGTCGAAGGAGATTGCACGATGGATTACACAGATCCTTCGCATCTTCGGCTGCGACGGATCAGCAGACCCCAACGACAATGGAATCGGGTGGTCAGGGGTCGAGATCCCGGCGGAAGCCCGTGAGTTTGTTCATGCTGCCTCGCGCGAACGCGACGAGATCCGCCAGCATGCTATAGCGGGCGACCTATCCGAAGAAGTCCTCACATCCATCATCTCCAAGGACAAGCCAGCCCAGCTACAAGACGCGACCGCTGTTCCATATGCCGAAGTCCTATCGACGTTCCAGGAGAACCTGAAAGGTCTTGCAGAGAGGAAGGCGCCTGCAAAGGATTTCCTGGCACTCTGCGACCGGCTGCGCGACCTGGATCTTTGGGACCTAGGTATCTACCTCGAAGATCGAGAGAACGCGCCGGCCATGGTTCGTCCAGTAGATGCCGAACTGCGAGCGGCTCGAGAGCAGAAGGAAGCTATTGCTCGCCAGAAGCAAGAGGCGAAGCTGAGGCGAGAGCGGGAAGAGGCGGAAAAGAAGGTGAAGCTTGCGGAGCAGGCTAAGATTAGCCCTAAGGATATGTTCAGGACGGAAGAGTACAGCGCCTGGGATGACGATGGCTTGCCGACCAAGGACAAGGAAGGCGCGGATGTGGCGAAGGGCAGGACAAAGAAGATGAAGAAGGAGTGGGAAAAGCAGAAGAAGCTGCATGAGGAGTATCTGAAGGGTCTGGGCGGCTCATGAGCTTCTTTGACGTCTTTGATAGAGTAGGTTGAATGGGATTGGGCGCCTTTTATCGAACCATTCGTAGACGCTTATGGCGGTGCGAGGGGCGGTTTATGTACAAGGTATTCTATAGGCCGCGGATTACATGTGTAAGGATGAAACTCCAAATGCATATCTCTGTAGCTGGCTTCCACGTTATGGTTCACAAGCCGAGATAATGTGGATCGCGCTGGAAGAGCCGCTGTGGCGCTGTACTGCAACCATCCATTCGCTATACGGTGCCATTTCCTTGACACTGGCACTTTACACAACTTTTCCGTCCTCGGGCTTTTCCCAGGATATTGTACTATACACCGTTGCGGTTCTCTCTGCATCCTACTGCTAGAAGCGCCATCATAGCCGTTGTCGATTCAGGTATGCACCCAAGGACAAACGGACCTAGCGCTAACCTGAGGTCAACTTATGAGCAGGGAATATGCCATGGCTGCGGAAGCGTTCTTGTTTCATATTCACAATATTCTAAGGCCTCGGTGGCTGAATTCCACGTTGTCTATCAATAAAATGCTCTATAAGGCGGCCCTGAAGACTGCCTCCTGCAAATCCAACTCCTTTTCTCATTACGCTATTTCAACACCGCACATCACACCCTCACTCTAAACCTCCACCCCGTTATCGCCACCCTGCCCGCCACAACGGCCGCGCTCCCCGCAAGCACCATCGTCCCACCCCAAATCTGCGCCCCGATGTAGCTCCCCCCGTCCCTCTGCATCAGCGCCCCCGCAATTGGCGGCCCTAGCACCGTCGCCACGCCCACGACGCCAAACCCCATCCCATTCCTCGTCCCCACCTTACTCATATCCTTGGTCAAGCTCGTCAGCACCGCGGGAAACAAGCCCTGGAACCCCGCGCAGAAAAAGCCGTACAGGATCGCGAACGCGTAGAGAGAGCTGATGCTGGAGACCAGCGTCCAGAAGTACAGGATAATGGCGGAGATGAAGCAGAACGGGATGAGCGTGTTGTATGGTCCGAAGTTCGCGTCGGCGAAGTACGAGGGGATGAGGCGGCCCGGGAGGCCGATGCCGTTCATGATCATGAGGAGGTTGATGGATGTGCTGTACGGTACGTGGATGACGTTCTGCGCAAAGGAGCTGATGTAGTAGAATGCGAAGTACTGGCCCAGGCAGATGAGAAACACGCCGGCGAGGTACAAAGTATAGGGCGCCTCTCTAAACGCCGAGAGTTCGAACAATGGGCCGCTTTTCCGCGGGGGTAAGCGTGGTTTGAGCAGACTGCAGTAGCATGCACCCACGACTAGCATGATGAAGCCCATAGTCCGCACTGTCCACGCGAAGCCGATGCGAGGAAGAAGTTGCCGCGCGATAGTCGGGTAGACGAGCCCGCCTGTTGCGGACCCAGACGCCATGATTGCGACGGCGACGTTGCGGTTGCTAGTGAAGTACGTAGTCACCAGGGACATGGAAGGCGTGAACTGCAGCCCGCAGCCAATCCCGTTCATCACGCCCTGCGCGAGGAATAGCTGCCAGTACACGCCGGTCGTACACAGGCTCGTCATGAACATGCCCAGCGCTGCGAGAAGCATCCCGGGAATGACGACCCAGTAGAACAGTCCCGCATCCAGTGCGCGGCCAGAGAACATGCCCAGGCCGAAGTGGCCCAGCATCTGCATGCCCCCGATCCAGGACACGGCCGACGGCTCGAGGTGCAAAGTGCTCGTGTAGTACGTTTGGAAGACGCCGAAGGTGGAGATCATGCCCCACGTGTTGAAGACAACGAAGTGGCCCATGAAGGCTTGGGTCCATGCTTTGAGGCCGCCGTCGGGTGGTGGGCCAGGGTCGATAACGGAGGCGTTGGAGCGGGTTGTTAGGACCCGGGCAAGGTTACTGATGGATTTTCGTGGGGTTTGTGATGTGTGCGTTGGGAGGCGGGTTATTTCTTCTTCTCTTTTTGGTTCTGCTGATGATATGGAGCGGCTTTCGCTTCCCTCATGCTTTTCAACGTTCGGAGAGTTTTCGGCATCGTTGGATAAAGCTTTCTCGACGTCTAGGTCCGCATTTCTCTCGGTAGAAAAAGACATTACGAATTACGGCGTAGCATGCTATTTGGAAACGACTGAAGTGAAAATCGCAGTCTAAAGCAAAAGAGAAAAGGATGAATGAACAGTCGCGGTTAACAGCGAGCGGGGAAGATATCTGGGACCCACAACCCAACTCCGGCGCAAAATGCACCGCGATGCGCTAACGACTCATCACGGCATGGAAGATGATCTTTTTGGAGACCCGTCATTGGCGGTGAGCCGCAGAGCTGCGCCAGGAAAGGTTTTCCGTGGGAATTTTCCGGTCGTGGTTGGGGTAAGCTAACTGCTTTCAAGCGAAGCCGCTTATAAATGCGGCGAGAAAGCCGCGGACGTGGAAGGTGTCATGTGATCTGGTTGAAATGGCTTTAGAGTCGATCTTGACTTTAAGGATTGTCAGCGATAGACGATTTGTCAAGAAATGGCTTGGTGGTCGATGTATGTTGCATCAATGGACGAGTTCCGTATGCTCGATGGGTATTTTTATCGACGGATTTGGTTCCGCAAACTGCTGAGGAAACACAGCAAAGTGTCCAGAGAATCGATATACGCAAATCGCTGAGGAAGGTGCATTCGGCATACTTGTCAGTCCTCCTTCGCCTCTCTGCCCAACTTCGCCCTCCAGAACTTTCCTGCCATCCTCCTCTTCAAACTTCCCAATTGCACCCAATACGCCCACCAAAACAGCGCGATAATCATCGGGGCCGAAACAACAAAGTAGACCCAGAACAGCCTCTTCCCCGGAATGAAGTCTTCTGACATGCTTAACACGCTTGCGGTGAATGAGAGTGGAACGAACACTAGAGCGACGCTGGTTAAGCGGATAGTGAGATCGGCCTTGAGGACGGAGTGCTGCGCTTCGAGGAGGCTGAAGGCGCCCATTACGACAGGAAGGAGCGACTGGATCCGCTGCTGAGTTAAACGGAGGGAGATCAAGATCGCGTGAAAGTCCGTTGCTGCCAGCATATTCGCATCCCTCTCTTGCCTCTTCCTCGGATCTCTGCACGGATGTGGCACTTTTTCTTCACACTCTTCTTCATCCATGCCGATGATCCTTTCCATGACTCCCCCGTGTGGCAGTCCAAGGACTTCGATGTTCCACTTCATCTGCTCGAGATAGAAGTACACGCGCCGACGCCACGAGTTCACATCCGAGAGGAGAACACGAAGCGCCGACACTTCATTGTTTATGGACTCGGCGTGCGGATGCGCATCCATCTGCTCGAACTTAAGGAGACCCTTTTCGAGGTTGCTGACCACTGGGACGAGGTACTCTAACTGTAGGTTCCAGTGTGCAGCGACGATGCGATAGGCGAAAATCGGTGAATAGCTGGGGTCTTGTTCAGCGAGCTTGAGGTCAAGCGGCGAGGCTCCACACCAGTATCGGGCGATATCATCGAGCATGCTGCGATGTTGAGAAGGGTAGTCCGGCAACGAAACATCCTCTTGTGGTGGCGGCCAAGACGTAAAATCCAGATAGCCCTCTAGATATGGCGAGCTCTGGCATGATATACTAGTCCAGGCCATCTTCTTCCAGTTCCGGATGGTAAACCTGTCGCTCGCAGCTGGGTCGGCCAAAATAACCACATCCCATGGCTTATCGTTTCCCTGACTCGGCCTGCGCCAAACGCTTAGATTCCTCCGTACCAGCCCAGTGAATCGTCCAGAGTGGTGGTCCACAGTCGTAAGCAGCCTGGGTACATTGGTCATCGTCCGGATCTCGTAATCTTCTCTCCTTGGGGCTGTCCCGCTAAAAGCCCTGATCTCATGATACACGAACGTAGCGAAGTCGGTCTGATTCCTTAATGAGGTGAGGCGTCGCATCGGATGGTAACCGCTGAGGAAGTTTTGATTCCGATCCGGGTCGAAATTCAAGTATTCAACGAAGAATCGCGGGTCGATGTTGAATCGCAGACCAAAGGAAGAGATATAAGGCAGTGATATATCCTCAACGAGGTATAGTCGGCCTTTGCAGTCGGTTGAGGCAGCAGCGGTTGCAGACCAGTACGCTTCCAATTGCGCAACCTTGTTGAAATCCACATTGTCGACACCGTCGCCTCTAAACTCAAGTATCTTGATCCGAGTCGGATGTTGGGGTACTTCGGGAAGATCTCTGAGGAGCTTGAGGCTCGGATGTCGGTGGCTATGCTTTTGTACATAGCGGAGATATGGACTGTCGGCCCCGTTCCTGTCGGCCTCGGTTTTCATCCTGGTTCCATAGAGCGATGCATCGCATGTTCATAGGTCTGCCAGAGAATTAAGCTTGGTCGTCCACATGTTGTATAGATGTGGTTGTATGTTGGGTGAATTGCAGAGTATTGAGACATGAGTTGATTGATTGAGAATACGAGAAATATGGCTATATATATACATGACCAGGTCACGTGAAGTAGTAACCATATCCGGCAACACACCCCCCCAGCTTGAAGTGTATACAGAAAGCTGTCTGAGAAGGTAAGGCTTTTAACTATACCCAAAAAGGTAATCAATAATCGTCTCCTATAAATACACTTCTTAGTGCTGTAGTGTTCTATAAGGGCCACCCCTCTTGTAAGAGGACCCTGTAGGGTTAAAAGAGAAGTGCAGAAAGCAGAGAGATAAGAGATCTGTGCATAAGGCTGTGCCTATTCCTAATTAGGAAGTCTAATATAGGTTCTAGAGGTTAGGTTTAAATAGTAGAGCGTTTAAGTGTTTAAGTAATAGTGTAACACCTCTACACTACTAACTCTTATAGCTCCCCCGTAGGCAAAAAGAGATAGAGCAATGTTAAAGGCGTAAATTAAACTTAAGAGTAGAGAGTAAAAAAGAAAGAATACCTTATTTAACAGCTTTTAGGGTATTTTTGTAGTTGCCGCAGCCCTCTACAGCTTATAGCAACTTTATAGAGTAGTTTATTAAGTAGACGTTAACACGTTGCTACGTATTTTATTAAGACTAGGCTTGTTATAATAAACGTAGCCTATTAATTTTATAGTTAATCTAATAGATTATAATAAACGTAGCTAGTTAAGATATAATAGAATTGCGTATAAAACTAGTATATATATACGTTAAAATTATTAGAAAATAGTTAAATAAGTGTAGTAGACGCTTCTACAGTAGAGCTAGAAGTAAAATAAGGGCAAACAGTTACCTTAGAGGTCCTAAAATACTAGCGAATTAGGCATGTGTCGCTCTAGTTAGGTTTGCTATCTAATCTAGTACTAGCGTAAGAGGTTCTTAGGTAGCTTCTACTACTCTACTAAGAATAGCGGAAGCTTTAACTTGCTAGAAATATTCTTAAGCCCTAGCTATTAAATAAAATAGGCGTGTTTTTAAGGTAATAGAATCTTTGTAAGTCTATTAGCTAGCATTTAACCTATAGAAATCTATTTAACGTTAATTCTTTAGTTCTTAACTTTCTAGCAGAGCTATATTTAGTGTACGTTAACGTGTTTAAGCTTTGTCTAAAGCTTCTCTATAGCCTTAGTTACTATACCTACAGTCTACTAATTATTGCACTAAAGCTTTAGTTTAATATTAAGGTTTAGCTTTAGGTAGTAGAAAAGCAGGTTCTACTACTCTATTTTTAAAGCTGTCTTTAAAAGCGCTAGAAGCTCTGCCTTAGTTGTTAATTTAGTTACTATCTATTGTTTTGTAGCTTTCTAATCTACAGGTAATTTATATAGCTTAAAGATATAGTCTTTAGAGCTTGCTCTAGTATCTAGGTTGTTACTAAATAAAGTATCTAAGGCTCTATAGAAGATAGGCTCTTTAAAATCTACCTTCTAGAAGTGTTTCTTCTTCGCAGCGTATTGTAACGCTTTTAGCGTAAGGGTTTTTAACTCTATAAGGTATCGCTACACGTGTATAGCGGCGTAGAGATGTTATTAACCTAGGTTAATTAAGTGTTAAGCTAACACTAAGTAAGCTCTTAATATATCTAGACGTGTAAAGTAGAAAATATATACTAGTAAGCTAGCTAGCTACTAGAAAAGCTTTGTCTACTCTCTATTAGGTACCTCTATAGATTTCGCGAGGTTGTTCTCTCTTATAGGGAATTGTAAATACTTAGCACCTAGTTTTAGAAGCAGGTTAAACTTATTAGCAACCTTGTTAATAAAGGAATTCTAGATTAGCTAGGTTAACGCTACTTCTATGTCTCTTACAACTCGTATACCTAGAAACTAATTAAGTTAACCTATCTTTCTAATCTTATACTTTTTAAGCAGGTAGCGTTTAAACTCTACATAAACGTCTATATTATCTAGGTAGACAAGTATAACAATATTATTAACAAAGAAGAAGACTATAAGCTTGTTACTAGCCTATAGGCATAGTATAATGCTTATTTTAATAAGTTCTAACTCCTTAAGAGTCTCTGTAAGGTCCTTGTACTATAGTAGAGGTGCTTTCTTTAGCCTATACAGAGCTTAATACAGCTCTAAGAGCTCGCTAAACTAACTAGTAAAACCTTCTAGAGTGTAGTAGTAGAGCTTCTGTAGAAGCTTTACGTTTAGAAAGGTGTTTATAGCGTTGTACTAATACATTAGTAATCTAAAGGCGGTTGCTATAGCTACTAGAGCTTAAAAGGTTCTTGCTACTAAGGTAGCGGTATAGGTATCGCCCTATTATATTTAGAGGTCTTCTTAAACTACTAGACAAGCTTTGCACTTAAGTAGATATCTATCTTTATTAAATTTGTACAATAATACCTATATAAGTAGAAGGTACTCTACTATAGTTAACGCTAGCGTTACTAACGTCTTCTTAAAGCACTCTTTCTTAAAGTAGTTACTAAACTTCTTCTATACAGCCTCTTTAAACTTAGCTTTAAATATATAGCCTTTAATATTCTTATAACGCTTAGGTAGAGGTAGCATCTAATCGCGGTAGTGTTTTAACCTTATAGGCTCTCTGTTAACTCTTAGTTTATTAATGTAGCTTACTAAAGCTATAAATACGTAGTTATATAAGTTTATTAATAGTGTTAAGTTAAATATTTAAGCTTTCTTTTATACTTTAATTACGCTAGCTATATATTTAGGCCTTAGAGAAGAGCGTCTATAGCGTCTGCCCTGTATTATATTACTTAGGTCTTTAAAATTAAGGTTTTAACATAGTAGAGCATTATTCTAGTGCCTATCTAGCACATATTTAGAGTCTTCTATAGCTCTAAGAGGTCTTTGTAGCAATTTAGCTTAAATAGTAGATAAGCTTATCTTAGAGAGGTTAGTCTCTCTTAACGCGCCTCTTAAGCTCTTACTATATAGAGTAGAGTGTCTTAACAACGCTAGAGTAATTAAGTAACCTCTTAGAGACTTGTTACGCTTCTTAGCTTGTTATTACTTCTTCTAGATTTGTATTTCTAGGTCTTCTTTTACTAATTCTTTAGCTAGTATGTGTTGCTCTAGTGTTAACGTCTATTTATCTAAAGTTATATTAAATAGGCGTAATTAGCTCTATAGTAGTAGATCTTTAACCTCTACTATAAGCTCTTTATAAGAGATATTATACACCTTAATGTTAATTATATTAACTACTAGAGACTTTCTATATTTGCTACTATTATTCTTGTATAGCTTGTCGCGTATAAATAAGACGTCTTAAGTTTAGATAACCTTATTCTTTAAGAGTATCTAGATTCTAAAGATATTTAAGAAGTTCTATTCTAGTAGGTACCTAATATAAGTACGTACTTCTAGTTTATTAGCTTTCTTAAGGTTCTTTCTATAAACATACGCTTAATAGCTAATAGAAGCGTAATAAGCTACTAATAGTTTGTAACCTATTACTACCTTATATAGAGTTTTCTAGCTATTTAATTTAACTAGCGTAGTATTAAGAATCTAAATAGCTATAATAAATAGCTCTAAAGCTAGCTTCTTAGGTAATCTAGCTATAATTCTTATTACTTAGCTTTTTACAATTATCGCGTCTCTAGCTTTCTCTATACAACTATTCTACTTAGGCGTCTTAGGTAAGCTAGGCTTATATTTAATGCCTAATTTAATATAGATCTTAGCAAGCTCGTTGCTAAAACTCTTCTTATTATTAGTTCTAAGTATAATAACTAAGTACTTAAATTAACGCTATAGTTTAGTAATTATTCTACGTATAGCAGGTATTAATACTACTCTACTTTTCGCGGGTAACGTACGTTCTTTATGCTAGCCTAAGAGTTTATTAATTACGTAGAGTCCCTACTTATTCTTGTTAAAATAGGTTTCTCCTGTTAGTAGTAGTTAAACTAAATCTATCTCTATTTAGTAGAAGAAACGCTTTATAGGCGTTAATCTAGGTCTCTAGAAGACTTAATAATTTATTTTTAACTGTATATAGGTGTTATAGTCCTTCTAGTTAACTAGAGGTATATTCTTCTTAAGCTTAAAGCTAGTAACAGCTTCTTCTAGGTGCGTAATAGCTTTCTTATTTAGGTGTGCCTATAGTTAATAGGCCTTAGCTCTAGTAGTAATTATTACTAGTTATAGATCTTTTAATAGTTAATATACTATTATAAATATAGTAAATATTTTCTATAAATTAGAGTAGCTATTTTTGTCTACGTTAAGTAGCTAGTGCCTCTATTTATACTCTAAGTTATAGACTATATTACTAGGCTCGTCCTTATATAGGACGTCTCTGCTAGAGTTAAAGTAGATTCTAATATCTTAAGAGCGCGCAAGCCCTATAACGTTTGTAAAGAAGCCCTCTACTAACGCTACATAGGTAAGGCGTATTAGAGTTAGTCCTAATAGAGTATTAGTCTAAAGAATTACCTCTCTCTAAGCTTTAACTCTTATAGCTTGCCCTCTAGCGTATACAATAACGTTTAAGTTAGCTTCTACTATCTTTTTCTAGCCCTAATTCTCTAAGTTATAGATATAAATATTAGAGCTAGAGTTACAGATCTACCTATTAATAAGGTGTAGAGCTGTTAGGACCGCCTTCTAGGTTTCTAAAACCTTAGCTATTATACTAAAGGAGCAGAATATAGAGTTAGTAGAAGAGATGCTGCTTATTAGCTTGTTATTGTTAAAGCTTAGTAGAGTAGTACTTGCTTTTAGCGTAGGTTTGTTTTACTATTTAGAGGTTCCCTAATTAGCAGCTTGTTTAAACTTCTTAGTCTACTTCTTTTCCTTCTTTTTCTTATCGAACTTAGCCTAAATTTCTGCGTTAGGCTTCTAGCCTGTTAGGCGGATCTTTAGGTTAACGTAAAAGCACTAGCTAAACTAGTAACAACGCCTGCAGAAGCACTCTAGTATCTCTCCTTAAAACTTACTACGTCTCTAGCTCTAGTTCTATTATTATAATGCCGCACCTAGTGTTATATACGTCTCTAGGCTAGCTATAACAGGTTTAGTAGCTCTCTATAGCTATCTAAATTCTACTACTAGGTCTAGCACTATAGAAGCTTAATTTTCTAGCTAGGTAAATAGCTGCGTAATCCTAAGCGTAGAGTACGCTTTATTAATTAGTTAAAGAGCTTTAAGCAGCTCTCTCTAGGCTTATATACTCTATACGTCTAGCATGTTAAGTTTAGCTATATAGTTAGTAATCTAAATCTATTTATTAAGCTAGTTATCTAGTTTGTTACCCCTCTAGGTCTTCTAGACTTTCTTATATTATTCTAGTAGTATGTCTTAACGTAACGCGTTAGTTATTATAACCTGTTTCTTTAAGCTTACTAACTTTTTATAGGCTGTGTTCTTGTCTATAATATATAGTATAAGGTAGGTATTAATTATTATAGTAATGTACACTAATACTTCTCTTAGACCTTTCTATACAAGGAGGTACTTCTTAAGATTCTTCTTATACCTTTCTTTCTAGTTCTAGTACTCTAACTTTTTGTTAGCGTTAAGGTCCCCTATCTTTATAGCTTCTTACTTAATTGTTAACAGCGTTAGGCGTTTAGGCTTCTTCTAAATTCTCTTACGTTCTGTCTCTTTTAGATCTAGGTTATAGTAGGCCTAAACTCTATATTATATAGCCTTTTCCTTTACAAGAAACTTCTAGTAAGGCTAATTCTATAGTACACTAAGTATTTTAACGGCTTTTATAACGTTAGTAACAGTAATAGTGTTCTCTATCGTAGAAATTATAGTACGTAGAGCTAATTTAATCGTGTATAGCGTATTTCTAGAGCAACTCTAGAATCTATTAGTAACAACAAGGTGTATAAGTTAGTAACTCTATTGTCTAATTGTATTAAATAAACTTAGCAGGTTTAATTTATAGTAGTAGGCAAATCTAGGCTTATAACTATTAGGTAAATTACAGAGTATTAAGATATAAGTTAATTAATTAAGAATATAAGAAATATAGCTATATATATACATAACTAGGTTACGTAAAGTAGTAACTATATCTAGCAATATTATAGTACTAAATTAAGATTAGATAACGCATTAAACTTCTCCCTGTATTCGTCGACTAATAGTAGATAGAGAAACATCTTAGTTCTAAAAGTAGAAAAATAAAGTATATACCTCCTAGAGGTTCTAATCTATCTAATTACTATTATCTTATAATAAAGTAGTTTATTAGAGAGTAGGCGCGCTGTAGAATCGGCTCGCGTACACGCGCACCTGTTATACTAGGTTTCTCTACCTAGCGCACGTCTCTACCTAGCGTACAGTTTCTAGAAAATCTTACTCCCTCTAACTCTATAACTAATAGAGCTATACTAATAAAACTTAGAATATAAGTTTTATATAGTATAAAATTTAATATTATAAAATAAAATTTTAAAAAAACTTACTAGTTATAGTTTTATTAGTATTATAACTTTTTAGTACTTTTTTAATATTCTTTAAATAACTTAAGAATAAATAGTTAAATCTACTTTTAAAATTAGTTTTTTTAAGTTTATAGTTTATAGTTAGTATAATATACTTTATTATTAAACTTTTTATATTATTAAACCTTCTATAATTTCTTAGTAAGAAAAATTAATAAGAATCTATAAGTTTTTCTTAAATAACTAAGTAAAACCTTAATATTTTTCTATAAAAATTTATATATATATTTTTTATAGTATATTATATCTTATATTAAAGTTATACTAAGATATATTATATAATTAAAAAGCTATATATATTTAACTAACTTTAAAAAAAAATCTAGTTTACTTCTAGTAAATACTATTATATCTCTATAATAATCTATAAAACTTATAGTATATAGTATTTATAACTTAATAAAGGTTTCTAAAAAACTTCTATAGCGCTAGCTCTTCTAGGTATAGCGTAATAGAAGATAGAAGTTTAAAAAAAAATTTTTTAGAGCTTTTTTCTTCTAACTATATATATATATATATATATATATAGTTAATCTAGCTCTATAAACTTATTATTTTATATATTATAGTTAGTTTTAACTATATAGAGCTTATTAACTAATAATATAGTAGCTTTAAGTAGTAATTTAAAAGTAAAGTCTTTTTAGTAGTATAGTATAGAAAGATAGAAAGATACTAAAACTATTTTAAAATTATTACTTCTAAATATATTGAAGGCTTATAGTATATATAATCTTATAATATATAACTTTATATAGCTAGATTATTAATATATATATAGAGTTAGAAAAGAAAACTCTAGAAAGACTTTTTATAAATTTCTATCTCTTATTACGCTATACCTAGAAGAGCTAGCGCTATAGAAGTTTTTTAGAAACCTTTATTAAGTTATAAATACTATATACTATAAGTTTTATAGATTATTATAGAGATATAATAGTATTTACTAGAAGTAAACTAGATTTTTTTTTAAAGTTAGTTAAATATATATAGCTTTTTAATTATATAATATATCTTAGTATAACTTTAATATAAGATATAATATACTATAAAAAATATATATATAAATTTTTATAGAAAAATATTAAGGTTTTACTTAGTTATTTAAGAAAAACTTATAGATTCTTATTAATTTTTCTTACTAAGAAATTATAGAAGGTTTAATAATATAAAAAGTTTAATAATAAAGTATATTATACTAACTATAAACTATAAACTTAAAAAAACTAATTTTAAAAGTAGATTTAACTATTTATTCTTAAGTTATTTAAAGAATATTAAAAAAGTACTAAAAAGTTATAATACTAATAAAACTATAACTAGTAAGTTTTTTTAAAATTTTATTTTATAATATTAAATTTTATACTATATAAAACTTATATTCTAAGTTTTATTAGTATAGCTCTATTAGTTATAGAGTTAGGGGGGGTAAGATTTTCTAGAAACTGTGCGCCAGGTGGGGACGTGCGCCAGGTGGGGAAACCCAGTAATCACTTATCGCAGTCGTGAAGCGTGCGAAATAAATTCAGGGGACGTGAGGGAACCACCACCAAGATTGTCGCATTGAGCGTGCGCCAACTCGCTATAAGCGAGGTGGCCTGAATGCCGGACCAATTGGGTAGGGAGTAATTATGGAGTACTAAGCCAGCCCCTGCGTGATTATGCCACGTCTTTTATCGGGAAGAGCTGAAAATTGTAAAAAGCTTTCTCGCCCATATCATCCATACCGCAGATCCTTCGAAACCCTCGAGCCCGTGAGCAGCATGGCTATTATCGAAGCCATCGTGTTTCTTTTGGTGGATATCTTCGCGATCCTCGGTGTCGTCGTACTTTGCGGTTGCCTTGATATCAAGGAGGCATTGGAAACCCTAGGCTTCGCTGTCTTAGGATCGCTTCTCGTTCTCCTCGCTCCTCTCGGCTACCTCGCATACTTCATTCTTAGGGTTGCTGCCTCATCTATCTCTTTTTGTCTGATTCTTTTCATCTTTTTTTGTATTCTCATACTGTGCGCAGTATACCATAGCATTGCCCGCATTGTACAGTCGGTCTTTAGCCTCAAGAACTATGCACCGGTTGTTCTCCGGACTCCTCGATATCGCAGAACACATGGCGCGTCTTCGATCCCAGTTCCGCAAGTCATGGGCCATGGCGAGCGTGAGCCTCTGTTACCGACAAGTGATACGACTCAGAGGTGCTTGACTGGATGCCAACGTGAACTCGGGAGCTGTCTCTGTGCGGTTTGTGACACGATGATAGATGCATCGTCTCTTCTCGTTGGCACGGGCTGGATTTGGACTCGACTCGTCGAAGAGCATCCCCATCACTCGTCCATCGAGGATCTCTGGCAGTCATCCACGCATTGCGCTCTGTGTCAGCTCCTGGTCCGGTCCTTACAAGTTCAGCACTCGCGAGCGCAATGCAATGTACTCGATAATCCTATTCTTCCGAGCTATGTGGTTAAAGTCCGGGAAATAGCAGAGCCTCCTGGGGGCTCCTCTCTCAAGATCCAGCTCGTTGTTGATGGCATGGAAATGCGCTCGCTCGTGGTCAGTCAGAGCAGTAAGAGACTCCCTCTGGGCTTATACCCGCTCATGGATCCTGATTGAGGCCCACTGGGCTGCTAACAAGTTTCTATAGCGAAAGCAGGCCTTCAGCATGTATGTGACATCGAGCCTTCGACAGCTTCACCGGCCATCCTCAACTGGGCTCGAGACCAGATCAACATCTGCCAGAAGAGCCACGAGCGCTGCCACATACCGTGGATAGCAAACGGGGGTATAATACAGATCTCTCAATTCCTTCCCAGACGGCTGATCGACGTCGGGCAAGAGAATGATGCAACCGTAAAGCTGATAAGTCAATCGGAGCTCGCTTCAGACTCGCCAAAATATCTCGCGCTCAGCTATTGTTGGGCCGGTCTCGCTGGGATTCGACTGTGCAAATCCAACTTTGAAACGCTAGTTGAGCCTTCGCGGGTCGATGTCTGGGACAAGACGTACCGTGATGCGATAGCGATCACACGTGTGCTCGGAATGCGATATCTTTGGGTTGACGCTCTCTGCATCATGCAGCCAGAGGACGGAGACGATGGCGCTGGTCTGGCAGACTGGAGAGAACAAGCTCCGGAGATGGGTCGAATCTATGCTCATGCAGCGTGCGTCCTCTCGGCCACGGCGGCAAAGAACACGACTGACGGTTGCATCTTAACAAAGATGCCCCTTGGAGGAAGCTGCCATCTCCGCGAAGACGGAGTCACGTCCCTTGACGTCAATCTCGCCAGAGCAAAGGACACAATCGTCACCGACTTGTTCCGTGAGAAAGTAGACAAGGCACGATTGTCTACCCGTGGCTGGGCATTTCGGGAGCGTGTTCTCGCTACGCGCATACTGCACTTCTGCGACGGCGTCGTGCTGTTCGAATGCAGCGAGATGCAGGCATCCAGCAGCCACCACATCAGCCAGCCGTACCCCCAAAGACAATGGCTACAGAATCGCGTTGGCATATTAAGCCGAGCCTCAGCTATGTTGGATCCAGTAGCTAAAACAATCTTCGTGCCCATGCCGAAATGGCAAAGGCCCGGCGACTACCTTTGGGATCTATATCGCGAGACTGCTGGCCTACTCGGAACAATTAAAGATACCCGGAAAGGCTACGTTACTTTTGATCCTAGGGACAACTTGGAATGGAGCCTAGGCACTAGTCAACCCAAGACTAGAGCGGAAACCAGAGCCGGTCTTCGTGCCGCCTTCATCACTCTCGTGCAGTCCGAAGACTACGAGTTTGATAGTTCTTTGTTGTTTCATCACTGCTGGTTTTGACCTAGTTGGTGAATACTTTGCTCGCGATCTTACAAAGCCCACTGACAAGATCATGGCCATTGCGGGTCTTGCGCAATACCTCCCATTTCGCTTCGAAGCCGGTATTCTGTTCGACAGATACCACTTGTTGTCGGCCCTGACCTTGCTCTGGGTACGGTCAGGTTCTCAGCAGGAGCTACAAGGCATAACCATTCCTCCGCGGCCGAAACGGCCTGTGCCGACCTGGTCGTGGGCTTCGATCGACGGCCGCATTTCTCACAAATTAATGCAGCCTTCCGCCTCTTGGAGCCTCCACCACGGGAAGAGAGTATGTAGAATTGACTGCACGAAAGATAGCCCGACAAAATTGCTGCTCAAGCTTCGGTCACCTACTTTTGCCTTTGACAAATCTAAGGTTCACTTCATACCCGATATTCAACTCAAACCAGGGAGCACTCAGAACCTGCAGTGTGTACCGATTCTCTACTACGAGGCGTCGAACAAAAAGAAGCCGAAAGTGATAATACATGGCATTGTCGTGAAGAAGGCGAATATAGCAGAGCTGGAAATAGGGATGGAGATGGAGATGGAGGAAGAACCGAGTCAAGAGTTGGAGAGGGTGGGCTATTTTTGGTTGACAACTAAGGACATGAGCTGGAAGCCCGAGCATTCATTTGGTCGGACAAGCCTTCCAACGCTAGTTATTGTATAGGCAATCGTCGGATTGTCCAGCGAGGACACTGAAAAGACGGATGCGAACCAAGGTTGAAAAGTAGAGTGGCCGAATTTCGGAGGGGCGTCGGTTCCATTATGGCCCCTGATAACTTGACTATTTTGCCTAAACGACCTCAATATCTGTCACCGTCCATAGCCCACATGTATCTCCCTCTCGGGCATCGCTCTTTAGCTCATGGATAGTTGGAGATCTCATGAGCCCTGGAATGTACGCGGTACAGATATGCCGGTAACCCCCAAGATGCGGCCTCAAAATTACGGGGACCGGGCAACCCAGCGTGATCCAAATCTCGTCTCCTTCCGACACAATACAGGCGGGAACCAAACCAACCTCCTGCGTCTCAGTCAGAATGACCATTCTCTCATCAAGGCTCCAGAGCATTCGGCGTATTGCTCCTTTTGTGGCATCATCAAGGCCTCCTGACGGGTCCAGCATGTGTTCTCCGAAACTTCCCAGCTCTCGATCTGCATGTTGCACATTTTCGGAAAGGTTACGGAAAGCTAAAAGTCCCGCAACGGTAGCATCGTAGCTCGGGCGCTCGTCGGAGGTGTAGCCGGAGCTAAGCACATCGTACATAGCTCTGGGTAGTTCTGCCATTCTTGGACCCGCAATATCTTGGATGAACAGCCCGATCGAAGACTCCCAGAACTGCTTCGACGAGATCAAGCCGGTTGAGCCGGCGTTCACGCACCTCCGCACGCTGTCAATCTTCATACCCCGGAGCCGGAGACACCTCCTATCCGCGGACAAAGAGTCTGGAGGGCATTTCGTATCCATCATGCTGGGAAAACGATACTGCATTTTTCGGCCAGTCTCCTCGCGCCCCGACAACCACTGTGGGAGCCAAGTCGGGCTATCATTGTCGAAACTGTCATCTCGCGCTGAATGCCTGTAGCACAGGAAATCCATTGTTTGATGCCGTGTCATATGGTGGTCTAATGCATCGATACTAACGTCAATAACTGTCTTTGTATAGTCCGGGATAATGTTCCCTTGTTGGTAATCCTTTGCAAGGTGCATGATGCCATATACACGATCCCGCTCGTCGGTAACGTTGAGGTATTTGCAGCTGTTGAGAAGAGAAAGCAAGATAATAGTTTCGTTGATCTTGTATACTGCGATATGCGCGGCAGGCGCGCTGTTTGCAATGAGCCGACTCAATTGAGCCCTCCATGGGATACTTGTGGCCGAAGTTGAGTGTTGCGTTAGGAGCAAACGGCGTACGCAGGCTTCCTGGAAGCTAAGGAGAGACTGGTGCGAAATGACGACAGTCATGCAGTGTAGTTGTATCTGGCGTGCATTGACGACCTCCTGTTGGATCCATATGCGGTTCCACTGCCCAAGGTGACGGTACAGTTAGCACGCGTTCAGAATATATAGGAGTGAACACTACTAGCTGAATGATTCAGACATTTTAGCGTAAAGCCGTGCGAAAGGAGTAACGTCTTACTTACTATTTGTAGTTAGTATATATTCTTCTTAATTGTTTGTACCGCCACCTTACCATATGAGTTGCTGAATATGGGGATCACGGGGTCCCAGAAAGCAGGGTCCGGACCCATACCTTCAACTGGGTCGTCACTGGCTTTGTCGTAGTTCTGTAGCGCTATAACGGCATCGTCTGACGCATCGATTGTAGGGCCGTAGATCCATATTCTCACGAGATTTGCTCGCTGGTAAACTTGCCGCATCATTGCAACCTGCTCAGCGCGCTCAGAGTAGTCTTGCTGGTTGATGCATATGGCGTCGATCCATATCGTGAGGGCTTCCTTGACATGTCGCAGGTGGTAGAGAGCATTCGCTAGGTTTTCCGCTACGGGAAGTGCTTTACCAGACAGGATGATGCTGTCTTTGGGAGTCGGGTCACCCCACATGTACGACAGGCAGTCATAGTTGACGGCGTTATCATCTATCGGGGTGGTAATGAGATAGCCATAGAGGGGATCTGATGGTCTGCCGGGTAGGAGCTGAAGTATGCGAATTGATCTAGACCCAAGTGGTTCGTATTCGAAGTTTGGACATTGTATTTGGCAAGTCCGCATGGTTTGTTGAGTAGGTGGGTAGCAGGTGGTAAGGGAAAGGAGGATCTAGGGAGCCCCTAGAGCAGACGGTGATCGTTAGCAAAAACCATCATGCTCGTGTTGCTGCCTCCAGGGCTGATTGCCGGCTGTGCTGCGCGCTATGCTGAAAGAGGCTAGACCCGAGGCTATGAGGTGCCGTTCACCAGCCCCAATGACTCCAGCACCCCGGATGCAATGACTCAGATAACGATGACTCTTATCGGCCGAGCGCCTGAGATATGAACGTTTGGAGATAAAGAGGACCGATCCACAGTATCGCAGGCCACAGACCACGGACCAGTGCATTCCCTCCCGCAAAGTCGCAGAGACCATTGACAAGCAATCACCCCGGCGACCCCAGTCATGGCAATCCTACTTCCATACACCCTCCAGACGTATGTCGGAATGATCCAGAATGGTGGATCTCCAAAATACCGAAGACTACCTCGCAAAGGCGCACACCTCGCCGACCCGGGGTGCGAGAAACTATCGAAGGCGCTTCCGCCGTCATACCTGCGTGGGGAGCTCGAGAAGTACAATCAAATAGAGACTGTGATGGAGGAAGCAATCAAGCACGTACGGAGGCGGAGCAAATTACAGTCGGTGTTCCCTGCAATCTATCGCGACGAAACTGTGAAGCGATACGCAGCAAATCTGAGTGCATGCAAATCGGATGTGAGCAAGGAAGATCTGAAGAACTATATCCGAGTACGGACGCGATTCGACCTCGAACAAGCGGCGGCGGTGGTTGTTTCGGCGTTCGTGAAATATGGATATGTGGATGGCGCAGTGCGACTAGTCAGAGAGCTGGGAGGAGTTCTGGCTGCAAGCTGTATGTGGGTCGAGCCAAACGTCCCTTTACCGACGCAGCAGGCTGTCTTCAACTGCCCGGAAAGCCTAGCGAGAAAGCTGCAGCTCTCAGCAGCGAAGACGGGAATGGAGATCCCGCTGGCGGCGAACTATCGGGAGCTCGTGCCGTTGCTAATGCGCGTTCGACGATGCAAGCCGGATACCAGATGTCTGAATATCCCTCAGTGGATGTTCGAGGAAGCCGGCCTTGAGCCACCAGCACACTTCAAGGCGGCCTTCTGTAGAGGAAACGGCGCAACGAATCCGGTGGCTCCAAGCGAAGCGAATTCGATCATCCTCTCTCGAAAGCACTTCCGATGCGATCAGCGGCAAATATACCGTCTGTTCCGGTACTGGAAGCCGGACATCAGGCTTCGGAAGAGCATCAAGAAGCTCGAAAACAAGGTGCTGCATGGGGGCTCCTGGATCCAACAGCGCGCGCTCGATACAGACGATGTGGCTCTGATCTGTTATTACTTCTTCCACTTTCAGCGACGGCTACAGAGGAAGGTAGTAAGCGATATCACCGGTTGCAGCTTCCTGGGCAAGGGTGAAGGAGCTCAGCTGTACCAGAACAACCTCGCCATAAAGTCCACCTTCGAGAAAGTCTTGCTCGACATTGCAGAATCCAACGGCGAAGGGGTCATCGTTGCCATGGGCGATGAGGACACGCTCGCTCTCATTGACGAGACATGCCTGCTGATGAAAGAATACGTCGACATCTATGGCGGAGGAAGCACCGAAAAGCTGTCGTTTAAGAAGGGTGAGGCGGGAGGCCGGGGTCGAGGACCGGTGGATGAGTATAACCTGCTATGTGATGTGCTGGCCCACTTGCGACAGCAGGCCGGAGATGAGGGTATTTTGGATGTTCCTGGGCCTACGAGAAAGTTCTTAGCGAAGGACATCATGCATTGGAACAATGCTTGGGATGACGACGCGTTCGCTGGAGGAAGGAGGGCTGGATGGGAGGACTGGCTCCAACAGCGTGCGCTTATCGAGGATGAGGGCTGGGATGTTGTGGTGAGACAATCATCATCGACGAAGGGTGCATAAAGTCTTTGGGAGACCTCAGGACCCTTCTGTAGCCTCTGCCAGGAGATACCGTGGTGGTTCGTGCCCAGGCCTCGGCTGATCAAGGATTTCATTCGCTCCTAGTCCTAAGATAGAATAGCACACAAATTTCTACGTACGACTTCACTCCTTCACGATTCACATCAACTTTCGTATCTTTTCCGTTCCGGAATTCTAAGATATTTTTTTCATCTCTAACGCCCAGAGATCCGCACCGGCTCGGTCCGCGAAGGACATGGACTTCGGTACGATCATACTACTACACGATCTCGGCATTGCTTCTCGCCTGCCCCTGAGTTTGTGGCTTGCGCTTACATCGCTCTCCTGATTTATGCGCGCACCCTCTTGAGACAGCAGTATATGCTGCTCAGCTTCTTCGGTACCTGTCGTTGTGGACAGTTATGGATCAGACCACATTAGCACCGCCATGCGGAAGGGCCACACTTCTATTCGAGCAAGCAAAACTCTCGGCGCTGCGGACTATCGGGTCATATCACACCAGCTACAAGCGCGCGATATGGTTTTGGGCGTTGTTAGATGGATCACCTGCCGGATTGAAGGTTGGCCTCTGTTCTCCCCTCAGACTACCCCCTCCATTGCCACCATAGTATCCACACCTATTCACTGCCTCAAATACTTTGAGTTTGATTATCAATACTTCTTACACATACGTTGTCGAACGACTCAAGCTCAGCTTCCCGACGGATGGCCTCACCGAAAGCAGAATTCTCTGACGAATCGCAGTCCACAGCCTATAATCTAGCATCAGAAAAGCTTGAGGACCTAAAAAAGCGTAGGGAGAGAGAAGAAGAAGAGCGTAAGTGCAAGGAAGAACTGGAGCGAAAGAAGCAATTAGAGAAAGAGCGAATAAGATATGAGAAAGCACATCAAGAGCTCGAGGACTTAAAATTGCGTAGGGATCAAGAAGAAAAGGAGCTTAAGTACAAAGACGAACAGGAGCGCAAGAAGCGATTAGATATTGAGCGAGAAAGATATAAGAAAGCACAACAAGAGCTTAAGGCGGTAGATGCGCAAGCGAGGAGAAGACTAGAAAAAGAGAAGCTGGCAGGGCAGGTACTAGAAGATCGAGAGCACCTAGGGCAAGGACAACAGGATGCAGCCGACTACGCGCAAGGAGTACTAGAGCGAGAAGAGCAGGAGCGCCAACGTCAAGCAGCGCAAGCACAAGAAGAGTACGCGCGAAGGGGATGGGACCGCATAGCAGACCGAACAAGGATAGAGTTTGAGGATGCAGAATACCAGAGACTGAAGCATGAGCACGTACATGGTGGGCCAAGAGAGCCGAGACAGAGGGCACATAGGCACATTCAAGTTCACAGGCTCTCAGGGAGTCAAGAGCGTACAGCGCATAAATCATCGGAGCATGAGCGAAAGAGACAACTACCAAGGGACGATGAGCAAACAGGGCACGGAGACGAAGCTAGTGAGAATTGGGCGTATGAACACAGAGTTGGCGGCAGTCCCCCACGCCGGCCACGCACGCCTCCTCCAGCCCGCCCGCCTTCTCCCCCGCCACCTGGTGCCATCTGGATCCAACTTCCTCAGAATCCTGACCCTCATCACGGATCTAGGAAAATATACCCCCGTGTGGTCCTAGTCCGACAGCTACTAGAGTTCTTCTATCAAAACGGACATGGGCGGAATGTCATGCGCCGCAATGCGGCACGAAACAGATTCCTCCGCTCGTTCCAAGTCTCTGACGTTGATGTAAGGTGGGATGGAGCAGGTGGAGGGGGCGGTGGAGAGGATGGCAGACATTATGGTGGGTATGGGCCACGGGGAAGAGGCGCCTCTGGTTCTTCTGGTGGATGTAACTGTTGCGGAAATTGTAACTGTGCGCAGGATTGCTATTGCAAAGAAGGCTATCGCAAAAGAGGAAGAATCGGAGAAATTATCATCATAGAAAGAAGCGAGAGTGTCGCTAAAACTGAGCTCCCACATGTCAGGAGGAGACGAAGTTCGCGTACAAATTTTCAACCCTCACGAAGCAAACACGACGAGTCACCCTGGACGACGGACCACGCAGATGACAGGGGAAGACATGGCGACCGGGGATATGACCACGCCTATAAGTCTCCTGTTACTTCACCATCCAGCAAACATAAAACTCTATGGGGTGGGAAACCAGGCGGGTAAGCACGCACAATTAGGCTGGTATGCGCCAATGCTAGGGAAACTGACGCAATCAGTGTATGGTTCTTTTTGATGCGCGACGGCCACATCTGTACGAATCATCGCCCTTCAAGCTACAAAGAAGGTCATTGGAATAAGTACCTCCGCGATATGCTCCAGAACGAATACGATTCACTCCGGACAAGGTGGAGATGGAGATATCGGCCTTTTCGAGAGATCGCATTTGCCTACTTCCACTTGGTAAGTGCCGCGCTTCCCTTTCCAGACATCTATGCGTGGAATATGAGACTAAGGACTTAAGTGGGAATGCATCAATCTCGCACACGATATCTGGGAACTCACTGATTCGGCTCCGATAGTGGGGTCGTCAAAATCGAGCATCTCGGCAAAGCCGCTTACGAACCATTTCCGATACTTGATGCGACATCCCCCTGAAGACAGACGGTGGACTATTGAATTGGACGATAAGATTAAAGCCGGGCGTGGAAATGGAATGGACTTTGTAGTCATGGTAGAGATTATTGAGGGGCTGAACACCCGGTAAGTTGCACACACAGGACGCATCCTATGCTCTCTAGCTCATTGAGATCATAGTTTCATCTACATCCTCACAGCTGTTAACGTCCTCTGCGGCATCATCATCGGTGTTGTCTACAGTGTCGTAAAGAAGAAGGTCGGCGACGCCTTTACCATCGCAGGCTATTGGATCAGCGCGGCTTCTTTCATCATCGTTGTTGTGGCTACTGGCGAGTGGTTTGGCATGGAGTCGCCGGACTGTTTCAGTGAGACTGATATGGCGGATATGGATAGAGTGGTTGGGAGATTGCTTTTCGACGAGGAAGAGCATAAGAGCCACCACGAGGAGCCGGAAGATATAGTATGAAGAGTGGTGCTGAAGATGAAGCTCTAATCTCTTCTATAACGGGGTTGGCTCAACTTTGATGCGATCACATCCTTCAACATCCTTTTTCCTCTTCAACACTTCGATACGAGCATATACGAAATGGCTCTCCATTTGGGAAATCTACCTGTTAGCTATCAGCACTTATTCCCACCTCTTCGCGAGGTCTGGATAGCAGGACTAATTATACACAAGCCTGGGTTGACGGAGGATGAATGCTGTGATATGGTGATAAGATAGATTGGATTCTAGAAAGCATATGAAGTTAATCGAGTAAAGGATGAAGGAGCGGCTCAGAAGATTGCACATCAACGCAGCCTTCTATGTGAGGAGATTTGTGTTGGCAGGCGTGGGGATAGGCCCAGGCCGTACCTAGTTAACTTGTTTCGAGCTATTCCTAGATTAGAATAGCGCGATTAACCCCGCTTGTAACTGCAGCCCACCTAGCGGCTCTGGAGAATTCGGCACTTTCAATGTGCACCTACTCACTATCATAGAGATATCAATAGTGCTATACTTGTTGCCATGGGTGAGACATCTTGGGCCCAGCAGGCCGTCGACCACTTTTTTGAGGGGCGCAAATACCCTACCCAGATCCAGTGCGACCAAATTGCGCGATCCGTCTCGAATGCTTCGGACGTCTACAATGTCGACACGCCAGGCTCGATGAGCTACACTGTCGTCTGCACAGGTCGTCAGGTAGCGAATCCGGCCCTTGTTGTATCTTTCCGAGAGCCAGAAGCCCACCTCGACCAGAGCATGGGGAAGTTAGCACAGGAGATCCACGGCTCCTTGGTGCCTGAGGTATCACAACACGGCATGGTAGATCGTGCAGATCCCCCCCTAGCCATCTATACCATGCCGTACTTGCCAGGAATCTCGTGCCTCAATGCTCTTACCTGCCAGGTTGAGATGGATGAGGTAACGGAGGCCAGACATGTTTGCTTTGTTCGGCACCTTGCCAGGTAGGTTCGACACGCTGCCTGCTGTTCAAGTGTGGGTCGACACACCTGCCATGTTGCTCATACCTGTTAGGTACTTTGCTCGATGCTGGTCAAAGCCGCAGTATGTGACAACAGAAGCGCGAGCAGAGAGTCTGGAGAGAATTCAACGCAGACTCGCTTTACTAATTGGGTCATCATCTGTTCTTGGTACCTCAGCAGTGTCGGAGTTGGATCACAGCCTCCCTACACTCTTCGCATGGGAATATCCACAAGTTCTCACGCATGGCGACTTCTCCAGAACCAATATTTTAGTTGACGAGGACACCTACGAAATCACGGGAATCATCGACTGGTCTCTTGCGGCGATACTGCCGTTCGGTATGGAGCTGGACTGCCTGTTCTTGACGACGGGGTACATGGACCGCGGTGGCTGGCACGACTACGCCTGTCGCTCGCGACTGCATGAAGTTTTCTGGGATGAGTTCTGGTCTGCTTCTGGAGTTGGAGATGATAGGCGGCGAGATGAAGTTCGCGACATGGCTGAGCGGGCGGCTAAGATTGGTGCTATTCTGCGCTACGCTTTCCAGCGCAACGCGGATGGTTCGCCCTCTGAGACGTTGGCATCTGATGGAGCTTTGACATGGAGGTATCTACAGGCATGGCTTGCCACTTAGCTCCCCGGATCGATGGAGAAGGCGAACGCTTCTTGGGCTCAAAATGCACTATGGTTAGTGTAAAATATATATATTACGAACGACATCGCTACGGGCAATGCCGAAGCCATGCACCCCCAACGAAAGGGATCAAGGACCTAACTGGAACTTCCGGATCCATCAGAACGGTACCGGCAGCCGAAGGTCTCACAATATTTGCATACGACAAATACCACCTACGTTATCCAAGCGATACGGCACAGCAACATGTTGCGTTATGAGTAGCATCCAATCAATCAATCACATATCCACCCCCAAGTTCTAATATCTTCAAGCAATGTGGCACAGCAATACGCTGTGTCACACTTCAATCTGATCAACCACATCGATTACTCCGAGTTATAGCCTGCATCGCATCCACATCACCACTAGTACAATTTGCCATGCTAGCTGAATCGTGTTGCATCGGGGCCGCCATTCTTGGTTGGAACCCTGTATATCTATCCGATGTGGTTATTACGCCAAAGTTGTGAGTGGTTCGAGTAAAACAAGGAGCCTTAAGTGCGGGGTAGGCAGGAATGGGGCCGGCGGTTAGAGCTGGAGCTGGAGCCTAAGCAGGTGACGGAGCTGGATGTGGGTGTAAAGCGCTTGGAAACACTGTTATCTATCGAGACGTAGCAAGGTGTTCTACACCAACTCCAACGCCATCTGCGCTACTACATTTGACGCCGTCTCACCGGATGGAAAGGTCCTTAAGGAAGCAAGACGCCCATCTCTAGGCCTTTCCTTGCTCAGCTTCCTCCGCATCGTCTCGTCGCTGCCCACTCACTCTTTATCATATACTGCTCTTGATTCGTTGCTCATCATCATGGCCACTGCCAACGTTCTCCCTGCCATTGCTGGGCTCCAGCGCCCTCCAACCAGCCGAGACCTAGAACTCTCACGGGCTGTGTATGTCTTCCGCTTCTCAGCTTGTGCTGAGATGGTCACTAATATCTAAGTCTTTTAGGTATAATAGCCTTCCTCATCTTGAAGAGCAGCCGGAAATCTCCAACGCCGCGCTCAAAGCCCTATGCGAACTTTTCGTCCATAACGGCGTCCAGGACGTCTTTGGCACCAGACCCGACTTCTTTCAGGAGTTCGCCAGCTTCTTGCACCACAACAACCTAGCCGACTTGGTTGCTCTACAATTGCTAGATAGCCCCCAGAATAGCACTAGGATGGAGCTCTTGATCGGTCCACAGGCCACTCTGATGGTAGACGAGAAGGACCTCATCGGGTTTGAACCGCCCCGTATCACCACTGGTTGGTCTTTGTCTTTTCAGGTGGGAGACGATGGGATCATTTCTTGCAAGGGTAACGATGTCTATGCGGAGAAGAAGAACACTCATCAGGTTTTCACGGATTCGAAGCCGCTTCCCACGGTTGAGTCTACCCCGCCACGCGCTATCATTGTTGCTCATCATTAAAATGCCATTCCCGAAATGCAGTTGGATCTTTAACTACTCCACTTATGTGATTCTCCTCTGTTGGCTTGACGCCCTTCACCTGTACTCCCAGCCAATGAAAGTCTACATGCACATTGCCCCGCGCGCAGTCATAAATTCGCTCGACCTCGTCGTAAAGAAGATGCGAGCATACTACATACAGAACCAGCAAAAAATACGCTATATTCTAGCTGCATACACATACTGAAAAAATTCTGTACGAAACAGTGAATTGAGCCGTAATGAACACCCTTACTCAGCAACGACCCACTACCTCCCCCTGCAGCCACAGTACTAACATGAAAGGGTTTTCCGGCAGCCAATAATGGCTTGGCCATGATTGAATATATAAGATGACTCCGGCAATTACCCCACTTAGCTTATTTATTTGCTGCTACAGTTTTTGTTATAGTTTCTGCTATAAAACTTACTCATTCGTTATTCCGCAACTCTGTTAGAATATTTTCTCCTCTTTCAATTGTGGAAGAATTGAAACGCTACTCCATACCCTAGCCTCGGGAGGACATCCCTATCGTCATGGCACCCCAAGTCACAACGTGGGAAGACTTGACCTTCCTCCACGAGGAATTTGACGAGGAAACCGGCGAATTCCGACACACAACCTTCGCCGTTGTCGACGAAGATGACACCGCCTTCTTCGGCAAATCGAATCATCCCAAACACGATATCACTTTTGAGCAACTTACATCTGCTCTCGCTCCCATTCCCGATGATGACCTCTTTCCAGAATGGATGCCTCTGATGTGAAACTCACCAAGGCTCCAGACACGCTCCCACCCAACATCTACATCAAACGCCCAATCCTTCTTCTATACGATGTTTTCCAAGAACATAGCGTCCTCAATCTGATCCCTAAAGGCTTACTCGAGGAGGCCAAGGCCATGGAGATACTCTCCCAGCATTCACACCCCAACATCATTCACTATCACGGCTGCCGCGTTCGCCGTGGCCGCATCGTCGGCCTCGTCCTCGACCGCCACCCCAACACGCTGACCGACTACCTCAATAACAAGGTCGAGATCGTGGATAAGGAACCCTTCATGCAGGCCCTCGAGTCGGCCATTCGCCACCTGCATTCTCTCGGCTGGGCTCACAACGACCTCAATCCAGGCAACGTCCTAGTCAACAAGGCAGGCATGCCGGTCCTGGTCGACTTCGGGTCCGCGCGAGATCGGCGCCAAACTGGGGACCAGCCGGGGGACTAAGGGGTGGATCGATGGAGAGATAAAGGATTATCACACGTCGGACTATCGCCATGACTTGTTCGCTCTGGAGAAGATACGCACCTGGTTGGACACCCCAACATTTGACGATTAGGAACGTCAGACGCAGCACCTTTCCGCCGCCAACGAGATTGGCCGAGGTTGGGGACTGGTGACGAGCTCTGTGCGGCCGTTCCCTTGCCGGTTGATAACGGACTTGGCGGCGGCGAGGAGATGGCGCCAGGGACATCAGGGCTGAAGTTAATTAATTATATAAAATACTACGTAGAGAGTAGTCGTAGGTTATACCGAAGCTATATACACGTGTAGCATGCTACAGCGCTAGCTAAGGCGCTAGTACGCAAGCCTCGGTTCTTGGTCTTGGTAAGACCTGCACCTCCACCCATTACAATTCTAGAGAATATAGTAGAGATAGAAAAGAAGCTTGGAGAGCTTAGCAAAGCGATAGATAAAGGGAAGTACATAGTTCTGGAGTGTTAGCGTAGAACCTGGTTACCAGTTTCTAACGTCTGACTGTGTTGCTGGCGCAGTGGAAATATATATCGCCGCAGACGAGTCGCCTATTCATGCTGCCCCTGATACGGACCGACACCTGTGCATGAGTCCGTGCGCGGCAGGCATATCTCTCTTCATCATCCACCCATCCACCCATATTCACAAACCTGCCACCCGCCGAACTTCTTCACCTTTTACATTCTCACAATGCGCTCACTCGTCCATCCGAATTTCTCCGCTGCAAGGAACTCTTTATCAAGAACCGTGTCGTCTCTTGCTCCTGGACACCTTCAAGGTGCGCATTGGGACTACCGCATCGTAGATGCTGTTAAAGGAGATAACACACACGCATCCACCGTCTTCAAAGCCAAGGTCGTTCCACGCGAGGATGCCCCCAATACACCCCAATGGTTCGTTGTGTTGCCTATGCCCAAATTCTGACACTAACTCAGCTACCCAGGGCTATCATCAAAAAAGCTTCGCCTGAGGATGAAACTGCCACGGAAAACCTGGTCCGTGAATGTCATAGTTATCTCCTTCCTGGTGTCGCCTCGACCCAGTGCTTCCGGAAAATGTACGATGTGATTGACAAGCGTACCATCGCTTTGGAATGGCTGGACACTACTCTTGCAGATGTGAAATACCAGCCTGACATGCGTACCTACGCCCTCATCAAGACAGTCCTAAAGGAAACGTTGACTAGTTGTGACGTTCTGGACGGCCAACAATGTGTGAATACAGGTATAGTATCTGATCTTAAAAGTTAGCATCCGCTAATTAGCCTAGACTACAAACCCGCTAATATCCTGCTTTCTGGAATCGAGACTGGCCGTGTTATCGCCAAAGTAGGAGACTTGGGACTCGGTAAGCAAGTATTGCTAGAAGAGAAACACGCTCTTACTGACACGCTTACAGTTGTTCCGGCCGGTTATCTTTTTAACGCCCAGCCATATGCCATGCGCGCCCCTGAAGTCTTCCTAGGCCAGGCGTGCACTAAACCATCGCAGGTCTGGGCAATTGCCGCGATGCTGCTTTGCTGGATGAAGCCTGGTGTCTTGGGCGCGGGGGACAGCCCCCATCCTTTCGTCAACGAGGCTTGGTGTATGGCAAAGATCAAACAGCTTTTTCCTAATTGGTATATTCCCACTCCTGATGAGGTTGAGCGCCCTACCCTCAAATCTGCTGTGGAATTTGCTATACGTTTTAGTGAAGAGGAGCCAATCCCGCAAGCGATCTCGCCTTTCGAGATGGAGACCCAAAAGATGAAGATACCAGAGCAGTTAAGGGACCTTCTTCGTCTCATGTTGGTGGTCGATCCGGGCGAAAGGCCCTCCGCCTCGGCTGTGTTGGCGTCAAGGGAGTTTCAGGCGTTTCAGATACTATGATTTAATCAAGTTGGAAGGGCGACCAGAATGCTCACTACTCCGTCCAGGGTGAGACTGCCACCAGAATCAAGGTCAAAGGTGGGCACGTCCCTGAGGATGCGTCCAAGCAGATTGTAAGTCAACGTCCTATTTCACGTGAACATGCAGCTAACCTTATCTACAGCAAGCCAGCTAAACCATTACTCTTTGAGAACGCGGGGCCTTCCTTGCTTGCTCTCTGGTGCGTTGTTGTTGTTTTTGTTGTCGTTGTGGTGGTGGTTTTCGCGAGGATATAGAATCGGATCTGTCCAACTGTTGTCATTCTCTGTGGCTATATAGAATACGCCTTGCTGCCATTGCAATTGATCTAAAACTTGAAAAATATAAAACACTACATATAGGGGGACAATTTATCTTTAAAAAGGTGCTATAACTAGCTATTCGATGGACTTGCGAGAGGTTCCCATGGCAAAGGTTTTTCCTGCTGGGCCGGACCGTTCCGCAGCGATCACTCAATCTTAGCTCGATCAGGTTTCCTCTCAGCCACACGAGCTCTTCTGCAAGCCTTACAAATCCAAGACTGATGGCGCTCTCTCCTGACACCTTGATTGTCAAATGCGTTAAAGCATGGAAGAGTACATGGCTACGGACGCAAGGCACTTCGAACATCTGCTTATGTCAAGTTATTCGCAAAAGCAATATCTTTCATATTTGATTCTTAAGATGGTGATTCCGTTTTTCCCACTCTCTTCCTTCTAGTTGCAACAAGTTTCTGCATGACAAGGCTATCTTCACTTGAACTCAGAGTTTCATCCTTCTCCGATTCGAATTCCGTTCCTGGACAGGATGGAGGGCTATCCGCCAGCGCGGCCCTTCATAACGACTAGGATCCCGTGGAAGACGGCGTTCACCGCAATCATTCGGAAAAATTCTACCGCCGAGAGGAACTTGTCAGGAAGCTTCTTGAAAGCTTCTACGACAATGGCCGCGGAAGAGGAGTGATGCGACGAAGAGAAGAAGTAAACAGAAGGGTCCGAGCGTTTCAAGTTAAAGAGCGCGACATAGATATGGAACCAAGGGCGGAAGACCGTAGCCAAGAGAGATATCGTACGTTGAGGGTACATGTTCGGGCAGGGGATGATGAAGGTGGGCAGCACCGAATCATCATCACGGATAGAGTTGGTAGCGAAGAAGAGCCCGAGTACCCAGAAGCGAGGGGATGGACCCGAAGTATGAGTCTGCAACTACTGGAAGATAGACGAGGTGACGAGGGCCGTCGACACGGTGGGCGAAACAGGCAGGCTCACACCGAGCGTCGAGAGCGGCCAGATAGAACTTCACATCCCAGACCTGGTAGCAAAAGTTGGACAAATCTGCTTGACGACAAGCTTGAAACAGGCTGGTGCAATAACAGTAAAACTAGGCGCGACGTTGTTGTTATGGCGGAGATCATCGAGGGAGTGAACACCAGGTGAGTAATCAGGAACATGACGACCGTTTGAGGATCTTGTACTGAATGATTTGCTAGACGCATCTACAAATTAACCGTATTTTGTATTGTGATAAGCGCTCTTCTTGGCATCGCCTACAACGCCATTACTGGAGAGGCCGGGGACGGCTTCAGCATCGCGAGTTACCTCATCACCGCACTCGGCTTCTTCGTGGCGGTTGTTGCTGCTGGGGAATGGATGGGCCTTGAGTCGTTGGACTCATTTAGCGAAACAGATCTGAAGCGCGGTAAGAGGTACAGGGTAGAGTACTGCGAGATGTAGAACCGAAGCAACACGAAAACGTATAGAGCAAGCTATGAATATTGTACTCGCTAGTTCTCTCTTCAGGACCATTATATAATCTCACACCTACACGACACTATCATATCAGCGGAGCTACCCGACTCGGTGTAAGCAATCTTCCTACCGCTTCGATATCGACTTCGTAGTCGGCCCGGGTTAGGCTCCCCATGTGGATCCCCGAGCATGCATCGCAAGCTTCATCGCGGCATAAGCACTATGGCTGACGTACGGCTAGGTAAGATGACCGCATCTGGCGATTTTGCGATCCAGCTTGGAGGCGCCGTTGCCAGGCGGAAAATGAGGTGCTCTAGATCTTGGCCAATGGGTTGCTCTCGTGTTTTAATATAGCGCATATCGTCACAATGGGTCCTTATGGAGCAGGCTGATAAACAGGCGATAACTGTCGCGATTTCAGCGTTCCTATCTTGCTAGTAATGTTTCATCCTTCTGCGTTCCGTTGTCGAGATGAACGGAAGACGTCTCAATTTCCGTCGTCCTCAAGATCGCCCCAATACCCAGCCGCCTCAAGCTCTCCAAAGAGTCCGCGGTTGTAATAACGTGCTCGCTTCTTGACGCCAGGGTCCTTTCATCCAGTTGAATATATGGGCCATCTGGCATGGTCTCATTCCACGAATACGGACTCTTTGGGTTCTTCCCCGTGCTCTTAGAGTGGCTTCCCGATGGTTCTGCCTTCAAATTCGATCCGTAAGAGTAGCTTTTGCTGGACCGATCTTTGCCACGAAGGAAAGTCAGGAAGCGCGGGAAGGTGGGGAAACAACAGCACAGGATGACAGTTGCGAATTCGGCGGCACCCCACATGCCTGCTGGTGCGACCCAATACGTTAGGTCGTTGGTGTCAATAAGTTTGATGGTGTAGGCGAGACGGCAGACGCACGCTGCACAAGCACTGAAGAAGGTCAGCCTACCCTAGCATCAAACACAATGTCACTCGGAAACTCACAGTATTCCTGTAGCAAAAATCGCCGCCACAGCCACCTTCCTCCTCAGTGGCATATGCAATTTCCACACCTCCAACATGGGCAGTACCAAAATCACCACGTCCGAGACCACATTGATAGTACTCGTCGTAATCATCGTCGCGCCCGTGTTAATGCATTTGCCGGAGAGCATCGGATTCCAGATCTTCTCCCGCGGCACGCAGGCGAAGATGAATGCGAACAGCACGGCGGTGTAGATGGCGCCGTTGGCGATGATGAGCGCCCAGGAGGCCCAATAGGTGAAGTTCTTTTGGGTGACAGTGAAGATGCGTTGGATTTGGAGGAGGAGGGCTAGTTTGGCGAAGAACATGGGTGGGGAGTAGAGGATTTGGACTATGTTGACGTACTAGGGCGGAGTCAGTTGCTAGGGTCGAGGCTGAGCAGTGGAGTTTGGGCTAGATGAGTACCTTGAGGATGATCATAGTGTCGGCAATGGATACATTCCATTGATGCTTGCCGCAGTTGTAGTCGAAAGCCTTGAGCATGACCCCTAAGTAGGCGGCATAGCCAGCCTGCAAAAGGTTAACTTCGTCAGTCCATCATAACCTGAGAGAACACGCTTACCAGTGCTATGAGCAGGGAATCTTAAAAGCGGTTAGTATGTGGTAGAGTAAATCCAGGGAGGAGCCAACGTACAATCCTCGACTTGCATCTTCTTGAGTATGTACCCCTTAGTGAAGATGCGTACTACAACGGCGGGCACCGTGAATGCCAAACACACGGCGGTAGTCTCGATGACATATGGACGCAGGCTGTACGCATTCGGGTCCATGGGTATCACGCCCGGCGGCGGCTGCAGACCAGGACAGACATTAGGATCGAGGATCAGCGGGTCCAAACAGTTTTCCATGGCAAGCCACCGGGACGACTTCCGCGCCCGCACAAAGACAAAACAGAAAAGTTGACGGCTTCATGGCAGCGAAGATGAGGCGTGAAGACTATAAGCGATTAGATCGCGTCGGAGAGCCTCTGTGAGATGGCGGGGGCCCGAACTGTGGGAGTGAGATTCGCACAGCATCCCGGGGACACATGGCTACGTGGTAAGCGCTAGACGTTGCGGTACGAGAGGTTATCCAATGGCATATTCCGATGCCTGTTCAAGCCTCACATAAGACGACAGTGAGGTGTCGCGTTGTATGCCGGCCGAACCCTGCTGAGTTAGCGCTAAGCCCTGCGCACGGACCGCTTGCGCTTCATTGGTGTCTTCTCGGATGAAACCTCGTTCTTTATCTTCCTTCTCCGTCCATAAACAGTGCCTCTTACCTCCTCCTCTCGTTGCTGACGGTCTTCCAGCCGCGCTTATCTAGGGTGGCTGATCACGAAATCGAACCTCTTCAAGCGTCCTGACGTGGCATCCTTCGCATTTTACTCTCTTCATCAGCAGTCACGTTAACCGCGTCGCTGCATGTTTGCTCCTCAAAGTATTCAAGTATCAGTAAACGTCGGTGTATGACATGACATATATACGTCATCGATCATCGACAAAAGGCCTGGGATTGACAGGGCGGCCCCAGACGTGAGATAGAGTCATTCCAGCATCCGAGAACGCCGCCAAGCGCCTCTCCCTTCACATGGGCTATGGTAATGTGGAGTATCCGGGACATCCAGCATGAATTGTTGCGAAGTGCTCTTCGTCTCCATCGGCATGCTCGCTAAAGGGACCGTCCCAGCCGTTATCGAACGCGAGAACCATATGAACTCACCGGGACGGCATTCCCGGGCAAAGCTCAACGTATCTGGTCGGAGGGATAGGCAGAAAGCGATGCCTCAAGGCAAGCAATTCCGCATCGCCATTTGCCGAGGCTGGGGAAGCAAGGTATGACGCAGCAAACCCCGCACAGTGGTGAGCAATCGCAGTGCTTGGGGCTTTACTACTGATTGCATCTCTCCCTACAAGCCTGTCCACAAATATCGACGAGCAGAGTCGCTGGCACAGGCTGCGTTCCGCGCGTCGCTGCTCGGCGGATCTCTGCTGAAGTTGTAGTCCTGGTCGTACAAAGCGTACCGGGTAAAGAGCATGGTTCGTAGATGAATGCGGAGAGCATCAGGAACCAACCAATCATTATTGCGACCGATGTGCCCCACACCCTATACAGATATAAACGAAACATACGCGCTTTTCTAATACCGATGCTATGCCGGCTGGTTTTATATGGGAATTGATGAAAGTGACCATGGGGATAGGAACAAAAGCCCTGATCGACGAACTATTGGTTCGCACCATTGAAAGAACGGACATATCGAGATTGAGGGGTGACGGCATTTGACACGAACCCAGGAGAGAAGCAGTACTTAATGGAAACAGATCGACGGGCAACAATGTGGGTTGAGGAAGACAGCTCTAACTTACCATTCTACGCCAATTGAGAAAGGAGTCGATAATTATGCGTTCCTCACTGCTTTGCGCCGGCACACTCGCCGCAACGGTGGCCGCAATGTGCGATCGAACCTTCCTTAACGACATGTCTGCAGCCTACCTCTCCGCCCAAACCAAAGGCGATCCACACGAAATCCCATCCCTCTCTGCCAACCTCGTCTACACTGAGCAATTCAAGCAAATCCCTCTGAACGTCAGCATCATGAACAAACCGCTCCCCATCTCATACGACCGCACCTTCTACGACGAAGTTTACTGCACCGCCTTCGTCGAGGTCGTCGTCACGGATACCGCGCACCCGTACGTGATCGGCACCAGGATGGAGGCTGACGGCCAGTATATTACTAAGATGGAGACGCTGGTGAGCGATGAGGGAGATTGGCTGTTCAATGCGACGGGATATGCGCATTACGGCTATGAGCTGGAGGACTGGCATCCTATCCCGACCACGGAGCAAGATTCCCGCGAAGTAATCCAAGCGGCCGGCGACGCCTACTTTGATCGCTTTGCCAACGCGAACGTCTCGGTGCCATGGGGTACGCCATGCGCCCGCCTCGAAGGGGGTGCGTATACGGGCGGCGGCAATCTCTCAGCCAACACCTGCGATCTCGGCTTACCCAGCACCATCCACGTCGTCGATAGGAGGTACGTGGTTGACGTACAGATGGGCGTCGTGAACATTTATGTGGGGTTTCCGGGGCTGGATCGAGCGAGTAGCGAGCCGACGCCTGATAGCCATTTGTTCAGGGTTGAGAAGGGCAAGATCAAGTATATTCACACGATTTCTACGTGTGAGGGGCATCTAGGGTGTGGGCTGAATATGACGTTTCCTCCGGGGATGAGGAGGAAGAGATACAATCGCGCGCCTAGTCGGTCGGCGCCGGTGCGCGTAGCATAAGGGCCCCTGGGTGGAGAGTGGGGTTCTTTCCGTCGATGCCATACTGAGGTATTGATTGAAGAGGGTATAGAAACACATTCGCTCGAGAGTCTTGAATGCAAGGGACTTTGCCGTAAGGCGTCTAAGAATAGCTTAACAGCCCCCGATTCTTTCCCAATTGCCTCTATAAAAGAAGGCGGCTATACCAACACGTTCCGGGTTCGGAAACTAATAGGTGCGCGCAGCTAATGTCACAGTTTAACGCCCATTCGATTGACCTGCTTCGTCCCCGTTGAGAAGGAATCGCGAAATGACCGACACCCAGGGCACCGCTCAAGAAACCAGAGCCGCCATTCACGAGAGGCTGACACTCAGAATAGTGCTATAGAACGAAGGTCACACGTCATTCAAATAACAGTGAGACTAAGCGCCAACGTCATTGCTCACGAGAATAAGAACGAGGGCGCCACCTAGGCGACGACAGGTCAAGAAGCCAATGGTACTACTCACGAGAAGGAGGGTACCGCCTCGAGATCACAACTCAAGTGACCTAGGCCGCTGCTCCAAAACTCCTTGGTAGTAGTCACTAATATTTGGTGGTAGAGAGTATATTTACGTAATTTTATTTCTACAGAGTAGAGGTCTGCTAAGATAGGCCTCTATAGACCCTTATTTAGGGGTGGATACCAGTAAACAGAAGTCTGTAGAGGCCTGTCTTATGGGGATGCCTCTAAAATAAGGGGGAAGATAATCGCTAGTAGGGCAGCGCTCAGGTGCTAGAGAGCGCGGCACAAAATCAGCCTGTCTGAGATAGTTGGGGAATTGAAGGATCAGGAGACGGTTCTGTAGGATAAGGGCCGCTCATGATGTTTGCTCGTGCAGGTGGCAAGCACTGTCACCTTGGCAGCCTACAATTTATAAATGACTTTCTTGATTCTGCTATGAAATTTTGCCGACTAAATAACACTTTTCACGTCTGTTAAGGATATGCTGTGGCATACTACCTAGGCTAGGAATCCCCTGAGCGATCGGAAGCCAACAAAGTAGACATCCGGCGCTACCACTCTGCGTATCGCGGCCTCGTCTACGCATGAACTAGTCTTCCCATCCTTTGAGGTATGTATGTTTCGTAATGCCGGTTCTCAAGAGCGGCTTCCAGGCGTTTCACGCTCTCGTGTCTCTCCCCGTATCTCGAGAGACGCGCCGCCAACGCATGTTCGAAGCGAGGCGCAGCATCCTGCCACCTTTCCTCGTGCTGGTAGAACGTCCCAATGGTCTCTAGGAACGAAATTAAGTTAGGATGATCTGAGCCAAATGTTTCTTGAGCCTCGGATTCGATTTGGGTGAAGATATCGTCGGCGGTCGCGTATCGTCCAGCTTCGACAAAATATTTCGCTAACTGAAGGCATGCGGTGAGAAGATCCTTCGTCTTTTCCTGGTCTGAACGTAGAATATTCCAAATGGCTTGTTCTGCCCGGTCAAGCGCATCCGACTTCTTTAGTACATCCTCGATATCCTCGTAATGGTTGAGAAGAGCACCATAGTAGAGAAGAGAGTGCACCATGAGCTCGTCCGGGAACTCTTCGCAGTGTCGAATTAGACGAAGAAACATGGCTTCCACACTTTCACCCCCTTGCATCCCACTCCCTGTTTGGCGATGTTCCGACTGTAACATGGAAGGCTCGATGGGACCCGTAGAAGATATTGGAACTCCTGAAGCCTGTGCTTGCTCACGAGCAGTGGTCGTATTCTCAGCTCTTGTGGATAGGGTGGAAGGACCACTTGCAGTCGCTGTGGATAGCCGGGCGTCGTTGGATTGAGGCTCTTCTTTATCCAATTCATGGAGTACTTGCTTGAGAAACTCGACTGCATCCCCCGGTCGACCCCAATTACGAAACATTTCGATAACACTTCCAGCATGGTAAAGGGTCCTTGGATGAAAGAGGCCAAAGTCCTCTAAATGTGCCAGGGTGAGCCAGTCGAGCACAGTATCCGCATCCTTCATGCGGACATGTTCAGCATAGAATGAAGCTAGATGGTAAGCTATGTCCATGGTTTCGGGATGAGTAGTCGAGAGAAGATTGTCAAGCCCGTCCAATGCACTTCGAATCTTTGCTTCAGCCTCGTCTGCACGGCCAGAACGCGCATCTCCGAGTCCTTCCTCATACTGCGCTTGGAAATCCGCCTTTGTGCGGCCATTCCATACCAGCCTCATCTGCCGCTGAAGCCGATTCAAATTGGATGGGGGGCTCCAAGCTGGCTGAGTATTCCGGGGAGGCGCCGGCCTATTTTCTGGCGGGGAGAGCATATGATCGCGTGGGGTTGCGTAATTGATTTCGCTTGGGGTTTTGGCGTCTTCCGTCCTGATCAGTATACCATGAATTGGCACAAGCATGAATAAGTGAAGTACCTGGAGAAAACGCTTGCGGATTTGGTTCGAATTTCTTTCGTTCGAGACGTGGTCGGATGTTGGTCTCGGTCAATTTTTGACCGCGATACTCGAATTCCGTGTTCTTTCCCTGCTCTCGTTTTCTTTGGTCGGCCTTCCACAGCATCCAGCGTCCGTCCTTAGCCGGTATGTATTTTGACCAATTCCACTTCTTGAACTGCTTTTTGTATTGGTCTTGACTATTCGCCAGTCATAAGCACCAAGAATGTTATCGCCACGTTACGGCTCGTCATCAGGGAGAGAAAACTTACGATGCGTTAAAGTGATGCTTCTGGGACATGATTGCTATCGTCTCTGGTAGTGATCTCTGTTCTTCGATCCAAAGTTTCCGGATATTGCGTTTGTGTCTGGTCCACACTTCGGGAGAAATCATTGTTGTCCGTCCTAACGAGTGTTGTGGATTCGGAGACGCATGCGCAGGTCGGGTGGGGTTTTCACTCGGCCCCCCAAAATCATAGCCTGATGAGGACAGAACCAGGTGGGATGAGAGTCCAGAAGGCTCCCATGCGCAAATCGACGAGCCTGCGTACATTTGCGACGAGGACGCCAATCCATCTCCAGGATAGTTCGCGTGGTGGTTCTGGTTGTCATGTATGGATTGATCCAGCGTCGATGTTGCAAGAGGCGGCGGTGCCATTGTGTCTCGGCTCGCTGCATGCTGAAGCTGGCTCAAGCAGTTGAAGAAGGGGTTTGCCATGGTGAGTCGCAGTGGGTGAGTTGGGTGGACGAGACAGAGTGACAGCCGCGAGGCAGCGCGGTTGGCCTCGAAGCGAAGCGGTCAGATCGGAGGCATCAGCTGGAGGCTGAGCTAAGCGAGCGGTGGTTCTCCATCAGCTTTCTGGCCGCAGCCAGTGCAACGCGCCTTGATGCGTGTCAATCACCTCGGAGGGCGCCCTATTCTGCCTCGTCGGACGTCTACCGTCACCGGTCAGGCAGTGGGGCGCTTTGGGTGCTTGGTTCGGCGGACAATGCAAGGCCAGACGTCTACCGTCTTTTCATTCGCCGCCCAAAGTGCACCCCAAAGTGCAAACCAACGCGTCGCCGGGAGAGCGCGAAAGTGCAGTCGCTGGCTTGGTGCGCATCGCGGGACGCAGGCACCGCCGTAGCGCCGCCGCGTGACGCCGTTTTTGTCGTCAAAAGTGCTGAGGGGTGCCGCCGACGCCAGCTTTCTCCTTCATTGGCCGCAACACCTTATCGCCCAGATCCGAGCTTTACGTCTATGCTGACCGGCTATTCGCTAGGTCCATGTTTGGAAACCGCTTGATGTGGGCTTGCACTCGTGCAACGGCCCGTCGTCGTCGCGCCGCGAGGAATATCCAGACATGGATCCTACGCTGCTGATCTTACTATTGGCCTACTCGCGTATATTTTTACGTTACCAAAGTTCTACAAAGAGCTTTACAAAGTGCTCCTTGGCATCTCCACCAACTGCTGGCCCGCAAGGACTCCGACTATGCCCAAACGTCTCACGCCTTTCAGGTTTACCCTTCCTCTGCAGAAGTGCCTCTAAAAGTGGCACTTCAGGGTTGCTGAGGACCTTCATGTAGTGTTAGAAACATGGCCGCAGAAGGCATTCGCCTTCTTCCAACCGGATATATAGCGGCAAGCATCCTGCAATGCCATTTCTTGCGACACAAGTCAATGCAGAACTCAAGTCCAGCTTGTCCGAATCTAATTGCTTTACATCAAACTGTTCATCCTTATCCACGCTGTCTTCTGGTTCAATTCCTACCGATGTATCCAGATCAACAATCTTCAAAATGTCCCGGGGGAAAGGGGCAAAGTCTCAATGAAGGGCAGGGCATGGAAAAGCCTCCAGTAAGATATTCTTGTCGATGGCCAAGCGTACGTATTGACAAAACGGCATTCTCAAACCACCGGGCATGTCGAAGCCCCTTCATGCACCTCCCCCACTCATGTTGAAGTGCAGCGTGAGTGGGACAATCCCCGAGTGGAGCCGCAATCTAGCTCCTCAGAGGTGTATCAGATTGCTGTGAGGGAAGGAGAGACCGCACAGGATAGGCCGGGTTCGTTTGCGATGCAACGTTGGCAGAATGAATCCATGCGGGATCAACCATACAACAACATTGGAGCTGTCAGGCGTGACGAGAAAACTCAGGGGTAGTTAATTCGACGGCTATTGAGGTAATGGGATTGGGAGTCCAAGACTTTCTCTTCTAGGAATTTGGTACCGGTGAGGGCTTTTGTTAGAACCGCGTGGAGGCTCTGTTACAAGAGACTGTAGTGTTCGCTTGCGTCTTAGTCGCAAAGTCTGTCAAAGGATCACGAACGGCCCAGCAAAAGCATATCGGTTAATGTATTTTACATGTCATATAATACCGAGCGATATCGATTGGATGTGTACCTAGATAGCGCGGTTGTTTCACGACCGCAGAAGGCAACTGCATGTGGCTTGCATTGGCGTAACTGCCCGTTTCCGGAAACCTCTCCAGCGGTTATTGTTGAAGTAGGCAATTGAGGAATACAGCATGTTGGGGTGAGGTGTATTGTATTGAGTGTGTATAGCTCCGAGAAATCGAAGAAATCTCTGTGGCGCCAGTGGCGCTAGTGCCCGATTAGGAAGCTTGGCGATTGTACTCCAACAGTTATCGGTGCACGGGCCTCACGCCGTGGCGTCAAATATAGCCTTGCACCCACCGCTCTCGTCTATTAATATTCGGCCCGCCCATGAATACTCGCTGTCCGAGCGCAAACGCGTGGGTCCTAATTTCACGGTCGCAGAACAGTGCATTTCATCTGCTCGCCATCCTGAGCTGTCCGCTTCGAACATATCTTGGCCTCGCCCGAGTGAGATGAGGCATGTTTGCCTGATAGTTTAGGAGCCGGTACACCGTCAGTTGGGAGGTTGCGTCCATCAGGTTTTGCTTCATGGCTAATTCAACGTTAGGTTTTGGAGCCTCTAGAAGGCCACGAGCAGTGTAACGATGGATTTTGCAACGCCCCAAGTCTTCGCTAATGCCAAGGATGAGCCTGATGACGCCGACCCAAGAATAGGCCAGAAACTGGAAATCAAAATGTGTGAAGCTCGGTACAATTCGGACAGCACACGGATTGCCTTGCACGCCGGGACTAAAAGAAAAGCTTGGGCTCCAGCAGAGGTGAATCAAGAATCAGCGCTTCTTGTCACGAGATATTACGGCCGTCTCGGCGAGCTTGAGTACACCGAGATGGAAGTCAGATCTCCTTACATCAGGGCAGCTCTTCGGGCAGTCATCAAGGAGTACCCTGGCTTAACTTTTGATACCGGAAAGATCCTCATTCGAGACGAACTGAGGTGCATTTTCCATTATCGCGAAGAACTTCGCGACTATGGACTGCGTCTTTCCGACCAAACCGCGGCACAGCACCTCATATTCTTTCTGAACTACATGTACAATTCCTTGACCCGGGAGATATCCAGCTTCTATACCTTCATGGAATCGCCAACAGCCGCTCCGGGCATTGAGCATGAATTCCTATGGATGGCTTTCAAGCCCGGCAGCTTCATCCTCCACTCGCGAAAGGGTATCCAGCGTATCCTGCGCTTCAGCTCCATGAAGCTTGACTCCTTTTCAAGATGGTGAGTCAAGGCGCAAAAGATTGTGTACGATGGAGAGATATTTGGATTCGTTACGGAAACCATCCTTATACCTTGGTATGATGGATATAGACCTCTCCAAGAGCTCCGGGTCTACCCTCTTCACTATCACCCACACCACTATGTGATCTACCAATCGCTTCTCACAAGAGGTCGAAAGTATGTCCAATTAAGAGAGCAGAGCCATCGATATTATTCCGGGGTAGCGGATTCCCTCTCTCCAAACCGTATCGTTTCCTACGACAGAGAAGAGGACGTATTTCCCATTCAATCCATCATGGCAAGTTGTCGTCGAAACATCCATGAGCCTGACTTACGTGCCACAGATTAGGGGACGAATAATAGTCGATGTCGAAAAGTTTGGCGCGGTTAGGTTTGGGCACAAGGAGAACATCGCTGCATCAGAAGCTCTGAAAGTCGATCTCAGCGGAGAGCCTATAATAGTCGATGAGGATTGGTGCCTGTTCGATTCTCAAATTCCCGGCTATTCCCTTTCCGCAAAAAGGTGGTGCTTCTTCGAACTAGACCGGACAACCGAATTCGAATACAACACAAGAGCCTTCGAGTCGCTTGCTCTAGCCGAGGAACAAAAGGTAATGCTCTCCTCACTTGTCAAAGCGCATTCGGAAGAGCTACAATTCGATGACCTTGTGAAAGGGAAAGGAAAGGGGCTGGTTTTCCTTCTTCATGGTGAACCTGGTGTTGGAAAAACTCTTACGGCTGGTACGTGTCTCACAGCCTTCTTGTAGCGAAACAAGATGACTCATATCTGCATTAGAGAGTTTAGGTGACTACACAAGACGACCGCTCTACTCTGTGAGCTCTGGTGATCTTGGGACAACGGCTACGGATTGCGAACGGGCTCTTGTTGAAATCCTCGACCTAGCGACATGCTGGAAGGCAATCCTCCTCATTGACGAAGCAGATGTCTTCTTGCAGCAGCGTAGCCAGCATGATTTGGTGCGAAACGGCGTTGTGGCAGGTAATCTCCTCCAGCTTCTTCACTTGAAATGATTCGGACACGCCACTCACTTAACGATCAGTGTTTCTTCGGCTTCTTGAGTATTTCGAAGGCATCATGTTTCTCACCACCAACCGCATCACAGATTTCGATTCGGCATTCATATCGCGCATTCACCTCGCCATCAGGTATCCCGGCTTGTCGCCGCTTTCTCAGCGCCAATTATGGACTACATTCATCACAAACGATTCTCAGCGTCCCAAGCCTTATTGGCTGACCACAGCTCTCCTAGACACCTTGTCTGCCAAAGCACTGAATGGGCGTCAAATCAAGAATGTTGTGCGTACAGCAATGGCTCTGGCCGTAGCGGCGGGGAGAGAGCTACACCCAAAGGATATACAAACGAGCTTGAAGGCAATGAAGGATTTCGAGAGGGATTTCGCAGAGGCCAGGGAGGAAACGCACGTCGGAAGGACTGCCCTAGATGATGATCGTGATGCTGATGGATACGAGAGACCATCGGTTTCTGGGAACGGTTCAAAGAGGCCACGACTTGTGTAGGGTTCTGGATCCGATGAAGGAGAAACAAACACTGAGCAAGATGTAAACATTCACGTTCAAGTCTTGTGAAGCTCGAATCTCCCTGCAACGTCTTAGAATGCAAATTTGATTCACTAGATTCATGCCAGCAAAGTCGCACCTGGGCTTTGCTATGAGGTTGTCATGGTAACTAGTAGAGCCACTAGCTAATACACTACTGCTAGCATAAGATCCGTCTGAGGCCACCTTGGCACCTAAAGCCAAAGGGCTAGGCTAGGACTGTCGTAATCCAAGAGCAGCTAGTCTCCCAGCTTCTCGGTCTGATGTTTTCAGGAGCAAAAGTTGGACACCTAGTGCTTTCTGGAAGTATTGCCCATATATCCGGTAACAGATGTAGAGGCATCACATAACCTGCCGAAGCGGCGAAATGTGGAACGGTGAATGAGTGATCGTCTTGCCGGTTGGTCGGATCGCAGGATATACAAGTCAAACTGCTACTCTGCAACGCATTTCGACTGTTTTCGGTCCCAAGAGCATTCATAATCAGAACTACGGAATGATCAAAGGTTAGAAATGCGATGTAGGATATGTAAGCCCGCCAGCGGTTCAGCCAATCAGAGCGCAGCGAAAGCAGCTGACGGGCGTGTCGCAACCCAGCTAATAAAGGCGTGATCAGTGCGCCTCTATCGAACGAGGGAATCCACTCTTGCTGGAAGGCATCCGCCCTTCGCCCCGAGCTGATTTGCCGTCCAGCAAAAGTCGAAGGACGCTCGCGCGACAATGGCCTGATTTCTGGCTCTCGGATGGCCGAACGGCCCAACATTTGACGTTTACCCCACAAAACACATTGTCAATAATCGGTGAGCATCCGTATATACTCAAGGGGTTCTCTGCCTAGGAAACGTCTTCTTCTGTTCTGTTCTCTCCCTTTGCACGCGCTTTCTTGCTAGTAGTTGGACAACTCGAAGACCCACGCGATCGTGCAGCAATCCCTCGCAAGCCGGCAATTCGCTATCGGCAAATCATCGTGCAGCGCAGCATCGCCGTTAGATAACTCTCAGTTCCCAGTCAGAGGCACACAGCCCTACTGTACCCGCACCTGACTCAGCGCACATCTCCGACAGCTGCATCATCGCGCATCTGCCGCCCAACCCTGCCTCAGCCCCGTGAGTACCGCCGCTACCCACCCGCAAGCCCCTGGCATATTAAAGCACACGAGGCCGCCGCGTAGGCAGCCACGTTTCTCATATTACTATTTACCTTTCTCTCTTTCGCTCCTTGCATTCTTATATACCTACTGACCGCAGACGAGAAGAAGAAGAGACCACTACACGCGACACGTTCAAGTCAACGCGATCCATCAACCCCACTTTCGACTCGAGCTCCTACGACCCTAGCCCCACATCCTCAGAAGCAGGACAACAACTTCAGCTGCCCAACGACCAACTTTTAGGAGTTATTTATCTTCGACCAAGGATCGCAGGTCTAAACCAATACCATATTTCTACAATGGCTTTCTCAACGCATGCGCTGCACCAGTTCCGCCGCTATTCGACACAGCTGCCTCGCGACCCGCGCTACAGGCTCAAAGCGACGCTCATGACGGGCTACCTTGTCTCCGCGTTCACCCTACCCTTCGTGCCGCCACTACTGGAGTCGAGAAGGACCAGGGCTGATGGGTCCTACCTGACAAGGTACGCTTCCCATTTTCATTACTTGCATGCATGCGATCCCACTGTGTATGGTGGTTGGAGAGGAATGCTTTTCCAGTTTAGGAAGCCAAGCGCTCATTATGAGATTAGGGAGAACGTATACTGTTCCTCGCAGTATCTCGGATGCGCGAGATAAGCATGGTTAACCATCACGAGTGCGTCGTTATCATGCATTGCAGTATGACGGCCAGAGAGAGCTGACTGGCTGTAGGCCGCGCATAGAGTTCATTCCGTCGCCGAGGTTTTAGTCCTTGCGCCCTTTCTGTAGCACCACCTGTTCCTGCGCCGCCGACGAACCACTCATACCCCTGCATAGTTTCGGCACTTCTCATTTGTTCTGGCGTTGGGCATGCATTTCAGGCGTTGATGGATTCCGCCTGGCTATGGGCCGTTGAGCATTGGCATACGATTGACTGAGAGAGTTTAGTTTTGGAGGATGGATGGAAATTGAGCACTGAACTTGGACTGGAGCGATGCAGACCCCTGAAGGAAGCAGCTGCAAACTCTAGCAATACATCCTACAATGGACATCATCTGAAAATTGCTTTTATGATAGTGGGCATCTATGACGAAGACACACGATGCCGGGTCACATGTAATGCATGCATGATCTGAACACATAACGCTTCTTCAAGGGTAGTGTCGTGCGGTCTACTTTCACAGGCCTTCGGTAGTTCCTCCCCTATTCCAAATGCGGCCTGGCAGGTGTAGCCGATAGCGCGTGCATTAGCTACCCCTCAATGTTTGCCCCTCACCACCATTGAAGCTCGCGACCTCACGCGAAGATGAAACACTTGAATTTTCCGCACTCTAACACTCCAGAACCTACAGTCAAATTGCCTCTATCGCCCCCGCCTATAACACGATAATGACCGACGATACTGAAGCTCAGACCCCGCGCAGAGGGCTGCTAGACCTTCCCACCGAAATCGTAATCCAAGTCGTCGCCCATCTTGCCGGGGACAACCGCACTCTCTGCCCCCTCGCGCGGACATGTCACCTCCTCCAGCACGAATGCGAGAAGCACATCTACAAGAAAATCGAGCTCCTCTTTACAAACGACCTCCGCGCCATTCTCGAAGCTTTTTCACGTAGACCCGAGCGCGTCGATGGCGTCGAAACGCTTAAGATACTATACCGCTATCATACTGGGCTGGGCACGACGTCCGAGGAGCGGGCGGCATTCAATCAATACGTCGCGAGGATGAAGGCGCTGAGGGATTGGCATGTCGAAAGTCCGTACGATAACTTTAAGTGGGAGCATGGCGGGAATGAGTGGGTGGAGCAGGATATGGAGGAGTTTAGGAAGGCGCTGGAGGCTGCTAGTCTTTATCGACAGAATGGCTCGCTGACACATACGGAACTTGGCCTGTCCAAGCTAGAGAAGCGTATGCGTAGACTCTATGTGCACCTGCGCAAATACTGACATATCTGGCTAGTGATACTACACTCACACGGCGCGAACACCGACTTTTGGGATCTTGAGGGCTTCCACTGCCTCTTCCGGCACCCTAATCTCCGGTACCTCCACATCTCATGCATCATCATCCCGCAAGACATACCGGAATTGGAACCCTACGAGAAAACAACTCCGCTCACAACCCTCATTTTCGACGAATGCGAACTTACGCCTAAGGGCATTGGCCACATACTGCGGACACCAAAAGCTCTGAAGCATCTCACACTCGGGGAGAACGTCTATAACATCCGCCGCTCCCAAGGCATAGCGCCCAATTTGTCAACGGCACCGGCTGCCTCGCTGGAGGCCCTCAAGGCAGTGGCACATTCTCTTGAAAGCCTCACGCATTTTGATCCTTACTGGCGTCTCTTCGGGGATGCGAGTAAATATCGCCCCGTGAGGGGCGATGGCATGCGCGACTTCCACCAACTCCGCTTCGTGGACATTCCCCTGTGTTCGTTCCTCCATCAGTTCATTCTCTCCCCCGTCCAGGCTCCACCCAACCTAAAAACTCTCCGCCTCCATCATGCCCGGGAGTACGGTGGCAACGCGTCAGCCATCACTTCCTTCTTCGAGCAACTTCCACCCCTCGAGCCGTACACAAACCAGCCGTCATTGAGGACGATAGAATTCGCCCAAAGCGCCGATATCTTCCCAGACGATAATATTGTAGATATCTACGAAGACGACCGCATCTGCGATCGCCACGCCTATGCCTACAAATTGCACAAGCGCGGCATTGCAATGAAAGTGTATCTCGAGGCTAGCATGCGGCACGGTCTTATCCCACCCTATCTCCACGGCGAGGCAACACCAGAGCTCGTGTGCGTGTACGATTCTAAGAAAGTGGGGTTCCGCCATATGGTAGACCTCCCCCAAGATCTGCGCCGCTCTTTCGAAGAGAACGACCTCCCAGAGGACCTACGCTCGTTCGCCGCCGGCATGTCCCATTCGGAGCTTTCCGTGCTACGGCGCGGGCTCGACGAGCGCCCAGACGAGGAATTCCCCGAGACAGACCAGCTTGGCACCTCGGATATCCTGCGCCTCAAGAACGAAGTGCGGCGCTCGCTCACGCAGCTGCTGAGGAAATCGCTCCTGCTCGACGACGACAGCGACATCGTGCAGAACCTGGAAGTCGAAGTCGATGACGCCGAGCTGGATCCGGATTTTGGCGTCGACTTTGATGCGGAGGATTGGTTTGATGCGGAGGATGATGATGAGGAGATGGAGGATTTGGATGCGAATGATGACGTTGAGTTGTATTTTGATCTGGATATCCCTGAAGAGGATGGCAGTGGGGATATTACCGAGTATGAGGATGATGATGGTTTGGATTGAGCGATTGCATGATGCTGTAGTTTGCTTGCGACTCTGGAAAGTCTGGCATTGCGCTGGTGCGTGGGCCGTACGGTTGGGAAGCTTTTGGGAGTTTTGCATATGGGGCATTTGCTGCCTCTGGATTACAGCATTTGAGCAACTTCTAGACCCCTTGTCCACCTAGAAATCGGCCTTGCTGCTGAATTCCTCATTACCTACATACATCCGACTATTAACCCACTGAACACACATTCCTCATCTTGTAGTCTTCCTTGTTTGCCTGTCCCTACGCATACTTTCTTTCCTCAACCGTTGCGTTTCTGGACCGTTACACGGCGTGCTCTCCCTCCCTAGTCTGATTCTATACATTCGCCTCTCTAGTTCCTCCCTGCTTCTCCTTTGTGCGTCACTGCTTCGCTGCTTGGTCGCATCTCGCCCGGTCTTCTGTTCCTGGTTTCGCATTGCGTTCTCTTGGACTTCCGATGTGCGCGGCGTTGGGAGGGGTTTCTGGAGGGTTTAGCGCGAATGTCGAGTGTCTACTCGATAACTCTTTCCCGTTGGGCGTAAGAAGCGACGAAATGTTCGAGCTTCACTTCATCGCGCACGGGTTCCCTTTCGGATAATCGTTGACGATGCCTCACTCGTAGCGGGCTGCTCGAGGTTGTGTTTGTATGACTCGCGGTGGGCTGTCGGTGTTGGCTTCGCGAATAGCCTCGTGGTACGGCGGCGGCACCTCGCTCGCTCTTGAGTCTGGTCTGCGGACTACACCTTGTATGCGCTGTAAGGCGATATCGGGTGCGCCTCTATTAGCACCTCCCACGCTTGCGCCCTCGATCTGGTCGGCCGTGGAACTCGCGGAGCTCTCGAGGACTTTTGTCTTTGCCCTGCCCTTCCTCCAGAGCCACCAGCAGAGTAGTGCGAGCAGTGCTGCGCCGCCCAACACACCGACGACGACGCCAACGATCATGCCCACGTTTGGTTTGCCGTGCTCCGGAACGGGTGTCAAGGTGGGGATGCTGGGATCTGGAGTCCCGGTTGGGTTCTCGGCGTTGAACAGTTTGTGCGGCGTGGTGGGTTGTTGGAGGACGGGGAAGGGGATCGAGTAATCGGAAGTACTCCAGCCCAGCATGGAATACAGGGTGAGGATGCATATGCCGCACGTTTCGTTGGGTAGGGCGAAGTAGTCTTCTAGCGTTGGGAAGATCCACTGTTCACCGGGGAGTAAAGGGCTTGAGATGTTTGTACGAGCGGAAAGGTGTTCGGTGTTCGTATCTGAAGGGTGGTCAGCGGTATGATGGGATCTCCTCCTAGCGATTCCTGGGCGCACATCAGCGGGAAAGGTAAGTGACGGACGCACAATTGTCGCAAGCGCTTTCGATAGAGCCGCCTTGAGCGCCGGTACTGCAGACCATGCAGTTCAGCTCTATGGTCCTGTTCACGCTATCCTGCCACTCGAATTCTATGACGTCTCCTTGCCGTACTGCGGCTTCTTGGGTGCCGAACCCGTCATTGCTGAAGCCATCTGCCAGCCGCTGGGCGAAAGTGAGGTTATGAACTGCGTCGACGATGAGCGGTTCTATGCCGCGGGTTGCGGTGGTTATGTTGTGCAGGTAGAGCTGTTGGGTCTCTTCCGCATATGCCTGGCGGAATGAGATATTGAGGGCGGGTGGAAAGCTCCAGTATGTCGTGTTTTCGGCATCCATTTTGCGAGCATATGGAGCTGTCGGCTTGCGATTACAGCAAGGTAGCGGGTAGTACTCGTACGCGGTTCATATTTCGTATCCGGTGCCCATCTTCAAGATCTTTCGACGCCGACACGTGGAAGTAGAGGGGTGCTCGCATGCGCAGGCGCGCATGACAGGCTAGGCTGGCCTTATATTTTGTGCGAAATGGAGGGTGGGAGATTCCGTATGACGGCTCGTATTCGATGTGCGGTTGGACGATCGAGAACGTTTTCAGATGTTTATCCCGGATACTCGGTTACAGTGATGCTATTTTGGGGACGAAGGATCATGGATCGGGTCAAGCTTGGCCGTGATTTGCCTAGCGAGGAACGTTGATTGGAGCAAATGAATACGAGGATGGAATCGTAGGAAAGGCGGTATGGGCTGGAAACAAAACGAATGAAGCATACGAAGGGCATTCTCCGTACTATCCGTGATATTGGCTTTGAGAAATGAAACGATAGAGACGTTGCTAAGAGCGTTTATGCGGAAGAAATGCATGCAAAGTGAAGCGAACATTGGGTTCAGGATCGAATGACCGTCTCCAGACGGCTGGAGCTGTCGATTGCCTAGGATTCATCGTAAGACAGATGGATTGGGCGGCGAATCAAGGGAATGATGTCGCCGCAACGAGGATCCCGAAGTCTTTCCAGCGCTGATTTGAACATTGGAGGCGGAGGATCACCTTGAATATTGCGAGAGTCGCAAAGCTAAATGGCCTGGGGATGAATTGAGATGGTGGAAGAAGTGGGAAATTTTGAGATGGTGGGGCACGGAATTCACGCCGCGCACGTGCCCTCGCATCTGTGGGACCGCGTCGCGCTTAGCGTCAACACCAAACAAACAACACCATCACTCAATTCTTATCCCATATCAACACCACGCCTGCGCATAGAGACGCCAATTTGCAGACTATGAGCAATGGCGCGCACACATTCCTCCTACACCGCGAGCCCAACGCGATGGCGCTCACCCCAGCGCAGCCCGGCGCGTCAGCAGACCTCCGAGGAAGGATCGCAATATGAGATGGATTTAGACGCGTTAGGGCTCAATTCGACGTTCGAATCGACCGAGGTGGACGAAGAGCACCAGCCGAAGGTGGATGTCGTGGACACCAGCGATATCGAAGGGCCGGAGGACTTCACGATGAACATGACCTACTGGATGACGGCCGATCTGCCTGCGGCACAGCAAATCAGGTCGCGAAAAGAAGCAAATGTACGAGTCGCAGAGGTGCGAGGCGATGCGCTGCAGGAAACAGATGGAGCGCAGGACACAACAGCCGAGGGTGACAGGGCGCTTATTGAGGACAGTTCGCGGGATCGTGAAGTGGAGGCAGGTTTTCACTCGGCCTCGCCCACCATGCGGGCAAATGGCACAGAGAATGGACGCTCTAGCAGCAAAGCTCCCTCTGAGGCGGCGTCTATGGAGAACGAAGAGAAGGTTAGGAGTTACCTTAGCGCATTACCGGATACCGACATCGGGCCGGATGCGCTCACATCGACGCCTTTACGGGTGCCAAAAAAGAATATGCTCCAGGTCCCAAGTCCAGCGGCTCCAAGGGCGCGGTCTTTGCAGGCGACTGTGGAAGACTACGATACGCCGCGCAAACCGACCCAGGAAACGGTCATTCACCATCCCCAGCAAGGCGCTACGAAGAAGGATATAGCGGAGGAGGACGCGCTCCGAAAACAGGTCGCCGAATTGCAATCTCGACTTGAGCAGCAAGAATTGGCCAGCAAGACGCGCATCACCGAGCTTGAGACTATACTCTCCTTTACTCGATCCGAATTGGACACAGCGCGCTCAGAGGGCTACAAGCAGAAGGAGCGGATCAGCGCCCTAGAGCGACACAATCAAGAGCAGAAGAAGAACCTCGAAGTTTCCCGCGCATCCTTAGACGGCCGGCTCAAAGCGCAAGAAGAAGAGCTAAACGCACGAATGCAAGAATTCGGAGAAGAGCTGCGCCTGCAAAATCTGGCTAAGCTGCAGAATCAGAGGGAAGATTTCGAGCGTCAGCTAAGAGCATCAGAGCAGGCGAAGCGAGCAGTGGACGAGGTCCTGGAGGCACGCGGCCAGCTGTTGGAGGAAGTGCAGGGCGAATTGAGCCAGCTCCGACGATCGCATGAGCAGAAGCTTCAGGGTATGAAGAATGCGGACTCTGAGGGACAGCAACTGAGGGATAATGGCTTCTCCAAGGAGCGGGTCGAGCTGGAAGAGAAGCTGTCCGCTATGCAGTCGAAAGCTGATACTCTTCAGGCGGACCTGGAGAGAGCTACAGCAGAAGCCAGGTCTGCTCACGAGGAAGCCCAAGCAAATGCGGCCCTTCACACATCTGCACAACAGGAGAACGAGGCGCGTAGCTCCCACATTCGCGAAGTGGAATCACGCCTCGAGTCCCTTCAGTCCCAGCTTAGCTTCGCTCAAGCAGACGTAGCCGCTAAAGATGAACGGCTGCGGACGATGTCAGGCCTCCAATCCCGTCTTCAATCACTTCAATCGCAACTTGACGCTTCCCGGACCGACGCTGCTGCCAAAAACCAACAATTTCTTCGCAGCTCGGACTTGGATTCACGGCTCCAGTCCCTTCAGAGACAGCTAGACTCAGCCCGCACCGACGCAACAGCGAAAGACTGGCAAATCCTTCAGCAGATCGAGGAGCAAGAGCGATATGAGCAGCGGTTGAATACTGCACAAGGCCGCATCGAAGGGCTCGAAACGACGGTGTCCACTCTCCGCCAACAGCTGGCGGAAGCGCACCGGGACAGCGCTAAGGCTCGCACGGATGCCGAGCGCTCTGAGACGGACTGGGAAGAAGCGAACGACCGTCTCCAAGAGGCGCGTGTAGAAGCGCACCGCCGCGTTGCCGACGTCGAAAAGAAGCTCAGCAAGATGAAGGAGTCAAAGGCCGACGCAGAGTCACAGTTGAAAATACTACAATCCCAGCATGACAAGCTCGTAGAGGACCACGAAGCGCAGCTCGAAGACGTGCGCGAGAAAGCCGAAGACGCGGTGCGCAAAGCCGGCGCTATTATCGAGCAAGAGCGGACTGAAAAGAAGAGAATCATGAAGGAACTTAAGAAGACTTCGAAAGAATTCGACCAAGTCCGCGCGGAGGCTGCGCAGAAAGCCTCTGAGGAAGATGCCTCTTTGGACGACAGCTCTTCCTTGTCCTTGTCCTCATCCCAGGTCAATGCCAAAGACGCCGAGATCGAGAATCTACGCACTCTCCTCCGAAAACAAGCCGCCACTCTCAAATCCCTCAAGTCAGAGACCTCCACGCTCCGCAAAGAAAACACCCGCCTCAAAGCCCTCGAGATCGAAACCACCTCGGCTACCATCTCTACTCTCCAAACGGAGCTCTCCACCCTCCGCACCGAAAACGAGACGCTAAAAGCTGACATTCAAACGCGAAAAGAGGACTTCGAGGCCGTGAACAAGGCCATGGATGAGCGGTTAGCGGGCATGCTGAGCAAAGCGCTGAAAGAGCGCGCAAGGACAGTAGTGGGGAAGAGAGACGGGCAATGGGTGGAGAGTATAGGCAAGGTGAGAGATGAGAGGGAGTTTATGGGCAAGGTATTGATGAGGGAGTGGGGGAGGCAGGAGGTTGGTGTTGCGAGGGAGGAGCTGGGGGAGAGACAGGGGTATCGCTATCAGTTTGTGAAGAGGTCTTGAATGGGATACGTTCCGGACTCTTGAGCGGGCGAGGCGTTTGTGCGAGGTTTTGCTATATGCATGGCATAGGATCTCTGGTTTGGTATTGGGTTCAACGAGGGCCCTTGTACGATCTGACGACCTGATGACGATGACTCCGAAGCATCTTGAAAGCTATTCCTGTCATATCTACACGCTTTCGTGCTCCCTCATGCTATTTCAAAACGCCGCTTCCATTCCCTCCTTCCCAAACGCCTGAAGCCCCATTCTCTTGACTATCCGATCCCATCAGCCCAAGTCCCCGCGCGCACCGAGTTCACAGCAGCCCCTTCCGCGCCCACTGAATCTTCCGCATCGTCTCCCCCTCCTTATACCCGCCCTTGCTCGCACACACGGCAATCCCCTCGCCCAGCTCGACTTTATCCTCCACGGACTCCCAGGCGCAGGGGCAGTGGTGCGGGAAGTGGACGCAGGACAGGGTGCCGGGGCAGAGGTACTTGTCGCAGTGTGCTGGGGCAGAGTTAGCGAGGTGCTGGACGTGCTAGCATAGGGATGGGGATGGGGATGGAGGTGGAAAGAAGGGGGGGAGGACCACATACCGCCCTCATACTGCTGCTGGTACCACGCCGCGTCGCTGCGAACGTTCTGCTGCTGCGCTTGTTGCTGGGCGCCGCCGCCGCCGCCGAACATCTGGTCGAAGAAGCCGAATTGCGCGTTTGCGCTTAGACTGAATAGACTGACCACCAGAAAGAACAGGTTCCGGAGCTCCATCTTATCGGGAAGATTGGGTAGAGCGGGGGAGATTGCTATGGGACGGCGGAGGAAAGGCGAGTTTGTTGGTTGCTGGAAGAGGGTGATGTGGAGCTTTGGCAGGCGCGGGTAAGCTAGCCAACAAACGCGCCAAACACGCCAAGAGTTGGAGCTCCAGCTTCCCTTTTCCAAATTCCACCCGCGGAACGCAAAAAAGTTCAACACCACACCTTCTACTCCTCACTCACCCAACCACCAAACAAACCCACACGTACGTCCCTCTCCTCCTTCCCACTCCCCCCTCCGCACAACCAACATCTAACACCCCCCACAGCATGCATCTCATGTACCTCGACGGGCCAGACGGCAAGCGCATCTACACGCTGAAAAAAGCGGTCGACGGCCGCATCGCCAAGTCCGCGCACCCGGCGCGCTTCTCGCCCGACGACAAGTACTCGCGCCAGCGCGTGACGTATAAGAAGCGCTATGGCGTGCTGCCGATGCAGTTGGAGCAGAGTAAGTGGATTTGCCCGGGAGGGGGGAATTGAGGAGGGGAGGAGATGGGAATGGATAGATGGCTGACGAGGACAGAGGATAAGGTTGCTTTGAAGCAGTAGGTGGGCGGACGGGGAGGAGAGGGGGGTTGACGGGGGTTTGAGATGGAGGTGGAAGGAAGAGTCGCGGGGGGTTTGAGCGGAAAGAAAATGGTGCTGCATGCATGCATACATATGTGCATACGTGCATGCGTGCGTGGCGTTTACGGAGTATAGGACAGAACGGACAGTGTTCTAGGCTATGGGTATGCATTGCGAGCGATTTATCTCGCTGGGGGATATGAAGGGATGTCTTTCTAGCTACGGCCTGATCTGCGTCCTTAAAAATCCCATCATCCATCGAAACCCCGTCTTCCTTCTCCCCACCGTTCCCCAGCTGCGCGGAAACAGGGGCATCTACACTCTGAGATCTCACACCTGCTCCTCTCCCCAAAACACCACCGTCCCATATGGCGCCCACGTGCTCACCCACGCCACCAAAAAAATAACCAGATCAAGTAGCACCTCTGCAACCTGCGCCTCATACCGCCACACGTCCCCTGCCATCCAGTCGCCCACCACTAGCCCTGCATACGCAACCACAAGGCCCCAGAGAAACGCGTCGAACCACACCTTGCTAAACCGCTTCCCGAACACGATCCGCTCGCCCTCCATCTGGACGATCAGGTGCAAGTTCCAGGCAACGAAGAAGAAGAACAGCAGCGTGGTGGCGGTCCAGGGGAGCTGCGAGAGCGTGCTGAGGGACTGGAGTGTGGTGTGCAGCGCGATGTGGGTGAGTTGGAGGAGCTGGATGAGCAGGAAGGAGATGCGGCGGAGCATGAGCGGGCGCGAGGAGACGAGGGGGTTGTAGGAGGCGCTCAGGCCGGGCCAGCTAAGAAACTGTTAAACACGCGGATATGCTGCTGTGCGCGCTGGGACCTACCATGTGCGGAAGTTGGGACATTGGCGGGTGAAGGGGTGGCGCGGGTTGCGGTAGGTGTTGTAGTCGGCGATTGTGACGACGGGCATGGTGGAGGTTGATTTTGGGGAGTGGGTGTGCTGTTCGGAAAAGGCGAAATTGGAGCAAGAATGAAGGAATATCGCGCTGGAGCACCCGCTGCTCAAGATAAAATCTTCGTCGTTTGCGAAATTCCGGCAATAGCTCTTTCAAACGAATACCGAGAGAGAGAAATGGTGGGGTAGAGAGGAGAGGACACGAGCTGATTGAAACGTTGAAACAGTTGTACCTACAGGCAACTAGTCTGCGCCTCGGAGGATCGAATTGGCCCCGCGGCACAGCACGCCTAAGAGTCCGTGAAACTCACAGCCACTCCAGGGGAACCAGTTTTGAGCTCCGCATAGACTCACCTCACGGTGTGGAATTCTCTGGATATAACGACGCACGTAACAACCACCCTGGAGGCCTTCGTAGGTGCGTACAAAAGCGTGGATAATGGTTAGCTATACGAGCAGTTTTGCCTGTACGGCGAGCTCTTGAATCCGGAGAATTCCCTACCGCGAGAGGCTCAATTGGAAGCCAGCCGCAATCCTACCTACAGCCCCAGCGAAAAGAAGCATGGATACCAGGGAGGCGCAGGAATGCTCGACACGAACGGAGCTGCGCAGAGGCCATATCTGAGAGTTGAGAGGGGTATCGTGAAGTGTAAGTCTGGCGTTCAAAATTCAGCTCAGCGCAGCGACCTTGACTCGACGACAAATGGAGTGTAACAAGACGCCCGTGGGACGTTGCGATGGTGTCCCAATTCTCCCGGATGGTGCGACCAAGGCTTGCGATGAAGAGGAGATGGGATGACAGAATGAAACCACGAGAGGAAAGTGCAGCACTGCAGATGCGCAGGACTGCGTTATCGCCGAATGCGGTGCGACGTTGAAGCTGCTCGCAGCTGTACGTCATTGCTCTGATATTGCGATGCGCGTGTGGTCTGTCTGCGGTTGTCGCCGAGCGCGTGACGGAGGGAGGGCGGCCTTGGTATCGGTGTTGTAATGCACGGAAGCATACTTCCAGTAGCAGCCCATGCTGCTGGGCGGTTAGTGTTCCGAGAGCCGTAGCAATAGATGGCGCTGTTATGAAGTGAGGAGGTGGTTGATGAGCTGGCGAGGGGTAGCGCGAGCGTTTCCCCCACCCTGCATTTCATAGCGTTTCTCGCGCAAGCTTATTTATTGCGCTGCATCGAGTATCGAGCATCACAGGATGCGTGGGGGTCGCCTTGCAGTCGCCTTGCAGTCGTCTTGCATTTGTCTTGCATTCGTCTTGCATGGCCGAGAGGGGTTCTCCTGCAGCAATCGTCATCGCTCGTGTAAGGTCCGATGTGAGGCATACCTGGCGAGCATTGAACGGTGTCGCGAGCCGCCTGTGAGGGCTTTCGCAGGCTGCGGGCAGCCGTGTAATCTGGGGAAGCCGTCGTACGTCATTGCTCGCCGGCCAGTGAGACCGGAGTCGAGTGTGCAGAGAGTCATGAGCGTGGTGGTGGCTGCGGGGTAGTCGGGGCCTCGTTACACGACGGCTTGGAAGGGACGACTACGGCTTGCTGGACGATGCTACTGCATAACGAGCTCTTTTACGGGACACCCACGAGCTGCGGCTATTCGCGCTATTGGACGGGCGAGGCTGGTGGTACTTCGCCTGCTCCAGATCAGCAAAACGAGTCCGGAAGCGCTTCAGGGAGCAATGCCAACCACATCATGCACGCAATCTGGACCTGCGACGTCCAACCATGGACAAGCGAGCGGCGGACATCGTGAGCCGACGACGGTGGAGGTAGTGCGCTCGGCGGCAGCGTCGGCTGGGCCATAATCCGCATGTCTGCTGGCCGAGAGTGCATGGCGTCATGCCCGCGAGATTGCCCGATATCAGCCCTATGCGTCTGTCGAGATGACATCGACGAGGGCTGGCCACCGCCTGAGGCATCCGGAGTGTGTGTGATGCTCGTCAGGTACACTCAGGTACTGGACAGGCCGAGGCGTACGGCGTGAGGTCACCAGAGCGACTGGCAAAGCGTGGAGCATGACCGCGGGGACAAAGACTTCGTGGCTGCCCAGGTGCAGTCCTCTGCTGCGTGCAGGACCCTCCCATCTCCACTCGCCAGCCCGCCGCCCGCCGTCGCCCTTATCCTCGCGCCCTCGTTCCAGCATGGCGGCCACGCCGTCGAGGCGTTATTCTCGGAAGTGCCCATTTCGCGTCAACCGCTCCGGAGCGTCCACGGGGCTTCACGAGACTTAGCTCCGCTCTAGCACGCTGAATCACTTAAATCGCTGAACCGCCCATAGCCCAGCCTTCTCCTCCCCCCGTGCCCATCTGTCTTGCCCACACACCCCCGGCCTTTGACCTCATCTCTCACCACCGCCCTCTGCCGTCGTCAGCAGCAACACCCGCTGCACGCGCTGCCCGCCTTCTCGCGCGCCCGCCGTATTCTCGTCCATCCAATTCCACTCCATTGCGAACCCCACGCCCGGCCGGCACGCGTTGCCCTCGGAAGGCCGCCCTGAAACCGCGTGCAGGGTCTTCTGCGGGTTGCGCGATCCACGACGCAGCCGGCCAATTGCGGAAAGCCGACCTGCTTCCCCACGCCATCGCTACCCCAGACTGCTCCCGTAGCCGTCTGGTCCAGCGCCAAAACTTTCTTTCAGCGGCTCGTGCGGCCAAACCAACCTCGACCTATCGTCGTGACACTCTCCTCCACGCCTTCGCCCGCCCCATCCACTAGGTTGCTGCGTTAAAAGGGTCCAGCGCACCGTCGCCCACACTCCCACCCTCCAGCGTTACACCTCTCCACGAGCAAGACCCCGAACAGCACGCTCTTGGGGATGAACTTCAAAAACGACACTTCTCACTGGCCCGTCGGACAAGGTGCGTCCCATCATGCCGTCTTCCGAGCAATGCTAACTCCCCGCAGAGCACATCAATCGCTGAAACCTGCATCTGTGCTCGTCTCCCCCGCACATTGAATCGCACACTGCCTGCTACCTATCACGGCCGTGCTCGGAACCATATTGCTTCTTCGTGTCACCGAATTCCGATACGCTTGCTTATTCCTCCGTTCTCTAACCTCCCCTCTGGCCTTGGCTAGTAAGCCTTGCCGGACCTTTCCTTGCCTTCGTCGGACCAGGGACGCTGGGAGCCTGCAGGCACCGTTCCCCACGACCACGAGACCGGTCGTCATCGGATGGGCTATTCTTATCTCTCGCCTTTGCACGTAATGGAGTCCTCCATGACTCTGCTGAGTGCACACATCCAATTTCTAGTATGTTGCCTCTCGTCATCCCTTATGCACCGCGGTGCACCACGCCTCGATAAAGTTTTGTGTCTTATACCTGCCTAATCGTGGTTGGCTGCCGTCCCGCGCCCGCGCCCGCGCCCGCACGGCGTTCCGTAGGGCTACTTTTTATATTTGCCCCCAACACAAAACTTTTCTGCCTGATGGAACTCAACTAACACCATGCTCACCTTCAAGGATACGCAGCTGGCCCTCATCCACATCCCGCTGCACCTCTATTCCAACTTTCTCCAGACCATCCTTCAGCTCTTGCTTCCCAATGAGTCCCGCCATGGTAGCGCTGTCGCCAACGGTAACGCCAACGGCAACGGCGTCGTGCAACCACCGAAAGGCTGGCCGTACGAACACCCATTCGTGAACATCTCAATCACCGCGATAGAGTGTTCTGTGGTATGTTCCCGCGCTCTTGCCAATGAGCTCTTCGTTCCAGCCCTGAATATGCTCGACCCTGTCTCGAAAGCCCAATGCGCCATTACTGCCGAGGACTACGTAGTAATGCAAATTGATGGCGAGGGTCTCGATGCAGGTCAGCGCGTCCTAGAACTAACGAGCCCGCTCGCTCTAGCTGGCATGTAAGTCGTCCTCGACTGAGAATCAGCGTATTTGATGTCTGACCACTCCCAGCTCGATTTTCTTCATCACAACATACTTCTCCGACTACATTCTCGTGCCCCAGCGGTATAGGGTGCAAGTCGTGCACGCCCTCGAAGAGCGAGGCTTTCAATTTGAGGACCAGACATCATCCTACGTCAATCCGAGCGCCCACAGTCGCAACCATTCGTCGACATCATCCTTCGAAGTCCAGCCTCCGGGCACGCCTCCTCCGGCGACGATATCGGAGCTGCAGACACGCACATTCGCCACCCTGAAACGTCGGAACATCTTTCCTACGGTGGACTCCGGTCTGCGCCTTGTCCAGTGCGCCGGCCGCAGGGACAGCGCGAATGGGATGAGCCAGAGCCGAAATCGTAACAGCATGACGAGCGCTGCGGACGACGCACTGCATCTCGGTCTCGTCAAGTGCCTCATCTCACCGCCGTATCCTCGGTTCCTGTCGCTGACACTGACGGATACCGAGCCAGCCTCGCTCCTTCTCGACCACACGCTCCTTCCCAACTTCACTCAAGATATCCTTCTCGGATCCAAAGATGACTTCCTGATTCCCATCACGCTCGATCTGCGCGAACTGCCTATGGAAAGCACCGGTATCGTGTGTGGCGTAGCCGGACGTCTCGTGGGAGGCACCGCCGGTCAGCTCGAAAGTCCAGTCGAGATGAGCTACCTCAGCACGGCTCGTGCAGGAACCGTCATGGTCGGTGAGGACGAGCTGAATCGTGCTCTGGGCGCTTTGCGCGGCGCAGAAAATGGCGTGTTATCCACGCCGGACTAGCCCACATCCGCAATGCTGAGCGGGCGGAGTGGGATGTAGCGAGCCTCACCCCGAACTACGAGGTCACCTGGACTGTCGCTTACGAACGCCTGTTCTGACCGATCGGGGAAGGAGCTGAGGAGCAAACGAGAGGGGTTGCAGGGAGCCTGGTCAGACTCGACGGCTTTCCAACGGCGGCGATCATTCGACCTCCATTCGGCGACACGCGTCTCAGCAGTTCATGGCCCTAGCAGACGCGACTTGCGCTTGGACAACTCCGCAAAAGCGATCTTTCGGCATACAGACCCTTATCTCGGCATCGCCTTGATCTTCAGCACCATGGTATAAAATTGGATCGCTCGGCCCTCGCTTGTTGGCTGCACGCAAGTATTTCATGCATATCTTTCCGTCACCTGACTTTCCTCTTTTGGGACCCCCACTATCGCTTCCGGGCATATCTCCGCTTCGGCTATCTTTCTTCTCTCGGGCGCTGCGTCTGCTTGGTACACATACACGAGGCTGGGCCGCGCTTACTGCCATATCTAGCCGTCCTCGTCTTCCCTTCGTCCCTGGTCTCTGTTGGACCGAGCACTCCGTCGTCCCGTGCTTCCTAACCTCGGATGCCTTCGCCCCCTTCTACTACGCGCTATGGATCTTGGGCTTCCCGCTAGTTGCTGTCGCCCCCCTTTCGGTTTCTCTACTACTACTATCTGTCTCCTTGGTGCATACACGGGCAATGTCGACATGATCTGCATCATCTGGGCATTGGGCGGCTGCATTGGGAATCGGATCACTAAAAGTTTGTCGACGTTTCCGTCTCTTAGGTAGCATGTGTGTTGTGGGTACATGCATGTAGGAGAAAATCGCTCTTGCTACCACACCCACCTGTGTCACTATTCTTCCTAAGTCTCTCGCACCTAGCAGGCATTTCAGCCTTAGCGCCAGTTTCCGTCGTGGAAACTGTCCATCAACCCAGTTTTCCGTGCCACCAGCGTACCGTCACCCTCTATGGAAGTTCGGACAGCTGGGCTTGGCGCACGTGCTTCGTGTACGCACACGCCTTGCAGCACACCTCGAAAACACAATCCACCGTATTACACGGCGTCAGACCTCTGATTATGCCTATAACGAGTGTGATCGCAAGTTTGGGACTGAGCGGGCCTTAGGGCCTGGCCACTCCCAGGCGCGCGCCCATCTGCGGTGAGCGGCTGAATAAGGGGGCACCGTCACGTGCCGCGTACGCTGTACCCAAAACGAGCGCAGCGCAACAATTTCTTTCACCACTCGCAGCTTTTCTTGCCCCGACTGTGTGCCTTCTTTCTCTGCTGCGCGCTCCGCTCCACGTTTCCCCCAATCGGAACTTTTCCCGTCCAACGAGCACTAGACACAACGAGGAGGATCCCGTCATCTCGCCCCAGTACCGTCAGCCATGCCTAATGTGGTCTACACTCTCAACAACGCCATCGATAGCTTCTTTTCCGAGGCTGGTGCGTCGTCGTCTAAGATACAATGCGATGACTTTGTCCGCCGAAGATATGGAGGACAGATCCAGCCAGTTAACATCCAAGGCTTGACCAGCTACACCGTAATTGCAGGCCCAAGCGGCAACAAGATCATTCAATTCCGAGAGCAGACTGCTTTGCTAGACATGAACATGTTGGAGTTGGCAAAAGACATTCACGGAGATGTCGTGCCTAGCTGTTCTGAGCTCGGGTGGGTTGGCGATCCAAGCGGCTCACCGCTAGCAATATACGAGATGGACAGGCTCCGTGGAGAGAACTATATCATCGCTCGCCCCTCTCTCACACGCGATAAACGACTGAATACCGTGTACAGCCTAGCGAGGTTCGTTGAGACTACTATATCTTCACCTCTTCTCTTCGCGTCAACCCGCTAACATAAAATGGAAGTTTCTTCGCGCAGTCGTGGCAAAAGGGCAAGCTAGCAAGCTCGAGATTGGCCAATACGTCTGCCATCAGCACCGAATGCTACGCCAGGTTCGAATACCTAGCCAACACCCTCCCAAAACGCTTCTTGCCCGCCGTCACCGAAATACAAGCCGCCCTGCCAGCGCTCCTTGACGGATGCTATCCCGTGGTCCTCACGCACAGCGACCTCAACGAGATGAACATCCTGGTCGATCCCGACAGCGGCGAAATCACAGGCGTTGTTGACTGGCCCAGCGCGAGCATCCTACCCTTCGGCTTCGCCCTCTACGCACTAGAGAGCGCCCTCGGCAGCATGGGCTCTGGCGGATGGAAATGGTTCGACGGCGTGGATGGCCTAAGGGATGCATTCTGGAGCGCCTTTAGAGAGCAGACTGGCTTGTCCGAGCCTCAAACGAGACTTGTAAAACTTGCGGGAAAGGCCGGCATCCTGATCCGCTACGGCACTGCCTACGACTGTGGCTTCCCTGGAATGATAGGCGTCCGAGACGAGAACGCTGAGGACTTTAGATACCTCGACGCCCTCATTTTCTAAGAGCTATTCCCCGCGCTCAGGTTTTGATAGAACTTCACCCAGTGAGTTGGGGCCTCCTTAGCCAGCTAGCTAGCTCAACGGTCTCCACGCCGTCGTGTTCTGGTAGCCTCAGGGTCGTTTTTCCTTCCGAATAGCCCACATGAACTTGCGTTTGCAGTCGTCGTTCTTGGGTTTGTCTGCTGTGTCGACTTGCGGTGGTGCTGTTCGTGAGATTGGAAAGAGGTGGCTTGGAGGGCGAGGGTGACATGGCGGTGGAGGTGTTGTTGTTGTTGTTTAGGGCATGAAGAAGTATATTCACTTCTCCCCTACCGGAAAACGATCGAAGATTAAGCTCGCGCTAGACTGATCGGCTGGTGTGAGCGTGAGTGAAAGTCAACGCACGTGCGCCATTCGCTTCTCCGCCTTTCAAACCGGCCGCCGCGCCATAACAAAGCACAAAACGTCTCCCTCCACAGAGCTTCTCTCCGACCACAGAAGCAGCACCCGCCGAAAATTCTACAATGGCGCTGAACGCGAACCCCGCTAGCGAGTACGTTCGCCTCCAGATCTTTCCCCGCGAGACAATCCGCGCCTGCCTGAAGGTCCTAGAAGGCCTCGACGAAGGCCCGCATACCATCAACCGGCGCGAGTTAGACGTAGCCATGGACACCCACCCCGCCTTACTCGGCTCCTCCTCCTGTACGTGGCCTCTCGTACTGGACGCGAACAGCGACATGGCCCGTTCCACTCGTCTTCTCGTGGCCGTGGCCGCAGCACGTCTCTCTAGCTCTCCCGGTCCCACGCACCGCAACACGCTGCAAGAGTACCTAGTCTCCCCTATGGAGTTCTACGTCGCCGCCAGTGAGGTCACCGTCGACGGAGGAGGCTATCTCATCACGGGCGATGTGCTCGAGCTGAAGCATCCGATGGTTACAACGACGACCAGGCACACCCGCTATGTTCGTCCAGCGCAGGGGAAGCGTGCCATGAAGCGGGTGGAGACGTCGCAGTACAATGACGGCTATCTCGAGGACGACGCAACGCTCCAAGGCTTCCGGACGATGGTGTTAGCAGCGCAGTGGAAGGCTGGCCTGCTTCCTCACCCTAGCCTGCGCACTCCGCTCTGGCACGTGGATCGTCGGGCGAAGCATGCCGATGTTCCGGAGGCGATCGCACACCTGGTCACTGGTCATTTGGACAAGGACAATGACGCCGGGAAGATAGATGGAAAGATCGATGCGAGCTCCCTTCTCGAGAAGAAGACTGACCGTCTCTGCATCAGCGGTGTGTTCTCGTCGCCCTTCCCCTCCCCAAAAGCACGCACTAACATCCACTCAGACAGCGAAGCCTACAAGCCCATCGGCACGCCCTCCGAGAACTCTCCTCCCAATCAAGGAATCCCCAGCCACGGTGTCCTCAAGCTATCCTACACCGCGACCCTGGAAACCCCGACGGAGAAAGTACACATCAGCATCAATCAACCCACCCTTCGGGGCCAGGAGAGCAAGATGCTGGATACCACCAAGGAGCTGTGGGGGTGGATGGCGTCCAGGGGCTGCACTGGCAAGGTTCGATTGGAGGATGTTGTCGAGCTCGCTGGGAAGATGGTTGGAAAGCAGGGGGACGGACCTCTATTCAACGCGTAGGTGTGCTTTGAGACGTCTGCGAGGGATGTTCTCCGTCGGGGGGTCATTGCTGCGAGGCAACCCTATGGCTGCATGATGTTGGTAGTATTCGTCGAGGATATCGTATAGTGGGATGTCTGCACCGACAAGCTCCTCTGGGAGGGCGTAAAAGGCCGGTAGTGATGTGCAGCTTAGGGAAAGACGCACGTCGTAAAATATAAACTCCTCGCCGGTGAGCCTGTGTCCCATACTCTGCGGTTTTGCTGGTTTACGTGAAGATCTCGGAAAAGCTTGCAGCGCGGTTGTCTCACTATAGAGCAGTGAGGATGATGCGGTTTGAAGAGGCATTCCTTGGTTCTGTTCTCAGACTTGACAACTTTGCTCTTTTCTTCGATTCCCTTTGTGCGTGGTTGCTGTGCGTCTCGATACGAGCAATTAGGAAACTGGCTCTGAAGTCTTGCCACAAAGTGATAACCTCACTGTACTAATGATCACTCACGCACTCCTTTTACCTTACTCACTGGTGCAGAAGTCTTATCCATGTGCAGTTTTACAAGTTCTGATTTTTCTATGTAAAGCAGTCTACCCTGCCAGGATGCTTTCGGGAGAAGCTATCCATGTATAGCCAGCCGTTAGTAGCGTGGGGAAAGAGCCTAGACTCCAGTAATGCAATATGAAGAAGTCAAGCAACCGGACTATGGTTATCGAGCACCGGCGTCCCTTGAGACCATCCTCATCTGCGCGCTTGTACGACCCTAATCCCGATCCCCAGGCAATCAAGCAGCCCGGGCACAACCACCTCACGCCCGCCATCCGCCATCGCTTCCCCACGTCGACTCAGTTCCAGCGCGAGACCTCGGAACCTCCAGATCTCCCCACCTGAACGGCGGAGGAGACGCGATGCGGAACGGGTTGAAATAAGCCGCTGCCGCTTTCACATTCTCATCCTTGACCTTCTTGCCCTGGACCTCCTCGGTTTCCTCGTGCTTGACACCTTCCTTTTGCATCTCCGTGGCCAGATCAAACGCATTCTGCAACCCCACCTTATCCTCCAGCCCCTTCTCCTGCACCCACTTCCACACCTTCTGCATGCCGGTGTTCACGATCTTCTTCTCGGGGCCGCAGACGTGGGTCGCGTCGAGCGGGATGTGGATGATGTGGTTGCCGGATTCGACGGTGGCCCAGTAGGTGACGGTGAGGGGTTTCGGGGTGGGCGGGTCTTGCTCGGGCTGGGTTGCGTCGCGCTGGTGGTTATCACCGTGAAGCGCGGGCTCCTGCTCATCGAGTGGTGCGCCCATTCCTGGTGCTGGGAGGTCGTCGTCTCCGATATCCTCTTGCACACGCTCGCCGAGGCAAAGATCGCAGTAGCAATTAGCCGCGCAGTCATACGAAGAAGCTTCGATATCCTCAGCATCCATTCCAGCCCCGCCGAGACGCACGCCAATCTCTTCATTACCCCCATCATCCTTATTGCCGCCCCTCATATCACCGCAGTCCGATATGATGGGACCATCGACGCCGGGCTTGGAGTTGAGAACGACGGCATACGCTTCCGCATACTCGGTGGCGCAACTCGGATGGTCTTCCATGAGTTCTCGAAGCCTCTTATTGACGGTATGTAAGGAAACCGGCGTGCTCAGCTGAAGGACACGGAGGGCTTGCTCTATCGTTGGCAGCTGCGAGGCAATCCAACCATTGCGCACTCTAGCGAAGCGCTCAACATCCGCATCGTTCATGCAGCCGTTGCAGCTGCGATCAAGTGAGAGTCCGCAGGCGGGACAGTTGTCCTTGCAGGTCAATGGAGGGCCGAAATGGAAACGCCTCTTGCAGATCACACACACCTGCACGCTGTGCTGCTCGTCGCCCCCGTTCTCCTTGCCAGCACCGGCGTTGCCGTTATCCCAGCCGCTAGCAGTTTTAGGCTCCTCTTGCTCGTCGAATCCTTGGGTCGGGCAGTAGCGGTCCCATCGGTCATAGCCGTCAGGGTAATCGTTGGCTTTCCTAAACTGGCGTTGAGCGGGCGCTGCTTCAGCATTGCTGTCAGGAGGAGGCTGATTTAGCACTTCAATGGGTGGCAAGGTATCTTTCAAGGGGGCTGTAGTCTTAGGAACTTTGCAGACGGGCGGCATGAAGACGATGTCCGGAGCGGAAAAGATGAGCCGAACAGCAGCACAGCGCTCACAGTTTTCACGGCCACACCTGCCGTCGTCGCAGCTCTGCTTCTCTTCCGGCTCTTCTTCGAGGACGATGCATAGTTCGCAGCCCCAGCCTCTACAGACGCACTTGCAGCGGGCGCAATCCCCGCAGGCACTCCAGCCGCCGTGGCATACCGGATTGTTTGGTTCCAGCCCGGGCATAGGTCCACAATCACCGCAGTCCTCATGTCCGCATCCGCAAGAGGCATCCATGGCAGGTTGATCGGCGGGCGTCGGGCGGGAATGGTAGGAGTCGACAGGATGGAGCTTCGCCTGCTCCACGAGAAATTTCACGAATTCGTTCTGATACTCAGGGTCCTTGTTTTGAAATGGGTCCTGTGGCGCAGTGCCCATGACAGCGGTCTCATATGGACTATAAGTACGGATGCGGGCATATTTGAAGCCGGAGTTGGCTTCTTCGTTCGTGGAGACGGCGCCGGGAAGGCGAGAGGTCCAGGATTTCCAAGTAGACGCGTCCAAGTTCTTGACTTTTGCTTCCGTCTCGCTATCGTTCTTCGCCTGCTTCGTCGGTGATGACTGGGGCCAGGGACCGAGAACATAGTAAGGCTTATCCGAGCGCTTGTTGTCCATCTGAGGCTGGATATGCTGAGGCTTTCCCTCAAGAGTAATATTGTCCTTCTGTAACTTCAGCAGTGTTTGCCCCCGCTTCTTGAGGTAGGTGTCTTGATCATCGGGACCGGAGGTTGAGTCAATCACCACACGGTTGGTCTGACTCTTCTCTGCCTTCACCTCGGATCTCGGTCGCGCTTCGGCGTGGGTACGGTCGCGGAAAGATTCGAGGACTTGCTCCCAGGTCTCAGCATCAGGCTCAGTACGAGTAGCTTTCTTGAATCGGTTCGGCGCATCGCGACCGCTATCCGTGTCGTGAGCCGCAGCAGGCGGAGTAGCCGGGGCGCCGACGTCCCTAGCAATCCACTTCACAGCGACGTTAGCGGGGGCCTTGACGAAGATGTTGTCCTTCATTGAGCGCGAGGATGTGTGCTCGTCGGAGCCCGGTGGGGTGTAAGTGATGGAGGAGTTTGTGTCGACTGGCGAAGGCATGCTGCGCGCAGTCGAAAGAGTTGGGAAAAGGAAGTAGAGGGTGGTGGAGAGAACAGGGTTTGGAGGCGATGGCGGGGTTATATAGGAGGAGCGGTGAAGGCAGAAGAGCGGGGCCGGTCTAGGCGGTCGGTGAAAGGCTTTCTGCCTGCGGAGGTGAGAGAAAAAAAGAGCGAAGGGCGGGGTGAAGGCCGCGTTGACGAAGTCCACTGCGAGTTGAAAGGTTGAGAGCGAGACATGAAGAGAAAAAGACGGTGGGGTATGACGCCATACCCGCACCGCTCGAAGATAGACTTCCTTCCAACCGTCGGTAGGAAAGCGCTCAGCCCAGCAATGGCGTCGTCTCCGGCACCTGCGCGCTCCCGCCCCTCCCATCAAATCCCCTCCACCTCGCCCAAGCCCACCAGCTCCTGTCCCTGGTTCCCCCATCAATAACTAACGCCTCGCGCTCTCTCTCCTGTCCCCTAACTCTCCTCCACCAGCGTCCCCAACCCTCTTTCCTCCTCACCCAAACCCCCTCCCTCCCATCCGCATACACAACCCAACCGCCCTTCCTCACCTTCAGCGTCCATGCGACCCACTTCCCCGCTTTGACCAGCCCATACAGCACCAGCACGCCGAACAGCGTGCAGAAGATAGTGACGATGGACGTCAGGAAGGTGATGGTGGAGACTTGGCAGCCTAGTCCGGATGTGCGTAGCTCGAAGCGCTCGGGACCCATTGCGCAGATGAATTTGTAGCGCATGGGGGAGAGGAGTGGGAAGGCGCGGGAGAGGGGGTCGAGGGGGAGGGGAAGGCAGGTTGACGACTATTGGACGGTGTTATTAATGGAATGGAATTGGTATAGACAAAGGATGGGTATAGGATGAGCATTTAACCCGCTTCATCGAGACATAACACATCTAGGTAGATGCTAGATATGTATAAAAAGGTGGCTAACAAGAGAGGCTTGCGGACATGCCCTTCCTCCGGAAAGAGCGGGAACTTACAATAGCGCACCATCCGCAGAACCCCTTGCTCCGATGACAATCCCCACAGTCTGTATAGCCCCAGCATAACTCCAGTCTCTTTCGGTCATCCTTCGGGCTATCTTCCCATCGCTGCTGCAAGATCTCCGATACGTTGAACAAGGCCGACTGTTGATCGGCGTAGCTTATCGAGGGACAATTTGACGTCATATCTGAGGAGCAAGAAAGGGTACCCTAGGTAGTAGTACCAGTTCAGGAACGGATCGAAAATATGTTTCTCGATGCAAAGGCTCTGCTTGCGATGGGATGGTGTTGTGGTGTGACTTGAGGTGAACGACATGTGGCTGGGTGTCAGAGCGCTTGGACACATTGAGCATCGTGGCTTGGCACTCTTACGCGTTTCCGGTTATCACAGGAAGGGCACATGCATTTGGTGAACACTTTCAAATTGAAGTATATACAAGAAAAAGCAAGCGGGTGCTGCAGCAAAAGGAATATCTCGTAGCCTAATGTACTTCTACAATTCTAGGCCGGAAGGCAGCGGCTGACTTTGGACCCTTGCGCCTACACTACTGTCAGCGTCCCCGTTTCCAACAAACATGAGGCTGGATTGGACTGACCTTGCATTTGTAGCCGCTCACACACGTAGTAGGGCCTTTCCAATTCTTGCCGCCGCATTGCTGATACTGTAGAATCAACAACATCAGCTCCTCGTAGTTTATAGCCAAGCCCAGCGCAGTGTGCAGCGGCGCATGTGACGACACCATATCCTTAACCGCCATTTTTGGTTCTTTAAAATGAGAGAATCTTTTAAACACGTACCGCACCAGCCTGTTTGGTAGGCGTGGATGAACCGCTGCCGAGGGCGAGGATCTTGGCGGCGGCGTGCTCGCCGACGGTGACGATGTACGATGTCGGGTTCGTGGTGATGTGGCTAAGGTTGATCAGTATTAGTCCGACCCCGTGCGATGGAAGCCTTACCCAGGGAAGATGGAAGCATCGACGACGTGGATGTTGTCGGTGCCGTAGACCTGGGTGTTGGTATCAACGACAGACGTTCCGCCGGTGAGACCGCTGTCAGTTCCAATCTTCGCAGTGCCAATCCAATGGTTGGCCCGACGAGCAGCAGGAGTCTTGGGAAGCTACAAAGGTGTCAGCAGCTGAAAATAATCGCCGGTGGGGGAAAACATACGCTAGCAACATAGGCTTCAACGGTCATGTTGGCGGTCGGCACCTCCCAGGTGATGGACGGAACCTTGGCAACAGCCGCCATCATGCTCTTGAGGCCAGCGATGACAGCGTCGGTATCGGCCTGATCTTGGAGGTAAGGAGCCTTGGAGACGTAGATGTTGAGGGCTCCGTTGATGGAAAGAGTTCCGCGCGAGGTAGAGCCACGGCCAAGGTACTGGCTGATGGTCATAGAGTGAGTGTCGTTCTCCTTGGGGCCTTCAACACGAGCAGTCCACTGCAGCTGGCGGTCTTTGCCATCTGACCCCTTGACGACCTCCCAAGCGAGAGGACCAATGTTAGGAGCAGACTGAGCGAGGATTCCGGAGCGGTGGTTAAGGTAGGCATCCTCATCAGACGAGTTAGGGGTATCCCATGCCTCGTAGAAGTCATAGAAAGAGACGTTGGGGTGCTGGATAACGAGATCGGTCTGCAGCGTTATTAGTAATTTCTTAAGGAAAGAGATGAGGTGATACGCACATTGACGTGGTCGTTCAGATTCTGGCCAACCGGAAGGTTGATCCATTGCGTCTCGTTGATCATGGTAGCACCATCAACAGCACTGTCCTTGACGACGGTGAGCTGGTCCTTGGGGCCGATACCGCTTCGGAAGAGCATCTTGGATGAGCCAAAGGTTCCTGCGGAAAGAATGACACGGCCACCCGGGTTGAGGTTGACAGTGCCGCAGTAGCCACCCTCAAGCTCAACACCAGTAGCCTTTGAGCCAGTGCGAACAACACGCCTGGCCCTCGTGTTCATCCAGAGCTTGAAGTTGTTTCGCTTCATAGCAGTAACGAGGTACGTGCCGAGAGGGCCCTGCCTCTGTCCATTCTCGTACATGAAAGGAGAATGGGAGTAGACGAGGTTCTTCTGGTCCGGTTGCTCGTTAGCGACAACCTGCTTCCAGCCACCTGCAGACAAAGCGGTGGAAAGGACTTCGAAACCTTCCTGCCTGTATCGCTTGCCGTCCATGGAAGGAGTATCAGTACCGGGAATGCGCTTGAAGACAGCGTCAATCGAGGACTTCATGTCTGTAGACTTCCAACCGCTTGGGAAGTTATCATCCCAATCAATTGCGACGGGCTTCCACCACAGGGCAGCGTTGACTGCAGTGCCTCCGCCGAGAACGCATCCGGCCATCTGGTCAATGTCGGTGCAAGCTATGCCAGCAGAATCGACCCAGATCTGGTTGCAGAGACCTGGAACGTCGAATCTAGTAAGGTCGGTGCCGTTGAGCCAACCGGGTTTCATGGTTCCGCCGAATCGTCCTAGGGATGGCGGGCCCTTCTCAATCAGGAGGACTTTCTTGCCGGCCTCAGAGAGCTTGTCTGCAACAGGAATACCACCAGCACCAGCACCAACGACGATGTAGTCATAAGTATCGGTTGGGACGGGTGTGCCAACGCACGCCGTCGGGCCAGTAGGAGTCGGAGTGGGGGTCACTCCACCAGAAGGAGTCGGCGTAGGAGTCGTTGTGCCGTTGCCAGCCAAGGCAGCCCATTGTGTATATTTAGCATTGCGAGCAGAGGCAACCTCAATACCGAATTGAGACTGTCCGTTGTCGTGGAACTTCCATGGAGTGGGGGGTACATCGTTGTTCTGGGCCCAGCCAATGACTTGGACCTCATCCGGAATTTGGGAGCCCGCTGCGCCGTTCTGGTTCCAGACCCAGCACCATTGGCACCTGTAGATCAATTCGAAGTGCGTGTCGTTGATCTTGTGCGAGATCTGGGTCAAGGTCGCGTTTCCGGTGTAGTCATCTGGGGCGACGTATCCTCTGCCGGAGTTTAGCGAATTTGTTAGAATTGGTAATTTTGCTAGACTTACCCTGCATAGACGAACTTGGTCTTCACAGCATCGCCATCAGGCCATGCCACAAGCAGAAGAGAATTGGGCATGCCGCCACCATGACTGACACCTGACCAACCCTTCCTGCCAGTCCTCAAAGAACCGACTATGTGGCCAATGTATTCGGCGTTGCCGGAGCCGGTCTCTGGCAATGCATAACCCCATTGGAAGCCACCAGTGGTCTGGCTCTCGTCAACAGATTGCTGGCTGCAGGGAGTTAGCAGAAAGCTTCGTTAGGCTTGGCTTTTCCTTACAAGAAAGTGATTCCGGTGGCAGCGTCGGTGTATGCACCCTGCGCGAGAGCACTGGAGGCAACTGCGCTTGTCAGTTCTCTTCAATTGAGCAATTGGCATGCCAGGGGACCCACAGAGAGGGGACAGCAGCGAAGCCGCCTTGAAGAAGCTAGAGCCCTTCATCTTGAAGAACTTCTTCTAGCAGCGACACAGGGACAGACCGGACGAAAAGACCAAGGGAAGCAGACAGCAGCGGCCACAGGACCCGACCCATGCTGGCGCGGCCCTCGCGTTAAATACATTTTGCTTTTACCCCGGTTGATGGCAGCAGCAGCATCATCGTTCGGAGTTGAGACCAATTAGCCAAGCCCAGAGCATGACAGTTTCCCTCTCGCGGCGGAAGAGGCTGGCCTTGTTCCAGGTACCGGATCGCAGTGAGATGCACCCTTGCCAAATCTGTTCCGACGTAAGGGCCGGCTGAGAATAATGCGACGCGCCATTGGCTGCAGCGTCACATGGGCACTCTGGATGAGGTCTGGGTGGGAATGTTTAATCTGCGATGATTGAAACGGCGGGGGTGTTGATTGATGTAAATTGATGAAGGACGGGTTACAAGGCTTCATTGCCGTCACGCCCCTGCCGCCGAGAGCAGGCTAAGCCCGTCCGAGATTCCCCACACTCGCTTCGCTATCCGCATCGGGAATGGCCAATCTGCCGCCAGCGAGCTTAAGGGGAACGTCGCTCGAAAGTTCCGCCTACCACGGCCTCACGCGGCGCACCACCACGTCGCGCGCATCCTTCTCGAATCCGCTCGAATTTCCACAGCCCGCAAGCCGCGTGGCGACGACTGCCGTCAAGTTCCACCAGTCTGGTTCCCGCAGGCTCCGCATGGCGATGCCACTCAAATGAAACGCCCTCCCTCGCCCATAGCAGGGACCTTTACGCTGACGGCCGAAACATCGTAGCCTGCCAATAGATGCTAATCTATTAAATTGAAGGTATAGAACGGTCTAATCGAGCTCGAAGCGCAATCCTTCTCACTTTGCCTCTGTCGCTTCCGTCTCGTCTCTAGCAATCAATTTTCTAGAGCGCTTCCATCCGCCCACCGGCATTTCTGCTTCATATCGACATCGCGCAGGCTATTTTGCTACCGGGGCTTTCCTCTTGCAGTTTGGTACTGTCATGCTGTTCGTTTTCCTTCTCGTTGGTCGCTTTTCTTCCTTCGCACGTGCGCGAAGCCTAGGTGTTGGCTTTCGCGAGCCCATTATATTGGGTGTGCTTGGGTCTTGACTAGGCCGTGGTCAAGCCCTTTCGCCATCCACTAGAAGGCTTGCCGAATCTTGTAGAACCTCACGTCTGGCTCCGTGTCGCTCCGTGCCAGATTGGGAGGCCTTCTGAACTTGGTATCAAGCTGGCTTTCTTATAGAGGCTATCCCATCATGCTGGAGGGTGATGTCTGTGGTGGTAGCATTATCAGTACCTTTTAGTTCACTATGAAGAGCTTCCTCCTCACGTGCTCCTTGGTCGCCAGTGCGTCTGCGCACACCATCTTCACACAGCTCCATGTAAACGGAGTAGCGCAGGGACACACGAAAGGCATCCGAGTGCCGGTAAGAGCAGGCCCTCCACCCCACACAGCATGCGTTCACTAACAGTGTGCCACAAGACATACGACGGGTATGGACCTCGAACGTGCAGCCACATTTAGACCGAGATTGACACGTGGTATCCAGGCCAATCACCGACGTGACGTCCAATGATGTTATCTGCAATGGAGGGTACGAGCCACCGAAGTTTCTTTAAGCGTACCATATTGAGATGCATTTAGCCCTAATCCGCTTCGGACTCCCCTCCCTAAGGACATCATCCAGGTAGGTCCAAGTCCGAACGCCGCGCCCCATGAGAATATACTCATTCAGGGGATAGGTCAAAGCCGGGGACAAATTGACTGCGGAGTGGCACCATACGTTAGACAGCAACCAAGCGACCGACAAGTCCGATCCCATCGACCCGGGCCACCTTGGTCCCGTTATGGTCTATTTGGCCAAGGTTGACGACGCCCTGACAACGAAGGTTACTGGCCTGAAATGGTTCAAGATCTATGAAGATGTAAGCCAGACTCGTTATACGAGCATCGCACTTTTGCTAATCGCATCGTTACATTAGGGCATGGACGCCAGCGGAAACTGGGCGGTAACGAGACTATACAACAATAAAGGCTTAGTAGTGCATCCAGCCCGGCCAGTCAGTGTCCCCTACCCCTTCCCCCTTCCTCTTCGCTCCGCCCCAGCTAACGCCACCAACAGATACCTCCTCCGAGCCGAGATCATCGCCTTGCACGGTGCCGGAAACTACCCCGGCGCACAGCTGTACATGGAATGCGCTCAGATTAACGTGAGTGGAGGAGGAAGCGCGAACCCACCAACTGTAAGCTTCCCTGGCGCGTACAAGGGAACGGACCCAGGCATCAAGTTCCAGCTCTACTGGCCGAAGCCGACCTCCTACACGATTCCGGGACCCAGGCCGTTCATCTGCTAGACAGCTATTGTGACGAGCATTTTGATATTGAGGCACCAGGGGAGCAAGTGGTGTGGCGTCCGGAGAATGCATTCGAACAGTCTCGATCAGGGACGCCTCACTTGCACATATAGTCTATAATATCAACCCTTCAGACCAACCATGACCACCATGCACAGAGTACAAAGTACCTAATCGCTCAAAACTCCCGCGCAGCCTTCGCTCCTGCCCCACAGTCACGTGCACCCCCGACCCAAGCTCCAAGTGTGGCTCGCCTGTTCTCCGCAATCTCATCTCACCACCGCCTCCACAAACTCTCCACAACGGCACCGCCGCTGCACGACGCATTTTACCCGATCGATATTGTACCTGCGCCGCAGAGCCGCTTTGCCGCCGTCGATCCAATATGCACGACGAACGTGAGTTCCCCAGGCCAGATTGCTCTCGTTCTGCTTGTGCGCTGCCCGGCTTCCCCGCTATGCGCTTCAATAGCGCGCGAGGTGAACGCGGTGGATGAGCGAAGCTTCCCCGCATGTTTTGGAGCTTCTAGTAAGCTTTGATACACTTGGAGGGGTTTGGAGAGGTGGAATTGGCGTGCTGCTGCCTGGCTTGCTTCGTCCGGACCGTTGCTCGCGCAGAGCAGAGCGCGGCGCGCAGCATTTCCGCACATTGCCAGACCTCACTGCAGTCCAATCGCACATACCAACTCTCTAATCCATACCCGCCAACCTCCCTCTTGTCTACACTCCGTCGTACGCGATTTGAAAAAGCAAGCTGAGAGCGACTGCTAACATCTCCTCCGGTCCTACAGACCCCCACCCCCTCCTCGCCCAAGTCCCCCTAACAATCTCCCCCTTCCTCTCCCTCCCTACCGCCACCCAGCTGCCCTACACCTACAAACAACTCCCATCCACGCTGCCCGCCAGCATCCTCTCGTCCCCACCTACCGCTACCGCGGCAGACCCCGCGCAAAACCAAACCCAACAGCAACAGCAACAACAACCAGCCTACATCCTCTCCTCGACCGGCCAAACCGCCACGCCCGACGCCATCCTCGCCTCCTGCCTGGCGCTGCAATCGCACCTCGAGCACCTCTCGGCCTCCGCGCGCGCAACGTTGCAGGAATGGGAGGACCGGCGCAAAGCGGCCGATCTGGCGGAGAAGCGGCGCGTGGCGCCCGGCTGGCTGGACAACGAGGTGCATTTGCTGCGGCCGGAGAATGTGAGCGAGGAGGCGCAGATGGCGGAGGTGGAGCGGGAGGGGAGGCCGGAGGCGCTGAGGCGGACGAGCGTGGGGATTAAGGGGCTGGTGGAGAGGAGGGATGGGGTGCCGGATCCGAGGGAGGGGGAGGAGTTGGATCGCGCGTTTGGGGGGCTGGATATCAAGTGAGCGATGCTCTTGCCTTTCCTCTGGCAAGATCATATTGTGGAGTTGGGCGCTGGAAGGCGTTTACGGTGTAGCCGCTACACCACGATTCATGGTTTCATGAAGCATCACGAGCGGACGGGCGAGCGCAGAGACGACAACGCGACCAGCGGCAACCAAGATAAATTAATTTACAAGTCCTTTAGAAGAATCAAGCTACTACCCCATCCACTCAATGCCTTGCCAAACGTTTTTAGCTCTCCGCGACCCCCTCAATCTCATCGCAACCTGCCCAGCGCACACACCAGGACCCGTCGCGACACGACATTACAAACATATGAAAAGGAAAAGGAGGGGAATCTCGAAAGGTAGAAGATAGGCTCTTTGACGAGCCAACGGTGCACTTGAAGAAGTGTCAAGCCAACGCCATCGACGCCCTGGACGCGCCGCTTTAACGACGGCCGTGCGAGCGATTGCCCATGGTGCTCTGGAGATTTTCCACCTCCGACTCGAGCTGCTTGATCATAGCGTGGCTCGCCTCGAGGTCCTTGTTGAGGCGGTCGCGCTCTGAGATGAGCTTCTGCTCCCACTGCCTGAATCGCTGCTCCTCGACCTTGACCTGCTCGGTGAAGCGCTTGCGGAGCGCCTCTTCCTCCTCCTTGAACTTGGGATTGTCGAGCTTCCGCGGGCGAGCCTCGCCGAACTTGCGTGTCTCCATCTGCTGCGCACGGTACGCCTCGTAGTGGTTTTCCTCGGTGGTGTGGATGAGGTCGAGCATGTGGGTTCGGATGAGGATAGCGCGGAGCTTCTTGAAGTCGCAGTGCTCTTCGTTCTCGACTTCGGCAACGCCCCAGGCATATTGCCGGCCTTTGACGGTGCGGTTGTCGTTCGTCTGGACGTCCTTCTCAGAACCGATGACGGAGAAGGGCATGGCAGTGATCAAGCCACGAGCGTGGTTGAGGGCGGCATCATCGTCCTCTTCGAGTGGCGGCTGGTAGATCTTGATACCCTGGGCCTCAATGACAGCGCGCACCTGCGCAAGTTAGCATAGGTTCACTGGTATTGGAACGCATAACGCACCCTCGTCTTGAATTTAGCCAGATCCTGCGGGCTCAGAGTATCCGCCTTAGCAATGACGGGAATCAAGTTGACACGCGTGCAGAGCCTCTTCATCACCTCAATGTCCAGCGGCTTGAGGGTGTGGCCGGTGGGTCTGATGAAGTACAAGCAGGCGTGCACACGGAGATCGATCTTATCGCTGCGGCGCGGCTGCTGCTCCTGCAACATATACGACTCATGCTGGTCGTCGAGGAACTCGATGATGGGTTGCCACGAGTCGCGGTTGTTGACGTAGTCGCCGAAGCCGGGGGTGTCAATGACAGTCAGGCGGACTGGCAGCGTCAGCATCCAAAGTCGCAACAGAGCATGTGCTAGCTATACCCTTGAAGAATTTCTCCTCTAGCTCTGCCTTTGTGATCTCGATCTCGACCGTCTTGTCGACCTGCTTCATGTGGCGGCGCTTGTGGTCGGCGTAGTTTTTGATGGTAGTGGAGAAGAGGGTGTTGATGAAGGTCGTCTTTCCGAGTCCAGACTCGCCCGCGACCTGCGCGCGTCAGAACAGCCCATAGCCATGTGAATATATCTTGCCTTACCATTATCGTGAAGGCAGCACCACGCTTCGCGACGATCTTGTGTCTGTCCAACGTTAGGCTCAAACGGGGCGTGTGCGCTGGCTAGGAGCATACCGCTGGTTGGGCAGCTGCAACAGACGTTAGCAAGATGTTGAGGTAGCTGTAGAACAGTGTACATACATTGGCAATGCCAATTGGAGAAGCCGACTCGGCCATGGTGTCGTCCTGCGTTCAGGCTGCTGTGTGTGGACTGGGTTCTGGCGCGCCAGTTAGCGGAGGGCGGTCCTCTGCAGGCTGGAATTCGCGCAATTACCGAAGAGGAGCACTCCAAGGCACCCGGGCAGTTTCGAGCGTGGAAGAGATGCACAGGGTGCGGGCGTGGGGAGTGTTGTGGTGATGGCTGCGTGGTGTTGCTGGATATTTGGCGTCCCCTTTCTCTGCACAACTCCCTTCGGCAAGCACTGACCCCGAACAGGTAAGGCGCGCTCAACGCCCCCCGACTTTCCAAAGTCTACGAGTGGCCCGAGCTCCAACTCGAAAAAAAGTGGAAGAAATTCCCCGCCCCCGCCGACACGCGATGACAGTTATTCGACCTTTTGCTGCAAGATGAAGACTGATTTTCAGGTGAGTCTGATGCGCAATACTACAGTCCGGCGACTAACAGGTTGCGCAGTTCTCCAATTTGCTCGGGACCGTGTACAGCAGAGGCAACCTTCTATTCACACCGGACGGAACATGTCTTCTCTCGCCGGTCGGAAACCGGGTGTCAATATTTGACCTCGTCAAGTATGCAGCGACTTGAGGAAGGAGCAACCCAGCAAAGCTAATTGCCCTTCTAGCTCAAAGTCATACACGCTCCCATTCGCACATCGACGGAACATTGCTCGATTAGCGCTGAATCCAAGAGGAAATCTACTGCTCTCCGTAGACGAAGACGGTCGCGCGATCCTCACGAATATACCCCGTCGTATCGCGCTCTACAATTTTTCCCTCCGCGGCGAGGTCAGCGCCCTTGCCTTTGCGCCCGACGGCCGACACTTCGCAGCGGGCATTGGCAGGCAAATCGAAGTCTGGCATACGCCGTCGACACCGGACGTAGCAGACGGAGACCTCGAGTTCGCGCCCTTCGTGAGGCACCGACTGTATACTGGCCATTTCGACACGGTACAGAGCATAGAATGGTCGACCGATTCACGCTTCTTCATCAGCGCGTCGAAAGATCTGACCACGCGGATATGGAGCATGGACCCGGAAGAGGGCTTCGTGCCTACAACTCTATCAGGTCACAGGCAAGCAGTCCTTGGGGCCTGGTTTTCGAAGGATCAGGAAACAATATACACCGTCAGTAAAGATGGAGCGCTGTTCGTTTGGAGATACATGCTGCGGTATGATGCACCAGAAGATGCCGAGGAAATCGACGAGAACATGCAGTGGGGGATTGCAGAAAAGCACTTCTTCATGCAGAACAACGCACACGTCACATGCGCGAACTTCCACGCCGAATCAAACTTACTTGTCACCGGCTTCTCCCACGGCATCTTCTTCATCCACGAACTGCCGGACTTCAGCCAAATACAGAATCTCAGCATCTCACAGAATGACATCGATTACGTCGCAATAAACAAGACTGGAGAATGGCTCGCATTCGGGGCATCGAAGCTGGGGCAACTACTTGTCTGGGAGTGGCAATCTGAGTCTTACATCCTCAAGCAGCAGGGACATTTCGACTCAATGAACACCATAGCCTACTCGCCCGAAGGCCAGCGCATCATTACCGCTGCTGACGATGGCAAAATCAAGGTCTGGGATGTCAACTCTGGATTCTGTGTTGTTACATTTACAGAGCACCTGAGCGCGGTTGCAGCATGTGAATTCGCGAAAAGAGGCAACGTCTTGTTTACAGCTAGCCTTGACGGGTCAGTAAGAGCGTGGGACCTGATAAGATATCGCAACTTCCGGACTTTTACAGCTCCATCAAGGATACAATTCACTTCGCTAGCAGTCGACCCTAGCGGCGAAGTTGTGTGCGCCGGGTCGCTCGACTCTTTTGATATCCACATTTGGTCCGTACAAACGGGTCAGCTGTTGGACAGACTATCAGGCCATGAGGGTCCTGTTATGTCATTAGCTTTTGCGCCCGACGGAGGCACATTGGTTAGCGGAAGCTGGGACCGCACCGTTCGTCTCTGGAACATTTTCGCTCGTACCCAAACGAGCGAGCCGCTGCAACTCATGGCTGATGTCGTCTGCGTTGCAGTGCGGCCCGATTCGAGACAAATTGCTGTCACAACGTTGGATGGTCAGTTGACGTTCTGGTCCGTATCGGAAGCTACCCAGCAAGGTGGCGTAGACGCTCGACGCGATGTATCCGGAGGACGCAAAATGACCGACCGACGGACTGCCGCCAATGTCGCAGGGACCAAGAGCTTCGATGCTGTGAGGTACAGTGCTGATGGCACTTGTGTGCTTGCCGGTGGGAAAAGCAAGTACATTTGTCTATACGACGTTCAGTCAGGTGTTCTGATCAAGAAGTTCACCGTGTCGATGAACTTATCGCTTGATGGGACGCAGGAGTTCCTCAACAGCAGACTTCTCACTGACGCGGGACCGAGGGGAGAAATCGACGAAACTGGCGAAGCATCTGATTTGGAGGATAGAAGAGATCATACACTTCCAGGTGCTCAACGCGGGGAAGGCGCACGAAAAACAAGACCAGCAGTTCGTGTGCCTGCCGTAGCGTTTTCGCCTACTGGACGAGCATTCTGCGCAGCATCGACGGAGGGGCTCCTCATCTACTCGCTAGACACTACCTTCCAGTTCGATCCGTTCGATCTCGATATTACAGTAACACCCTCAACGACGCTCTCCACTCTTGCTCAAAAGGAGTATTTGAAAGCGCTTGTCATGGCTTTCCGTCTGAACGAGCGCAATCTCGTCCGTCGTGTGTACGAAGCGACTCCCGTCACTGACATTCCACTCGTCGTTAAAGAGATGCCGAGTGTCTATCTTGGTCGATTACTTCGCTTCGTAGCGCTACAGGCCGACGAATCACCGCACCTCGAATTTAATTTGATGTGGATAGAAGCATTGCTGAGCAAGCATGGGCGTTGGTTGAAAGACAATAGAGGAGGTATGGAAGGAGAATTAAGGAGCGTGGAGAAAGCGGTGAGAAGGATACAGGCTGAGTTGGCGAGGCTAGCGGACGAAAACATCTACCGCATTGAATATTTGCTTGCGCAACCTGTCGAGAAGAAAGAGAAGACACTACAGCTTGACTTCGGAGTGAAAGAGATGGAAGACGGAGCAGATGCAATGATGGCCGATGGTGAAGATGAAGATGAGGGTGCCTGGATGGGTTTCGACTAAGCTATTTAATACCACAGTGCAGATGCATTTCGAAAATACGGCTAGCGGACGTTGACGCCGTACCTCATGCCTTTGGTCCGGATTCCATGCGATCCCTGAGTGGCCGATGCGCTAGTCCTTCCGTTTCGCATTTTCAAGAATGATCCCCACGCAAATGAGAAGGGTCGGTACGAAGATATCGGAAGTCCGCCGCCTTATCTTGCCTTCTGAAACCAAACACCAATATCTCTGGCCTTGGCAAGCTTCACGATGCAGATCAAGCAAATCTCGTCGCATCTCGGCGCTTCGGCATTTGGTCGGCTTTTAAACACGCCACCACAAAACATGACGCTCCCTTCGAAACCTTATCTGCGCCACGATCCAAATCTACAACATCACCAGGCCTAAGGATATATGGTAGGGACCGTGTCACAATGTATTGCATCATCTACGGTGGGTACAATTACCGAGGCCTGTTTAAGATGTGCGGCTCCTGCAACACCGTCCCAGGTCGCTTTGTACAAACAGTCCAGTAAACCTGGGAAAACAATCGTTTGTTCCCATGTTTATCGTACGAACCTCAGCGGCCCCGCTCTGTGTGGATATCAAGGGGATGCATCTGAGGCACGAAGTGGGCAGGAAGGCATTCACGACCTACCTCACCATCAACATAGCGTCATCTTGAGTGGATTCGCGAAGGCTCCTCAGGAGCATGCATGCCTGGCCCAGCGTTTAGGCTGACGAAATGTGCGCATATCTAGGATGAGGGGCTGAGCGTTCATATTGTGGGTGCTGGCAGGTTCAAGAGTCTTCCTTCCAGTCCGTCCTCTCTTGCTCCTGGGATACTGTAGATCCGTTCTTTTCGTCGTTCTGTCTAATCTTCATTCTCTTCTTTGAGCGCTGTGCGCTGTGTATATTTCAGCAATGTATTACCAGCCTTCTATCATAGCGCTGGCCGCGCTCATCACCTCCGTTCATTCCCACGGCGTCATTCTTGCAGCCGTGGGCGACTCGGGCGCATCCCAAGGTTTCCTCGGTAGTCCATCCCACCCCATTGTACATTAGTCCACCTTCACTTACACACCTGCCACACAGTCGACCAAACCCTCGCCCGTAACTGCACCACCATCAGCCCCTGTCAGCAAGACTCAACCATCATCCGCGACTCGGAGATAACACAGAACATCGTGAACTCTTGCGGTCGGACGGAGATAGCGGGGAACATTGATGTGGGCGAGCAGACGGAGAATGAGCTGGCAGCGGGGAGGGTCACACAGGTTAGCAGTGGGAGTGTGCTGGCGGTCACTATTCATCAGGTATGCTGATGGCTTTCAAGATAGCGATATACTACAATATCTAACACTAGTACGCAGGTGAACGCTGATGGTGCCGGCCCGTACGAATGCGATCTCGACCAAACAAGTGAGGCTCCGTTCTCATCCTATCAAACATCCCCTAACGAAGCCAGGCAACGCGGCAATAAACTTCGTCCCCCTGACAGTCGCCAACAACGTGCCTGGCACGAACGGCCTCTCGCAAGCCAAAGAGCAGGACTTCACCATCAACGTCCAGATGCCGCAGAATTTTAACTGCATAGGAGGTACTCAGACTCCCCTCTCTCCCGTTCAGTTGTGAGCTGTGGGATAGCATGGGCCTGACGAAGAACACAGCATCCACAGGGGACATATGCACCGTGCGCTGCCGCAATAACGCAGTCGCCGGTCCATTTGGTGGCTGCTTCGCGGTCCAGCAGACGGATGGGACGGGGAGGACGAACACAACTGCTGCCGGTAAGTTAAGTCCGCCAACTCCCTCATCTCCTGCCCTTACCACACCCTCCCTCATATATTCCCTTACAGTCCCCCGTCTGTTCCCTACACTATTCTATCCTATTCGTACACGTGTTATGCGAGATGGCGCACGTATTGTATGCTGATTTGATTCTGCACCCAGCCGTCGACACGGCGCAAACGCTCGCCGGCATCGAAGCACAGGTCCTGCAGAACCAGCAGGATCTCCCGGCTGCTATTGCGGCGAATCAGGCTGCGGGCGCGGCGGGTGGGGATGAGGGCGCGAGTGCGATCTCTGGTACGTTGTTTTCTTTCTTTGTTTTCGTCCTTTCCTGAGTTCGGCGTTTGGACGGCGTGGAGGGTGTGCATCGGATCGTTTCGGAGCTGACAATTTCTTTTTCTTGTAGCGTTGATTACTGCGACGCTGGATCCGAGTGCGACGGCGACAGCCGTAGCAGGGGTGGGGAATGGGAATGGGAATACGAATGGCAACGGCAACAACGGCAATGGACGGGGCAACAGGAACGGGCAGAACGCGAACGGTAATGCAAATGCGGCGACGGGTAACACGAACGGGAATGCAAATACCGCGGGCGGAGCGACAGGAACTAGAAATGGGGACGGACGAGGCAACAGGGGCAACAGGTTTGGAAAGCAGAGGAGGAGAGCAAAGTTCCTACCGTGGCTAGGTCTTTGAGACAGAGTAGCACCCTTCGAGCTGGTGACGTCTTGCGATAGCACTCTAGAAATGAGTTGGGTGGCTGTGGTCGAAGTAGCTGGACTAACGACCCTTGGGCTGACGGCCGGTGCGGCGTACATAGGCACGGTTGTCATCTTTCTTTTCCTTCGTGTTGTAAATACTTTCGTCTTCCTTGCGTTCCAACACCTGGGTGTGCGGCGCAAAATATGAAGGCTTTTACGAGGAACATATGCTTCATTACACGATTCTATTCTAAACTGCACAGGAAAAAGGCGTTTCATGTTAGGGTGCCTCTTGTCTCAATTTCCCGGACTCTCTGGTGCGAGGCTTGCCGGCTGCAGTATCCGTCCACCCCTCACCCTCGTCCTCCTAGAGCGTGAACCCTCCGTAAGCTTAGATACCCTGCCCGTCCTGCTTGATGGAAGCTGCAGGATTCTCCGTTGGTCGAATTTGCCGAGCCGAGAGCGATGACTAGATCGAGAACCTAGAAACGCTACCTTGAGAATGGTCCGTGTACCCCTTTGTCTCAAGCCCTCAAAAAGTTGCACGAAGAGCTGTGACCATGCCGAGCCGTCTTCGTTTTCTTGACCTAGGAACTCCAGGTCTATGATAAAATAGGCCTGGGGTAATCCTTCTAGGACGGCCCCGAGGAGGGAGAACCATTCCTCCGTTGACGTGGCGCTCTGGAAGCGTGCAGCGTTCAGAGACAAGGACCGCTCATTCAGAAGCGTGTGGTTCTTACGGAGAACTTGGCTGATGAGGTATTTGATAACATCGCCGGATGTGAACTCGCCTTGGGACTGCGGCAGATGTAGTGCCCACACCACTGGGATCTGCGCCTCCATGATCAAGTCGATGGCGTTCACAGCAAAGTCTCGAATTGTTTGCCGATGGCTAAAACCCCCACACACGGCGAGCTGAGAGGATTCGGTGGCCGATCCCCAAGCCAGGAGCTGCGGCATGTTCTGAAAGAATGGAGTACTGTCCAGTCCTTTTCGTCGGCTGCGGTTCCGTCTGGTCACGAAATAGTCTCTGCTGACTTCGGGTGAAGAGATTGCAGAGGCGCTCGCGAACGCCATTAGTTGCGAGAACTGTATCTCGCATACTCTTCTATTTGTATCCACGAGACCCGCGTGCTGGATCGTATGATAGGCTGGATTATTTATGTAAGTAGTAGTTTCTCGGATACACGAATGAAGATAACTTACTGTCTAACTTCTGATTTGTTTTTTCTAGCTCAAGCCGCGTCTTACGGAGTTCGGCCATGCTTAGAGTCAGAGCAAGGCGTTCTAATCTCCGCGATAGTTCGTTTATGTTCTCAGTCATGTCCTGGAACCGCAAGCTGAAAGGCCGCACAATCGATGAAGCGACGTGCTTGAGCCGACTCTCACTGTACCACTTCCGCGCTCGTCGCGCGAACTTTATTATCTGCACATACAGATCTGTGACTAGTGTCTTCATCGTTGCAGTCGGATAAAGGATGAGATGAAGCTCTGCTTGTGGCAAAGCGTCTCCGATTCGGCACAAGGCTTTGGCCAACTCCTTCGCGAGCTCTTCGTGGTTCATGACGCCCTTGGCCAGGGTTAGAATAGCAGAAGCAGAGACTCATTTCTGATCGAGCTTACAACGACGACGAATTTGAGTGCCCCCCACGCAAGCGCGACGTATTCCGGGTGATGTTGGGCGAGAACATCCAGGACGGAGCCATACACCGAGATACGCGCTGACAGCCTGGTAAGCCACTTTCGTGCCTTGCAGCGGGTCCGATTCTCATAAAGTTCCTTCGCTCTGTTGACTTCTTTGGACACATCATCGATTCTTAGCTTCCCGTTCATCCAAGCGCGGACCTCGTCTTCTGGGAAGTGACTTAGGCATATCTGTAGTGCCTCTTCGAAGGCTTCTTCGGTCGGACTGCCAGGCTTAGTGAGGCTGAAAATTCCAAGAGATCAACTCACGTTGCTTGGGGTTGGATATGATCCAATCCTAGTTGGTCCAACTGTTCCAGGAGACTTGGAGTGCCCATCTTCAGGATCTAGGGCCGCACAACAGGACTGGGGTAGCTTTTGTTGTGCTAAAGAGTGTCGTTTCCGTGCATGGCTTTTTCGACGATGCGCTGCATGCTGAAGTGGCGGCCCGGATCCTACTTAGCGAATAATGCGCGTCCGTGGCGCGGGGCTGAGCATGAGGCATGCATACGCGCATGCAAGCTTTAGACCCCGCTCAGCCTTGCTGTGAGATAAGAAGCACCAGGCTGAGCTACTGTAAAACTTTCCTGTCTCACTGACTGTCTTCTCACCTCGGATTTGCTCGCTTCTTTTCAGAATGTCGTTGAGGTACCCAGATGGAGACGGTACTGTTCGGGGCCTTCTGCGGTCCATCAACCGTAGTTTCGACGACACCGACCGGACCCAACAGGAGCAGGGAGGGGATACTGAAGGCATGTTCGACGATGTGTTGTTTCCAGAGCGGGTGGATACACGCCAACATCCCCAAGCTCCCACAACCTGGAATGGGGGCACAGATCCTTCCGGGACTCCCAAGGCTGCATCTTTGGCAAGCCCGAGTCCACCACCGGTCGCATCGGTCAGCAGGCATAAATTTCCCGATCACTACGGCCTTAAATCTCATCGCATTTGCACCCCAAAGTAGGCGCTGATTCTCGAGTAAAGAACCTAAAAAGACCACACGATGCGACCACCGCAGAAGACTACCCCAACGGCGAGCCCTACACGAACTCGAAGCGTCGAAGAAGTACAAATGGGCGCGAGGATATAAGAGCTGTTACGAAAGCAGCTGCAAAGCCTGAGTCGAGCTCTAGTCAGCCTGCCTGGAGACAGCTACTGTCTTCGCTCATAGATGCGGACCCGGAGGTGGATGATGCCGCTCTGATAGAGGGCATCAACAGTGTGGGTCGCATTCTAAAGAATGTAGTGCGGCTCAATCAGCCCATATCACCTCCGAAACCACCTGATCCGGAGTATAAAGTCCTCTATCGCGTTTGCTGTGAAGCGTTTGCGGGCCGGCCTGCTTACAGTTTAGACACCGATCCACCGTACCACAGACCGCACTACGGATATGAATCACATCTGGTCACTGGAAACCGAGTTACGAATCTGGATCTGTACATCGAACGCAATCGGCATGCGCCATTCGTCGTGTTCCGCGAGTATATTTGCTGCTCAGAGAAGCAACGAGACCTGGTACAAGACAACCCGGAACCGCGAACGGAGAAGCTTGTGATTCTGTCTCCACGCCTACTGAAGGTTTTTAACGAAATAAGGCATCAAGACTCGAACACAAAAATGCTGTATCCTGAGTTTCAGCTAGGCACCGAGATTGAACGGCCTCATCTGTGGACATACTTTGGAATGGAGGACATTGAGAGATCATTCCTAGATCTGTCAGCGGAAGACGGTGCGGTGGATCTTAGCCTTTTCCTCGCTTACTTTCGCGATGAGAAGGAAGACTTGCATGACCAGCTCCGAGTACTGCTATCGAAAGGACTAATCACATTGAACCTCGTCGAATATCTCTTCGTGAGTGAGCTCTCTCTTTCTCTTCTTACTAGCCTTCACTAAGGAGAGGCATTCTTTTCCGGGAGAGAGTAAAAGCATAACGGTGAGGCTTAAGGTTCCAGTATCTCCAACTTGATACGCCGATTCCATCGTGGTGGAGTGTGGTTGCAGGCCGCTAAACTTACATCCCGGGCGGAATGATCTGACCAGTCGCTCGACAGGCTCCCAGTACATTGGTCCTCCGCCGCGATAAGAGGGGATCGGAGTTCGAACAAGCCATGAAACTGGTATCCTGGCCCATCATGACGTATAAGTGGCCCAAGAGGGACGCTGTCACAAAGCAGAACCTATTGAACACTCAGGAGCTCAAGTGCAATGTCCGTTTTGCATTCAAGGGGTTGGCATGGGACTACGACTCCAACTTCCAAGAGATCAAAAAGGACGGGGAGGCGAATCAAACCTTCAAAGGGGATACTCCGTTTCCGATTTCGGAACTTCCATTCTACCCGCTGCAGCTTGCGCCTGAGAGCATTCGCAAAGCTCTTGTGGAGAGGGGACGAATGTACTGGAAATGCCGCAGGCAGCGGTACGTACAATATTCCGGGAATGATTTAGAGATGGTTAAGCACCAGGTAAGTAAGTATCGCAAGATGTACTCTACTCGAGCTTTAGGCAATTGGTTGACCGAAGACGCAATAGCCAGGAACTCGCTTCATGGTTGATATGTCAACACTGAGGCAGTTTACGACGGATGGTCAAAGCAGTAATAGACTCAAAGACGAGCTCGGCCCCGCGATAATGAGGAGCGATGAGCCGCCTGGAGGAGATTTTGTCCTCCTTCTTCCGAGCACCATAATGGGTTTCGATATGCAGGACAAGCGATGGAGTAAGCTTTGGCGTCGACAGCTAATGTGAATATGTCCTTGGAGTGCTAACGTCAGTGCAGGAAAGCTTTTGGTCAGCAACATCAGCGACGTTGTCTGGGATCAAGATTCTTTCAATACCTTGGTCCTACCTGCGGATACAAAAGACTTGATCATAGCTCTTGTGACGAACAAAATCGCCGCAGACCAGTCCACAGATTTCTTCCAAGGGAAAGGAACCGGGCTAGTAATCTTGTTTCATGGGTTCGTCTAGCGCAAGGGGATCTAACTGGGACAAGGAACTGACCAGGCGCAGAGCCCCGGGCACAGGAAAGACACTCACGGCGGAGAGGTCAGTTTCAACGGATTGGTCCAGAGTAAGTTCGCAGCTGACGCTAGAACAGTGTTGCAGAATTGGCTAAGAAGCCACTGTACCGGGTCACTTGTGGCGATGTTGGAACGGAGCCAGACAAGGTAGAGAAGTACATGAGGTTTGTACTGCAGATCGGCAAGGCCTGGGACTGTGGTGAGTAGGGTGTATGCACAGCCTACTTATTTTGAGCTCTGACGATGTTTAGTCGTCCTTATCGATGAAGCGGAGGTCTTCCTCCAAGAACGGGCATTGAACGATATACAGAGGAACGCACTCGTATCAGGTAAGAGAGCCCACCATCAAACAGCTATACCCAGCTATCGACTAACCTTGAACGCAGTCTTTCTGCGGACTCTCGAATATTACGATGGCATGTTAGACTACAATGCGCTCGCGACCTAACTAACAAGTATGTCAAGGCATCCTAGTCCTAACGAGTAACCGCGTCGGCACCTTCGACGAGGGCTTCAAATCTCGGATCCAACTCGCAATCCACTACGAGAAGCTCACGCACTCCTCCCGCGAACGAGTCTGGGAAAACTTCATTAACCGCCTGGAATCCTTCCACTCCGACGACATCGACATAAGGGATTTGCGGCGCCACCTGAAGGACCTAGCGAAGTTCGAAATGAACGGAAGACAGATCCGGAACGCGGTAACAACTGGGAGACAGCTTGCAATGTATTACAAGAAGGCCCTGGATTTTGATTGCATGAAGCATGTTATTGGTGTATCGAGTAGGTTTGATCGGTATTTGACGGGCATCAATGAGGGCATGGATGATGAGGATGTGGCTAGGGAGGACCGCCTTAGATAACGTAGAGAGAAACTAGAAATAAGGACTATCTAGGGTATAGAATTCAATGGCCCAATGACTTACCCGAGCTGCGCCCCAATCCAACTCGTTAAACAGCATCCCATCTCCTCGGACCAGCATCGAAACTCGGTCTCTCAACCCTCCAGTCCTCTATCTCCCTCTGCCCCGTCTCTAGCTCCCCAGCTGGACTCCCCACCCGACTCATCACCTCGCTCTTGATCTGGAACTCCGTCGTCATCAGTATGCCTCCCTCGGCCATCATCTGCCGGAATGCTTCGTCCCTCTCCCTTCGGCCTTCTTCGCTGCCCCTAGTAGCGTGGGTGCTGTTTGGCCAGATTGTTTCTTCGCTCTGTGTGTCGGTTGAGCGTCCGATGGTAGACTTTGTAGACTTGCCCGTAAGAGTGGTGGAAAGCGGTGTATCGATGCTAAGGCCGACGCCGAAGGCGTGCCGGGACAGGTGGAGAGGCGGGAGTTGATGGGCGTCGTGACGCCGGCCGTCGCCCGTGTACCCGTAGGAGGGACGTTTGGTTGATGATAGAACACCGAGGCGGTGCAGCGTGCGCTCGAAGGGCGATTTGAGGCAAGGAATGCATGCTGCAATGATGCCGGTTTGTTCTTCCAGAACGGACCACAGCGTGAGATCGATGGCGTCCCAGAGGCTATCGCCGGTGCTGCCGTAGTCCTTGACAAGTGTGGTCTTGACGATGCTAGCTGCAGCCGCGAAGACGCCCAGGCCCATGAGGCAGGACAGGACGAGCTTTTCCCGGAGCGGGCAGTGCATCGTGCGGATAAAGGAGATCGGGACGAGGGCGAAGATGAGGTCCGTCGTGATGCTGATGCCCGAATTAACGTACAAGCTCACGTACATGGACTGCAATTCCACGCATTCGGCATCCGGGTGGTGGACGGGATCCCACATGTAGCCTAAAGGTATGCACTGGACGAGCTGGAAGATCAAGCTGGCGAGGCAGGACAGGATCTGCACGGCGACCATGGCCCAGAGGAAGATGCGCCATGGCCGTGTGTGCTTGATGCGGAGCAGCATGCTCGCAATGCTGATTTTGATAAACATCATAGACATGGCCCAGGGGAGTGAAGAAGCGAAGAGAAGGTGCTTGGCGGGGACTTGGTCGGCGTAGGAGACGTAGTAGTTATGGCGGCCTGCGCCGTATTGAATGGCGGCGAGGAGGAGTGACCATTCTAGGAGGGCGAGGATCTAGAGTGCTGTTAGTAGAGGGGATGGTGAGGAGATCTGGGAGGGAACGGATTACTTACTAGGGCGAATGTGATGGTGTAATCGTCCCATCCGAGCCGGCGGTGCTGGAAACGCGTGTAGATACGTGCAGCGAAGAGGAATAAGGCGACGATGTATAAGGCGCCAGTGACGCCGAGGAGTTTAGGCGCGGCGTTGACATTGGGACCTGGAGACTCCTCGACTGCTGGAGGTTCTGCCATCTTCCTGCTCCGAAAACAGCATGAGAGAGGTGTAGTTAGCGAAGGACAAACTTGTCGAAGAAAACGAAGTATGAATCTAGGAAATAAGTCTGCTTAAGTCTGAGAAGAGGGGTCAAAACAAGCTCTCATCAAGCCCACCCTCCGGTTCAAAAGAGTGCATCCTCCGTGAAGAAAAGAAGAACGATCCATGTGCCGTTCCTTCAAGCGCACTGATGCCATGATCGCCGAACCTGCACGCCTTCCCCACTGAGCTTCCCACGTTCTATATAGCCAGATACTGCGGCCAAATTTCCCGAACCCTGGAAAGTGCCCTTATGCGACAGTGATAAGCGACGACGTGCATTCGGATCCAGTGTTTGCGGTTGTTCCATACAAGGGGAGACTCCTTCCATAGTGTTTGTTTTGCCTGCGTATGACATGTCGTCAACGGGTGCGGAAGTTGTCGATTTAGCCTGTAAGTGGTGCCGACAACCTTCACGATCTGATTGGCGAGGAAAAGATCCGAAATGCTGGAGAGGAGGGGTATTAAGTTTTCATGTCTCAGTTATCGGAGGGAATGTTTTTGCGCATCGCTGCAGGGCGTTGGTAGACTAAGCCTACGACGTGGCGAAAGAACGATGTTTAGGTATGCTTCTCAACGAAGGTAGATGCCGCATGCAGTTTTGCCTCCTCGTGCAATTCTCCGCAGAACTCCAAGTACGGTACGAAGTAGATATGGGTAAATGCTGAAACACTCCCAGATGGAACCTGCGGATACGACTCGTAAGCAAATGAATGAACAATAGAGGCATCCATAGAAGGAACCGAGCTGTCTCCGGATATCTTTTAGTCATGTTTTCATAGTACATATGAGCATCGGTCGGTGTGTGAACGAAGAGAAGCATACGCAGGGAGTTCTCGAGAAAGCAAGAGCGTTGAGTAAGGCGTAAGGGCGTTACGTTGGATAGAGGAGAGCATACTGTGGTATCCGGCATATATTTTGTAAACTTGGCACCTGTGCGCAGGGGCCGCGTACCTCGCGAAGGGCTGTGATAGCCAATTGCACGCTACAAAAGAGCCTGGCTAGGACCGTGCGTGGCCGTGCGCGCAAAGTGGAGAGTTGACAAAATATATGCCGGATACCACAGTACGAAAGAGGAAGCCGCCCTCCCGCTCTTTCCAGACCGCTGACGTCATAATCAATCCTATCCCAAGGTCTTCACGATACTTTCATTATACATCGTACGGCCACCAAACTCGAAGGCAGCTTCGTTTCCTTCCACAAACCTCCTTTACAGCATTCTGTTCGGATTTCGTGGATAATAGACTGCGGGATGTATAACTTGCAGGATGAGGTACCGCGCAACATGCTACTCGAACGCGAGGCTCCCTCACGCGCCGATATTTGTTGCGTATCTATACTACCAGAAGACCAGATTTATACAGACCTCCAGAAGAGGCGGAATTTTTTCGCTATGTCTGCGGCTGAGAAAAAGCAATGGCGGCTACTCTGCTAATAAGGGTGGGGCTGAAATACAAGGCTCAGCTACCTGGTAGGTACGGTTTCAGCCCAGCGCGGTCCTCTATCCAACTACCTCAACATTCCATCTCCTCTGGCGAATCCAAAATGGCGTCCTACGACCTCTCAGCCATCCTCAATGCTCTCCAAGGCTACCAAAGTCAAAGCCGTCCAAGACGACAACCAAACAACCGCTCCGTCAAGCAATACCTCCTCAACAAAGGCGTCCCCGAACGCATCGCATGGCTGACCTCAATGAATGAGTTCTGCTACTGGACCGAGAAAGAGTTGGATGAAACCTTTGATGCCTTGGATCTTCCTGCCGGCGTTCCGCTAAACCAGCTGATCTCCTTCACGCCCCAGACCGGCAGCCAAGGCTCCACAGCGGAGTTCGTGAAACCTACCCAAGAAGACATCCAACGCTCAGTAGACTGCCTAGGCGCGCTATGTGTTGACAGGAACGGGAGTTTCTGCATCAATCCAACAGACGGCTTCGCAGCTCTCTCGCACGTCTGGTCGCAAGGCCTCGGCGCCGACGACGACAATCGTGGTCTGCACAAGAGCCTGTTGGATCAGGTATTCGACAAGGTAGAATCTCTAGGGATCCGCTGGATATGGACGGACAGCCTAGCGATTCCGGGCGGAAAACGCGCGCTCAACCTGCTTGAGGAAGAGCTCAAGGGTGCGCTGATCAATGCCATGGCCGATATATACAGGCAGGCGCAGTATGTTGTGATATTCGATGCCCTGTGCTTGAGATTGAACAGCACGGAGCCCGTGAAGGTGGCTGCTGTGACGAGCCTTGGTAGTAAGTAGTTGGAAGCGGGAGCAGGTGTTCAGTCTGATGATGCTAATGGACACCAGCATGGATGACTCGCATGTGGACATATCAAGAAATCAAGCTCGCCACCAACGCCATCGTAGCCACAAAAACTGGCTTCGTCCCCTTCTCTAGCCTCACGCAAACCCTCAAGAGCCACGCCCTGCAAGAAGTCGGCGAAGACTACACAGCCGACACCCCCGGCAAGTACCCTAGTCTAGCAAAGACCTTCCTCCGACTGCAACGCAACGACGAGCTGGGCATCTCTCTCCCTGACGCCGCCATCGGCTGCGGGTACCGCGAAGCCTGGGATCGACTGGACTATGCCCGCGCGCTGTTTCCAACTTTCAATATTGAATGGCGAACCAATTACGACGTCGGGCAAGCAATGGAAAAGCTGTACACGAGCCAGAAGTATAATGCGATGCGGCTCGCGCTGTTCCATGGACCGCCGCGAGCTTCGATTCCGGGGTGGGCGCCTGCAGTTTTCAATGGCCTTGTTGATTGTAAGATCATCGAAGCTGGGACGTGGAAGCACCGTGGTATGCAACGGTCGTGGCATACTACGAAGGTCAAGGCGATAGTACCGAGCAAAACTGGAACCTTAGTTCTCGCGCTGGAGAGTGACTTCGCTGATCGAGCGTTGTCGGTTGGATTTGTTAGCGAGGAGACCCAGAAGCAGAGTCCGCACAGCGTTGAACTGTTCAGAAAAGCGGTGGCGGAAGGGGAGGCATATCTCCTTGCAGACGAACCGCTGGTGCCGAAGCGACATTTTTCACGGGTCGCGCTGCTTGTTCAGCAGTTTAGCAAAGTGGACGAGCTCGAAGCCTGGGTGTGTCTAACGTTGGCTGTTGGAGAGACAGAAGAACACTATAAAAGAGAGAAGCGTGATTGGCTCCTGCTGCATGAGAACCCGGTGTCGGAGGAGGACTTGAGCGGGAAAAAATCAAGCGAACTGTTCTACATAATGACACAGAGTATTCGGCCGGGCATGACGGTGGATTTGGAGCAGTTCCCGTTGCATCAGGCAGCAATGGAAGGGAACCTTGAAGAGTGCAGAATGCTGCTGACTGTTATCGACGTCAATACGGTCGACTCAAGAGGTTGGACGGCTCTGCATGTTGCCGCCGCGGCAGATCAGAGGACTATAATCCCTCTTTTCGCTGAAGCAGGCGCGAACATGGATGCTTTCGACCCGAACGGCCAGAGCGCGTTGGTGCTGGCGATAGAGAACAACCACATCGACGCCGTGATAGATCTTTGCGAAGCTGGCGCAGACGTCAATGTAGCCCACAGAAACGGGTTCTCTCCCTTGTGCACGGCCGTGCATAGAGGAGTTGAGATGATCAACCTTCTCCTTGCTCTCGGCGCGGACCCTTCGGCCAAGGACGCTGGTGGCTGGGTCCCTCTGTACTTCGCCATCTGGGAGGAACCGAATACCGACGTCCTGGAGGCTTTGCTGGAAGCGGGTGCCAACCCAAATGTCCCCAGTCAAGACCTTGTTTACCCCATCGAAGGCGCAGCGCGTAAAGGCAACGCATTCGCGACTCGCCTCTTGCTGGATCACAGCGCCGATCCAAACATGACCATGAGGGATTTTGATCCAGCCTTATACCACGCGATCGCATCGGGCAGCCTAGAGACCGTCCGGGCTCTTGTAGACGGTGGCGCTAGCTGTACAGTCAGGTTTAAGGATGGATGGACGCCTATGCTGCTGGCTGCGAAGAAAGGAGACCATGAAATGGGGAGGGTGCTAAAAGCGAAGGGAGCGGATTTGAATGATACGACAGCAGAAGGTTTGACGCCACTGCATATTGCGGGCATGAACGGGAGTCGTGTGTTCTTCAAGTGGCTGCTGGAAGAGGGTGTGGATAGGAATGCTAGAGATGCGCAAGGAAGGACGGCTTTTGACGTGATAAAGGGGTTTGAACTCGCGATTTGAATAGCAGAGAACCGATCTGGGCCCGTCAGGGAGATCGATTCAATATTATGGTGATGGTTGACAGCCTCGGATTAGCGGAGCCAACGTCCTCGCGATGCGGGAGCTTCCAAAGAACGTGCAAAGATTCAGAGTAGAAAACTGCTTCAACTTCCGAGCTAAGTCAAAGAAAAATCACTAAACAACAGGGTATTACTTACTTTCGAAGTCCGTAAAGAAGTCGGGTCGACTGCAAAAGGACGGCGAGCATCCAAGCCCTTTCGGCGACGACCCGAGCCCCATATCGCCGAGCTATCTCCGCCCACCCTGCCAGACCTCTCAGCCCTATGAAGTCAGACCACTCCCGTCACCAGCCTCAGAAAAAACATTGTTTAAAGAACAGGCGCGCACCACCCGTAAACCCCTCAATTGCGCCTCGTCACACATTCCGCCCAACTCCACAATGAACACAGTAAGTCCCACCCATCGTGAGCTTTAGCATACGCAGCTAACAAACCCCCAGATAAAATCGGTATAGTACGTCACATCCACCCTCCCTCCTCCCTCCGCACACCTCCCATACCGCGCAGCCCGCAAACACCACCCCCGCTAACCCTCCCCTACAGCTACGGCTGGGGCGCCCTCATCGTCGCCGGCGGCGGCGCCTACTACTTCGCCAAACGCAGCATCAACGCGGACCGCGCCGCGAAAGCCGAAGCGGAGCGACAAAAGCGCCTCGCGCAGCACCAGCTGGAAGCCGCCTACTTCGGGCCCCGGCACCCCGCCGACAAATCCTCTTCCTCCACGCCGTCACCGGCGGTGCCGAAATCCGTATCTAGCGAGGTGGCCAAGCTGCAGCAGCGGGCTGCAAGGCGAGACGAGGACTGGGGCGCGCAGGCGGACGAGGCGAGTAATCCGAGCAAGGAGGCGAGCATGGATCCTGCGCCGACGAGGCATGCGCCGGAGGACGAGGCGCAGAGGATGCGGGAGAAGAGCAAGTATGAGGCTAGTGAGGTGTTTCGGTCGAGGAAGGGGGATCGGTTTTCGTGAGGTTTGGGGGAAGGGAGATATCTGCGAGTTCTGGATGGATGGATACAAAGGTTCTGCGATACCATGACAGCGCCCAGCGAATAGTCCACGGGACGTGCAGCTTCCAAGGACTGGCGATTCAGGTCGATTTACATTGTACGTGTATTACGGGCGATGGCTTTCTGGGCTATGAGGAGTTGCCTACATGGCGCGAACGATAATGCATTCGATTCCACTCTTTGTATTTCTATCGTGTACAAGGGTCATATGCAAAAAGCCTTGCTCGCAACAAGGGCTTTAACAAGCAAAAACAGGCCAATTCGCCAACCATGTGCGCCAATGCAATATATCGGGGTATAACGCTACGCCGGATCATTGCCAATACATATCCATCCGTCATCTTTCCTCAGCATAGCTCAATGCTCAGTTGAACAAGCTGCTGCGCGGGCTGTCCCTCCGCTTCTCATACAGCCACTTGTTATTCAGGCCCACGCTCGCCTTGCCCTGCACCGGTGTCGGTGTCCCTGGCGTAGCGCTCGAACTGCTGTCGCCAAAGAAGCTGCTGCTCAGCGGACTGCCCCCATAGCTCAGACGCTTCGTTGCCGATCCTCCACCAATAGCCTTCTGAAACAGCGGACTGCCTGTGCTCGGCGAGAAGGGGGAGTTCGAAGTCGACTTTGCCATGCTTGCGCGGGGGCTGCCGGACAAAGGGGACTGCGACCCACGCTCGCCGGGGGTGCCGAAGCTGCTCCGGGGAGTCGACTTCTGGTACCGAGGCGGCGTGACGTAGTTTGGGGACGCATACGCTGAGCCTGGTGTCTGCGGGGTCCCATCGCCGGGCTTGAGGCCCATAACCTGGCGCTGCGAGGGAGTGAGAGGGATGTCGGCGAGGTCATCAGGGTAGTAGCGGCGAGCAAGCGGTAACAGGGCGACGACAATGTTCGCGAGGAGAACGAGGCGAATCGTCAGGGTGATCCATTCGTTGTAGGGGACGGTATGGATTAGAGCAACCAGCGGCTTCCTAACGTGCTCGTTAGCTTTGTCCAGAAGCCACATCCGCCAGGCCAGCGAAGGGAAGACATACGCGAGGGCACGGAGCAGGGCTACCTGTGTGGTGACCGACGATGCTACGCTAGAGAGCAGCAAGAGGGCGGCATTTGCGAGTATGATCTTCACGTTGCGCTCGTCGAAGGTGGTTGCGTACTGCCGGCGCGCGATCTCGTCGAATTTTGGGTGTTTCCAGGCGCCAGCAGGTGTGAGATCCTGCGCCTTTTGTGATGCCGGTGTGGCCGGAGCTGTAGGGGTAGCAGGTGATGCCACCTTGACGAGCTGGCTCATTGCGAGGTGCGGTCGAAGCACTTCTGACGTCTGTTTACGGTGGTTCTCAAGGGGCGGAAGTGGACGCCAATTGTCCGGACAAGCCTTTCGCGTCGAGGCTGCTGCTGCTGTGGAGTTAGTGGTTAGTAGCTCGCCGGGAGTGCAACAGCTATAAATGCATCGTGTCGGGTGCGAATGTCGAGGTAGAATGTCAGGGCCGCCGCGGTTTGTTTTCACAATGCCCTGCCTGTCGCCGTTGTCTTGGCAAAGGACCCTAGTCACTTTGCGGTCGCCCCGCCGCGCCGCTCGCCGGTCAGCTTCAACACCAGTCCTCTCCACTTGAAGCTTGCTTGCTTTTGCCGTACCTGCAGCCATGGCAGGAATCGTTGAGCAGCTTGATGGCATCATAGCCGAGCTCCTCGCCGGCTGGAACGTCTACACCTCCGTCCTCCTCGTCGGCATTCTCGGATTCGTTGGCTGGGTGGTCTACGACACGCAGGACGCTGACACTCACCCGCTGCTACTCGCCCGCCAGGCACAAGCTTCCTATGTCAGACAGCCTGGCGAGTCGGCTGTCTTCAGGTCTCCCGAGACGCCGCATGGCTGTATGTATATGCTTCGACGAGTTGCTAAATCTCCTCCGCTGACATTGTATAGATCCGCTGCGGACCGGTCTCGGTGTGAAGCCTCCAGGGGCTCCCATGTACTCTGCTGGCAGAGATGGCGATCTTCGAGATATCTGGCGCCGCGTCACCGGCGAAATACCACTCGACAAGATCGCGACCTCCAGCGGAACAGCTAAGATCATGACAGTGTTTGGGAAGGAGGACATTACCGACCACAATGTTGCGGATATCACCAAGGAAATAAACATCATTGGAAAGCACCTGAAAGAGCATGGCGCGAAGAGAGTGGCCATCTACCTCCCGAACAGCGTCGAGTTCCTGGCCGCGCTTTTTGCTGGCGCTTTCTACGGCTTCAGTCCGGTTCTGATCCCTTACAATCAACCACATGAGGCCTTGGTTGAGCTCCTCATCCGGACTGGTGTGGACTCGCTCATTGCCGAAGCCGGCTCGCTTCCGCTTGCTGAGGTGAGCAAGGGAGTCTCAGGCCTCCGTCAAGTTGTCTGGACCGTCGAGAAGACAAGCAGGCACATGGACTGGAATGAGGTACCGGAAGGCATTGGAGGCAAGATCGATGTATCTGTGTGGCATCAGCTTGTTCAGGATCAGAAGAACGGCAGTACGACACTGCCCGCGGATACCGACAAAGCCCCGAACGTAGTATTCCTCTGGCAGGAGGGCGTGGGCAAATCTGCTGAAGTCGTCGAGTTCACCCAGCAGAATCTCTCCGCCGCCACTGGTGCTCTTATCTCCGCTCTCCCCGGCCCACACCGCTTCAGTGCTTCCGATACGTTCCTGCCTGCGGACGTTTTCAGCAACTCCTACAGTTTGTGCCTAACGCTGGCTGCTCTATACTGCCACTCGACCGTCATTGTCAACTCTGTGGCTGGACCGGGCGTCGACTTGACTCTCGCTAGCCGGTCTATAGCCCCTACGATCGCGGTTGTCTCAGCCGAGTCTGCTGCGAAACTCCACAGCAACACTACCACCTCCATCGCTGGCGGCCTCAAGAAGTTTGCCCACTACCTCGAGACGCGAATCCTGACTTCTGGACGACTGCCTACCGACACATTCCTGACCCGTCTCAATGCACCCACGAGAGCGAACATTGGAACGACGCCGGGCAAGCTGCGCCTTCTCTTCATCTCTGAGAGAGCGGGTCTGAACACTCCCCCATTAACTTCCGAGGACCTTTCTGACCTCCGCATCTACACCAAAGCTCGCGTCATCTATGCTTTGACAGCGGCAAAGGTTGCTGGTGCAGTTGCGCAAACGAACATTTACGACTACAGGAGAGGCGCAACAGCATCCGGCAAGCACAGCCACTTCGGTGTGCCGCTGAGCTGTTTGGAGGTGAAGTTGACAGATACCGCATCCCATAAGACCACCGACGAGCAGTGTGTTGGAGAGGTTGTGGTCACTGGCGCGTCGGTCGCAGGCGGCGAGACAGCAATCGGCGTAAATGGTAGGTCCATCCAAAATTGTAGTTGAAAGTGCCCCTTCACTGACAGAACGACAGGCACATTCCGAGAAGACCATACCTTAGCATACATCTGAACCCTTAGTGATACCGATCAAATTCAACACAGAATCCATACGAATGAAACCACTATTCGAGATCATCCCAAGCACTTTTCCTTATCTTCGTGCCAACCATCCACTCTCCAAACATACGATTGACACGACAGCCACAGATACCGTGTGGGCAGGTGTCAACTAATACGAGGCCCAAGACGGCACACGTCGCTGTTGGCCGAAACGCACTCTCGAATTCCAGCATGCTGTTCTAGATTGCCATCTTGCCCTAGCCTGCTGCAGCTAACTGTTCGCGTACCATGCTCTTGCACTCACTACAGTGCAGCCCTATTCCCAATCCCAAATACAAGGCTCCTGGGACGATTGTTCCTCGGAGTTCCACGTTCGAATATGCGTCGCGTGGGGAGCCTAGCAGCCGGCCGTCAGACTTGGATCGTCTGGGGAAGTGTATCCTGTAGCGCTGGGCCGGCGTGAAGATCGCTACCGGGATGCTTATCTCGTGCGCGTGAGCGTCGAATGAGAAAGGAGGGCTTTTGACAAACGTGCAATTGTGTCGAAACTGCGCGTGCGGTCCAGATTTCCCGAGGTAGAATGGAATCCTGCCTCTTGGCTGCTCTGAGTGGCCGATGATGGAGTCGTCTTTGTATGGCAGGTCGTCCAGCCATACGCGCGCATGGCGGGACGTCGTATGGCAAATCTTTTTCGGCATGGCTTATCTTATCGTGCAGACTAGTGGTAGGTATGCAGGGCAGCCCGCGATATCTGCTGGGTCGTTCGAGTACATAATGGGTATTTCTGTGGCCGGGATATCTGCGCGTTACACGAGAATAAAGGCGGGCTCCTCCGCTCGACGTCTTTGTCTTCGTGGCGTTCGACATTTCTTTGCTCCACGTTTTCTACCCCAGCGAACTAGATCCTGCGGGTTTGAGTCGCGATGCCTGTGTTCAAGCGCCCGCATCTGAAGGTGGAGCAGCCGAAATCGGCGTTTGCGGAGGGGAACGAGAGATGGTGAGTTGCATGGTATTGATGTTGAAGGAGGGGCTAATTGAGCGGATGCAGGACGAATAAAGATCTTGATCCTGTGCCCCGACATGCTCGCAAATGGGGTGTAACATCCCTGATTGCATATTGGATTTCTGATGCGTTCAAGTGCGTCGTTATTCCAAAAGCTGAATTGTGCGGAGAAATAGAGCTAATGAGATTGCAGCGCGGCAACATGGCAGTTTGCTTCTGGCATCATCGCAGTTGGTATGGATGCTCTGGCTTCTTGCGCGTTGAATCCCTCTTACTTACGGCATCTAGGTCTTACATGGCGCGAATCCCTCGGTATCGTTGCGCTCGGCTTCTTCATCATCTCTATCGTTATTGCTCTAAACGGAGCTACGGGCGTCATTCGTATGCTCTATACAAAACCCTCTCTCCCTCACAATCTCTAACCTCTCCCAGACCATGCACCCTTCCCCGTCCTAGCCCGCGCCTCCTGGGGCTTTTGGGGCTCCTACATCGCCATCATCTCGCGCGCCATCCTCGCCATCTTCTGGTTCGCCATCCAAACCATGAACGGCGCCAACACAGTGCGCGTCATGCTGGGCGCCATCTGGCCGTCCTTCCTGACGCTGCCCAACCACATCCCCGCCTCGCAGGGCATCGAGACGAATACCATGGTCTCGTTTTTCCTCTTCTGGCTCATCCAGCTGCCGTTCTTGTACATGCATCCGAATAATCTGCGCTGGCTATTCATGGTGAAGAGCGTCATTGTGCCGGTTGCGTGGATTGCGATTCTGGTCTGGGCGTTTGTGGCGACTGAGGGAGGCGAGTTGTTTGATCAGACGCCGTCGATTGAAGGGAGTGCGTACTCGTGGGCGTTTCTTTCGTCGCTGACGTCGGTTATTGGGAACTACGCGACTTTGTCTGTTAATCAGGTAAGCATTCTCTTCAAGTGCGCTCATGGTGTAGCCCCTGACAGAGATTGCTACAGGCCGACTTTTCCCGCTACTCTCGCGTCTCTGTAAAGTGGCAGCTCATCTACGTTCCATTCCTCCCCGTCGTCTTCACGTTCATCTCCTTCATCGGCATCGCGGCCTCCTCCGCCGGCGCCGTCCGCTACGGCACCCTCCAGTGGGATCCCATGGCTCTCATCGCAAACTGGTCATCGCGCGCATGCCGCTTCTTCGCCGCCTTCAGCTTCGCGCTCGCCGCGCTCGGCGTCAACATCAGCGCCAACTCGCTCTCCGCCGCCAACGACCTGACGGCCCTCTTCCCGCAATACGTCAACATCCGCCGCGGCCAGCTGCTCTGCGCGATCATCGCATGGGCGCTCGTCCCCTGGAAGATCCTCGCGAGCGCGGGCAGCTTCCTGAACTTCATGGCCGCATACGCCGTGTTCCTGGGCCCCATTGCCGCCATCATGGTGTTCGACTTCTGGTGGATCCACAAGCGTAAGTACAACACGCTCGCGCTGTACCAGCCGCACTCGATCTACCGCTATTGGCACGGCGTCAACTGGCGCGCCGTGACTGCCTTCCTGGTCGGCGTGGCGCCGAACCTGCCCGGCTTCATCAACAGCATTAACCCTAAGATCGAGGTCGGTGTCGGCGCCAGGCCGTACTATTTTGGGTGGCTGCTCGGGTTTGTGGCGACGAGCCTGGTGTATGTGGGTCTGTCGACTGTGTTCCCGCCGCGGGAGAGCATGATTGAGAGGGCGGTACTGCCGGATGAGGTCTATGAGGAGAGTGGGTATGTGGATGAGGGCGTGAGTGTTGGGGGTGGGAGTGGTGGGGAGGAGGAGGGGAGGGTGGGCGAGAAGGGCGGGTGGAAGGAGAGGTTGGATCGCATGTTGTGAAGATGGGATTGAGGAGATGGGGAGGAGAGAATAAGGAGAGCACGGATGGAGCGGAGGGTAATAGAATGATAGATGCGTAGAGTGGATTTTTTCGAAACGCGGTCCCTATCAATGAAGCTTCTCGCGAGGATTCTAATGCCTGGTGTTGCAATGCATGTGTGGGCTGTCAATCCAGTCCAGCGGTACTTGCACTGCTGTGGGTTCCTGCTGTGTCTGCAACTGTGCCACACCGCAATGCCCTCGTGCCGAAACCGAAACGCGCGAGAAGGCGGAAAGCAAACTCTCCCTCAGAGCAGCCTTCAACACAACACGAGCACTGCCTCGCTCCCGGCTCTCCAAACATCCTGTCCTGCCAGGGCCTGCCACGAGACTGCTTGCCTGAATGTCGCGATATCGGAGCCGCACAACCTCAAGTCAGCACGAGTAATCGCGAATTCGTATAGCAGCAATACGTGGACTCGGTGAGCTCATAAGGCGCTCTGCATGCTCATGTAGGACGCGTAGTCTATAGCTGACCTTTAAGCCGGCTTGCCTTCTGTGCTGCGCTGCTGTCACAGTCAGACCCTGCATCATGTCGGCACTTTTGGCGTCACTTCCGCCGACGTGTGGGGATCGACCGTCGGCGTTTCCTGAACGAGGATCCCGACGCTCGTCCGTTCCCCACCAAACCACTGTCTGCGCGACGTCCCCTCAAGTGTATGCGCGGACAAGATGCTTGACGCAACCACGTTGCTTGCGATCTCTTGATCTGTCCATCTTACTCACCACCCTTTGCGCGACGCCAGCCAAGACAGATGACGTGTGTCAGAGCTGCAGAGAGCTGCAGCCGCAGACTGACAAGGCACGGCCGCCTCTTCTCCGCGCTTTCTCCCCACCCCATTCTCCGAAGCCATGTCTCTCACTTTTTGCACTGCCGAACCCACATCCAAAACGCCGAACATGCTCTCTCATCTCACTCCGTTTCTAAAACAAGCCCCTAGACGACCCAATCAGAAAATTTCTCATCGCTCTGCCGTCCACGCATATGGCTTGGAAGCGGCGCATGGTAGGGCTGATCCTGCCCCTCCACCAACCGTTACACGGCTTCGAGCTTACTTAACCGGGCGCCCAGTCGCCTAGGACGTCTGCGGGTGTTGCTTTGACGCGTCAGCGGGGTCTTGAGCTGTGCCGCTGTCTGATGCTTTTGGAAGAGCTCTGGTGGAGGGTGTGATGTGCATCAGCCTCACGGCACCCCGGGACCCCTCCGGCTGGCGGATGGCTGCTCTCCATGACGGGGCACGGCTTGCGCCAATGAGCGCCCGGGCCGCGTATGTCGTGGTAGGCGTATATGAAGGTAGGTGTTTTCCCGCGTTTGTTTTCTGCATCAGTTCATCGAAGGATTCTTGGGAGCTTCACATCCTAGGCTCCGATCAGTCCACCGCATTAATATCAAACTTCGCGTCCGCGCTCTCTCCTCCCTCTCGGATTTTTCAAATCTGAACTAAATACGAACATCCTTCTCGGCAAGACAAAGAGAAGACGAAAATGAAATACATCGCCCTCAGCCTCGCGGCTTTGGCGAGCTACGCCGCCGCCCAGACAACAACAGCCACGCCCGTCGTCCCACCGTACTACTCCACCAACCCCGGAGAATGGTCCTCTATCTATGACTCCCTCGTCTCGAACGGCATCATTCCCTCCACCGTGACTGCCCCGCCATGGCCGACTTCCGGCTACGGTCCTGGATCCGGCCCGTGGGGCCCAGGCTACGGCCCTGGCGGACCCGGCGGCGGTCACGGACCTGGAGGCCGTCACTGGGGCGGGCCCGGCGGCTGGGGCCCATGGGGATCTGGCACTGCGGGCTGGGGCCCGTGGAGCGGATGGAGCACGAACTCAGCGTGGACGAATGGCCCCTGGACGAACTGGTGGGGTGGAAGCGCGTGCCCCGGGACGGATTGGCCGGGATGGACTATGGGCCCCTGGAGTACGGATGCGCCGTGGACGACGTGGGCGGGCTGCTCGGCGACCACGACGGGCACAGACGTGGTTACGACGACGATTTCGGGTCAGGTGACCACCACGACGCAGTTTGGCGTGCAGGTTGCGCAGGCCGAGGGTACGGGATCCGGAGCCACTGCTGACGCTGGATCAACGGGCGCTGCTGCCCCGATGAGGACGGCTGGTCCCGCCGTCGCTGTCGGTGCCGCCATTTTGGGTCTTGCTGTGGGCTTGTAAGCTGAATCTCCATCGAGGATCGGATGAAAGCGGGATGAGCACAAAAGGATACTGAACGAAATTGCTGAAATGGCCTGGTTGACGAATGCATTATCTGGATGCATAGCTGGCGTGGGCGGCGCATACGTTCCCTTATGACACATGGGTCTGGCACTTTGCGGCGTTGGTGGTTTGGGAGGGGATGTGCTGGGTGTAATGAACTATACCTCCGCTCGCTACATAGTAGTCCCTAATGTTGTATGAATAATATTTTGATGGCTGCAATGCTGGTTAGTTTAATGTACCGCGTTGGCTTGCATGTGCTTAGGAGGGTGTAAAGGACCCCCTGACTACTAGAGTTTTCGACGTTACTGCCGTCATGTATTAGCAGCGATGAATTCCGGCTCTCTTAGCATTATGTCTGTATCTATGTCGATTGAAATATCGAGCTTTAGAGTGAACAGAGAACTGGCACCTGTCGGAGGATATCAAGCATTGGACGTAAAACGACTCTAGTCTCTTTATGAGCTAGCGCGGTGCTGTCTTGGCAGGCGCGGAGCAGCCGAACATTTACTTGGGCAACATCGCTGAAGCCAGCTGCCCACTATTGAACGATACCCCCCCACCACTCGCCTTCTCTTTGCGCATAATGATACGGTAAATCCTCGACTTATTCTATTCTCTTTCTGGCCATTCCCGACTTTAACAATGGCGTCTGCGGTGTTCTTCCTGGACCTGAAGGGCAAGGTGAGCGGCTTGTGGGGTCCCCGCGCTGAAGACACGGACTGACGTAGTCGCATAGACCCTTCTGGCGCGAAACTACAGGGGAGATATTCCCATGTCGGCGGTCGAAAAGTTCCCTGTACTGCTCAGCGAGGCTGAAGAAGAGAGCTCCGCCGTCCCGCCATGCTTCTCCGACGAAGGCATCAACGTACGCACCACCCATGAACTCCGAGTCCTGCGCGACGAGCGACTGCTTTATGAGGACAGTATGGCTAATGGCAACTGATCTCCGCAGTACCTCTACATCCGCCACAACAACCTCTACCTCCTCGCCATCACAAAACGCAACACCAATGCCGCCGAAATCCTCCTTTTCCTGCACAAGATCGTCGAGGTGTTTACAGAGTACTTCAAGGAGCTGGAGGAGGAGAGCATACGGGATAACTTCGTCATTATTTACGAGCTGCTCGACGAGATGATGGACTTTGGGTATCCGCAGACGACGGAGAGCAAGATATTACAAGAGTGCGTCTACCCTTGGTGTTATGCACTGGTTGTGGGATGTAGGAATACTGATATGTGTGTGCGCAGGTACATCACTCAAGAATCACACAAGCTTGAAGTCCAGGCGAGGCCACCGATCGCAGTCACCAACGCCGTCAGCTGGCGAAGCGAAGGCATCCGGTACCGCAAGAACGAAGTCTTCCTCGATGTCATCGAGTCGCTCAACCTCCTCGTATCTGCAAACGGCAATGTGCTACGGTCCGAGATTCTCGGCGCCATCAAGATGAAATGCTACCTGTCCGGGATGCCCGAGCTGCGGCTAGGCTTGAACGACAAGGTCATGTTCGAGACAACGGGGAGGGCGACAAGAGGGAAGGCGGTGGAGATGGAAGATGTCAAATTCCACCAGTGCGTGCGGTTATCGCGGTTCGAGAACGACAGGACGATCAGCTTCATTCCGCCCGACGGCGAGTTCGAGCTCATGAGCTACCGGCTGAATACCCAGGTCAAGCCGCTCATCTGGGTGGAATGCATAGTTGAGAGCCACTCTGGCAGCAGGATAGAGTACATGTTGAAGGTAGGAAGCCCTTCAGCGTTCAGTCAGTCCAGACTGATACCGTGACCAGGCGAAAGCACAGTTTAAGCGACGAAGCACAGCCAACAACGTCCAAATCTCCATACCCGTCCCCGAAGACGCAGATACGCCCCGCTTTCGCACAAACATCGGCACCGTACACTACGCGCCTGAGACCTCCTCGATAGTGTGGAAGATCAAGCAGTTCGGCGGTGGCAAGGAGTTCCTCATGCGCGCCGAGCTCGGGCTGCCCTCCGTACGCGGCGACGACGAGAAGGGCGGCGGTATGATGGGTGGATTTGGCGGTAGTATGGGAGGTGTGGGGGGTGGCAAGGGGAAGAGGCCCATTAGTGTCAAGTTTGAGATTCCGTACTTCACGACGAGTGGGATTCAGGTGCGGTATTTGAAGATTATTGAACCGAAGGTGAGTAAAGGTATTTTTTCGGGTGCTTCTGGGAACCTGGCTGACAGATATTGTAGCTTCAATACCCCAGCCTGCCGTGGGTCCGGTATATTACGCAGTCGGGCGATATCGCTGTGCGGTTGCCCGATGTGAACTAGGGGGTTTCTGGGCGCGGTGATATATATATACCAATGAAGATATGCAAGCATGGCTATCCGAACTGAGCTAAGTTGCTTGTTTGAGACGTGTTGCCTTCCTCGTGAACACAGGCTTCGTGCTCTGAAACTATTGTGCGCTGCTCCTTTCCACGATTTCGACGTTGCATGCTGTCCGCTCCGCGCAGCAAGCGATGGACTTCTTGGCTTCCTTTGCGGAGGCGTAGATGCGTGCGTGCACGCAACGCCTTTCTTTCTTAGCTTGGCCATGCCCATTCCCGTTGCGGATGATGTGAAGGTGTTAGGAAGCAGGCGGGAGTAGGCGGGAGTTTTCCGCCGCCTTGCGGAACTGGAATTAGATTGGATTGGCTGCGTTGGCTGTGGCATGGGGAGGGAGGTAGGATATAAACCCTCGCCCCCTTCCTTATCCTTTTCCTTTCCTTTCCTATACCTTCGAGCGGTTGCGCAGACTAAAATCAAGTTCGATGCAAGACATGGCGTTGGCCTGTTGGTCTGTCGGCCCTTGGGGAATAAAAAAGGAGCGCGAGTGGGCGTTATGCTGTGCTGGGACTAAAACAAAAGAGCAGTGACGATGGCGGATGGGGATGGGGAGTTGTGGTATGTGGATGGTGGGACACGGGCAAAATATTCGACATGACTGTTCTGTGGTTTGGGTTTTTGAAGGAGAAGGGGAGAGGGAGAGGGAGAGGGAGAGAGAAAGGGGTTTCTTGGGGCATTGGTCAGCTGAAGATGGAGAAGGAAGGAAAGGGCTCCCTTGGGGTATATAAGCCTCCCTCCCCTCCTCCCGCGATCAGCGTTCTGAGAAACTTGAATACAGTCTCTTCGGCGCGCTCGGTTTGGCTAAAGTCCTAACACTGCAGTGTTCATGCGTCTGTGGGACGAAAAAAGTCCTTTGTGAAAGATATGATGGCTGCGGTTTGTGGACTGGGAAAGATAAGGTGCGAGAGGAGTGGTCCATGGGGGGTCTTTCTTCTTGTTGCTTGCGGAAGGAAGGAGGGAGGGACGGCATAACGAAAAAGCGACTCGTGAAAGCCTTCATGTCTGCTGTCTGTGGACTGGGCTGGGAAACGACAAATTGGAGGAGGAGGGGTGCATGGGAGATCTTTCTTCTTCTCGCGAAAGTCATAACGAAAATGTTTGGCGAGGTGTGTTTCATGGCGCTCTGTCGCACTTTGAGGGGTTGCGTCTGAGTGTTCTTGGGGGATTGGTTGGTTGGACGGGGAAGGAAGGATGGGCTCTCGGTTGGGTGGGGTATATAAACCTCTTCGTCACCGTGATAGCTTTGAAGCACACGTCCGCAACTCTCTCTTCGCTCAAAACAGACTTTCCGCTACTACATGGCCTTGTTTCGCTGTCGCTCGTCGTTCTAAATCAAGTGGAGAGACGCGTATGAGTCTCCGCTGGAGATTATCCGTTCCAAAAGTACGGACTGTTCCCAGAAGCGAAGGTTAAAAGAACTTATGGATGAGGACATGGCTTGGAGCTCCTCTCTCTCTCCCTTCAAACTCCTATGTCTGCGGGGATGGACGGGAGTGAGGATTTGACTGCTGCGTTGTTTAGCTGGCTACTCCTGCGTGCTCTGCATGGGGGTATTTAAATCTCCTCTTCCCCTTCCCTCCCCTCACTCACTTTTAAATACGCACTTGCCACTACTATTATCCGAATCGCTCTACACGACTTGTCATGAACTCTTCTCGCTGCGCTGGGTCTAGAGTCACCAATGACGAGGAGTCATGTTTTTGGTCTAGAGCGTATGATGGATATGTGCAGATGGAGTTTTTCGAGAAGAGGAGAGTTCGAGACTTCAAAAACGAGGAGAAGAATTCCATGGCCTGAGTGGAAACATGGCTATAGGGACACCATGGTGTCTGCTCGCTGCTCGCTGCTCTTGCTCCAAAATCCTCGATTACTCCATTCATGGTTCTTGGATCACGGCGCATATAACGGACAAGTACGGACGGACTCTTTCTGGGAAGAGGCAAATCCGAGACTGTACAATCGAATGAGCAAAATCGCCATTGCCTCAGGAGAATCCAAAACTTACCACTCATCATCTAAACACGATGTACACGGCGAACATGTGTGTCCGCTCACCGCTCTGGTTCCAAAATTCTCACGCAAAACGCTCACATGTGTTCGCGTATCAAAACACGAAGACGATCGCGTTATGGAGGTTCCTGGAACGTGGATCCAGCATTTTAAAATCTGTCGAGGACGAACTCATGTCCTGGAGATGAAAAAGCATGCGAAGCTTTCGATGGGAGGGGGGATTCCGCGGTGTACAAAGGAAAATACAATGCCGTGCATGCTGCGGATTGCTTGGACTTGAAAGGGCATGAAGTAAACCTATATGTGCGCTGCTCGGAGCGGAGCTGGGATGTTGGACGTCTAGAAGTTTTCTGCACATGGGATTATGGATTACGGGGAGCAATTTTTACCTCACCTCGCCTCGCCTCGCCTCGCTAGAATTACTCTGAATAACGGCTTATGACTGTTGCGTCACTAAACAGTGGGTCGAATCGCAGCATGTCTCCTTCCCTGCTTCGGATTCGCACATTGATCTTCTAAGATCCAGTGTTCGAGCAGAACGCTTCTTGATACCGGGACTCGAGGGTTTGATGTTCAAAAGACGCATCTGCATCATCGTATGGCGCGCGTTTCCTGCCTCACCGAAATCACCTGGCGCAGGGCTCATGGCATTCGAACGTCTGATGGAGCAGCGAATGTCTCCTGCTGTCCTGAGGAATTGAAAATAGAGACGCTAGGGATCCGGTGCAGGAGTATCGAATGTCATCGTAATCGGCCACCTTCACATCATAGCCCATGGTAGACAGGATGAGCTGATGGGTAGAAGATACCACTAAAACGAAGTATTCATGGGCATGAGTTCTCCTAAATCACACAACTGACAAGAGCATAGATTCTGTGGCTTCGGCAATCCACTACTGGATCCTGCTATGGTTTTCTTTGTCCTGCGTAGGGCGTATTAGAAAGATTGGGAGATGTGTCTATGGATTGACTGACTGGGAAAGTCGGTGATGGGAATCGTGCTTGGAAGAGATTGTGGAGTTGCGGACTAAAATCGCACCGAAGTCCTTCTTATGAATGGTTGCGGGGACACCTTTCAGACTACTCAAACTACTAAGCTGCAGATATATAGAGTTAGAAATCACGATGTTCAACGCACGGAAGAGTTTGGGGGATGGCTTCGGTCGAGCGCAAAATTGGAGTAAATGATGATGTTTCTTTGGGAGGCGAGATTGGATTGCCCAACTCCGACGAAAAATGTTTTTGCATTGGGCTATGCATTATCGAAGTGCTTAAGAACAAGAGGACCCGGAAGGCATATGGATTGCTCGGCCCTGGCATATCGTTAGGAAGAGTGCTTCTCTGAAGCCGCCGGGTTGACCCCATCCGTTGCCCGGCTTGTGTGGTAGGATCTTGAGGCTAAGAGAAAGGCTGTCTGTGGACCTGATCGCGTGGTTTTCGTAGGAGTCTATATGAACACTGGAGGAAGATGAAGTAACGGAGTGAACTCGAGGGCCACTACGAAAATTGACTCAATTCTTGAGGAATGCACTAGACCCCTCCATCCGAGTCCTCAGCCCTTTGCGCTTCCAGAAAGTGATTAAATTCCTCCTGTGATTCTCCCACTTTTCCCTGATCATGTAGTACACTTACTAAGGCTCCCAACGCATCATAGGTATCGGAATGATCATAGCCGAGCTTGGAGATCCGTGTACGTAGAACGGTGCGTAATAGATTCTCGGCTTCAGAGAACCTATGCCATACCCTTAAAATGTGACCAACGTAGGCCATGGATTCTAGAGTGAAGATATGGGTTTCCCCCAACTGAGCTTTCCTAAGCTGTAAAACTTTTTCGTGCAAATCCATTGCTTCTTGGAGACGGCCTTGGTGGACATAGTTTTGAGCGAGATTGCTGATACTCGTGGATATGATGGGGTTGTTGGGCTCGAATAGTCTTTCTCTGCGGAGAAGGACGTCACGCCACACCTCTTCTGCTTCCTCATACCGCTCTGTCCTCTCTAAGACTAGAGCCAAGTTGTTTCTCGATATGAGCGTCGCTGAATGGTCATGGCCTTGTACCTTTTCACCCATCGCCAGCGCCTCTCGTGTCAGCTCTTCGGCCTCTTGGTACCTTTTCATGTCAATGTAGAGGTTACCAAGGTTACTAACGGAAGCTATGGTGTCGAGATGCTCGTCCCCAAGGGTACGTCTGCTGAGTTCCAGATCTTCGCGGAAGAGTTCCTCGGCCCGTTCATATGACTCCATTTCCTGCAAGGCCGAGGCTAGGTTGCTGATGCTGACTTGAGTCTGCGGGTGTTCATTTCCCAGAACGTCCCTCCGTCCCCGCAACGCGCGTTCGTTCCAGTCTACCGCGTCATCTAACCGGCCCATGTCTTGCACAATCGAGGCCAAGTTGGCCATACTTTCGTAGACATCGGGGTGCCTCTCTCCTAGTACTCTCATACGGCCTTCTAAATCTCGGAGTGCCATCGACTCGGCCTCTTCATACTCCCCAAGCGCTTGCAAGACGACGCTAAGTTGTCGCGCACTCTCCAACGACTCCAAGTGATTGGGACCTAAAAGATGGGTCCGTCGTTCTAAAGCTTCTTGATGCAACGTCTTTGACTCACTGAATATATCGTTCTGCTCCAGAATGTTTGCCAGAACATTGATGCAACGCAGGGTCTCTTGATGGTCCGGTCCGAAACGTCTCGTGTACCCTCCCAATGTTTGCCTGACTGTCTGCTCCGCTTCAGGAAAGCGCCCTTGATCAATCAACAGCCTGGCCAGGATCATGCGCAAGTTCAGAACTCCGGCATGATCAGACCCTAACGCCGCTGAGAGATCACTGATCTCTCGGTTGTATTCTTCTTCGACTAGCTGTAGAGAAGGCTCATGACGATACTCCAACCCATACTCAAGGCTCTGCAAATTTCCGTTTCGGACGAGCTGGGAAATGCTCTCGTTCTTGTAACTGATATCTTGCTCGGCTTTCAGCGCGGATATGGTGGAGGAAAGCAGGCCCATTGACATTCCGGACACCGTGAGCCACTTCTGAGCGTCCGTTTCATTCCGCGGGCAACCAAATCCGATAGAGTAACAGACGGCTAACTGGAACGCAGCATTTCTCCGGATTTCCACATGGACCACATGCTCAGCGCGCTCTTCCAGGCCGTCTCTGATGAGCCGACGTAGTCGATAGTGGGACAGCACCAGCTGTAAGAAGTCGGAGGTGATCTAGGCCCGGCATGTTAGTTACCGAAAGCTCGCTAATGTGATCGACTTACTCTGAAGTCTCTCGGCGGCGCCGTGGGAACATGCTGAACCGAACTACCTGCGTGTACGTCCATAGAAGGATGAGCCCAGGGCTGGCCTTCGGAGGCTTCCCGCGATGTGATGAACACTACAGATCGCGCGAGCCCATCTTGCATGAATGCAGCTTCGAAGAAGGACTGCCAAGCCTCCCGCTCGGTTTCAGCCATGCTTCCCTCAATGCTGACCATTCGAGTAGCAATTCGGACCACCTGTCCGTCTTTCTTCCACTGCTGGACAAGATTAATTCCGTGTTCGGAGAAGAACAGTTCTTCATCGCCTGTGCCATATTCGGCATTTAGCTTGTCGCCAAACAGCAACCATAGACAGAGCAAGCCTAGGGAGTATGCATCAGCCCCTTTTGCTTCATCAAACGACCAAATGCGTGCGTGGTGCACGACTTCTGGAGCGTTCCACGGCCGAGACACGGGTAAGGCTGCGGAGCCATCTTGCGCGAGGACTAGGGACGAGTATCCAAAATCTGAGACTCGAGGGAACGGCGATCCGTCTTCATCCTTGAAGGCAAGGACATTTTGTGGCTTTATGTCTCCATGTATAATGTCTTTCTGTGCTGTTAGCGACGTCCGTTCGGGGTCCACGGGCACGTCCAGTGATCGATCGGGTCCATAGGTTGGTGACTCAAAACGAGAAAAATCAATCAATCGATTAATTGATCGATCGGGTCGGACTTACTGGCTTTATGGAGAGAGATCACAGCGTCAATGACGTCGCTCGCAAAAGACATCCGGTCCGCCAAACTCATCGCCTGGCCTTCTTCACTTGCCATGAACTCGCGCGAATCTCCGTATTCTGCTCGCTTGAAAACAAGCACCGGCCGTAAAGACTTATCGGACACTGAAGGGTCCCAGCACACGCCCTCTAGATCCAACAAATTCCTGTGACGTCGGACGGCTGGATGCCGCAAGATTGTGGCTTCACGAACGAGCCAGCCGTAAAGGGCATCCTCGTCGACCGAAGTATAGTGGGACAGCGGGCGCTTGAAGGCAAAGCTCATCTGCAAATTGACGAGCGACTGTCGGACCTCTGCCGTGGCACCTTTGCCGAGAACGTCGAGAGCATCTTGCCAGGTGATGGCAAGAAAATCTACGTCGTTTTGTTGCGCCGCCTCGAGAAAAGACAAGAAATCGTACCGCGGGCGGCCTTGCCTAGCACTCTTCCGGATTTCCGAAGTGAAGAAATCATTTCCCCCGAAAAGAGTGGAAGAGGCTCCTCCGGCGGGCGGGCCCTGATATGATAACGAGTATGGCTCCTGCATGATGCAAGCAGTCCTTCTGAGAACTCTGTGGGTGCTACCTGTTTAGCGCGCGTATCACTGAATTTTATAGACTGCATTCGCCTCGGCCTGCCGCTGCCGGTGCGCAACGATTGCAGGAGTTTGACAGCCCCTCACCGGTGAAGGACTCCGGTGAAGGACTCATGGACATGCTCAGGGGTGCTTTCAGCCTCGTACCATCGGTGGGGGCTTGTATGACGTGGCTAGCTTTTCATGGGTAGAGCAGGCTGGGGTAGAAAGCCAATCGCCGCCGTCCAACACGAAGCCACGCGCATGTCGTTGGATATGCACTTCGCCCCGCATTGGCTTAGACTTCAGGCACCCGCACCACCGGCGTCTCTCCACTCCCTAGGTATGCCTTCCACCACGATTTTCCTCGACACGCGTTATGTGCAAAGAAACGAGCTCTTGCAATTACTGAACATCCTATTCCCGGCCCGGTACACAGTAAGGGTGCGCAAAACTATCGTGGCGAGAGAAAATGGTCCGCTAATTTGTGCTAGGAAGAGGAGCATAACATGGTCATCACTGCCCCACGCGACTTCACCACCGTATTTGCCCTACTCCAACCATTCGCACTTCAATTATACTAACGTGATATCAATACAGGCTGAGCGCGAATCCGTTATGCAAGAGCAGAATGCACCGGTGAATTGACGTTCTCCGATAGTTTACGGCACGTACATACCTACCTAGGTACCTAGGGAACTTGAAGAGCCCCTTATCTCCTGCTCTTCGGACTTGGAACTGTACTAGGGACGATGCTCGCTGGTGAACCAACCCTTTGTCATGGATTCAGCATTGGATAGAGTCCACAAGGCTCTAGGAGAAGAGCAAAGAAAGAACAACATAATGCGCGGTTATCTACGGAACCCTGATGCAATATCGGCAATCTTGACTCATGAAATAGTGCGCGGCATTATGATCGAGGCAGGAGTCCAAGCTCACAGAATTCCAAGTGCAGTAGCGATCGTACGCGAACAAATGCCCCTAATCTTCGCAGTTCTCATAGATATGCGCAAGCCACAAGGTATCGAAGATTTTATCGAAGGAGGCATCGTCGACGCCAAACTACCCCTTGAGCTTACTGCCATTCCCTCCAATATGGTCGATCGGAAGGCTTTCTATGATGCCCAATGGAAATTCACTCCGTACAGGTTGACGAGAGGTTCTCATCGTCATATCCGACGCGAATACCCACTGCCGATTGCGAAGGAGGAGCGTCTTACCCATTTGGACGGCAGCTTCGGAATGATCTCAAGCATACGACTAGCCCCAGAGCTTGACGAGCTGTCTCCACCACATCAAAAGGTAAGTCGCGAAAACCTACGTTCGACAGACTCAGTCATGTGTTTATGGGTTGCTATAGCTGAAACATCTCTAGGGCAGTGTCTTGATCATAAAGCGCATGATGCCAGCATCTACGAAGACGGGCAACACCGATGACCAGTTCCAGAATGAAGTCAACTGCCTCCAAATTCTTCGAATGCTCAAAAGTGCAAACATAGTGGAGCTATTGTGTTCATTCACCTACATGGACCATTGCTGTTTGGTCTTTCCTCTGCTTCCTATGAATCTCTCGGAGTTTTTGAAGCGGGAAGAGCGGTTCGGGGACTTTGTGCACGACCTCACGTTCTATCATGCTCTGCAAGGCCTCTCCTCGGCTCTCGATGCAGTGCATAACGTGAAATTGAGCCCGCATAATCACGACGCGGAACTGCACCGAATAGGTTACCATCATGACATAAGGCCTGCCAATATCCTCGTCAGTCAACACACCTTTCTGTTGGCTGACTTCGGACTTGCGAGGATCAAAGATGTTGAAGAAAACTCAAAGACATATTTCAAAGAGACCAAAGGAGATTATTTTGCGCCGGAGTGCCAGGGAATCGACTTCACCAACCAGTTTGTCGGTCGCCCCATCGACATATGGGCTTTAGGGTGCATGATCGTTGATATCACTACCTATTTAAAGTGCGGTCCTATTGGGCTCCGGGAAGCAATAGAAAGAAGGGGGGTTGAGGTTCTACCTGGCTGGACAAACTTCCGGTTCTATCACGATGGAGACTTGAGGCCGGCGGTAAAAGCCCATATGGACGACCTAGTACGGGAAGACACTGACGTGGGAGAGAGCGAAGGGTTACTACACGTCGCGAAACTGATGTTGGAAATCAATCCTACAGCGCGCATTCGCTCTGCAGACGTGTTAAGTCATCTCTCCTACATCACCACGAGGGCTTGCTTTTATGCCGCTACGAAAGCCGTCAAGGAGTACCTCGTCCACCTCGAAAAGGAGCCCTCTGGTGGGCCGTCAAAGTTGGATACGCGGTTTGCTCTCGCAAAACTGAGCGCTTGGGGAGATCTACTAGGCTTCCGTCACGAGAAGATACGGAGCCGTGATTTTGACACTGCTGTTCGCGCACTGGATGGAAGCGAATATGTGATGCAAGCCGACCTTCGAAACATCGAATCCCAATACGCGCTTGCCCAGAGCCAACGCCCTTCGCCGGGAGCAACTGCAGACCCCGACCCACATTTTGAGCTGGAGGAAAATTTCGGCAAAGTGGTGCAGCGATTGGTACAACGTATAAACGAGAGGTCCCAACGACTTCTTGAATCAATGTGGGAACGTCAGTTGCTTGGTGCTGGAAACCTGGAAAGCACCTCACGTTACGGAAAAGCTTTCGGGGAGACTGACCCTCGTCTTCAGAGACTGGAAGCGATGGCAGAAATGAAGAAGCTTCAATCCGCCTTCTTCAACTTGACGACCCTGGAACCGTCCTATGAAAACCTCCTCATTAAAGAACACTACCTGAAAAAGGAGTGGGAGGTCGATGGCCATTGCTTTGCTCGTCTGGCGCTATCTGGAAATGAGGAAGACGAGGTCTTGGTGGAAAGGATCCCTTACAGTGCCAACTGGAAGAATCAGTCCGCTTATGAGAGGATCGTCCGAATAGGTTCTCTCGCCAAGCTTCTTGCGGACGAGCAGCGACCTCCTAGCTTCCGTACCCTCCGATGCCGTGGTTTCATCCTGTCGGATTCTGAAGGAGCATACAAATTTCTCTTCGAGTTCCCCAGCTCAGATGCCAAGCGTGCCCTCACCCCGAAAACTTTGCTCAAGCTTCTTAGTACGAGCCTTCATCATGGTTGGAAGCCTGAGCTCCAGCAACGGATCCGCCTCGCCCAAGGACTCGTCAACGCTGTGCACACCCTGCATACTGTTAATTGGCTTCACAAGGATCTCCGTTCGCTCAGCGTGATCTTCTTTCCGACAGCTTATGAGAAGCTCGAGGACATCGGCTTCTCAGAATTCTACCTAGTCAACTTCCGTACCAGCCGCCCAGATGGCATAATATGGACTACGGATGGACCAGATCCCAACGGCGACTCCCGATATCACCACCCCGACTATTTTGAAGAGGGATGCATAGGTACGTGTTTGTTGCTTCGAAATGAGATACTCTACTAATGTAGCTAGAAGATGGAAGTCGTTATTGCAAGGCGTACGATATATATAGCCTCGGCATTCTACTTCTGGAGATTGCGGCTTGGAAACCGATAAGGTCGTTCCACGAGCGGCATGTCGGCGAATCTCCCCGCGCATTCCGTAGGATACTGCTGGATAAATATGCGCCTAGAATTGCTAGGGAGGTAGGGCCGAGGTATCAGGAGATTGCCCAGCGGTGTTTAAATGGTTATTTCGACAATGATGTGGATGAGGAGACCGCAGATAAGGGTGCCACACTATTCTACAAAGATGCAGTAGAGCCAATGTTGGAAATCTTTGTGGGGTAGGTCGAAACATGTTTAGACATTCAAATTGCACTTTGGTTCGATGGCTAGCTACACTTACGCTCCCAAAGTTTCGCGGCAAGGATGGTGAGTACAGTGAGGCTGCAAGTGAGCAAAATATAGATTCCGATCATCATCCCATAGCTTCCTGCACGACCTTCGCCATTCGAAATGGGATGAACAAGCTCCGAACTGAACACAGACTATGCTATGTGAGTTGAGACTTCCGACTATATAGAGATTAGGGAAAGGCCAACACTCACGGATACCAAAGTTGCCGGAAGATACACTAGCGCGATCATGCTGATCGTCTTCATAGTCTTGGAGTCTCGCCGGGTTTGATCAGCAATGTAAACTATGAGCTTGTTCTCGTTCGAGGTGGTCCGAGCGATGTCTTTCATTGACGTATTGAGATCGTACGCCATGTGGGTCTGGCGAAACTCGAGGATCTTGGTAGTCTAGGCGTCGTTAGAGACGATATCGCTTGATTAAGCTGCGGAAGCTATTCACCAGAAGATCGAGGCTCTGGGTGGACTCAAGTAAGCCGAATGCTTTCGCCGCGTGCATCTTGAGCACGCTGATGTGCTGTGTCAATTCGAGTATCAACTCTCTGTTTCGGTCACTGTCCGTTTCGAAGCTGCCTTCCTGGCAATAGCACTCCCTCGCGTGATCCATCAGAGATTCAGTAGTTGAAATGCAGGACCCGAGTAGCAGATGCACACGCCGGATCTTATTGCGCAGAATTTCGAGCCTTTGACTTTGCTGGAAGTCGAGCGGTAGGCCCTTTAGGTCCCGATCAATACGCGTGAAGCAAGAGACGTTCCTCTGACCTGGACATAAGTAATACTCGCGCAGCTTTGGCAGACAATACTTACCATCTTGGATACAAGATCACTCAGGTAATTGATATACCATCTCCACTCGCTTGCACAGTAGCGGTGGATGAGTACGTGTATTAGCAGCGGAGAAAGCGGTCTCCCTTCTCTTTTCAATCTTGCTCTAAGGGATTTTGGTAGCTGTACGAAAACCCACGAACACGTTCTGCGCTCGTAACTGTACGAATGATATACGGCTGCTTGCCTAAATGACCATGGATCCGTAAGACCGTCTCGTCCATGGCGCTCGACAAAGCGAACGTTGTAACAGATATCTACACACGTCAACGGTCTTAGAGGCATAGAAGTTGTTGCAGACAGAAAACACAGGGTCTTACCTGAACGTTTCAAACCTCCATTGCCGCCCTTTTGGGTAATTGAGGCCTTCTGGCAATGGCATGTAGTGAAATATTCGTCGTCATCTGCTGTTCTGACTCCAAAAGCGGACAGAATCTCCGCAAACCGGGGCATAATGTGCAAATTAAGGCATAGTTGGCGAAATAGGCTGAATGAGATATTCAATCGGCTCCAAGTATGCGCTTGTGATATGAAGCTGAAGTAGGTTCAACAACCACATACTATATGAGAAGGCTTGAACCTACAACATCCATTGACTATCATCCGTGCTCTGGTACGCCTATCCCCAGTGGTTAGTAGCCCTCTGCTCATAGGATCCCAAAGGCTCGTACCGTCAAGATGGGATCGCTACCAGTGTCGCTACAACCAGCGATGCTTTTTCCGAGTCCTATATGATCTCAGCTAAGGGAGCTAGAGACGGTGCAGAAAAGGCGGACGGAAATCTTGTGATGGTTCTCCGGAACTTGTTTTGCGGACTTCGACATCTACGCTGGATGCTTCAGAAGTGAAGATTTGATCACGTCTCCAGTAGAGAGACTTCTGCGCATCGCCCGCGGCGGCACTTCCCGTGTTTGGTATATGTTCGCTCAGCCAAGGGCCAAAGAGATCGTCATGAGAGTGTAGGTTAGCATCTGCCGGGTGTGAATTTCCACGTGATTGGACTTACTGCCATCGCCCCAGAGCCTAATCAGTGAGAGTTATGATAAAAGGTGAATAAACTTTGACCGATACAGGGAAAGCTGTTTTATACTGAATACCTAGCCCCCACTTCGTCCAGCCTCGGGCATCAATGTCACCTTCCGGTCAAGGTGATTGCTAATTTTAGCCTCATCAGGCGGTGACCAGTAAATAATAAACGCATCTGGTAAGCGTGGTGTCTCTCGTTCCTCCAACTGTCGTTTCACCTCGTATTAGGCTTGAACGCTTAACGCAGAATCCCCGTCCTCTAGAGATCGTTTCTAGCGCTTTACCCTATTAGGACAAGCGCAGTTAGGCTTTCGGGAGTTTCCAAGATTCGACGTAAAGCTTGGAAAGCGGACTGTGTGAACGTCACTTAGATGAACAAATGAGTAGGGGATCCAGAGCAGCTCGCTGGCTCGTCGATGAGAACGGCACTGGAAGCATCTGTTTCGCTGCTGCCACACGTGGAATGGCGTCATTCGCCAACGGCCCCACTTCTTGAGGCTCACAACTCGTCCTTCCCTCTCCGGAAGGCAAGCCACGCTTCCGTTAATCCATTCCTCTTACTGCGTATAAACGCGACAGTATTCTAATACATATCTTCCTACTAGCGTATCCCTAGCGCAATCCTAGACGCTTCCCTCTCGAGTTCCTCTCAAGCTCTCGTAGCAGAGACCAGTACCTTTTTTAGCCAATCCTCTATGCTCTTTAGGCGCTCTTTCTCGCGGTGTATGTGTCTCGCCGCCTCTGTGCGTTTACGCCACGCACGACCTATGTCGTCCTGCCGTCCTTCAAAATCACACATCACTCTGTTGCAGATCCGGTGCTCGATTGGAACGAAGCATTGGTGGGTGTCAGTCCTCCTAAATCACACAACTGACAAGAGCACGGATTCTGCGGCTTCGGGAATCTGAGACTGGATTCTGATATGGTTTCCTTGTCCTGCGTAGGGCGTATTAGAAAGACTGCAAGATGTGCCCATGGACTGACTGACGAGGAAAGCCGTTGCCCGCAATCACACTTCGAAGAGATGATGTGGAGCTGAGGACCAAGATAGCAACCGAATCCTTCCTATCACTGGTTCCGGGGACAACGTTCGGATTACTCAAATCAAGCTTGCCCCATTACATGGCACCGGGAATCGCGAATCTGGCGTTACGGAATGACTTGGAGAGGCTTGGTCGAGCTCAAATTTAGTGCATGCTATGGTAGTTCTATGGGAGGCAGGATTGTCCAATTCCTTTAGGGGGTATTCTGCATTGAAGAATTGCCGACGCTACCTAGCTCCCAGTATTATATGGACTATCCTTGAAACCCTTTGGCTTCGAAAGACTTGAAAGATACGGAGAAAACCGAGAAAAAAAGGACAGATCGTGATCGGGAAATGTCGGACCAAGACGCTTTTCAACGGGGATGCCGACGTAGAAAAGTTCCTCGAGTAGCGCTTCGAGGCTGGTTCCAAAATCGTGGTATTCCAAACGCCGCCGTATATCCCGTGTTTCCCCTGGATCCCAGCTCAGCTCTGATTTTAGGACACGGTACATGGGACAGCGACGCGAGCGGATCGGTTTCCAGGTATCCTTAACCGCCGGATGTTTTAATAAATTCCGAAGGATTCGATTGTAGTTCCAGCACGAAGGGCTTGAATCTTCAAGATCTCGCATATGGTGAGCGACGTGGTCACACCGCTGCACCCAATCGTTCAGGAGAACACGGCAGTTTTCGAACCCGCAGGCGTAGGCTTTTTGCGTCTGGACGATGTCCATGTGGTATCTGGGGTCGAAATTTGGATGAGTGTGACCGTGCCTCATCAACTCCTCCACGTTACGCGCAAAGACTTCAGCGCAGTCGGGAAATGCACAGCGACATCTTTGTCCATGTTCATGGTAATTTTGCTCATGTCTCTTCCAGTCCTGCTTGGTTTTGAAACTTGAGACCTCGTTACCCTCCAAACAGAAGGTACAGAAAAAAGGGCGCGAGGCTGTCAGCCAAGAACCATAGTGTTGGAAAATGGGTAGCGAGAATTTTGTCGTAAGTTCTTTGCTCGTCGAACCGGAACTCGACTCTTGCTCTGGAGTGTCGATGGTAGCAGTAACATTCTCGTCCCCCTGTTGGATTGGGGCAGTGCCACCAACAACACCCGATGTTTCGGCTGCGAATAGGGCACTCCGGCTAGTCGTACGACTTGTCGGTCTTGTAGTCGTGTTAATGATGTGCTTTCCATCTCCGGAAAACCCCTCCATTGCATCTTCGTGATATGCTGGGAGCGATTCGAGAGCAAGGGACTGCAAGTGGCCTATAATATGATCTTCCAAGCTACTGCCAGTCTGTTCCAATCCACATAGTGGACAGGAGGGAAACAACGGTCCTATAGTTCGTGCGGTCCTTGAGGCAAGCGCGTGAACCTGGGCGTCAGTGAAGGAGCCTTTGTGCCTTGTTTTCAGATGATCTTCGTATTCGGCACTGCTACTGAATAGTTGGATCCCATGAGATTTCGACTGGCAGCGCCATCGTAGACTGTGTCCTCGCATATGGCTTAGCCAGTCCTTGCTATGTCGGTAGAGCTCTTCCGGATTTTCGCAGTCTTCGAAAAGGCAAACGTAGGCATCAAGGTCGTTGATGACGTGCGCGCTAGAGAAGGGTTGTCAGTGAGCGCAGTTGAAATGCTATATACCTCATTGTTACGTACCGCCATTGTTTCTCTTCCAGAACATCTTCAGGCGCGAGTACGTAGAGGCAAAAAGGACAAACAAGCTCTTGCATTTCCCCTTCATAGTCCTCCCAGTCCCTTTTTAAGGTTCTCTCGAACTCCCTATTGGCTTCTGAGATCCTTTCGAGTACCTCAGCATTGGAATCGTAACTGTGTTGGCCAGCAAAGCTTGAGGGCATTCCGATGGCCTCAAGTTGAGCAACGTGCTCCTGCTGGCGTGTCTCTACTAGCTTTTGGTATTTCTGTCTCGCGTATGCCCCTGGTGCAGGAGGAAATACGAGATCATGGTGGTTCTCCAAAAACACGGTCCTCGAGACTGATGCCACTGAAGGACTCGAAGCTTCCTTGAGCTTAGCGGCTGTCGGGGTTGTGGCGGTTAATGTTGTCGATTGCACAATGCTTTGGCTGATATGAGTGGCCATTGAGGGCTTTGATACGTCCGATGCTTCTGTTGGCATGGGGGCCGACATGGAACTTTGTAGTCCGGGAGGAAGCTTGATGGCGGGTTGCGTTACGCTTGTGGTGGGTCTGGTGGGCGCTTTTCCATAATGGATCGTGGTATACAAGATTCGTTTCCATCTGAGTAACATGGTCGCAACGAGTCGTTCCTTGATGGCATTACTGATGCCGGGGAATTGGTCTTGTATGTTGCGTGCGAACAGCTCTCGAACCGTTTGTTCGATGTTATTCCCTTCATCGTCCTGCAACACGAATGTCTTGGCTGTGTGGGAATTCTGCGCATCTTTGCTGGCTTTACGAATGGTATTCATGAGCCGAAAGAGGAGCGTTGTCTCATCAGCCACCTTGCGGACCATCGTACCGAAATCGGCACCGGGATCATTGTGGGCACCGATGGTTGCGAGAGAAGAAAGGCAGACATAACCTGCGTTGGTGTCAAGGATGCTCTTTCTCACCCGCTCGGGATTTTGCGGCTTGGTCGGCTACTATGATTGTATCCGGACCGGTAACCACAATGACTGAGCTAGAGGTACTTACAGGCATGAAGGCGATCCTGAAGTGTTTCCAGGAGGCCTATGATTACCGCCTGTACACCGGGCACGCCCTGGAGACGATGCTCAAGTGATGCTCGCGGGGTTGCAAACACGCCGGCATTGGTGACCCAGAGAGAGAACCGAGCTAACTGATCTTCAACTAACGAGATGTTACGCGGATGTCCGGTTCCAGTTAATTTAAGGCAGTCTTTGAACGAAACGAGGCATCGACATGTTGCGTCGGCGATAAGCGCCGGGGCGGGGTCGCGCGGCATGATTTATGGAAGAAGGAATAATATGGCCCTGACAAATGAGTATTTCTGGGGACCGTACCGCATTTCTATCGCAAAACGATGTGTGAGAAGAGGTTTATCTAGTGCATGTGTGCAGATGCGATGAAACACGAGGCGCACGGGCCAACTCTCAGCCGCACGCGCCTGGGGCCACTCGATTTCACTTGCCATCACCAACACCTGGTCACCCAACCCCAAGGGGAACTCTTTTCTTTGTCTTGACGGTCCATATCGATGCGCTCCCCCGGCCGTCTTCAATGAGCGTCGCCATCATGAGCCGTACCTCACGAAACCGGCCTGGTGCGGAGATACACGAACTCCTTCCCCCGAACATCAAACACGGCCACCTATGTCCAGTTCATGGCAATGATACCTGCTCTATCTCTCTGGCTTTAGATTGGTCCCAGACATTCCGGGAGATGGCTGAGGTTCTCCGCCGAAATGAGATAGTGCCTGAACTTAGGGACTTTTACCTGCATTTGATGGCGTATTGCCTCCTGATAAAAGACCATGCTAGCCGCATCAGATGTGCGTTTGGTGCAGGCCGCCAACTCATGCATACGTTCTTGGATCAATTCGAATCCGTTGTGGCAGCAGCAGTGTTGGATGAACGCAGTGTTTTCCGGACGTCAGTTGACTTCCCCCGACTCCAGAAACTCGACCAACTCTGGAAGCAGATACAAGCCGATGACGAGACAACAAAACTGAAGTTTCTACAACGCTACCTGGATTTTGGAACTACTTCGAGCCGACATCAAGAGCTCTTGGCGTCTCTTGAGAGATTGGAAGAGGAGATGAGGAAAGAACATCCGGACAAGGACCTTTTTGCACCAGCGGATGACTGCACACCCAAACTTCACCGAGACGAATCGCCGCACTCTGTGTGGAGTGCCGCTTGCTCACTGTCTAGAGCCTTGGCATCTTGCAAAAGCTGCACATGCCACTCAGAGCAAGACCTCGGCGTGACAATGCGTCTATCCACATATCGAAGAGCGCTTCCCGAGATGGAACATGATTTCGAGATGTTTCTCTCTCTCTCGAAACGGTGGCAAGAAGCACATGTGCGCATTGTGGAGGGGTCGGAGGTGCGGACGGATTCGGATTCGCCAATGAAGGTCAAAATGCTGTGCCAGCCGTTGCAGAAGATCCAGTCGGCGCCCCCAAAATTTCTCAATCTGAAAGTCGAAAGAGACGAACTCTGGAAACTGCGATCGAAGAATAAGGGTTACATGATCGACAAAAAGAAACCCCCTGTTTCACTCCGGGAACTCCTCACCGATGGCTCTCCTCCCTTGACTACGAAAACAAAACGCATTCTCGCTGTCTTGCTCAGCTACGCTGTCCTCCACTTCCACGGAACATCATGGCTCCCGCGCAATTGGAGCTCTTCAAATGTCCTCTTTTTCCACACAATTTCCGCTGAAATTCCTTTAAGACCATACATAGAGGCGCAGATCGAACAGGGAAGTTCATGTGCTGATACCTCGGGTAATCACTCTGGTGGCCAACAGGAGCACACATCGGTTGATCTCGACGACCTTGATCCGGATGACATTGTATTTCACTCCTGTCAATCGCTTGTCGCTTTGGCGGTCATGCTACTGGAACTCTACATGGGTATGCCATTTCGGACACTAGCCAAGCGGCATGATATCGAGCCGCTGGACGAAAATGATGATGGCGTATCATTCACCACCGCAGTATATGTGTTCGAACAATGCCTCCCCGAAATTGAGGAAAACACTTTATACAGACATGCCTTGAAGAACTGTTGGGATCCATCTCTTTGGGATGACAACGATGGCAATAAGCTCGACAGCCAAACATTAAGGACGAACATGTATGAATACGTTGTCGCACCACTGGAAAAAGAATTATGCCAAGCTTATAGTTCTATTTCAATGGATGAGCTCGATAGCCTCGCACAAGGGCTCGATCTCAATTGCTGGGGACAAGCAATACGGGATCCCCAAGCTGAACCCCAGTCCTTCATTAGAGAAGATTTCGAACTCAAAGTCCTCGATTACAACTCAAGGTCATCCGGCATCTATCGCAACTCGCTTCGGCACGGCGTTTCACCGCAAAACTCCGGCCAAGGGAATTTCAACGCGCGAAACTACAAAAGTGCTGAGTTTTTCGACGATGAATCAGTCTCCGAAGAGCATACCCGAGAAGAGTAGGTGCTTCTCACCGCTTATGTTTCTGATGCAAGCCTACTGACTGTATGATTCCAGGTGCACTAGATATCGAGCTTGGAAAGAAGACTTCGAAGCGGTATACGAAAAGTTCATTACGAGCGCACAACGTACCTCTTCACATCCACCCATCAAAATCGCAGTCCTCGATACTGGAGTGGATTCTAACCATCCGGATATAATGGCGCGCAAAGAACAGATCAAGGACACCCATAATTGGGTTGATGTGTGCTATGCAGCGTTGATCCCCGATTACAATGGCCATGGTACTCATGTTACCGGCATTGTCCTTGACTATGCACCGGACGCAGAAGTATACATAGCAAAGATCGCCGACCACGAGCTTGCTGATGCGGGGATTATAGCGAAGGTACCGGCACAACAAGCGATATACAGTCTTTAGCTGATATGTATAGGCCATCGAAAAAGCCGTGCGCGAATGGAGGGTCGATATTATTTCCATGTCCTTTGGGTTTTCAACCCGAAATATCCCCGGATACGATGACATCGAGATTGCTATCAAAGAAGCGCACTCCAAAGACGTTCTCTTGCTTGCGGCTGCTTCGAATGGTGGCGCCAACCATGACAGAACATGGCCAGCCCGCGATGACCACGTTCTTTGCATCCATTCAACAGATTCGAAAGGAAATCGATCGAAATTCAGCCCTACCGCGGTTCACGACAACGTCAATTTTGCAACAGTAGGCGAAGCCATCGAGTCAGCCTGGCCGTTTCAGCTGTGCGGGCCAGGTGAAAAGTTCGTCAAGTACAAGTCCGGAACGTCGTTTGCCACGCCGATAGCCGCTGGAATCGCCATCTTTCTACTGCAGTATGCTAGGTTGTATTTGGGTGACACTCATCTGGCTAGACTGAAACGACATTCGGGCATGAAGTCTGTATTAAGGAAGATGGCGAGCAAGGCTGAAGCTTCCAGGAATCGGGATGATTACAGCTACCTCGCACTGAGCTTGCATCCTGACAATTTGTTCGGAAAGAACGAGGATTTCATAAAGGCTACTATTGAAGAGTCACTCAGCTGAATCCGAATCGAGGATGGATTAGCTCCGACGTTCCGTGGCTTTCACCGAAAATGGAGATGCTAGGTTCCAGATCCAAGAGGTAGCAAGAAGACCACAGTTAACCGCATCGTATCCTTCCATCAACTCCACAGCCTTATACCCCTCCTCTGGTGCCGCCCCCTCTTCTTCCACTATTGTGATTTCAACCCCCGAGAGCTTCGCCTCTTCTCCGTTATCAAGCATAGCACCTTTTGCATACGGCTTCTCGCTCTGCACCGTTCCCGTCTTCTGAACCCGGACTCTGCTTACCCTGAACGCGAACACAAAGTCACCACTCCATTCCCAAGATGTTTCCTTATCGCTCGCTTCCGCCAGCTCTATCTGCGGTCCGCCACTGACAGGTACCATCCCGCCACTCCAAACAGTTCCGTCCACCTCCAATCCAATCGCACCCCCTCTGACCTGGGACGTGGCTGTTCGAGCCTGTGCGCCGCTTACAACCTTGACCCCTGTAATTATGTAGACCGGCTTGCGATAGCGTGCTTTCTCTAGGTAGCGGCGAACAGGCCCGGCTTCGGCGCACTTCCGAACGTACGCATCCGTGGGGATAAACTGGCTGGTCTCTATGCGATCGAAGCTAAATGAGCTCGCATCGGTACATGAAGTCAGTGCCGGAAGTTCATTTTCGATCGAAAGCGGGGATGCGCAGAGCAATCGAAACCTTACCTGTTCTCCCTACTCAGACCCGCATCGGCCCCGAAGCCGAGGAAGCTGAGAAACGTGGTAAGGATGGAAAATCCACCCGACCTCAGCTTTTCCTTCGAGTATTGCACTGTCGATTTGGTGGAGGAGAATACGTCGGTTTCGCTGGGGCTGAGCAGCGCGAGGGGCCGTTCGGGGGTATCGATAGTCGCGAGAACGGCGCCGAGTTTGATGGGTCCGGTCGGCGGATAGTCCCATGTTGGCGCGAAGTAATATAGCGCCTTTTGGTTTGCCATGGGTCGAAGTGAAATTAGTTATCTCGGTGGGTTACTAGTGCGCGTTTTTGGCGGCGGTTGAATGTTTGTCGCAGTGTGGTCCTGCGAGGAGACCGGTGAGCCGAAAGAAGGAAAGTGTTGCCGAATATGGTTACTCCTTCACGTGACCTGGTCTGTATATATAGCCATATTTCTCGTATTCTCAATCAATCAACTCATGTCTCAATACTTGCCAATTCACCTGAAAGAAAGGCTTTGCGACAGAGGGCATAGCCACCACTAGTAACAATGCATGTACCTATGTCTTCGGGATACGCTACGTCCTATCTCGCTATGCCCATATCTTTTCTCATTGGACGGTTCCCATGTGAGATTCCCACAACTCAGCGGCGGAATGTTGCCCACAAGCCTTCCGACTATGCTGGAGGTGGTGGGCTGGGGCGCTGGCCTTTTCTGACTAGTCCCCCTAAATGGTTTCATGGCATTGTCGTCCGGGGAACTCACAACTCATCTCTCTCTCCCCGGAAGGCAAGCCACGCTTCCGTCAATCCATTTCTCTCACTTCGTATAAACGCGACAGTATTCCGATACATATCTTCCCACCAGCGTATCCCCAGCGCAATCCTGGACGCTTCCCTCTCGAGTTCCTCTCGAGCTCTCGTAGCAGAGACCGGTACCTTTTTCAGCCAATCCTCTATGCTTTTTAGGCGCTCTTTCTCACGGTGTATGTGTCTCGCCGCCTCTGTGCGTTTACGCCACGCACGATCTATGTCGGTGTCTCCCGGGAGTAGGCTGCCCCTGGGGCGGGTCTTGGAGCAGTGCTCATGCGCATCCCCTCGCGCCTGGGCGGCTGCTTCCTTTATCCACTCCCACTGTTTGTGCTGCCAGTTATGAACGTTTCCACGCCGCTTGTTGGCTTCATTTTCGTCATCGGAACACAGCTGTCCTTTCTTGGCCGCTATGTCGTGATGGAGCTGCAGGCACTCTTGTAATAGCCTCCGCCTTGCCAGGTCCTCTGCTCTTTCTAAACTGCGGTACTCCCATAGTATGTAGTCATCGGGTTTGACGCACACGCTGTCCGGACACCATCGTTGGACGGTCCATTTCGCTGATCGTAGGTCCTGTTCGTAGTGCCCCAGGCATAGTTCTGCGTCTTGGAGCTCCCAGCCCAGCAGCCATGTCTCGTTCTCGTCGCCGGCTTCGTTTAACTTCTCCCGTATAAGGGCGAGTTCTTGCTGAGTGTAGGGTATTTGGCCGGTTTCTCCGGGCCGGCCTTCAAGCTCATCGATGCGCAGGACTGCCTGCTCTGCCATACCGTGGATTGGGAGTCGGTTTATTGACCACTCGTTGGAAGGATTGTGCCGAAAGCGGGTCATGTCGACATTGAATTGGTCCGCGTCAAAATGATCCGGCCAGCCATTCTTCTCAATGAACTCCCGGATCTTATCGCCAGGTACGCCATCGTCGTGTCCACCGCGCGCCGTCTCCCATGGTATCCACTCCAACACGCGATAGCGTCTTACAATCTCCCTCAGAAAATCTGGCGCATCAAATGAGGGAAGCTGCTCCTTGTGGTCGAGAGGGTCCTCATCCAGATTCACCGGCACCCGTTTCTTTGTATCTAGAAGGCCTATTCTTTTCGTCCGCGTCTCATGTAGTAGCACATACGGCCCATCCGCCATCTTTGTCAACGCTAGGTTGCTCGGCATCATATGTAGGACATCCACCGGCTCATCCTGCAACTCCTCCTCTTGCCTGTAGTCGACGAACTTAGAACCAAATAGCCAGTGTGCGTCATCGACCTCCAGCTTGTCGACGTACGGCATGAGTTCCATGAGCCGCTGCACTGATGGATCCCGGGGTATATGAGAAGTGCAGTCGGGATGGTTGATGCCACTGGAGTCTAGCATCTTGCATCTGGGGAGGGGGCGTGTGATTGGCTTGATGTGGGTGGAGTTGATAGCGTGGGGACCGCGTTTGATGGATGTATGGGGGATGAACGTGAAGTTTGCGAGGATGGTATATATTTCATCTAGAAGGGAGGCGATTTCTTGGAGATGGGCTTCGCTAGGCCCAAGATGTTCGTCGTCGATTGTGCTGGGAGGCGAGAGGGGAGCCTGGTGCGATGGAGGTGCTGTCCACACACGTGGGAGATTGAGCAGCGAAACGAGGATCAAGAGTAGAGGGCTCCATCGTCGAAAGGCATGCCGGGGCTTAGATGAAGCCATTGCTTCCCGGTCACGCACGTTAGTTCTTCGTAAGCTTCGGTTGTCGGGGGATTCATTTGCGACGCGATCTCGGTGCAGGAGGAGTTGACCCTCGAATGTGGCCTACCATGACGTCTCTTAGGTGGGTGTTTGCAAACCGGCAGCGTTTTCGACTTGGGTCCTGTACATCTTCGTGTTGATGAGGCTGAGCAGCCTTGGGAGGAATGAGGTGCCCAGGTGGCGATCGTACACTAGGCCTGATTGGGACGCCATAAGCGAACCATGAGCCGCGAGCCGTCCTCTCTCTCCTACTTTTAATGCACACTAACTTCGCTGCTCCTGCGAATATACTGCACAACATGAGAGCTCTATCTGAAACTCCGCTGTGTATAATGCAAACCCCAATCAGGAACCACTTTGGCCCCAGCAAGCCGTCCCTTGCAGAAACACGACCGCAGGATTCTCGATCGGCCCCCTCAATCTCCCAACACATCATGCGATCTACTGGCCGCAACATTTTGCACAGCCCAGCGACGAAACAATCTGACGACATGCAACTTCCCCAGATTCCTTAATCAGAAATGAGGCGAGGTTTGTTCATCCTCCAACACCGAAGGGGCGGCTGAAGATCCGTGCACTGCCATGTGCGCTGGTGCTAAAGATACCTGAATGTGGGAATGGAGGATTCTTTGCTGTCACAAAGTACGAGGAGATGGAATTAAGGGTTTGTGGGGAGACCAAGGCAGACTGCGACCTACCGATGATGAATCGGATGTGTGTGTGCTTTTGTGCGGGATGGATCTGAGGGTATATAATCACCTCTAGATCCCTTTCGTTGATTAACACCTAAGGCAATTCCGTTTGACTGCATCTCATATCTCCTTCAATCCCGAAGTCACTCATTCTCGTCTTCTTCTCCCTCAATCATCTCTGACACGCCCTCATTCATACTATCAAGATGCAGTACCAAACCCTTGCCCTAGCAGCTCTTCTCGCATGCGCCACCGCACTCCCCTCTCTCCAGAAGCGCGACCAACAAACCTGGGACGAAAACGGCAACCTCAAACTGACCTGTGCGTAATACAACTCCCTCCACTACTGATCTCGCAGCTAACCCACCACCCAGTCTCGAAAGACACCGTCATGCTCGGCGACGTCACCATCGACGACATCTTCGCCAAGCTGGGAGAAGTCTGCCACGAGTCCGGCCAGTGCGAAACCAACGACATCGAACTCGACGGCATCATCTGGTCCAGCAACGACCAGACCGAGATCAAGGTCACCCTGGGCCCGGACGGCGAGTACCCGACGTGGATACGGAACGGACTGTTGGATGGGTTGAAGGCGGCGGTCCAGACGGTGGCGAAGTGTGAGGAGACGACGTATCATAATAGCTGCGGGTTTTCGCCGTATTACTGTCCCGGTAAGTCTTACGGAGTGTTGTGTACACGGAGAGAGTGCTAATGTGTTTGCTCGTAGCCAAGGACTCCAAACACATGCAGTGCGAAGTGCCGAAGTACTGGGGGATCAACTTTCAGGCTAAGGGCGAGGAGAATGCTGCTCCGCCTAACTTGGCTACCAATATGAAGGTGGAGAGGGTTGGCGCGTCGCCGCTCTGCGAGGATATCTTGACGGGATTGGGCGCTGTTGCTGGTAAGCGGTTGATCCACCAAGCTATCTATGAAGTATGTGCTAACGAAAGGATTCAGGTGCTGTTCATGGCGTCGGCGGCGGTATCTTTACGCTGCTTACTTTTGCTTGCCAGTAGTTTTAGATGTTTGTCGCGTTGAAGCGTGCGGTTTTGGATTGGCGCGGAACTTCCCCTTGTGGGTATATCTTCTTGTAGTTACCTTCTTGCTATACATTTACTATCCGCATGGGATACCAGACTCATTTCTATCGAAACAGTCCTGCAAGCAATGCTGTGGAACCTGCCATACGGACGGAATAGCGGAGGATCAGCCTGATGCTGTTTACAGCACTCTAGACCTAAATCGGCGCCGAGAGTTATATGGTCTGCAAGCCTCTACGCACTTATGCCTAGGTAGGAGTCTACAGGGCCAAGGAGGATCACTCTTACTCCTGCGGCCCGTCGCGGATTAGTCATTCACATCCTCGTGTCCTAGTTAGTATGCTCTACCGCGATTAAAATAGTGCATTTGCTTCTGCAGCTTTATAGTTCTAAGAAGAATAAGAAAGTGCGATAGTGTTAGTACGGAGGGCGTAGGAAGATATGTATAAAGGTTTGCGCTCTGTTAAGGCTAGTTCTTTACTCTCTTCTATTCGAATTACTTGTCTATTTACGCACCTATTCTGTCCACCTCTTAGCACGCTTCTTGCTATTAAGCTTGTCTCTCCTCTTCTTAGAGACAACTACTATTAACGTCTTTGCTAGGCTCGCATAGCCTAATAGTTATATTAAGCTACGTCTATAGTTCTCTTAGTATATAGAGGTAGCTTAAAGCTTTTAGAATGCTTTAAAAGAAACAATAAAGGTAAGAATAAGTAGTTCTTAGTTCTAGATAGTATATTTATAGTTACGTAGAACTACCTTTACTATACTTTATACTCTACTTCTAAGACTTATCTACTATATCTAGTAATTAACAGAACCGCGTTCTAGATAATACTTCTAAATACTTAAGATAGTAGAGCTATAACTCTATACCTATTAATAGAAGAGCTAACCTAAGTAGCTAATTCTAGAGTAGTAGTCTAAACGCTTTATAGTCTATAGTATAATAGTTTAGCTTATTATAGTATAGTACTCTAATAGTTACTAGAGCTAGAGTATTAGATTAAAAAGATAAGACTAAGAGCTATATAATATATAGCTAGTAATATAGCTATACGCGATTAATATTATATTAGAATATTAATTAATAAGAGAGGTATCTATATATTATATACTAACGTACTTTATTATCGAACCGACTATATTATCGAGCCGACCACCTTTCTTTTAGCAAGGAAAATTAACGAAAATTAACTCGTTTTTCTTAAATAACTAGGCGAAACCTTAATATCTTTCTATAAAAGTTTCTATATATATTCTTTATAGTATATTATAACTTATAGTAAAGTTATACTAAGATATATTACGTAATTAAAAAGCTATACGTATTTAACTAACTTTTAAGAAAAAACCTAGTTTTCTTCTAGTAAGTACTACTATATCTCTATAATAATCTATAAAACCTATAGTATATAATACTTATAACGTAATAAAGGTTTCTAAAAAACTTTTATAGAGCTAGCTCTTCTAGATATAGTGTAATAAGAAATAGAAGTTTAAAAAATATCTTCTTTAGAGTTTTCTCTTCTAACTATATATATATAGTTAATCTAGCTATATAAAGTTATATACTATAAGATTATATATACTATAAGTCTTCTATATATTTAGAAGTAATAATTTTAATATAGTTTTAGTATATTTCTCTCTTTCTATACTATACTACTAAAAAGGCTTTACTTTTAAATAACTACTTAAAGCTACTATATTATTAGTTAATTAGCTCTATATAGTTAAGGCCTACTATAATTTATAAAATAATAAGTTTATAGAGCTAGATTAACTATATATATATAGTTAGAAGAAGAAAACTCTAAGAAGAAATTTTTCTAACTTCTATCTCTTATTACGCTATACCTAGAAGAGCTAGCTCTATAAAAGTTTTCTAGAAACCTTTATTAAGTTATAAATACTATATACTATAAGTTTTATATATTATTATAGAGATATAATACTACTTACTAGAAGTAAAGTAGATTTTTTCTTAAAAGTTAGTTTAATACGTATAGCTTTTTAATTACGTAATATATCTTAGTGCAACTTTACTATAAGTTATAATATACTATAAAGAATATATATAGAAACTTTTATAGAAAAATATTAAGGTTTCGCCTAGTTATTTAAGAAAAACGAGTTAATTTTCGTTAATTTTTCTTGCTAAGAGAAAGGTAGTCGGTATAACGGTCCGGTTTAGGGATTTACCTTAGGTTACATGACCTCGAGTCACGTAATCTTATCACGTGACCTGACCTAGCGCCTTGGCGCTTAGCACCTCTGTATATAGAGCCTCTTAGAGCCTTTTCTTAACTTCTTACCTTTAAATAGCTAAATTTAACCTAAACTACTCTACTTATTACTCTTATTCTTATAGCTTATAGAGACTATATTACTCGTAATTAACTTACTTAGCTAGGTGTTCTAGAGCGCACGTATAGTAGTAGAAACTATAGAACTAGCTCTTATATTATCTAAAGGTTAATACCTCTTTAGCTAGAGATAGCAGTATAATATTAGGCTAAACTAAGTAGCCTTATAAGAAGCGTTTACTAATAGCTATACTAAGAATTAGAGCTATAAGAGTCTAGTTACTTACTCTAAGAATCTATTAACGTTACTAATTAATTACTTACCTCTTAGCGCTATATAAGATCTACTAGTAGATCTAGTTAGTAGTAGAAAAGATACTACTAGTAGTAAGCTAAAGAGAGCTATAAGAGCTCTACGTATAGAAGAACTTCTATAGAACTTCTATATATAAAAACTCTCTCTATTTTAAAAATTAATAATTAGCTGCTACGCTAGTAGTATATACTTTCGCTTCTTAAATAAGAAGCTATACCTAAGTTAAACTACTTAAACACTATAGGTAAACTCTCGCGAAGTAACTCTAGAAGTAAGACTCTAGTTATATAGTACTCTTTTACCTCTATAATTCTTAAATTCTAGGTAGAGAACCTACTAGCTAGCTACTTAAACTAATATTATTATTACGAATTACCTATTCGATAACATAACATAATAACTAATAAGAATTAGAATATTAACTTTAAATAGAAGCTAGCATAGCTACGCTAGAGCTTAGTAATACTAGAGTTATTAGTAGTAGATAGCTCTTATATACTCTCTACCTCTAGAAAGAAGCTCTAAGAGCTTTTTCTAGAAAAGCTAAGTAAAATTGTTAATAAATTAGTTAGCTAATTACTTATACGCTAGGTACTTAAATAATAGACTTATATATATTGCTAGATTACTACTAATGTATTTACTAAAGAAGATACTATATATAGAGAGTATTAGAATTTATAGTAGAAAAAAGCTATTGCTTTAGTAAAGATTTAAGAGCTATAAGCGTAACTATAATTCTACTTTAGAAGCTAGAAGCTACTTACTTTATTAACTTAACGTATAACGCGCTTTATAAGTTAAACACTATATATACGCGAAACTAGCGCGTTATTACTAGATAACTTAATTCTAGGTTCTTATCTAACTATGTATACGCCTACTATACTACTAGTAACTAAGTAACGTTTAGAAAGCTAAACAAGACTTTCTACTAAGTTTCTAGACTCTCTATTACTATTAAATAGCAAGGTTATTACCTTTAAGTAATAGAAAGACAGCTTATAAGATAAGCTTTAAGCTAATTATAACTAGTACCTAGAAGAGATAGCTAAGAATACTAAGAAAACTATTATAGTATATATACGTACGCGAATAGAAAAAGACGCGTACTAAACTCTCTCTACTATTCTACGTTCTCTAAGAAATAGTAGTACGTAGATCTTCTATAAATATATACTAGATTAGCTAGAGAGAAGCTACGCGAACCTATATAAGAGGCTAAACGCCTACTATAATTTTTAGAAGCTGTATTACTAAAATACTACTAACTTCGCGTACTTTTAGGTTAATTTCTTCTACCTAGCATAGAAGCGCTAGCTCTCTATAGATTAATAGGTAGAAAAGCTTTATAAGAAGCTTCTAGTAAACCTACGTACGTAGATAGGTGTCTACTAACGTTAGTATACCTATAATTACGATTAATATATAGATCTTGCTTAAGACCTTACTAGAGAGCTTGCCTAAGAAGAAGCTCGCATAACTAGAAAGGTTAAAAAACGCGACGCGCTTACGTTAACGTTACGTTACGCGTCTACTACTCTACTAGATATTCTACTAACTTCTAATAAAGCTCTAGTAATTAGAAAGCTAGTTACCTACTTCTAATACTAGTAACCTAGCTATATAAGCTATAATTACCTAAGTACTTCTGCTACGCAGAAAGCTATTAAGAACGTTAATCTAGAGAAGAAGCCTGTAGAGCCTATAGAGCTGTAAACACCTAAGAGTAACACGTTAGAATATAAATCTAATAATTTAAAAAAAGCCTAGCTCTAGAAGAAGTCTTCTCTCTAGAGCTACCTACTAGAGTAATAAACCTACGCGAAAAGCTATTTAGTAGTTCTATATTTACTCTACTCTACTAAATATTTATAAATAGTCTTATAATTAAGCTTAGAGGTTTAATTAATACTAGAGTAGGTAGCTACGTTCTAGTATACCTAAAGCACCTTTAGACTCTTAGAAAAAACCTCTACGTTAAGCTAGCGCGTATAGAACCTATCCCTCTTACTAGATATAATAGATAACCTAATAGCTAGATAGATAAATACTTTAAAGCTAATTTAGTATTAGAAAGCTACTAAATACGCACCTACTTTATATATTATAATACTAGCCGCTATAATATAATAATTAGTTATAAGCTACTTAAAGAAGTTAACGTTTAGGTTAACTATAAGTAGCGCGCACTAATATAGCTAGATACTAATTAATTAATTAATTATAAACGCGACGCGTTTATCTCTATATAAGAGCTAGATTCGCGGTCTCTACTACTATAAGCGCCTCTAGAACACCTAGCTAGGTAAGTTAGCTATAGGTAGTACGGTCTCTACAAGCTATAAGAATAAGAGGTGCTAGCAGAGTAGGTTAAGTTAAATTTAGCTATCTAAAAATAAGAAGTAGAGAAAAGGCTCTAAGAGACTCTATATATAGAGGTGCTAAGCGCTAAGGCGCTAGGCTAGGTTACGTAATAAGATTA